TACGTCCAGTGGATGCAGCGCAGCGCACGGCATCTTGTCCGGCAAAAATCCACTCATTCCAATGATCGTTTTCCTGCTTCGACTGGTTCTTTCTATGCATATTCCTTGGATGCTGCTCCTCCGTCTGCGCGCTAGATATGTCTAGCTGGTAAGCTGCGTCTCGAGTCTTGACCGGAAGAATAAAGTACGTAAGGCACCTGTGAGGCCCCACTTCGAGGCTCTGTGAGGAAGGCATCACAAGGTCGTCACCTTCCCGAGGACCTGAGAGAAGGGAAGGACTTCCCAAAGATGCACCTGCCTTTATTTTACCTACTTCCTGCTTTTAACGATTAGTATGTGAGTCGGAAGGAGCATTCAAATGGAACCTGCCTGACTTTGACAGCTAGACAGCTGAGGAGGCAAGACCGAACTACGAATACCCTCGAAAAGGCAAGGTACCTACCTGCCCTCCACATCACAGACTCACACACCACACACACACACACACCACCTCACGCCAAAACTCACACGCCCCCCCTAAAGTTTAGGTCGCGCCTTCCCTTTCCCTGGACAGACATTGTACGCAGGAAGGCACTCTCCTCTCACCCACTGTAAGCCGGCCCATCGCAAGAGCAAGAACCCCCCGGTCTTTAGAATTCTCTTGCTTTCCCTCCCTCTTTTCCCGCTTTCTCTGCCTCTTCTGCCTTACTCTTACACTTGCCCTCTCCCGCATCCATTCCCACATTGCTCTTCTCGTTTTTCTTCCCCTTTTTTTTCTTTTTAGAGTTGCACCTCTCTGCCCTCTTCGTCTGTCTGTCATCATCGTCGTCGTCTGCGCGTCTTCTCTGCTCTGCTCTCGATTGCTGCTCTGCCTGCGTTGCGTTGCGGTTTTTGCAAGGGTATCGGAAAAAAAAAACGAAGCATCCTTTTCAGCGATTGTCTTGGTTGCTAAAGTCGTGCCTCTACCGCGCTGCTTGTTTCCCGGCCCCGACCTGACCTCACGTCACCACTCGACAGAGCGAGATCCACGTCCACCCGGCCCTCACAGGTACCCGAACGAGAAAAAAAAAATCTCTGCGCGCAAGTTCCTTGTCAGGTTCCTCCCTCGTCGTTTAACCCCCCTCTAAAAATCTTCACAAGAGAAAATTACTCTTCTGTAATCATTCCCCCCTCTTCCACCCTTCCCCCTCCTTACGAGTCGCACGACATTTTTCTCCTCGTTATCCGGAAAGAAGAGTCTTTTTGTTGGCGCCCAAAAGTAAGTAATCGTCTTCCCTTTGTCTGTCCAATCCCATCATCCCCAGTCGCATGTCGTCGCGGGCGCAGCCGCAATCGCAGTCGCAATCGAATTCGCCGTCGCAGTCGCAAATTCTGTCCTCGACTCCGACGTCCCGGTCTTCGGCATCTCCGGCAACCATCCGGCCAACGTCCCTCCACGCCGTTGACTTGGAATTGATCGAGGAGGCAACGCATAGTGGCATGGGAAAATTGGGATTGTGGTCCTGAATTCATCGAACGACAACCCCTCTATACCATCGTGGATCATCCTTGGGGTGGTCGTCGATCGCCAACCAACGCCGAAGCCATTCGACCATGACATCGACCTCGACATCACAAACTCGCAAACCTCCCGCGATAGACGGCAAGTCGGACGCGTCAAGTATGCCTTGACAAAACTCGCTCGTCCTGCATTCTGCGACGAAACAACCACCAACGATCCGCCGCATCACGTCGCCCACGTCCACCGGCCACCTATCCGAAAGCCTCCCTTAGCTAAGCATGGTGTCTGGCAACACGACAGCTATCACCATCCGCCACGATCGATGGTTCGCCGACAAAGCTGGCGGGGTATGGACGCCTAGTACGGCGCCGCAAAACAAGCTGGGCTGGAGGATTGCGATAACCGCATTTGGGAACGTCCTTCGTCGGAGTCGAACGCGAAGATCAGGACAAGCGGCCACCTAGATGCACTGTTGCCGACGTGTCAGCACACGTCCCGCTGCAATATTTCGACACAGCCTCACTCCCGGCATCGACATTCCGCCAGATTCCGAAGTCACACCTGCTTACTCATGGGCAACGCTGGATATGCCCAACATTCCGCTGGTTAGCTTCGTTCGCAACCTCAGCTGCCGCGAACAAGAAGCCGTCCATCACGTCCATTCCAGACGGATTCGACTGGTTGCGGGGGTACTCGATCACTGAGGCCTCCGTCTGGTGCTACAACTGGACACAGTTTCCCGAGTTCAGCTTGTTTGCTAGCTGCGATTACGACTGCGACTGCGACTAACCTGTGACTGTCCAATTGGTCGCGACTTTGCTGACAGCTCTCCTAGGTTCCCATTTCGGATCCTTCCTTTGGCCCATTTCTTTGGATCTTCGGTGAAGGTTATCGCTACGGCATCTCTTGATTTCCGGTACTCGGCGCAAGTCTTGGAGATCCAAAAGTCGAATTCGAAGCATCGCTTGGGCCTTGTTCTTAATCGGCGGCTGTAGCATTTTTTGCACGAATACCCGGAGACATCTCGATCTTTCGTTTTGGACGGGGCGTGCTGGCGTAAGAAAGAATCGACTTTTCACAAAGTGCTTTTCGGAGTCTCGGTTTTGCGTCTGGATACAGGTCGTTCTGTTCAATTCTCAAAACCCCACAATTACCAAGGAACAAGACAATTCTGCTTGACTTCCTACGATTTACCATTCCATCGATATCAACGAACGGTTGGTCACGCTCTCCCGGACGTTCAACCCGCGCAAGATGACTAACGATGCCTAGTTTCCAACATTGCAAAATGGACCCCATGAACTCGTACAACCCCGCCCAGGGCAACGGTGCCCCTCCCCCCAACGCCAACGGCGACGGATTCGGTACCCCTGTCTCTGGCGGCATGCCCTTCCCTGGCAACAACGGCTCTGGAGAGATGCCCGGTGGCGTCCAGGCTGCTATCCCCCAGGACGCGAATAAGAACACTCTCTGGATGGGCGAGCTTGAGCCTTGGATGGACGAGAACTTTATTAAGGGTGTCTTCCTCACTGCCACTGGAGAGCCTGTCAACGTCAAGGTGATCCGCGATAAGACGTCGGGGTATGTGCAGCCTCACTGATGCTTGCGAACATCATGCTAACTCTGCCAGTAATGCCGGATACTGCTTCGTCGAGTTCTCTACTGGCGAGGCTGCCAGCAAGGCTCTCACCCTCAACGGAACTCCCGTCCCCAACTCCAACCGCGCCTTCAAGCTCAACTGGGCTTCCGGTGGCGGCATCAACGACCGACGTGACGATCGCGGCCCCGAGTACTCGATCTTCGTCGGCGACCTCGGCCCCGAGGTCAACGAATACGTTCTCGTTTCCCTCTTCCAGGCGCGCTTCCCTTCTTGCAAGTCTGCTAAGATCATGACCGATGCCATGTCGGGACAGTCGCGCGGTTACGGATTCGTTCGCTTCACCGACGAACAGGACCAGCAGCGCGCTCTTGTGGAGATGCAGGGAGTTTACTGCGGCAACCGCCCCATGCGCATCTCGACTGCCACTCCCAAGAACCGCAACCACGGTCCCTACCAGCACCACGGCAACCAGATGATGGCTCCCGGCGGCATGCCTCCTCACCAGCAAGGTTTCTACGGGGTCCCTTCTCCTGCTCAGTACGGCGGTGCTTACGGAGCCCCCTACAACCCCCCTAACCAGCAGATGAACCAGTTCACCGACCCCAACAACACCACCGTCTTCGTCGGTGGTCTGTCTGGCTACGTCACTGAGGATGAGCTCCGAAGCTTCTTCCAGGGCTTCGGCGAGATCACCTACGTCAAGATCCCTCCCGGAAAGGGCTGCGGTTTCGTCCAGTTCGTCCACCGCCACGCTGCCGAGATGGCCATCAACCAGATGCAGGGATACCCTATCGGCAACTCCCGCGTCCGCTTGAGCTGGGGTCGCAGCCAGAACAATTCTGGTGTCGGTACCCCCTACCGCCCGGCTCCTCCCCCGCCTCACTACTTCGCTCCCGCCCCTGGCCCCGGCGCGTACGGCCCTGCTCACTTCGGTGCTCCTGGACCCCACGGCGGCCCCCCGGGACCTCAGGGACCCCCCGGTGCCCCTCCTCAGGTATGTTGGATGCCATTGTATTCACGGAGTTTGCATAGCTAATTTCTGCGCAGTAGAGCGATGATCTGATGGGCCTCTAGGGTGGCCTCTCACCCGTCCTCCTTACTGCTCGCCTGTAAGGCCACTCGAGATCACTCGTGATCAACTTGCTGCTACTATTTCTCGGAACTTCTTTCATCGTTTTCGTTCGCCGCCGCCGCCTTGGAACTTTTATGCTGCACGATGGATACCTGGGCGAGTGACACATTTCTTTGGACTTTTGACTTAGGCATAGGGATAGCGGACACGATTGTCAGACGTCACGAGAATGACTATTACATGCTTGCGCTACGGCCATAGTTATCTCTGGTCTCCCGGGCTTGTCTCTTGACTAGCTGCCTTTTCTATTTGTCTACTCACACGGGACCTGCCCCAACAGAGATTTCCTAGCTCTTTTTTTCAGTTTGCTTGCCCTTGTGTTTTGGTATTTGTGACACTTTTTGCGCGCGTGACTGTAGCCTGTTTGCAAGCTCATGTGTCCGTTCGTTCTTCAGTCCGCCAGCGCTTCAATACCCCCTCCTTCTTTCGTTCGAGGGCTGTCGGCCCTGTGTTACAGTATTGGACTTGGTACTCTGGTTGCGCGGTTGTCGGAATAGGGGTCATTGTCCTCCACGGGGGGTTGTGTGTGGTCTGGCGCGGGTACAGGCACGGCTTGTGGTTTCTCGGGTTCCGGATAAAAAGTTACGGGAGCTCCCAATGTATTTTCACGATGGGCGAAAAAAGCCAAACGGGCGTTGGTGGGCGTGTAGTGCGGGCTCTGGGCCCCCCCGGCTGATAGAGAATCAAAGATTGTTGAGAAGTCGACTCCCTCCGTTTCCTTCCCAGTTGACTGAGGCATCTATGTGAAGTGTGGTGCAAGATGGTCCGTCTTGACTATATCAACCCTCCTATGAACTTCTATCATGTATGATTGTGCATTTACAGCGACGAAATAATAACGTCGTCTGGTCTAAAAGGCGAAGATCAAAGTCTGGCCATTCGACGCGGGGCTCACCGCCAGGATGAACTCTCCTGGGAGGAAACTCGCACTTGCGGACGCTGCGCTGGGACTCCTCGTCGCGGCCGTGGCCGTGGACGACGTCGATGTGCCTGGGACCCGGCTCGTTCCTGGCGTGTTTTGGGATTGCGATCCGGAGACGGAGGTTCCTGGCGAGGAAGTGAGGAAGTTGCTGCTTGATGAGAGGGTGGTTGATGGTCCGTTTTGTGAGGTGATGATGAGCCCGCTGGAGGTCGTGGGGATGAGGGAGGTGGGAGGCGGGGAGAAGAGAGGCGAGGAGAAGAGGTTCGCAGTGGTGGTGCTGGTGGTTGGGTTGGAGAGGGTGGGTGAGCGTGTTGTGAAGGATGTGTTTGGGAAGAAGGGGGTCATGGGCAGTGAGGGTCTTGTGGATGGTACTGGGCTGGTCGGGGAGTCGGTGCTTGCTGGCGAGGCGGAGGAGGAGGAGGAGGAGAAGGGCGTTTCTGGTGTGGTGGAGCTCGGGGATGTTGAAGTCGAGGTTTCCGGGCTGGGAGTTTGTGAAGTTGGGCTGCCGGAAGTGGATGTGCTCAAGCTGCTACTTTCCGACGTTGAGCTAGACGACGTGGGTGTGCTTGAACCAGCGCTCTCGGGTGCCGAGGTAGACGAGGCGGATGTTTCCGAGGCGGTGGTCTCCGAAGTTGACGTGGATGTCGACGTGCCCAGGCCGGAACTGGCTGATGAAGTGGATGTGCTCAGGCTCGCACTCGTTGATGTCGAAGTAGATGAAGCGGGTTCTTTGGAGGTTGAGGTGGATGTCGACGTGCCCGAGGTTGAAGCACTCGGTGTTGTGGTGCTTGTCCCGGTGGAACTAGAAAAAGACGACGATGTGGACGTCATGGTAAGATCTGGAGTGGAAGTGGTCGTGGTGGTAGGATTGAAAGAAGATGTCGGTGATGTAGACGTAGTAGTAAGACTTGAACTTGACGTTGGTGACGTAGTCGTGGTTCTGAGATCCGACGAAGATGTTGTGGAAAAACCCGAAGTAGAAGTCGACGATGTCGACGTTCCAGCAGAGCTCGACGACGAACTGCTCGAACTCGTTGCAGACGGCCCAGTTGTCGTCGTCGTCGAGGTAAGACTACTACTAGAAGTGGACGTCCTGCTCGTCGTCGTCGTCGTCGTCACCGGCGGCGGGACCGGCGTCGTGGAGCTGTACACGGAATACATCGTGTAGGTAGTCGTCTGATTGCCCTGGACGACGGACGTCGTCCCGCCGCAGAACTCGGCGTACGGGAGCTGCCCGCCCTGGGTCTGTTCCTGGCAGGTGATCTGGTTGCACGACATCCCCCCCTGCGGCGGCGTGTTGGCCAGCGCCACGTCCGTCCCCGGCAGCGAGCACCAGCAGGCGTTGTCGTAGATGACGGCGTACTTGCGGGGGAGCGCGTTGCAGCGCCGCTGGCAGCTGACGGGGCCCGAGTTGCTCCCGCGGTAGACGAGCTCTAGGTTGGTTGTGTTTGTTATTGCGCCGCAGTTGAGGTATGTCATGGGCGGCTGGGACCAGTAGGCGCCTCCCATCTTGGCGAGACAGATTGGGGATGGAGATCCGGGACGGGGCGGAAGGGAGGATGGGAGAAGTGGAAAAGCAGAAGATGAACAGGGTCTGGTTTGGGCTGCGGAGATTGTGGTTTATTGGAACAGCCCTGCTTATGAAGTAGCGTATGCTTCGGCTTTGGCTGGAATGTAAAAGGGATACACAACACTCGGTCGAGTATGTTTATTCTGATAGCATTCCTGAGGATATAAGCTAGTGTCTCGGAAGTCGCAATTTAAGACGTCGATGTTGTCTCTGATGCTGACCTGCCTACCTGTATGAAGATTCTGAACGACAGTACGCATTTACAGCATTCTTTGGTGTTATTCTCGACTTTCACAGCAACATAGCAGCGTAACTCTGATGAATGGCTTATGAGGTATTGATTCAACCGTGCTTTGGCAGTTTTGATGCCATGATTCTTCATAGATATGTGTCTGCGCAACAGAGTCAATGTTTCTCCCATGAGATGCAAAGTCTAAGCATATTTCTTCCAGTTGAGTAGACCGTATTTCGCTGTATTTCTATCTACGGCAACCACATTTGATGTTTCGAGTGAGATATATACGTCCGACAGGTACGTACCGTACCAGTCAGTTGGGGGAGGATGTGGTGCCCCCCCGATGGATCTCATTTTCACTGCATCTTTAACCCCCCCAGAGGCTATCAGTGTGTTGGCGGATCTTGGCCGGCACGCGCAACTCGGAGTCTACATACACAAATGCTAATCGCTGACCGATGATGAATTCCCTTTACCCCGAAATCAATAAGTCGCGTATCTTCGATCCGTTTTCCACAGCTGCGAACCTTCAATTGAGGCCTATGATAACTGAGCCCGTGATATCTTGAGTTGGGTTTCCTCATCCGCTGTCATCAGCATCTACGCGGGTTTGTGAGCCTCAACTAGATAATCTGCCTCTCTGATTGGATGTTTGCCCATCCATGTGATCGACGGCCTCCTACATAAGCAAGGCTCGTCGTTGGATGTCGGAGTCCGAAGCTGCTGCAACAAAGACGCGCCGCGCCCCAGGAAAAAGAAAGTTGATCGCGCATCCGCGCATCCATGTGGCATAACAAGAATCCGCGGGCTTCCGATAGTCACAATCACACACAAATTCAGCATCTCGATGGATCAGCTTTCTCGTCAGCTCCCAGTGCCAGAGCCCCCAAACACTATCGCCATGGAGTCAAAGCCAGATAAACCATGCGATCTCTGCATCGGGATGGTTCTGTCTCTCATACCGAACTTTGGCCATAACAAAACTTTCAATTGGTACACGAAAACTAGCCATCTGATCGAGTCGGCGAGAACATGCCAGCTTTGCGCTGCCATCTGGGATCTCCTCCTCGAACCGAGGTCTCTTGAGGCTGAGTCACGATTCGGCGACCTTCAGCCGGACGAAGACCTCTCCATTTCAGTGCAGTTATCAAACTCGGCGCGTTCTAGTCCATCGGATGCGATGCGCTGGGCATCTTTGGAAACTTTGCTGAAGGTTGAACGCCACAGCTTCCATTATCTCACTGAGGGTGTTATTGGAGTTTCTATTGAAGATCATCTCAGATACCCCGGTGTGTTCAGACTCACTCTGATATCTTCTAAAGTCGACAACTAACCCTTGCTCGCTAGATCATCATCATCCTTCTTTCTGGACCTTGGGCCGGATTAAACCGCACCTGACCGTAACGGAAGATCGACTACAATGTGCTAAGGAGTGGCTCGATTCCTGCGAAAACGCATGCGGTCTCCATAGGCAATGTGAGCCTTCGCGAGGATACCTGCCGAAGAGACTTATAGACGTGAGACATGGGCAGCCCCTCCAACTCGTAGCCACCGCAACTTTGGCGCTGACACCAGGTGGAATACGATACGCAACACTGAGTCACTGCTGGGGAGAGTACAAACTGCCCAAGACAACAAAAAGCACGGAAGGAGTCTTCGAAGAAGCCATATCGGAGAATCAACTACCTAAGACCTTCCGTGATGCCATCACTGTCACTCGTTCTTTGGGTATTCCATACCTATGGATCGACTCGCTCTGTATCGTCCAGGACGACCCCGATGAGTGGCAAGTGGAGGTATCTCGTATGAACGACGTCTACGCCGGCAGTGTTCTTACTATTGCGGCCAGCGATGGAAAAGACAGTCGAGATGGATTTCTTCCAGAAGAGCATGGTGCTGTCAAATCTGCCTCGGATCGGTCGCCGCTCCAGAAGGGAGCCCGATACGGCGGCAATCATGACTCTGCCGGAGGAGCTGGCAAGAACACTCGGACTTTCTCTTTCGAATACCAGGATAAGCCAAATAGGTGGCCGAAAAACATCATGGTACATGTTCAGGCCTTAAAGCCTGAAGCCCAACGGCGAAGAGCACATCTGAGCACGCGAGGATGGACGTTTCAAGAACAGGTCCTGTCCCACAGAGTCCTCCACTGCCTGGATTCTGAACTGCACTGGCAATGCAGACAATCATACCAAACGCAGTCAGGACATGTTTCCGAAGAGACTGGTTCTGAGTATGGACTTGATGTGAAGTACGGGGCAACAGTCCCTCAAACGGCAATGTGGTCGAAATGGGTCGAAGACTACTCCCGCCGAGACTTCACTGTTGCCTCGGATCGGATGCCAGCGTATGCCGGAATTAGTAGCTACTACAAAAGTCTCACAGGCGAGGAGCCATACTTGGGAATACGGCGAATGTCTCTTGCCACGGATCTATCTTGGCTAAGGGCAGGTTCCGAGAGAGGACCTGCGGGACTATCCGCTCCGTCCTGGACATGGCTTTCCTGCAACGCACCGATTTGGGTCGATCGCTGGTGCTTTGAGAACGAGAAAGCTGACGAGGTCGAGGACCACGTCTCATCAGTGACGTGTCGTGTTGATTGGGCCGGGCCTGCGATGGCCTCCACGATTGAAGCTACCGTCTTCCGTGTCCGCGGGCCGGTCAAAGAGCTCACTATTCAGGTAGCTCCTGAAGCCAAAGATTACAATCCACCGTATTTTCTCGTGGAACGGGAGAAGTCAGATTTTTCTGAGAGTTCAAGACCATGGAATTGTGCTGGGCAGTTTGACAGCCAGAGCCATCTTGCAGATACAGAGACCACGTACACCTGTCTTCTCCTGAGGTCACGCAAGCGAGAGGAGCCTGATAGATACAGAGAGACGTTCTTGATACTTGTACCGACAGTTGAGATGGTGGAATTATCAGATGGCGACGTCATTGAATGCCCTGGGTTCCGTCGTGTAGGAGTTGCGATGATAAGGGGAAGCGAGAGAACCTTTGAGAATGCGGAAGTCAGAGAATTGGAATTGTTTTAGCCAGGCAGTGGCTGACCTTACGTCACTGCGAGATACAACGACTTTACTCGTAACATTTTGCCCTTGCGGTATGCGCAATCACGAGTCCAAAGTTCGACAAACACATCATATGGCAAGAGAACACCGGACACAACGCGGAGTTCCCAACGTAGGTAAACGTCAGCCGCTTCACATATAGAGACAAACGAGTCACAATACCACCAGCTTGATAATCCGATTACTATTCTAAACAAACTCGACAAACCACCGGAGAATTTCCCCGCGAACCGGTCACCACACGGAATATTATCACATATCCTATCCCGCTATACCATTTAACTCCCACACTAAGCCCACACACCCATGAGTTTCCCAGCGAGCCTCGCCGGTGACTTACTGACTCTGCCCTGCAGGGAACATTTAGACTCCAGGAACGGGCTGACGTGCTCGTATTAACATCATGCAGCTAATCGTTGGGGGCTGTTTCTGCCTCGAAGCCACCGTGCTTTTCGTGTTCGCGAAACCGATTAATCAATCCCCGGATCCAATGGGCAGAAATAAGACCATGAGTTGCTATAACATGGTCCGATTAAGAGAATTCGCCGCGGTCTTTGCCATTATATCAGTCGGATATTGATTTTAGTCAGGAACGCAACCCACTTGCGCCTGCTCTCCCAACGCCACGCAATCTCAAGGTCTCAGGGTTATTACCAGGTAGCACTTCTGCCTTGCTATCGTTTTCGTTTAAACGATCATTCTAAAGGTAGAAGCTCATCTCGGCCAATATCTGCAGTAAAGCCGCCGAGGCCGCTTATTCAAACATCGAGTCTCTTGACTTCTTGCGAGTCCCATCTCAGGGGCTCGATATCGCCATGTTGAGAAAGACTACCAAACAACAGCAGAATTCTCGGCAGTCTTCCCGAAAGAGAAGCAGAAGATCGCCAACTAACAGTCGATCGGAAAAGACAAGCACACAGTTCACTCGATCACAGCACCAAGTCCCAACCAACCCATCGGGAACTCCCCCATCGGCTAACAGAAATAGTGTATCATCTCAGCTTTCGGAAACGTACCCGGGAACGACACACGTCAGAAATGCCAGCAGGACCCGGCACGACCACGCAAGAACGACTTACGAATACACAAATCCTCCTTCCCCCCAATATCTGCGTAAGAAGAAACTTAAGATCGGCCCCCAAATTGCCCACCTCATGCCGCCCGTGGCCCGAGCAGTCGGCACTCTCGCATTTCTCGTCCTCGATGATCCGGCACTCCAGCCGCCCAGCACAACAACTACATGTCCGGACCTGCAAGCCCGATCCCCGTCCGCCCGGATTCTCGAAGCGGGCTCATCCCGGGTCTGAGTTGCCGGGGATGGCATAGTCAAGGGGCCGCGGCCGTCGCTTAGGGGACTCGGTTCTCACGGTACACCCGGCTCCTCGGCCCTCACGCTCCCAGCGTAGCGGCTTTCGGCGGGAGATGGGGAATCTGTATCACGAAGTGCTCCATGTGCCGTTCACGTAGCCCACAATTACCGGTGGAAACTCCGCAGAGGATCATCGTCACTCTTTTAACCGTCGCGAATCCGATGTGTCTTGTGCAAGACTGAGATCGATGAGATTCCACACTCGACGGATCGTGATGCTCCGGAAAATGTATGGAGAAAAGAAGATGGACGTCCTGAGTACCGTACCTCTCGCCACTCATCTCGTCTCTCGCAGCACATCCCGCCGAACCGGCTCGCACACCACCACATCACAGCCATCACCCGAACTTCAAAACTGTCAAAAGGCCGCCCTGCCAAGTCAAACTCTCCCCCATCTCCCCCCGTGAAGTCTTCCAAAACCCCTCATGAGATCGTAAACTCGCCCGATAAGACCCAACGCTCTCTCAAACCCCAAGCTCACCTCACATCCCGTCATGCCCAGCAAAACCGCTGCCCACACTCAATCTGTCAGAAACGCACCAATTGGGTAGTTCACAACTCAGAAAAAAGCGAGCTACCTTGGGGGAGGGTTATATCGCGTCATCCGATATTGTTATAGACATGGACAATCATACCTCATGAGACGTCGCGGCAAACTCTATCCTCAGAATACCCCTACATCCCTGCCTCGCCTTACACCAGGGTCTGACATGGGAGCCGGGGGTCCAAGGCTCACGATGGACGTCCGTTCAGTCACTCACGACGTCGCCCACTCACACAACACACTTCATATCGTCAACACTGACATATGTCCTACGCAAGCCCTCTTTCTCACGTCTAATGCACGCCACTTAGATGACATAAACTCTGTTATGCCCGGCCCCCAACACCCGTGCATAGCCAAACTCCCACCACCCATCCCGTGTGTCGTTTTGTAGGTATTCGTTGCTGAGTATGATCTGCGTTTACCCGTGAAGAAGCATATTCATTCCTCCATGACTTGAGTAAGCAACACCGAAGCCTCTCGAGAGCCGAAGCGCACACAGGAGCCGCAGAGCCCCTGCCGATCATTACCTCCCATTATGAGGCAGCGGCTGAGGGCTGTCCCGATTCACCCAGACCCCCTCCCCCCTTCTACCACGGTAGTATTGGCAGGGCGCAGCACGTGGTGTCCGTCGATTGAGTGGCCACTTATCCGCGGGCTCTCGACTCCGTGGTTCAATGGCTGATCCGGTCGGTCGGTCGCTTAGCCGGGACGGATCCAGCGCGTTGGTAAGCTGAAGGCCGGCACACCCTCCATGTGTGTCTGACGATGTCCAGCCGCTCCGTCAGTTTTAGTGCGGCTGGACGGCTGACGAGTGGTGTTCGTGCCGAGATACCGGTGCTCGCTTCCATCTCGCCCGCCTGATGGTCAAACCAGGAGCGATGTTTAGTCTGTGACGTGATCCTGATTGACTTGAGGAGGAAACATGTTTGCTGTCCGTGGCTATCAGGATCATCTCAACCGTGCGTAGATCAAATCATCTCACCCCCAATGACGTGATTCCAATTTTGATAGAAGTGTTGTTTGTGAATTTCGTAGAAGAGTGAATTCTCATCAAGCGTGAAAGTAAGAAAAAGTAAAAACGATAAGAAATGAAATCCCGCTATCCGAATCGAAGGTATCAACCACCACAGACATCCCATCTCATCCAACAAATCTCTTTTTTATACACCCATTTTCCTCCCTCACTCATCATACTCTCCCGCCTTACACCCTCACCAGCCGCTACGGCAGCTCATACAAACTCTTCTTCCGCCCCTTCGGCTCCGACACGACAAGCGTCTCCTTGCCATCAATCTCCGCCATCTGATACGCGCCGCCCATACCCCCGGGGCTGCCGTCCCACTCACTGCTCGCCCTCCGTCCCATCGTGACCATCGTGCCGCCGCCATACGTCCCCGTGCCCATCGAGCTGATCGTCCCCGTGCCGTTGCCGACGTTCATCCCCCCGTACGCGATCCGCCCGGAGTTGGCCCTCGACAGGTCCCCCCCGTGCACGCTGCTCCCGTCGAGCTCCACCGGCCCGCGCTCCCTCCTCTCCTTCCTCATCCACCACATCACGCCCACGGCGACGAGCAACGCGCCGCCCACGCTCGCGCCCACGCCCATGCCCACCATCGCCACCGTCCCCAGGCCCTGCTTCTCCTGCGTCGTCCCGCCGGCCGTCTGTCCCTCCTCGGAAGGCGTCGTGCTGCCGCCGCCACTCGCGGCCGGCGTCGACGCGGGGATCTTGGACGTCATCGTCGGGACGGACGTCTGCGCCGGCGTGCCCTGGCCCGAGGGCGGCTTGGTCGGGTCGCCGGACCGGTGGGAGCCGGAGGCCGAGGGGGTCGGGGTGGACTTTGCGTTGGGGTTGAAGGTCTGCACGGCGAGGGCGTTGCCGGGCGTCGCGGCGATGAGCGGGCCGAAGACGGCGGCGGGTGTCGAGCAGCAGCGCGTCTTCTCGGCGGCGGATTCGCAGCAGAACTTGCCCGGTACGCCGAAACCCTGGGAGTCGCACTGCCATACCTGCACGCCGTTGAAGCGGAAGTCGAAGGCCGAGTTGTTCTTTCTCGTCTCGGGGTCTAGCGTCATGTTAGTCTCACCGTCCAAATCCCTACGACGCTCATCTTCAAACACGAAACAAAGACGATGACAGATAGAAAGAAAAAGAGAGAAAGACTTACTCAACACGCAATTCTGCGGACATACGGGGCTCTGCCACGTCGGATCCGAACACGTGCCTCTGGCGTAGGCGATGCCCGTGTTATTCGACGTGTCCTCGAGCTTACACAGCCCGTTGCTCAAACACGCGTTGACGCTGCCGCAGCACATGCTGACCTCGGCCTTGGGGTCGCAGGGCACGTCGAGGGCCTGGACGCCTCCGGGGAAGAAGCACAAGTTCGCGGCGGCCCTGACGCCCTGGACGCCCGTTGCCGCGAGGCTTGCCGCCAGCAGGAGTAATGTTGTTGATCTCATTTTGGTGTGTTTATGTGGTTGAGAGTTGCGTGAAATGCTTTCGAGAGAACCAGCCTCTTGATATCGTTGGGTGTTTGTCGAGCTTTCGATGGCTTTGCGAAAAGTTCGATGGACGATTTGAGGCTCGGCGGCGGTGTAGTTTTCGGGTTGGGGGGGTATAAAAGTGAGAGTGGATGATTATAAGAAAAGAATGATGAATGGGGTATGTAAAATGTATGATACTCTTCTCCGGTAGCAAAGAAACAATACTCGATCGACGATGTGATGTATGTATGTAAGAAAGCAAGCAAGAGGCTCTCGATCCTCCCCCGTAGGATTAAGATTACCTCACAAACAAGTAAGGACGACGATGATGATGTAAAGAGTGTGATGGGTTTCCTTTCTTCCTTCCGCTCTCTCTTCAAGACTCGTCGGTATACTGTAGGTTAAGAGGTCGTAGAATTCTTGGTCCGAGGGGAACGTAATCAACACGATCCCAACCGCAGGTTCGAAGCAAGCAGGTGCAAGAACAAGCCAAACGACGAGACGGGACAAACCGACAAAAAGGAGCGAGAAGAGTTGCAAAGAAAGTCCGAAAACCCCTCCAAGAGACGAAGGAAAGGCGGCGGTGCAGGACCTTAAGAGAGATCACATATCCCAAACGGACCGCCCCTCACCTTCTTTTCCCACGTCTTCCAAGAACTTTCACACACACACACACACAGAGAGAGAGAAGCCTGAATCCCGGCTCCATTCTCCATGTCGCCTCTCCCCACGAACATCTCGCCGGCAGCACGCCGACCCGGCCTTGCACCTGTAGGCCCCTTGACCCAGATCGCGAAGGTACCCTCCCCTGCGAAACCCCATACGAGAGGTACATCCAGCCGTCGTGAACGCGAGCAGACGGCGCATCTCGAAGTGGTAAAAAGAGGATCCCGTCAAGGGCAAGCCAAGACAAGTCTGCAGCACGCCCAAACCCGTGCGATTGACTCGTCCCAAGGCCACCCCCAGACATGGGATGGGGTGGTGGGTGGGTTCCTCTCTTTCTTGCCCAGCAAGGCCAGCCATCGTCAATGCGGAAAGGGAAATGGTAAAAGAAAGAGAGAGGCCTGCCAAGTTCCCATTTCCTGGCACCTTTGGGTTTTCGCAGGGCCGGCAGGGGGTCCATGACTCGCCCTACGGTGCTGCTGCTGCCCCACGCGAAAGCGTCTGGTTTCAGGTTGTCTTCTCTACCGTTGCGACCTGCTTCCATTGCTGCTTTCTGCGCGGTTCCCACGGAAGGGAATTGCTAGTGTAATCGTTTGGAAAGTCGTGATCGTGGGTGGTGGTGGTTGTAACCGTGTAATCGGACTCGTCTCCGTAACGCACGACTCCTGACGCAGGAACAACGAAAAAACAACAAACTTGGTCCCTGACCCCAAGTCCCAGGAAAGCCCGTGTCTCTCTTTCTCTTCCCGCCTCCGCACAATTTTATCCTCTTTCGATTCTTTCGATCGGTTTCTTCCCATGCCGTGCGCGTGATGGCATGCCATCCCATACTGGACATCCGATGCCACCATAACCTGAAGCCAAGGTCTCTCTTCACCTCTTCAGCCTCAGACAAGGGTCCGTCGTGGATAGAGTCATGTCAAGCAAAGCCCGGCAGAAACCATATAACCCACCTTCCCCTTCCTCCTCACACAGTCACACCCGCACGAAGGCAGGCCTAAACCAGCGAGAATAAGTCCCTGGAGCACCGTCCGTTTTCGAAATCTCTCGCTTAGATCGAACCCTGGAATTGGAATGGCTCATCAGGCCGCGTCTAGACCTCATGAAAATGCCTCCCATGTTGAAGAATAGCTTGGCCTCCTTCTTTTTCTTTCATCAGTCCATCAGTCCGATTGCGCGCTTACTCCGCGGAATACCGGGGTTCGAAAGTGGGTTTGAACGCAGATAAAGTTGAGTAATCGTATGGGCTTGGGCAGACAAAATAGAGAGAGAGGGAACACGGGCTTAGAGGCCGCCAGATAATTGCCTACCACACCACAACACGGGCACGCCCTGGACCGGAGCTTCGTGAGCGGTCGTGAGCGAGCGAGCGAGCCTCAGCCCTGCATCGGTTTCTCCGGGGTCGCCCGGGTTTGGGAAGAGAGAGAGGAAGAGAGAGCACGTACTCTATTCTTGGTAAATGCCGGGTATAATACAAAGGGAATTAAGAAAAAAAAATGAACCGTCTTGTCGAACCCTCCCTCAAAACCTGGTAGTACTCGCCACCCGTTGTTTCTTCCCAGTCTGAGAAAGACATACGGCCAAGACCTTGGTCGTGTCGTGTCGTGTCGTTGCCTCAACCCTATGCCCGCCGCCATGTGTAATGTAAGTGTGTGTAATGTACGTAAGTAGTCGTGTCTTTTTTAGTGGTCGTTTAGTCTGATTGATTTCGTTCGTTTCCCACCGCCAACGTTGCCCGTACTCTTTTACTCCGTTCAGGTACGCCGGGGCTCGCAATATTCATTGTTCCCATATTCCATCCTACCTCGCCGGTCACTCGTGACACCGGCGAGTCGAGCATGTGCCTTCTTTTCTCTCGCCCCACCGAGGCCATGCGACCCCTGTTTCCCGATCCCGCCCTCGCCTCACACACATCCGCCTGGGCCATCAGACGGCTCACGCCGCAACTTCCTCCTCGTCGAGGGGTTCAACCCTGACCAGAATCTCTTCCAAGAGGCCCTCCAGGAAGGTGCCCACGTCCCTCCCCATACCCACCGGCTCCGCCTTGTCGTAGTGGTCAATTTCTTTGCAGACGTGGGCGAGCTTATATACGAGCTTGCGCAGTTTCTCGTGCGCCGCCTCGGCTCGCTGCTGCTTGGGCGTCACCTGGTTCATGGACACCGGGCTCGAGGGGCCGTACTGGGGCCGGGAAGCCTGCTGCAGCCTGATCTGCCTCCTCTTGAGCGCCTCCTCGAGCGCTGGGAAGATGACGTCGTTAAGGGCGTCCAGCTCGCCGTTCGGGTTCGAGGGCGCGGGCGGGGGAAATGCGGACGGCGCCGGCTCCGGTGTAGACGCCTGTGTCTTTGAGGGCAGCGCGTGTGCCTTCGGCGGCGCGGGCGGCACTTGACCCGAGGCATGGCGGGAGTACTGTCCGCTCGGTGATTGGCTTGATACTCTTGAAGACGGTTGTGATGCCTGTGGTGGCCCACCGCGGTAGGGCGGGATCTCCGGGAGAGCCATGGGGGTCATCTTTGGATTGGGTCGCGGCCCATGGGGCGGTGGCCGTGGTGTCGTTTCTTGGGCCTGGAACTCAGCCGGCTGGATCACGGGGCCTAGGCTCAGCAAGCCCATGTCTCTTTGCAACTGTGCTTGTAGTTCTCGGTCGTAGTCCGGAGATTGACTGACGGGGACAGCAGGTGGGATGAGTCGAGAGACGGGCCGCGGCGTCTCTGGAGCTCTCATCTTCTCCGGTGATACCGGAAGAGGCACCTTCGCCGGCGATTGGGGCGCGGTTGTCGGGACTGGCTTCCTTTGCGGTGATGCTTGTCGAGATGTTCCCGTATTGGCGCTCGCCGCCTTTAGCGTATCCGAAGCGATGGCAAGGTCGCGGCTGAAATCACGAAGCTTGGTAGGGCTGTGGTCTCTCGGCCGCTCGCCGTAATCATCTGTGCTCTCGACCGACCTGGTCGCTCTTGAGTTCGCCGCGGACTCGTCCAGGGCGTTCAGTCCAGGTCGAGGAACGACACCGCCTCTGTCGCCTACCAGCCTGACCGTGCCAAAGTCCCACATGTCCTCGTCCACCCGCTGGCGCTCGTGGTACTTCTCGTTCTCCTGGTCGCTCTCTTCGTCGTTATCCTTGTGAGTAGCGGCCCACCGGGAATGGCGCTCAATTAACTCTGTTAGATAGCTCGTCTTCTTCGCGCGACGTATAAAAGGGTGCTTCAGCAGGTCCTTTGCCGTGGGCCGTTCCCTGGGATCCCTCTGCAAGCAGGCCTCAATGAAGTCCTTGAAAGCCTTGGTGAAGTTCCCTTCCAGTCGCGGCGGCGGGTTCTTGGGGATCAGGAAGAGGACCTTCATGGGGTGGATGTCGGCGTAGGGAGGCTCGCCGTTGGCAAGCTCCAAGGCGGTGATGCCGAGCGACCACACGTCTGCCTTGTGGTCGTAGCCCGATTGCTTAATGACCTCGGGCGCCATCCAGAAAGGGGTACCGACGAAGGTGTTCTTCTTGGTCATGGTCGCCGAGAGCTGTCCGGAAACGCCAAAGTCGGCGAGCTTCACCTGGCCATTAGAGCTCAGGAGCACGTTCGCGGCTGGAAGGGTCAGCAAGACGGCCGCAAACTATGCGCATGGTCGAGGAAGACGCGAACCTTTGACATCACGATGTAGCTTCTTGTCCGAGTGCAGGTAGTCGAGACCGAGCAGCAGTTCACGGATGATGATGGCGATGTAGTCCTCGCCGATCAAGCCGGGCTTCATAAGATCGGCGCAGCTCCCGCCGGAGCAGAACTCCATGACAATCCATAGCTCTGCGCCCTTGGCGTAGGACCCGTAGTATTTTGTGACGTATGGGGATTGCAGCTCCGACAGGATGGCGATCTCCTGGATGATGTCTTCGACCTCGTCCTCGGCACTCTCGATATCGATGATCTTGATGGCGACGGCGTGGCCGGTGCGCTTGTCGACGCTGTGCGATGCGATGGTCAGTCAATGCCGCCAAGAGAGAGGTATGCGGTGCCTGGAGAGTAGTTACCCCTTGTAGACCTTGCCGAAGCTTCCTCCGCCTAGGATGACCTGCGTGTTAGCGACATGCCGTGGTGTTGGGCGCGGAAGCGGCGCATACCGATGCAGTACTCTTTCGTGTAGAGCAGCTCGGGGTCGAGCGCCTCGTTGCCCTCCTCGATATCCCTCTCGCGGTCTCCCATGTTTGTGATCTGCGAATGCGCCGACGCGAGGGCAGCAAGTCGTCTGTCGGCGTAGTGGAGGGGTATGTGGTCCGTCGTCTGTGTAGTCCGGCGCAAGATTGATGCGATAGACAGACGGTCGTCGCTCGTGTTCGTCTCGTTCGCCGCGGCGGTTCGTCAGTCCCAATTGTCGAAGCCGGCCGCTTGGGAGATTGCGAGGGACCAGGAAGACTGCCCTGGTTCCAGCTCAAAACGAGAGTGGAAAGGAGCTGCAATCTGCAGAATGAGGAGGGGACCCCGGAGTTCGAGGCAGGGCCGAATGGCGGCGGCGGACCTGAAGGAGGGGAGGCGGTGGGGGACGACGGATGCAGCCGTCGGGAGCTGAGTTGTTGGTCTGGCGGAGACGCAAAGAAGAGGACTCGAAAGGAACGGAGAAAGAGAAGCGATCTGGAAGAAGGCCGAGTTAGCCCAAGATGTTTCTAGTCGGGATGGCCTAACGGTGGTTAGCTCGAAAGGGGGCGTCGGCAATCGTACGTCTTCGTCGCGTGTCTCTTGTCTTCTTCCGGGGGATTGGCAGAAACGGGATATACAAGAAAAATGTTCCAGAGGGCGCGAGACACTCTAACGGGTCGTCGCAATTCGCATTCCCCGAGTCGAGACAAGACAAGACAGAGGGTTGTGTTGGGCCGGGAGGACGGCAATTCACGATCAAAACAAGCGGACGGTGAAGGGGAAAAGGAAGGAAGCTAAGGTCGCAGTTTAAGATGAGGTAAGGAAGGGCCAAGAAGAAACGTGCCGTGGGGTCTTTCCTTGCTGCCGTTCTCTGCTCTGGACCTGGAGCAAACACAAGCTGCAGGTGCCGTTTTCCTCGGGTTCAATGTCGACCCAAGACTCGAGACTCCGAGAGACGAGTTGGCAGGTGAAGCTGAACCGAGATGAGAGCTGAAGACGGCGGTTCGGTTTGATGTGAGGCTGCGTGCCGTTGGCGCTACCTAGACTCGACGCGATGAGGGAACGGGCGCAGGAGCACACGAGGGAGATTGTGGGGTAAAAAGCAGACCAGACCAGTCTGGACGAGGGACAAAGAAGGGGATATCGACGGCGTCGTGTGGTTTCAGTTCAGTTCGTTGATGTTCGTTAAGGTATTGTCGTTCCGTTGTGTTGGTAATGGGATTAGAAGGTCTCGATTTGGGGGCTGCCAAGTGCCTGAGATCTTCTTTCCCCTAACATCAGCTGTCTAAGGTACTGCCGCAATAACAAGACCACCCTACGAAGGATGTATCTCACTTGTGAGGTGTTTGTTTGGCCAGTTCCTCTCAATTGCGACGCTGACCCCCGCCAGAGTTGCTATTCCTGCTTCACCAAATGCCCTCTGCCTCGATTTCATTGGCGGCATGTGTGCGTCTCAATGTTTACGCCATTGCCCTGAACGGCAACCGAGGGGTCGGTTCACCAGCAACCAGCGCTGCCCTGTTGATGTCAACTCTCCCCCTCACTGGCTCCCCGCCCCTTCCTTATCCCCTGTAACCGTAACCGACTCTCGTCCCCTGTCCAGTAAAACGTCAGCGCCCTCCAGCACCCAAAACAGCGGGATTACGTAAGATGGAGATGGTAAGCGAGGCACAGACCACATCTTTTAGCCCTCCACCTGAGGAAAATCGTCCGTCCCAACTCGGAAAAGCTTGGTTTGGCTGAATAAGTCGCTGTCCGCCTGTCATTGGCTGATTTTCACCCCGCGAACTCCGAACATCACCCGCGCTGCCGTTCAGGAACCCGTTCGCGACGCCGGCTTGATTGGCTGGCCTGGTCGCGCCACTCATCGCGGTGAGCCGGGGTGAAACACCCGTACACCTCAGGTGAAGGCGGCGGCCGTGGCCTCGTTGGTCCGTAATTTACGGTCGACTTTGAGATGCATCTAGGCAAACATTTTCATGTCGACAGGAGATCAAGAGCATGATGTGAAAGCTAAAGCTCACGGTGTCACGAAACGTATGTCTGTTCCCGAGGTCTATTGATGCGCCTCTGTAGCTCGTCTACGTTAATCGATACTCGTAGGGCTATCCGCAGATGCTCCCAGCTCGGTCCTTCTGTCTGTATTCGGCGCATTGCATCCACGTCCGCCTCGCTGCCACCGAGGCAATGCCGCCACCGTACCATGGTATGTGTGTCAAGAAAAATATGAAATGACGAAACAACCCTCCCAGCCCTGCCACCGAATCTATTGGCCATGCCCATAGCCCATCCCAAATCATGCGTGTTGCCCCCAAAAGCCGGCTGTCATTACGGATCCGTCAGTCGTCAGGTCAAACCCACTCCTAGTCCTCGATGAACTCAATCATGACTGTCCCCTGCTTAAGACCGGCCTCAGCAATGGTCTTATCCAACTCGGCCGTCAAATCTTGACCCTGTGGCATGCGCTTCAGCTCGAACTCGATGCCGCCCTTGCCCTCCAGGGGCTCCGCCTTGAGCCACTCGTAGATGCGTCTGACCGGGTCAAACACGTTGAACCGCCTGATGACACGTCCTGTCGGGTGGCGGAACTGTATCCGCGTCGTCGTCGCCGGGTTGTTCTCCGGTTCCGTGTGGGGCTTGTCGCTTGCAATCGTGGTCCAGATACTTGGCGGGGCTGACGTCTCTGCCGCGGGAGTAGAAGCTTCGTCCGCGGGGGCCTTGCCCTTTTCGCTGGAAGAGTCCGACTTTGTGAGCGCGTCAGGATCGACGACGCCGGCCTTGGGCTTGGCATCGCTGCTGCTGCCACCGTTGGACGTCTGCAAGCTGTTCTGGAGCGCCATCTCCAGCATCTCCTCCTCCGTCATGCGATCCACGTCCACCGTCTTGGGTCTCGGCGCCGACTGATCCGCCACAGGGTTCTTGCTGTTGGCGGCTAGGCTGTAGCGGTCCAGGAACTCGGCCAGCTGGGCGTGGAAGTCGGAGGCGCTGGGGAACGGCCGTCCGCTCCAGACCTTGACCTGCTCTCCCGTCCTCGGGTCGATGATGGCGACGTGGGGGTAGTTGTCGGGGTTCTCTTGGGCACCGTGGTGGAAGTAGAAGGTGACGTACTGCTGCGCCGACACGGAGTCCTTGTCGTACTGAAGGAAGATGAAGCTTTCGGCCAGCAGTTGTCGGATGGCGGCGTCTTTCCAGATGTCGCGGTTAAGGGCCTGGCAGTTGAAGTCGCTCATGTCCTGGAGGTTAACCAAGATCCATTTCTTCTCGTCTTTGCCTTCCTGTCTTGCCTCATCCCAGTCCAGTCTCGACATGATATCGTAAGGTGGGCGGAAGAGCTCCGCGAGTCTCTGCGCACGGGAAGCGCCCTCTGATGTGGCCGGCTGCTGAGGCGTTGAGCCGTCGTCGTCCCAGATCGACAGGTTGTGACTGAAGGGACCTCCTCTACCACCTGTGAAAGCAGTGTTAGTATGTGGATCCTCGGGAGGGCAGCCATGGGAAATCGCCTACCTCTTCCTGCTCTTGCTGCCTCGCGTTGCCTCATCTGTGCCCGAATGATGCTGTCCATATCCATGCCCATGCCATCATCGGCATCGTAACCTCCAACCAACGTCTCCGTGGTTCTGGCGATGGGCGATCTAACCTCATCGTGGGCAGCACCCCCTCCACCGGCACCACCACCGGCACCACTTCCGTACAGCTCTTCTTGTAGTCTCTGGGCCATGGCGGCATCTTCCTCTTCCTGTGCCTTCTGTGCGATGGCCGTGGCCTGGGCATGCGCATCAACCTCGGCGGCGCGCGCAGCAACCTCGTCGTCGTCCTTAAAATCATCCTTGACGAAGAGACCGTCGTCGTCGTCGTACATGGCGGTGTCTTCGTCGTCATCGCTGTCAAGGTGGATGACCCCGCTGTTGTCCTGTCTTCCAATGTTCGGTCGAGTGCTCGCGGGTACGGGAGGTGCTGCGGAACTGCTGGCGGCAGGCGCAGCGTTGAAGCTGTTCTGGATGTCGGGGTTCTCGAAGAAGAGCTGGATGGCGGCCTCAAGATTATTGTTGGCCATCTCGAGGAAGCCGCGAGCCACCTCGGGGCTGGCCGCCGTGATGGCGACGAAGTTGCTAATGTCCCCGTCCATGGTGGCGGTGTTTGGGTTTTCTCGTCTCTGCTGTGCGAGACGACGCTAGGCAGAGGAAATCAACGTCAAATAGTATTTTTTCGCGGGAGGCGGTCAGAGAGGTGACGTTGGCGAAGTGCACCGCAGAAAGAAAGGGCTTCGGAGACTGGAAGGCGATGGCACCTCTGCCCCACCTTCAGCCGAATGTGCTGGGCGTGGGTTTCTGGCCCAAGGCGAGGGGCACTTCTAGGCCTGGGCTGTCCGTGGTTTCGTTTGGATTGGGGGAAGCTGCTTGGTTCGCCCCTTCGACAAGGATATAAAAGGTGCTGCTTCGAATGATCAAAGAATTCCCAAGGTTTGATCCTCCGGGTGAATAAAGAAAAGGGGTGCGCGCCACGGATTCACGTCATGGATGGTGTTTGATGTTGGGTGTTGTTTTTGGTGAGGTGCAGGTGCTCTTGCAAGTTGCTGAATGCGCTGTCGCTGCCGAATCAGTGCTCCTCTGAAGGCGCCAACTCAGTGACGCAACCGCCGCCAGCCAGGTCGCGTCCCCGGATTGACCTGCCTTACGTAAGACATCTTAGATAAGCAGACTTGGGCACCTCAGTTTTCCTTACGGCCGCTCGGGCCATGTCCGGTCTCCGCGGTGCAGACCTGGAGTACGGGCAATTCCGGCTGTTTTTGCGGCTTTTGACTGTTGACAACCTAAGCAACTTTGAACCTCGGAGAAACTCGATTTTTTTTTAATTCTCTCCTAAAACCTCCACCTTCTGAACCTCCTTCGTCCTCTCTAATACGCCTCAATTGCCGCCGCCCAAGATGCTTTCCCGAGGATCCGCCCGCACCGCGCAGGTACGTTTGCTTTACTACTATGTTAGCCGAGGTGTTGCGTTCTTTCTGCGCTTATCGCGGGTCTATGGTGAAGGGGGGGAAGAGAGAACAACAGAACAACATCGTGAAGTCGAGATGACGGCAATGGGTCGCATATCGACTGGCCGTACACTCGGGCACACACAATTAGACCTGCGCCTGGCCTGGACACACTACTACAATGGCTAGACGTACACACAGACATGGCTGACAATCCTCCTACCCCAGATCCTGCGCACCGCGCAGCCTGCCCGCGCCTACGCCACCGTCGGCTCCGACATCTTCAAGCCCACCAAGTTCGGCGGCAAGTACACCGTCACCCTGATCCCCGGTGACGGTATCGGTGCCGAGGTCGCCGAGAGCGTCAAGACCATCTTCAAGGCCGACAACGTCCCCATCGAGTGGGAGCAGGTCGAGGTGTCCGGCCTCAACACCACCTCTCCCGAGCGCACCGAGGACCTCTTCCGCGAGTCCGTCGCCTCCCTCCGCCGCAACAAGCTCGGCCTCAAGGGCATCCTGCACACCCCCATCGAGCGCTCCGGCCACCAGTCCTTCAACGTCGCCATGCGCCAGGAGCTCGACATCTACGCCTCCATCTCCCTCATCAAGAACATCCCCGGCTACCAGACCCGCCACGAGAACGTCGACCTCGCCATCATCCGCGAGAACACCGAGGGCGAGTACTCCGGCCTCGAGCACCAGTCCGTCCCCGGCGTCGTCGAGAGCTTGAAGATCATCACCCGCGCCAAGTCGGAGCGCATCGCCAAGTTCGCCTTCAACTTCGCCCTCGCCAACAACCGCAAGAAGGTCACCTGCATCCACAAGGCCAACATCATGAAGCTCGCCGACGGCCTCTTCCGCTCCACCTTCCACCGCGTCGCCAACGACTACCCCACCCTCGAGGTCAACGACATGATTGTCGACAACGCCTCCATGCAGGCCGTCAGCAGACCCCAGCAATTCGACGTCATGGTCATGCCCAACCTGTACGGTGGCATCCTGTCCAACATCGGCGCCGCCCTCGTCGGTGGTGCCGGTATCGTTCCCGGCTGCAACATGGGCCGCGACGTCGCCGTCTTCGAGCCCGGTTGCCGTCACGTCGGTCTCGACATCAAGGGCAAGGACCAGGCCAACCCCACCGCCCTGATCCTCTCCGGTTCCATGCTCCTCCGCCACCTTGGTCTCGACGACCACGCCAACCGCATCTCCCAGGCCATCTACGGCGTCATTGCCGACGGGTACGTCCAACACGCGATTCCTGGTGTCACACCCGTCATCCGCTAACAACCATACAGCAAGGTCCGCACCCGTGACATGGGCGGCGACGCCACCACCCACCAGTTCACCAAGGCCATCCTCGACAAGATGGACACCTTGTAAAATACGCTGTTTTTATGAAATTAGACCGCGTCGGTGGTATCATACCCACCCCCCGTCTCGACCCTTACGCAAGGGCTACTACATCGAGTCCAAGTCACAGGGGAGCTTGGTAAGTTCGAGGAAACGGTTGGCGCCGAGGTGTAGGTTGCGTATTTGTCTATAAGCTATACAGTATCTTAGCATAGCGCGAGGATGGCCTATTAGATTTTCTCTGTTTTTTTGCCAATATCACCACAAACGATAAAATTTGAACACAGTTTATTCATATGAGCAAGTCTATGGGGTATCTCGTGACCCCGCGGGTGATTTCCAGACACCCACCACCTAAAACCAACAGTTTGTCCTCGTCCTCCTCCACCATCCCCCTACTTATTCAGCTCTCCCAAGATTTCCTTAAGATGCCTCTGCACTTCCAAAGACCTCTCCGCCGCGAGCATCTTGTTCACCGTCTCCGTGAACCCCTTCCTGTCGTCCGCCGCCACCGGGAACACCCCGCGTTGAATCGCCTCGAATACCTGACCGAGAGCGTGCACCCGCATCGTCCGCTGCGCCTCGGTGCCGTTATCGGGCTCCTCGAGGTCGAGGCTCTTGAGGTACGCGAAGGCAACCTCCCTGTCTCCGGGGGTCTCCGTCTTGGGGGTATTCTTCATCAGGTCCCGGACGCACTCGTACCACACCTCGCGCTTGATGGCCGCGAAGTGGGGGCTCGAGAGGTACGGCTTGAGCAGCTCGAGGATCTTCTTCGTCACCGCGCCGGGGTTCTCCTTCATCTGAGGACGGTTGTAACCCCTTGCGACGGCCTCGATTCCATTGACGGCCGCCTTCCGCGTCTTATCCCCGGACCCGTCGACGTCCATCCTGTCCTCGTCGAGCATGTCGTCCAACACGCCACTGACGATCGTCGAAATGTCCTCGAGCATGTCCTTATCCTCACGCTGCTCGGCGAACTTCCACAGCGCCTTGAACGCGTGCGGTCGGTAATCCTCGTTGTTGCGCTTGGCCTCGCGGATCGCGATCTTGTACTGCTGCGCGGCGACGGCCGAGTCGTTCTTCCAGAGACTCTGTCCCTTGCCGACGAACTGGGGGTACGATTCCAGGAGCTTCTCCTTCCCGGGGAACGTCTTCACCGCGAGGGCCTTGTCGAAGATGGGCCAGATGACCTTCAGGTTCGCGTCCGAGATCTGTCCGGTGGCGTCGCTGGAGCCGACGACGGCCTTGACCATCGCCGCTATGGTGAAGGACGCCGTGTGCTGCAGGTTCCACCTCGGCGCCTCGAGACCCCGCTTCACGAACTCGACGATCTCGGGGACGTACCGCGCGACGGTGCGCGAGCTGCACCCGTGCTGGCTCCAGACCTCGTCGAAGCACTTGCGCGTGTAGTCGTCCGTGTCGTGGAGGCCCATGTAGGTGAACGGGACGAACTTGGCCGCGAGGCGGTTGAAGTGATCCGGCGCGAGCTTCGAGACGCCGAGCACGACGTCCGCGACCTTGGCGCGGCGCGTCTCGTCCTCGCTGCCGAAGTAGAGCTCGACCATCCTGTCCGCGAGCCTCTCCTTGGACGCGTCCGGGACGATGCGCATCAGGTAGCCCACGGCGCGCGCGTAGCCCTTGCTGACCTCGTCGTTGCGGTCCAGCGCCTGCTTCTCCATCAGCTGCATGAACCGCGACGAGACGGGCGTGAAGTCGACGGCGTGGCGCATGACCAGGTCGCCGATCAGCCTCGCGCAGGCGATCTTGGTCGGCATGCCGATGGCGGTCTTGATGATCTCCTCCAGCTTCGGCGCGAGCTGCTTCATGCCGTCGGCGTCGAGCTGCCGCAGGCAGTTGTCGATGGCCTCGGAGATGGGCGACTGGTTGACCCACCGGGCGCGCAGCTTGTCGAGCTGGTCGCGCGAGTCTTCGCTGACCTTCTGGTAGGCGTAGTTGATCTGCTCGGGCTCGATGGTGCTGTGCAGGCCGAGCAGGGGCGGGATGAAGTCCACGATGAAGGGCTTCAGGTTAGGACCGCCCTTCTTGGTGATGTCGATGATGGTCTTGAGGGAGAACATCTTCACCTCGTCGACGCCGCTCTCCAGGCCGCTGGGCGAGAGGAGGAAGCGGAGGGCCTGCTTGAGCATGGCCTGCGCCGACGAGGACGATCCGCCCTCCTCGAGCTGGCGCACGATCGTGTTGGTGAGACCCATGCAGAGCTTCAACGCCGTCTCGCGGACGGAACCCTTGACGTCGTCGAGGACCTTCAAAGCCGCGGTCCAGATCTCCGCGTAGTACCGCTCGTACTTGTTGAACGGCTGCCCCGAGATGAGGTCGGAAATAGCGCCGCAACTCGCCTGCCGCACGCGCCACTCCTTGCCGAGGATGTTCTTCAACAGGTCTTGCATGATGGCGTCGAAGTGGACGCCGATCGTCTCGTTCGGGTTCTTGACCAGAGCCTTCCAGATGTCGTCCATGGACCGCTGGACGTTGGAGTTGGGGTCGAAGCGGTAGCGGAAGAGCTTGGGGTACAGCTTCGGATCGACCTCTGACTCGGAGAGGATGTTGCTCAGGCCGAACCTGCCAAAGGCAGAACGTGTCGACCAGGTCGCCGCGTTGGTCGCCAGAGACATGAATTTGTAGACCAAGCTCTGGTCGCCGACTTCGTTGGCCAGGCTGACGATGTCCTTGTACGAAGTAACGGACTTGCCCTCGCCGGTAGGCAGAGCGCCGGGCTCGAACAACTCCGTCTCCTCTTCGACCTTGATCTGGGTGCTGTTTCCGGTGAAAGCAGACACCAAGTCTCTGACAAGGTCCTGCTTCAGTCCCTCATCGCCCTTCTCATACACCAACGACAGTCCCCGAGAAGCGGTCTCTTGCACGAGCTCGTCCCTGGCGCTGAGCAGTCTCATGAAAGCGGCCTGGGCCTCCCGGAGGCGAGACTGGACTTCGTTGAGGTGTCCGCAGTACTGAACGACGCAGAACAGCCAGATGCCGGACGCCTTGAGGAGGGAGGGCTTGGTGGTCTTACAGTCCTTGAAGAGCTTGTCCAGCACGGCAGTGATTCTCACGCTCCGTTTCTCCTTCTTCCACGGACCAGCGGGTGCGTCCACATTCATCGTGAGCTTGACAAAGTCGGAGTCCCAGCAGGCGATAGCGGCGGTGATGGCCTCGCCGACGGTGAACTGGATCTCGGTCTCGCGCCTGGTGTGGAGGCTGAACAGCGCGCGAAGGACGTTGTCAATGCCAGAGGTCTTGCTAGACGGGTACAGAAGACCGTCTTCTGGAGTAGCCTCTTCCTTGGGCTCGTTAAATGCCAGAGCAAGGCGGCCGAGGGCGAAGATGGCCTTGTCGCTGCCTGCCGCAGCCTTTTCTCCGAGTCTCTCAATCACGTAGTCCGCTGTGAGGTTGTTAACGTTGTCGGGGATGTACTGTGAGAGACCGGCGGTCCAGAGCTCGGCGTAGCAGTCGAGAATGGCGTCCTCCAGCGACGGACGATGGTGGCTCTTGTCCATGAGCAGCTTGGGCGGCAGGTGAGTATCGGCCGGGATCGGGAGGCCGTAGTACACCGCTCTAGAGAAGATGTGTCCGAAAGCTTGTATGGATCCCTCCACAGCATTCGCGTGCGACCCAACAGAGTTCTCCCACGTAAAGATCATAGTCTTGAGGTTTCGCAGGAATTCCTGGATCTGCTGGTTCCTCGCTTGCTTCGCTGCAACCTCGTCAGGGAAGTCCAAGTCCGCCTTGTTAAGGGGATGAGGGATCAGGATGCCGCAAGTCTGTGCCGCGAGGAAGCGGATGTGGCGGTTGTTGTTCCGGGTGCAGGACTGCATGAGATGCGCATAGCTGGCAACGTGGTTGATGCAGGCCGAGGGGGCGAGCGCGGCGATGTCGACGAGGGACCTCAGGCAGCTCTCAACGATGGGATTCGCTCCCTCCTTGTTCTTGAGGCGCACGCCGTCGAAGCAGATCTTGATCAGGAGTGAGGCGTTCGCTTCGTCGATGGAACGGAGGTAAGCGCGGATCTTATCGCGCGTCTTGATGTCGTTTCGGACTTGAGTGTCGAGGTGCTCCGCCCAGCCTGGTACAAGGGGGAAGTCAGGCAGAGCGGCGACGAACATTGCCCTTTTGACGTACTCCACGGCCACGGGGTACGCGAAGAGCTTCTCGCCTTCGAAGTTCTGGATCGTCGCCTCGTCGTCGAACTCCATATGGTACTTCTTCGGGGTTGTAAAGTCGTCGCTGGTGAAGTCGTCGGTGATCTTCTGGCAGAAGAAGTAGGTCATGAGCTTGATCCAGTCCGGCATCTTGTGGTCCTCGCCATCGCGGTATGTCCACGGATCCAGGCCCTTGCGGCCTTCCTCGACAACTTCAGTCCGCTCACCCACGCGTCCGGCAATGGCGAGAATGTCGATCCATCTACCGCGCTCGTCCCACGATGCTATGGTCTGGTTCGCCCACTTAACGGCCGAGAAGCGCGCACTACGCACCGCGGGGGCGTCCTCTGACAGGTTCATGTAGTGAAGCAGCAAGGAAATGAGGTTGGCCATGCCGCTGCCTCGTCCATCGCCGCTGACAGTCGCCGTTTGGAAGCTTCTGGTCAATCCCGACAGCGAGCCCTCGATGTTAACAACCGCCTCATTTGTGGGATCTTCTGAGAGGGAGCGGAAGAGCCATCCGACGAGATGAACGCGGTCTTGGACAGATAAGGGACTGTTCATGCCGAGCGATCCAAGGAGATCGTACGCCATGGCACGAAGTGTCTCCTCATCTGCGGATAACGTCCTTGGTACCGGCCAGCCTTGGTCCTCAACGTATGTGCGCATCATGTCAATGAGTTTAGATCCGACCGTAAACGGAGCCAGGGTAGGGCCTTGCGTCGCGGTCCAGTTGATGAAGTAGAAGAGGGCCTTGTGAAGCTTGTTGCGCTCGAGGCCGCTCGCCGCTTGGAGATGTGAGGGTGTATTTGACGAACTCTCTGTTCCAAAGTCAAGAGTGACGACAGCGTGTATGCGGTCATGCATAGTTGTCGCAAGCTTCGACTTGGAAAGAAGACCGAGAATTCGGATGCGATGCGGTGCGGGGAGTCTGGCGTGGGCGCTGTATAACTCGTCGACAATCTCCTTCTTCTCGAAGTCGATTGTCATTCTCTTCAGGATGTCCTCGCCGACTTGTGAAACCTGGTAATCAGGGCTTGCCGCGGCTGAGAGCGCGGGCAGAAGCCTCTCCTCATCCTTGAAGGCGCCGCTCGCAAGCAGCTGTGCGATCTTCCGTCGGAGGTCCTGCATCTTCTGAAAAGCGGGAGCGGTGTCCTTCTGCTCGGGTCTGAGAAACTCGAGGTCCTCTGAGGTGAGTGCAGGGTTAAGCCTCTCAAAGTCTTGACGGCTGGGGTTCGAGTTTCCGGGAATCCTCAAGAGGAGCACCTTTCCGAGCCATTTGGCGATGAACGCAGCATCGGCATCGTCGGTCAGGCCGCTAGCCTCGCAGAATGCCATGTCCTCCTCACTACCGCGGGATGGTACTTTGATGTCGGGGAGAATCTTCAAGAGGACATTGAACATGGATGGCTGGGTCGCTCCTTGTGACGATGAGGAGATGCCCTTGGCGACCTTGCTGACGAGGGCGCGGCGGTCGTAGTCTTCCATGCGACCGATGCTGTGTTGGATGAATGACATGTCAAGCATACGAAGAATTGGCGCTGTGCTCTTCTGGTACTGGTCGATGAGAGCCTCAACGGGTAAGATGATGCTATCGCCACTGTCAGTCTGGCCACATCTCAAGAGAGCAGACGGCGGCATACCTCGGGTGCATAATCAACGTCTTCAACTTGGAAGCGAACTGAATGACCTGTCGAAAATGTGAGCCTCAATTCAATCGTCATGAACTCAGGGGCACTCACCTCATTGCGGACTGATGCATGCTCGCTCGTGGCCTTCAGCAGCAGAGCACACAGGTACTTCTTGAGCAGTTCGTTGAGCTTGTCCTCCTTGTTCGAGGCCTCGAGGATCCGGATTTGAACCGTCCCCACGAGCCTCTTCTCCCGCGCCTCGGGAGATTCGCCCGACATGTTCAAAGAGCTGTCGCGACGACGATGATGTGTTGTAGAAGGTCGATGATGAAGGGAAGAGTGGTGTGGGGGTACAAATACGGGTTCGGGTACATGTACCACGTCGCTGGTTTAGGCGGTGATGTACCTGACGTGGCTGGTGTACGTGCTGTGGCCAAGTCGACGTTGCTTCCGGCTGCCTGTCTCCGTAAGGTGCCGCGTGAGCTGGATGAATAAGCTGGATCTGAAGGGTTCCAGAAATCCCACAGCGGCGGCGGCAAGGATCCGTTCTGGCGGATGTTCGGGGGTGGCTGTTCTCCGAAACCAGCTTAGCGAGCTGATGCGGAGACTGTTTGCGCGCCGCCGAGACAGCTTGACGCTTCGGGTTTCCTCGAGTCAGTCAAGTATCTTGGAAGCTGAAGCTGTTGCAAAATATCAAGCTTGAATAGGCTGTATTGGATTGGAGAGGGAGTAGAAGTGGTAATGGTAAGAGTTGGAAGAAAGGTTGAGTTTGGCTGAGAGATAAGGTTGGCCAGGGTGTCTGGGTCACTGAGGGCGGGTGCTGATTTCATTCAAGGCGAGAGCCATCGCCACAAAGGCGGGTGCGCTCGCCATATTTAACAAGTGCATTAACAAGTACGCATGTAATGACATCTCCGAGTGACTGTTGGGAATTGGTTTTGAGGCGAGAGTTATCCTCATAGACGACATACGGGTGCCCACGCTCATTTATGTTAGTTGCTTCCAACAGTACTTAGCTTCACTAACAGGTTTATTCTATTTGAGGCGGGTGCCATTATCACAAAGGCGGGTGCACTCGCCCTTGTTGAGTGACAGCCACTTTGTTTACCATAAGCCAGAGACGCATGAGATAGCAGCTCTTAGTTGTAGAGTTTCTTCTCAATCACAGCAAGATTCACACTCACTAAGAGCGGCCCACGTTGTTGAAGTCCCTCATTTCTGATGAGTTGATAACCCAGCCTTATTCAAGTGATGTCTGCTAGATCTAGACCTATTGGGTAATACCTCTTCATAACGAAGGTTCTTTTGCTCAGGGCATGATCAATCCTCACTGGGGGTGGGTGCACTCACTCTGTATTATGGACGCTGGATAATGTAGCAACTCTTAGTTAATTCGAAGTTGAGAGGTCCTTTTCTTTAGTGTGAGGGTCATCCTCCCAGAGGGTGGGTTCAATGCCCTCCTTCACGCCTCACTTTCCTGCTTACTGACTCTGTTTGGGAAGTGAGATTTATCCTTAGACTCTGAAGTTTATTTTTATTTAGATAAGAATTAAAGTGAATTACATAAAGCGGATGAAGTCATGTTGTATAACTTCCGGTTTGATATCAAAAGTAACGTTCATAGAAGAAATGAGGACATCGCGAGCTACGAAAAAAAAAACTCGTATCAAGCAACACCTTGAGAATAACTTTCCACATATGACGCGATATAAGTGCAATACCCAGCACTCAACACAATGAGAGTTTATAAGCCCCATGGATATATGAAAGTAACGTTCATATTTACCCCCAAGAAACAAATCCGAGTGCCTTAAAATCCATTCTTCATCCAAGATGAGAACGACCCGTCTCTACGGTGGCTACAATCTAATTTCAGTACAATAGTTCTCGACTAGTATCAAATGTCTGAGTTTGAACTTTGCGCAGACTCAACGGAGAATAAGCCAATTCATAGTAATTCAAAACGGCTCTCTTAACGGCTTCTTCCAATTTTCTTCCATACGTGGTGTCACTGGACTGATCAATTGTAAGCCGAGTCTACTATTCCGACAACGTCCTTCCTGCGCGCACTTCGATAGTCCTCATTGCTTCTGCCGCTGTGAGCGCAATTTCTCTCGTCTCTGCACTCAGACCAGACCCCTCCTTTCCGAGTTCCTCGAATCGTTCAATCCAGAAGCCCCATCGTTGAAGGCACATTGTTTCAGGTCCTCGGTACAACGGACCTGCTTCGATGTATTGCGCCCCATTGTCGATGTAGCCGACGTTCTCTTGCGCCCACGTCAGGAGAGGCTTGGCCGCGTGAGTGATCCATAAACAGGCGATCTGCATTCTGCAATCTGCGATTCCGGGAATCGTACTCTGCTCCTCCTCCTCGAGCGCCAGGCTAATGGCCCGCATCGCCTCTCCGTAGGCGCTGGCTGCCAAGCCCGCGCCCATAATGCGCGCCGCAAAAGCGGTCGTATTCAACCACCTCTGCGCCGATTTTGGAGTGAACTGTCTTCCTTCTTCATCTATGTATAGAGTGGCATCTATTCCCGACGTTAGATACTTTCATTAGAGGTCGAAACAGTGACAAGACTGACGTACCATTAAAGCACGGATCTAGACACTCAAAGAGGTAAGGCAGGTCTTTCCAAACCCTGGCCTCACTCTTGCGAGTTGTTAGCCGAGGATGATAACCAAAACAAGACGTCGTTGCACACGCAGCGTTGAGTTTAACTGAGCGAATGTACTCACGCCATAGACTTTTGTCTCTCCCTTTGCGCACCGCTGCAGAGCCTGCAGGATACTTATGAGACGTTCTTGTATTTCGGCCGTCGTATCTGGGCTTCGGGCAACGTCCAGAAGAATGTCCCAGATATTCCACAGCCAGTTGTTGGCAGCTTCTTGTTCTTCGAGAGGAGGGCAGAAACCGTCAAGATAGTATGCAACCTCTTCTGCAGCTTCTCGGCTGGGCGAGTACACGCCATAGCTGAGCGTATTGAGGATGAAAACGTCTTGTTCGGAAAACTTTGGTCTGCTTTTGATCTGTTCCAAGTTGAAGAGGCCACTTTCGGTCTGGGAAGAGCCATTCTCATGTGTTCGAGATGGAGTATCTTCTTGGGACTGGAATGAGGCTTCTTGGGCCATTTTTGACATAGATTCCTGTTCCGTCAGGGTCTCCGCCATCCTGCTCGTATGAGAGTGCCGCTTCAGACTGTGAAAAGCCGGGCCCGAAGTGTGAAGATGGACGTCGATTGTTTTGAAAGGTTATTAGAAGACGTTTGTGTGCGCGGGGAAACTGCGCGTGAAAGTATTGAAGATTGAAAGAGTATGTGCTAATGTGACAGGATGATGAGATGATGGTGATAAGATGTTACTTCGCAGCGAAGCGCTGACCCCAATTGTTTTAAGCGCCAGCCCACGGCGGCCTCACGCCTGGCTAACCCACGTGACCCTTTGTGGCGGAGCGTTGCTGTCTTCGGAGACCGATCGATTGACCTTTCCAACCAACAAGTGGGAGGTAGGCGGTTAAAATGCAGCAAAACCAACCGTAATGAACCCTGCTAGGTGTGACCAGACAGACACCCCGGGTCAAGGATGCTTCACCATATGCCATATTCCCAAGGTAAGCCTATTTAACGCGCAAGCGCTCGGGAGATGGCCGTTCTGTTATCTGGAACTCCAGAATGACTAGACCACTGCGAGAGCTTCCTGAAACTCGGCGCCAAAGTCTGTGAAAATAGGATTTTCCCTCGTTTGGTTACTTCACGATCAGGCGCTTGGGAACTGTTGGATCGGTCGCCTAAAATCTGGCGGCTGTCTATGGATCGTTTCAAGACAACTTCAGTCTGGACTGGCCTTTCGCGGCACGCGGCCAAATGGGGCCTTTTCCGAGCAGAAACTGGTGAAACTGCGGCCAAGTGGCGTAGCGTGAGTTGAAGAGAAATACATACTTGACTGTTAGAAATTAAGAGCATAAATAGATGTTAGGAATCTCTCAAACATGCCTTCCAACTAGACTCAGCTCATTCTTAGCCGTCTTTCGTTCAAAACCTTCAGTAGCTCACTCAAACCCTGGTGGTTGTAAGCTTCAAAGTCATTCACACAGAACTTCCTTCCATTTGACACCATCCCTCGAGCCTTACACCTTTTCGACAATTTGAACCTACTGTCACTTATCATTTATTCATTCACTATGGGCATCTTTTCTCGCTTCTCCAGACGCGGCACAGGCTCATCTACAGCCTCTGAGACCCGATCACCTGCTTCCCCGACTCAACGAACTCGGGGCGCGAAAATCGAAACTTTCCAAGCGGACCGTCCACACCAGGGTTATGCGGGCGATCCACAAGACATGGACCATCCAGAATTCACAAGAACCGGTTCCTACGTAAGAGCCACTCTCCATATGGGCATCAGGGGCACGCAACCTACACTGCTTGGAGTTCCAGTCTATGTTGCTTCGCGAGATACAATCACTAACTCCCTTCCGCCCAAACACCAGTATCAAAGCGGGACCGACGATGAACCGAACTACAAGTATCTCCAAGCGTCCGACGTGAGACGCCAGGTTCAGCAGGCGCCGGTAGAAAACAGATCGGTTGGCAAATACCCTAATCCGTATTACAATAAGCCGCCTCAACCCTTGGTTGCGACGCCACCTTGGAGCGAGTTCCCGATAGCCCCGAGCCCGAGAGATGCGTCTCGTCCTGCCGGTAATTTTGTTGGCCAAGGCCCCCCTGGGCCAATTAGAGCCCTCTACAACAACAGAGACAGGACTGTTTTTGACGTGGCCTACCACGACAAAACCAGGAAGCCTGGGCCGCCCGCATTGGGCAAAAAGAATGCTCACAATCCCTACAGTCTGGCGAAGTATCATCCGGCCCCAACTTACACTGATACCAGCAGTGTGAGGCGCTGAAGGTTGTTTGTCTAGTACGGGGTTGGACGTTTTTTGTTAGGTGGGAAAGAGATGTCGAGATTCGACTGATGTTTGGGGTTTGATTTTGAATCCGCCGGTCGTTGTGGATAAGAAGCTGGAAATTTTGCAAATTGTCTGGAGACTAAGATGTCGTTCTTTGTTTGTTACTGGAGCTATCAAGCGCTCCTATAGTTGAATGTCTTATTTCTCATTTGGTCTACTTACTTACATGTAACGTTCATGAGAACTTCAGAATGGACTGACACGAGAGCTCATTGGTAATGCCGAATTTCAATGAGAATAAGTTTAAATCTTTTAAACTTGAGACGATTCGAACAACGCTCTGGTCTCAGTTCATCAGCTGTGCAAACTATTCATATTTTGGGCTCCTGCGATCAACTCAATTTACCCGCCTGGGTCTCGAAACCAGCCATAGAACAGTGTCGTGAGACACCGATGGTTCCTTTAAGGTGAATCAAGAAAACCTTAATGACCTTCCGAGATGTAAGATAAAAGCATTAAACATCCATGTCTTCAAACAGTCAATCCGCAGGCTAATCGTCTTTTACTAACACACATCGTGCTCCCAGCCTTGGTCGACCCTTCGTAGGAGTAGAAGTCGAAGTTACGTGTAGGTGCTGAGCTCAAGTATGAGCTATATTTCGTCCGGAGTATCTCCGTGAGGTTTCGTCGGCTGAAAGATCCTGATATGCTCCAAGCACGCAACCGCGGGCCCAATTCCTAGCCCCCGTAATGGAGCCTCTTTGGATCGCGTCATTCATTCAAGCCTGTCTTTACGTACTAATATTACCGAAATAACCATGGTTCGGGCCGCTGAAATCCACTTTCCGCAACCTGAAGACGAGGATGACTTAGGCGAATATTGAACTTGAACCAGCGGTGCATTCTATCTTGAACGCGGCTATTTGATCCACGGAAATGCCTTCCTGCATCAACTTGATTCTCTTCTAAAAGAAGCAATTGCTCCATGATCTTGGGTTGAAAGCTACGACAATGCCCTGCTCATGCATGCATTCTTGATGATCAGATTTCACGTCCATACATGTAATGTGATACTACAACTGGATTAATGGAGACTGGAGGGTAATAATATGAACGCTACCAAAAGGCACAATGCCGGTGACCATCTACTTCGGATGTTCATCTTCGGGAGCGGAAGCGGAAGCGGATATTCGCCATGTTGGTGTTGTCTGTTGTCATCGCCAAACCCTGTCTCGCGGCCAGTCGGTCCCCTACTTTGGTACATGAGCGCCGATTGTATCATCTGCCCCTTCAATGTTGAAATCGACATCGGCCCGGAAACAAATGTCACCCCAACCAAATGTCAAAAAGTGAGTTTCCACAATACTCTTGCAGATCTATGTCACTGAAAATCTCATTGGATCGTAAGAGATGTGAATACTGACGGCAAAACACAGTTCATCGTTGGATCCCGACGCAAGTGGAATTCCAGATTAAACATCTTCATTGCCCCTTGCCTTTGAGCTAAGATGGTACCTTTTTATCATACTAACACTTTCGGGTGGAAATCCCGAAAAAACAGAAATCTTGATGGAAAGTCTTGCGTTGTGTATATAATCCATGACATCGCGTGTCTGTCTCCTTCCCCTTGGACGCTGGTCGCATGCAGTCAGGCGGTCGGACCTAGCACCGAAACCTCAACACTACTCGTCAACTTCGGATCGAAACGCCCAGAGCACCGCATCACTACGTGCCAGGTTCAGCCTTACCCGCTAGCGTTCCGCCTCTCCCGTGTCTTGGTACTTGGCGATTCAAATGGGTTGGCGAAAGCCCTTCGGTAATCGCTCTGCGGCGACCGCTCCCGCGTCGAACGGTCAGATCGAGCAGATCTCCAACGGTAACGTGCAGTACGTTGGCGAGAAAGGCGGCAATGATGCGCCGCCGACCTATCAGGATGCTTCTGGAGCTCCCGTCGAGAACAATTCCCCGTTGGGATACTCCGTCGGCCCGGTCACGATTACCCTGCTGAACATCACGATGATGATTGGTGCTGGAATCTACTCAACTCGTACGTCTTTTGCGAGCATCTCTTGAATACGTGTTCAGCGTGAACTATTGCTGACACGGCGAAGCTGCTTCTATCCTGGTGGGAACTGGCTCCGTTGGGGTCAGTTTCGTTTATTGGACTTTGGGTTACCTGGTACGTCATCTGCATGCATCATACTCGGGGACTAAAGCCTGATCAAGTGAGCGACAAGTTACTAACGTTTGATGATATCAGTTATGCATGGCATCTGGAGCCGTCTATCTCGAGTTCACTGCGTACTTTCCTAGTCGATCCGGTTCCGAAGTCGTCTTCCTCGAACAAGCCTATCCTCGTCCCATGTGGCTCTTCCCAACAACATTCGCCGTCCAGAGTGTTATTCTTTCATTCGGCAGTGCCAATGCTACGGGTGAGATGAGTCAAATGGTCAATACAGCGAGCGACTCTATATCTGACATGTGCAATAGTCATGGCGAACTACTTGATTGCCATCTCGGGACATTCGGGCACTGATTGGCAGATCAAAGGCACTGCTTTAGCATGCTACACACTAGCAACCCTGAGTAAGTCTTGTTGTCCACAGTTGACGTGTGGGAGTTTATGCTGACAGCCTGTAGCTCTCGTATTCAATACCAAATATGCCTACTGGTTTTCCAATGGCGTCGGTCTAGTCAAGATTTTCACCTTGCTCTTCGTCATTATCACCGGATTCGTGGTGTTGGGCGGCAACACCAAGGTAGAGAATCCCACTGCCAACTTTAAAGACGCATGGTCTGGTAGCTCATCAGCAACTGCGTACGGGCTTACTACCGCGTTGTACCGCATCATATTCTCGTACGGTGGTTACAACAACGCCTTCAACGTGGCAAACGAGGTCAAGGTACGTGATTTGGTCAACGACTTGAAGTTGTCTCTTGCTGACTTTGAGGTCTTTGCAGAATCCCGTCCGTTCCCTCAAGATCTACGCAACTGCTGCATTGACGACCGTCTACATTCTTTACATGTTCGCCAACGTCGCCTTCTTCGCTGCTGGTAAGCCTCCATGAACAACTCGTTTGAGAAGGCAACACAATTTTAACAGATGCTCCAGTTCCGAGAGAAGAGTTTGAAAACTCTGGACTCACCGTTGCCAGTTTGTTCTTCACGGCGGTGTTTGGCAACACTGGAGCCGTCCGCGGTCTCAACTTTCTGATCGCCTTGGCATCTTTCGGCAACATGATTGCTGTTATCATTGGCTTATCTAGACGCATCAGAGAGTGTGGACGCCAAGGAGTACTGCCATGGACAAGGTTCTGGGTTTCTACTAAACCGTTTGGGACGCCTCTGGGGCCGTATGCGGTTATCTGGTCCCTCACTGCTCTGATGATTCTTGCGGTTCCTGCTGGAGATGCCTTCACCTTCGGTAAGCACCTCAAACCCACTGAGTTATTACGGTTATCGTATGACTAACCAGTAATCAGTGAACGATCTTGCCATCTTCCCTCAAGCTGCCTTCAATTTGGCAATGGCTGTGGGAATCTACATTGTCCGCTGGCGACGAAGCAAACTCAACCTTCCCCAGCCTGAGTTCAGGGCGTGGCATGTGGTGATCATCTTCAACATCTGCATTCAACTCTATCTTCTGATCATGCCCTGGTATCCTCCGGCGGGTGGGCAATATGCTGGTGATGTCAGTTTCTGGTATGCCACTTACGCCGTGACGGGTGTCGGAATGTGAGCAAAACTCTCCCCCAAGTAACATTGCTCTCCACAGAAGCTAACGATATTGAAGTCTTCTTGCTTGCGGGGCGTACTACGGTCTTTGGGCCTTCCTTATTCCAAAGTGGAGGCACTACCAGCTTCGTCAAGAGCTCATCAGCTTCGAAGACGGCGCGCAGAGTAACCAACTTCGGAAGGTGCCTTATGACCAAATCGCCGAGTGGGACGCCACGCATGATGCAGTCGGACGTTTGATCAGCGCCTCCGGCAGCGAGGTTCGGGTTCAAGAAAAGGGTCTGCGAACTTCCTCGGAAGGAAGCAGCTCAGATGCTGGAAAACAAGTTCCGAGCACCGTCAAAGAGAATAGCTACGCTTAAGTGGGAATCTTCCATGTTAGACTCCAATGTTCCTTCGCACAATTGCGACGGAGGGCTCGGCGATTATCATGTCAACTCTTCTCCGAGTCACGACGAACTGGAAGTCCGATTGAGACATAGTGGAGTTCTGAAGACAAATCAAATCAGAAGGTGGTTTTTCTCATGCTGCCGAGCGGAAGACGCACGTGAAGTGATGCATGAGCATGAGTCGCCCTGCCAAGCATGCAACTGTGAGCAAACTAAGCTTAAGTCGGGATAGAACAAGTGAGGCAATCATCGCGATAGATGAGCGACCGTTGAGGTTCTTTGGCTTCTCGGCTTTTCTCTGATAGGCAATCTATCGGATAACATTGCTTCAAGCTGGAGGGTGCGCTAAGGCTGGTTCGTCACACAGACGCGAGGCACATGGGAAGGGTGATCCCGTCCGTCAACGGAGTACCCGGGAAGAAGGTTATTTGAACAGCTTGGTTATTCGCAGCATCGAGAGCCTTACAGAGTTCCAGGCCATGGAGACCTGGTTTGACGGACTTGGCACGTTGCTTCACCGGCTGGCACGGCTAGGTTGTGCGCTTGAGTCAGGGAATGCCCTCGTCAGAATGCGCGGCTATGGCGTTAGCGCAACGCGAACTCCTGCTTGGTTCCTGCGAGCACTTCGCGTTTTCGAAACGTGAGTTCACGTTGTTATCTAAACCATCTTTGACATGTCATATTCTTTCTGGTATCATATGACCGGCTTGTACTCTTCAAATACGTCGATCTTATCCTCCATGCAATCAACGTCTCCATAGCCCAGCCATCCTGACCCGCGTGAGGGCCACGATGCCTGTCTCGGACTCGACGGCCATCATCCGGCTTAGCACACGGTTCTTTGAGAAGTCCGGGCGTGGCTTACCGCGCGGGCGGGCGGGCGGACTCATCACACGCGCCTCACACGTGGTTTGTGGTGACGCGATAACGGGCGGGGATACTTGTCAGTTCTGCATGAAATGGCAGAAAGCTGCATGTACCCGGTGGATGATTGATAGACGACGGGTGGATATATCACCACAGAATTGAGTTTCTAGATATTAATCAAGCAGCGTGATCCCTCTTAAAGACCCAGACAGACGGCCGGAGAGGTTGCACGGGCTCACCAACCGACATGTCAATGTGAAACCCCGACCCAGCGGACATCGGACGAACCAATGGATCATTCAGCCGAGTCCAGGGTTCATGATTCATACTCGGGCTCACCCCGCCGACCGGTGTAATCGCTCATGCCGAATTGAGGCGACAGGTTCACAGCGTTTTGCCGTCTTTGGAGAAAACTGTAACCCAACTTCAAGAAACTCGACGTGGGTCGAATCAATATCAGACAAGCTGGCTGCATATTGCAGTATTCATAGGTTCTCTGCCAAGATATGGATGACAGATTCGTGGAGCTCATGCATATGAAGACCAAACCAGAAATAGACATGGTTCAACAGTTGCGGATATCCACGAGGCATCCTTCGAATCTTGGGTCGTGTAAGGCGGATGCGCCCGCTGGAATGCGACGGTGTCTACCGACATACTTATGTGCAGACCAAGATCCTGTTGGTTTCAAACCCTCGGTCTTGGTTCTTCTGGAGAAAGCATCGGCCTGGCCGCATCAGGAAATCATGCTCCGTGGTCCCCGAGGCGCATCATCGGGCTGGATTCTGTTCTTGAAGTAATAGACACTGGTTGATGATTCAGCTTTACTGAACTCTTTGTTTCGAATTGTCATGAAGAGCCTCCTTTGGCGGGCGCTCATCCTGCTGCCATTGGCAGCTGGTATCATCAATTGTCAGAGTATTACCAACACTGGCTCATCTCCTTCGCCGTTGGATATCATCACGCAGATTCCACAATGCGCCGTATGTATTGATCTTGCAGACTTATGTATCAACCAATGCTGACTCTATTGTAGGTTTCGTGTGTTACAGACTCGTTCCTCGGTTCAGGATGCGCTCTCGACAACATTGCTCCTTGTATTTGCACCAATGTCACTCTGTTAGAGGGCATGTCTGGATGCGTCCAGACGTCTTGTGAATGGCAAGATCAACTCAGTATGTCCAACATTAGTTTACACTCTTGAAATACCGTGTGACTGACGTCCTTTCCGCAGAGCTCTCCTACATGACCGACGACTTGTGCCGGCCCTATCCTCATGCCTCCCGCGACCTCGAAATCAAGCTGGTCGTCGCAGTCCTAGCTGTCATAACGTTTCCGATTGTTGCCTTGAGACTCTTGTCACGCGTGACAATTGCAGGTCGACTGGAACTCGACGACTGGACCACACTTGTCACAGCAGTACGCCTCCCCAATTTGCGTCTCAGACCCAGCCAGGGAGTGCTGACATCGGCCACAGATTATACTCGCTGCAACAATGGGTTGTGTAATTGCAAGTAAGTATGAGTTGAAAGATCAAGTCTCTGTCTGTGTTACTGACGTAAAAAGGTGCCAAACTTGGGTTCGGCCTCCATTACTGGAACGTCAACCCCGCGAATGCTCAGCGTATCTTGCAGGTAAGTTCCTCACACTTCAGTCGTGCAATATCATCTTAGACTCACTCGCTCCACAGCTTTACTACGCCGTTCAAATGCTTTACGTTACCGTTCTTATATTGGCCAAAGTGTCAATCGTTGCGCTGTACGCGCGCGTTTTCCCCAGCCACAAGTTTCAACTTTTGAACAAGCTGGTTTTTGTCCTTCTCGCGGGCCATGGATTGGTCTTTCTTTTCGTCATCATGTTTGAGTGTGCACCGATAGCCGCCATTTGGGACAGGACCCTCGAGAGGAAGTGCGTGAACGTCAACGCCGTCGCCATGGCTAGTGCCATTCTCAGCATTGTCGAGGATATCGTCATCCTTGCAATGCCCATACAACAACTCAGCAAGCTGCAGCTCGGGCTAAAGAAGAAGCTTGCTGTTTGCTTCATGTTCAGCTTGGGATCATTGTAAGTTCTGAGTCTATCTGACCTGCAAAGACCCCCAGACTGACATTATGTAGTGCGTGCATTACTTCGATAGTCCGCCTGAGGTGGCTTGTGCTGTTTGCCGAATCCTTCGACACCACTTGTAAGTCGAGAGTCCAGTCCTCCCATCCACATGTCAAGGTATGTTCTAATAATTTGAAACAGGGGACAATGTCGATGTTGTGACATGGAGTGTCACCGAAATATCTATTGCATTGATGTGCGGCAGTCTTCCCGCACTGCGCCCCCTTTTCAAGAAGATCCCGGGACTTCTCACCACCATGCGTGGACCGACAATCGAAATAAAAGAGACACACGACAGAGGGAGCAGCCACATGTCATTTAGAGACAAGGGTCTCGTGCCCCAGTCCATTTCACCCAACCCAACCACACCAGAGCCGATGTCGCCAGACATGGACATGGTCATCATTCATATTTCGAATCAGGATGACCCGCGCATGAAGCCATTACCACCACCACCGCTACAGCCGCTCACGTACCAGCCGCCTTGGAGAGGGAGCGGTAGTTTGATGAGCCCCAGGACGCCGAGAACTCCTAGGACACCCAGAACCCCAATGACGCCTATGACACCAAGCAGTGTCAGGAGCGTTCGAAGGCAGGCCGACGCAGACTACGAGATGGATCTGCGAAGCGTAGTAAACACGAAGACCTGGATGTAGATAGAAACTTGTACTTAGATACCCCTTTCTGTTATTTTGCTTCAACTTTCTCTTATCATAACAACAGAATTGTTCATCAAACCCGTCAGAGATGCTACACATAGCTCGTGGAACTCGTTCTACTATTTGATGTCATCGAGAGGTGTTTCTGTCTTGATCCTGAATCTCCATCGCGACATGCCAGTCCAGGTGTTCGAGAAAATCATCAGCCTGCACCACTTCGCCACACTTCGGGCAAAGATAACCCCCATCCTTACCGCTATCCATAACATCTTCCGTGGGTCTACTTATGGTGTCGATATCGGGTGATGCTACGGCCTGCCGCTTCGTAACGGGTTCTGCATCCTCCAACTCCTCTTGCTGCCTGTTCCGCTTACGGGGAGAAGATGAGCTGTTGGTAGAAAAGAAGGAGGTTATGCGTGGTGTGTCCACTGTAGGCAGCCCAGATTCAAGATTCGACATGCTGACAGAAATACCCAAGCAAGGCCAAGACTCCCCATGTTCTGTGAGATCTTTAAGAAGTCCGTACAACATGTTGAAGATGGTTTCCTGATTGATCTCAACTTTTCCTGGTATGGGCGCCTGCTTCGACCGGGTTGGGCCGAAGCGTCCATTAATGTGGTGATGGACTGCAATAGTTCGAGGGCGACGAGGTATCTCAGAATCAAGATCGAGATCGTGCAGGCGAGACTCGAGATCGGCCGCAAAAATCCGAAGCCATTTGCTGGCCTGCTGCAAGCCTTCAGCCTTGGGTACGAAAGTCTTCGCAGCTAGTAGCGACTGGACTTCGCTCCGAGGCCTAACCGGACCATGCTCGATGCCTCTGATGGCCTTGAACACCCAATCGCCATCTTCGGCCCCAAGCTGTGATTTCATGTCCGCCAGTGAAACCTGAAGAAGATCTCGAATGTTATCAGAGCCAAATGTCTTGACAACTCTCTGACCAAGTTGTCTTCCCAGGCCTGAAAGCGAGGTTGCTTTGAGGGTCGGCATTATCGACGGAATGGACTTTAGTCGAACGACAGTTTGCCCGGCTGGTTTGTTCATGCGAGAAGCTGCCTTGGCGACCATCTTATTGGTACTGATCCCGGCAGATGTCGTGAGTTGCAGTTGCTTCCTGATCTCGTGGCGGACATTGCGAACAACTTCGGCTGCAATGTTCAGAGCCACATCGTCCCAATCAAGGATATCGCTAGTATCATCAAGTGTTGAAGGGTTCATCACCTTATCAACATCCCAGTTCACCAATGTGCCGGCCGGAGGTAACGGCAGGCGCTCACCCAGGCTTTTGCCTGACGTCTTCAAAGCAGGAAACCGTTCCGTGAGAATGCTGTGAACCTGGGCCGAGAGATCGAGATAGAACTCATCTACGCCAGCCCTTTCGATGGTCGGGGCAGGTTTAACAGGCAAAAGCCTTTTGACAAGCTGTATCGTCTTCCGAGAGACTTGACGGTATGGATCTAGAGAGGCTTTGTCCGTCTTGAGATGGTCCAGAACATCGGCTCTATACCTCCAGCAATGGTCTCCCTCCCTCCAAGTCGGAACATGTTGAAGAACCACATCTGGGCAGATCCGACGGGCTTCATCAACAGAGATTGTTCTCTTAAGCCCGCGTTGTTTGGCCGCGTAGTTGAGTGCGATAATGGCATTCCATTGGCGGACTGCGAGGGGCTTGGTTTGAGGAAGGCCGAGCCTCACTGATTCATACTGCGCGTAGAACGAGTCGTAGTCCACGAGCGCAACCACTCTCAGGGGCGATTCTGGCGAAGATTGCGACATGAGTTGCAAATCATTGCGGGTGAATTGCGACGACGAGCCCGCCGGATCGGCCGGCAGTAGCAAGTCATGATCGGCCATAAGTGCGACACATAGCGCTTCCCATAGACCGGCAAGTGGAATAGACAACTGCAGTTGAAAGGTATACAGGCGGCCGTATCATGGGTCGTTTACTATCACTGAGGAATGAAATCTGATGAAGAGGAGGTCATGTCGTAATAAACTCAGTGTTGGAGACACCTGTGGGGAAATGAGCTAAGCTGTGAAGTTCTGTTACCTGTTCACGGCAATCTGCGAGTAATCGCTAACTGACTCAAACAGTCACTAACAACACCCCATAACCTGCACGTATTCTGTTGGAATGTTCGACCTCATCTTGAACAACTACAGCAAGTTGTACGCATAGCCTGTTGAGTCCCTCGATGCTGACGAGTTTAGCCATGATATTTTCGAATTGTATGGCATCAACGGTCGTTTTGTTTAAATCTCACCCGAACGCGTCATTCAGTGAGCTTCAACCCTGGACTGCCAATGCTCAGACAATAGGCCAAGCCCGGAGCGGCAGACGTCAGACCTCTGGTAGTCGCCACCCGCGGCCATCATAAGAAAACGCTCAAGCTTGTTCTCGAAGCCATACCAAGCTTTTGCAAGGTCGATGCGTACTCTAGGGCAGACTAGGCGTGGCTAAGTAGGCCATGCGAACAGGTGCCCAAGGGTCTAAGAACGCAAACAAGGGACGCTAGGAATTCCATCAAGGGTGAGTTCGCTAGGTACATGTCTAAAGAAAGGCACACAAATATCATTCGCCTTTAGCACTAATTAATAAATGAACCTGACAGGCGCCATGGCTTACATCCTCCGCATCTGACCAAAAAAGCGGCAGCATTCTGACGCGTTTCTCTGTCGCTTTTCCGGGCAATGTGCCGTTTTCTAGACTCTTGAATAACTGTTATGGATCTCGGTTTGACCGGGCTAGAGACGGCACCGAAGAGGGATGATGGGGTCCGACAGGATCACCGAGGCATCTGCTCAGCGATCTTCAACATCCAGCGAGAAGAAGGAACCGAGGCCGGAGTGCCTTGCAAAGGCTTGAGAGACCCATAAGGTGGCTGCTTACGGCCGAGGGTCTAAGTCTTGACAACGGTCGGGATCAACGGTATGACTTGCGTCGGACGTTGGCTTGCAGCAAACCGGGCAAAGAAAACGGGAATCCGGGCGGACGTCAACGTCAGCCTTCGACTATCAATAGGATAACTATCAGGTGAAGTTTCCAACATCTCGCTTCATTCTTTCCCGATCAACACCCGCCAGATATTCAGATGACAGTTCCTAGAAAGTGTATTTTGGACGCCCAATCTGGCGCTTCTTCAACAGCCATCATGCAACCTGAATGCCATGCTGGATGTAGTAAAGAACCCCGAATTCGCAGAAGCTGCTGGGTGCAGACCTGAAGCTCATTTCAGGTACCACTCGGCCTGGGCTGCATATGCTCAGACCTGCTCTATCACCGATCTCCGTTCACCCGCATACGCACGTCCGCTTTCGACCGTGCCGTGTCCGCAACCGAGTAGCTGTACCGGCGATAGCTTCAGTGGCTCGGACTGGCACGTTCTTTAATGAGCTGTGAAGCTACGGAACTCGAGATTCTGTAGATGCAGTCGACATCGGAGCCCCGAGATGAACATAGCGATGCGAAAACGACGACATAAGAAAAAGGTGCAGGTCTGCAGGTCGGCAGGTCGGCAACCGTTGAATAGTTCGATGACGCGCTTTCAGAAACACCATGAGACAGTTCTTAATCTATCATTCCGGCAGTCGCTCCTCAGACTTGGGCAGACAATCGCCACAACAGGAGGGAAAGATGGAAGCCAAATATCAAGTCGTGCATGACTTGGAGCGGGAGGAGCACCCGGAGACGACAACTGATGATGCTATCACAACAGAAGATGGTCCCACCTCGGAGGAGGAGCCTACTTCGACAGAAGACACGCCTCTGACGGACTCGGCTCCGTCGACACCATCGGCATCCGAACATGAAGCATTCGCGACTCCACCAACTGGGGAGGAGTCGAGGCCAGCAACTGCTTCGAGACCAACAACCGCTGAGCCGACTCTCCGGGAGCAGCTTAGCGAAGCTCGAAGAGAAGCACGTCGGCAATCTCGAGCGGAAGCAGCCAACAACAACTCGACTCCCACTCAGGAGAAGCAGGTGAACCAGGAGAAGCAGGTGAATCAGGAAAAGCAGGAGCGAGTGTCCCAGTCTGATGAGGATGACTTTCCCGAAGGAGGTCTGCGTGCCTGGCTGGTGGCTATTGGTACAGCAGCCATTCTGTTCTGCTCGTTGGGCTACACGAACTCCTTTGGAGTATTCCAAGCTTATTACATGCAACACCAGCTTGCAGATTATACGCCTGACGATATCTCCTGGATCGGATCTATCCAAGCGTTCTTGGTCTTTGCCTCAGGAGCCATTGGAGGCCCAGTCTTTGACCGGTATGGCGCATGGGTAAGTTCGGATCCCATCGCAGGGAACATATGAGATACTAACAAGTTATCCAGGTCATTCGTCCTGCAGCTATCATCTATGTGTTTTCAATCATGATGACCAGTCTCTGCAACCGGTATTGGCAGTTCATGTTGGCTCAGGGCGTTCTCAGCGGTCTCTCGAACGGCCTGATCATGTTTCCCGCAATGGCCGCCACACCTCAGTACTTCTTCAAGAAGAGAGGAGCAGCCATGGGCATTGCAATTGCTGGCTCATCCATCGGCGCGGTCATCTTTCCCATCGTGTTGTCAGAACTCCTGGACCGAATTGGATTTGGCTGGGCTGTCCGCGTCTGCGGCTTCACCATGATCCCGCTACTCCTCTTTGCCTCTTTTGCAGTTAGAGCTCGTCTCCCCTCTCGAAAGACCAAGTTCTTCCTCTGGTCAGCATTCCGGGACCCCCTCTACTGCTTACTCATTGCCGGAGTCGCCTTCATGTTCATCGGCATGTTCATCCCGCTCTTCTACCTACCGACTTTCGGCATTGCCCATGGTATGGATTCGGCGCTCGCGTCATATCTTGTGGCCATCATCAACGGAGCATCTGTACCGGGACGAATTGTCCCGGGCATTCTTGGCGACAAATTTGGCCGCATCAACATCCTCTTCTTCGCCGGAATGTTCACGGCAATTTCGATTTTTTCATGGACCAAGGCAACCACAAACGCGGGGATTATTGTGTTCTCCGCATGTTACGGACTGACATCCGGAGCCATCATCTCTGGAGGATCGGTGGTGTTTACTCTATGTCCGAAGTCGCCAAAGGAAATCGGCACTTACATGGGCATGGGTGTCGCCTTCGCTTCCGTGGCTGTGCTCATCGGACCGCCCGTTAGCGGTGCCCTGTTGAATAGGTTCGGCGGGTTCCTCCAGATCTCCATCTTTGGCGGCGTGATGTGTATGACGGGTGTGGTCTTCACCTTGTTTGCCAAGTTTTTCACCAAGGAGGGTGTCTTTGGGCGCATATGAGACGCCAACCTGTACATGACCTCATAGATCACCAAGAGCCGTAACATTTGCATTGTATAGATATTCAAGATGACATTTAGATACATGTAGTTTATAGCTATAATTATTAGTTTTCTTCCCACAGTTATGATTGCTTTCACCTACCCGGTTTTGTACACTTTGCAAATATCAGGAAAAGCTCACCGCCAGTGCTGCCGGCCACCCCCTTTTCACGCTTGAACTGGATCAAACCTCCTCTTATTGTCTGAAATCAGATTCTCTCATTAAGACTTACTCGATTATTGCTTATGGACGGAGGTATCTCATCCGAGACATGTTGCTTGAGGTGCATGAGTGTTCTTGTCCGTGCGTTCAGTCAAAGTGAAAGTTGTGTAGGTTTTCGTTCTTGGTTTGACGTCTTGAAAGGATTAAATGAGTTTACCGTCAAGGTATTCCTCATCGCGCTCATGGTGTACATCATACCTTCATTGGTAATCAGCGTGGGAATGCCCCCTCCCCCATTGTTATGAGATGGGATGAGAAAGATGAAGATATAAGTACGTTGTCATGAAGATAAATGAGACGCGTTATTCCAATCGGAGTTCAACGATCAGAATTGGGGCCGGAAGACAATTGTGGCAATCAACATGTCATGAAGTCGTAGAAGGTGATGATGCAAACGACATGGGTAACCACTGAGAGTGAGATGTCCAAGACCGGCAAGTTCTCGCCGAATCGGCAGCGAAACACCAATTGATAAGTCGCAATTGCCCCACGCGGTCCCCTCACTCAACGGCCAATTCGTCCCAAACGATCCTCATTTCCCGTCCTGCAGAGCAGCCCTGGAAATCCAAGGATCATCACGGACTCGAGTTTATCGGCGTAGCATCTAAACCAGCAAACAAAGCAACGTCAAATCAGGGCACCAGCCACACTGATTGGCGCAATTTTCGGAAGCGCAGGTCTTGGCCTCCAACTTGGGCCTGGACTGGAACCTTACCCCCGCCCGGCATCTCACCGATCACGGCTGTTTTCATGGAATGTCGCTGGATTGGATGACGTCTCCAAGGGTCTTGGCTAGGGGGCTTGGATGCTTACTGAAGATGTGTGATTTTGGAGAGGACCATGAGTAACGACTCGACCATCTTGCCCCCTCTCAGTGCCCTCCCCGGTATCTCCGTCCGGCTTTACTGTCATTAATAGTTCCGATCATCCGTAGTCAAAATTTGTAATCAGAGAGTAAACATTACCCCGGAGGAAGCTTAAAACTTTAAAGATCCCAAGGTTATTGTCGACCGTTCCTGGACTGGAATCGTCCGGTCTCATCCCCGTCTAAACGCTCAAGCTCCGGACTGCAGGTATCTTCATCAGCAAACACACTTCAAGATGCTCACCAAGACAATCGCAACGGCCGTCCTGGGTCTCGCGTCCCTGGTTTCCGCCGCTAAAAACTGCCCCGTCGCCGATGTTTCCGCGATTGCCCACACCGGCAACCCGGTCGGCGAGACGGTCTCCTACAACGGACGTGAGTGTTGCCCTTCGCGAAGCTCCCGATGACCGTGCGCTGAAGCTATTCCCACGCAGTCGATATCTACGTCTCCAAGCCCAAGAAATGGAGCGCGCGGGGTAACAAGACCACCACGGGTGTTCTCTACCTCACGGACGTCTTCGGCGTCCAGCTCGTCCAGAACACGCTGTGAGTATCTGCAACTCCGTGATCTGCCATGTGGTGGTACTCGACCTCTCAGCGCAGCGATGCTAACGCAATTCCCAGTCTGACCGACAGCTTCGCGAGAGCCGGATACCCATCCGTTGCGCCCGACCTCTTCGGCGGAAACCCTGCGCCCAACGACATCAACATCCCCGGTTTCAACACCACTCAATTCCTCGCCCAACACGGCCCCAACGTGACTGACCCGATCATCGCCAACGCCGTCAAGTACCTGCGTGAAGAGATCGGCGTCGACAAGGTCGCAGTCACTGGATACTGCTTCGGCGGCCGCTACGCCTTCCGCGAGCTTTCGGAGGGCAAGGGCGCAGATGTCGCTTTTGCTGCGCACCCCAGCTTGTTGACCGATGACGAGATCAAGGCCATCACGGGTCCCGCCAGTGTTGCTGCTGCCGGTACGTTCAATCTCCCACCGCCATCAGATGTCTCCAGCAGCTCGTGTTTGCTAACCGCTAGAGTGTGTAGAAACCGACAACATGATGTCTCCCGCTCGTCGCGCCGAGATCGAGGCGCTTCTTTCCCAGACCGGTCAGCCGTTCTCGGTTGCGTTGTACGGTGGTACCTCGCATGGATTCGGTGTCCGGGCGAACGTCTCCGACCCGAAGCAGAAGTATGGCAAAGAGGAGGCCTTCTTCCAAGCCGTTCGCTTCTTCGACACCTGGGCTTAGAGCGTCACTGTACATAAATGATGTCGAAAATCGAGTTGCTCGTACTACAGCGTGTTCGTTTGATGTATGGTGGTGATCTCGATCGATGTGCCCGCATGTCTCGTTCTGCTGATCAAAGACTTCGAATGATGTTTTGTATCAGAAATTGGCCATAGACCGTTCGCGATGTACGAGCCATGGACACCTACAACGGTTAGCGCATGCGTTGGTGAACTTTGACATGAACTCGTCACAACTTCTACCTATAATAGTACTGATGAAACCTGACGTAGAGAACAGACGTCGGGTCGGAACGAGTAGGCCACACTATCTCGTTTGGTTTCAGTATTTGTCGTCAACACAGCTCAGGACGCTCGGCCAAGGAGAACAGATCGGTAACCGCGTGCCGGCTGCCGGAGCGAATGCCGGAAGACTCGACATGCAGATGCCATCTGCGATGTAAGAAGTAAAATCTGGCCTTCGAGATATTGGATAAGTTGCCGTCGGTCGTCCCTTCAAAGGCCTGTCTAGACCCTTCGTGGGGCATCGGAAGTCTTGGTCGACCTTGTCTCTTCCAACGCCGGGATCGACTCTTGGGTCGCGTGCCGTGTTAACAGATAACTTGGCAAAGCTTGAAGCTCGTGGCATCCGAAGAAGAGGAGCAGGGAGACATTATCAAATCAGCCTTACCAGTCATTGTTCACAGCAGCTCAGGTCATTTTAACTTTCACCCCACTGCCTCGCTTTCGCTTTCGGGGGGCTTCAGAGCTGGACCCGGTTTGTTTCACAGTACGGCGGTTTGGCAGCCAGGGTTTTGCCTGGGTCTTACACGAACTTCAAATGTGCCTTGCCTATTTTCTGGCGTGCTTCATGCAGTTTCTAAGTCATTGGAAGTGATAGCCGCAGTTAAACGCCGACAACAGTAAAGCCTTTCTTTCGGCTCGGCCGAGTATGATCCTGAGTCGGCTCGGAGAGCACGCCATTGAAGCAAGACCTGATTGAAGTCTAATGCGGAATGTGCACGTTCGTACGTAGTAGCAGAGTCTCGTCTGATCTATAGGTTGTTGAGGAAGTCTATGGACTAGAATTGTGGTGTAGAGATTGTGGTTGATCAGCAGTTCCCGTAACATCATAGGCTTACTAACGGCAGTATAAGCAGGTCGTGAAGTTAACAGTTTGATTTCGTAATCTCTAGATATCGTTACTAAAGCTGTATAGTTCTGTCGCTGATAAACGCCAGCGGCCACTGTATCATCTCTTTCCACTCCGGATCCAAATCGCACACAATCGCTTTTGCCGCGTTGATGCCCCATCCCTGCATAAACCATGTGCTGTTTTCCGTAGAGTGAACGGCGACGGAGTAGTAGGCCAGAAGTGTCAACGCGGCCGGATCTCGGTACCGTAATAGCTGCATGTACTCCTCTGTGAGGCCGATGGGCCATGTCAGGCTAACCCGCAGTTCGGGAAACGCAGTTGTCGCCGTGGCGTGATCGATCCACTCCAACAGGACCGCAACCTCTTTCCCGACCACCTCCTTACTCGCCCGGTCCGCATTTGTCGTCTCCAAGGTCGTCTGGAACGTTCGAAGATGTTGTTTAATGGCGTCTAGTAACGGCGTGGATGCCGGTGTTACTATCTCTGAGAAGAAATTCCGGAAAGGTCCGGACCTGATGACTGGCTGTGATGATGCCAAGATGTTGCTCATGCCTCTTACGAGTAAGAAAACGTCGAGAACATCGTCCACGGTTGGCGCCTCATGCCCTTCTGAGCCGCTCCTCTGGTATGGGAATGTGGCGTACGCGCTTATGAGCAATAGTGATGAACCCGCAAATAGAGGATGGCAGTTGTCTGGCGAGATCTGAGTGAGTGTCTCTCGCATGCCGGCGATGGCATCATTCTGATGCTGTGAGGCATGTAACGCGTATGATTCCCGTTGTTCGGGGTGCAAATGCCCTAAATGTAGTGCGCTGATGGCCAGGACTTGGTGCATCAGGAACATGTAAGTGAGACCCAGTTTCGGAACCTCGTATTGCCAGATATTGCTCGCGTCTGACGACCTGGGCATCGTAAGACATGTTGTCGTTGCGTAGTGGTGCATGAGTTCGAGATCTGTAATCCACTTTCCCAGATGAACGGATTCCACCGGCCCGGTAGAGAACTTGACAAAGTACGGAAACGGGTCGGGACTTGAGGCTGCTAATGAAGACTGCCTCCTGGCCTGTCCAGCTGATGACGCGTGGTCACTGATGAAGTCGGCGGGCAGGTTCAGAGTAGAGTCCAGCAGACTCGGCGGCGTGAGTGAGTGGTCTATCGGGCTGATGGATGATCCGGTCTTGCGACTGCCGCCTGATCCCTTTCGTGTTGAGGTTCTTCGTTGAACACTTGAAGTTCTAGCAATTGAGACGGCCTGAGGTCGTGAAGGCTCCCAGTTCATGTTGGCGTCATCCGAGGCTGTCTCGCCTGTCGTAGAACCCTCGAGGAGACTGCACTGAGTGTTGTGTCTGATGCAGGCGCCACATGGCTTGTTCTCATCGCACTGGATGAAAAGACGTCAGCCAACCATGATGAGATAAGTGCGGTGATACAGATGTGCAAATCCGGCTGGTGAGAAGGGTGGTATGTACTTTTACACGCCGCTGTTTACATCTTGCACAGCCACCGCGAGACTTCTTGTAACCGAGCCGCGGCATCTTTCCTAGCGACACGACACCCGCGAAGGTTGCCCTCTTAACACCCTTTGGTCACCCTCACTTCAGCTCTTCCCAGACGGGTGAAGCGGGTAATTCTTCACGCTCAAAGTGAGTGGACAGTCCGTCCGGATCCGCGCCCCCGGGAGTCCGACAGTGAGCCAGATAGTGCCGATATCCCACTCGTGGCACTTCGGTCCCCTGCTTCGGGAAGCCGGCGAGCCCTCGGCAGGGGAGACGTCGGGCGGTAGCCTGGCGAATCGGTTGGCGGCCAGTAATTCAGCGTAAGAGATGTCAGCGGGATGCAGCGCCTTTTGGATTCGCCAGCGGCGCGGTCCGCTAGGAGGTAGGCACCAGATGGCGGTTGAATGGTTAGAAATCGAAGGGTTGAGAAGACCGAAAGCGAATTTGTGGGGTTGAATGGGTGTATGTATGTATGTATGTACGTATGTATGTAGGTAGGTACGGAGGATTTGGATCGGGAGTTGGGTGCCGGGGGCCGGTTACGGTCGGGGCACTCCTGTTGTTTCGGTAGCTGAAATGAACGGGTGAATGCTTCTCGCACGAACGTCAAAGTCGAGACAATGCCGATGGCTTCAACAGTCAGTCTGCAGAGCAAGCCACTTGGTTATATCATGGAAGATGGAACGAGTACGACGGGGAAGCTGGGTATTGGGATCTCGGAGAGATTGGTCGAGTATGCCCCGTTGAACGGCCGGCCGGGGCGGGTATTGAGGAAAGAAAAATCGAGCAGTCCAACTGCGCCTTGCTGACGAGTCAACACGAAGCACGGGCGCGTGCGTCAGAAACAGCTACAGTAGAGTAAATCCGTACAGATGAGGAATGGTGTGGGCGTGGAGAAAGTGAAACGGGTACAGAGAGTATCTCGATTGTTCCTATTGGAGGCTAGGGGAAGAGAGACAAGGGATAGGGGTAAATGATGGGAGAGAAGAGTGGGCAGAATACATAGAGACGAAGTGTGTGTGTGGTGTGTGTGCGTGTCGTACGGCTTCGTTTCGTCTAAGCATTTCCAAGGCCGCAGCACGGCTCCTCTCTGGCTTAGGTTTCAAGGGTGCCACGAGGATTCAAAGGTTGAAAGATGACTCTCCCATGCTGATCCCTCTATGGCTTCGGGAATTTCCGTGCTACTCAGCCACGGCAATGAGACGTCAGGTAGGCCACAAGCCTCCATCCACACGGCATGGCTTGCGTGGGTTTAGGTCTTTGTTTCCTATGCAAGTGATGACTATCCGGTCGTAGTCCGGAGTTGTGTGTAATGCGGATGCATCTGCCATTAAGGTTCCCGCCGTAAATCTCTCCTGGCCTGTGCATACGTCGTATCGTCAGGGGTGACACTCGAACTACCTAACCGTTGAGTTCATGATTGGATTTCGGTGTTAACGGTATCGTCGGTATGTACGGATATTGCTATTCTTCGACCCGGCACCCCTCAATCTTATGCGTCCCCCCTTGTGCTCATCAAATCACATCCATGTTGACGGCTGTCAGCCTGGCGGGAGCAAGGCGCACTTCTTCATCGGTGACGCTTCTACAGGAAACTCTACGACATGTAGGGCTGGCCAGAACCAATTTTATTCCTATCCTATCCGCGATGTTAAGCTAATGGATACCCATCCGGGCCGGAGCCAAGATGAATCGAATCGATGGTATCCTGCGCTAATTTCCCCATTTTCACTACAGGTGCCAACTCAAGATCATGTCATCAAAAATTACGACCGTGCTAATTCGTCAACGGCGCCATATCACCAGCCACGCCGTCGGAGACAAAACCGAAAGCGAGGTCGCCGAAATTTGTTCTAGAAGGTCTACTACACAACCACAGCCCTGCGGAGCCGATTTATCGAAAGCCACGTTCAACAACAACATGACAGCTCTTGCGGCGTGTTTGGATGACGGGTTCGTCGTATTTTCCATCCCCGATAAATATCGCGGTTGAACACATCAACCTCCACGCATCGCGTGGCGGAGTCGCGACTCGCCCGACTCACCCGCCAGCTTACTTCATGCTCTATCCATACGCGTATCACGAATGCCAGAACTGAACACGACTCCGGTATGCATCCGGACTGTCACAGCCAAGGCAGTCTGCCTGAAGGTGGGACAAATGTCTTCTCCTTCTTCTTTTTTTGACTCCCCCAGTGACTGCTATGATGCTTCCCAGTCTCTTTCACTGAATCATCAATCAGACGATCTGCCAGGTTGATTTCCCCTCCGGACCCTGGTCTGAAACTCCATGATCGCCGTTAGCCGCGAACAAAAAAACTCCATCGGCGTCAATTTCCCCTGAATCACATCAATTGACATTAAAGTTGTTCACGAATCCATGTCCTGTGGTTCTGGGAAACCCGTCTTTGCTTCGAGTCAACCCCTATTTTCTTTGAACAACTCGAGCGACCGGCACTTTCACAAGCTCTGGGTGTTGTATGTTCTACAGCATCTTTTTGTCGTCTTTACTTGGATTAATAAGAATCTATGCCACGTTCTCCGTTCGGCCGCGGAGTATCGGGACGATGTGGAGTACCTGGAGTACCGCAACAACGTCAACCCAATGGCATTGTCATATGTAGAGTTTCATCCTGCAGATCTCAAGATGAGATAGCGCCCGCTTGTTTAGACTAACAAACACTGCACCGTGGCGACTTCTGACAGCTGCTAGCCGCGTCGGAGCCTACTGCCCGGGAGATGATGTTGAACCCGTCATCGTCTCGAGTTCCGCTAGTTTACAATGACTCCGCGATCGACTCCTCCAACTCGGCATCGTGGGCCTCGAAACAGCACGACGAGAGATCCTTATATATCAAAGAAGTACTCACTCCTTACGTAGTCGGAATTTGATAATGAGGCGTCGGAAGAGGTGATCAGAGAAACAAGTCGTTGATGCCTGAATACAAAAGCTATTGCGGAGCTTGCAGTCCCATGTTGAGATAAACAGCCTTGGTTTCGGTGTAATTCTCAAGTACTGCCTCACCACACTCACGGCCGATACCACTCTCTTTGAAACCCCCAAAAGGAATAGAATAGTGAACAAAATTGAACATGTTGACCCAAGTCGTGCCAGCCTGCAGCGCATTAGTCATTCGGATAGCTCGTGCATAGTCACTAGTGTGTACGGCGGCAGCTAAGCCGTAGGATGAGTCGTTAGCCAACTCGAGGACCTCCTCTTCTGTGGAGAACTTTGAGATAGCAACAACAGGGCCGAATATCTCCTCTCTCATAATCTGTTCATCTGAAATCAGGACTGTTCTAACATCATCCATATCAAGAGCACTGACCTGCATGTCGGGCTTCACGTTGGTGAAGATGGTGGGTTGGATGTAGTATCCGCCCTCCGTTCCGGATGTAGCTGGTTTTCCTCCGAGGTGCACAGTAGCACCTTCTTTTCTACCACTCTCGATATACCCCAGGATCTTGTCGTACTGCATCTTGCTATTCTGGGGACCCTGATCAGTTGTTGGGTCGAAGTTGTCACCGACCTTCAACTTGGACAGGCGACTGGCGAACTTCTCAACGAATGAATCGTAGACGTCTTCATGTACGTAGATTCTGGTGCCAGCATGGCAAGTTTGGCCGAAGTTCATGTTGATTCCCCAGGCCGACCAGTCCGCAGCCTTTTCGAGATCGGCATCAGGGAACACGATGTTCTTCGGATAATAGTGATTAGTACCGCTGAAGACAACGTTGAAGCCGGCGTCATGTTGGGCTTACCGGACTCTTACCACCCAACTCCAAGGTAACTTTCTTCAAGTTGGAACTCGCGGCGGATTTGAGGATCGAGCGTCCCGTAGCGGTTGATCCAGTGAATGCAACCTTGTCTACATTCATATGATTCGCGATAGCATTACCAACAGTCTTTCCAAAGCCGGGCACATGATTGATTACGCCCGCCGGAAACCCAGCCTCCTGAATCAGTTCGGTCATCTTGAGTGCTGAGAGAGGGGTGGCTTCGGCGGACTTGATAACCACGGTATTTCCGGTGACCAAGGCTGGTGCAATCTTCCATGTGAACATGAGGAGTGGAAAGCTGGTTGTAACGCGTTCGTCAGCAAGGGCTCTATCACCACTAATGAAAAGAATTCATATACATACTTCCACGGGATAATCTGACCGCACACGCCAATGGGCTCTCTTCTGGTATAGGCAAACGTCTTTGGGATATTGAACGATGTCAATCCGTGAACCTTGTCAGCGTAGCCAGCGTAGTATTTCAACGTCGAAACAGAGCTGGGGAAGTCCAGAGTCGATGCTTGACGATGCGTCTTCCCAGTATCCAACATTTCGAGTGCAATGATATCATCCTTGTCTCGCTCCATGAGATCCGCCAGCCTGCGAAGAAGATCGCCACGGTACACAGGGTCGGCGTTGGACCATTCGCCGCTTCGGAAGGCCAGCCGGGCAGCCTTGACCGCTTCGTCCACATCTGTTTCGCGCCCTTCTTCGACTTGCAGGATCTCTCTTCCTGTTGCTGGGTTTTCGACGCCAAAGGTTGTGCCGCCGATGGATTTGCGGAATTCGTTGTTGATGTAGATGCCTGTTGGCACGGAGATATCACGGCCACCAACCCGAATCGATCGGGAGTTCGCCGTGCTTGCCCTCCGAATTTGGTAGACGGTCGGGGTAGGTATCAATTTGGACGAGAAGGCGACACGCGCCGCTCTAAGAAGTTGAGTCGTTACCGGCATGATACAACTGCTACTGAGGTGAAAGCGACCAGGTTGATTCGGACCAAGAAAGACAGAAGAATCTCAGAATGGCCCAATTTGTAATTTTACTACCATCTACTGTTCGGCTATATGCGTGCGGGCATATTCTTGGCGTGGTCATGCGATCGGCTACCTGCAGTCCTGATGACGATCTTGTGCCGCTATTGGCATGACAGAAGCGGTTGGTCGCCTTTCCAGACGTCAGAAGCCGAGGCTGGCAGTCAGAACGGTCTGAGTTCAATTAGCTGGCTTTCTCAATCAATGAACCAATGAACTTTGTCTGGTGGCCAGACCGACACCAGTATCATCAGACATTTCTATCATCCTTATGAACTACTTGCACCATGAAAAGATTGAAGAGAAGCCTTCTTGGCTAAGCATAGCATGGAAGTGAAGTTCTGCCAACTACCACCGTCTTCGCCCTTTATATCTCTCGCTTTTTATTCTGTCATCATAAGCATAATACAACCAGTGCCGGAAGGCTTGCTTGCAAGGTTTTCATTATAACAGGTACGCTGAAGAATCTTTGCGGTATGTAAAAAGAAAAATAACTCAAATACTCGAGGTGGTGGCTCTGGATATGGCAAAAGAATCGTCAAAAGATTTCCACAGTAGGGTGTCAAGGTCCTGGTTGCAGACGTAAGTGAGCAAGGAGGAAACGATATAATGAGAAGTAATCCGGACTCAATATCTTGTTGATGGCAGATATCTCAATAGAACAAGACTGGATGAGATTAGTTGAGACAACCGAGTTGCGATTCGGACGCCTGGATTGTCTTGAAAGTCCCGTGAATAACGCGGGGACGACGTATCACGATAGGGTAAGAGCTCCAGCCAGGGATAGTCTATTGAAATATTGCTAATATTCGTAGCATACTATCAATGTGACTGAGAGGAGGACTTCGACAAGTGCTTCCGTATCGACGTCATCTTCTTCGGCTCTCAGGCCTTGATACCTGAGCTTAACAAGCGAGACGAAGGAGGGCCTATGATCAGCGTGGCATCGGTAGGTGAGACGCGGCTAAGGTGTGGACTGGTTTGGTTCAACGCGCCCAAGGGGGTAGTATGCAATTTCAGTAGTCCCAAGTTCGAGGCCTGTAAAACGTGATGTTAACCCATGACGGGGTCTAGGCAACAAAAGGCCTTGCTGAAAAAGAAGTGTGGTCATCGCGTGGCACGAAAAGCAAAAAGCTTGTATCATGCAACAACTTGAGGAATAGCTTTCCACATAGGACACGATATGAGTGTACATACCCAGCACTCAACACTATGAGGGTTTATAAGCCCATAGATATATGCCCCGAGATCATTGTTGACGTGATTATCAGAAGCCGTCGACCTTCTCGGGTGCCTGAGCAATGAGTTCGCCGGCAGTGTGGTGGAACCCAAGTCAGATATTGAAGCTGATTGTCGTATATTCGAGACGTTTGGAACCGTATGCGATGGTAATAAAGTCTGCTTGCTCGACTTATGAGAGTCTTCCGCTGAAAGACTGGGGTTCACATTACTCTCGGAGGACAGTGAGAATGTGACGTGGTCGACTTCTTCAATGTTCGTTAGACCGCGTGAGAGCTCCGTATATCTTGTGTCTACGGGAGTGCTTTCCTCTTCGCGATTCTTTTAGAGCACAAGAAGTGTTGGTAGATGCACAGTTTGTGCAAGGAATACCACGGATAGCATTGCATTTGACCCGTTGTGCATTGAACGCTGTACAGGCCTGGCGAGCACGCGTTTGCGGCCCCTCTCTTGCGATTAGGGTCAACATGGCAATGACTTCAGTTTCCACTGGAAAGCAGCACAATTGGAATGACACCAGCCGACAATCAATCCATATGTCCTTCGAAAATGCGTGGATGTCCGGGGCTTGCCATGGTACAGTAGTTAACCGAGGCGGGGACTGATCATTCGTGATGGCTCATTTGTTAAACGCATATCCTTTACTGACGGGTCCCACCTGATGCATCAGCTAGTTGAACAACAAGAAGCAACCGCCACGAGCAGGGTACCGCTAAAGATGAACACACGCTGTTGGCTGGAGGTATGCCGAGTTCAAAGGCTCCTTGCATCGGTAACAAAGCTGCATATAACCATGTAACCTTACTCCGGTGTATTAACAATCTTGTTTGTCGAGTGAACCAGGCCGGTATCGCATCGGGATTAAAAAACATGCATCTAACTAATTTTCAGTACGTTTTGTCATGGAATTAAAATGGGAAGTTCTCGACTGGTCATCTTTATGCGTGGCGGGGCGATACACATATCATTGTGATTGACCGATTCCACATTCGTGTGACAGCAAGAAGACGCCTCCAGGAGTGTTAGAAGCTGGACCTTCTTTCAGCACCTCGGTCGTCTGATCTCTGAAGACAAATTGACACAGAAACACTTGGTTATCAGCCCAATCACAGAGCCAATCTTAATTATTTTGTGAACCAACAAATCATACGTATGCAGTGACGATGCGATCAAGTCACTATTTTTGATCTGTCTTGTCTGAGATGGGCGCTTACGCTGATGAGCACTTCGATAATGCAGTGCTACGTCCCTTCTTGTTGACCTCCTGGCACCCAAATCTGTGTAGTAGGATCGGCCATCTGCCATCGCCGCCTTCTGGTAGCTAGCTGAGGCCTTCTCTTATCTAGAAGCGAAAGGCTGAGCTACTGTGAAGTCAACGCGATGGAACGGTAAATGCAAGACCTCAATCGCTGATCCTTCCTTATCTTTTGATAATATAGTGACAATGTGTCACGAAGGGCGTCTTGCATGAACTCAACAGATAAGCACATCGAGCCCTTGCTTCTCTCAAGAGGAAAGCCCTGATACGGCGATGACACTGATGATGCACGAACTTTACATGCTCAACATACCTACCTACCCCAAGATTGGGCTTGTTACCGTCGATCAACCCCTCACGGCTGATGGAACCCCGATGACAGAACTCATCTCATAAGAGTCAACTTCCCCCTTCCATAAAGGCCTTCTTCGCCATTCGTGTCCACGTCCTGCCTTACTTGACTTAAGGCCTGACACTTGGCTGGTCAAATGACATTTCAAATCGTTCCACAATCTTCGACTCCTTCACAGACCAAGGCCGACACTATGGCAACGAAACTCGATAAGCAAGACAACTATTCCTTGTCTCCCTCTCAGGCAGCAGGCAACTCTGTCCCAACAGATGTGATTTCGGGCCCTGATCATCTCGCTCGTCGTTACTCTCCCTTTTCGGTCATTGCATTTGCATTTACTACAACCAACTCCTGGGTCGCCTTTAGCACCGGTCTCGCGGTTCCTTTAGCTTGTGGCGGAGGCCCTGGACTTATCTATGGGCTCATTGCAGGTGGCGTAATTATGTGCATCATCAACGCTGGTTTCGCCGAGCTCGCCTCCGCCTTCCCCTCCGCCGGAGGCCAGTATCACATTGTATACATGGCGTTCCCTCCATCTACTCGACGTGCTGCTGCGTTCTTTACTGGATGGGTTTCCATCATATACGCAATGGCTGCAACGGCGTCGTGCAATTTCTTCGTCGCCAGTTCGATCCCGACGCTGGCAGAACTCTGGGTTGAAACTTATCATATTCGAAGTTGGCACACATACTTCGTCCATATTATGCTGTGTGTCATCGCATTCATCATCACATCTCGGTTTCCGTCAGCTGTTGGCCGCATAGGTATTACGATCTTTTGGCTTTCCATCATCGGATTTATAGCCTCGATCGTTACTTTGCTATCGGTCAGCCATAGCAAGCAACCAGTCCACTTCGTCTTCAAGGACTATACCAACACCAGCGGCTGGCCCGATGGGTGGGCAGTGTTCATCGGTCTTACGGCCTGCTTGTGGGCCTACTCCGGAGTCGATGCAGCCACCCACGTATCGGAAGAAGTCCCAAATCCGAGCAGAACTGTACCTCTGGCTATTGCCCTTGCCATGGGCATGGGCATGATTACAGTTGTTACTTGGAATATGACTTTGATGTTTGCAATCAAAGATGTCAATGCTATTATCTCTTCCTCTGTACCTATTTTGGAAGTGTATAACCAAGCTTTGGGATCGAAGATTGCAACCACCATCTGGAGTATTTACTATATGGTCATGCTCTACCATATCGTTCTCAATCTTTTCATATTTTCAGGTCGGATAATCTGGTCCTTTTCAAGAGATCGTGGCCTACCGTACTCCGGCTTTCTCTCACACCTGAGCTGGGGAGCGAGCCCGGTGCGAGCTACGGCTGTTTCTCTCGCTCTGCAAATTATAATCGGCATTCTTTACATTGTGTCTTCGAGCGCCTACAGCAGCTTCGTTAACCTGACGCTTTTTCAACTCAATATCACGGTCGCACTCCCTCAGACTGCACTGCTCTTCAGAGGCAGAGGCTGCCTCCCAGAGGAACGAGCTTTCTCGCTTGGCAGATACGGTTATGCGGTCAACATACTTTCAACATTATTCGTCATTTTCTTCTCGGCTACTTTTTCATTCCCCGCTCTTCTTCCAGTCACTGGCTCATCCATGAACTATCTTATTGTGGTAATGATCATTGGCTTGTTGGTAACTACGGCGGCTTGGTTTTGTGGCATGAAAGACAAATTCACAGGCCCCCAGCACACAATATCTCAGCTAGATTAGAGTTCTCTATGTAGTAATCCGAATCAAGCATTTTCGGTTACAGCATTGTTGACATGCCGGTCATTTTCTACGGTCGTGTGATCTGGTTATCTTTCGGCTTTAGCATCGGCTTCTCGGCTACATGCGCTACGATGCTAGTTTCAAGCCGCGATGATCATGGCGTATGAGTTGGCGTTATCAAGTGAGTTTGATGCTGGTGTTGTAAGAATGATACTACTTCGAGCTAGCGCCCACCTGAGTCGTCGTTGGTCTCCGGATGCCGCGGACCGCAGCGGTTCATCAGTTCTGCCGTGAAATCTCCGGGTTTGCCTACCATAGCTCCGGCAAAGAGCGGCTCCCGAGTACTCCGCACTTCTGCATCGTGTCCCCTGTTTCCTGTTATCGCAGGCCAACAACATGGCATGGCTGGTGTAGCTGTGTAAGTGCAGAGCATGATCTGGCTATATACTCGGCAGCGAAGTCATCACCTCGCCTTCGCTGCCGGCATCGCCCAAGTCAACCACTTCGAATCACAGTATTAACTCTAGACGACAATGTTCACCATCGCAACCTGCTTTTTGGCAGCCAACGCTGCCTTGGCCGCATCGCTTAACGCCCTGCAGCGGCCCCTGAATCCTGAACATGATGCTCCAGTCCAAGATCAGGTCACGAACGTGGTACGCGAGCTGTCAATTCCAGAGAAAACGCGAGTGTTTGGCTGGAGAAACTGGCAGTTTCATACTGATACTTGGACCAGGGGCACGTGGCCTTCAGTGGCATAACAACTTATGGATTGCTGCCTCATGAGCCTTGTCTTGACCGTCCGAACGCCGAGTATGATATCGGGATCATTGGTAAGTCGAGTAATTTGATCTAAGACTTCTGTCTCCTGATGTGCTTGAAGGAATACCGTTCGACGTTGGGGTCAGTTACCGGCCCGGTGCCAGGTTCGGGCCCAATGCCATTCGACAAGCCTCACGGCATTTGACACTTGCGTAAGTCAGTAGACAACGATGCAAGTGACCGATACTAATTGAGACTTAGCGGCGGATACAATGTGTAAGTACAAAAGAAAAGGACATGAGTTGCCAGGCCGAAACTGATCTCGTTGAAGCCCGCAAAGAGTTAATCCCTTCAGGTTCTGGGGCCAGGCTCTCGATTGCGGAGATATCGCAGTAACTCCGTAAGTCACTTCGTTCTTCGCGCAACAGCGACTTTGCTTCTGTCTAGTTCTTCATTCCTGATATTGTACAGCTATGATAAGCATCTTGCTCTGCAACAAATTGAGGATGCCTATGATAGGCTTCTTGACAGGAAGACGTACACCGCCGCCGCCTCTGACGCAGCGTCGGCTCAGAGGACCATACCGCGCCTTCTCTCGCTCGGGGGGGATCACACTATTCTTCTACCGATTTTGCGAAGCATCAACAAAATATACGGTCCTATTGCAGTCATTCACTTCGACTCTCACCTTGATTCATGGAACCCATCCCTGAGCGCGCCGTCAAAAGAGGCTACCGTGACGCACGGTAGCTTCTTCTGGCTTGCAGGTCAAGAGGGGCTCATTTCCAACGACAGTAACATCCATGCTGGACTTCGGACAACGCTGGGAAGTCTCGGAGACTACGAGGACGATGATACGTGCGGGTTTGCTCGCATTGAAGCCCGCGACATCGACGAAATTGGTGTCAAAGGCATCATAAACAAGATTGTCAACCGGATCGGAACGGAACGACCGGTATACCTCTCTTTTGATATCGATACGCTCGATCCAGCCTTTGCCCCAGCAACTGGAACTCCTGAAACTGGAGGTTGGACCACCAGGGAGATGCGAGCAATTGTTCGAGGTCTTTCGAAGTTGAACCTCATTGGCGCAGATGTTGTCGAGCTAGCTCCTGCCTATGACACCAACGCCGAAGTCACCGCAATTGCAGCGGCCGATCTCCTATATGAGATGATGAGCATTTTTGTCAGGAAGGGCCCCTTAAAGTTGTAAAACAAGATGGCATTCTTGAACCGTCTGGGTTGCAATGTAAATGGGTCATGTCAGCAGTAGTTTTGATGCCTTTGCTTTCAAGTCAATTTAGAAACTGCGCTGATATAGAAAATCAACATTCACCCGTCATAACTGAACATCCCAAGCGTGTGAAAATAATGTGAGTAGTGTATTCAAAAAAAGAAATTGACAAGCTGGAAAATGCTGAGAGACGGCGTCTCTCACCGAAGAACCTTGCGTGGTTCTCGTGGAGTCCCGAGAGTACATAATCAACTTCATTGAGCCATCCTTAGAAAAGGAAGTTATCGCAGAGACTTGTGGTCAAGTAGAGAATAAGGAGACTAATATTACATTTACAACGAGTCTATTTGCACACGTGCCGTGCACCTTGGAACTGGAAGCAATGTCTTCACTGGAGAGTAGTTCTCTCATGTCAGGAGGTCTTGTTGACTTCCAGGTTCGTCCTCGTCCTCTTTGATTCGGTCCAAAGCCCGAGTAACTTCTTGCTCCCAATCTGTCCATAGTACAAAGAGTAGTTCTAGCATTCCGACTAGACCCATTCCTATACACTGCCCGATCCAAAGCCCTGAGAGTTCAAGGCCTCTAAATGCCATATGTGATCCCAAAGGAAGGGCGACGACGTAGTAGCTTATGAGGTTTGCCGCAGCGCCGATCCTCTGCTTGCCCATCCCTCTTAGAATCCCGCCGCAGCTTCCATTGAGGGCGTCTGCAAGCTGGAAAAGACCTACCCAGGGCAGGACCCCAGCAACGTATTGCACAACCTCAGGGTCCGTCGTGAATAGTTTCCCAAGGTGGTTGCGACCTATTACCAGAACGGACAAAATGAGGCCAGCTACCGCAACGCTCAATGTGACTGAAGTACGGGCAACCCGTCGAGCGGCCGCCGCATCTTGAGAACCAAGAACGTTGCCCACACGGAAGCTTGTGGCTACCCCGATTCCAAATGGAATAGTGACAATGACTTGGTCGGCCGTCATGAGAACGCTCTGTCCGGCCAACGGAAGACTACCTAAGCGGCCTGCAACTAGAGCAATAATTTCAAAGGCCCAGAACTCGGTGCCAAGTTGAATGATGCCCAAAGCCGCTATTCGAGAAAAGGCGTCGAGGTTTTTGAGGCAAGATCTGTTCCAGCCACCCCAACACTCATGTCCTTGGACGAAACCAGTGTAGAGGGTCAGAAGTATGAAGGCGATCCAGTAGCAGATACCAGTAGCGATAGGAGCTCCCATCAGGCCGACGTTGAAGCCGTTGATGAACAGGTAGTTGAACAGCCCGTTGAGTGGAGATACAATGAGCATAACGTAGGTTGACGGCCGTATGATTCCTTGCGACTGTAGATACTTCTTCATGAGTTCAAAGTAGATGTAACCAAAACCTCCGGGAATGAGGTACGTCAAGAACTTCGCCGAATCGTGAGAAAGCTGTTTGTCTTGACCGAGCACGAGGAAGATAGGCTCGGAATAAAACCAAATAATGCAAATCGGAATAAAGAAGAGAGTGAGAACAACGAAAGAGCGTTGCAACAGTATCCCGGGTTGATACTTATTGATGCCTCCAGTGAACGCCACAGAAGCAAGTGTGTCGAGAGCTGTGGAACCTCCTTGCCCGATCAGCCAGCCAGAGCATGTTGCAAACATGTACGAAAAGGCTGCAACTGACAGGTCACCGGGCAAGCATCTTCCAACGATGATGACTGAGATTGTTTGTAGAGAGTTTTGAAGAAGATAGGAGGCGATCACGGGAAGTGAAAGCTGGAGGAGAGCCCAACTTTCACTTAGGGAAAGGGCTGCCTCCCACTTCGAAGTGTACGGTCGAAATAATGCATGGTCTTCCGGTCGTAGAAGAGAAGTTCCTTCGTCCGAGTAGAGACTATCTTCACCGATAGCGTCGGGCAAGAGGGGGTCTTTGTTCAGCGACGAATTAGCAAGCTTATTGAAGTCATCTGGGGATTTCTTACTCTGGCGAGGATGGCGCGGCATGCTTGCAAAATCAACCGTTCTATTCGTGCGCGTGAACTTCGAGCAAATTTCCTCGGCAGTACTGACTGGAATAAGTTCATCGGGTTCGTTACCTCAGACGGCTTTCATGTCCTCCCTATAGGAAAGACACGCTCAATTAAGATAGGCTGATCCTCGGGGAAACGGCGATACGTAATCCGTCCAACCTGAATCATCCATGCTCTCTCGTCAAGTCCTGGTTAGCCTATCCGGTTATATGCATTCTTGGCAAGTGCAGAAAGACTTCCTATTTGGGAAGATTGCAGTCAAGCATTGCGTCAATAATTCATCGCGTCATTCGCCCGTGCGTCCGTTGCGGGTGACAAGGACCGCTTGCAGGTGATTGAGGCCTTCTCGACTGACGAGAGTTATTGCTTACGCAAAACTCCGGATAGAAGTGCCATGAATATCCGGAGTGTTGAATGTTTGAGTTGTATTTAATGCTATATTCGAAGCATACAGTGTCTCCATATGAATGTGTTTACATACTTGATTCTTCGTTTCCCCTTTACCGTGAGCCTACAATTGAAGTTGAAACCATCAACGTTTTGCGAGGAACTCGACAAACGTTCTCATAATGCCTACCTCAACGAACAACAATGTTACCAAGCGCACTTTGAAAGTGTCTGAGTCTGGTCGAGAGTTATACAACTTCTCGCAACAGTACAGTGTGGGTGGTGTGAACCTACTCCCAGTCTACTTTGATTCCGGGAAGGGTTCTCGCCTCGTAGTAAGTAAGCCCTCTTGACTTTAAACTTCGTATCAAGACCATGCTTTTGAGAACTGTTTTTCTAGGATTCAGCTGGAAACGAACTCATCGACTTTATTTGCGGCTTTAGCGCCACTAACCTTGGCCAATGCCACCCAATTATCGTTGAAGCACAAGTCAAGTCAGCCCAGCAAAGTAAGATCGCATATATTTCGGGTAATGACATAAGTGCTTACCAGTACAAAATTGCAGTTACCTTGGCCAACATCGCTGGAGTCTCAGCATCCTGGCCCCGTTTGGCTAAACGATTGTGCGAGAAGTTCGGATACGACAAGGTCACCGCAATGACTTCTGGGGCTGAGGCTGCGGATACGGCTTGCAAGCTTGCCCGTGGCTGGGGTATCAAGACAAAGAAGATCGACCCAGCCGAGGTTCTGGTCTTCGGAACTTCAGAGAACTACCATGGCACAATTTCGGGCGTTTGGCCACTGATGGAGCAGGAGGCAGGCTGGGATCGTACGTGGACTCTCTCGAAACTCCAGTCTCTCGATGGCTAATTGAGGCATTAGTATACGGAACCTTTAGTGGAAACGTGACAAACATTAATCCTTTGACTGGTAAGGTCCTTCGATATCTTCATGCTGAGGATTACGCCGAAGCCTTTGAACAAATGCACGAACGTGTCGCTGGTGTCATTATGGAGCCTCTTCATGGTACTTCAAGGTCCGAAATTGCCCGCGCTTGGAACCCCCAAAGACGCAAACTAATTTGTACTTGAGTAGGTCAATGGAGGAGGAGATAGAGTTTTGCATTCAGGTCCGTCAACTTTGCAAGAAGTACAACATCTTGTACATTGCAGACGAAGTCCGCATGGGCGCCTGCAAGACAGGCAAGACTCTCAGCTCAGATTGGCTGGGACCGGAGAACAAGCCCGACATGATTGTCATGGGCAAGTCCATCTCTGGGGGCGCCTATCCCGCGTCCTTCGTACTCGGGTCCGACGAAGTTTTGACAAACGTCAAACCGTACCATTCGCTCAGCACGATTGCCTCAACCCCGATGGCGTGTGCTGTCGTTGAGGCTTCTCTTGACATCTGGGAAACTGAGAATCTGCCACAGAGAGCACTGAACATACACAAGCAATGGAAGAAGGAGATTTCAAGCTGGAGTTTTCCATATCTCAGATATGCCACCGCCTTCGGCGCTGATATGAGCCTTTTTCTCAACGAAGAGTACGAGACCCGAGAGGAAAAGATCACGGCTCGTCGGCTCATGCTTTTATGCGCGAACAAAGGACTTCTAGTGTATCCCGCACCTAGAGGTCGCGTACGCTTGGGAACGGCACTGACAATCAGCAACGAGGACCTCCTCGAAGGGTTCAGAATTCTACGAGAAGCCTTGACCGAGTTGCCACTCTACGGAGATATTGAACTAGATGAGCAGCAGAGAGAGGGTTTCTGAGCCGCTGCAACATGAGCCGTCCCCTTTGTCGTCAGCTCAACTGCGCTTCTCCAGCGTTGATATCATCAATAGCTTCGAACACCAACCAACAACACAAGGGAAAGGTTTTACGCTGCATGAAGCTATTACATATTTTATATTTACATATCTTATATTGAATAGTTCCATCATACGTCTTCTATCATGCTTCCGTTGCTACCATGACATGCGGACCTAACAATTTTGAAAGCTCCCATGTGATTAGGATTCCGCCACTGGAAATGATCTATTGGTATGTATGGCTTTCTGGAGCGAGGACGTACTCAATCACATGGCAACATAAGCTTTTAAAGTCTCCCAACTGTAATTCCAGCTGTACTCTACGAGACCGTCCATCAGCCAGTCCACATATTCCATCAGTAAAGTGCGAGTGCAAACAGGTCCAAATATTTTCAGGCAACCCCGGTAGACAACAAATGTGTCTCTTCCGTTGATTCCTTCAGATAGTGTATCTGAACCATGGCACGTTATCCGCTAGCTCTGCTTCCAAAGCCTTTTGCTCTTCAGTCAACTCCTGAACTCCGGCTTCTTGGGCCACTTTGTCGCGACGGGCATTCTCTCTCCTGCACCACGTAGTCATGAACAACGTCAGACAAAAGGCCATGCTGGTTCTGGGTTAGCACGTAGAAGCAGAGAATTCAGAGTATGCATCTTACCCAATGAACCCGATGAGAATGCTGTGCCCGGTAGTGTAACGTGGGCCGTCACGGGAGAGGTAAACATAGGAGGCGATGATGCCTCCACAATTGCCTCCCATAACTTGCATGGCAATCCCTGTTCCTCTCTTCAAGCTGCCGCCGATATTACTGCTGTTCCACGCCATTCCGAGAGGAATCTGTGGGTAAATTCCTGCCAGAACTGTTAGTCGTTTTGTGATATGTAATCCCAGAATCTTCATGAGTTACTTACCGACCGCAGCGAAGACTGTCCCGGCATATTGCGACGAAGCTTTGCTGGTGCCAACCAATAACGCAAACCCCAAAATGCCGACGAGTTGGAACCCCAGCAGGAAGATACCACGTTGCCTGATCCTATCTGCGTACCAGCTGGCAATAATTGTGAAAAAGCATGCGCAGACGTAGGGCGGCACAGACATCAGCTGGGCATTGTTCGACGTGTAGCCCATGTTCTTGATGATGGTCGGCAAGAAGAGAGCGATGGAGTAAATGGGGCAGAATCCCGCCATGCAAATGAGCATGTGGATGTAGATCTTCCAGTCTTTGATACCCTGCCACACATACTTGACGTTAAACTCGTTTGATAGGTAGCCCGAGTCTTCCTGGAGCCGTCTCTGGACTTCAGTGCGTTCTTTTTCGTTGAGAAATCGAGCACTAAAAGCATGCACGTCTTAGCTTGTGGTTACACGGAGGGAAAGCACCACTTACGTTCCAGGATAGTCGTAAATAGCCCAGTAAGCGGTGAATGAGACCAAAATGCTGAGAATGCCTTCGAGAATGAAGATCCAGGCCCAAGCAGAAAGACCTCCGACGCCGTGCATCTCGGCGATTCCTCGTGCAAGAATACCGCCGAAAGCCCCAGCAAGCGTGGCAGCAGAAAAGAAAACGGCCATCCTTAGACCGCATTCATGTCGACAATACCATTGCGTGATGTAGTAGTTAACTCCCTAGAAACACTTGTCATTACATGTCACCGCAAGATGCTGCAGGTAGTGGACTTGCTGGGAAGAGACCACCCTCAAAAATACCCAGAATGACTCTCGTCGCCATAAGCCCTGAGTAGCCCTTGACAAAGCCCTGTCCTATCATTGCTGCCGACCAGCACACCATGATGAAAGTTAACCAGATGGAAGGCCGCAGGCGTTTCATCATCATGTTGCTGGGGATTTCGGCGGCGATGTAGAAGGGGAACAGAACGGCAAGGCAGTCATTGTATTGAATGCCGGTCAACTTGAGATCTTGCTCCAAGTGGTCGAGACGGGCGTTTCCGATATTTGTCCGATCTAAGAAGCATAATCTTTACTCTAATTAACGTTGCATGTTCAAGAGACCTTATTTTGTGGGAACGGTAATCCATGACTTACAGATAGATCAGCGACATGAACGGGATGATGTGCCAATCAAGCTTCCTGAGGAGCTTTTTTGTGGAGTGTTGGTCCCATGGCTGCGACTCTGCGAGCTCGATCGACTCTGCTTGAGGAGCCGTCTTTTCCGACTTCGTAATACCGTCTGATTCCATTGTGGCTTCAAAGCTTCAATTCGTGCTTTCAACGAGACCGCTTCAAATGGACAGGTAACTTAACTACAGGTATTAAGAGAGAAAGGCATCTCCGCGGAGGACAACGACTGCCGAAGTCAAGCTTTTAACCCCAGACTTGACCCCGATGTCCAAGATCACCTCCCTGTCAGCATTCTGGGCGTCTTATCAAAGCCCTAGTCAGTGGCAAGCTGCATCCAATAGACCCGTCAGACAAGACTGACACTAGACCTGAAGGATTGAGTCTGGGACATGCACGTAAGACGGGCAGCCGTACAGGGTCGTGTTCTGGCCAATTGATTTAGAACACAGCATGCATCTCACAAAGTTCATGCCGCGATCAAGGGAACAACATAATAGCGCTGCGGCCCGATGTACGGCCTCTAGTAATCGTGAGATCGCCGTAACCTTCCCAAAGCGGGGATGCGATTTGGGTGACATCGTGGGATTGTTGGACTCGCTATTCCTCGTTACGGTTGGCGTGAGCTCTCACTGTTACACATGAATGCATCTCTGCAAGCACGTCTTACCGCCGAGAGTGATAGGCGACTTCGGCCTTCGGACACAATAGCCATTTGAGGTATGGGCCGTACGCGCGTTGGAACGCGAAGTCATGAATAAGAAACCTATTGGGCTTATATACAACTACAAAGGGGCAAGACCCTCGGCCATGTGCATGCGGGGCGACCTTTCGAGATATCCGATTCGACGATGCGAGACAACCGAGAGACAAAAAGCGGTAAGAGACTCGTAAGGGGCGAGAAAATCACTGGTCGATTGGAGACCACGTGTTGCGGATGGCCCCGAGCTGTCTGATAGAGGCGTACACACGATATTTTTATACCGATTTGAAATCTTGCTGACATGTTTTTGATCTGCTATGCATGTCGTTCAATCTTTCCTAATCCAAACAAGTTAGCTGCAATCAGTCGCTTTTTCGCGGCTTTCTAAGAACATAGCATCGGCTCAATACCAGTACAGGAGTGTTTGAAGAGTAGTTAAACAGCTGTATTAATCAAATTAGCGTATTGAATTTGACTAACATGGTGGTTCGTATCTGTCCAGTCACTTCAACGGTGTGGCGGATATGGTCTACTCGCACTGCGTGCCTGCGTGGTACCTGACTGTCATTCCGGCATCAGCCAGTTCAGCAGACTCGGCGTCAATTTCGTGCCTATTGTCTGCGGATCAGTGTTTGTCCACTGGCGAGACTAGACCCGAGTGCCCAGGTGCCAGGGAGCTGGAATGTAGCGAGCCAATACGTTTGCAATAAAGAGATGTTGTCCCTGCGTTGAAGAGGCAGTGTAACAATGTGGCTTTCTAATTAAGTCCAGCTACTACAATAAGCCTCATTGGGCAAATCTGTATCCTTTTGATTGAGTCTAAGGTGCGCTGCGAGAAATCGTGAGATTTGAAGAGTATCATCGAGCTCGTACCCGACAACGTCGATTTGGTAAATGTCAGCATGAACCGACTGGGATAAGACTGTGATAACGATAAATGATGACACCTTCGACCTCCCAAAGGAATTCCTAGGCATCTGGAGAGTTCTTCTTTTAAGAAATACATGAGGAAAAGAGCAAACCGGGAAATATGGACAAGTGGATGACCATTAAAGGGCATTGTGAAGGAAGCCGACTGGTTAATGGTGCTGTTGCGAAAATATGATTAGAAACTGTGGTGACACTTATAACTCGGGCTGCCTCTTGGTTTAACTTCCGAAGCTTTGTTTTTCTTCCATGAGATTGTCTTCGGGAGAATTGTTGCATGACACTCGGCTCAAGGCTGCACGACTGCCAGATGGCTCGATCTATTGCAGAACTGACAATGTCAATTTGCTGATTCTTTGAAAAGAAGCTGCAATTGTAATGCACTGGGTTGTTTCCAATCATATTTGGGATGAAGGTCCTCTTACTCTCTTTTTGTATGTTAGATGACAACAGATCCCGAATCTTCAATAGGCTGTGCAATCACCCCGATGAATGCCTCAAGCCGATTCATACACCACCGTATTTTGGGCGCTGACAAGGCGGCTAATAGACGGCAATTTCTGCAAACGCCGCAACAGCCTTTCAATCAAAGATACACAGTCAGGCATTTCAGTCAGGCGCACATGCATCCGTTAATGTGACATAGTTGCTAACCTAAAGCATCGCGAGAAGTGGTGCCTGGTTTCCAATACATTGAATGGATTCTGATCTGTTTTCGCTGCTCTTCGGCCCGTCATCCGGAGACATGGGATTCTTCTGGAAATTTGATCGGTTTTTCTGTGTAACCGACGTACTTTGAGTGTTTCCTCGTAACATTCCGTACATACGCAAAGCGCTGTCCCGAGCGGCTTTCCATCCGGCAAACGAGACCGGCCACCTGAGGGTATCACCAAGAAATGCAACGCTGGTTGAATGCAGAAGCGAATATTAAGGAGTACGTCACCAAGGAGAAACACCAATCGATGCCGGATATAAAATGAATTATATGAAGCCGACGGAGCTTCGTCCTCCGTGTGCCGTGATGTTTACCCTTTTGCCCCGCTTTGAAGCCAATGAGGAAGACATATTTATCCCCGTTTCGCCCGCCTCCCGCTCTAATGCCTGCACGCCGAGACTTCACCCCGCAGATTCCCCAGACGCCTCTTCGGCAAAAGATCAAAGCCAAGAAACATAGGGCCACTTATCGACTTCGGCCCCTGGGCAAGACTCTGCGATACCCTATGTTTTGCACGACCGGCTGCCGCTCAGCTATCCGGAACCGGCTTTGCATGCTCTCCTGTGCCGCCCGACCTTTCCTAATGGCTGCCGGGTGCTATTGATGGTTCTCGGACCCAAACTACCAGTACGAACGGTGTGAGAGATTGCGTGGGCGGCCGCTCTTTGTTGATTAATGCCGTTCGCTAACGGAGTGGCAAGAATCACATCACGGAGCGCATGATCTCAACCTTCTCAGGCCGGACACGGAGCAGAGCCGAAGAAAGGGTTTACCAAGACTTCTTTCTTTTTTCCATCTTACAGTTCTATGGCTGGAAAAACTTCAAGCTCCTTCGCCAAGGACTGAGTTGAGCGCGTGGACGCATGCAGGAGAGCATGTTTTAAGGAGCCTCCTGCCAGCGCGGGTCTCCATCTACGCGTCCTCGTCGAAGCGCCGAGACGGGCAAGGGAGCCCTGCCGAATCAGTTCGGACATTCTACCAGCGAACACCGAAGACGGCTGAGATCGGCGAGCATCACTGGGGGATTCCGCAGCTTCTTCCCGTTCATCCCGGACTTCTTTGCTTGTCTGCCGACGCCGAGACATTGGCCCTGGACGACATCACTTGGCTCATCAGAAGTCGCCCGCCACAACCCGTTGATTTCCAAACTCTCGACCAATGGAGAGGCTTCCTCCCCGCTGACAAGATCTTGGCCATTGTTTGAAATATGGAGCTTTCCGGATCGAAGAGCCATGAGAGCCATGGGTTCAAGAGGGAATCGCTGCTTTGAGTAATTGTCTCCTCTGGAGCAACTTCATACGGCCCCTGAGAACGAGCGGAATCTTCGTCCCGGCTGACCTGGTTATCTCTGAAGATGGAAAGTCGACCATGGAATCTGAGGTCACATGGGCCCTCTTTGAGAAGAGCCGCCCGTGTGGTTGCTTCTCGCCAGCTGACTTAGACTGATTCCGTCGACGATGACTACCTGGCCTGGTGGTTTGATCACGGAACGCAGACGCGATGTTACCGGATGTCGGGACGCCAAAGGAGATCAGTTCGGCGAGCCTCATTCCGTGAAGGGGCGATATTGAACTTTCAGAGATGGCTTTCGAGCACATAAGTAGAGCGACAATCTCCTGTTGATGGAGAGATTTTGATATCGCTCCTCATCCCGCAATCAATCAACACTTCGGCAGCTCCTAGTCTCATCCGGCAACTCTTCGTTCTCTTCAGTTATCTTCATCATGAAGTACACAATTCCCGCTCTTTCCATGCTGGCCATGGCCGTGGCCCAGCAGGTTGGCACTGAGGATCCCGAAGTCCACCCCAAGCTGAGCTGGTCCGACTGCTCCTCTGGCTCTTGCGCCCAGAAGAGCTCTGACGTCGTCATCGATGCCAACTGGCGCTGGGCCCACAATGTCGGGTACGTGCTACTCACTCTTCTCAATGATCTCAAGTCGACTAACATAATCACTCAGCGGATACGAGAACTGCTACGAGGGAAACAAGTGGACCAACAAGTGCACCTCAGCTGATGACTGCGCGAAGAACTGCGCCATCGAGGGAGCCGACTACAGCAACACCTACGGTGTCTCAACCAGCGGCAATGCCATGACCCTCAAGTTCGTTCAGACGCACGAGTACGGCAAGAACGTCGGTTCTCGCATGTACCTCATGAACAGCGAGACCAAGTACCAGATGTTCACTCTCATGAACAACGAGTTCGCCTTCGATGTCGATCTGTCCTCCGTTGAGTGCGGTATGAACAGCGCTCTCTACTTCGTTTCCATGAAAGAAGATGGTGGTCTGGCCGACGAGGCCAACAACAAGGCTGGTGCCAAGTACGGTACTGGATACTGCGATGCTCAGTGTGCTCGTGATCTGAAGTTCATCAACGGTCGGGTAAGTTGAAAAGGAGATTCGGATACTATCTTTTGAGAATCACAAGATTGACTGAGCCGCGAATAGGGTAACATTGCCGGCTGGCAGCCCTCCAAGACCGATGCCAACTCTGGTTTCGGTAACCTCGGTGCCTGCTGCGCAGAGATTGACGTCTGGGAGTCCAACAACGCTGCCTTCGCTCTTACTCCCCACCCTTGCGTGAACAACGAATACCACGTCTGCGAGACTACTACTTGCGGCGGTACCTACTCTGAGGACCGCTACGGCGGTGGCTGCGATGCCAACGGTTGCGACTACAACCCGTACCGCATGGGTAACCAGGACTTCTACGGAAAGGGCAAGACCGTTGACACGTCCAAGAAGTTCACGTGAGTACCCTAATCTAGCTAGCCGCTGTCATCACCTTCGAAGACCGAGACTAACATGATCGTACAGTGTTGTCACTCGCTTCGAGAACAACCGCATGTCTCAGTTCTTCATTCAGGACGGCAACACGATCGAGATCCCCGGCACTACCTACCCGGGCATCCCCAACGAGACCGCCGACATCACCCCCGAGTTCTGCGAGGCTCAATTCTCCGTCTTCGGAGAGCGCGACCGCTTCAACGAGGTTGGCGGCTGGGGCAAGCTCAACTCTGCCCTCGAGATCCCCATGGTCCTTGTCATGTCCATCTGGAGCGACGTAAGTCATCAAGCATCCAGGCCACCAGCGGTTACTTGTACTAACTTTTGCAAAGAACTTCGCCAACATGCTTTGGCTCGACAGCAGCTACCCCGTCGACCGCGCCGGCGAGCCTGGCGTCGACCGTGGCCCATGCCCCACCACCTCCGGAGTTCCCTCCGAGGTCATCTCCCAGTACCCCAACTCTCAGGTCATCTGGTCCAACATCAAGTTCGGCCCCATCGGCAGCACGTACGATGTTTAAGATGTTTAGACTTGGGACACGGAAGCATAGACCCTCTGGTTGGAACTTGCATGATTCAAAATTGTACATTGGGCAACACTCGATGGAGCACGCTCTTACCTCCTTTCTGTAAATATCTTCACTTCGAACCCACTCGTTTTAGGATCAATAAGATCGTTTTTCTTTGGTCTTCATATTAAAAACATCTGCCCCATAGGCCGCGAGTTGTTTTCTATGTGATCGAGCATAAACTACCCTCTTTCGATGCCGTGAGTCAACGAAGGTATCCATGTCCTCGAAATCAGCACTGTCACATTGCTCAACACGAATCGTGCGTCTAAACCCTCAATTGAAAGGCAATCAATCAAAGTCCAGGCCGCTCAGAATGATGTGGAGTTACACGCCTTGAGTTTTGATACGCAGGCATCGACCATAATGTACGAATACCGCATACTCGACAGCCTCCGATGTCCCTTGAACGGGGCCAGATTAGCAGAAGTAGGTCTAGGTAAGCTTCATCGCATCCAAGAACCAAAACCTCTGGAGTTTACCAGCTATTTAACTTCTTTCATGTGCTTGTGACTGTTTCGTTTCAAAGTTGCTGCGAAAATTGTTCCATACTCTGATCGTGTGAGAGTCTTTCTACCGCCCTCGTGTCAGCTGTCTGAGCTGAGGACACCAAGGAGGCGGTGTAGTATGTATGCTCTTTTGTCATGGAAGCAGGGGTTGTGGCTCTACAACTTTATTAAAGATGCCTTTTGAAAGTCTAAATCAATCTGTTTCCAACATACTAGGGAAGACAGGGCAGCTTTCTCATGTTCAATGGTAGGTAGAGACATCGATATGTGGAAGAAAACGAGTGATTTGATTCGCTAAAACGTCTTGGTTTTCATTGGCTAGTTATGCTGAGTTTTCATTGGACGCAGAGCATGAGGCTCATTGGTAGATTCTGATTGGTAATTATTTATCCGGCTCATGCCATGATTCATGGACAAGTCGTACAAGTCCCATAACTGCGTTGGATGAAAGATATTGGAAAGAAGGTTTGTTATGTTTGAACTGTCTGACCTGATGCTTCAGCTTTTGCATTGTGTTTGCTGACATTGTAAGAAGGGCGGTGTCCAAAGTTTACTCTGAGTCTGCGACGAAGATTTCACGGCCCCCTGCGCCGCCTGGGAGATGGCCGGTACCATAATCCGTCTGGTGCTGCAGCTCGCTGACGGTAATCACATAATAACAAGAGCATCTTTGATATCCCTCTTTTTTTGACAATTGTTGGACGGAGAAGCATGACGTGTTTCCCAGGCAAAGTCTAGCCGATCTGCCTAACACAAGAATACAAGGTGCTGTTGGGTGTAATGCGTGTGGTCATCAAAAGCTGGAAGGAACGGAATTGAATGTCATTATTGCCACAGGACCCGTGAGAGGAGAATCGGGTAAACTGCTGAACCTCCTTTGAAGCATAACACGGATTTCAGGATCCACCCGACTTGGCGATCAGAGGTGCTTGTGCCATCGTTTCCCCATGCTTTCTACGGGGAATGTCGGCGAAACCGTAGACTACTGTTCCAAGAGCGGTAAATAACGTTTCATATTCCAGACGCCATTCTACGGGCGTATGGTGAAATGGAAGAATGCAGCCTGAGGCTTCAGGTAGCCTAAATCCAGCTCGCAGATTTGGACATATCCGGAGAGTACGGATTGTGAAGAACGAGTTATGAAGCGGCACTTATGCGACACCCACAAGTGTTTACCAACACCCCCAATCACAAGTCCGCGGTTGAAATGTGGTGTTAGCGCGTAGACTTCTGCTCTAGAAGCAAGACGCGGGTGAGGCAGGACGCCCGGGACCTCGGTGCCCGCTGTGCTGTGCGAATGGCCCCTATGCCATACGAGACTCTCAGTCATAGGGTTATTGTACGGAACAGGAGGACCTGGTATCTGGTCATGAAGTTCCATACGCGACATGATAACTTCAAGTATCGTTTTGATCACGAGCCTTCCTACTACAACGAGCCCCCTCTCATATGATAGAAAGTTGTTTCATGTCGTAGAAGATTCCATGTCATAGATGGCTTCAGCGCGTAATCGGCATGTACATTCTCTAAATATGCTGAGTGGCTTTGTTTAGTTGAGGGGTTCTCGGCAGTCAGGGGTGTCGCAGTAGCGACTCCTTCATGAATAATTTTATCCTGATACATTTCCGCTCGTACTGTTATCCCTGGCTGTTGGAGTAGTAGGGAGGCACGGAGGTAACCGACCAGACTGTACTCGATCGATGCTAAAAGATGTCTTTATGACATTGTTGATCAACGGGTAAACTGCTGTATCGGTGCTTGGGTTTACACACCTCCACCGGTACGCCCGGCCTGGACACAGAAACACCACACCCAGCCACCCACGAAGATGATGAAGCGCTTCGCTAAGCCAAGAGTGAGAGAAGCCCCTTCACGCCAATGACTCTTCCATATCTATAACGGGCCGACTGTGCTTGCAGCGCCTCAGAGCTACGCGTTTTCTTAACGAAGGCATTTACAACTCGTTCGATACCTGCAGAAACACAACCAACCAAACCTAACCATGCCCTATGCCCAGTCGTCTGTACCGCTTGGAAGAGTCTAAAGCGCACGAGTACCTGACGTAACGAACTGACATAGTTGGTGGGAGCTTTACGAAAACCGAACCCGAAAAATAAAGCAGGGATAGCCATCCAAGTGCGAATCTCCTCATTGGTCTGTTGGACAGACCCAATGCCAGTAACGGACGCTAATGCAGCCTGCTGACGCGCTAAAAATGGTGGATATGGGTCTTAAATCCGTTGCGTACGTCTATCCAAAGTGGAATTGGCTTCGCCTTCGCTACCTTAGACGATTACAAACCCGGGATTGGCTTCACGGAATAGGGTTTATATCTACCAACGAACCTGTGATAACTCACAGTGAAAGAAGCCAAAGACTGTTGGTTCCGTTGCTGAATCAATCCCAGACTTGTCGTGGTCAGGTCAACATTCACAAGGGTGACAGTTGGGCCTCGTAGGCAAACTGTAACGGCGTCTGATCTTCGAGTGTAGGAACGGTACGGATACACTACCGCAGTAGGTAGAACAGACGTCCGACCCTGAGTCAGTGCGAGCCCCGCCATCTGCCCAGGGGCAACTACGCCGATTCGACGATAGAGTTGCCAGCTTGCGGGAGCATCCTTGACACCATCAACGGTGGAAGCCGTCAGCAGCCTGCATATATGGAACGTCAGCCTTGGAACTCCCAGACGAGATTGTCCAATTCTTTGTCTCATTCTCACGGACGACCTCCGCCACTACTCGACCTAGATGGTCCAGATCTGGCAACTATTCGACGAAAATAATCTCCGTAGAACCGGCTGACGGCTGACGTCCACGTGTCGAAGTACACAATGGATCTATGTTTCAGTCACGGCGCCGCGGTTCCTGAAGGGACGCCGATCCCAGTGCAGTCGAATCCTCGTCTGGCGGAGCTGCGTGACCCTTCGGAAGACTGGACTGGCGTGACGAGCACCGCCGAGAGGAGGAAGTTGCAGAACCGCCTGAACCAGCGGGCTCGTCGTTAGTAGTTCCTCACTAATGGCCCTTGTCCGACTAGTTGGAATGTGTTGTATCTGTACTAACATGGCCTTCCCTTGAATGTAGGGAGAAGAAACCAAAAGGGAAAGCAGGCTTCCCCTCCAGCGCAGAATCAAAATTCCGATTCCTCAACCGCCATGGTGAAATTAGAAACGCCACAAAATGATTACATGGTAGCCAACACCATAGCAAGTCTGCCTACACACGAAAAGTCCGATCTCTGCAAGCTGGGACACGCAGAGACGCGCCATATGCTCGCAACATTCGCTCAGGAGGCGTACGATGACTACATCCGCGGTCAGCCCTGCCCGTCGTACCTGACGACCCTCGTTCGCGTCAACGTCTTCCACGCCTTCGTTCAAAATGCCCACGCCCTCGGTTTCAACTCCGAGTGGCTCACCTACGAGGCGATCTCGCCCTTCAACAAAATGGGCCCTGACCTGGGCCCATCCACCACGACAATCTCGTGCCCGGAGAATATGCGTCCCACAGCCCTGCAGCTAGCCGTCGAGCACCACCCCTGGATCGACTTCTTCCCGCACCCGCAGATGCGTGACAACTTTCTCCAGGTCGTAGCGGAGAAGGGGGAAGATTACATCGACGAGGATGACATGTGCCGGGACATTGTCGACGTTGGGGCCGGGGCCGGGGTGGAGGAGGCGGCGCTGATTGCGTGGGGCGAGCCGTGGGATCCGAGGGGATGGGAGGCGACGGAACCCTTCTTGAGGAAATGGGGCTGGTTGCTGGTTGGTTGCGACGAGATGTTGGAGGGAACAAATCATTGGCGAGAGAAGAGAGGGCTGAAGAAGCTTAAGTTTCACTGATCTACCTTGCAGATGTCACAAGCACCGGACCAGATGACGAAAACGAACCCTACGAGAAGATTACCAGACAACCAACCTTCTGGTTTACCGAGATTCTTCAGATAAACCCTTCACGAACGCTCGCTACGCCTCTTCTCCAGAGTCTCCAACATCTTAAAGAAGTACGGCAGAAACGCCTCCAGCTCGACTTGGAACCCTTCATGACCACCAGGCACATCAAAATGAGGGCAGTCCAAGACTTTCGCCTGCTCGTTCGTCGACCTCGCATACGACGCATCCCGACTCCTCACACCCCTCATCACTCCAACACTCGTTCCATTCGCCTTGATTCGGAGTAGATTTGGCATATATCCCATCAAGACCGAAAACTCATGAGCCCAGAAGTTCTTGGGATTCACCGGCTCCGGCGACATCGGCTTCGGAACGCCCTCGTCATCGTATCCCAGCAACGCTTTGGCGAATACCGGCTGCACGGCCTCCAAGCCCTGCGTCTCATATACATCCATGCAGTGGTACATGAACTCGAACACCTCAGTCGCATCGGGCAGGAGCGAGTACGACGGAGCCTCGTGGGCAATGAGGTGATCGACCATCTCGGGGAAATCGTGCGCGAACTGGAACGCGAGCAGCCCGCCCATGCTGCTGCCGAAGATGATGGCCTTGTCGAAGCCGAGGACCTGAATAATGGCGCGAACATCGCGGGCTTGCTGGGGCGGGTTCAGTCGCTTGTTCACCTTGACTTGGCTGGCGGACATCTGACGGCGATCGAAGGTGGCGCAGGTGTACTTGTCCGATAACGCCGTGATGATCGGGTTGTATTGCCGACCGTGACCATTGCCGCCGGGGATGAATACTATGAGGGGTCCTTCGCCCTGATACCAGTAGTGGAGGTCACAGTTCTCATTATTGACGGTTGATTTGGTCGGGTTGAACGCCATGTTGGATGATTCGCTTCAAGAGTCGGTGGGTTGGTGATGCTACTGCTACTTGTAGTGTTAAATCATTGGGTTTCTCACCGCTTTATATAACAAAAGTCATGCCATATTTCTACAAAAGTCCCAACGGGGTCCCTTGGAGGTGGGTCGCCGTTCTGATGAGGGGTAACTCCGGTATGCTGGAATAGCAATTGTAGATTGCTAAGCTTCGTTTGGCCTACCATGAGAAGAACAGAACCAACAGCGAAAATCACGCGGCTCAAATGACGCGCTATCGAAAAGCCGTAAGCTTACTTTTGTGAATCAATCGTGTATGGAAATTGCGTCTTATCTGCAACTAGGACACCTGACGACGGCCCTTGCGTATGAAGGGTATGCGGCGACCCGAAGATGCCGCGGTCTCTGATGCCGTCATCGGCCCCTCGGAACCGGGATCGGGCCCATAATTCCGGGCCGAAGATCCGGAACGGGTGGTAAGCATCATCATCAACCCAACCAGTGGTAGCGCGTGACATCTTTTTGCCTATTATAGCTGCTTGTTTATTGGTTTCATCGGATCAAACACGATGATTTATAATCTAATGTGACCACGGACGCGACTAAACCATGGCCAAATCCTCACGGCTGCAAGCGTAGAATCAGTCTTCGGTGAGGTCTATCACAGAAAGTTCCCGCTCCACCGAGGCAACACCGGCTGCAACCTCTTGAGGTCCAGGCATATCTTCATCATTCGGCTTTGTCATCCTCCACTCTCCAGTAGCCGGGTCGTATTCCAAGAGGTAGGAAGCCTGCGACCGCTTCTCACCATCGTACTCAAAATCAATGTGCAAGTTTGGCTCGCCGTAGTGGCCCATGAATTCAAGCTCAAGCTTTAACTGCGTTCCAATCTCTAGATCACCACGAAAGTTCACAGTGAAAGGCTCGGAACGCGCCACGCGTCTGTTGTGCTCGAGCTTGACGGACTGAAGAAACGTCGCAGGAGTGCCATCCACATCAATACCGCGAACGGCGATTTGATGTCTCTCGTCTCCTGTCGTCTCAAACTCAATGATCAGTCGACGTCGAAGGATGAAAACCGGAATGGGGATGTCCAGTTTCTTCATGACGCGGGTCATGAGGTCGTCCGTGGCAGACCACACTCGGATGGCGGACAACTCGTCGATCGGCGTGCTCTGGAGGTTGCAGATGACGAGTTGCCCTGCGGCGCTCGAACGGCCTCGTTTCTTTCTGCCGACTGTCTCCGGGATTTCGTTTGCGGGTGAGACGGTAAGAGAAGAACCCAAGGCGAGGCATAGATCCGCCTTTTTGGCGTTGTCACGGGCGCGTTCCAGAGGCTCTTCCCAAAGTGACTCGCCAAAGTTGATGATACTATCGAGAAGGACTCCTCCGCATAATGCACATTTTCGGCCTGTTCGATGATCACGAACTGTCTTTTCATACGTTGCGACGGCTCGGAAGTCTATAGTTGCCACATCAATCCCATGTTCGTGCAAGGAATCGAGGGTATGGCACTCACCTCGGATGTATTCCTTGTCGCAGTCTCTACAGTATTCTCTGTTGCTGTTGCCATGCAGCTCAGATATTCGGTCCTTTGTGAGATCATGTGAGGATACGTATCGTATGAAGATATTTCTAGCGACCTACCGGTAGTATGCCGCTTCTCCGATGGAGTCCGTCGCAGTTCTGGCTGACGAGATACTTCAATAGCCCTCGATTCTGCAACTCGACCAACGCCATGTGAGTTGGTGTCGGAATTGCCTGCAATGTGCTGGTTCCTTTTGACACTTGCTGTCTTCCTTGTGCTCTGAGAGTCCACACTCCCTCTGGTCCTCGGAAGTCCGGAATGCCTGAAGACACGTCATCAGGAAAACTGATCTCAGGCAGAAAGTCCGCGCCATTGCCACATGTCCCCTTCGCTGACCTGTGCTACTTACCAGCAGATGTAGATATTCCTGCACCGGTGAATACGATGAAATGTTTGCTGTTCTTGATCTTTTCAGCTAGTTGCCGCGCCTTCTCGTCCACCGACTCAGGAGCTTCGTGGCGCTCTTCTTCGGCAACTCTGGGAGCGGTGTTTGCCATAATGATTGTTTGAACAAGCAAGTAAGTGGTATAAGCACGGCAGCAAAAATCTTCCGACTTGCCCGAGTTTAGCAGTTGTGCATGTTGGTTCGGTTCATGTCGTCGTTCTCACGAAGCGATAGTTGGAGTTTTGTGAACGATGACGAGTGTATGTGCTGTTGGGGAATTCAGGCCATGGGTAAGACGAGCTGCAAGCCACCACGTGATCCTCCATCTTGAAAGGAAAGACTAACTGTAACTAGGCAACGATGGCTGCCTGATCACAGCTATTCACAACTTGAGCACATCGATGGAGCATCAGTCTTGGCGTAGGATTGGAGCCCTGTTCGACGATAGTGTTCTGTTAGTGCTAGCAACACTTCAGGTACCACACCCCACCTTCTGCTAGGTAAGAGCGACTGCGAGGGGCGGGGTCACCTTAACTCTTCTTCACACAACTAAACCAAATATTAGCCGACTTTTTAGATGACCTTGCTTAGGATGACGGGATCAGAATGATGGGGTCTGCTGTCAAATTCACCAGCTTTCACAACATGAACGTGGACCAGACGAAGCCACACCTGTTTCCCTGGTCGTCAATCAAAAGCTAAGTTTAGTCTCTACTTGCTGTTCTCCTTGATATATCCCTTGACAAACTCCCTCAGATCGCTCTGGGGAAGTTGAAGCACCTTGTTAGCCTTACCCTCCTCCGGGATGGAGTGACCAGGCTTGTCGGCAAAGTGGTACTCGATAAGGAACTCCTCGAAGGGGAATCTTCCTCCGGCGGCCAGCTTCTTCTTGCCCTCCTCGTTGACCTCGTCGGCAGTCTTGTGGTTGACGGTCCATTTCGTTCCAGTCTCTGCCTCAAACAGCTTCAGCAGCTGATTTTGCGTCACGTCGAACTCGATGATGTTGATGTACTGGTTGGCGACCTCATCGGGGTGCTTCAGCACAGCTGCAATGCCTTCCGCCAGGAAAACCAAGGATGTTGTTGAGACCTTCTGGGTGCCGGAGTCGAAGATATCGATGTGCTTTTTCTCGAGATCAATACCGTAGATGCCTCGTGTGATACTCTTTTGAACAAGATCAGTCGTAATTCTCCCACTTGCTTCATCATAATTCATCAACTGCAACTCACCCAGTCAAAGAACAGACTCGTTCCGATTCCAGTCCACGTAAAGCTAGGATTGGCCTCAGCCTTCTTGATAAGATAATCAACAGCAGCCGTCTTGGCGATCAACCAGTCGCCGAGAATCTCGCCCTTGAGGTTGCGGGTATTGAGGCCGTACTCGGACGGGATGAATCGCTTCACGCCCGCAGCGACCGAGGCGTCGATGAGTGGGTCTTGTGAGCCGTGGACAACGGCTGCCACGGTGGAGATGGCGGAAACGACTGCATCCTGGCCGGCAAGGGCTTTGGTGAGAGACTCTACCGAAGAGAGGTCCGCTTTGCGAACAGCAACGCCTCCGGGGAATTTCGCTGTCGAGGACTCGCGAGAAATCGCTGTGACGTTGAAGCCGTGCTCTTGTAGAGCCCTGACAACTCGGAGGCCAACGAGGCCGGAGGCCTGCACTGAGGTTAGCTCACGCCGGCGAAACAGAACATGAAGTGTGCAGACTTACACCGACGACAGCAACAGTCTTAATCGACATCTTTGGGTGTTAGATAGCGCAGGTCACAGGGTTCAATCCACAGCTGAGGTCAAAAGATCCGAGCCCCTCGCAGTCTTCGGTCTCGGAATGGTCGCCTTATATACTTCTCGGAAACTCAGCCGGATTTATCACCATAATCTGGATGCGTTGCATCATCAAACAAGCCTGAACAGCCCTGCCAGCCCCGACAGATTGCAACCTTGAACGGCCACTCTGAACTTTGCAGAACAAAGCAGCTGCAGGCAGTGCGGCAATTACCCACGCATGACCCTTGAAGATACAGTGCAGATCGTCAATCGACGGAGGTATGGGTGGGATGAAACCCCCATAAAGAGCCGGGCTGCCTTGCCGAGTACTCGCGAGTCAGGGCGGCGTCTCCCACCAACAGCGGCATACCGACGCCTGATAAGATGCTGTGCGACCCCTTCTCCACCATCCCTCAGGAGAGAACACTGGAATAGATTGTCGACTGATGTGAAGGACACCTTTCTTGGTAAAATCTACCGGTCCTGCAAGGCCAATCGTGAGCCCCAGTTACGGCCCGAAAGCAGATCGATCTCCGAGCAGTTATGGGCATGAGGTTATGGTGTCAACAGTCTAGCATCTCGGAACTGTGATGTTGGATTTCCGTTGTTTGGCCGGGGGCTTCCGCCTTTGATTCCACAGTCAACTACCAAGAGCAAAAAGCCGGCACGACAATCATTATCACTCAAGATGTCAGACCAGATTGAAATGAACTGATATGAATAAATACTGATGATTACATATGTACAACGCAATATATGCCTTTCATACCGCCTTATTTACTTTCCAACCCCCAGAGACTCCGCGGGCAGTAAAGATTGTGAGTCCGCTTGCCGCGAGGCAGCAGCCCGCCCAGATCCAGCCGCTCAAATACCCAAAAGATCTCGAAAGAGCGCCAGCAATGGGCGAGCCGAAAAGAATCGCCACAGACATGACGGTGAATGCCATGCCGAATCTCGTGCCCATGTAACTCTTGTCCGCCGTGAGCTTCACAAACGTCGTCGGCTGCAACGCGAAGAAGGTGCCCGCGAAGAAACCGTAGACCACCGTCACGGCGATGAGTGAACCCTGGCTGTTGGTGGCGGCGAAGCAGAAGGCCGCGATCGACATGGCGAAGACGGCGCTGGCAATCATGTTCATGATGCCGGTGTACGGCACGATGAAGTTCGGCACGATTCTGCCAACGATCGAGGCGCCGTTGAGGATGGAGAGAAGATACAGCGCGACGTTCTCGCTGGCCATCTTGTTCTCCAACGCGTAGCTCTGCACGTACACGTACGGAGTGTACATGCCCAGGAAGAGCAGACAACAAGCGCCGAGGAAGAGGAGGAAGGGCAGGTCGGTGAAGACGGAACGGTCGATCCAAGGGCGTCGCTTCGGCGGGGTCTTTAGCGATGATGTCTTGATGACGAACAAACTGATGCCGAGAGTGACGAGGGAAATGAGCGCGAAGACGAGGACGGTCCAGCGGAAGCCAATTTTCGGTTGCAGAGCTCGGAAGAGAGCCGGAAGCACGAGGCTGGAGTCGTGTCAGTGAGCTGCATCCTGCTCGGACTAAGTGAGTGATATGCTTACCCTCCAACGCCGCTACCGTTGGCAGCGATGCCGTTAGCTAGGGGCAATCTTGTCGAAAACCATTGTGACGGCAGCGCGACACCCAGGGTTGAGAGACAGCCTGTTCCGATGCCAATAATGAGACCCTGGCAAAGGAGAAACTGCCACAGATTCCGACAAAAGGCCTGCAGAATCAGTCCAGCGAGCACTAGCAGTGAACCCGTGATGAGCAGGTAGCGTGAGTACCCGAGATCGTAGATTGGCCCGATGATGAAACCAAGAAACACCATCAGAAAGTTCTGCAGGGAACCAATCGTCGAGATCTGGAAAGAGCTGTTGCTGCTTAGAAGCTCAGACTGGTAATACGCCTGGAAGGCGCCGAAGCTCGAAATCAGACCTACGAGTCGACATGTTAGCTATCGCGAGCTCAGTCCGGGAAGGCTGGTCACGGTGGTTGCATTCGCGGAAACCCAAAACCGAGGAGACCTACCCCATGTGTTGAAGTACAACAGAAACGACCCAAGGATGTGGAGCCAAGCCTGCAGACCACCGTTTGGAGGTCCGGCAGGGGCAGCCGCCTTCTCTACGGGCGGTGATGTCTGAGACGACGATGTCGGGGGGCTGGAGTCGTTGGTACTGTTGTTGACGACGACGGAGTTGTCCGCCGCGACGGCATCCCGCGCCGCGTCCTTCTCCTCCCGCCCGTGAGGGCTTTCACTCGGCACCGAAGACATGTCCGGTCAAACTATGCGTCCGGGGACAGGCAACTGAACCACCGCCGAAACTTTGTGTGCCGGAACAGTTGAGAGGAACGGAATGTCGCAGTAGCCGCGATCAGGGCGCCAAAAGAGACACCGGCCAAAAGTTTAAGTGATTGAAAGGGAGTGGATTGAGAATTGGCAGATTGGCATGCAGGGTGGTCTAAAACCAGATTGGATCGGAAAACGCGCTCGGCATTGGCAAAATACTTCCGAGCAATAGTCTTGCGCTCACTTAAGCAGGAATGGCGTCGTCGAAAGATTCCCCAGCTGCCCCTTTCGACGGCGATGGACTGTGGAGAATGGCTCACGGGCTGATTGTTTTTTCTCTGAATTTTTTTTCTTCAATGGACTGATGGATAAGATGAGCCGATTCTCTTAAGGGCGACTCCCTGTCGGTGGAATGCAACCTTCACCTAAATTGCTGTCATCGGGACCCCCGACCGGTGGTATCCGCAAGCCTCCCGCGGCATCTATGCTAGATCTGATCTCAAATATAACATGGCAAAAAGGTGAGTCGTCATATCTCCTGTGTCATTGATGACTGGACCTGTTGAATGTCTTGATGGTTGAGTCTGCCAGAGATGAACGAGTCATTCGAATTCGAAGTGATCTAACGAAGCCTTCACAGGTCGGAATCTCTATTGCCTACGGCGAGCCGTCGGATCTCATTTGATCCAGGACAGCTCTGGAATCATTCCGCGCTGTGCTGGCCATTCTGCAGGCTGTCTGCGGGAAGGATCATCAAGGAACGGAACGGAGCCCATCGCCGGGGACCGCGCCTATTCAGGAAGCCCGGCCACATGTTGATCTGCCGCGCGCGAAGGGTCGCCACTGAAATGGAGACCGGGATGCCGCGGTCACAGCAGTGACAGCACTGCTTGACAACCTGCCAAAATGGGCTGACACGACATCATGGTCTCCGGCGGGATATTTTACCCCTATTTGGGTTAGGTGCAATGGGTCCTGGGCTGCTCAGCGTCCAGTCACGATATCCTGTCATATTCTGAATACCGTCCATCGCCAATAGCGAGATCAATACCAATTGCTGTGAATGGTTGGTGTTTGGTGTTTCTTGTTCTACTGCGCCTTAAGGCGTCTAACAGAAAAAAGACCGCCGGTCGCGTTATTAAGTCTAAGTGTTGGTTATGCCTTGCTTGGTAGGGCCTGGTCTAATACCCCCTCATTTTCTCGCTGCGGAGTTGTGAAGCTACTCACAGTTGGCCTCTACTGCGATAACATTTGCAACAGATTCCAAACTCAAGACTCAGCACGTGTGAAGAGATTCTCGAACGTCACAATTCTAACAAACGGGCTGATGATATTGAAACTATGTTAATCAGTCTAAAGAGGGTATTTCAATAGAACTGGTGGAGAGGTGTACCTATCAACTACAGGATCGATTTCTCAACAGGCATTCCTTCAACTTAGTTTCAATCATTCGTGGGTATTTCAAACAAAGGCACACATACTTTAAGGCGCATATTTATGCCATGTAAAGTGAATAGTTCGAAGTACTGCAGATACCACACTGCACGCTTAGACTGTCTAAGACGACATGTGTTCTCACGCGACTTACCTAACGATCCTCAACTACTGATGTCCTCAATTCCTGATTATCATATTACAGCACCGTAATTCGACATTGAAACTCAGTCGCATTAAAAACCACATCAGACGTGGATCTTAGTTCATGCGTCTTGTTCAAATGAGACCATGAATGATGAGAAACGTCAAGACCAAAGTGAAGTTGCACGTCGTCAAGTTTAGGCACACAGTCGTGAGGCATGTTTCGCTCTAGCACATCAAAGGGCTCTACCTATAATCAAAAACACCGAAAACTATTAGCCATAAGCGAAATTTCGAGACTGCACGATACGCTCAAATAGTACCCTCAACTGATGCCGATATCAACCCTCACCCGCCGTTCCAGTGCTCTCGAGTGCCGGTCTCTTAATGTCTTCAGTTCTACGTGGTCTCTCAGTTGCAGATAGTTTGAGAAGACCACTTACTTTCTCAGTTTTCATTCTATTTGGTGATATTAGTTCTCTGTCTGACAATCCGACTAACTCTCATTTCCTTTCAACGCAGGGTCAGAGAAATTGTCCAACCAACGAACACGAGATGAGATCATTGAGCATCAAATTGATTTATGTCATTTGAACTGTCCTAAAGCTCGATTTAACTTGAGGGAAGGTCACTGACACTCTCCGTGTCAATGAAAAACCTCATGTAAGAAGTATTTCCCATCTGGCTGCGAGGATTCCTTCGAGTATGCAACTATTGGAAATCGTGTAGTGTTTCATTTCAGATGGAAAGCAGTTGGTTTATACTGGCATTCTGTTGAGGAACAAATGACATACTATAGGGCAGCTACGATGCCAGCTCGTCTACGATGAACATCAGGGTTCTACTCCGAGGTTCAAACTACAACATAAAGATGAGTACAAAAGCTTTCGGGGTGGCCTTTTTATTATATTTGATACCAATTGGAGATGTGACCACTTGGAAACAACCTTAGAAAGAGTGGTTTGGTCAACAAGTGCTACATGTAGACATCCCATCGTGGAGGCAAACAGAAGGCGTCTGATGTCTCAATTGGGCAAGGGCGACTTGGGAATCTCAGTAATAAACGTCTTATAAAGAATCGTCTGCTTGTAATATGAACATATTCTCTTTGCCACGTTTCCAGTCCTGATTCATATTCGAACAACAGCTCCAGCCGTCTTTCAGATGTGCGCGAAGTGCGGGTCTCCGTGGCCCATTCCTCCGGCGACCATATTCTCAAAACGTGGCATTTAGCATCCGCAAAAGCAGCGCTGGTCGCTATAGAAGAATAAACCATTAGCATCTTGTGTTAAACATGTAACCGGCCTCTCGGAGAGCAGAAGGTTGGCATACCCGAAGGCAGAAAGTCCACAGAAAGGCCTCGTGCAAGGCTCAGTGCAGAAGCTTCTGCAGTCGTTGGCACTGCCGCAAGTAGGTGCAACGTTGGCTTGTGGTACGGGCTCCGGTGCAGGCGCTGCCAGGGCGAGGGTGGCGAGGGACAGGAGGGAAACGAGTTTGAATTGCATGTTTATATAGACGAAGAGTTTTGGTGAACCGTATATTTGTCTGTAGTTAAACCAAGAGGATGGTGAGAGTCTGAGTTGTTGTTGGCTACAGGTTGATTTCTTTTGAGGAGATGGGAACGCTCTGAGCCTCTATATCTGTATATATATACATATTCCTGTCTCTACAACATACAGTCTCCACCCGCGTATTGAGTTCTTTGAGTCTACAAGCTCTAAGTGGAAGCCAGCTGATCATAGTAACCAATACGCTCCTTTACCTAAGGTAAATTCAACAGCTTGGCATTCGTCTTCACAGCCCCCAAACTACTTAATCCGCAGAAACTCTGTCTACATGACTCGTGGTATCGAGAGGGTCTACCCCGGGGCGGGACTCCCTCCCGCAGCGCCGCCACTGTCTGAACAACAGTTCCGATGACGCCGGGGCCAGCTTTTAAGCTTTCTGTGAAATTTGTTACGAGACTTGAGTGTTATGGTTATTATTTCTAGCTCCACAAGTGGCCGTCTGAAGCAGTCTTGGGGGCCCCGTACGGGGACTATCTAGAAGCCGTAGCCCGCGTGACACTTCGGTTGTCATCCGAACGGAGCAACTTTACATCGAATGAACTTGCGATTGTGTCCGTAAAAGTATCCGAAGGGCACGAAGTCTGCTGTCTGTTGCCATTATTGGTGGAAAGTTATGTCGCCTTACTTTCCATCGCCGGTGGAGTCCAATACACATGATTGCCCTTGGCACTCAGCAACAAGTACTTCGTCATTCAAGTCGCACAACGTGATATATGCTTCAGAGACATGGTACTAAGGTCTAAAACGACAAATTTGGCTTCGTCCAGGTGACATGATACATCTGTGGTACATTTACTAAGAAGCAAAGCAGAAACAGAAAGTTAAGACGTTGCCTATTGAAATCACTACAAAATGTATGAAAACCCAGCTTTACTACTTGATACTCATACTTCATTCAGAACTAGCAATCTAAAGATCCTCGGTGTTCTTCCTGATGCTGTCTTCCAGAGACGTCCAACCAAGCCTGCCGAACCTGCGAAGCAACTCCTCGGCACGATCTCTGGGCTTGATGACGAACGGATACTCATCGCCAGAGTAGTTCTCATGGAAAGTCCTTCCAGGGTTCTGTTCGCGCAGGATGTCTAAGATCTGATCATAGTTGAAAGGCTGTGCGAAGCCGAAAATTCGCTCCTGTTTCACGTCGGGGAGAACAGCCGCGGCGACGTGAAGGAGACCATCATCTTGAACATCGATGAAGCATTCTAGACATCACGTCAGCGACTGTGAGAATCGCATGCGCACCATTCAAGATGAATTACGAGGACGAGTGAGAGCAGGCGGTGACCGCTGGCCTTGCATCATGGCTGCGACGATCGCGGATGTGGACGGGTGCCCTTGGTTGACCGGATCCAGGCTCTTACCGAAGTTCATATTCGGTAGCACTGCTTCTATTAGAAACCAAACACATGAAAGACAGGTAGACCAGCCGCGAAAAAATACTTGCCGGCATTTACAACCATGTCGGGCCGCTGCGACTGGTTCTCTTGGTGATACTTCCAGATCAACCGCTCTTGCTCGACCTTGCTGGCCGAATAGACGATCCCACCCTGCTCGGGACCCCAAGGAGCAGGTCCCCAAGCCAACTCCACGGCTTTGGAGTTCCAAGACTCTTCCGTGATGACGGGGCTTTGCCCCTCCTCAAGCTTCTCCTGAAGACCTCCGCTGGGGATGGCCGCTGCCGAAGACGACGTGAGAACGAAGCGCTTGACGGTCGGCTGCTTGTAGGCTGCCTTGATAGCGACTTCAGTGCTTTTCACTGCGGTTGGGACGACTTTGCTTGCATCGGGATCAAAGCTGAGCACGGAAGCGACATGGACAATCGCCGAGACACCTGGTGCTTGTTAGAATTGCGGATCTTGATGGAGTCATCGCAATCGCTCACCTTTGGCAGCTTCGTCGTAAGCATTGTCGGCAGTCATGTCAGGAACTGAGAATAAGGTGAGTTTGTCCTTGCCATATGTCTTGTCGAAGTAGTTGCTGAGCCAGGCGTTCTTCTCGATATTTCGGACGGTCCCGCGGACGACGTATCCCTGTTGGACGAACTGATCGGCCACGTGGGATCCGATGAAGCCGTTGACGCCTGTGACGAGGACGGTTGATCCCTTAGGAATGGCCGGGTTCTGGATAGAAGCCATGATGATGATGATAAGGAGTTGGGATTGCTTTGATGCGGCAGTGTGGTGCAATAAGAATGATGTCTGAGACTATTCAGTTCTGCTGGATTGGTATTGTTAAGAACGAGTTTTGTAGTCGACAGCAAGTAGCCTTTTTATCAAAAAGATGACCCTGTTTCATGACGACAAAAATCATCCGAATTTCTCTGAGTTTCTGTTCAACAATTCAGATGGAGGTTGTTTTGCTGCGAAAGCCGCTTACACATTGCTGCCCCGATACAGGAAACCTTCCAGTCCGAGAGGATGCACGCCATACTGTTGTCTCCATTGGGGAACTAATTGCAACGTGCATAGGCGGACATTTTCGTACCATAGTATGCCTTTTCAGGCAAAGAATTGTCTTCTTGTTTATCTGATTCGCTATAAAATCCGCGCCGTACTATTTTGGGCGACGGGAAGGTATCGGACTTGAGCATCGGGACGGCGCAGCGACCCGTGCCGCAGCTTGTGATTATTCATCTCGTCCGAAAAACACCGCAGCAGTCTTCAGACCAGACTGGTCGGGACAGGCAAGATTACCGAATACAGTAACAAATAAAGTCCGCATACATGTTAGCAGGCGTCGGAATCCTTCTCGAAAAGCGGATTATTATTCGTAAGCTGGTGCGGACTGCCTTGTATACATATTCGGACCCGAGAGACCCAATCCCGCGTGCAGCGGAGGAATCGGCGAATTGGTCAGCAGAGTTCACCGAGAACATCATTGGAACATTTCAGAATAGCCCAAAGGGCAATAGAGTAACTTGATCAAAACTTTTGTAGGGATTGTATGTGAAGAGTATTACTTGTCAGGGGTTTCCTCCTAGGGATAAGCCCTCCCGGGATTAAGTACACATATTGAGTCCAACCGAAATGGAAAGCGGCTTCATTTAACAGATCCACGCGCACACGGTCGAGATAGTAACCGGCGGCGCTTCACTGGCGGGTATAATAATGCAGCCCGCAGCCATGTTCAAGAGAGCCTGAGCAGACCTGCGGGATTAAGACGATAGAAAACATCTACCAAACGTTGCCCTTGGTCTGGGTGCCCTTCTCGGCCTCAAGCTTCTTGAGGTTGATGCGCTTCCAGATGAGGATAGAAACAACGCAGAGGGGAACGAAGCAAGCACCGCAGATGACCATCATGTGCTGGACGTGAGCGTAGGCGCCGACAATGGCGTCGCGGATCGGGTCGCCGTCGGCGTAGGACAGCTGGACCTCGATGTCACCGAAGATGGTAGAGGTCAGGTTCTTGGAGCCCTCGGGGAGTCTCTTGGTGAGCTCAGAAGGCAGGATGTTGTTCCACAGGCCACCGGCGATGGTGAAACCAACGGTGGAACCGATGGAGCCGAACAGAGTGTAGATAGCCATCGCGACGGCAATCTCCTGGTGAGTGACGGCAGACATGACGGCGATCTGACCGCAAGCAGAGAAGATACCGGTGCCGATACCGTTGAGGAGCTGGAGGACGACGAGGACACCGACGTTGGTAGAGGGAGTTCGGTAAGGGACCAAGAGAGCGGTACCCAGGAGCATGAAGGGAATACCCGCAATGGCAGTGTACTTGAAGTCTCCGGTAACACGGATGATGCTGGAAGAATTTTACGTTAGAAGTTGTTAAACATAGCGGCGCAGATCGCTGGGTACTTACTATCCGAAGAGGGGGCCGAAGAAGGAAGAAGCCAGAGAGAAGCAGTTAAGAACGTAACCGGCGTGGGTGATGTTCAGTCTGTGGACGACCAGGAGGTACGACTGGTAGTAGGTGTCCCAGCAGAAGATGGAGACGAACATCAGGCCGTAGAGCAAGCCAGCACCAACGAGGTTCCTGTTGGCCAGGTACTTGTACGGAATGAAGGTGACGGGGGCAAGGTACTTCTCCCAGCAGACGAAGAGAGGGATGCAGATGACACCGACAACCTCCATGGCGATAATGTGCGCGGACTTCCAGCCGTGAGCAGCGTAGACCACGATGCTGAAGGGGAGCATGATGAGGGCGAAGGCGGCAACGATGAGAATGATGCCGACAAAGTCGAATTGGATCATGTAGTGAATGAAGCCCTGCAAGTGTGTGCGGTCGGACTTGAGCTTCTGGAGCATGCCAGCCTTCTCGGCCTTGCGCTGGTTCCAGAACATGATACCGGCGGAGGGCAAGCAGACGCCAAGCATGATGATGGCAAAGGCACCGAAAGCCCAGCGGAAGTTGAGGTTGGTGTAGAACAGGTCGGCGATCCTGGGACCGGCGAAGACGACGATGACGTTCGGGGTACCGTTGATGCCGAACATGATCATACGGTTCTTGAGCGAGGTCAGATCAGCCAGCATGATGTCGATGACGAACATCATGCCGAAGTGACCGACGTAGTAGATGGTGTGCGCCGCGACGTAAGTCTCCATGTTCTGGCAGACGGCCTTCATCATGATACCGATAACGGAGCACATGGTCATGACGAGGAAGGCCTCGGTACGGCCCCAGATATCCATGATTTTGGCAATCGGGAGATGGCAGCAGCCGGACAGGATGTTGGCGAAAATGCTGACGATGGCGAGGAGACCGTGCTTTTGGAAGGATGATGTGACGAAGGCACTCAGATTGGTCTGGATCGATTGCATGAGGAGATCGGCGAAGGAGACGACGTAGAGCCTGTCGTCCATCAGCAACTTGTCGTATCGGCGACGCCAGAGCTGGCAAAGTCTGGGGCGCGGGGTAAATCGAGAGCACTCACAGGACAAACATGCTAATCATGGTCTTCTTGGTCATGATGGAAGTGATGGCTCTGACTCGGGTGACACCATCTTGGAAGTTGTCGCTGTCGGACTCGTGGCCGCTCTGGCTGACCTCTTGGACGCCATTGTTGTAAGGCTGGGTCTTCTCGATGTCGGAACCGGTGTCCTGGCGCTTGGCGCCGGTCTCAATGGTGGTCGACATTTTGGGGGATTATCGTCGCGGTGCGACTAGGAACCTCTGGACTCAACGGGTTGCGTTGAGTTGGGTATTGAAGGGCTCTGGGCAAGAAGGAATGGATTATCGAAGGCTAAGGATGCCTGTTTGACCTTGCTTGAAGAACCAAGAGGAAGGGAGAAAATCCAGATCGCCAAAAGACGGGGGCTGTCTTTGCCCTTCTATATTGGAAAAGGGCCCTGCCAAGAGCCGGTGAAAATCCAACCCAGAAGCTCCAAGCCGATGTCGCCCAATCTTTTCCTTTATCAGATGATCAGATTAGATGCCAAGAGACGAATCAGATTACCAGAACCATCGGAGGTATGTTTGGGTTCGTGCTAGCGTTGTGGGATCTTCCAGGCCGGCGACAGCTCAGGTCGGAGGGCCGCGTACAGGCTGGACCCTCCAACACGGGAATGCCTAGCTAATAGACCAACCGTTCATACCCGAAGGTGAAAAGATCAGCCAATGCATTGGCACATCCCTGGACAAAACTCTGAGGAATAAAGTGGCGTGAAGGGGGATGAAGGAGATTCGGGGGGCACCCACGCACCAAGTCTCCATGTTGCCCTCTGGTCGGGCCGTGGACTGTCGACGAAGTGGGGTAGAAGCGAGGATGTTGTCTGTTCGATCCTGGTCACTTCTCATCAAAGTCTGTTCCTCGCTGGCTTCTCTGCATGCGTGTCTCTTCGTTGCAACCCAAGGACGCATGTAGACCTGTCGTAGATATCGAGCTGAGCTTCACATGTGCCCAGCCAAGACAGACAGACAGGTCATGCTCGGAGCCAGTCCATCGTCGGTTTCTTCGACGGGCCCCTAGAAAAAGCTAGCGAAGGAAGTTTTTTTTCCCTCAACACATTGGCTGCAGGGAGCATCGCCGGTAGCATGGGTGAAATGGCAAGGAACAGTCTCCCACATACCCGTAAGCTAAGCCAAACCCCCACTCGAGCGGGCTTATTATCCATGAACGATCTGTTCTGCAAGCCCACCGGCGCAAGTTCTGGTGACACCGACATGGATCCTTGCAGAAATTAGCCTGTCACGTCTCCGTCGACCAATGGCTGCCGATACCCGCGAGCAGGAAAGTCAACGTTACCCATGCAGACCGGGACGCACATGGCGGCAAGTGGGATCGAGACATAGCAAAGAATTGGAGGCAGTCTCACCTTTTTGCCTCCCGCCCGTCTCTGCTCTGGGTAAAGGATTGGCATTCTGGACTGACGGCGGCGAAACCAGGCCATCATGGACCATGCGCTGATCTGCTGGTGTCTTGATCCGGGTGCTTGGCTTCGGAGGATCGCGACCAACTTTTGGGTCTCCCGAGGCTTTATCAGACCGCCGGTGCCATCCTATGGCCGACGCTGGAGTCGCCGCGCGCACGATTGCGGAGGAGAACCTGCTCAAATGGAGGTGGCCTTCTTCTCCAACTTGCTGTGCCACCCGCATCCCGAGTCATAGAATACTGATGGTGGGCAGAGAGGCCGGCTGACGTGGCTCGTTGGTTCTTCTCTGGTGTGGCTATTTCGGCGTGAGCCATTTCGAAGGCTTCCTTCAATCAAACGATGCTTTTTTTATGTGTCAGAAGCGTCGTCGCAACAAGTCCGATCACAGCCCCCACGATGGACTCCTGTTAGTTACGGACAACAAGCGACATTGAGTCTATCGGCCGTTAATGCGAAGAGCCAAACAGGGGGTGACAACTCCCGACTAAGAGAATTATCCAAACGCTCACTGGCCGACAACAGGTCTTGTCAGCTTTTCTAGGTGAGCGTGGTGGGTTCTGGACCAATATTCCCTGGCAACGAAACCAACGAGACCGACCACCAACTCGTTGGTTACTGGAATTGGAAAACTAAGCCGACTGGGTCGGACTCCGTATGCCAGCAGCAGGCAGGGAAGCAGGCGGACGAAATGTGCGCGTCAAGACATTCCGCCCCCCTTGGAGGAAAATGTCTTTGCCACAACCGCTCAACGCGATCGCGACTCTTAACCTTCGATATGACTGGACCGGAGGTAACATGAAGCGCCGTTGGAATATCGGTTTTATCACGAGTATTCCGAGGGCAAGTCTTCACGAGACCACCGAGTCAGGGCCATCAAAAGATGCAAACGCCCACACAACGAATACGAATGCTTCGCAACACAATCATTGCAAACATGCGCCTACTCGATGCTGAAAAAGATGCTTCTCAACTATGAGTTGCCTCACAACACGCAGTTTTCCCTCCATCAACTCTCTACTGACACTGACCAGGCTTCAACGGTCGAAACGACACCAGCAGAACTGGCGGAAAGCCCCGTCCTGCGAGCCGGCTAAAGCTCCCCTTCACGAAAGCGCGAATTTGCAACGCCACGCCGATCGCTGAGGTTTTGGGAGTCGACAACGGCCACTTAGCAGGGCTGCGTTTTTTCGAACGGAAATCGCGGTCTTTCTGCGGTTTCGACAACCACGCATCAAGTTGCAACGGCTCATGTTACTGAAAATAACCAGCGAGCCGCTCTTCGTTGCGTTGACACTACTTGGTATATCAAGTATTGATTTTGCGGTTTCATGATGACTGGAGAAATGACGACTCTATGCGCAGAGGGCTTCCTGGCCACGCGGCAATCCCGCTTTTGCTCCGCCGACAGGACTTGGTCTCGACGAGCTAGAATAATTGCTTTCGCGAGCCGTCGATAGTGCCGCCTTGAGTGCTGACGCTACGTGACTCTCGTCATGCTGGGCGTGTCTTTCTCAGCCGAGTGCAGCTTTATTTGCATGGAGATTGCTCTCGTTGCAAGACAGCGGTTGCAGCTAGTCTCTCGTCTCTTCGAGCGAGGTGGCATACAATGTCTAATGACGGCAATATGGAGTTGTCCAACTTGTCCTAGCTACTTTGCATTTTCAAAATATTTATACTCCTAGTCATGGAATCTCGCATGAAATTGCATGGCCGCTATGATTCGCGCTCATCATTTTGCTTGTATGATTCCACTTGGGGACGGAAACTGGTGTCATTATGATTGCTGGCGGAGTGAAGATTAGGATGAGAAAATAATCATGACTGGCGTTTTTGGTTTGATATTTAAAGAATGGCAAAGTATCAGAGGGATAGATGTAAAGAGATAGATGTAAAGTACAAACGCCTCATCGTGACTTCTTCAAACATGAAAGGGGGAAAAACCGTTGGTGACGATGATCCGTTCGGTTTTATGGCAACACCTCGGTCACCGAGCTACTAGCTAACCCCTTTTTCTGAGTCAAATGCCTTGGGTCGTGATGGAGAATCTTCAGTCAAGACACGGCCAAATGAGGTTGCGAAGGCGATATTCAGTTCGCTGAGAGATACTTTTGCACACTAAGGACATTGACTATGCCAGAGCTTCCACCAAATGATACAAGATATCAACCCTCAGACTTAATGAAACAATTCGCTTTAAAGGCGACCGCGTGTTGAAACAACAGTGTCTGAATTGACTTGACCAAAACCTAGCTGGCATATATGTTCTCGATTCATGGAAGTCAAAACAGATTGCTCAGATTGAAGTCTCGCCCAGTCCTACCCCTGAAGGCATCACGAGATGTCCGATATCGGCCAGATCATTAATCATCGACTCAACTGTCTGACTATGTAATTCCTTGGCTTCAACTTGGCAACCAGACAGTAGGAAGTATAGATTGGAAATGAATACAAAAACAGAAACAAAATCTAAGTTGGTTGCATAACTGAAGTTGGCACGCTGGCCCGATATTTTGGCCCGGCCGCAACACACTCTGACTATTACTTTCTGTATTGAGTTGCCAGGAGCATAGCCCAACAAGCAGCCAAGAGCATTAAAAAGCACTCGCAATTGCACGTGAACGCACTTGCTTGAAGCCGGTTTTGGTTTTTCCAAGACTTCCAAAACCTGTCATCGTAGCCAAGAAACCCAGCTCTTCGTGACAACGGAGATGGGCCTAAGAAAGACAACGGGACCTGCAGAGGGTCTGTAGGGCTGCAAAGGTCCCAAAAAAAGAAGCTGAAAAAACATAAGACGAAATATTGAAAACCCACGGTTCGCCCACTGACACCATCTGCAGGTCCCGATTATTACCAGGCGTGCGGAATGAGGGGGATACCCAAGATGCGGCCACGGCCACAGTTTTGACACGCGGGAGCGGAGCGCAGCTGTCACTCTGCGAGAGGACGCATCGGATATTGAGCTGGAGGAGCAGCGGAAATCGGGGCCCCAATACGGCATAGGCGAGCTTGGCGAGGTCCAAGGAGGCCGAGAACTTGGCCCGGGTTAAACCGGATCATGGCGGGATCTTCGGGGTTCATTCGGGAAGGATGGCAGGGTAAGGCCTCGTTCCGCCCATCTTTTCTTCCTTCTTTTCCACTCTCTTTCTCCATCCCTCTTCGAGACTGGCGCATCCTCTTGTCGTGCGTGAGTCGTGAGTCGTGAATCGTGAGTCGTCGGCTCGTGTTGGTCCAGTCAAAATCGAGGCAGCCATCAACCGGGTGGTCAGCGAGTGGCCATGAGTGGCTTGTCAGAGACCATTTTGAACTCTCGCAACCATTCCGAAGTGTTCGCTTAGGCTTGTGGGCACTCCGTGTCGTTGCAGCTTTCTGCTTTTTCTGCCGGATGAAATGTATCGCCGTCTGCATGCAAGTTACTGGATCAATGAGACCAAAGACGACGGCGGAACCGACCAAACTTATACCGCTTGGTGAACCTGACTAAATGACCTTTTGTATGATAGAGCAGTCACAATCCCCACAAACCAAGAGTTTGCGTTGCGCGTCGTATAGCTGTCGGGCGAACCGAGACGCCCTGCGCGGGGACTGTGCCGCCAAAGCCTCTGCCGTGCCGCACAGAACCAGTGGCTGTGAATAACCTCAGATCATATATGCGCGATGTCGGTTAGGGGACTTTTGGCTCGAGATTTTTCACGCCGAGCCTCATTCGGAACAAATAGCCGGTATCTTGATAATCGGCAAGCCTTTTCCTGACGCGCTCGACAGTGAGTGGTTGAAAAGATCTCTCGGTGGGACGCCGTCGCATCATGAGGTTATTTCCTCCGCGCTCCTCGGCCCGTGCTGCATACAAGACCCTTCCCGCGTGCCGTCTTGGCTCTCCTTTAACCTTATATGGTCCTAGTATTGCTGTCCCGCGGAACGCGACATCGCGATATGCAGTGCACACGGATGGAATTCCGGAGCTGTGGTTGAGATGCCGGTCTGTGGTTGGTCGTGGTTGGCAGCGGTCTCTCGTGATCGGGCATTTTTCCGTGTCGCCTCGACCGAACATCGACTCAGAACCCTCGTACAAAAGACGGACGGATCCATGAGCTTACGACAATCTGCGGTGCCGTGACTCCGGGAATGGTGGGTCTTGGTGAGGATTTGGGCCGTGGTGCCGACTTACACGGGGAGTCCGCCGGGATCATCGCAGGACGGGCTTGGGGGATAAAACTCTGATAATATCCTGCCTGTTCATCTAATCTGATCTTATCTGATCTCTGAGTTTGATCGTGTGACTTTTTGCCTTTCTCAGACAACGACTATGGCAAGCCTCGAGGGCAATCGAAAGGGCGGCAACGTGCCTGCGGTCGATGAGACTCGGCCGGTGAGCCCGACAAACTCCATTGAGGAGGCCAAGCGCTCTTCCGGTAAGCTAGTGCCCTTGAGTTCATATCGAGTTTATGTTCTGACAACCACTAATATCAGACGAATCGAGCGCTCCGAGCCGAGATGTTCTCTACGCGGCCGGCGTCGGTCTCAGACCTGACGATCCTTCCTTGCCATGCCTCACCATACGGATGTGGTTGATCGGCATCGGCTTCTGTCTCTTGGGTAGCGGTGTCAACACCCTCTACACGTTCCGGTTCCCGTCGATCAGCCTCTCTCAGTCGGCCATCCAGTTCTTGGCATACCCCGTCGGTAAAGCTTGGGAGTTTGTGATTCCGGATTGGGGGTTTTCCGTCAAGGGACACCGCTACAGTCTGAACCCGGGCCCTTTCAACTACAAGGTTCATCCCTTCCAGAGCCAAGCTTCCGAATAGCTTCATGCTGACGATGTTGTCTCCCAGGAAAACATCCTCATCTACATCATGGCCAACCTCAGCTTCCTCACCAGACTGAGCGCCGATGTGCTGACCGAACAACGAGTTTTCTATGGCTTGGAAGCAGGATGGGGCTTTGAGCTGACTATGACGCTTGCGACAATCATATTCGGCTTCGCTTTGGCCGGTCTATGCCGTTCCTTGGTGGTCGAGCCTGCTGGTCTGTTGTGGCCAGGTGTGCTCGGAAACACAGCTCTGAACGCCGCCTTGCATGCGGGTAGAAAGGAGGACCAGTCTGAGTGAGTTGACCAGCCATCGCAATGGAGTTTCTCAAGCTGACACGAAGTCTTCAACAGGACCAAGTGGACGGCCTCGAGGTACAAGTTCTTCATGCTCGCATTCATCGCATCCTTCTGTTGGTATTGGTTCCCCGACTTCATCTTCCCGGCGCTCGGATACTTCACGTGGGTTTGCTGGATTGCCCCCAGCAACGCAGTCGTGAACCAGGTGTTCGGGATGAAGAGCGGGATAGGCCTACTGCCTTTTACCTTTGACTGTAGGTTGCATTAGATCAATACCGGAGTCGATCAACGGGCTGACTTGTCACAGGGAGTCAAATTGCTTACATTGGATCTCCTCTGGTCGTGCCTACCTGGGCCATCTTGAACGTCCTTGCGTCTCTCGTCTTCTGGATCTACGTCATCTCTCCGGCCCTGTACTACTCGAACACCTGGGAGTCTGCGTACTATCCGATCCAGAGCAACTCCATCTTCGATAAGATGGGGAAGACGTACAACGTATCCAGGGTCATTGACAAGAAACACGGCTTCACGTTCAACAGCACCAAGTACGATGCCTACTCCGATGTAAGAGGAACAAGTCCATATCGCTTTCGACACTTCCACTGACGTTTGTGCCGTTCAGATTTACCTGCCAGTCACATATGCTCTAAACACCTTCGGCCTCTGCTTCGCCACGATTGCTTCTCTCTTCGTGTGGCTGTTCCTCGAAAAGCGTCGCAGCATCGCCGCCGCATTCCGAAGTTCTCAGTTGCCGGCCCTCTTCGGCCGCAAGGTCGTGCCTCGAGCCAACCCGCAGCCACTTTACCCTACAGTGCCCATGTGGTGGTACTGGATCGCGACTCTTCTCGCGTTGGGTTTGGGCATGTTTGCATGCGAGTTCTACCCGGTCCAGCTTCACTGGTACGGAGTCATTCTCGCATTTGTGGTGTCCTCGGCTTTCTTCGTCCCGGTAAGTCGACATGAACCTCGTCTTCAACCCTGAGCCGTGCTGACAGGAATGTTGTAGCTCGCTTGGGTATATGCCACCACCAACATGAAGATTCAGATCGACATCTTCTGCCGCATCGTCGCAGGGTACATCTGGGAGGGGAAGGTGCTCGCCAATATCTGGTTCTTTAACCTGGGATACATCTCCGGCATCAAGGGATTGGCATTCGCCCAGGACCTCAAGCTCGGGATCTACTGCAACGTGAGGATCCCAGATGCATCAGCCTTTTTTCCGTCGCAACTCTAACAAACTGCGTAGATACCGCCGCGGAAGCTCTTCCCCGTTCAAGCAGTTGGTCTCGTCATCGGCAGTCTCGGCCAAGTCTCCGTGCTCAACTGGGCCCTCAACCACATCCCCGACATCTGCACGACCGATGCGCCAAACGGGTTCACCTGCCCCTTCTCTCGCACTCACTTCAACACCAGCATGGTATGGGGTGCTCTGGGTCCGCGTCGCTTCTTCGCTGAGGGGGCAATGTACCGTAACCTGCTCTGGTTCTTCCTCGTGGGAGCGGTCCTGCCGGTGATCGTGTACTTGCTCCGGAAGAAGGTCTTCCCCAGCGCGACATGGCTGAAGAAGGTCCATGTGCCACTCTTCCTTGGTGCTCTCAACTACATTCCCCCGGCATCGGGTACCAACTACGGCAGCTGGGCGATTGTAGGTCTCATCTTCGGGCTGTTGATCAAGAGGAGACAGAGAGATTGGTGGAGAAGGTACAACTTCGTGCTAAGCTCTGCCCTGGACTGCTCTGTGGCCATTGCTGGTATTGTCATCTTCTTTGCCTTGTTCTATACGGGTGCGTCGAAGCAGTTCAAATGGTGGGGAACGGACGTCTACAAGGTGAGAGGTGACCCTACTGCCAGATGACTGGACGATATGCTGACGACGTGACTTAGAACACTTGTGATTGGAAAAGCTGCACTTACTTGAAGAGAGATACCAAGTAAGCCCGATAAACTGCGCTTTTGGCACTCAAGGTTTGGGGGATTCATTGGGCAGCAGTGGTCACGGCTAATACTGGAGAGGTTGGAAGCGCTGCAAGCGAACTCCTGAGGTTGAAGCTCCTGCTGGTGATGGTCTACTGCATCCGCGATATCACTTATTTACTTATCTTAATCCCTTAATATCAAGTCTACCACTAAGAAATAACTTGATGCTCTTATTTGAACCACATTCCTTGGTGTCGCCATCCGATTAACGATGCAGCGAGTCGAAGCTGCCGTACCTCCATTGGACCATCATGGCCTGAAGGCTTATACCCATAGATGCTTCATTGCAAAAGAGTACTCAAACTTCACAAGTCAGGAAAGGTTTGTTTGACAGAGATGCAAGAGAATCTCACATCACTTCAGCTTATGCCAAGCCCACGCACACGCATGCATCTCTAGATGTCATACCCTAAGCTATAGTACTGCTGTCAACGCAGCCCCCACAACGCGTTATGGCCAGCTAAACTCTCAAAAGGCGTGGGACATGCACACGATCTGAAAACAAAGCAGAAGTAACCCCTTTGATTGATGCTTTCTTGAGGAAAGAGCCCCCCAAGCGCGTGCCTGCCTCGGCTACCTGCCTCTTGCCCTTCTTGGCTTTCACTACTGGCAAAGTCGTCAACATCAAGGCAGAGTGCTAGAGTGGTCTAATAGGTGCGCCTCGAAAGCGTATGGCTTCGGCCGCGCAGGTTCGAATCCTGCCTCTGTCGTTCTTTTTTGACTTTTTGTGTTGTGTTTTTCTAGTGAGACTGGTGATCGAGGTCTTTTTGGCGCGTAACACGCAAGACTTTTTCGCTAGAATACCAGTTGTCAGTTTAGCTTTCTTCATTTTCTCTGCCACTACAAACAGATAAGTATATGTGTAGTTATATGAAAATCTTCTTCGACTTTTTGGTATTGGAGTTCCAAAGGCCGAGTTGGATTTATGCAACAACATCATAGCATTGCAGCGGTGAGTTTGTGTTGATGTTCCTGTGGCAAAGGCCCTGCTGAGTAAAAGCGCCTGAGCTGTAAAAGGTCGCGATCAGTGCAAACAGATAGAAATTAATATTGTAACACCTCGCATGGAAGTTGCAATATTCTGAGAAATACCCAGCCTCCATAATCATTTGATCGTCCTGCTGACGCGCCACAAATCGAACGGTCAAATATCGACGCCGTTTGGCGGCCGCTCTCAGAAAGCTTGCCGTTGACAAGCGCGACGCCAGTGGAAGGCCTATCGATCCCATGCGAGCTCCAGGGACGTCACTGATGGTCCAACATTGCACCGGCTCCCTGTGGCTTAGACAGTTGGCTGCATTCGGGCCATAGGAGGGTCGGAGGGTCGAGTCGAAATTGTTAAGGGAGACTCAAGCGCGAGGCGAGCCGGCCTAAAATCCTCCCGCCAGAACGCGAGGCGCAGGACTGGCTTCTCACCGTCATCTCTTAGCGTCTGCAAATCGGCACAATTGTCCCCTGTAGCACGTAGTACTTCCAAGTGCTCCCTCTGCAAAATGAGCGTGGCGCAGCCGCCATGCAGACAAGCGCCCATGGCGATCTTGACAGTTGCTCCGTTGCGAGGTGAAATCAAGCTTGCGCGGCGTTTACCGTTCAGCTTATGCCCATGTCTGACCATGCGTTCGGCGCAATCAAGCCCTATGAGGCGTTCTCTGAGACGCTAGCTCGCCATGTCGAGCTGTATCGCGAGAGCGAAAGTCTTATGGCATGGACGATCACGACGCCGCTCAGCTTGCTAGAGTAGAGAAGCATCAGTATATAGGATGAGCTCTTGCGACGAGTATCCCGAGAACTTGATTCATCACACTCACCAAACACTCAGTTCATCATTTCACAGCATAAGATTCACAGCAAACCTGACCAAACAGCCTCTGAAGCTACCCGACCACCAAAACCAACACAATCAACATGGCAACCAACACCACCATCCGCAAGGCCCTCATCACCGAGTTCGGCGACGCCTCCAAAGTCCAAATCGTTCAAGAGGCCATCACGGCTCCCCCCGCCAACCATGTCCAGGTAGAAACCATCTACTCCGGTTTCTCTGGCGCCGACATCAACATGCGCAAGGGCGTCTACCCGATGCAAAGACCGGCCCCGCTGACCCCCGGCTACAGTCTCGTCGGCACCGTCAAGACCAACGGCCCGGGGGCCTCCAAGTTCTACCCCGGCGACACCGTCGCCTGCATGACCATGTACGACGCCGAGGCCGAGCTGGTCAACCTCCCCGAGAAGTACCTCATCCGAGTCCCCAACGGACTCGACCTGCAGCAGGCGACGGCCCTCATTCTCGACTGGAGCACGGCGTACGCCATGGTCTTCGAGACTGCCAAGGTCACCAAGGGCCAGCGCGTCTTCGTCCACGGCGTCAGCGGCGCGGTGGGCTACGCGCTGATGAAGCTGTGCCAGCTGCAGGGCGCCGAGGTCTACGGCACCGCCTCCGAGCGGAACCACAAGGCCGTCCAGGCGGAGGGCGGCAACCCGTTCGTGTACACCAACAAGGACTGGATCGAGGCCATGAAGAAGATGGGCGGCGCCGATGCCGTTTTTGACCCGCTCGGCTTCGAGAGCTGGGATGAGTCGTTCAAGATCCTCTCCAAGTCCGGCATCCTCGTCGGCTACGGGGGCAATCTGAACTCGCTGAGCGACAACGCCCAGCCGCGGTCTACGGTGATGCCCACGGTCAAGCTGCTGGCTCGCGGCATGGTCCCGTTCTGTCCCAAGCGAACGTGGTTCTACTACATCACCCGCGACGACGCGACGTTTGAGCCCAACTTGAAGGCGTTGTTTGAGCTGCTGGGGGAGGGGAAGATCACGGTGCCCATCAAGAAGGTTTGGGAGCTTGAGGATATCCAAGAGGCGCATCGCCAGTGGGCCAACGGCACGGGCGTCGGATCCCTGCTCGTTCGGGTTTCCGGTGACGCGAAGCACTGAGCATCATGACCCATGATTTTGGTGTTTTCATGTTCCTCACGATTGATTTCATGATGGGCGATTTTTAGCATTGAATTCGTTCGCAGACATAGCAGCAGATCTTATTAGCACGCATGATGGATACCTCAATCATAAGACACGTATTTTCTCACTCTAATCGCCTTCCTGATCCTACTTAGTGGCCATGGACGCGTACCTGCACTTCGTAAGATGATGCCTGCCTTGACGCAGCCATATCGGGCACTCTTGCTGCTTGTAATGCTGACGCAGCAAGAACAAAAGTTCTCTCCAGTCATCTTTCTCCCTCTCTCACCCATTCCCCTCATTTTCGTTCATCTTAACTCAATTCCGCGGTCCGGCACCGTAACGGCATCCATCGATCAGATTGAAATCAAGCTTGCAGGAGCGGCATACCTGGGGCGATTGCCATTACCGCTGCCGCCCGACCCCGACTTGAACCTCGCCTATACTGTGGAGGATCTACGGTCGCACTTTCATCGATTTCTCATCGACTTTTCATCTTCGCCCATCAATTCATCGAGCCTTTCACTCAGTCAATCATATCCAGTTCTGAGACGATGAATTGGATCGCTCGCCTCGCCTTTGCGGGCCTCATTGGCACCGCCAGCGCAAAGAGCAAGCATAAACCGACTGACTTCGACTGGGACACGATCACACCGACACATCAACTCGAGTACCACCCATGCTACGACGAATACAATTGCACGCGTCTCATCGTTCCTCTCGACTGGCTCGATGAAGGCAACCCGCACACGGTCGCATTGGCCATCATCAAACTCGCGGCCAAGGTGCCCGACTCGGACCCGGCATTCGGCGGCACCATCTTCGCAAACCCCGGCGGCCCCGGCGGCTCCGGCATCCAACTCATGCTATCCGAGGGCCACATCTTCCAGGACACAGCCGACACCGATCGCAAGAAGTATGAGATCCTCAGTTGGGACCCGAGAGGCGTGCAATTCACTTCGCCAAAGGCCGAATGCTTCGAAGACCAGTTGGCTAGGGGGACTGACAAGGTCCAACGTCTGGCCATCGGGCCGCTGGACGCCAGCCCGGACGCACTGAGGAGGCAGTGGGCCAGGATTCACGGGTACGGAAAGTTATGTTCGCAGGGCGCGGTGAACGGCTCGATCATCCCCTTTGCGACTACGGCTTCCACCGTGCGGGACATGGTTGCGATTCTGGACAAGATCAAGGAGCTCCGGGATGACGAGGCAATCGCTCGGGTCGATGGCGGAGGCGGAGGCGTACAAAAGCCGATGCAGTTTCGCGACGAGGAGCCGTTGAGAATGCTGTACTGGGGGTTCTCATACGGCAGCTTCCTCGGGAACACGTTTGCCTCCATGTTCCCGGGCCGCGTCGGTCGAATCATCGTCGACGGCATCGTCGACGCGGATGACTACGTCGCTGGCGTAGGTGTTTTCTCCCCGTTACTGAACGACAGGCTGACCGTTTCGCCAGGGCTGGAAGACAAATCTTCAGGACACGGAGAAGCTCATCGAGTATTTCTACAAAACATGCTTCACGTCTGGGTCCAAATGCGCCCTTCACCGATCGGAAGACAAGAAGTGGGAAGATATCCGTTCGCGCGTCCTCGCGCTCGCCAAGCGCTTGGACAATGATCCCTACTCCACGGTGAAAGGGAAGGTCATCAGCACCTTGACCGGCTACGACGTCATCGACGCCTTCAAGCAACCCATGTATCACCCTTTCACGAAGTTTCTGACCCTCGCCGAAAGACTCAATTCCGCGATCGAGGGTAACTACACCGGCCTCCTCGAAAACGCGACCGAAGACATTCCTCCCCTCGATGGAGTCTGCCTCGCCCCCAACGCAACCCTTCCAGTGCCTTCCACAACCGGCGACGGAGGGCAAGCCATCCTCTGCGGCGACGCCGAAGACGCAACCAACATGACGATGGCAGACTACCGGGCCTACGTCTCGGAGCTCGTCGAACAGTCTCCGACCTTTGCCGGGTACTGGTCGCAGATCCGATTCGCGTGCACGGGGTGGGACGTCAGGCCGAAGTGGCGCTACACGGGACCCTTCTCGACGCCCGAGCACGACCCGGCCGTGGTGGAGGGGAAGCCGGCGGCGCCGCTGCTGTTCATGTCCTCGAGGCTGGATCCCGTGACGCCGTTGCGGAATGCGTACAAGATGAGCGCGCGGCACCCGGGGTCGACTGTGGTGGTTCAAGAGTCTGTCGGGCATTGCGCCGCAGAGACTGGGAGCAAGTGTTCGAAGGAAATCATTCAGAAGTATCTAGAGCACGGGATTGTTCCTGAGGATGGGACGGTTTGTGAACCCGATTGTGATCCCTGGGATGGAGACGACTGCCTGCCGTCGACCAAGGGGATCAGGGTGGCCGGGTTGGGCCCGTCTCCGGAGATGCTTATCTCATGGTGATCCCGACTTTGCTATCGACCTAGATATCCAACGAGAGAGTAGAGGTTGGTGCAGAGACTTGCATGAGATGGGAATCTGGGAGGAAGCCACGTCTTAGAATCCGAGACAGAGCTGAAATAAAACAACAGTGAGCTTGAGAAACCACACTCCAATCGGGATCACAAGTAAGCCCGGAACGTGTCTCGCCGTCCGCCCTACGGGACGTCAAATCCGAGACCTGTGATTGACATCGCCATTGGTCCACCCTGACCGCTAGAATTCGTTGTCATCCCAGCCCACATCGGAGCAAGTTGGAGGCTGCCACCAAACGGTCAATACCCGAGACTGACACCCCGTTGGAGTATCCACGCCAGCTTCTCGTGACGACAGATAGCACGTATCAAATGTCTTTGGGGTATCGACAACCTCGAGAAAGCTTCGTATTAAGTTGATGACTGGCCGGCCAAGTCATGTGAAATATCGAATGTCCTGAAAGATCCAGCTGAGACATACTCCAAGACAGACATTAAGATCTTGATTTCTTGACGATAGCACTAGTCGCCTCAATACGAGATTTACTTACCCCGCGCCCTCCCGGCGATCTGACATCTCCGCCCGGCGTGCCGGAGCTTACATCCCCCAGACTTGGCGACGATCACCCATGCATGCATCCGATAGCCAAGCATGGGGTAAGTGCCCGATTTGATGGAAGAGGTTACGTTATTCAAGCTTCGATAGTCGGTCTACGATGGCAATCTTTTCAGCTTTCCTCAAAACCGAGGGCCATGACCATAACCCCCATGCTGCCATCTAGTCAGCCCGAGGATCCCTTTCACACTAGTGGCTTGAGAGCAGAGCCAGCACTGGTCTGCCGACGCCACAAACGGTACGTTAATACTGGTTCTGACAGTCACCTAGTTGTAATTCAACACGAGATCAATCAGCATTCGCCGGAGTCGGTTCGCGGTACCGGGGATGCAGCTCGGTGCGGCTGGAGCTGAACTACATGCCTCCGAATGGGATGCTCCAGACGAAAATAGATTCTCGTTGAGATGCACACCTGAGTTCGTATTTGAGTATCTCATGATGTATGCGGCGTGGACGGTTGGGGGAGGACAAGACGCTGATCGGGTATCGGTGTTGCCGTTGGGGTGAGGACCTCATCGTGAGATTGAGTCGGGTCATCGTCTTCACCGAGTTTTCGGGCTGATATGTGATTCGGTATCTATCACTTGAGGCTTTCTTAGAATCTGAGAGGTATAAAAGGCCGGCGAAGCCTAGTCCCTAAGAACATGTTGCCATCGCTACAACTCATCACATCATCAGACTCGAAGCCTCAAGGTCACATCTCATCTCATCTCATCTCATCAGTAGTACTCAAACAACCCAACTTGCCAAGATGAAGTTCGCCACAGCTCTTCTCACAGCGTTCTCTCTCTTCATCACGTCCTTCGCTCACCCCCTCGAGGACCGCGACGTCGTTCAAACCGTGCACCTCACCTTCCATGGCGGGCCGGCCTCGTACGAGATGACAATCCCAGCCGACGGCCAGGTCCACCCCACGAGTATGTATCTCACCACAGCCATGTTGTCGGGATAAGTGACTTACTCCAATGTGCCACAGACAACGGCATCTCGGTCAACATCATCGACGCCCCCGACTACAACGCCATCAACCAGTGCACCTTTTACACCAACGGCGAGAAGGCCCTGGTCAGCGGTATCACTCCGCAGGGCGTACAGCAAGTCATCATCGGGCCTCCGCAGCCCGTCACGGGGGTCAGCTGCTACGGCATGTGTGTGCCGACCTACGGCGCCTGCTACGGCACCGATGGCCAGTATGTCGGGCCGTGCTGCAACGGCTTCTGTGCCGCTACTAGATGCAGACCTTGGATCCAGCCATCTTGAGATTGGCGAGACGTGGATCTCACGCTTCTCGATGGCGAGTCTTGTGGTTAAGAAAGTTTCCCAGTGGTCAGATCATGCGGAAAGGTTCATACGCTAACAGGCGTCTGAACCTTTTCTCGCGGTTTGAGTTTATGAGCAAAAGGCTTCTGTGATGGAGTACATGCGAACTCGGTGGAAGTTTTTTTATGGAAGAGTGCACCGACTGAGAGACTAATTCATGTAATAGCCTCAAATAGCGTTGAGGCCTCTCAATATCATGACAGTAAAAGTAGGCTATGAACTTTTTGACACGCTTGCAGTAACACACACCGACCCTTCCCATGTTGAATGTCACAACCCCGCACCCACTCACCAACGCCAGTCTGCCACAAGCCCAACGAGCATCTAAGGCTCACCCCAAACCTCATCGGCGATCTCCCTCACGAGCGCCAACTTCTTCTTCTCATCCTCCAGGCTCAACGGGTACCCGCTCTCGTGGGTGCTGAAGCCGCACTGCGGCGAGACGCAGATGCGCTTCAGCGCCTCCTCCTTGGTCTCGTCGCCGCCCTTGGCGACGAACTCGGCCGCCTTGTACACGCGGGCTTTCATCTCGTCCTTGTTCTCGAGGGTGGGCACCTTGGTGCTGATGATGCCGACGACGACGTTCTTGTTCTTGGGGAGGAACTGCAGGGGCTCGAACCCGCCCGCGCGCTCGGTGTCGTACTCGAGGTAGAAGGTGTTGACGTTCAGGTTCTGGAAGAGCTTCTTGGCGATGATGTCGTAGGCGCCCTCGGCGAAGTGGCGTCCGCCGATGAAGTTTCCGCGGCTGGAAGCGTTAGTCGTCTTGTCACAGAGCTCGGTAAGAATGTGTGATGGCCCTTACCAGAGGTGGATGCCCGTGTGCATGTCTTCAGGCAGCTTGCTGATGCTGTCGTTGTAGAGCTTGATGTAGGCATCGAGGAGGTCTTCAACTGTGCCCTCGTTGTCCTTGTCTTCCTCCCATCCTTGGCGGAACTTTTGGGAGCAGAAGTCTACGAAAAGGTCAGCAAAGCAAGTGTCTCCTCAGAGATCGATATCACTCACAGGCCATGCCAGGGTCGTCGAACTGAACATTCCTCAGGCCAGCCTTGTAGAGCTCAGCAAGCTCGTCCTGGTAAACCTTGGCAACGTCGGCGAAGTAGTCGGCGTCGTTGGCGTAAGCCTCCTTAGTGTAGGCTCTTCCTTGCTTGTAGCGCATGTGGAACCACGCGGGCGTGATCATGGTGAGCTTGATGTTGCCCCATTCCTCCTTGGGCAGCGCGGCCTGGACCAGGCGCAGCTCGTGGAGGTTCGACTTTGACTTTTCGGCAGAGTGCGACAACTTGCCGGCCGCAATGACGGAGTCGCCGGGCATGACCTTGCGGTCCTTCTCGATCAGGCTCACGACGTCGGGGTGGTACAGGCGGAACATGCTGGCGTCGGCGTCCTGGAGACGCGTGGTGCCCTCGAACTCATCCCACATGAGACCCCAGAACCGGGTGCGGTTGTACTCTCCCGAGGTGATGCCCTTGATGCCCAGGTCCCGCTGCAGCTTGACGACCTCGGAAACAGACTCCTTCTCGACGGCGGGCAAACCAGCCTCCTCCTCGGACATGCCCTGGTCGCGAATCTTGCCCTCGCGGACGTCGAGGAGCTTCTGGGGACGCAGGAGAGAGCCCATGTGCTCTGCCCTGAAGGGGGGCGCCTGGTGAAGTTTGGAAGACATTGCGGTACGGTTTCGTCGAAACGGTTCAAGTGATGATGTGTTGTTGTCTCTTCTCTCTTCTCAAAATTCGCTAAAGGATGAAGAATTTGAATGTCGCGATGTCTCAGTGGGTGGCCAATCTAGCCTCGAAGGCGGGGCAGGGGATTTACGGATTTAAAACGGCGGGGCCAAGTGAGGGGTCAACCAGCTCCTGACCGATAGCTGACCAAGGGGCCAAGGTCCGATTGAGGAGGTCTCCAGCCTCGAGCTAGCCAGTCCGGCGAGGAAATAGCTCACGTCAGCCGGGAATGAACCCAATTCGAGTTGGCATTGTTGGAGATACACCGCCGAAGGCCGTCGGCAGAGTGCCACGCCGCGCTTTCGCGTGTATTGCATGGAGAGCTCGACATTGAAACTTCCGGGGTGCATTCTGGCCCCTCTCTGTTTTGTCCGAAGAGCGTGTTTGCCCCTCATCCCCCCACTTCCCCGGCGGCAACACCGGTCGGTTGACGTCAACAGCCGTGGCCGAGTCGGCAGTGAGAGAGGACGGATTACGAAGTAGTGGAAAGTGAGGCGGAGAAGGAGTCCGAAGTTGGAAACTCTAGGTTGTTCCCGTCCCACTACATAGCATGGCCGGCAAAGCCGTCATTCTACGGCAAAGCCGGCCCGAGCCGACTGCTGATGGCTATGCCGTGGTAGTGTGCTGTGGGTAGAAAAGAATTCTTGAATGATAGGATATGTGTTTTCCAGGCCGGCAACAGAATTTCTGAAACAACTCCTAACAGTCCTGACGGCGATATTATCGACCATCGGTATCATCAAATACGGAATCCGCACATGTTAGCTTGGATGCCGATTAGCTTGCCAAAGTTCCCTTAATTACTATCTCAGCCGAACCTTGGAAGGTAGCGTAGAAGCCGAGCTCGCCGACGTGGAACCTTCAATGATTTCTTAATAGGCGTCAAACTCCATGCCACATGTCAGAATGACCAACGTATACTAAGCGGTTCCTCGCCTGGTCGTCTGCTCGGCTTGAAGCCTCGCATTGAGCAAGACTGGGCCAGGATAGTTCCCAGCCATACGACGACAACATGTGGTGTGGTTTGAGGCGATATTGTTAGGCTATTTACCCGCTTGTCTGGAATTTCAGTGAGAGTGGCAATTTGAGATAGAGTGGAGAGATGGGGAGGGACATTTGACATACTGGGTGCTAGCAACGTATCTGTCAAAATTAGCCGTATCATTGATGATTCTGCCCGCTGGCACATGGGTAGCGCCAGGCAAGAATCTTTCACAATCATGCTGGAGCATTCTGACATGGGCGGAAGACCAAACGCCCGTTTCTATTACTGTTTTTGCGAATAGATATCCTAGCAGAACCTGTTTCCGAGTTAACATCTTGAGAGAGATCCAGACTGATAGACCCATTGGCTTCTTGACTTTTTTTTCATGTCTGGCACCTAGTATTGGCACCGAGACGACTAGACCAGGAGCTGATGTGGCTGCGAGCGTAGGTTCCGAGGTCTCCATGAATCTTGAGATAATCATGATTTCTGTGCCCCTAACTGCATCTTGTAGTCACTGAACTAGATGTCTGCTTATACGTGGCAATTCATCTCAAACACATACTGTTGCTGCCAGCAACTCGCTCTAGGTATTTCACTCCATCATGCCTTCTACGCCAGACGCACCAGACTAGCAACCACCAGTGTCCGATAAGTCCGCGAGCCAGTCCCTTTCCATCGTTGCAGTTTCTTCAGAATCACTTCACACAGCGTTACCAACGTGACGGCACCGACAATCTCCAGCGCGCTCAGCTCGATGCTAATCTCGGTACGGATCCAGTTGCGCAACTCCACGGGCACGAGCGAGTCGATGCCATATGTCTTGAGCGGCCGCGTGGGCTCAAGCGGCTCGGTCAGCCCCAAACTCATGGTCAAAACTCCGTTGACGGCCGACACGGCTGCCGCGAGCAGTGTGGCCTTCTCGATGTCGGCCCCCTGCCCGTGTGCCGCGCCGCGGAGGAGGGCAAGATCGCTGTCGCCCGCGCCGTCGCCGTCGGCGGCAGTCCGGGGCCGCAGCGCGCTGAACCGGTGGACCGGTTTCTGTGGGCTGTTGGGGCCGAGCGGGTTGGGGATTCCCGTGATGACCTGGGCCGTCGAGTCCGGGTCGACAGGGTTGGCACTCTGCTGTAGCAGCGAGATCCGGAGGATGCGGTGCAACAGGGCCTCGTTGATTGGCGTCCAGCCCTGCATGAGAAGTCGTGCGGCCATGGTATCGCTATCAGTGAAGTAGCCGACGTCCTCAATGATGCCGATGCTCGTGTTGATGAGCCGGGTCACGGGCTTGTCGCCGAATAGGGTCTTGACGACCGGCTCCGCTGCCGCCAGGTCGTTCTCCTCGGCCTTGTTGATGACCAAGTTGGGCACCACGCGACTGACGTAGGGCACGCCGCCGCGCTCAACCCACTCACGCTCGACAAATTCGACATTGTCAACAGACTCGAGGTCGCGCATAGTCTGCAAGATGGCCTGCGTGCTGGAGAAGCTGGTGGACGACTCGATGTCCACCGTCATGACGAGGCACGTGGGGTCCTCAGCAAGCAGAGAACGAAGTATACCCACGAAGAGACTAAGCTCCGGGTTGGTGACGTTCATGTGCCCGCCAGATGTGACCCAGAGCAGGCGGCACCGGCGCCTCATCAGTTCCTGGATCATGGCGAGCTGGTTGTCCCGTGTGCTCAAAATGACGGGCGAGAAAACTTCATCGAGAACCAGCACGGTGCTGCCTTCGGGCACCTCGGCGGGCAGCTCCGCATGCTCCGTGATCGTGAGGCCGACACCCGAGAGACTGGAGATCATCGCGTCCTTCTCCTGACTGCGGCCCTCGAGGTGAACGACATGGGCGGCCCGGCCCTCGGATAGAGGTGCTGATGCGGACGGATTTCTTCCCACGAAAACCAGGCCTAATGGGGATGTTCCGGTCCCGGTAGAAACGGCGGAAAGGGGTATGACGCTCTCGAACCCGGCAATGTGTGGCGTCGAAACATGCCCATTTGCATGCCCATTTGCGTGCCCATTCGCGAGCCCATTCGCATGTCCATTCTGGCCGTTGACTGCTGGGCTGGACTGGCCGTTGGTGGTGATTCCAGTACTCTGGCACGAGATGACAATCACAAGGCTGGCACTGTCGAGGCTTCCGTCGTCATCCTGAGCTTGCGCCGGCCACCGTCAAATCTCTTCGGAGTTGGTCTGCTGATAGGAAGGTGACGTCGGGGTTCCATTTCAACCGCGTAAAGGTGTGCTGGAGCTGTGTCTCCGATACGGTGTCGAGGGAGTGGTAGTGCAGCCCCTTGAGGCGGAAGACGAGGCGTCCGTTCTAGGTGTCGAAGACATCGACATAGGACTTGTATCTCTTCGCATCCGTCTTGCGGCCTTTGCCGCCGTACTGGGCGTGCGCGAGGGCCATGTCTTGAGCGGGAGCGACGTCTGGGCTGGGATGGTGAGCTCGTCGACCAGGGCGGGCAGCAACAGCTGCGAAACGCCCGTCCGGTGGCCGCAGTGCAGCGACGGAGACCCGGCCTGGAAGCACAAGTCGAGACAAGCTGAGTGCAGCGGATAGATTGACTGCTGATGGCTTGAGGACGGGTAATCGGATGATACTAGAGCGTGGTTGCGGCGCTAACTAGCTACGGCCTTAATAGCAACCTGTTTCTGGAAGCTGGGTCTAAAGCTGTAGCCAACTTCGCGCATGGCCTTATACCAGATGCTGGCCGGGGTGCTGTGCTTCAACGGTGCGAGCTGCTCCCAGTCGGCCGTCTCGGGCTCAGGCTGAACGATGCTGACCAGGCCTCGGCAGTGCTCCTGGTCTGACTCTCGATCGGGCCCGACGGACGAGATCTTGAACTCGTGCCACGAGGTGCCCAGAATCTTGGTGCCCAGAAGATCGTGGTGCACAAAGTCGCGGTACATCCAGTCGACGCTGGCCTCGTTCTCAGCCCAAAACTGCACCGAGTTGTTCCAGCTGTAGTTCGGAAGGTCAGCGACGAGGGAGGGTGCCTGGGTCTCCGAGTCCTGGTTCATCTTGGTGATATCGATGGGGTCTCCGGCAATGAAGAGCTGTAGCCGGAAACGGTCACGCTATTGGGGCTATTAATGCAGGCGAACTCGGCCTCAGTGACGGCCAGATAACGTTGGGTGCCCTCGGCGCCGAGGCCTACGGCCAGCATGCCCAGCGAGGCCGAAGAACGGACCTTTATGGTGGCCTGCCCTCGGAGGTAGGCAATCTTGATGGCCCACGTGAGCGGGCGATGAGAGCTTTTCGTGCAGGGCTGGGCGTGGAAAACATCGGAGCTTGCAGCACGTCAGGTCGTGGGTGACATCAGCCGTGTTCATCCATGAGTATTGGCAACCAAGGCGTGCGCTGATTTCCGCGACACGCCAGGAATCGCAGCGTACGCAAGCCGCCGTACTCGTGCGTCAGCGAATGCGATGTGCAAGGCATGAGGAGAAGGGGGAGGAGGAGGAAGACGCCGACGACAAGGCGAAACACCTGCAGCGCAGTATATTGCATACATTTTTGGTATTGTTCCTGGCCAAAGTCAGGTCATGTCCAAGGTTCAAGGTGGAGATTGGGGGCTGGCGGTACGAGAATGGCCGTCCTGGGAGTATGCAACTATGCAGCCACTCGGGGTGTGTCGTCTTGCGGCCTTGCAATCTCACGGGTATGCAAGTAAACCACATATAAACCCCCTGTCCATGTTGTTGGCCCTCAGCTACACCAATGGCTGTTCTCGGCATCTTGTTGCAGCTCTGGGCTCATGTAATTCGTCGTATCATTCCCAGGGTACTTTTATTAGTACTATATGTAGAATCATATTTCCCAGCCCGGGCGATGTCATCCCACCGCAGCCCGTTTCCTCCAGCCTTTCCGCCCTCCCGCTTTTGACTCCGCCTCTTGCTATCTCTTCCTTCCCGGTTCCCGTCTGACGTACTTGACAAAGACAAGTTGCAAAGCTCCGTCTTTCACCCCCTTATGCGTTCTGTTCAGTCCGGTCAGAACACGACCACGAGTTCCTAGCTTCGTTCTCCCCCCTTAATTCCTCCTCTCCTGTCTGCTCTTCCTCCTCCTGTCCTTCTTCTTCTCCATCTTCTTCTTCCTCTTCTACCTCTTCTCTTTATCATTGTTAGTCTTCAAGTAGACATGGCTGACCATACTTCGGCCACCATCGCGGCGCCGCCACATGGCGTGCTCGTAGCACCGGCCCCCCAACCCGTCATCCCAGCTTCGGGTCCGGCGACCGCTACACCGTCCGTCCCGTCCCGTCGCACGAATATGCAGACGGCCGTCATCGTCTCCTCGCTCTGCGCCGCCGTCTTCGTCGCCGCCCTCGACGTTACCATCATCACCACCGCCATTCCGGCCATCACCGAGTTCTTCCGCTCCCCCACAGGCTACCAATGGGTCGGGAGTGGCTACGTCCTGCCGCACACGGCGAGCGTGCCGTTCTGGGGCAAACTGTCCGACATCTGGGGCCGCAAGCCCATAATCCTGGCTGGGGCTCTCCTCTTCATCGCCGGCAGTCTGCTGTGCGCCCTGGCCACCTCCTTTGCGCTGTTCCTCTTCGGACGCGCCGTCCAGGGCCTCGGTGCCGCGGGACTCATCACCCTCGTCAACATCTGCATCAGCGACCTGTTCTCGCTGCGCGACCGCGGATTATACTTTGGCCTCGTCTCCATCGTCTGGGCCGTCGCCAGCGGCTTAGGTCCTGTCCTAGGCGGTGTCTTTACTGACCGGTTGACGTGGCGGTGGTGTTTCTGGATTAACCTCCCTATTGGATCCGTTGTATCCGTCCTCATCTTCTTCTTTCTGCGTCTCAATACCACAAAGACCTCGGTGCGTGAGGGTCTGCGCAGTATAGACTGGGCAGGCACCCTGCTCATCAGCGGGAGCGTCCTGATGGTCTTGCTGGGCCTTGACTTTGGTGGAAACATGTACCCCTGGGGTTCTGCCGTTGTCATGTGCCTCATCGTCTTCGGCGTTGTCTGCGGTGCCCTCTTCGTCATGTACGAAGCAAAGTGGGCCAAGTTTCCCGTCATCCCAGTCGAAATGTTCACCACCCGCTCGAGTGCTGCAGCTTTCTCCCTGTGCTTCAGCCACGGCTTTGTATTCATAGGCATCGCCTACTATCTTCCATTATATCTACAAGCCGTTCTTGCATCAACAGCATTGCGATCGGGGATCTACCTGCTGCCCTACATCCTCGCCGTCTCCATCTCGGCCGCCTTCACCGGAGCTTTTATCCAGTGGACCGGCAAGTACATGCCGTCCGTCTACTCGGGGGGCGTGTTGCTCTGCGTCGGCGTCGGGCTCCTCGTCAGTCTAGGCCCGGAGCCCGAATGGGCCAAGATCATTGGCTACCAGATCGTCGCCGGCGCCGGCGTCGGCTTCAACTTCGAAGGCCCTCTGCTCGCGGTCCAGGCCGTCATGGGCGTCGAACACGTTGCCACCGTCACGGCCACCATGGGCTTCGTCCGGACCATGTCGACGGCCGTCTCCATTGTGGTCGGCGGCGTGGTGTTCCAGAACCGCATGGTTGACCAGTCCTCCAGCCTCCAGGCTACCTTGGGCCCGGAACTCGCGGGCGAGCTGGCCGGCTCGGAAATTCTCGCCAAGCTGGACGTCATCACCCAACTCCCCAGCAGCCAGCAGAGGATCGTGCGAGAGACCATTTCGAATTCGCTCCGAGACATGTGGATCATGGTAAGCCGCGTGAAAGTCCCTGGTTGCTATCGTCCACTTTCTAATCAATATCGCCGTCTCGTAGTATACCGCCTTTGCAGGGCTGTCCCTTATCGCGGGTCTTTTCATTAGAGCATACCACCTCAATACCGAACTGGAGGTCAAGAGCACGCCTGAGAACTTGGCGGAGAAGACGACTCCACGAGAACAACACCAACAACAAGAAGACCCACGGCCACAATCACAGCAGCAGCAGCAGCTACAACAAGAAGGAGAAGCATCGGCACCGTAGAAACATGTTGAATTGAGACCCTTTACGCAGACAGATAGACTTGTACTCCACCAGTAGTCGTATGTAAAACTGCCGTAATCAGAAACCCGCTCAATTCTTACCATCACCAACGTCTTAACCTATATACATTGAGTTATATATAAGACTCATCCTACATTCTCAAATGCCCCTCATGCCTTTGAATCGCACCACTCCCAGAAGCGTTCAACCGCACCGCCGCAAGGTATTTCACAGCTTGAAGTGCCCCAAGAGCTTACACACAGAGCCCGGAAGGGGACAGTTAGACATTCTAGAAGGAGAGAACCTTGCGGACCTAATGGCGGTCCAGTCTGACTTTATGCTGAAAGTTATGGGGAGGTCGTAAAGAGAGACGGAGAGGGCGTAGGTTAAGTATCGTAGTTACACTGCCATAACACAGATCGTTTCTCATAAGCCGCTTGGAGAGTTGGTTTTATACACATGGTTTTCTTTCATTTTCTTAGAGGAAGCGAAAACGCTCTATCGCCCCCATGGCTAATATCATCTCGCTAAACTCATAGAGTACGTCTTAGGTGATAACGACGAGGGAAGCTACATTCCAGGTCCATTTCTAATGCTTTCCAACCAGATTGTCAGACAGCATGTGCTAGCTATACCGGGCTACGACAGGTTGCTGGTTTCCTTGCCTAGACCGATCACCATGTCAACAGCTCCTCACTGCACCACGTGTCCCGCTGCCACCCACAGCGCAGCACAACCGTGCGGTTTTCCAGATCGACGTCAGTCCTGACCGAACACACGCGCGCCGACGCCGGTATGCAGGAGCTGCCGCCGCCGCCGTCTCCGTCTCCGTCAGCCGCGATTTGCGCGCTATGCCGCCGCGCCGCCTGCTCCTCGAGGGCGACGACGCGTCCGGCCACCAGCGCCGTCGCCGCGCCGTCCCATACGCCCTCGCGCCGAGCCTGGGCGCGCCGAAGCAACGCGAGCGCCCGGTGTCGCGTGGACCACACGCGGCACCGGATGACGACGTGGTACAGCAGATGCAGTACGCCCATATCCAGGGAGAAAAAGCACGAGACTTCATGGCCCGCCGGCGGCGGAGGCTCGGGCGAGGACGGGAACAGCAAGGCCTCGGCCAGGTCCGTCATCTCGCGGAACTGCGTTGCAAAGCTGTCAAAGACCATCTGGTCGTATAAGGTAAAGGTGGGAATAATGACGCGCGCCGCTGTGTAAAGCAGCTTCAGCATAGTAGAGCTCACGCTACTGGAGGACTGCTGCCGCTCTAGGTACTTGAAGAGAGTGTCTTGCCACTGATGTAGACCTCTGATGAAGTTATCCTGGCCTTTAGCCCTCGCCCGCTTTGTTCGGGTGCCCTTGAGATGGTGTTGGCCCTCGGGCAACAGGTGCATGTGCCAGATTAGCTGATACAGCGTGTCGCGAGCCTCTGCTGAACTGGCGATGCGCACTCCGGCGTCGTCGTAAGTGGTCCTTTTCTTGCTGTCGTGGGTATCACTGATGAAGCCCGCCAACGCGGCACCGTCGTCCCCGTGGTTCGACGACGAGGGCGCCGGCTGTGCGTGGCCAAACAGACTGGCCTGCAACGCCATGCGACAGAACAAGGGGCCCAGCTTCTCGCGGATGAAGTAGCCCCGCGGTGACCAAATGGATCCGCCGCGGCCGGCGTTTTGATCCTGCCACGCTTGGAGGAGACCTGCGCTGCCGTGGAGATGAACCTGGGATTCCTTGTGGTAGCCTCGTAGCAGCTCAAAGGCGGCGAGGAGGAGACAGCAGAGCAACGTCGTCTCGATCTGGCCGCCGGCGCAGGTGGAGATTTGCGTGTGGAGGCGACGGACCGCCTCGGTGTAGTAGGACAGGGCATGCCGCATAGGGACAGAACACATATCCGGCCCCGCGAGGCGGCATGCGGCTTCGGGGTCTTTGGCCATCAGATGGGCGGCCCCGATCGCCTCGGCGTTAAAGTGTTCGTGGAGCGAGGCGAGGGCGACCAAGGCGTAACTGACGCACTGGTCTCGGTCTCCGACCTGGAGCACCGACGTTGTCCAGAAGTCGTCGTCAAAATAGCCAGACAGTTGCTTCGCCGTATTCACTCTGTAATACTGCAGCGCGCGTTGTGCCGGTGCGCCGAGCTGGATGGATGACGGGGACAGAGACGGCTGACCGAGTGTTTGCAGAGGAACCAGAGCCCTCTTGGGCAGGGTGGCCAATCTACTGCCGCTGGGCCGATAGCCGTCACAGGAGCGCCCTGTCTTGGTACATTGATTGCAGCTGGGCCGCGACTCATCGCACCTGATGTGCCGTGCTCTATGGTTCCGTGGAGCAACCCGGGGTTAGCCATCTCCTCTTCTACCAAGATAGTGGGAAATGACGAACCGGCATACACCGCAGCCATTGGTAGATCGTTTATGTCGGGACACTCGTTTCATGGTCCCGTTTCATAATGAAGGGTACTGTTTGTTGTTAGTGTGCGCAAGAGGAGGCGGCCATTCTGTCTTCTTCGTTGCTGTCGTCGTCGTCGTTTGCTGGACAGGGTTGCTCAGCTCTCTGTGTCTCCTCGAAGATATTGATCACCGGGAAGAATGGAAACCCCTGGAGTGCCGCGGCGCCACGCCGGGATTTGTTGGCAATTACGACAGAATCTGCACATCCTGCGCCACGCGAGGGTGAGACTGTCATGTTGGAATGTCGTTGGAACCAGGGTCTTGATTGGCCGCTTCGTCTATCAGCCAACAAGAGCCCCTGCCGCCTGACAGTCTCCAATAGTGTTTTGATGCATGAGCCCTGCTAAAGACATATACTGATATGTATGGTATATCGAAATATTGCACTCCGTGAGCCAACTTCCTCACATATACCATGCCCTCCCTTCATCTCACACCGTCCTCTCCAGTATCATGCTATTTCTCACAGCCGTATCTGGTTTGAATTTCCTACCCTCCATCACCGTACTTCTCAATATACTTTTACCACGTCTCCCACGTTTGATACCGGTCAAAAATGACGGCATTGTATAACCTGCCCGGGAGCGCTTTCTTCCTCGCGATATACGCTGCCGCAGTGCTTCCTCAACTTTATTTCGGCATTCGTTACAAGACGTGGGGATTTTTGGTCGCCATGATCTTGGGCCTCGTGCTAGAAATTATAGCCTACGTGGCCAGAATCAGACTACACGACGGTCAAGACACATACCGACAGTAAGCTGCTGCAGTTCCAACTTCCTCTAAGAACCGTAGCCACGGCTTCGACGGGGAGACGATTCATCGCATACATGTGAGCTGACCGGTATCCTCCAGGTACATTGTGACAATCACCATCGGGCCTGCCTTCTTCAGCGCCGCCTTGTACCTCAGCCTGGCGCGCATTATCCCCGTCTTTGGCGCCTCCAACTCTCGTCTCCAGCCGCGCACCTACACCATCGTCTTCATCCTGTGCGACTTTGTCGCTCTGTTGCTACAGGCTACCGGCGGCGGCCTCGTGGCCGGCAGTGATCCGCTGGACCAGGAGACCTTTGACGCCGGGCTCGGAGTCCTGCGCGCCGGTCTCGCCTTTCACGTCGCCGGCATGCTTGCATTCGTCCTCCTGGCGTCCGACTACGCCTGGTCAGTGTGGAAGAACCGAAATGCCACGTCCAAGGATGTCGACGGTGAATTTCTACAGTTACGCTCCACGAAAAGATTTCGCATCTTCATCTTGGGTAAGGGTTTCAGTCTGATGTGCCTTTACGCGTCTTGAAATCTTTAGGACTTGCTAACCATCGACTCTGTTTTTCTATCGCTATTAGTTCTTGCGGTATCAACTCTCTGCATATTCGTCCGTACCTGCTACCGACTCGCGGAGCTCAGCATGGGACTGGACAGTGATCTTGCCAATGACGAAGTTGCCTTTCTGATTTTAGAGGCAGCTATAGTCGCTATTGCCGTCATTTCCCTTAGCATCTCCCATCCTGGTTATGCTTTTCGAGGTCTATGGTCCAGAGCGGATTTCCAGTTAGTAAACAAAAGGCTGAAGAGGGTTGATGGCGAGAAGGTCATCAGCGGCAATGTCCAACTAGTACCACAGCAGACACATGAACACAATTAAGTTCCGTTTGTCAGACAAAGTCTTAAATTAGTAAACGGATTCGTTTCAGTCTTTTCTCTTAATTTCTAGCTGCTCTCACTAGACTTCAATCTCACTATCAGTATTACTATAAAGCGAATATTTAGTAGTTTAAATAATTCTTACAACATAATCAAAAGACACATTATTAAGGAGCAAAAGTATTTAATTGCTATAGGCAGCTGAATAATAATAAGATATTATTTATTATTGATTTCTTCCTATGTTGCTCGTTACTTCAATGTTAAAACGAGCCTAGACGGGAATCTTAAAGCCCGAGCGACGCAAGTTCTGGAAGACACCTCTAGGGTCGTACTTGACCGAAGCCGCTTTCAACTTCTCGATAGCGGCCTCACCGAAGGTGGAAATTACATCCTGCACTTTGTGGGCATAGTTGAGATACTTCCACTCCCAGGCCAAATCCAGTGACTTTGCGTAGTTGTCGACATCTTCGGTGTAAGCCTTAACCAATGCAAAGGCAATGGCCTCTTTATCGGCTCCGTTGATGGCCAGCGTGAGCAGGAACATGATTCCGTTGCCTCTTTCAATGTAGTGGTCTAGACCCATAATGTTACCGCCATTCTTGACGCCTTTTTCGACGATAGACTTGGAGATGGGCTGGAACATGCAGAGAGTGTTGAACCCCGAGTCGACGCCAACAGCATTCTCCAAGTCCTCGTTGAGAGTGTAGAACTTATCAACGGCGTAGTTCATGACGCGAGCATCGTTGTCAAAAGCCAAGGTGAACCATGCGTTGCGGAAGCCTGCGGGCTGACCTGCGCCAAGCTCGTTGGCAACAACAGACATCAGGTCGACCTTGGTAGTGTCTTGAGTGATGTTGCCCGCAGCGTAGTATGCGTCGAACGCCGGAGGAGCGACTTCACCCAACGTGTTCTCAATAGCCGCATTGAGAATCATGCCGCCGATGGCAGGGATGTAAGCCCAATACACGATGGATGAGCTGTTCTCGTCCTTGTGGACGTTTTCGGCGAAGTCAACCAGGGCGTCAACGACCTTGGGTCCAGCTGACAGGTCGTAGATGAGGTTGCCGCCCCAGATGACGGGGTTCTTGGGGTCGGGAAACTCGATGGTGTACATATCGAAGCGGGTGACCAGTCCGAAGTTGGCACCGCTGCCCTTCAGGGCCTGCCACAAGTCGGCATTGGACGTGGCGTTGGCGTCCACAATGGAACCGTCAGCCAAAACGATTTCGAAGTTCGCAACTTGATCCGCCGCGAACCCGTGAGACGCAGAGTGGAAGGAGTTGCCACCTCCAGTGATGAAACCGCCTACGCCAACTGTGCCGGCGCGACCACCCGTAACAACCACGCCGTGCGGCGCGAGAGTGTCGTAGACGGTTTGCCAATGACCTCCAGGCTGGATGGATGCAATCTTAGTTTCGGGGTGGTAAGTCGTACTATTCATGTTGCCTGAGAAATATTGTGTTAAAATCTGCCGTTAATTAGGTATGTTGCGATTTGTCGCTTACCAAAGTCGATGGTGATGCCGTCTTCCACGCTGTTCGATCCGGCGAAGGAGCCATGCCCGCCACCTCGAACACCAAAAGTGCAGTTATTTGCGGCGATTGTCTTGAGGGTAACTGACACATCCTCGGCGTTGGAGGGTTGAACGACGCACCAAGGGTTCAGAGCGGCACTTACGGACCAGTATGAGTCCATACGGTCCGTGTAGTCGGTTGAATCAGGGAAGTAAACCTTGTCTGCCAAACCTGGGGCCTCGTTGAGTTTTAAGCACTGTCCATGGTTGTCAGCATTATAGTCAGGCTTGAAGAACAACCATACTAAAATTAGGTGAAGCTTAAGCTATGTGCAACTGCCGAGACACATAGAAAAAGACCGGGAAAACTCACGCAGGCTGTTGAATGCGAGCTTCCTTGAGCCGCGGCGACAACGCCGTACACCGCAGCAGCCACAGCAAGCTTCATTGTTTCGACGGCAGAGCCTATTTTAGAGCAGCCGATCTGACGAGAAGAGTCGGAGAAGGAATCGGGCGCCCAATTATGCCGAGCAAAGGGACAGAGGCGCAGAAGGAGCGACTACTGTGGGCCACGCTGAGGAGGAGTGGACGCACATCTCAAGTTTACGCGTGAGATTCTGAGCTTGCCCTTATATTCGGCTCGAAAAGAGCACTCGGGAGACATTACCCAGGGTAGTGGATCTCAGCAAATATTGATGCCGGAGCAGTTATCCAATGACGAAGATAAACGGAGCAGGGGGAATGAAGGCCGATGGAACATGACCAGTATCAACAAGTTGATACCGGGCCTCTCAGGACTTGCAATGGAGCAAGAATAATTCTCGGGCAAGTCTAGAGGGACAGAAGAGGTTAGACAACTTGCTGACTGCATATTCGGCTGCGTCTTGACGGGGCCCGGGGTCCTGGTGACGGGAAAGAGTTACATGTATGAGCGGATCCGTGAGAGGGCCTTAAGGGTCAATAATGAATGTCACGTCCTTGGCCCATATTCCTCGCCCGTATCGCTGCTGCATCAAACCTCGCCGGCCGAGGACCGCCCAGCCCGCATCGCCACGTCGACCGGACGAGGGGTTTGCGAGGCATGGGGTCGGAATCTTGAACACTCACTGGCCGGTTCGGGTTCATGAAGTCCACCGGCACACAGGGCTAGCTTCGGAGACAATGCCAATCGAATCATCTGGCCCCGGCTGTCCGGGGGGAGCCCCCTGCCGTGCCCATGTAGCCGAAGCTAAAGTGGCATGGCGCCAACAGTCTCCAAGTTGGGGCCGCAGAAGTCAATCTTGGACGGGTATTCCCACCTGCAAGGTATTTGGACCAGGGTCTAACTAAAACGATTGCAGGCGACCTTCTTGAGGCGGAAGTGATCGGAGGAACAAACTGCTTTCGAGTCTAGATGGTCATCGAGGCGCCCATTTTGTGTGAGCCGGAAGTATTGTAGTTTTCGATTTCTCCTCAAACACGAGCCACCGGCCCAAGAATCTGGGTTTACGACTTGGCATTCTAAGGTTTCGTTTTACATCTTCGTCTGAAAAAAGGCTGCATGTACGTTTGTGTGATCAGTGCTCTGATTTGTGCAGAGGCATTCCAGAATCTTGGAGTGCAAGCACTGATATTGGTGAGGGGAAGTCACAAGATGGCTGTCAATCTGACCAAGAAGAAGGCCATCCTATCCAGCCAAAGCAACGTCAGTTACGTCTGTCACGTCTTGCTAGGCTCGTATAAGCACATCGCCAGATTTCAGACTCACGGACGGGATGGCAGAGAGCGGTCCTCACGTTTTTTTCCTTCTCGATCCAGCCATCGCAGCCGATCGAGTATGATTCTTGCCCTGGCACTAGTCACGTTCTTTTGCTTCGTCACCTCCTGGGATGTGAATTTTATACACCTAGACTCCTCGTCGGTTGTATCGACATGGTGGGGGCCGTCCCCTTTTCCCGCCCGTTGAGGTTTTAGGGTTCACTCAGGCAAAATTGCAAGGACACCCATCAAGTCATCTCGGCGGGTGGAAGTTCTCGAAGCTGAGAAGCACAGGTCAAGTAGGGCGAACGGAAAACATGAGTCTTTGACTCAAGTGTGCGTGCCCCGGCATTAAATAAAGTCTTTCTATACATAAACCCTATCGCCCGAGGGTGTAATTCGCTTTCGGTACTTGAAGGTTCTGTCGTCTCGAGTTCAGTCGAGATTCCTATCATTTATCTCCAGTCTTTGATGTGATTTTGATCGTTTTGGCCATCGGCCAGACGTCTCATCATTTCCAAAGATGCCCGTCATCAAGGGCATTCTTACGGTACTTCCAGCTCCGGAAGGATATGCGGTTGACTTCGCCAACCCTCAACGGCAGGCCGTGCCGGATGCTTTCTATGTTGCCGGCATAGGCTCAGTTCTCAGCCTGCTTCTTATGGCACAGCGTCTTTACACCAAAGCATTCCTTGTAGGAAAGCTTCAAGTTGATGATGGTATGTCTACCGAAAGTCCAATGCTGACCAGCACTGGGTGAATGCCGAGTTTCAATGTTCACTAGAACTTTTACTGCACCACGGCTGACATTTCACTTGGCAGTATTTCTTCTTTTAGCCTGGGTAAGTCCCAACAAACAATTCGGTATCACATATCACGACCTGCAGCAAACATATGCAGAGAGACTGTGCCGTTCAACTGCCGATGTCCCTGCATGAATGATTCGCTGGATCTTGCTCACATATGGATGGCAGCTCACGTCGATAACTACCGTTGCTTTATGTACACGTAAGACTTGGCACCTCAGCAAGCTGTCGCACACGCTGATGCGACCTCAACAGACATGTTCGCGGTAGGAGCTGGGGGTGTTCACGGATGGGAGATTCCAGTTGAGAAGTTCAATATTTTCATGCTTGTGGGTATTTTCTCTTTTGAATACACAGATAATGTGGCAGTTTACTAACGGTGGAATCGCAGGACGTCTTCCTCGCCGCCCCTATCTACACCCTTTGCGGAAGCTTTGCCAAAGTTTCTCTTCTCATATTCTATGTGCGCCTGTCACCGCAAAGATGGTTCAAATGCTCTGTGTTGATCACGCTGGCTGTCATTATTTGCTACAGTCTTGGGATCTTCTTTGCCCTCGTATTCGCATGCGATCCGATCGCGATGAACTGGGACGCAACAATCACTGAAGGAACCTGCATCAACCGACCGGCCCTATACATCGCTACAGCCGTTGCTAACATAGTCTCCGACATCATGCTTTTTGCGTTGCCGCTTCCCATCGTGGTAAAGCTACAAATTCCGCGGCGCCAGAAGATCGGGCTGTTCTTCATCTTCGCAGTGGGGTCTCTGTAAGTATTACGTTACTCTGGCATTAAGGAACCGAGTCTAATTCAAACCTCGAAAGAACTGTCGTCACCTCCATCGTGCGAGTCTCGCTTTTACCGGCCATGCTCACCAGCCTGGACCAAAGCTGGGCCATTTCATACGCCAGCCTTTGGATGTAAGCGGAGACGTTGCTATAAGTTTCCTTGACACTAACACAGCCTCTCCCTTTCAGCATTATCGAAGCAAATCTTCTCATCATCTGCGCCGCTCTCCCAACCCTTCGAAGATTTCTCCGTCACGTCGCTCCCAAGATTATCGGCGAAAGCACATATGGCAAGGGTACCAAAAAGACCGATCCTGGAAGCAAACACTTGAGTCGGATGACGATTGGGGGCACAAAGGGCACACGCAATCGCAACGAATATTCGGAATTCGACCGCGATAACAGCCCTGAGACGTTCGTCATGACAAGTGTGGGAACCAGTAAGCCCGAAGTGGATAACACAGCCAACAGCGAACATGACGCAGCCTGGCAAGACGACTCGTCAGAAAAGGCCATCATCTATGGCAACACAATAGTCCAGACCAAGACCGTGACGGTGGAGTATAGCTCTAGTAAATGAGGAGGGATCCTGCAGACGCCCGACGACCCTGGGTTCGGGGGTTCGAGTCTGATTTACGGAGGATGCATGTTCTTGGTATTGGCAGCAACAAACAGGATGCATTGGAAGCAAAATAGAGAGTTCAAGCATAAAATTACATTTTTCTTTTTACCTTCATATACGTCGGAAGCAAAGGTTCATGTTTCGCAACAATAATGGAATGGATATCCGATTACATACTTGTCAACATCATACAGCATTCATGGCTTGAAGACGAAAGCCGAAAGCCACCTCAACGTTTTTCCCATGATGCACTTGGCAAATTCAGAGGGTTCGCTAGACCCCTGTAGCCGTGATTTTGTTTCTGCTGAGGCCGTTTGGTGGACATTGACCCTAGACAGTTGCAGGAGTATGTGACAAAGCCGATTCCCCGGCTGATATCCTAGCTCTTTACCTAAAGATTTCTCATTGATAGGGGCAAGAACATCTCAGCTGAGGGAGAAACTACTGAATTGAGTTAAGACTTCTGCAGTAATATCTCTTTGGATAACGGCGATATTGTGTTGGTGCGCTTTCATTTTGGCAACCTGGAATTCATGCCACTTTTGGCTGGAGGATAAGAAATTTTCATGCAGAATGCCGCGTTGCAACATTTGAGGCATTTGCCTATTTTGGTATTTCCCGCAAGATGCTGGGGTCTTGACGAATGCAACTCAAGTATCCGCAACAAGGGTTCAGCTCCTGATGCCCCGGTGAATAGACACGCGCGATGGAGCTTGCCAAGGGAGTCGGGCAACAAAACACCGGCTCCGGCAATGATAAGCCGAGTTAGCACCACAAATCAGACAAGATATCTGGCAATCGATAAAAAGTCCGAGCAATGCTGGACTTCAGGGTTCAATTCTTCGGGCCCAAAAATGTCTTCCAAGGTTCAATGATCATCGAAATGGCACGATTGAGGCCCAAGCAATTGCACAGCTACACCATTAAGGGCTAGTTGCGAATCTATTAACTGGAATCCCATTCAGCCAGACTCGGTTCCTGTAACAACGTTGAACATTAAGATTCCAGGTTATGTGAGTGGGTGCTACTCAAGCCTTTACATCTGAAAGACATCGTACCAAGCAAGTACGACCCATTCGGCCTTCTACCACGAAGAAACCATCCACTCAAATTACCGGCCGCATCTCGACATTGTCCACCCACGCCGAAGCGTCACGTCCCTGATTAGGACACTCTATCGACATCTGAAACCACGAGTTTGACGGAGGTACGAACGGAAGCGACTGGATCGTCTGCCATTGACCGGGACACCCATCCAGCATCTTCATCCCAATAAGTTGTCCCAGTCTGAGTATCTGCATATAGCAGTTGTTGCTGTTGATAGACGCAATGTGAGTCTGCATGACGGCTACCTTGTTCGGCTGTCTACCGCTGAAATATCCAGCCATGCGCCAGGCCGGACCGGCGAAAGGTACAGCATCTTTACTGTTGCCAAAGTAGATGAAGCGCGCCGTGGAAGTACCGTCGAAGCCGGGTGTTCTCAAATCCAAAATCGTTGGCACCGTCTTGGCAGGCGCGACGATGTCGTCGGTGTATGCATCCAAAAATGCGTTGGGGGATACGGTACCGCCACGGTAAGCAACAAAGTTCGGACCCGTCTCGGTCTGAACACTGGACGTCGCAGGTGCAGTCTGCTTGACGGTGATGGCATCCCAAACAACGTATGATGCTCTTGTACCGAGAGAGATGCTTGCTTTCAAATAAATCTTCGCAACGTCGAGTGTTGGCGTGAATGTGAGAGTTACAGTCTGCCACTGGCCGTCGTTCAGGGTTCTGATATCAGCGGACGTTGTGACTGCCGTACCACTCTGCAAAGGACCGTTTCCTACGCCAGGGGTACCAACTTGCAAAGACGCTGCCACGACCGAGAGGTCGCCACCAATCTTGCATCTGACCGAGATTTCGTACGTTGCTCCTCTGTTGACATTGAACGTCTGTGACAGCGTATCGGAACCAGACGCACCAAGCGGATACTCAGCTTTGTATGCCGAGGGGCTTTGGTCTCCTAGTACATACGAGAGTGTAGCCCCATTGCCGGTGATATCGTGGATCCAAGGCATCAAATCCTTGTCGCTGCTAAGGGACACTGAGAATGATGTCAGGTCAGCGTGGTAGTTGGCGTTGCAGGCACCGGTCGAGGGTTGAGAGGGCTGAGTGGACTGAACGGCATACAAACTGAGTCGATTGCCGTTGCCACAAAACTGCTTGCCGTCACCCACGCAGTGTTGACTGCAATCGGATTCGGGGGCTTTGGAGGCGCCCAAAGTATTGCCGCAGTAACACTCTTTGCCGAACTCAAGTCCGAAGTATTTGGAGCCCTGGCAGAAGGCAGCACACTTTTCCACCGTCATGTCGTCAGCAAAGAGAACATTGTCAGAGAGAGAACGTCCAAGGACGTTGTCAATCCAGCATGACTGGTAGGAGAAGCCCTTGATGACACCCGTTGGGTTTGTCGTGGCCTGCAGACTTCCTGTGGGGAGGGCGTAGACGTTGAGGCGGTTGCCGTCACCGCAAGGCTGTGCGGAGTTGCCCTTGCACTTCATCGAACATTCGGAATCCGTCTTCTTGGTGCTGGCAGTATCCAGAGAGTTGCCGCAGTAGCATTCGCCGGCGTACTCAACGCCGAAGAGGCCATAGTTCGACGTGCCGCAGAACAAAGCACACATCTCGAGCGTCATGACGGCGTCGAACTTGGTCGCACCTGAGAGCACGCGCTGGGGAACGTTGTCGGAATAGCAGCCTTGATACGCGAAATTGGAAATGGTAGCCGGAGGCACAACCGTTGCGACGTTCGTATTCGTGTTGGCTGGAGCATTGGCGTTGGGGCCGTAGACACTGAGTCTCAAACTGCCACCGCAAGTTTCGGAGTTTGACCCGGTGCATCGCATGGAACAATCAGCCTCGGGGGCGGTAACGGTAGGAAGGGTGTTACCGCACCAACACTCTCGGGACCATTGCGTGCCGAAGTAGGTAAATCCGGCGCAGTTGACAGCGCATGCAGCTGCTGTCATGGCATCAGAAGCAAGCTGGTTGTTCGGCAGAACGCGTGGGTTGCTGTCTACAAAGCATCCAATGTAGGGCGTTGCGGCAAGAGTTGCGTGAGTTCCTGCATTGTATCCCGTGTTGGTGTAGACGTTGATTCGACTAGCCGCGCCGCAGATGTCCTGGTTTAAACCGCTGCATGGCGAAGAACACTCAGTCGCCAGGGCCTTGATCTGGTCCTTCTGCAAGCTGTCTCCGCACCAGCACTCTCGGGCGTATTCGACTCCGAAGTACTTGTACTTTGAACAGAAGGCGCTGCATTTCGCAATGGTCATGTCGTCGGCAGCGGTTGAAGCTGCCTCAAGGATGCGATGGCCATTGATCAGGTCGGTGTAGCAAGACTCGTCGGTGTAGGTTGTGGCCGGGGTTTGTTGGGCAACGATGATCCTCTTCTCGATTGCAGAAGAACTGGGGAAAGCGACAACAAGAACAATGAGTTGTAAATAGGCTGCCGCAGTCCGAAGACTGAAGAGAGAGTAAGTCATCCTGGGAAGTTGTGCAATAAGGTGGACAGCTGGGAGTTGAACAATGCTGTTGGCCTCAAAAGGCTGCCTTGGTCCGGATGGGACCAGCGTTCTTTTGTATGATTTCGAAAAATGAAACTCCAACGACGATATGCGATGAGAATCTCGTCCTCTCCGACAGTTCTTCTGTCCAAAATGAAATCCGAGGCTAGAAATGAAACTAGAGAAACTAGCGAAGCCTCAACAGACCATTTCCAGCCGGCTGGTAACGAACCCCTGACGCTAGTCTTCAACGAAGTTGCCTTTTTCGGAAGGGAAACGACCCAAAGTCAGCCACTGAATACTTCAATTGCTTGATGTCAAAACGATAGGTAGAATTAGGAAATCATTCCGTTTTCACTACAAACGTTTAGTCTGGGGAGCTGAAATATGGTCGGTGAGCTGGATTGCTAGGCAAACCGTGCAAGTTTCGCCGGCTTCAGCAGGCGTGCCCGGGTATTTGGCCACCGGACCAAAGAAATACGGCAATAAATTTTAAGATCAATTCACCAGAGATGGCATTCTTCCGATAAACAAATAAGAGATCTAATGGATGATGGGTGTTAGTGACTATCCAGGACGAGATGGATATGCAGGCTATGACAAAGGCCGCAGACAGGGAAAGACATTGGAGGAACATACTAGTCAACTTCTTTAATGACGAGCAGCCGTCAGATTTACATCAACTGAACACTGTCGAATGGCTGCCAAACTGCAAAATAAAATGTAACGCACAGACTGTCTGGGAAATGAACAAAAGGTTGCATAGGTCTGGGAGATGGCATGAGAGATTGTGTCTAAACTTCATTGGCTGTTTAAGGAACGATTCTTTCCAAATAATCTCGTTCAGAGCTAAAAGAACTGGGAGAATAACCTGAGACATACTGAATCTCGAAATACCAACATGACTGAACTACCATGTTGCTACTACAGGTGCAGAAAACTTTCTCAGGATGGCTTCACATTTTTGCAAAATGGGTGACGAGGAAATTACATCGTAAACGCTGCAACTTATAAGTCTAAAAGCGGCATGCGCAATTTCATGGTTTTGTATTTCAACTTCTGCCTAAACGTATCCTCGTTGCTTCTTATTTTCCATTGCAGATAGGGGCGCATAGAGTATCTGGAAAACACATCTGGTTAGTCTCTGCGACGAACACATCTCGAGAGCTGGTTACTTACTGCACTCAGATTCGCTGGGCCTAGGACAGGTGCGTTGGCAGTCTTCACATGCGCCTGCCATAGCAGTAGCGACGTAGGTGGCGAGAACAGCGAAGACGACCTGGAAGCGCATGGTGATAGTGATGGATATGTTTAAACGATCAACATTCTTCGAATTACTGGATAAGGTTTATGATTTGCCGGTGGGATGGTGTAGTGTTCGGATGAGATGTTGCGATGACAGGACTGGATGATGTGACGAACAAATCTTGCATTCTGTGATTTATATTCACTTCCAACAGTGGCAATTCCAGAAGATGTATATGCGCCCACCACCGTAACTTCATATCACGGCCTTACGTTTGACGCTAGTTTCAAAATGTTGCCGTTTCATTGCTATTTACTGCATACCACCGTCTCCGAGTTCTGATATACCCGGCTGCTGTATTTCAATGCTGACTCGTGTTCCCCACGCATGTCACCCGCCATGAAGCTTTCCAAAGAGTTCGGATCGGCGTAGGCGATGCCAAGTGTTGCAGGTAGGTTCATGCATGTCAATCAGCAGTCGCCTCCAGCCGAACATGAAGATCAAACCCTCTTTACCAAACTTTCGGGTTGGCGATGATCTTCACTGTTCACAAGACTTCAACTGCCTATTGACCCAATCTTGCTTGAAGAACTGCGATGTTCTGCAGCTAGTCAATGAACATCTGTTCTGGGGTACAAAATTCAATAGTACCTTCCAACTATGTAACTCATATAAATCGGCTTCACAATCCAGAATGTCGAAGACCATGTCACCAGTCTCGGTGCATTTAGAGTTTATACTTAGCCGCGTCACACACATCTTACAACTCCACATCACCCTCTGCCACCGCCGGCGGTCGACCAGGGATAGGCTATCCCGGCTTGACTAGGATATGACGTCCCGTCATGTTGGGTTCCTCTGGTTCAGACATCACAGGTTGAGATGCCAAATTCAAATGCCAAACCTTGAGATGTATGCCTGAAGTTTTCAGAGGAACTTGCTTGTCTAATTCGCCTGTGGGTCGCGGACTACTCCGCAACTCACCGGTCCACGGAGTATCTAGGCGGTGGTGACGCGGCAGGCGAGACGAGAAGACAGGAATACAAAGTCTCCTGATACTACTGATACCGATGAATTATTATTCACCCACAACTGCCGTTGGCGGGGGCTTATGGACGGCCACAACAGTCGTTAAGTGGCAGTCACAATGGGAGCGGGCCACTTAGTTTAGATCGAAAGCTTCACCGGAGTAAGCTTACTTGCAAGGCGTGGTACGAATGGAAATTGGATCTCATATCTTGTCTCTCAAGTTCTTGATGTGGCTTTAGTCTTTTTAGACAGCTTGCCTGGCTCAAATTGGGCCTCGGCAGATTCAATTGTCTCCATTTCAGCTTGAACTAAATCCAGCCTAAATTCTGGACCAGGTCTAAGAGGCTAATTCAAACAACCTTAAACGATATTAACATGGTTTTGTAGAAAATAAGACGCCACACCGGATACCCACGCTAGAAAAGAAACTTTAGGGGTTCTCCTCACAGCTCCGGGGGCCCAGTCTTCAGAATCTTTCCGTCTTGAAGCGTGACAACCATGTGCAAGCCACGAAGCGACTGTGGCCGGTGGACGACGGACAAAATAGTGTGGTCCGAGAACTCCCTCTCGATAATGTCAGCCATCATCTCTTCGGTTTCTTGGTCGACGGCGCTGGTGGCCTCGTCAAGAATGAGGATTCTGCTGGTGTGCTTTCGGACAATTGCCCGAGCTAGGCATAGGAGCTGTTTCTGGCCCCTCGACAAGGCTAGGTTCGAAACGTCGCCGTCAAGCCCGCCATTCATGGAGACTGCCGGCCAGAGGGAGACTTTGGTCACAGCGGAGATGAGAGCCTCATCGGAAGGGACCTCATCGGAGTCGGAACTGTCATCGTAAGGGTACGGGTTTGTTCGCAATGTTCCGGGGAAGAGCAAAGGCTCCTGGGGTATAGCGATGAGACGTTGGCGAAGAGTGTTGTTCGGGACGTGGGAGATGTCGACGCCGTCTATGACGATAGACCCAGAGTCTAGACCTAGGAGTTTGAAGATGGTCAGGGTCAAGGACGATTTACCGCTGCCAGTCCGGCCACAAATCGCGACCTTGTCACCTGGATTGAGAACCAGAGACACGTCCCTCAGAACACGTCTCGTGTCAGGTGTGTACGATGCCGTGATGTTCTTAATCTCCATGCGGCCCTGGTGAGGCCATCTGGGGGGTAGACTGGCTTCTTCTCCCTCTGCCGGGGATGGCTCGATTGGGGTCTTTGATTCGAATGTCCTCAGCCTTGAGATCGCACCCAAAGAGGTTTCGAGCTCCGTCCAGTTGGTAATGAGTGTGGCGAGCGACGCGTTGAAGCTGAGAACGTTGTAAAGCGCAATGGCAATGGCACCCGTGCTAGTCGAGTCGGGTATCATCATGGCCATGGATACCAGGAGTACCGCAATAGCACCCACGAGAATATCGAGAACCAGGGTGAGCCAACGCTGGATGCAGAAAAGGAGGTAATAAGGCCGTTGAGACTGGTCCAGCAGATGAAGAGACGAGTCGCGGAATGCACCCTGCCATCCGAAGGCCCGGATTGTTGAAAGTCCGTCGATTGTCTCGATCAGTTTGTTGAGAAGCGGTGCTTGGGCTTGGAGATCGAGGAATCTCATCTGCCGCGATGTTCTCAGATAGAAGGCTTGCAGGGCGTATAGGGCAATCAGGATAATGGGGATGACAGCGGCAAGGTACTTGGCACCGATCATGATGAGAACCACGCCAGCAAGACAGTCGAGAAAGGCTACATCATGTTAGCTCAAGATCGCAAAACGTCGGGGGTTTCATAGTCGACAGACCTATGCATGTCATGAACAATGCCACTGGAAGGTCTCGGTCAATGTGGGACAGATCCTGACTGAATCTGATAGACGTCAGCGTCAAGGACATTGAAAACACGTCGCATGATACATACCGGTTGATCAAATCGCCGGTGTCTTTTGTGAGAAAGAAGGATAGAGGTGCCCTGCAAATCGTTAAAATCGTTCATTCGATGATACTGTCAAAGATGCCGAGTTCTTGTTTCCCTTACCTCATGACGGTCCGGAGCAGTTTCCAGTGGAGGTTCTGAGAGGACTTGGGCACAATTATAACGAACATGATCCTGAGCCTTCTGTTAGTTTCATCGTGTAAACTTAATTTCAATCCTCAAAAACTTGCCAGATATTGATTCCGATCACGACCAAACCGAATGCAGACATGCCAGCATAGACTCCAAAGTACATGCCAGTGTCAGCTCCACCGGTTCTAGCGTCATCCTCCGTCCAGGACTTGAGCCAAATTTCTGTCCAGGAGTCAGTATCACAGCGAATGGTATGAACCAGGAGTTCTTACGTGGAAACACTCGCACAAGGCAGTCACCAATGAGAAATACTCCTCCCGCAGAGCCGTATACCCAGCCGATAGACCTCAAGTAGTACCAATAGAGAGAAGTATCTCCGGCTTTCCTGAGAAGATCTGCCTCTTTTTCGTTCTCTTCTGCCGGCTTCTGTCTTTTTACTTGCTCTTGGACTGTTTGAGGTTTGGAGCGTTTCGCTTCTTCGGTGTCTTCGCGATTGTTACCTTCAAGAGACAAACTCTCGAGATAAGCGCTTCGCCGAACAACTTCGAACGGGCCTTGGTTGACAACCGTGCCATCATCTCCGAGAATCACGACTTTGTCAGCGTGTTTGAGGTAGTTCACTACGAGGTCGATGTTAGCCTGTTCCAATACTTGATGATGGCATCAACTCACGTGAGTGGGTAGCAAGTATGACTGTTGCCCCCATGCGGCGAACAACACCAGTCGAACTGAAGACATGGTCCCAAACGTGGATTTGAGTGGAAGAGTCCAGCCCACTCAGAGCATCGTCGACCACGAGAACAGGTTTCCTTGCGTATACTGCGCGAGCGAGAGCCTAAAAGTTGTGAGCCTTTCCCCAATGCATCAAATCGAACGTCGAATAACGTACGACTCGTTGCTTCTGTCCTCCGCTGAGAGATTGGCCTTTACTTCCCACAACGGTCTCGTCACCATCCGAAAGATTCGCAAAGTCTGGCAAAAGAGCACAGGCACTGACCACCGTATCATACCATGCCTGGTCCAACGGTGATTGACCCAAGATGTTCGCCTTCACAGTCGTGGTCGAAAGCCATGTCGTTTGGGCACAGTATGCCACACCACCTTCGAGAGTCTTGATCGAATCACCGCTGGCAGGCAACTCACCCAGAAGCCCTTTTAATAGAACAGTCTTTCCTGAACCCACACGACCAATGATGATTGTCATAGTAGACGGCTGGACACGAAGATTGAGTCCGTGTAAGATTGGATGGTCGTTGTCTTTGATCGAGACAGAAGCATTTTCGAGAACGGCAATTGCAGTTGGAGTAGATGCATGCTCGGGCCGAACAACCTGCATATCTACCTCCTGGTCGTTCTCGATGATCAAGTCCCTACTGGTGCCGACATGCTCGCCAAGTGTGGGAGGGAGCGGCTCAGAGTTATTCAAGCGCTGATATTGAATGATAAAGTCCTGAATCCTTTCAAAACTTCCTCGCGACGCGAATAAGCTTGGCACAGACGAGATAAGCTGGGACAAGGGACCGGAGATCAAGTCGATGATCGATAATGAGGTGAAGACCGTAGCAATGGAAAGTGATACTCCTGCGTTGATCTTCTGGGCGAGAAGCGCGATGCCGAAGGTAATGACAGGGCCGACCATGGACGGAGTATTTCCTGTGGCCAGTCAGTTCAATGTGCTTTTCCAATCATGCCACAAGAGCGTTGCCCTACCAAGAATATTCATGTAAGTGATCATTGCCCGATACTGCTTTGCCCTCGAGAGCTCAGTTATTCTTAGATCCTGGATCTTTTTCTGCAGGAACTCGACCATTCCTAGCATCTTCGTCTCCTTGATCGATCCGAGAACATCCGATGTCACAGTGATACGGGTCTGGATATTTTCGTTCCAGACTTTCATGGTGGGAGGCATCAGTTGGGCCAGTTTTGTCATACCAATGGTGCAGGCTAGGACGCATTAGAGACGGAGCAAGCCGGACTTGAGATTCCGCATACCTATGATGGTGATGGCAGGCCCCACGCTCCCGAGACCGAGTTGCCTTTGCAGTAGCCAGATGGCGATGCCTACCTCAATAGGGTTGGCCCAAACTTCGTGGATGGCCTCGAACGACTTGCAAATGTTTCGGACGTCTGTGCTGACCAAAGTCAAGGCCGCCGACGAGTCGTCCATGGCAGCCATCTCGACCTCGAGGTTCTTGGCAAGAATGAGCGACGCCAGTGAGCCCCGAACCATGGTGATGAAGCGGTAAAGCTGGTGTTGATAGAACCCATTCAGAATCTCACACATAAGAATCAGTAAGCGGTGTTCAGTGTCTTTTCATGTTTCAGAGCGGCAGACTTACAGCGGTACCGAGGTAGATAATGGCAGTTGCTGCGATAAGTCCGTAGCCCACAGACTTCTGGTCGGTTCCTTTGTTGCCGTCGACGTAGTTGATGATCCTGTTGATCAGAAACGGTTGTGCGAATTTGAAGCCGATAAGCAACAGCCTGGGCAGGGCTGCTGCTAGACAGGCCGTCTTGGTCGAGCTGAAGAGTGCCAGAACAAGTGCATTTCTGCCTGTCTCCTTACGCTGTTCCCACCTCAGCAGCAGTCGATGCAGTAGTTTCTCGGAATGCAGGCCCTCGTCGATGTTGTAGAGCGTCGCCGGGGAGAGATTCGCTTTAAAACCTCTGGTCATCAAGTCATTTAACCACCAAAAGAATCCCCGACCAATGATTCCGCTGGTGGCTTCGGGACTAAGATTTCTCAGTGCGCCGATGAGGAACTTGCGCTTCCCTTGAACTTCTAGCAAGAACATGGCAAGCTTCATCGCGACTGACCCGGTGAAGACGGCGGCTAACGTGTGCAGATTCGGTAGAAGCCATAGTGTGCGGCACTGCACAGCGTCAAATGCCAGAGAGAAGATAAGGTACAGGCTGAGGATGGTGGAAGGGCGGATAGACCGAACGTGTTCGGTGTGGCTGAGAACCCCGAGTGCCAGCGCATCTAGAACTCCAAGAGTAGCGGCGGCGATCGAAACGCCGTTGGCGAAGGGCGCTTGAGCCCACAAGGAGAGCAGGGCGATCTGGAAACCGCCAAAAGCGACGCAAACAGCGATCTTGGCGGCGTTGAGGGGATGCCGGAGCACTTTTCGGCGCTGGCGGAGCAGTTGCCGGAGTCGTAGCGGGAGCGCCAAGAGCAGGACCGCCGAAGGGCCGATGTTCAGAAGCGATTGTTCGAAGAGGAGGGTGAAGTCGAATCGGTTACCGCATGCCGTTGCGACCGGGCCGAAAGAGGCGTCGCAGTCGGCAAGGGTAGTGAAGTTATCCATCGCTAATTACTTCGTATGGACCTGAAAGACTGGTTGAATGATGCTGATGCGACAACCAAGGGTTCTCGTCATGACGAGAAGTTGGACGAAGGAGTTCGTTAAATCATGTTCAAACACCACTCACCATCAACGATAGCAGCAAGGAACCCCTCGATGCAGCTTAGCGGCGCAGGTTTCGTTTCTGGGCTCAGTCGTAATCCGTGTCGTGGTCCCAACGGCAGCGCCAGTACGGCGACAGAAGACGCGAGCATAATTACGAAACGAATGACTCGATAAGTATTGCATGATTGCCGCCGCCGCAGCAGCAGCGTTATGTCATATCGTTCATCTAATGCCTACGGCGATATCACCTCCATTGAGTCTGAATAGGAATGATTCGCCAAGGAATACGCCTAACAGACCCAGAACAGGGAGGCAGAAAGAATTGTTAGGGGAGCCAAGAACCCTGGAACATGCCGATAAGACCAGATCTCCAGGCCGGTATCCGGCCATGAGGAGAACCTGAGGGGAACAGCGGTTCATCCAGGTCGGGTTCCCAGGCCTTGGGGCCACGCGGAATTGCGTGTGAGCCGCGTATCAGCGTGCGAGTTAGCGATCTTGGGGCCGCCATCTTAAATTCATCTGGGCATCCTTGCCCGAATCTATTATTGAGAAATTGAATCCCTCGTGACTAACTCTAGAGAGACAATACAGCCGCCTTTACGCATGTAGAGGTCAAATGAGACCCTCTTAACAAAAAAAGCTTGTCGTGGATAAGAGTTGATACAACGGGGCCTAGAGCAATAAAACGTCCGCTAAGCGTCGAAATGTTTCTTGATGTTGCCGGCAATGACATTATCCGGCTAGAAACTCTGTGAAATCATAAACTACAAGACTGGAGTTTTCATCTTGCTGGTGCATGTCTCTCTCAAAGCTAAATGCGAAGTTTGGAGATTTAGCTGTTTCCTATCGGTTGTGGAATGTCCGAACCTACAGGCCGACACATTGGTATTCGTAGTAGCGTTCTACAGTGGCCCGCACGAAGCGATATTCACGTTTAATCAACCGCGTCGCTGCCAACTGCCAGACTCTTATCCAACTGATATATGAATTAAATATACGAGGATTCTCAAGTCTTCAACTTCTCAGGGTCCCCATTTCCTTCAACATAGAAGAACCAGAGATGTGAAGACATGATCAGAGACCGTCCCAAACGGCGGCTAAGACCAATCAAGCTCCCCAGACCAAACAAATGCAGCTGTGAACTGCACTGCGAGTAGAGTTTCACAGCGCTCGTGTCCTAGGGTTGTAAGAACCTTTCAAAACCGTACGTCAATCAACCAGCCGGTATCACGTTCGAGAGAAGACACCTCAATTTAGCAAAAAGTCGAAAAATGAAAGGGACGAGACTCGAACTCGCGCGGGTTGCCCCACCAGGAAACAGATGTTAAGCTGACCTTAACCTGGCGCCATAACCAACTCGGCCACCCTTCCTATTGATTGAGAATTGGACGCAAAATTGGGGCCTATGCTGGCGCTCGTTTTTGCGCGTCAGCGTTCGCGAGGGTTCGCCTCCGTAGCTCTCCTCCGTCGCAGGTTCGCGCCAGCGTAAATTCCCAGGAGAAGAGGATGCGACGTGCTATTTCCTTTGGCCTTCAAGTGAAGGGCATTGTGGCTCTGGCTGTGGTTTCCGACGGGCATCGGTTGGCATCGCTGAGGCAGAGAAGCGGATCGTCCGGATCGCCGCACAGTTGTTCTCTAGCAAGCATCTGGATTACCCTAGTGCCCCGGTGTTGTGCTGCATGGCTGTTTCGCCCGCGAATCGCTGGTTTGGCTCCGCGCAATAGGTTCAAGCAGAACCTCCCAACTCTACCGGACAGAAAGCACAAGAAATGCACAGATCGATGGAAGAAAGGAGGAGAAGCTATTCAGGGAGCGAGAATGTTCTCCGCACGGTCCACAGGCTCTCAATCACGTATGCAGGACGTCATCGCACGCTAGATGAACCCAAAGCTTGGCTGCCCCTGTCGATGCCTCGAAGTGCCGTCTGATATTAACTTCAAGCATTTCCGGGGAAAACCAAGTAGTTTCCAATCCTTTAAAGAGAAGAACGTTACAGAGATTCGAGTCCTAGTTCTGAGTCATACACAACCAGAACATCACAAGAGATACGATTGCAACATGTCCCGCGACTCGCTAGCAGCATTCCGCAAGTCACCGTCTTCGGACGACCTTGCCGCCCTTGCTGAGAAGCACATTGAACACGACCTCCGAGATTCCGATCGCGATCTCCTTAAAAGCGCTGCTGCCAAAGTGAGCACGCATGCAACCATTGGCTCCGTCGTTGGGTTGGGCTTGGGGTTCCTGCTTGCCTTCCGCCTCAGACGGGCCCGCGCAGACATGTTTGCGGCTTTTCGGGCTACCGAGAAGCCAACACATGTGCAGTTCGCCAATGGGAGGACAGGTACGTTGCGGTTATACTCTCTCGAATGGCGAGGAGCTTGGAGCTGACAAGGCACTAGAACCCATCCCTGACATGACGGACAAGATGGCCCCGACGAGAATTGGGGATGTTGCCGCGTACTCTCTACTTGGCCTGGGGAGTCTGTTCTTGGGAGGCGAGCTCGGCTTCGTCTCTGGAACGGCGTCGGCGGCAAAGAGTATCAGAAACGATCCTGAGAGCATGGCACGCATCGAAAATGCCTTCAGGAGGTTCAGAGCTGATGCGCTAAGGAAGGAGGCCGATCGTCTAGATGGCGGCGAAAAGATCCTGGATAGGATCTTCTGAAGTTAGGTCGGGAATCTAGATGACAGTAGGGGCTTATGATAGTTAACAAATTCACGTAATATTAACACCTCACTTGAAGACGCGACGAAGGGTATCAGAGAACTCGCTTGTTTATGCATCGTGTCTAGCAACTATCTAAAGTACATCCATCACTATGCGGTAACATTGACTCCCTTCATTGACCCCTCAGCCCGCCAATCCTCGATGAACTTGACAAACGAATTCATTCCTGTAGGGAAGGGCGCACCCCTCATCTTCCTCATCTGGTCCTCCGGCTTAGTCTTCTCGCCCTCGTTTGTGATGTAACCAGGCGTGCAGATTCCAAGCGCGGCGAACCAAGCAGCATGCATCATAATGTGTCCGGCATAAGCAGCTTCGGCCTCCGGCGTGCTTTCGATGACCAGCTTGTCAGTGCTCTTGCCCGCCCTCTTCATCGCCTCCCCGAGTATGTAAGCAGAATGTTGAGCTGCGATGTCCGTCACGTAGGCAAAGTTGGAAGACGCGCCCATCTGCATCGGGCCGGTGAGGAAGAGATTGGGGAACTCGCTGGCCAGTACTCCATGAAGAGTACTAGGGCCCTCGGACAGCCACTTTTCTGAGATGAGGCGTCCGTTGCGGCCCTTGATTGTCATGTTCGACTGAGAGGAGGGCTCAGCCATGTTCTCGCCAGGCGGTCGGTATCCGGTACTCAGGACGAGGATGTCCAGAGGGTAGTCGGTGCCTCCAACGACCAGGGAGTTCTTGGTCGCGTGGTCGATGCCCTTGCCGTCGGTGTCAACCAAGTGGACGTGGGGTTGGTTGAAAGCCGGGAGGTAGTCATCGTGGAACGTCGGTCGTTTACACCAGCCCGGGTACCACGCTTTCAGGGCTTCGGCAGTCTTCTCATCCTTGATGATCGACTGAACCCTCTGACGCAGACGCTCCGACCTAGGCGTGTCCAAAGCCATCAGGTTACCAATGTGGCCAGGAATGTCCTCCATCTTCAACGGCGCGTCGTGGGGTCCGCCGATGATGGCCTTGTAAGCCTTCAATGTTGTCCAGCCGTCGTTGACGAGGTTCTCCTCCGGCTGCTCGCCGGAAATCCATTCGTTAAAGTTCTCGGTGCGACGACGCTGCCAGCCTGTGCCGCTAGCGATCTTCGTCTTGAACTCCTCAGGATCGGTAGGTCTCTGGCCTCTCTCGTCGACGGCTGAGGGCGTGCGTTGGAAGACGTAGACCTCCTTGGCCCATTTGGCCAGTTGAGGAACCACCTGCACTCCAGTCGCGCCGGTGCCGATGATGCCGACTCGCTTGCCCTCGAGACCAGTGAGTTGAGGGTTTTCGGGCGCACTATCCCGGCCACCAGACACGTCATAGTTCCATCTTGCCGTGTGAAACATGTCACCCTCGAAGGCCTCGAGGTTCTTCGCCAGCTTGGGGTGGTTCAACACGCCATTGGCGAGAACGACGAACTGCGAGCGGACTTTCATGGTGACGGGCTCCTCGCTAGGTCCTCGGCCCTCCTCAATGACGACGTCCCATCTCTTCGCCTCGTCGTCCCACTCGTAGCTCTTGATCTGCGACCGGAAGATGGCCTTGTCCGAGAGGTTCCACATCTCGGCCATCCGCTCGGCGTGCTTCAACAACTCCGGCCCGTAGGAGTACTTGTGCTTCGGCATGTACCCGGTCTCCTCGAGAAGCGGCATGTACATGTAGCTCTCAACGTCACACATGAGACCCGGGTAGCGGTTCCAGTACCACGTGCCACCGAAGCCGCCGGCCACGTCGACGAGACGGATGTCCTCGGCTCTCAGGCCGGCCTGGATGAAGCGGATAGCGTACAGCAAGCCGCCGAAGCCAGCGCCGAGAATGACGACCTTGACCTCATCGCCGTCTTTCAGACATGAAGGTTGGGAGTTGAGTTTAGCGTGGTCGACCCAGGGGTCCTCGGCCAGCTTGCGAAAGCGCTCCTCGCTCTCGAGTTCGACGTACTGGTGGTTGCCGTCGTCTCTGAGACGCTTCTCTTTCTCCTCGGTGTACTTCTTGTTAAGGGCCATGAAGTCAAAGGCGGCGTCTCCGACGTGGGTCTCCCCCGCGGGGACAGGAGGTGCGGACATGGTGACGATTGGGGGTCGGTGAATGCTACTCCGGCCCGAAAAAGTGTGGGGTTTTTGATGTATAACGGCTTTGGTGTGCAGATGGGATGAGAGAGACAAGTTGCGAGGCCTCGGGCTTTAGATCTACATATACGGATTCGTGTTGAGAGTCCAAGCGGCATCCCGCCCCAGACAGCCCCGGTGGCAGTTCATGCATCGGCGCGTGTCGTCCGGTGTCTTCCAGGGTCCAGTCACCTATCCGCGGAATCCCCAGTACGACGGCAATGTGGTGACATCCCCGTCGTCAGTACATCGTCCCAGGGGTCTTGGCTAGGGAGATGTCGGGGTGGATGATGAGCCCGGTAAACCGTTGCTCGATTTCATCTGGAACATATCGAGCAGTTCCACAGGATCGACGCGGAAGACGTATTCGTATTCGTTCGTCGTTTCTGGGTTACAGCGGTGGCCAGCTCGCTTCGTGGAAGTGGGTGCCGCCTTGTTTGTCCGTAGGATCTAGTAATAGAGGCCAGCGGCATCAAAATCTTCGTATGCTACTTCTCTCCCACTCTGTAGACGGTGTTTCGGGGAAATTGGCGTGTTGTCAATCGTCCTATGTGTGCCCAGCCTGCAGGATATTCTCCGCGCGGTTCAGTGCATGCAGCACCCTAGCTTGTAGCAGAGCTACGATCAACTAGCGCGGGATATCGTATTGGAGATGGAGGGGAACGTTGCTTTCCCCCCCTCTGTTAGACGGCTCTTGCAGCAGAGATCCTTGCCATTCCAAGACTGCTAAACGGCAAGCTACAGCTCTTGTCGGTTATCGAGTTCGCATTTCTTCGCATCGCAGGAAGACAGCCGGTTCTCCGCTACGAAACCGAAACCGAGACTGGGGACTGGTGGGCTGATGCCGCCCTCTTCATGGATCCAGGCGGGATCGACCGCTGCAGACCATCTCAAATTCGACGTGAAATGAATGAGATCTCACTGCCGGTGGGCGGTGCATTCTTACATTTCTGATACTTCAATGTCATCTCAATAGTAGCAGCCGAATAAAAGTTTAGTTAAAAGGTTCCGGAGGGATGGACTCCGCCAAGAAATAAGCTTGAATCAGTGCCTGAAAGTCGTTGCTCAGCAGACATGAGATGATGTGCAAGGATGTCTTCACCGCATTGAGAGCCAGAACCTCCTGTGAAAAAGATAGTTTACCGCTGATGCTTTGAATCAAAATAGTATTGACGGCTTTCACTTCAACTTAGTAGAGTTATAAGCTTGATAATAAGACGAAAAGAGCTTGAAGAATCGAGATTTTCATCGATTTCCCGACCAGACTACCCTTCAGCCCTTCCGCCAGCTGGATGAGATCCAGATCTGGCCCTAGAGCAGCTAAATCTATCCGTACATCCATCCACCTTCAACTGCGCCTCTATGCCATTTGATTCCACTATCAACATGTCGCCAGGGGCCGAAGCGAAACTTCCCATATCTTCTTGGCCAAAAGCTACTTTACCGAGACCGAAACTCATAACATCTGAGTAGAACGCCGTGCCTTGGACATGCGCGCGGTTTCGGACACTCTGTCAAGCTGCAATCACCGCCCGCATGTCGCGATTTGGAGACCCCCCTGTCCAGCGCAATGGCCCCGGCCGACCGCTGCAGTATTACCCCTCAGCTCAGGGACCATCAAGCGAGTGAGGGGATCCATATCATCAACTGACAGCGTTGGCCGCGGGGTCTTTTGATCCTTTGAAGGATGGTTCCTTACGTGGCCAACCCCACGAAGGAGATGCGACACGTGTTTCTGTCACGTATTTGAATAAGCTGAAGTACACGGTTCGAGACAGACTACACGTCTTCTGCGTCTTACAGGCCACACTTCACCACTGGCACTAGACAACAATTCAACTTGGGCTCTACTAGCAAGATGGTCCTCAACCTTCCCGACTACGATGACCTCCCTCCTGTCGAAGGGATGCCCAAGGGCTGCGCCTGGGGTCTCTTCGACAAGGACGGGAAGAAGGACACATACGGCACATTGAACTTGCTCACGCCCGACGTCGTCAAGGCAGCAGGCGCGGAGGTCCAAGATGGAGTCTCCGTTTCCCTCAAGTGAGTCGCTCACCGGCAACCATGCCTCGTGCTGAGTCGGATATCTGACAACGATCAGCTGGTCTCTCAACGGCCTATCCAAGCTTCAAGTCCCAGGACGTAAAAAGCTCGTCCATAAGGTCCACACTCTTCAATCCGCCAAGTTGAGTGAGGCCGTCGGGTGGGATGATGAGTTGGAGTTCAACACCCAGAACAGCAGTCAGTGGGACAGTCTAGTTCACTGGCACCATCAGCCGAGCGGCCTCGCGTATAACGGCTTCAACCCAACCCCGGAGGACATGACTGCTGCTTCTACCGCCGAGAACAAGATGCCTACCATCGATCACTGGCACACTCGCGGCGGTGTGGTGGGCCGCGGTGTCTTGATCGACTACAAGGCCTACGCTGATGAGAAGGGCATTGAATACCACCCTTTCGGCGGCAACCGCATCACCGTTCAAGAAATTGAGGCAGTTGCTGCGCACCAGGGCGTTGAGTTCAAGCATGGCGACATCTTCCTCATCAGATTCGGGTCAACGGAGGCTATTGATAGCACCGAGGCACAAGACATAGGCCAAATGATGAAGGGGGGAGGAGGGTTGTCTGGTGTTCACGGCTCCGAAGAAACGGCTAAGTGGTTCTGGAACAAGCACTTCTCCGCCGCCGTGTCCGATACCAACTCTTTCGAGGCATTCCCTCCTGTCCACCCCGACGGCAGTCCTGCGGGCTACACGGATCTTGGTAAGTCTCTCACCATGAAGAGTCCAGTTGAGCTTTCGCTGACCTGATTGCAGTTCTGCACCCATACTTCCTGAGTCTCTTCGGCATGCCTATCGGTGAGCTTTGGGATCTCAGCCGTCTTTCCGAGTACTGCAAGAAGACCGGCCGGTACTCATTCATGCTCACATCTGCGCCGATGAATGTACCTTGCCTAGTCGGATCTCCGCCGAACGCCATTGCTATCTTCTAGTGTCAATAACCAATGTCATTTTTCTTCAAAGATAAATACGTAGCGGTCAAGGGTGACAGGACACAACACTATCATGTATTGTCTTGTGAACTCACATACTCCAAACCCCAGTATTGAGCTCGATACTGATGCGAACATAAGTTTCCATGCCATCATGAAATTTTTACATAAGAGAAAATGGAATTTGCTTCGACGAGCCACACGAAATGTTGGTGTAGTTAGCCCTGCGGGCTGCCTGGCGCAGCATGCACGCCAAAATGCTCACACATGCAGCATGACTGCATACGCAGTGCTTTACACAGCCACTTTCAGGTATCGGCCTAAATTAATTTCAGTCTGTAAAGGGTCGCGCAGTTCAATGCCTTTCGTTAAAGGGTCGCAAGACCCCAGTTCCACATTTCAAGAGCTCGTCACCTCTAGTCCATCACAACGTGAACACCACGACCGCTCTTACGATGGCTAGCTGGCACGAAAACACCTGTTCTTTTCCTGATATTGTTCTTCTTCCTAATCTGCCTATGTGCCAGGGCTGTGGGAAGCTCCCCAAAACAGAATTCGATGGTCATCCAGAAACAGACAATCAGGACTCATCAACTGAGGACCCAGATTTTTCACCCAAGCACGATGATGGACTGAATGATTTGACGCGGCCTGAATCAGGATCAAAGCATGGGCTCGGATACACAGAAAAGTCTATGTGCAGTCGGGCACCTTCACCAGATTCCGCTATAGACATGGGAAGCACATCGTCTTCGGACGACGGCAATGCCGTTTGGCAGAGTGGCCATTCTCATTCACTCAAGTTGTCTCACGACCAAAGAACACTTTACTCGTCTCTCGCCTCTCCAGACCACATCAGAGTGCTCAGCCTCAAAAGTGGGAGCTTCCAAGACCCGATCCATTTTGACTTGGAAGCAACGTCGTTGTGGAGTTGCTCCGGCTTCGAAGCCCTCTCCTACACGTGGGCGGATGCGGCTGGAGACAGCCAACGGTGCAGAAAGATTTACACGGGCCGATGGTGGGATGAATTTCTGGTCACCAAGAATTGCGAGGCAGCTTTGCGAACGATACGATCTACAACCGAAAACAGGAGAGTCTGGGTAGATGCCATCTGCATAAACCAGAGCGACGTCGCGGAGAGATCACATCAAGTGAGCCTCATGCGCGACATCTATGCTACCGCTTGGCGCGTCATCGTCTATCTGGGAGACTCTTCTTCGGACAGTGATGTGGGATTGCCACTCATTACCGATGCCTCTAACCTTCAGAGTCTCCGAGAGTCTCTGGAAGAAGAGGCAAAAGAAGTAAGCCTTGCGAATCTGTTCAAACGGCGATATTTCTCCCGGGTATGGGTTATCCAAGAAATCACACTGGCCAGATCGATCACTATCATCTGTGGCAAGTCGTCAGCCACGTCATCCAGGGCAGATCGTCAACTACGCCGAGTGGCAGAGAGCGGCTATGGGCCAGACTGGCTCAGATATGCCCAAGCTAATCATGGCGTGCCACTGGAGGATTTGCTTCCGCTCCTGGCGCGTACGCGTGCGTGCGAGTGCGCAGATCCGAGAGATAAAGTCTTTGGGTTATTTGGCTTAATTCGGTACGCATCCATCAACGGACTTGTGCCAGATTACAGACTATCCTTGGCTCAAGTTTACTCCGGTATCGCGTCATACATAGTACGGCATCAAGGCAGGGTTGACATTCTTGAACATGCCGGGGTGTTCAACAACAAACAAGGGGGAAACAGCTTGCCTTCTTGGGTACCCGACTGGCGCAAACCGGCTTCTCAGCACGACGTCCGAGTTTCTGCTCGTCAGTTTCATCTGACGCAGAAGAACGATTCCGCCATAAACGGCTCTTGGTGGTACTTAGATACCGCTTTCGAAAAGTCAAAAGCTCTTGGTAATGAAGGAACGGGGAGCGTCAAGCGCTCTGTAAACCGTGATCGAGGGATCTTGACTCTTCGGGGGACAATGCTTCATGACTTGTCAGATTGTGAACGACAAGTCATTCGTCGTCAGGAGGTTATCATCCATCGAAACGACCTATCTCCGGCATCGGCAGCATACATCTTTGCGCCATTCAATAACCTCCCACGCAACGCTGTTCTCTTCACATTCAACGGCTGGGATCGCCCTGCTCTGCTAGAGCCTCTTGACGGCTTGAGGACATTCCGTTTCTTAGGCGGGTGCGCGGTCGTCTTTGAAGTGAAGCACAAAAGTGTTTCAAAGACATACCAACGCTCTGATCGTCTGCCTATAACATCTCTGAAGATGTCTTCGGAAGGCTTCCGTTACCTGGGGGCGATGCACGACATTGTATCATCAAGTATCTGGTTTTCACCATCCATGTTCGGTACACCTACTGGCAAAGTCAATGAGGCGTTGTGGGGAGATGAGATGACATATTGGGTGATTGAAGTATCACAACAAAGAGGAAGAATTGATGCGGAGGCTCAGCTATGGCGGGTCTGGAAAGAAGCCCGAGACAGGATAGCATGGATACGCGGTAGTGTGGAAGGCCTCCAATGTCTGGTGGGTGAGATCAAGGAGTTGGTCAGCAGAAACCCACAAGAGAATTGGAAATTAGCCGAAACTGCATCACTGCGAGGAGATGGTCCTTTGAACGAATGGAACATCGACCGTTTCGTGTGGTCATTTTTGCCTAGGGAAACGCTAGGTGGGCAAAGGATGATCTGCCTCGACGGAAGATCAGCCATCACAGATGCTTACAAAACGCGGCATAGCTTGTTGCAACTGGTCATAAAATGGGGGCAAGTAACAGCAGGTCTTTTGGATCATTTGGATGAGAGTTCCCCGGGCCTGGACGGGTGGCGTGCTTACCTTCCCGGCTCAGATATGCCAAGTCGTTGGCATGCGTGCTGGGCGGAAACATGGGAGGTTGTTCGCCGATGTGCGGATAAAATTTCCGACGAAGCGTCAACGAAACATCCCTTGCCCGGTTGGCGAGCTAGGACATTGCTCGAGATGACAGCTAGAGAGCTGTGCCGGACAGAATCTGTTGTTCTTGACCCCTCGACTATTCGTCCCGGAATGTTAGGCGACCTGTCCGACGCCGACTCAGGCTTGGGTTCGGGCGGCTGGGACTGGGATGACTTTCAAGTCATAATGGAGAGAAGACAGACGCTACTTGCTGACGCACTATCCATGGGCTCTCGACTATTCAAATACGCCCATGACGAATCTTTCGGCGATATTCGAAAGAAAATGCTAGCGCGTGGTCTCATCAGGTCTTTGCAATGGAATTTTGACGAGAAAATGGATGTTGACCTAGTTTGATGGTTTTCGCACGATAGTGGAACTCGGGACACGTTTTCGATAGTTTCAATAGGATGTCATAATGTCTCAATCGTTTCTTCGAAATTGCACATGTGATGTTGGTCTAATAGCCACGTGTGATTGTAGGACGCAACTATCTGTCACACTTTCCAGCGTCACGGCTCTAACGTTGACGTGTATCACGAGGCTTTGTTATACTACTACATTCATAAACTTCATTGAAAGCTAGTATCCATTTCTTAGCAGCGCTATGTGTCTGAAGGATGTCGACGAGGCTCGTGTGGGTTTACCCTCCGAGTCTTCTTTTATGAGTTGTGACTAGATTGCCACGTTTCAGCTCATCGGGGCTTGTTGTGAATGATGTCAATTGTGTGGCCGACTTCACGAACGGTTCTTGTTTCAGAGCCTTCAATCCGTACCGAAATTGACACGTCCATCACGACAGAAGCCCCAGAATTTGCGGCGTAGAGACAAAACTGATGGAGCGCATCTTCTTGTTACTAGTAACGTCTGTTCCTCCTTAACGAGGATCATACACTCAATAGCAATGTTAATCATGCGATTAGTAAAGATTCGTTGGATCGAAATCTTTTCTGTGTTTCGGGAATTCTACTTAGTTACCGTCTTACCTATGGCACTATATCTTGTGTGTCCCGATGCTATGATTTAAAGCCGGCATTATTTTTGGAGCAGCATAAGACGCGCTCCCTGCACGATTTAACATCTGTGACTTGTGAACTCTTGAAGTTACTCGTCCCATATTGCTTTGGCAATGATAAGTTAAGTGCCTCTGATGCCATTTTGAGACAATAGTATTGCTTCATATGGCTTTCTGGAGGAAGTACTTATCTAATCACATGAGTATTGCTTCCAGGTTGGTAATTCAGGAATAAGGGGGTGGCGACTTTGTGGCAAATATGAAGTCGGCGGGGTATGTGCGTAAGCCACCTAGGTACTTGAGGCTATTTGCAAGTGTGAGTATACACAGTGCACATTTCTTAGCGCGACTATGTGCAAATTAGAGGGGGGGATAAGGGATAATAGGTATTCACAAACTCAAATCCGCAAACGGGGCGAAGGCTCCATTCCGGCCTCCACTAATTATGATCGTACTGAAAAATTAAATATAAACCTCGCTACCGCTCTTTCCGACCAGCATTTCAAGCTGCGCCAATCTATTCTGCAAAATTCACGACGTCAAGTTACGCAAACTTGTCTGAAAGACTCAACTGTCAATTATGCCGCCAATTCGTACCCAGAAGACGACCTCCGTGGGACAACCGTCCCATCCGTACGCGGGGCACCCAGCTCCATCAGGACATACTGTTAAATCGGAACAAGGTGAGGCCTGGGCATTTATGCAACAAGCCGAATCACCGCAGGTTAAGGTGGAAAACCCCCCAACACAACAAAATCATTCCAAGCAACCCAAACAACCCAAATCTAAGCCTGAGCCCAAGAGTGCACCTTTGGGCAAAGGTGTGAGAGCCGCTGCGTTCCGGAGTAACCTGGAATGGGAGAAGCATCGCGACGCGTGGCTTGGAACAGCCACCACGAGCATTACATTCGGCTCTTCGTTTGTGCTAAAGCCGTGAGTTTTCAGTCCCCCCACTTAGACGATAACAAAGCGAAAAAGACCCCGACTAACTAAAAGTTAAGAGAACATCTTCACCACATCGCGTCGTTACCAAGAGTATGTAACAAACTTACGCACTTTACGTTCGTCTACAACGATGTATCATACGGAGCCACGAACAGCGCCTCTGATGTCGATGACGAGTCCGTCATCAGACTCGCAGAGGCCTGTCCGAAACTAAGGCAATTTATCCTGCCAGGAGCATCAGACGTTAAAGAGAGGGGTCTAATTGCCCTGTTTGAGAACTGCGACGAGCTGAGGGAGGTCGACATATACTCCACCTTCGACGGGACCCCTTTCGAGGTTCTCAAAAACATCCCCGACCGGCTTCCCATGCTGAAGAGGCTGCGAATCAAAGGCTTCAGGGGCAACACTCAGAAAGAAAAGGCCGCCAACATGAAGCCCATGCGAGAAGCGACGGCGGCCAGGCCCAAATTCTGTGTCCAGATTATGTCGCGGGTACAGACCAAGAGGCACGGTGACTGGGACTTGGACGAAGATGTCCATGAGCATTACGAGAAGGGAAAGCAGGCTACTACGAAGTATCGCGATAGGGAATCAAAGAAGGATGCCAGGAAGTTCCAAGATTGGATGATGAGCGGTGGCTGGTGAGGAGCTTATGGCAGCCTGGACGCCGATCAAGAAACCTTTCTGAATATTGAACTGATGCAACATTCGATGCATTACAATGCAGCCACCTACCCTTATCGATCTGGCTCGCCATACCCAACGAGTACACGTCTGAATATTGAACGTTAATTGTGTACCCAGTAGGTATGGCGAGACATTGACCAGAATAATAAGGGTGGCTGCATTGTATTGTGCGGCATATTGAATTTGCTGGTGAGGAGCTTGAATGATAACTCTACTCTATGTACGTTTTTTTCTAATACAGTAGGATGGAGACGCATAGGTAGAGCTACTCTCAAATTCAACCCGTTGTCCCTTACACCAACTTGTGTAAATACCCGATAATTGTAGGATCAGTCTCTCACTAATCCTTAAAAATACCAATATTACTCTATTTGCTGAGTTCGATCCGCTTCACTCTAGTCTTTCTATCCGACTCAGGTAATTGAAAGATTGGTTGCATCGTAGAGTAGCGGACGATGGAAGTATAGCACAACAGCTGCAGCAACACTATATCGTCTTAGCGGGAAGATTTCGGAGTGCCTGGCTTGCATGCGTACACGCATGAGGTTTGTTGACGACCGTGGCTCCCGTTCTGACTGTGATCTCTCCCTTTCATTCCTCATTCTTGATGAGTCGTCTTATGAATACCACGCCAAATCCAAAACTTGGCTGGTCAGATTTGCACAGAGTCTTTAGTGGAGTTCAACATACGCTTTATTTTCATAGAGTGTAATTATGATTCCTGCGTACAGCATCCTACACGCCGCATTTCAGCCAGACTTGAGAGTGGGAACTAAGTATGCAGAGAAAATCACAAGGGGGAAGAAAATGCCTATCTTGAACGAGGTCAGTATGTATCTTTCAAACTTCCATTGCTGAAAGAGGGTATCATACCAAGACACATTCCGCCAGTTCTTCAGCCTTCTTCGTCCCGAGTGTATGCCAGGATTGACAGTAAGAGAGCTACTAAGCTCAGTGTCGAGAGGAATGCTTTGCCTAGAGCACAGAGTTTCTGACAATGAGTGATGCCCGAGGTGAAACTCACACTTCGTGAGGTATTCGCCATGTCAGCCTAATACTAGGTAGAGCATTCTCCTCAATTCTTCAGGCTGGAGGCAGGCTGGTGTTAGGTATGCAGGCATAGTCGGTGTCTTGCAGCGTGATACACACTCAAGAGAGGATACATGTAGTGCTCATGGAACACTGCAGTAAGAACACCCTACACCGATTTCAACAGACATCTTCATGTTCATTTGACCTGCCGCCCTCAGTCTCACATGCATCGCCGATCATTACTCCGTCCAACTCGAGTGCGGTCACTAAATACCGACGACAGATCTGATTAGGCGGTACATGTATGCGTGCATGTCAGAGACGGCCTAGGGCAGACAAGACAACGGCAGTCACCGAGGTTACTGATGACGTTTGTGTAACCATGACAAGAAATCTGGGACAGGACCACTGCTCTTCAAGCTTCAGCAGTAAGAAATTCGAATAAGACAGATAGGTTTTCTCTACCAGGAACCTATCAAAGGCAGGGATGTCTTGATTGACCCGAAGTACTTTTCAGAATAATGGTGATTGAAATTCAACTTATTCTCATGAGGACATTGCAGCCTTAGCAAATTATTCATGAGGTGTTGAAGATGACATCTCACATAATGTCTGTGGTGCGTTTAGATGTTATGGAAGGTAAACAATCGACGCTGACGAGGGCCATGTCGACATTGGTTCCCAGCGGTAGCTTGCTCGCCATACTTCCTATTTAACGAACTGGGTTGTTTCCATCAAACAAGACACGCAGCTCTCCGATGACTTCGACTTAAAACTGAGGTATCAAGAAGCATATTCATCGTCGCCTTATCTCGTCCTTTTATCTTGAAACTTGAGAGAACTCCTATATCACGAGGCGGCTGGCACTTCCTGACTTCTTCCTTTTGGTTCTCATATCATAGTCATCAATTGTCATTATACTATACAATATTCCCTTTCCCGTTTCCTTTTTTTATCTATAAACCCAAACCCTTACTCCTGCGCAATCTTCAACACGGCCTTGCCAAAGTTCTGGCCGGTGAGCATACCGACGAATCCCTCCGCGGCCTGGTCGATGCTCTCCGTCAGGTGGATCTTGACCTTCAGGTCGCCCTTGGCGATCATGGGCTGCATCTTCTCCTGGAAGGGGAGGTACTTCTCGGGGGACAGGTTGACGAGGAAGCCCTGGAAGGAGAGCTTCTTGGCGACGAGGTGGAAGAGGCCGCGGACGCCCTTCTGCTGCTCGATGGGGGTGTTGTAGTCGGAGATCATGCCGCAGCCGATGATGCGGCCCTGGGGGTTGAAGGACTCGAGGGCGGCCTCGAGGTGGTCGCCGCCGACGTTCTCAAAGTACATGTCGATGCCCTGGGGCGCGAGGCGCTTGAGGGCGTCGCGGGGGGACTCCTTCTTGTAGTTGAAGCCGGCGTCGAAGCCGAGCTCCTTGGTGATGAAGTCGAGCTTCTCGTCGGAGCCGACGGAGCCGATCACCTTGACGCCCTCGGTCTTGGCCAGCTGGCCGACGATCTGGCCGACGGCGCCGGCGGCGGAGGAGACGAAGATGGTCTCGCCCTTCTTGGGCTTGCCGATCTCGTAGAACCCCTCGTAGGCGGTCATGCCGGGCATGCCGAGGGCGCCGATGAAGAGGGGGAGGTCGACGTTGTGGGTGTTGGGGACCTTGAAGAAGCCCTGGAGGAACTTTGCGGGGATGGCGGCGTACTGGGCGTTGGGGCCCATGAAGGAGGTGACGAGGTCGCCGGCGGCGAACTGCGGGGTGTCGGAGCGCTCGACCTTTGCGACGATGGAGGAGACGATGGTGGCGCCGAGCTCGAAGGGCGGGATGTAGGACTTGCCGGCCTCGGCGGGGCGCATGCGGCCGCGCATGTAGGGGTCGAAGGAGGAGTAGAGGACCTTGATCAGAATACCGCCGTCGAGGGGAGCATCGAGGTCAATGGGACGGTCCTCGATGACGAGGTCCTGTCCGGGGACGGGCAGGCCCTTGGGGATCTGCTTGAAGACGAAGCACTTGTTGGGAACGGGAGCCATTTTGGTGGTGTTTGTGGTGTTGAAATGGGGTATCTAAGGTTGGGGTATCGTGAGGTCTATGAGATGGAGATAAGATGTGAGAAAATGAGATGAAATGGTACTGCTATTTCGGAAGCTCAACCGGATTCGGGGCGGATAGCTTTCGTCTTAAATACGATGCGAACACTTGCTCCAGATTCACGAGTCTCCATCGGGCCCGCGCCGGGTCCGACGAGGTGGTCCCTTGAACCTGCCCCTCGCGGCAAACACGGGGTGTACGGGATTCTGAGCGAAGACACTGGAAACCATAACGTCATGATGGAAGAATCGTAAAGAAGACAGCGAGAAATCCACTCTGATGGGGTGTCTTGTCGGTGGAGTATCCCTTTCGCCTTCTGGCCTTCAGCTGGGTGGGCTTGGCTGGCATTGCAGTTCGTGAGGTGGTTCCCCGATCCAGGATAGTGTCTGATATTGATATTGTCACCCAGCTGTAATTGACGCGGTACTCGGTGACTTGGCTTTGCGAACGGCTTGGCCCAACGGTCTGCCGCTCTGCGTTGTGGATAAGTCAGCACCTTATGCGAACTCTTCGTTTTTCTTGTCTTTTTTTCGCCATTTGCCCCTCATTTCTGTCAGTGACATCAAGATGCCGCGGCTCATGGCGGGGCCGCCCGGGACACGAAACGGAAGGCGGTCTGTAGCTGGGCCAATGAAGCCATTTGATCTCTTGATGAACCGGGATTATCATTCTAATGCCGTCCTCTTTCATCAGGGTTCCTTCGTCAATACCGCAGCTGTCGGCGTTAGGGGTCTCTGGCTGCCACGTTGTTCGGTCTAGTTCTGCAAGTTGGACGGAGTCGGGGTTGGCCGTTTTGTCCAGGAACCCCCGAGTCAGATCTCCGTCCATCTCTGACTAGCCTCAACACGCATTTCATCGTCTCGCCGCCAGATGCCAGAGTACCACAGAAAAAAAAAACTCTGCCATGAAGCAATGATGACAAAGCAGACACCAGACAACGCTCACACCTCCGGAGCTGGCTGCCAATTTCGGCGGAGAGGCCCCGATAAAGAGACAAGACGCGCCCGGCCGTGATCCCGGTTGCCAGGTCCGCGGCCGAGGCTGGGCAATCTGGACCAGGCGGTCGGCCACGGAGCCGAGGTTGATTCAGGACCCCTTTTGTTGAGCTTCAAGCGGTTCCCAGGGTTTCGACGACGGGATCCGGGGCAATTGCTTGGTGTCGGACGAATAATTGTTCCAGGCCTCCAGCTTGTCCTGATCGCATTCTTGATTTCAAAGCCAAAATTTCCGCTCTCCACGTAGCCCAATTCCGCTACCCACACGGTCGATCATCGGATCCCACATCCACTGATTCTTCTCGAATGCCTCGAAATCCCCGATCTCGTAGTGTACCCTAGTCGTTCGTCCTTCAGCGGTACGAATGCCGAGTGACATGTCGCCAAGGGTCCTACGCAGCATCTGCCGAAGAAACATGCTTCGCCAGCATCGTCGCGTGTCCCTTGACAGATTGCTCCTCCAGAAGTTTTCTCTCGTGCGCGGTTTCCGCGGATACTGTCACCAACTGCATTTCGGGCGAAGACTCGCACGAAACCCAGAACTCCTCGTAACCCGTTGGGTTGAAGCCCATTCTCTCAAAGCATCGTCTTCCTTCTGGCGTCGCCGTGAGTGCTGTCAATTGTGGTCAGATCATCGTCTTTTTTTATTGCAGTACGCCATCCCCGAACTCACCAGAGTAGCCGACGACCTTCCATCCCTTCTCCCTCGCGGCCTCGACAACGGCCTTCATCGAGATCTCCGCGATTCTCGGCACCATTTCCTGCGTCCCGGGCGCCTCATATCTCTCGACGTGAAACACGTGAAGCCCGATCTCAGCACCTGGGTCGCTCTCGCGGGGGAACATTGTCTCAGGGTCGACATCGGTCTCCTTGACCTTGCCGACGAGCAGGTCGCGCCAACACGAAGCCAGAATAGGGAGCGCGATCACCGCGCCGACGAGGGGCCGCGATGCCGAGTCGTCTACGCCGGTGAACCATAGAGACAGCGCTAACTCCGGCGATGCCCTGGTCCAGCCTTCGAGGCGCTCCCAGGTCAGAGGCGCAGGATACATGTCCTGGTCCGATGCGAAGATTTCCTGGAGTAATTCGGGGTGGATCGAGTCCGTCGTCACGGGCGGCGAGCGCGGAGTATGCATTTTTGCTTGCGCGCGCGCCATGGTGTCGTCTGTCGATGGAATATCGGCGTGAATGATCTTGTCCGGTCCAGTGACGGCTCCAAGATGACGTCGAGCAGGTGAAGTTGGAAGAAGCTATCGCGCCCTACCACGCGCCTTATATTTGGTAAGGGCAACATCTCACTAACATCTCACTCGATGCACGCTGAGGAAGCTGCGGCACAGGGGTCACCCCACTAGATATCTCCCTGACAGTGACATGCAGCACGGGAACTAACACCGCAGCCGAAACTCTGCTGATTTGGACTGACTCCAACTGCCAGCGAAGCGTGTGAATGCAACTAGTCTCATCGGAATTCAATAATTCTGAGACATCTCTGGACGATATGAGAAGCTATGTGTATGGGAATTCCACGTGGTGAGTTAGCTGATGAAGGCTCGTGAATGTGAATGAGCCTGGTCAATCCACTGATCATCTGGTTTCATCCATTCAGCGATGCTCACTATCATTACGGATACAGGTATCGATATAAAGTCTGCTCACAACCTCAAACCCCTTGCGAACCCTTTCAACCCATCCACGGCATAATGGTTTCTTAATCATCAGACCTTTTCCCAAATGGTCTTGATGGCCGTGGCTTGGGAATGTTTAGTCAGGCTGTTCCTTGCTCAATGTGGACATCGGCATGCCCCTTTCCCTTCCGTACATGAACTTATTGATTTTCTGTCGGCGTTTGTGTATTCAGTTATCATTATCACTGCTGGATGTCGTTCCAGGCCCATCCGGCGGGCCTCGAACCAGCCCTCGAATTTCTCCCGTGCGAGGGTCCATGATGCAGCTGAAGTGCGTCATCTCGTTCGTCGTCGGTCCTTCCCGAATCCATGTCAGAAGCCTCTCTTCGGTGATGCCGGGTACAAGGAGTTGATCGATAGACTTTTCTCCAGACTTTTGTCCAGATGAGTCCAGACAGGTGCCATTTTGAGACATCAGGCGTCTCCCGGCAGAGTTCTCTGTAGAACTAACATAGACATGCCCATTCCACTTGAACTGTAAAGCCTGCAGTCGCTGCTCAGATTCTACAAGCCACTCATCTCTAGCAAAGATTTCACACTTTGGTTCTGAGAGACGGGCGGCGTCCTTGGCATCGCAGCATGATCCATGGATTGCGTCGTGGTTTGTCTGGATCATGAAATGGGAGCTCGTCATGACCTTTCCATTGGGGACATCTTTCAGAACGATGGCGACGTCTTTCCCATCACATAGTGTGACGTAGCAAGGCGAAGTCGTCCTTGATGCCAAGCGCCGTGCTGTTGCTGCGATGCGCGAAACCGTCTTGAGCTGCTCGGTAGTTTCCTTTTCTTTGGTGGGTGGTGCATCTTCATTTTCGTCGCTGAAGAGAACATGGCGAAGGACCGAAGAGATGGACTCTCTGACGCCAAGAACAACAAGCAGCTGGTGCTTCAAGATAACGGTCCGTCGGCAGTCGTGATAGGGACGATGGTTCAGGGACAGCGAGAGGTTTGGCCTGTGACACGTCTGAGTTGGACGCTGATCTTGGACGGAAGCTGGGGCGACTTACCGAACACCAGTGAGTACTCCCACGAAGCCTGCATATGTGATACTCCTCGCTATCACTTCTCCCGGGTTGCTGGTCTTACTGTTGACGAACTCGAGTGACACCAGGAGACTTCTAAGTGAATCCATTCCCCATTCCAGAGTACGAAAGTGCATCAGTCGATCAGAAACACTGGGACCATCATTGTCTCCTATCGCATCGTTGGGTCGAACAAGAATCGCGCCCGAGGTGCAGCCGAGCAGGAGGTCTAAGAAGACGTTGAGCGCTATCGCGAGGTACAAATCCACACCGGCCACTCGAGCGATGGACTTGATCTCCTTGGTCTGCTCCTTTTCGTATACTTTGCGTAGAGAAAGTCGAGACGCCAACTTCACGACTTTTTGCAACTTTTGGGGGATCGGCAGACATCCGAGGACCTCGTCGAACAGCGGGACAACCGCCCTGATCTTGGTCGAAAAGTCGGACGCCAATTCGAGGTACCGCTCCTCCGGTGGAAGACCGAGGTCGATTCTATAGGTTGGAATCTTAACTTCGGAACCCGGAAGGATGTCATCGGGCGACAGTGGTGATTGTGGCGAAGTCATTAGGAGCCGGAGAGGTTGGCTCAACCTCGTCTATCGGCCAAAACTAGGAGAAGAGAGAGTTCTGGTAATGCGATGGGTAACAAAGGCAGAAGAAGGGTTGGAAACGAGTTCCTGATCCAGAAATCGATATTGCCGCTCGAGGCGCGGACGTCGGACTGGGAAACTTGAACGCGATCGGAGACGGAGTTGTTCTTTCCCTGGTGGTCGTCGAGTGGAGGAGCGACTGCGACAGGTGGTGTGACGAAAAGAGAGGACTTGGAGCGATGGGATGATTTCTGGCGTCTGAATAGGTAGAGAGTCGAAGGCGAGGCGACGAAGATTGATGCGATGAAGAAGCTGGAGATTAGAGGTTGGCGGTTTGGAGTTGGAGTTGGAGGAGGAGGATTTGAACGCGAAGAACGACGGCAGGCGAAACGAGAGCAGTTTACGGTAACGGGTGCAGCTTCCGCCTTGAAAAGAATGGCCTCGTTATGAGAAGATGCAAGATAGACCGGACTCTTTTGATGGAAGGAATGAAATGAAGCCAGATCCTTCCTCTTCACGACCTTTGGGGCTGAGTAAGACATAACCTCGGAATCCTGAAAGTGTAAAAATGACCGGAAGGTGAGATGGCTGATGTCGGCGTTGGGAAGAGACCAGCGCCTTCCTACCGCATAAAGCATCAAATACTATGGAGAGACCAATATTAAGCGCATCTTTGAAGAGAACATTCAATCTAAAAGCTCAAAAAAATCGGTGTTTTCTAGTCTGTGGCATCGTGGTGGTGATTGCGAGTGGGAGTGAGTTGAGTGGCGAGGCTTGGAGCTAGAAACGAGGGACAACGTATAACAAGGTATGATCAGAAAAAACATGTACTCCATCATTACGGTTCCAAGGGTACCTATGTACTAGCAATCATCCAAGTATGCACTAGAAATGAATCTTCCAACCTTCCGTCCGTCATCTTCACATAAGCGCCGTAAATAGCATGAGACTCTATGATCAACCGCTCAGCACCCACAATCCAAATTGCTATGTACTCCTCATCTCTTCCCTCTCAATCACAACCCTCATCGCATCCTTCGGCCTCAGCGTGAAGTTCGGATTCGCCAGCTCGAGAGTCCCATCATAACCAGGCCTCGGCGAGAACCGGAAATTCCTCACAAGCGCCACGATCACCGACTTGATATTCAGCAGCGCCATGTTCTTCGCGATGCACCCCGACGGGCCCTGCAGGAACGCCTCCATCGCGTACGAGTCTTTGGCGGCGCGGCAGTCGCTCCAGCGATCCGGGTCGAACTTGTCGGCGTCGGGTCCCCAGAAGACGGGGTTGAAGTGCGCTACGGCCGGGCAGAGCGTGATCTGGGTACCCTTGGGGACGAAAACGCCGCAGACTGTGACGTCTTCTAGAGCTTCGCGAGGGAGGAAGATGGCTGGAGAGGCGCGGGACGTCAGTAGCTGAGCAGTTATGGTGGGAAGCTGAATATGTACGTACCTGGTGAGTAGTATCGCAGGGTCTCTCTGAGGAAGTTATTGACGTAGGTTAGGTGCTCGACCTCCTCGTAGCTGGGATCCCAGTCTCGCGGCTTGCCGGCGCAAAGCTCACCAATTTCTTCCTTGAGGCGCTCCTGGACATGTGGCATCGTCGCCAGGACGTGCGAAATCCACATGAGAGTCGAACCAGTCGTCTCATGGCCTAGCGAAAATAGTCAGTCATCTTTACCGCACGTGCAGCCGCCTCGTTATTCTCACCTCCAGCAATGAAGTTAAGCATATACTCCAAAAGCTCTTTGTCGGTCCACTCCCTGTCTCCCTCCTCAAACTGACAATCCTCCAAGATGAAAGTCAGAATGTCTCTCCGATCCGGCCTCTTCTCGAAGAAGCCCATCTTCTCAGACCTCATCTCCATCGTGCGGTTCTCGACGCAGTTCAAGAGCATGGTCCGAATCAGATTCACGTCCTCGAGCCACATCTTATTGCTCTTGAGCGGCAGCCATGAGCGGAGGGGGATGTGGCCGTCGATGAAGGTGATGACATGGCCCAGCGCCGGCTGGCGGATGATGCGCTCGTATACATCGGCGAAATGTGCCTCGGGGAGAGAGATGCTTTCGAGGTCGCAGCCGATGGATCCGATGACGAAGACGTCGAGGGTGGCTTTTCTGATGAAGTGTTCGACTTTTGACATGTAAGCTTGGGGTTTTGCGACAAGAAAGGCAATGGAGGTTCTGTACCTTCTACTAGTTTGCGATCCTCGCCTCCGAGTTCGTAACTAATGGCGTCACAAAGCTGACGAGCCTTGGTTTGGAAGACAGGAAGCATTCTGCGAGTATTCGCGTTCGAGAACGCCTCTGTGGGTCTCGTGTCAGAAAGCAATAACAACGCGATGTAACATTGAAGGCTCACTGGCAAGCTGTGTACGCTGTCTCTTCCGGTCATCGCCCTCCGAGAACATCAATCCGTGTCCGGTGATGGGCGAGAACATACGGCCGGCAAGCTGTGACTTGCGAAACGAGTACGCCTTGGTCTGTTGCACCTCCTTGAGAGCTGCGAGATTGTTCACCAAGAGCGTCTCCGAGTTTCCAAAGGAAAGATACCGCACGAAGGGTGCGTCCGGCCACCTGCGCATCCAGGAGATGAAGATGTCTGCCGGGCCTGGCGTCATGATCTGGTTCAGCATCTGGCCAATGAAGAAGTGTCCTCCCTATAGTGAGTGTTAGGTTAGCAGAGTTCATCTTTTTTCACCTGTGCTAACCTCTGCCGGGGAAGAGAAACTATGTCAGAGGTTGCTAGCGTACTTACCTTGGGCGTGGGAAGATGGCGCATAGGAGATACCCAGTGAGGGTAGATGAAGGCGCAATAGCTCACGATGAGGGCATATTGCACAGTGAGAGAGCCAAGGAAGATCCAAATCGCGTTAAGGGCGTTGATTCCACCATATCTCCAACTTAAGGTCGCGACCAGGAGCGAAGCCCCCGCGCAGTGCCGGAAGGCCATACTTTTCGGTGAGACGATATTATGAACTGACAAACCAACACGAAAAACACAAAATAAAGCAAAATAAAGCGAATGTGAGGGACTGTCAATAGGTGTTGGGGAAGATGAGCGTAGAGCGAGGGGTTAATGGTGAAAGGAATGAGTCGAGGTGAGTCGAGTGGTGAAGGTGTTTGTCAAAGACGAAAAAGGTCAAAGGTCGAGTTCCTTCCCTTCCAAACAGACAAAAGCTGAGAGAAAAGAACCAGTCTTTAAAGAGAAAGTTCTCAAAATCCGTTGTCCAAGTCCGCACTCACTCCCCTTTTTCTTTTCAGACATCCGCCGCCTCCTTCCACCCAGCCCGCACCCGTTGAAGGCGGCAGAGCGGGCTTAGCCATGGACTCGAACATGCAATATCTCCTGCAAAACGCATTCACAAATCATCCGCCAAGTCAACATCCTAGTCAACAGATCGTCGCAAACAAGCAAACATATCATCACAGACAGTGCGCCACCAACACCTCCGGGGAAAGAATAAGGCATCCCGGCACCAACACACCGCAAGTCAACTCAAGTTCGCAATCTATTCTCGCCGTAACACAAACCATGCATCTCGCACCCCCCCCCCCCCTTCGACGAGGTAAAAGAGGTCGCATAGCCACTGGATCGAACCTTGGGGGGACACACGATGTAGTCGGAATACCTACCCCTGACGACGGCGTGATACCCACGAGGGGGTGCGCGTTCACCATCGGAACACAGAGACATGAGGCTGATCCCTGCCCGACGCCCGTCACCACGGCTTGGGAATCTCGTCACGCGGACGACTTGAGAGTGGCCGCATACGGACAATACCCTTCGTCGGGAAGCCTCGCTCCATCGGGGCCGGGTTCGAACACGCACTCCGGCCAACGCCCGCCTTCCCCTCTCTTGGGCGGCTGCAGAAGCGCAAGCAGCATAATCAAGAAAATGGACTTCACCGCCCATGCGCCGAGTATCGAACGGACAAAGCGGATGATACCGCGAGGTTACACGGGTCCCAATCCTCTGGAACAATGCGACCCAAAGCCCTGTTCACCCCCCGTGGAATAAGACACGAGAGATTACGTATCATCCAGTCGAACTGATAGGTCCGGACAATTGGGTTGTTCGGTGAGCGAAGAGAAATAAACGCACTATTGACGCCGGCGTAACAAGTCGGGAAGACCTTGCGAGGCGGCATCTCATGAAGGCCGCATTCTCTGCGGCCGGGAGACGGGTACACGCTGCATCGCCGGACGTCCCATGCGTTGCTGCACATGCGCGCTCGCGAGATCACCGTGATCTCTCATAGCTGACATCGCTGACATCGCTGTTCTCATCTTACCCTCATACAAGCTTATTGGTGGACATATTTCCCCTTGTGCGACCTCGCGCGTTGCAGGTTGATCAAAGCCCCGGCGCCTGCGGCTTTTCGCAGCCGGGGATTGTCTGCGAGATCTGGTCGACGACAGGCATGTGCATATCGTGATCACACACCAGGTTCCGTCCGGACGCACCTAGATGTCTCTGATCCGGCGGGCGGGGGGTGAAGGTGCCATCGATCGTACAGAGATCTCCCTCTTCACGGGTCTCTCGGGGGGCGAACCGTCGATTCCCGAGAATCGCCTACGGATATTAAGTGGCTGAAACCTGGCCTGTTGTTGTACGGGATTTCGCAGAGTTGTTGCAGCTGCCAAGAAGGACGTCGATGAGTTATGGTGCTTGACTGACGCCATCTATGGATGACCGACCTGAAGACGAGACGACTTGGTTTGCTTTTCCTCCAGTGATGGAGTCGAGGACTTGTGATGGTGGCTTGGTTTCTTGGTTTCGAGAAGCTTGAGGATAAGTTCTAGGTAATTTGGACTCGGTGGGTGCTTTCTTCTGTATGCAGGCTATCGGGGATCACGGCTCATCATGACTTACATCGTCGTTGTACGAGAATTTGGACATCGTCTGGGTCAATTTGAAATCATATGTGCCTGCATCCAGGCGCCCACTCATGTCTCACACGCCCTCATACACTATGAGTAAATAGCCTTAGGGAGCCTGCAGATAGTATATTAAGGATTACTGATTCTGCCTGTCGTCTGAAGTCAGATGTGATACGAGACAGTTCCACATGATCGTGAACTACCCGGGTACCTGGATGTTGCCTCGCAAGTGACAGCCACGATGGCGAGGGCAGATGGTTATACCTGAGTTTACTATTTTTGGGAAGATCTTAGAAGTATCCAAGAATCTTGTTGCACTTCAAAATTAGGCTACTGTGCTGATGTCTCGTCTGGAGATTTGAGTGACGGCGACTTGTGTCGCTTGATCTATTGAGAGTAGTCGCTTCGAGGGCAGCCACGATTTAGAGAAATTAAATTGCGTATTCGAGCTTGTACACCTATAATGAGTATATTTCTTTAGCTATGATGAGATACGTTCCAGGCAATAAATTGCGTTCTAAGGACTTTTTCTATCTATATCTAGTAGTTGTACCCCTTGAAAGCGATCGATGGCGGTTGGCCATGACTTTAGTTCTGAGGCTTTTTTAGAGCATTCCTGACTCGATGATTTTGAATAAGAAGCCTGACTTGATAACACTAGCTTGGTAGAGCTCCTATTATGACTTGAGTAACTTATTACGAGCAACGATGAGCGGACACAGAGGTCATCTTGTCTTCTCGGTTGCCTGCCAGATAGAACTGTTGCGTGTGTGTTATGAATATTAGATTTATGTAATGATTACGTCTATTGACTTGCGTGAGGTATATTTCAGTTGTCAGTGCGACTGACAACGACTCCCTCAAAGACGTATTGATCCATCGACGAGCCCAGAAACTCAAAGCATGCATTCAGCTACGATGAAATCAATGGATTCTGACATAACTTACGACTTAGATTTTTGGGGCTTAACTGAGGTCACTGATTTGCAATTTTATTTTGGGATGAGCATATTGTTAAGCTGATTTGAGTGTTCAATTGTTTAACCTATCGAAGGTTTCGTTCCAAGGCCCCAGAATACTAAGCCTACGTCTCCTTTGTCCGCTTTAAGATCGTGATGCTACAAATTATGCTACGTAAATTCATGATAAACTCCATGTAAGTTGAAGTCAAGCACTGAAATCTCCAAGCTCTACACAATTCCAACAAAAGAAACTAAATTCCAGTCTGTCTCAACGCCGACCTCGTCTTCACTGGCGCCTCAGTATGAGGGCATCAAGCCCGCGAATGAAACAGGTGAGAGATGTCTTCATTATTTTATCATTCACAGACCACGGAGCTCCACACTCACACGGAAATACCCCATGCCCATCTCACTTTTCCTGCCGTCTGGATGAAGCTCATCAGTCGTTATGCAGCCGCATCCCGAGAGCTCTGAAAACCTAGTAAGATCTGAAGCTTAATTATATTTATGAGAGCATCACGAGCGCCAAGGAAACAGCATGGGCCATGTACTGTTTCATTCTCTCACCGCTCACACATCACAGCGTTGCCGTTTCACAACTTCACGACCCATATTCTTTTCGTGGTTCCTGCCATTCATTAAGCCCACGGGATTTTTGGCATACACGGCGATCCATTCAGGTACAGTTGTGCTCTTCAACACAACTTTCGAACGGTTCATAAACGCAAGGAGATCGTCGCATCTCCCGGTACAGTATGGCATGCTTCACAATCTGGAATACGGTAAATGGCCACCGCAACTAACTGAGTATTCCGAATTCGACCAATACAAACTCATTACAATGACATGTTAAGGCACCATACGACAAGATGAAAAGGAGAGACGATCCCAAACATCTGCTAGGCAATCTGACCACAAATCTCCGCCAAAACCATGAGCACACAGGGACCATCCAGCTCTGTGGCACATCGTCCCCTACCACAACATTCTAACGACCGCTTGACACTACGGCTCCTTTTGTCCATTATATCCCGACGCCTTGGTCCCCCACTCGAAGCAGTCCGACCACAACCGCGACCCAAACGACGAGCCAAAGTCCGCACCGCCTGAATTGTCCCGTCAGTATGTTCCACGCATATCATCATCGAAAGTCAACTCACAGATCTGGTTCTCAACCTTGTTCATATTCGCAACGCACAAGTCCACGTCGATATCCTTGACCGCCTGGTTGGCCGTCTGCCCCGACGGACAGACGTTCGTATGCGAGGTTCCCCGGATCCAGAAATGGACGAACCCCTGATCGAACTCGACGCCGTCCTTCGCGGGGTCCAGGACCGCGCGGTTGTAGTCGCTCCAGTAGAACCCGTCCCGCTCCCTCGGCGACGTGAAGTTGCCCCCGGCGTCGTGGATGTACCGGACGGCCTCCTCGCAGAACCGGTGCGTGACGTCCGGGTCCGGCACGTACGACGGCGGCATCGGCGTCTCCCAGCAGAGCCCCGTGCCGTGATCGAGATGGGGCGCGTCGTTGTTCCACTGGATGTGGTAGGAGGCCGTGCCGCAGTCCTCGAGCTCGACCGTGCCCTTCTCTCGCATCCAGAAGCGCTCTTCGCGGCCTGTGTGGCTGATTAGCTGGCGTTCTTTTTCTGATGTAACGTGGTCAGGCGATGTGGAGGAGTGCTCTACGACTTACAGGAAGAGTCGGTGTACACCTTATTCCAGACCTGCCTGCAAGTCTGGTCGCAGTTCTTCCCCGTCTTCTCCCACTTCATCGTCACGTTCTTGGCTTCCCCGACTATGGAGCCCTCCGGCCCCCAATACCCATTCCAGCCGACCGCGAGGCTATCTCCCACCCAGTTGCATGCTTTCTCGATCAGTCTGCCGCAATGAGTCAGTGCTGTTCCCATGTCTACACGGAAGCTTGAGAGAACCTACGGGTACCAGTTGTAGTAATAGCTCCAGAACAACCAATCGCATGTGACGTTGTACCTCGAGTCAATACTGACCGCCAGCGAAGTCTCCACAGAGGTGCCCTCCTCGTCCCGTCGTGAGATGTCTCTCGGAGTAACATCCGGTGAGCCGGGGACTTCATCGTCAGGGATAAGCGGGCCAAATAATGGTATCCCAATGCCATCGCCTGGTGGGAAAGGGTCACCAAGTCCGCTGTCTATGGGGTCGGGGCCTCCGCCGCCTCCGCCTCCGCCCTCTATGATCGTTGGATACCAGACAACATCATCCGCAGGGTCAACAGGATCGTCGTCGATAAGATTGTTGAGTCTCAGTTCCCGAACGTCGTCCGCCGGCAAGGCCAATCCGAGACCATGGAAGCTGGTGGTCACCAAGAATACGACACTGATTTGCAGACGCATGGTAGTATGTCTCAGTCGAATGAAGGATGAAAAGGTTGTGAAAGATCGTGAATGCCAATCGAAGGGCAGATAGATAAAGCGGAAAGAGCTTGTGAGAAGGAACTAATTGCGAGTCCACGAATCTGATGTAAAGAAAGAAGATTCTCGGAAATGAAGCTCGTGGGAAGAAGATCGTGAGCATGATATATGAAAACCATCCCCTAATAACATGCCATTCTGGATAAGGGTCCAACGACGTGGAACCTTGACGATGGTTATCCCAGGCTGTCGTTTGTTTCACAAGACAGGCGTGCCGCAGGTGCTCCCAGGAACCATCTTCCCAAGACTGAGCCTCACGTTCACCGCAATGGCGAATCGTCAAGGTGAAGACCCAATCGGAAACCCACCTTGAGATCCCTTATGCAGTGCCATGTCCCGTCCAACGTGACAGCTTTCGGCTATATTGCGAGACGGTCACGCCCTACTCTGTCTTGAACTCGCACTAAATCTCCCTGACGCTATTCATGGACGTTGGCTGTTACTTCTAGGAAAGCAAACCGCAGCCAGGTGATCAGATCTTGCCAGCACAGCTGGATGGCGTCATGTTGGGCTGTGAGCTGGCATGCAATGATCGACGCGAGATGTTTGCTGAAAAGTGGAAAATCTTCATGTTGCTTTAGATATCGAATTCAAACATCGAGTTCATAAATCGTCGGTGGAGTCCCGAAGGCCCGTACGGCCCGTGGCTGCAAACATAGCCGAAGCCGGCCTGCATATCTGCTTGATCAGTATCCCGAACGTGGGGATACTTCCCGAGGGCTTCCGTTAGAATGATCTACTGGAAGTCATGGTCTGAAACTCATGTATTCTAATATATTCCCATAAGCCAAGATGGTAATTCAAATTTTTGTGCTCATCGTATGGATCGTCTCATGGGAGGAATGCCTCCCCATCCAGGGACATCCTCCTTCTCGATCAGGGTTGGTGTTCCCTTCACCTGTCCGACAACGCCTTGTTTGACGAAATTAGTATTTCCCGGTCAGCGGAATAGTCTCTGTCGAGCAACTAGCCACTTTAGAAAAGAGATTCACCGGCAATTATCGCGGTGCATCGTGGGAAGATAGGCCTTCGATGCGCGAAGTTCGATCGCCGCCTCGATCGCCATGAGGCAAGGTATTCCAGTGAACCAGATATGTCGAGCGACTCCGGCTGCTACATCACTTTGTCTACCATCATCTGCTGATAGTATCTTGACGAACATGAGAGATAGGCTGATGCGAGCCACGTAGGCGGGGCTTTCCAAGACATCGGGGTTTGATGAATTCACCGGGCGAGTCGGATGCCTTGCCGTACTTCACGCAAGGTGTTTAGGGCTACACGTAGCGGAGATACAGATTCGAAGAAATAAGCATCTCCAGTGCACCAATCTTCAGCATCATGTTTGCCGTCACATCGCCTCGGTCCGATTCTGATGGGAGATGCATCGCGTTCAGGGGCGAAAGCCCGAGTCCTGGCTGGGAAACGGCTTTTGGTGTTTCGGTTGATGACATGAACTCGTCGCCTGACCAGATGTAATTCGCCGGCGATTTCTCCGGGGAGAATGATAGGGCTAATTCTTGTCCGGGCGGCATCGTGCATCTCGTGTGACGAGAGGGCTGGGTAACGCTTCATCGGTGTCAGTTTGGCGAGCCGATCATCGTGAGATTGTCTAGATTGTTGCTACGTCGGAGCCCATGGCAGATTGTTGCGATTCCAGGAGTTTCCCAGAAACTAGTGAGCGGCATCTTGAGCCCTACGCCCTTCTGGTCTCAAGAAAGAGCTCTGGGTGGCAATTGACATGCATGATGATACGCAGGCAATGTCGACATTGGTTTTAACCTAGCAGCGGTTTCCTCGCGTAGCTCGTGGCTCGCTTCTAATTCGTTGGGCCTGGCAACTGTTGGCCAGAATTATATCGAGATACTCGCCCAGTGACGGAGGAATGACCAGGTGGCTTCTCCATCATGAAGATGCTTCCCTTTCTTGTCCTTGAACACTGCGTTCCGGCAGTGGCGACCTTCTGATAAGAGACGCACGGAAAGCAGTCTCGACGGTTGAAGCTACCCCCAGGCAATGGATGCCGCTTCCCGCGGGAATCGCTCGCTAATCATGCGTGCCTGAGCCAACGATGCAGCCAGACTGACTGTCTCTCTGGAGGAAGGCGAGAGATCCTACTGCTACCCCAACTCGACCTACTCTACCTGGTATTCGATGCTCAGCTGCTTGCCTCATCGGGACTGTTCTGGAGTCGAGGTATTCGCGCCACTCGGCTTCCACCGCTTGCCATCGCGCCCGGCTGGATGGTGCCAACATGATGGGCACCTTTCCGGACAGTAGTTGCAACGTCGTAAGGCTGATATCGCTGAGCATCCAATCACTGTCGATGAAAAAGTAATGCATGTGTCAATCCGAATGCCTCCAAGACAAGCGAAACCGCATGAATGCAAACAGCTGAATTCCGGGGTGCGCAACACCTACCCTTGCTGGAAGCCGGCCTGTCACGCGCGCACCTGCACGAATGGCGATACCTGGGGCTGGGAACTTTTGCCATGATCCCACCCGGCAAGGGAGTTGGAAAAAGGAAACTGTGTGTCTCTCCAGCAGATCCTAGACTCAACTCGGGCGTGGACCGTCTTGGCAGGAATATGACCCAGCCCAACCAACAGCTGTTGACCTCGGGGTAACCACGGGGCGAAACGAAGCGACGGGCCACTTTGTAGATAACATCGAGCTGACAGATTGGCTGCTTTGCCTGCCCTGAGATGGGGCAAGATTCGAAAGGGAGCCAGACCTCTGCTGTCGAGAGGCGCGGGTGCGCGCTGTTTCCGACAAAACGGGAATAAGTGGGAATGATCACCCGATATTCACCGTGCTGTGCCCGGAAATGGCGAGCGAGCGCCCGTCGAGACGCTCGCTATCAATCTCAAGATCCAAAACCTGTCTTTGAGAGATCAGATTGCCTGCCCTCCGGCGGCTGGGAAACTGTCTGCCCTTTTGCAGTCAAAGGGCCGCTAAGGTCAGCCGTCTCGCAAAAGTTCCGGGCGCTGGAGAAATTAGCTCCTAGAGTTTGAGTAACGGTCGTTACTCATGATGTCCGCAATCGGTGAGCGTTGCATTGATGTGGGGAAATTGCGGCCATTTCACTCGTCGGGCGTCCTCCGATGTTCGAAATTGACCAGAAAGCGAACGCGCCCCGGATTCCAGCGCAGTCACCAACACGCAGCCGCCGCATGGCACAAGCCTTCGCCAACCGCTTCAAGAGATCCGGCCGAGACCTCGCCCAGGCGGGGAGGCTGCAAAAGAACCTCTGGTCGAACTTTTGATTGTCTTGGGAGGCCAGGGCAGAAGGGCGTAGCGTCGCGTTGGATGTCCGCCCAAGAATGCTTGACATGTCTTGACCTCTCTGCGCCGCGCAGTGGCAAGCAAATCACCACCGGTGAATTGGAGGGGAACCACGATATATAGGCGTCTTGGCAGCAGGACTTGGCAGCATGACCAAGATGGCCGAGTCGGGGGTGGTCGCCGGGATATCGCAGCAGAAGCGGAGTCCTCCTCCGGGGCCACCGTCCCATCGACTTCTCCTGATAAGGAAGCTGACTTACGGAGTCGACCAACCGCGTCCAACGACCGCGAACCCTCCCATGCGCGCCCAGCCTCGTTCACGAGCCGAATTGCGATCCGGAGGTGTGGTCCAGGTCCTTTTGATCTGCGACTTTCGCGCCGCAGGGATGGGCAAACACTCCATTCCGTGCCTTCTGACTGGCCGCGCCGTAAGGGTCATGACACATCAGGATATTGTCCTGCGAGTTGATGAGCCGTTTCTTTCGAATTGAATCGTCTCACAGATACCCAGCAAATAAACTATTCGACAGCTGGGGAAAACATTGGCCCCCCCGTGCCCCCTTCGCTGATCGATAACGGCCTTGGCGGAGGACCTTTGCCTGAAGGGTTCGGACAGCCTTGCCAGACTCGTCCAGAGCGTCCAGAGCACCTGCGGAATCTGGCAATAGCCTTCACGATCGTTGGTTCTCGTTTACGCCCGCCCATGGATATCAGCCGCCACCCCCATGAGAGGCAAAAGTTCCATGGCCCTGGTACCCATGAACATGGAGGTTAGCAGTTGCATCCCGCAGGAGCTTCCGAGTTCCATCGGCGACTCTTTAAAAAGGACCTGCCGACCTCCGCGTCAGTCTCCGTCTCGCTTCCTCTCGACATCAAGCCAGGTCTCTCTTAGCCTAGAGCCAGCCAGCACAACCAGCACATCTGGTCAGCCTGTGTGCCAACCGACGTCGACTCGACAAGCACATTCACCGCCAGCTTCGTCAACATGGTGGCCACCAACCCCGTGCCCGGGGCCATTCAGGCCGAGACGCAGATTCCCTCCGTGGATCCTGCTCACGACCCCAACATCGTCACAGAGAAGATCCGCTACTCTGAGCAGGTTGATGACCTCAAGAGCGAGGTCAGCGATGGCGACCAGGTCACCGACCTCTTCAGCCCGTTCCCGGAGGTCAAGGGCATCGAGCCCGAGGCTCACCCTCTCACCTTCCGTGCCGTCCTGACCGGTATCATTCTCGGTTCTCTTGTCAACGCATCCAACGTCTACCTCGGTCTCAAGACTGGTTTCTCCTTCACTGCCACGATGTTCGGCGCCATCTTCGGGTCAGTTCACACTCGAGTCACTGGAGCGGATGTTCCTTGCCTTCATACTAACAGCTCATCAGATATGCCATCATCCAAGTCCTCGCCAAGACGCTTCCTAACGTGCCCATTCTCGGCGGTCGTTTTGGACCCCAGGAGAACTCCATCGTCCAGGCGGCTGCCACCGGTGCGGGTGGTATGTCCGGTCTGTTCGTGGCTGCTCTCCCGGCCATGTACCAGCTCAACCTTATGTCCGACAATCCCCGTGAAGACTTCCCTCGCATTTTGACCATCACCGTGGTTTGCGCTTTCTTCGGCCTGTTTGCTGCGGTTCCCCTTCGCAAGTTCTTTGTCATCAACGTTGCTCGCGAGCTCAACCTCGTGTTCCCTACCCGTAGGTTTTGGCCAGCCATTTGCCACGAGAATACTAGCTAACAATATCAGCCACTGCGACTGCCCTCACCATCCGTTCCATGCACGCTGTCGGGAGCGGTGCCGCCGATGCCGTCAAGAAGATCAAGACTCTCGGCTACACCTTCATCGGCGCCCTGGTTCATATCGTCGTCTCCCAATATGCGGACGGCATCCTCCATAACTGGCACATCTTCACCTGGTTCTACGTGTGGAGCGGTTACAAGAACTGGGCCATGAACATCGAGAACTGGGGATGGTACATCCAGATCACTCCCGCTTTCTTCGGATCCGGCATGCTCGTCGGACTGAACGCTGCCATCTCATGGTGGGGCGGTACTTTCTTCGCCTGGGGCTTCGTTGGTCCTCTTCTTGTGAAGTACGGCGAGGCTGTTGGCGTTCAGCGTCAGCCTGATAGTGAGAAGTGGGCCGACAGAGTGAACTTCGGTGTGATGACCGTGACACCCGGCGATGACTTCGTCCCATCCCCCCGCTACTGGGTAAGTTTGCTACCAAACCAATTTAAGAGCTACAGGGCTAATTTTTTCGCAGTTCTTGTGGCCCGGAGTAATGGTTTTATTGTGCTATTCTTTAGTAGAGTTTGTGCTCCATATCGGAGTCGTTTTGGACGGAGCAAAGTTCGCTTTCCGCGAGGGTGCACGCAGCATCAACAACCGCCTCCAAGCCAAGGGCAAGACGAACGAGTTCCTGGCCAAGCACGCCGCTAAGGCAGACGTCGCAAGCGGTCTCGTTGAGGACTTTGCTCCTCCCAGCCAGCAGGTTCCTATCTGGGTCTGGGCTAGCGGCACTATCGTGTTCGTGGCCGTCGCATGCGTTGTCTGCCACGTCCAATTCCACATGAACGCCGGTCTCGCCATTCTCGCATGCATTCTCGGTCTTCTCTTTGCCTTCCTCAGTATTCACGGAGGTGCTGTTACCGATTGCACCCCCTTGACCGCCTCGGCCAAGGCTTCCCAGCTCGTCTTCGGCGGTGTCACTAAGGGCCAGGGCTTCGACATGAAGGGTGCCCAGCGCATCAACCTCATCGCTGGTGGTATCGCCTCAGGTACTGCCGACGTTGCTACGGCTCTTGTTAGCGACTTCCGTGTTGGTTTCCTGCTTCGCACTCCTCCCCATCTTCAATTCTACGCACAGGCCATCGGAGCTGGTAAGTCTTCCACCCCAACATCTCGATCAAAATCATGCATATCTCAACCAAACCTTCTCGGGATCACTTGAAACTTCGCTAACTAAATCAGCTGTGAGTGTCTTTTTGGCCCCGGGAGTGTTTGTATTATTTATGGCCGCCTACCCCTGTATCTGGGTAGAAAACAACGATCCGAACGCAGAGTGCCAGTTTTCGGCCCCCTCCGTCGCCGCATGGAAGGCCGTGGCTCAAGCGGTCACGCTGCCCGAGCTTCCGATCACTAAGTCCTGCGCCATCTTCACCATCGTTATGGGCGTTATCTGCGCGCTTCAGGCCGTCGCTAAGAACTTCTACCTCGTCGGAGACCGCGCCAAGTACCGCGAGTGGCTTCCCAACTGGATGTCCATCGGTGTTGCCTGGGTTCTCGGACCCGACAGTGGATACGCGAACGCCATTCTCTTCGGTGCGATTACCGCTTGGTGGTGGAGGAAGTACTTCCCCAAGAACTTCGAGACGCACTGCTTCGCCGCCGCCGCCGGTCTCATTGCCGGAGAGGGCTTCGGAGGTGTTATCAACGCAGCTCTCGAGCTTGGAGGTGTTGCTGGAGGAGAGATCGGATCCGTGATCGCCCTGCCCGGCCAGGAGTGGTAGACGGGGGAAAATGACAATGTTTCAACGCATTATACGACGGTTTAATGGAAAGATGTGCCGCTGGCTATCGTTTTGATTCTACATATACCCATTGAAGACAATAATCTATACATTCTTTACTCAAAATGTCCCTCTCGAGGGTTTCATCCAATTCATCATAGTAGACAGTAGTCATGCTAAGTTTCAATTTTCCTCTCGGCGTGGAAATCCGCCCCTCGAGCTGGAAAGATTACCTCTACCAGTTGTGATGCCGATGCTCCGACCGTAAAAGTGGATCCACTATTCCGGACCGGGATCGGCTGAAGTCGGATGTCGGCGGATGTCGGGCGGGTATCGATTGCTGCTTATCTTATCTAATCACGATCTCGGATAAGCTCACGTTCAGGAGCGCCTCCCATTTCCGCGAGTGCATTTACGACAAGCTTCACCTTTTACCATCGGAATCGTGGAATTTCTGGACAAACAATCTTCAGTATCCGCGTCACACCGTTGGTTTTCAAGATAAACAAACAATCGGCCAGCAAACATTCGGCTTTGTAAGCCATCGAGGCCAAGACCTTCCGGCAGTGGGCAGCAACAAGCGAGGGGAAACCACGTGACTGTAGGCTGATATTTGCCGTCATCTTCACCGAAACTCTTCAACTCCCACGGGTCTCAGAAGCATTTGTCCTTGTCGTCTTATGAAAAGACTGGCCCTTTTGCTAGCAATCTCATCTTCAGACTGACAAACGGATAGCAAAACACGACCTTCTGCTTTCCTCTGCTCCCCGCCACTTTCACCACGACGCCGGCCACATCAAGCAGGACGCCAAGATGACCGCGTTCCTCGATCTTCCTAACGAGCTTCTGATGCAAATCATCAGCCTCTTATGTCCTCACTGCGTCGTCGTATCGCAAAACCTGGGAGGATGCACCTGTAACGATGACCGCCCCAAAGGTGCCAGTCGCCTCTCCGAGTCAGACCTGCATCGCCAAGCCCTCTCAAGGCTATCGAGGACATGCCACACTCTCCGGAACATCGCACAGCCCATGCTATATCACAGCCCGAAACCCATCATCGGCTCTGAACTCTTCCTCGCCCGCACTCTCGCCTCCAATCGTGAGCTCGCTCAAGCCGTTAAGGAGCTGCACCTCGGAAAATGGAGCGTCAACGAAAAGGACGTTACGCCGGAACTACAAGATCTTTTCAACGGCATAATCGACCGCGTTGGGATTCCCGCCCAACTGCTAAGCGATTTGGATAATGACTGGCCGCGAGATTGGCTCACGGGGCCGGACGGTGGCAAGAGAGATCCCTACGTGGGCTACATACCGGATGCCACCAAACCAGGAGGAGGGAAGAACTTCTTCGACAGACGTGTCCGTGTCGTCGACGCGCTGATCGTCACTCTCGTGCCCAACGTCGAGCACATCCACGTCGAGCCCCTATTCGCCCCCCACTTTCCGTTCTCCGCGCCAGGATCCCTCCCACGTCTGACGGACCTCACGCTGCAGACGACGCAGGCGAGCGAGGGCAACAGCATCGACTGCGTCAAGGGCATCATGGACGCCGCCCCGGCCCTGGAACGGTTCAGAGGAGTCGGCGTCAACGGGATGACCACGTCCGTGACGCACCCGGCCTTGAAGAGTCTTGATCTGAGTCAGAGCATCCTGGGTGCGACACACATCAATGCCATCATGACCGGCTTCCCGAAGCTGGAAGTGTTCGGGTACGAGGTTGATCACAACGTGACCGTCGCGGGTCCGAACGATATAGACGCCAACCCGCAGGAGATTGGGGAGGCGCTTCTGCTCCGCAAGGACACGCTCAAGGACGTGGATCTCGACCTTGCGCGTTCGTCAATGTACCGGATTGATCAAGACACAATCGCATCTCATAGTACGATGCGCAGCCTGAAGGAGATGGAGGTGCTGGAGGAGCTCGCCATAGGCTACGACGCCATCCTCGTGCCGAGAACCTGGGACGATGGAGAGGAGGAAGGCCACGAGGATGGCGATGTCGAGGAGGGAACAACGGACGGGGCACTGCACAGGGGAAGAAAGAAGGACTCGCTGGTTGACTTCTTGCCGGTTACTCTCCGCTACCTGAAGCTGTGCGACGAGGAGAGCCATCTCTTCCAAGATCTTATCGAGCTCGCGGGACAAGTACCTGAGAAGTTTCCGAACCTGAAGAAGGTTAGGTTCTGGGGCTATGACGAATATGAACGGATGGCATTGAGGGGTTCTTTTCGCAAGGTGGGCGTGAAGTGCTTCCATGGCGGGTATTTGTGATCCATTGAAGAACCAATGGGCCACCTTGATGTCATCTGCTACAGCAGGCATAGCAATACTGGATGAAAACACAAGCTCTTATACCGAAATGCATCTCAAAAAGAAGCAACGAACCCGGGCGGGTGCTGTTTGTCACGCAATCAATGCAGGATTGGTGCGGTGCCTGATTGATCGCCAGGAAGACACTCTCGACTGGATCGTTCCACGTGCTCCGGTTCATCCCCTCAGATCAAGCGGAAGATCCCATTGATTCATGAGCCGAAAGATGCGCTTGCTTATTATACCAGCCTAGCAGGAGCTTCCAGCCATCTGCAAGCTAGCCATGCAAACCCCGCAGCATCCGGCCAAGCGCCCTCAACAAACCCGTTCGTCTCATCGAAACAAGCTTCACGACTGACGGCTCCTAGCCCCCAAGACCATCGCCGTAGCGGAAGCGATTCACCGCCATTGTCAAAGTTACGGACAAATCCAAGGACCGAGACATAATGGACAGCGGACCGTCCCAGGAGCCCAGGCCCGCTCCGAAGGGGAAGGGAGGGGAGGAGGGAAAGCATCTCCGGTGCCAAGCAGAGATCCAGACCCCCCCAAAAATAAGAAACGAGGCAAAGTGCGGATCATCAGAAAGCTTATTTTATTTTCAACCTCATCGAACCATTCATCATCCCCCGTATTCGCCAACAATGCCATCCATCTCTCCCAGCACATTCACACGAACGACGTAACCACCCATTACCCGCCCAGCCAACCCCCATGGCGAAACACAAGCGGCCGCCATGACCCATCCGTTTGTCTGATGGGATTTGATTTTAACGACCCCCTTCCAGCCCAGCCCAGCCCTATTACTAGCAGGTTTGCTTTTGCATATGACATGTCGAAAAACGCCCAATTAAATCGGGGGCACCCGGGATGTCGACGCCGGCAGTAAGACGGAAGCAGCACGCCGACCAGACGCCACAATGACGCAAAGCGTACCGAATAACGCGTGGGTAGAGGAGAAACGTCAAAAAAATGGAGGCGGGAAAACACAAGCAAGGTAAAGGTCCCGGGACGGCGAAAAAGCAAACGCGACCGATGGAATGTAGCACTCACCGCCGGCCATCGGGTTCTCTCTCTCCCTTGGGGTTCTGGCCTCAGTTGTCCTGCCTTGAAATTGGGAGACGTGACTCACCCTCGCCCAACGGAGTCCGTTGTCGCCGAAATATTGACGAGAGGTCGGGGGGTGCTCACTCACCAACAAGGAGATTGCACATCCTTAGCTGATGATGGGCTGGTCTTAGATCCAGCGCCGGCCGGCCTTGGTCCTTTTGACTGGTCTGGTGATTTGGTGTTGGCCCGCTCGGAACTACCGGACGTCACTCCGCGAGTACCGAACGTCACGAGAGATTAGAAAGCAATCCGGTTTGCGGCTCCGTCACATCTTTTGTTTTTTTTGCTGATCATTTTAAACAATTGTGATTTAATAAAAGGAATCTCCCATAACCTGTTTTAGGTTTTTTGTCTCTCAGGATGCACACCTTGATACCCAGTTCGATCTTATTTACTTCCTCTTTCTCTCCTCTTCCGACTTACATCCCTCCTCCCTCCCTCCCTTTCCCTCATCCCTGATTCCGTTACAAATCAATCATACCACCGGCCATAATGTCAGCAGCGCCAGCAATCACGCAAGCGCCACCACCGGCCACTGATGTCAACGACACGCCCCGGAGCAGCTCAACATCGACAGATGACGTCTCGACGCTGAAGCCTGCCGCCCAGGCATCGTGGAAGAAGAAGAACAGCAGTCAGAATGGACAGATCAACCGCACAGCATCACCAAAAAGGTCAAAGACGTTCTGGAAATCGTTCAAGTACCTCCACGACCTCACGCCAAAACAAGTCGATGACTACATGGCGTCATACGTCATCTACGGTCTGGACTGGGCGGATGAGCAACAAATGATCGATACCCTTGGTCCCAATTACCGCGAAAAAGTCGGCGACTGCTTACAAGCATACTATGGCGTTCTCAATCACCTTTGCGCCTTGGGTGACGTGGAGAAGATGTATATCCCGCCCTTGATGGACAAGAAGGCTTCCGTGCTGGATAACCAGATGCTGTACGAGGAGTCCATCGCGCGAGACATCGGTCTCAAGGCGGGGGACAGGGTCCTCGACCTCGGATGCGGTCGGGGCCGCGTCGCAGCCCACATGGCCGTCGTGAGCGGCGCGAAAGTCACGGGTCTGAACATCGACCCGAACCAGGTCGCGCAGGCGAAAGAGTTCAACGAGCAGATGGGCCTGGAAAACAGCTTCACGATCCAGGACATGAACGAGCTCCCGCTCCCCTTCGAGGACGACTCCTTCGACGCCTTCTACCAGATCCAGGCGCTGAGCCTGTGCAAGGACCTGCCGAGGCTGTTCGGCGAGCTGCGCCGCGTGCTGAAGCCGGGCGCCAAGATCTCGCTGCTGGACTGGGTTAGCCTGCCGGCGTACGACCCCACCAACCCGGAGCACGCGGAGCTGATGCGGAGGACGAAGCCCCTCATTGGAGCCGTGGGGACGCCGACGCCGCAGACTTTCGAGAAGGCGCTTACGGATGCCGGGTTCACCGTGTTGAGATCGGACAACGCGAGTATCGATGGGCTGCAAGCGCCGCTGATCGACAAGGCGGACGTCTACTTCCGTAGCTTGAGGCAGGTCATTCTCGGGCTTGTGAAGGTGAGGTTGTTGCCGCCTCATTTCAAGACGCTCATCAACCGGTTGTGCCTTGATGGGCAGGCGTTTGTGAAGATGGACAACATGAGGCTTGTGTCGACGAGTTATCGGATTATCGCGCAGAAGAACTAGACGGCGTTTGTGGAGGTTCATGAGTTCGGTAATATTCCAACCTTGGTTCATGCGTCCGTCACTGTTAGCAGGTACCGGAACGGCGTTTTAGTAGGGATTGAGATTATGAGTGATTGAATGAGATGTTGTCACGTTTAGAGCATACTGTACATAGATACTCCAGTAAGATTCCATATCTTAATTGATAATCCATCAACGCTAGCATTTGACGATATCGCGGGTCTCAGCTCGTGAGTCCTTGTCCTAGAATGTCGCTCACCATGCTCTCAAATGGGCACTGACTAATTGAATTTTCTCTTGAACTAAACTGTTGTTAAGTCCCTATTGATCCTTCAAGTAGCGCATCCCCACGAAGAGGTTGAAACCCTAGCCACGCCATTCGTATGCAGCAGTATTGTGCGAGATTCATCACATTTTCATGACAGAATATGGTACTTTGCTTGAGTGTTATACTCGAGCGCCTGGCTTTTTCACGAATACATATGATAAGTCTCATCAAAGTTTAAAATTGCACACTGAGAAGACGCAGCTTTACACGGGAATGCAAAATCATGAAGATGAGAGTTCTGCGGCGTTCATCTCAAAGCAATACCTACTCATTGGTTGATCTCAAAAGTACGGACCGCAAAGTGTTAGGCAAAGTATGATAACATCATAAGCCTTACTAGCAGTGCTTGAATTCGTAAGATCTGGTTTTCTGTTATCGTTGCCTTTTCTTCCTCATCTTTCCTGGAATTGAATGCGACTCACGGTTCTTGAGTTAGTCCTGAGACATAGGCAGTGTGTCAACTATACATAGCCAGTCTTGCCTTTTACATGGGAGTGGTTTTCGCATTGAAGCTTATCAAGAAACTTTTTTGAACATTGAACGTTAAATGTGTACTCGTTGGGTATAGCGAGATATTGACCAAAATTATAAGGGTGGCTGAATTATATTGCGCGGCATATTGCGTTTGATGGGAGGGGAATTCGCAGAAGTTCCGTGTTTCCTATTCTCTTCGAGACTCAGATGATCTCTCCTATTAAACTCTCTTGGGAGACCTGCAGTTGCCCATCAACGTTGCGGTAGTACGTGATAGAGGGGACATGAGGTGAATGAAGTGGCATCGGTGACTATCAACTTCCGACTTAGTCGCGACTACTCACTTAATTCATTGAGAGTGTTTCAGCGGGATAAAATGTTTTCGTACATCACAACTTCTCGGCGAGGCTCGTGACGTGGAAAGGGATAACGTCTCAATTTTGATAGACACGATGTTGAGGTCTGAAGGGAAGGAGGAAGCATGCGGGGCTCACTTATCGGATCTCATCAATCTCCCGAGCTCGGCCAAAGGATACCAAAAAGGAGCACGCAGACTGATGTACTCATGGATCATGACTTGAACAAGGTAACATCCGTAAACTCCGCGGATCGTAGTCCTGGACTTGTCCGCGATGTGGAACCATGCAGCCAAGACGAAGGGGAACCACGACCACGTCATGCCGACTTACATGTGTCCGTACTTTATCTCAGCATCTCAAACAAAACCCGAGCTTCACGCGAAGTACGGCAACTCGTCGTCAGGCAGTGATTTTCAGGGTTTTCATTTAGCCAACCAGCTGAAAGTCCCCGACCGAGTTGAGAGTAATTTCATCTCTTCCGCCAACGCGTTTCTCCTGTTCTACTGGTTCAATCGTGAGGGCACCCCCTAAAAAGTATGAACGTCATCATCGCCGGCATCGTGGGACACGCTACCGAGACCGGTGCTGCGGTGCTCTAATTAGTCAGGCGACCGATCCACCAGCGGCTCGGATTCTGCGAGCCTGGCGTCAGCCTTCCTTCGGCGATCGAGCCGGCCGGTTCTCAAGAGCCGAAGTGGATTTTGTGATGCCCTGCAGAGAATCAAAATTGCAAACTTCGAGAATGATGCCCAGGTTCCCGGCTCGGGACGGATGCATTCCAGCTGAAAGCTCCAACCCTGTCCATTCCCGTCCCCTGTCGTGACGTGGCTTGGCAATTGCGGATTCATCCACCAGCCGGTTGGGGTTTTGTTTTTTAACTGTGAGAACTTTGAGAGAGAAAGGAGACCGTTTGGTTGTCGGCTCCGACGTGGAAAACGACGGCTCAAATTCAAATACTACTCGGGTATTCCCCATCTTCCCGCCACCCTCGGTTCACAAAATTGTGCAGTTCGCTGTCCATTTGAGTGAGACTGCGCGACCGGCAATGCAACACAAGCTCCAGTTGTTAGCGTAACTCTTGTGCAACCCCTACCAGCCCGAGCCCGGTTCGGGAAGCTGGAATTGCGAGGGGCTTTGGGGGAGTTGTGGAGGGGCAGATCGATTCTTGTAGTCATGGCAAACGGTCTTGCGGAGTGCCCGTACGTAAAGAACCCGCAACCCGAAGGCGACCTCGGGTGTACAGATTGACAGAGTCCCGTCACATATCAGCGTTATCTAGGCTATCGATAGCAAAGTCTCGACTCTCGAACCGAGGGGGGACTGCCGGCGCTCCGATCCGAACAAGAGCCTCCCTCCTGACCAAAGACAAGAGCCAACAGTTCCCTTCCCTCGCCTTCTCGGAATCCCACAAATGCTGTCCCGCTGGCGTGCGGGCAGGGTTACGCATGTTAAGTCATGGCTGCGCACGCAGAGGCATGGGTTCCGCATAGGAAGCCCACCGACGCCAAATTAAACGGGCTAGCGACATTTGCTAGCGTCATATCTAATCAATCAGATCATCTTATCTGATCACACCCTTCACCACATAGTCGATCATGACTGGCCACAAGCCCCCCTTGTCCGGTCCATCGCAGGTCTCCATTGCAAAATTCTTCCACCTCTGCAGGACCACAGCTCCAAAAGGACACCCTGATCGTCCAAAAGGACCGGCTTTTCTCGTGGAATCTGTGCTGTGCCGCTCCTCTTTTTGGCACCCAAACCCGCGCAGGCCAAGCACCGGAATCGGCCACCACATCGCCTCCTCTTCGCATGTGTCTGCAGTCTCCGAAGGGGACAAGGAGCGGTTGAATTTTTTTTACGCGAGAGGTAGAACGGAGGGGACTGCCAAGAGGGAAAAAGAGTCAAGCCGGCTCATCTTGCCATTTCACCTTTCTCGAGGTGCTTTCTCACTCCTTCACCAACCTCTCACACTCTTTTTTTTCCTCCCCCTCCCCCCTTACCGCCTCTTGCCTGACATCTTTTGCTGGAATCGTCTGACGGACCCAGCAAGAGAGGATCTGGAACGCGTGATCTAGATCTGATAAGGAACTCAGAGACAGACACCAACCATGGCGGTCTCTGAGAAGCAAGAACCTGAGCAGGTCGCTCCCCCGGCCGATGCTCCGGCTGAAGAGCCCAAGAAGGAGGAAAAGGCAGAGCTGCCGGTTAGTCTTTCCCAACCGTCACTGAGCTGAGCTGCGCGGGCGTTTGGTGCTGCATGCGACTTTTTGGCTGCGGTCGGCCCGTCCCGCATCCCTCAACACCAAAAGATCTTATCAATCGCATCTCGACAGAATGTCGCAACACGTCGTCCGGCGCGCAGCTTCAATGACCTCAACCCCTCTCTCAAAGAAAGCTAACACTTTGAAACGCAGCGATGGAAACAAACGCTGGTCTTCTTTCGCCTGCTCCTGGCGGCCGACCCGACACCGCTCGACATCTTCCTCATCATCTTCGCAACCATCACCGCCATCGGCGCGGGTGTGCCGTTCCCTCTCATGGGAGTCCTCTTCGGTCAGCTCGTCGATAACATGAACTCCGCCACCTGTGCCGCCGAAGACGGTATCGACGCCTTCGCCTACGAGGCCGCCATCAACGACAAGGTCATCAAGACGTGCATCGTCGCCGCCGCCGCCTTCGTCCTCATCTACAGCTACATCCTCGCCTGGAGCATCATCAGCCAGCGTCTCGCCCAACGCATGCGCACCAAGTACGTCTCGTCCCTGCTGAAGCAGCCGCCCTCGTTCTTCGACAAGCGCGCCTCGGCCGGTGAGGTCTCGAGCAGACTGCACGGCGACATCACGGCTATTCAGTCCGGTACCTCGGAGAAGGTCGGCATCATCCTCGCCAGCTTGAGTTTCTTCGTCACCGTCTTCGTCATCGCTTTCACGAAGCAGCCTAAGCTTGCCGGCATGTTGGTCTCGATGTTCCCGGCTTTCCTGCTGTCTTCGTTCTTTGGCGGTTCCTACATCACCAAGTACAGTGGCATCATGACCCAGGCCATTTCGTCCGCCTCCTCGATTGCTTCCGAGGCTCTGTCGCACGTGTCGGTCGTGCAGGCTTTCGGTGCCGGACCCCGCCTGGAGGCCAAGTTCGCCGACCACATGATCGATGCTCGCAAGGCTGGTATCAAGAAGGCTGCTGTTGCCGCCATCCAGGCCGGTCTTCTCTACTTCATCGCTTACGCCGGAAACGCTCTTGCTTTCTGGCAGGGCAGTATCAAAATCGCGGACTCCATGGCTGGTCGCGGCAACGGCGCCTCCGTCGGTGAGATCTACGCCGTTGTTTACCTGCTCGTTGATGGTAAGTTGCAACCGTTCCCATGACTTCTGTGTTGTGTGGGTATCGTGCTAATTGCTCATCTCGTTTTCAGCCTGCATCATGCTTGGCTCCATCGCCCCTATCCTGCCCGTCTGTGGAGGTGCGGCGGCCGCCTACAAGCGTCTGATGGAGGACATCGAAGCACCCTCGGAGATCGATGGTACCTCCGACGAGGGCAAGGTCCTGCCCCTGAACGACCCCAAGGGAATTACTCTCCAGAACGTCACCTTCGAGTACCCTTCCCGCCCCGGCCAGCCCGTACTCCGCAACGTCAACCTCGAGTTCCCCGCCGGCAAGTACACGGCCGTCGTCGGTCTCTCCGGCAGTGGAAAGTCCACCATCGCCGCCCTCCTCGCTCGTCTTCAGGACCCTAACCAGGGAGCCATTTTCCTCAACGGCACCGACCTCCGCGAGCTCAACGTCCGCAGCCTTCGTAGCTTCATCAGCTTCGTCCAGCAAGAGCCTTCCCTTCTTGACCGGTCTATCCTCGAGAACATTGCGCTGGGTTTGATCAACTCTCCCAAGGAGGAACACCAGCACCTCAAGCCTTTCCTCAACGGACACCAGCTCGCCGAGATCGCCTCCAAGGGCAAGGAAGCTCTCACTTCCGTCGATGGCTATGGATCCGAGGTTCGCGAAATCGTCGAGTTGGTTCGCCACGCTGCCGAGCAGGCTGATGCCGCGACCTTCATCAACCGCCTTGACGATGGCTACGGCACCATGGCCGGACCCAGTGGTTCTCTTGTCAGTGGTGGCCAGCGCCAGCGCATCGCCCTCGCCCGTGCCTTGATCCGCGACCCCAAGATCCTCGTCCTGGACGAAGCCACCTCTGCCCTTGACTCTGCCAGTGAGAAGCGTATCCAGCGCGCCGTCGAGCAGGCCGCCACCGAGAACCGCACCATCGTCTCCATCGCTCACCGTCTCTCAACTATCCGCAACGCCGACAGCATCGTTGTCATGGAAGCCGGCGAGGTCGTCGAGCAGGGCAGCTACACTGAGCTCATGGCCCGTGAGGACGGTGCTTTCGCTCGCATGGCTCGCCTCCAGACTCTCGGCACTACCGACCGCGCCCCCAGCTCCGTCTCTGGCGACTCTCTCGATGCCTCCACCCTCAAGACTGACCACGTCATCAACGAGAAGATCGAAGCCGAGGACCCCGATGAGCCTACCAAGGAAGCCTTGAAGAAGGAGAAGAGCAGCGACGAGGAGGAGAAGAAGGACGACGACCCGGCTGTTGGCGAGGAGAAGCCTTACAGCGCCGTCATGAAGGGCCTTGCTCACCTCATCCGCCCTTCCACTGCCTGGTTGATTGTCGCCATGATTGCTGCCACCATCGTCGGATGCACCTTCACCGGTTCCGGTCTCATCTTCGGTCACACCGTCGGTGCTCTCAACCCCTGTGCCAGCACCTACGACAAGATTCTCTCCATGGGTCGCTTCTTCTCCGGTCTTCTCTTCGCCCTTGCCTGCATCGAGCTCTTCGCCAACTTCTTCGCCTGGTCCTGCTTCGGTGTGGTCGCTGAGAAGCTTCTCTACTCGGTCCGCATTCTGTCTTTCCGTTCTTTGATGGATCAGGATGTTCAATGGCACCAGTCTGAAGGCCGTTCCCCCTCCGGTCTGCTCACCATCATCACCAAGGACAGTGCGGCCATTGGTGGTTTCAGTGGTTCGACCATTGGTACCGTCTTTGCCATCTGCGTCAACGTCATTGTTGCTGTCATTCTGTCTCACATCATTGCCTGGAAGGTCGCCATTGTCTGCTTGGTCACGATTCCTCTCCTTCTCGGTTCCGGATTCATGCAGCTGCGCATGCTGGCCCGTTACGAGGAGCGCCACTCTGCTGCCTTCTCGACCGCTACGTCCGTCGCCACCGAGGCCGTCCAGTCCATCAAGACCGTTGCCGCGCTCTCGCTCGAGAAGGAGGTCATGGTCTCGTACGAGCGCCTGCTGGCCCCTCCCAAGAAGCAGATGGTCAAGGCATCCGCTACCACCAACATCTTCCTGGCCATCTCCAACGTTACCGGAACCTTCGTCAACGCCCTGGCCAACTGGTGGGGATCTCAGCTCATCATGAAGGGCGAAATCTCCCAGACTCAGTTCCTCATCATTCTCGTTGCCATGCTCATCAGTGCCCAGCTCTGGGGTACCATGTTCGCCCTTGCCCCCGAGTTCTCCCGCGCCCGTACTGCCCTGTCTCGCATCATGAACGTCATCAGCCTCGGCAAGAACGACGACCTCAGCAAGACCGGCACTCAGCCCCAGGTGCTCGCTGGAGATTCCACCAAGCAGGAGGACCCCGAGAAGACCGGGGAGGCCAAGGAGCCCAAGGCCCCCCGTCCCAACGCTGGTGGCGTCAAGGTGACCTTCAAGAACGTCTCCTTCTCTTACCCCAGCCGCCCCGACGTCAACATCCTCGACAACGTCTCTTTCACCCTCCAGCCCGGCCAGTTCTGCGGTCTCGTCGGTCCCTCCGGAGCCGGCAAGTCCACCATCATGAACCTCGTCCAGCGCCTCTACTTCCCCTCCGCCGGCCAAGTCCTCATCGACGGCCACGACATCGCCAACCTCCCCCCTTCCTTCCGCGACACCGTCGCCATCGTGCCCCAAGACCCTACCCTCTTCGACGGCAGCGTCCGCTTCAACGTCAACTTGGGTTCCGCCCCCGATACCGACGCCACCCAGGAGGAGATCGAGGAGGCCTGCAAGCTCGCTAACATCCACGACGTCATCATGTCCCTGCCCGACGGCTACGACACCGAGTGCGGTCCCTCCGCCACCCGTCTGTCGGGCGGTCAGCGCCAGCGTCTCGCCATTGCCCGCGCCCTGGTCCGCAAGCCTCGCCTCCTCCTTCTCGACGAGAGCACCAGCGCCCTCGACGCCGCCTCCGAAGCCGCCCTCCAAGAGGGTCTCGAGCGCGCGTCTCGCGGCACGACGGTGCTGGCGATCACCCACCGCCTGCACACCGTGCACAAGGCCGATGTCATCCTCCTCGTCGAGGGTGGCCAGATCGTCGACAGTGGTAAGCACCACGAGCTGATGGAGAGGAGGGAGAGCTACAGAATCAACGCCATGCAGCAGATGCTGCAGTAAGGCGGTGCGTCAGGATTCTGTTGATTTCGATTCGTATCAAAGGGTGGAAAAGCATATCACATCGCATGGGGGTTTACTGCATCGGTTAGGAAGGAGGGGTCGCATTTTGTATACTCATATAATACCTCCACAGCATTGTTCTTGTTTCGATAGTTTCAGCGGCTTATAGACATCTGGTTTGAAATCGTTCTCTCAACTGTGTCGCTACAACGTGAACACTGCTTTATCGTCGACCTTCGCATTACAACATTATAACTGAAGCCACAACGGCCTTAACTATCTAATAATCGGAATCGAAGACATCGTACATCTTGTCGCTGAGGTCGAACTGATACAACGTTTTGCTCCCCGTGGACTTTCCATTTTTGTAAGTCACCTCGGTATACGACACGTCATAGCCTCCGAAAACATAGTCCCTCTCTTCCTCCGCATTCACAAACTGCACGGTGACGCCATCCCTCACTTCAGTCAACGCTTTCACGGCCCTAACCACCTTCTCCTTCCGCGCCCATTCGTCGCTGTCGCACATGCTCATCCTGATCTTCTTCAGCTTCGGTGCCCACGACGGGTTCTCGCGGAGCTCGTCGAAGAAGCGCCCGTCCACGCTGCTGCAGCTGTTTCCCGCAAAGATCTCGAGATTCGTCAGGTTGGGACAGTTCTTGCCGAGCGCGATGTAGACCTCGTCCGAGAGGCTGCAGGTGCCGGGGATCTTGATGGTCCTGAGGGCCGGGCACTTTTCCGCGAGGGCGACGAGGACGGGGTCGCGGAGTCCTTCGTTCCCGCTCATGATGAGTCCGCGGTCGGGGTCTTTGAAGGGCATCGTGATGTGCCACAGCTTCTTGCAGATGTCCGGGCATCTCAGGAGACGCGTGAGGTGACCACTGAGGTTGATTGTGAGCGAACGGATTGTTTCAATACGTCAAAACTGATCGTGGCGAGGATGCTAGTAACTCACGTCGTAAGCCGAAAATCCGGTCCGAATGAGATTGTCTTGGTAGACGAGCCGACCCGAGATTCGAATCTGTTAAAATAAGACACCTCATTCTCGAAATGGGCCTTTTTTTCGCCCTTTGCGCGCGCGGGCGCTCTGGCCCTCGACGGAGAGCCCTGACTCTGAGATGTCTCGGCCGCCGCTTTAGGTGTGGATTTCGCGGCACGCGAGAGAGCTTCGGTCCTGTCGACCGGGGCGAACCCGAAAGCTCCGAGGCCGCCGGCGCGCTTGGCCGGGGCAGACTTTGGAGTGCGGATCGGCGGCATTTTGGAGACGAATCGTTAGATGGACTGAAACAAGTGAATGACGATCCAAAAAAGCAGTCGACGTAATTATAAGAAAGAGAAAGACGGAAATCCCAAAGAGAGAGGGAACTACGTAGACCAGCCTTCATTGACCAGACAACCCATGCCCGCCGTCGCTTGTGTGCGGGACCGCCGTGATTAGAATTTAACGCGCGCCGCGGGCGCGACGATGCGAAATTCCACGTCGCATTGTTTGCTGCTAAATTAACTTCTACTGGCGATAGAATTTCTTTTTCTTCACAACGGCGAGGGTCGATTTCTCCCCCGCACGACCTTCCTTTCTCGGCATATGCGCTCATAACTTGTTTTCAAGCAAGCTTATGATTTGTTAACTGCTCTATGATAGCTTTGAAAGACATCATTGCCAAGGTGCCGTGTCAATTTGCCGAGGATGCGACAAAACGTTGGAAATTGCTCTCGACAAAGTGGCTTGACTTGGCCTTCATGTTCTCACTGTTGTCCTTCCAACGCTCGATACATCATACACGCAATCAATTCAAGATGTCATATTGGAAGAATGATCATTACATCTATCTACATCGCGATACATGTATAACAAAAGCAATAAAGAAGACGATGTAAGCGCTCAAATAGGGAGACCAGACTCAACACCCGTCTTGAGCACCTTGGCAAACTTCTTCACGTCCGTCGAGTTGTTGTAGAAGCCAAAAGACACCCGAACACCGAGTCTGTAAGGCGTCACGATTACCCCCTGCTCCTTGAAGAGATCCATCCATCTCTCATCGTGAAGATCGAGGATGTACAAATGCGGCGCATGCTCTTTCCGGTTGGTTGGTCCGACCACTTTGATCCCAAGTGCCCGACATTCTTCCCGCAACTCGTCGCCGAGTCGGTAGAGATGCTCCTGCACTCGTCTGGGACCCATGGAGTCGAGGTAGAACGTCAAGAACGCCTTGGCCGTCGCGGCGGCGATGAGACTGAGGTTCAGGTGCTCATACCGGCGGGTTGTGGGGTGGTACACCACGGGGTCGCTGGGAACCAAGAGGTCGGGGCGGATGTAACTGATGGCGCCCGCTCCGACGATGGCCGGGACGGGATCGATCTCCTTGATCACCGCCGAGTCGACGTAGAGAACTCCGAAGCCCGTGGGGTTGTTGAGGCCCTTGTGAAGACTGAAGGCCGCCGCAGAGACGCCCAAGGCCTTGACATCGGTCTCAGCAAAGCCGACCTGTTGCGTCAGGTCGGCGAGGACGTGGATGCCGCGAGGCCGGTATGTCTTGGAGATGTCTTCTACATCGTTCCACTGGCCGCTGTGGAACATGACGGAGCTGATGCCGATGGCGCGGGTCCGCTCGTCGACGTAAGGAGCGAAAGTCGCCGCGTTTGCTGCGGTCACCTTGCCGGTCTTCTCGGCCTCTGGGATGGTGGACACTTGTCTGACTTCGAGGCCAGCGCTACGCAGGGCCATCCAGCCGTAGACGTGGTTGGGGTGCTCCGAGTCGAGGACGACGACGTTGTCTCCGGCTTCGAACTTGAGGCCGCGGATGAATGAGTTCAGGCCTTCGGTGGTGTCGCGGGTGAAGGCAACTTCAGAGGCGTCGGCGTTGATGTAGCGGGCGACGAGGCCGCGGGTCTCCTCGACGGTGTTCTGCCATTGAGGCTTGGGGTGGTTGCTGTAGAGCGCTTCGGCAGAAAATTTGGTGATGGCGGCGTGAATGATCAGGTTTGAAGGAGGTTGGTAAGAGGCATTGAGATAGGTGATCTTGTCATCCGCCACGACGGGGACGATGGAACGGAAGGTGGAAAAGTCGCCTGCCGGAGATGTGCTGGGAGAGGACTTGGTCACAACCGGAACATCGTCCTTGTGGTCTTCGATAGCGCTTGGTGACATGGTGAAAGACTTAGATGGTTGTAGGAAGATGAGACGAAATTCAGAGATATTGGTGAAGTGTTGGAATATGCGCTTGTGTCATGAGGCTTTGTGCATCAAGTTGTTATCACGCGCGGGCTTTGCTTCACCTTTATGTTCTCAGGACCTCCTACATCGGCTTTCCGGATCCTATTTTCCTCGGAATGATGGAGATGAATCAAGTTCATGTGGGAATACCCCGCGCGAATTGTCGTGTCGTTGCGTATCATGTTCGGCGATGGAGGCTCAAGTCCGTCGTTAGTGCTGGCGAATCTTCCAAATGATATGCACGCGGCATATGAAGCTCCCCGGCCACGGAGTGCCCCGTTTGATGTGCGTTGATAGATCTTAGCAAATAAAAATTGGTTGTCCAGCCTATCAAGTCAGGTTGAATCCTACTTTTGCCGACTCGATCACATTGAAAGTGAAATCATCTCATGATTGTGACAGGGATATCCAGATCAGTTTGAGTCTAGAGAGCGGACTTCGACCTCCATTTGTGGGTCACAGGTTGATAAGCCCCTTTCCCCCGCAAGTTGGCGCGCACGATGCTCTGTTAGTCTCGTGGTGGTTATCTCTCCGGTGTGGACCGATTCTTCCCCGGATTTTGTCTTTATCTTGGTGGAGAATTGGTTGTCAACCCCATATCACTGAGCTGGTTGATGACTTGGGCAATGTGCTGAAGACCGAGATAAGTCGGATAGTAGTATAACGACCTACGTCCGCCAGTCTCCGTCCGCGCCAACTTATAAGAACCTGGGCATTGTTCTCCTCGATTCATCTTCTCCAGGTCCTACATTCTTTTTCCAAACTTCTTTACTGTTGAGAAGCAAATTCAATACGAGTCGTTTCAAGCTCTACCATGAGTACCGAGAACGTAGCCAAGTATGGCAAATCCGCCCAAGACGCCGGCATGCCCGACGACAACATAGAAGGAACTATGTCAAACGTCGTTGGCGCTTCAGCAGAGTCGGGCCAGCTCAAGAGAGAATTCAAAGAGCGACATGTGTCCATGATTGCCGTCGCCGGTGCCATCGGGACAGGACTCATCATTGGATCTGGTACTGGCCTCGTCAGGGGCGGACCCGCAAGTCTTCTCATCGCGTACACGATCATTGGAGCTGTGGTGTTCTTCATGATGACTGCGCTCGGAGAGATGGGGACTATGCTCCCGTCAGACAAAGGATTTGCTGGCTATGCCACTCGGTTCGTGGACCCCGCTCTCGGGTAGGTCGTCTTGCTTCCACAGATAGAAAACTTCAGCTCATCAAAGTCGTGCTCAGATATGCCACTGGTTGGAACTACTTCTTGAAGTACATAGTCGTTCTTCCGAATAACCTCACGGCAGCTGGGATCATCATACAGTATTGGCGACCTGATCTCAATGTTGCAATCTTCGTCACAACTTTCACAGTGGCCATCGTTGCCGTCAACGTAAGTTCCGACCCCTGGAACATCGAAGCCAGCTGCAGATGTTTTCCTGACAACTACTTCAACAGTTTCTTCACGTCTCTTTCTTCGGCGAAGCGGAATTCTGGATGTCGGCAGTCAAGCTCCTGGTCATCATCATGTTGATCCTCACCTGCTTCATCATATCCGTCGGCGGACAACCCTCCGGTGAAGTCATAGGCTTCAAGTACTGGCACGACCCGGGAGCTTTCGGATCTTATCTCGTCGAGGGACCGACAGGCCGGTTCCTGGGTTTCTGGGCGGCCATGGTCCAAGCCTGCTTCGCCTACACCGGCACCGAACTCGTCGGCGTTGCCTTTGGCGAAGCGCCGAACCCGCGGAAGACGATCCGCACAGCTGTGCGCCAGACCCTGTGGCGAATCGTCTTCTTTTACATCGTCGGAGCCCTCGTTCTCGGCATGTCGGTACCGTACACCAATGAAATGCTCATCGGCGGTACCAAGAAGGGCACCGGGGCTGCCGCGAGTCCCTTCGTGATTGCGGTGCAACTCGCCAAGATCCCCGTCTTCCCTCACATCGTCAACGCGAGTCTCCTCATCTTCGTCATCAGCGCGGCCAACTCGGACATCTACATCGGGTCCCGCACCCTCTTCGGTCTGGCTCGTGACGGGCAAGCCCCGGGGATCTTTGCCAAGACTACGGAGAATGGCGTCCCGGTGTGGGGTGTCGCGTTCACGAGTCTTTTTGCGTGCCTTGCGTACATGAACGCGGCGAAGAACTCTTCCACGGTGTTTACGTATCTCGTCAGCTTGGTCACCGTTTTCGGAACGTTGAACTGGGTCAGCATTCTGGTCAGCTATGTCCAGTTCACGAGGGGGATGAAGGCGCAGGGTATTTCCAGGGATATCATGCCTTACCGCGGACCCCTACAGCCGTACGGGTCGTACTTTTCTCTTCTCATCACGATGTGCATAGTCTTTTTCAATGGTAAGTGCATGTATCAGCAACAGCTGGGAAAGCGACTAACGAAGGCGATTCTATCAGGCTACAACGCATTCATCCCCAAATTCACGGTCTCCACGTTCATGACCTCGTACATTGGCATTGCCATCTATCTGGTAAACATCTTCAGCTATAAATTCTACGCAAAAACGAAGAAGGTCGGCCTCCGAGATATGGATTTGTGGACGAACAGACTGGAGGATGACGGCAGCAAATATCCCAGCACAATCGAGAAAACCGCTGCATGGCTTGTCAACTTGTCAAAAAGAGGATAGAATATTTTGTAGTTCACATCAATTGATTTTGATATTATTTTGGAATGATATAGCCGGTATAAATACGAAATCGCCGCCTCCGCAAAAGGGTATCCTTTGAACACAACATCCAGCAAGTGAAGTAATGCGAGAACTGTGGCCACCTCGTTGACAGAATCGTACTTTGAACGCCCTCCAGCCGATTTCATCTGCTGCTGCGGCTCGTCCTGTCAGGTACGGCTCGTTCCAATCAGACTTCCATTTCATGGTTCGTGGGCTACGCGGTAGTCTTCTCCCCCTTCACAACCACTCCATCAGAAGGAATCTCGCCGTCATCGGCACGCTCAAGTATCTCGCCCTTCTTGAGGCCAAGTTGGCGGGTGTCGTATCCGTTCTCCTCCAGATAGGCGCGGAACCGAGCGTCCTCAATGGCGATGGTGTCTTGACCGATGTGGGGGAGACAAAAGACAGCGAGAAGGGCGGACAAAATGCAGAGTGAAGACGACACCCAGAAGGGATACTGCGCAGAAGCCACTGCGTTATCGCCACCAGCGGCTTGGATGTATGGGAAGACTATGGTATCGTTAGCAAAGCTGATCTCGGCTGAGCAAGAAGATGGCACTTACCCCAAGTACCAACGAAAGCGCCGATTTTGCCAATTGCCGCGGCAATACCATAGTATTTGCCTGTTCGCCATTAGTAGCTCTTCAGAAAATGGGACATGAGATGCTCAGTGGTGCGTACCGCGAATACCCGTCGCACAAGTCTTTGCGGCCAGGAGACCGATGTTGTTGCCGGGTCCGAATTCGCCGAGAGCGAGGAAAACACCGTACACGACGACGAATCCACCGACCATGCCGGGCTGCGACAAGTTGAAGTAATCACCAGCCATGATGAAGCCGACGACTGCCTGAAGGGTGACACCAACGGCAAGAGCGTAGCGTGGACCGAGCCAGTCTGATGCAGGGGCTCCGAGCAAAGTACCGGGGAGGTAGAACAGGTTGATAACGGTGTTCCAGCCAAAGACAGTCGTGAGAGGTGCTGTTTCACCGTACAGATTGCTCAAGATAGTTGACGAGTAGATGCCGAAGGAGTAGGCAGAGAACTAAGATGGAATAGCGTCAGTTCAGCAGTTCGAAGGTCCAGCTTCTGTCAGGAACTCACGTCATAGATGAACCAGATCAAGCTCACGACGAACAAACGCCATCCATAGAAGCGGAGAGACAGCAGATAAGGGGTCTTGGCGTAACGCATCGAGTTCCGCTGGAAGTCCTCGGGTTCCTTGACGAAGATCCGTAGCACGAACAAGAAGATCGGGAACACCACGCCAATACCCAAGCTGGTGCGCCAGATGGTGCTGTAGTGACCATTGTGACAAGCGGCGGCGACGACGTACGGGACGAACGCGCCGATCACAAAACCGACGTCAATCGCAGAGTTGGTGAACAAGATGAACCAGGTGTTCCTCGAGCCGGCCTTGAGTTCTCCCGTGTTCTCAGCAGCGCCGACACTACCCGCCGGGTACTCGCCACCGATGCCGATGCCGACCTGCGACACTAATGTCAGACTAAACCTTCAGACAACTGGCGAGGGGGAAAGCCTACGAAAAAGCGCCACGCAGCCAGGATATTGAACATCCCAACGGCTTCGCCGCGGTAGTATGAGCCAGCTGCGAGTGCCGTGAAGACGACGAGGATGATGGTCGAGACGAGAAGGGAGTTCGTGCGCGACCAGTGGTCGGCGAGCCAGCCGAAGGCAAGCTGGCCGACGACGGTTCCCGCGAATGCGATGTCGCCGACGTACTTCTTCGCGTTGGAGTTCTTGTAGAGGTCACCGTACTGGAGTGCGAGGACCGTGGTGACGGAACCAATGACCTGAAGAGAGCGACGATGTCAGTATTCTGCCCTTCAATAGGAATGGTCCTATCTGCATGCGCGCATTTGATCGCACAGGGACAGTACTCACGTTGTTGATGTATCCATCGGAAAACAATCCGGCGCCACATGCGATGACGGGAATAATGGCTTCGCGAAACGGCTTACGGGGCGTCTCGGCGGCCTCCTGTTGCGTCGCGGCCTCGGACTCGGAGGTTTCCTTCTTCAGGAACCCCAACATGTTGTCGACGGCGACTCTATGATCGGGGAGCTTGGCAGTCGAGAAGGTTCTCCTGGCGCAGCTAGAAGCTCTCACGACCAACCGACAAGAAGCTGGTGTGGCAGGGACTGAATGGCGAGGTGCCTGGGTTGAGTGCGAGTCAGAGGGATACGCAACGCGCAGATTGAAGGAAGCGGGACCGAATTCCTTATATATCGGACGATCACAAGCTCATCGGGCGCAAACCTTCCAACAAGTCAATCTAAGACCATCTGAGCTACTCGCTGCGCGACGCTAGAGCCAACCTGCATTTCTTCCCCCACCAACAAGGTAGCAATCCGAAGGTGTTCCCCCGTCGAACGGGGCCGGCGCGGAGGACGGCCCTATGGGAAGCGGGAAACCCGAGCGTGCCCTGCTCCCGCTGCAACATTATCAATGGAGTCACCGAACGGCGGCTTACACACCGACACCATGGAGCGTACGAGTGGTCGGTTTCTGAAGGGAAGCTCCACAGCTGTTGGAATGATTGAGTCGTGTTGGTGCTGGTGATAAGCCCGGAAATGCGGCATGAGGGTGGACGGATTCAGTCTTGTCAAGCCAGGGGACTGTGATAGGATCAAGATTGGGTGTGGGTACACGTGTACTTCAGTAGAACAGCGGTATGTCCGTCACGTTGACATCTAGAGTGAACTTGACTTCTGCGCTGCTTCAGAGTAGTGTCTCATGGAAAAGAACACTTCTCCAATGACGGGTGCTCTTCTAGAGACGAATGACGTCCAGAGCTACCCCAGCAAGTAGGCTAAGCTTTTTAGCACTTTCTGGGCAAGGCGTGCCGCGCCGGGAGGCTCTTGGCAGCTTGTTAAGGTGGTGCGGGGAGACAACTCATTGAGGAGAAGGTAAACCAATTCTCATCAGCTCAACAGATTTTGGCATACTTTACTCGAATCTATACACCTGATTGGGTGTAGAGGAGTCCTGTTACGGTTTTCCCCTCCTTTGCGCCCGAGAATCTCATGTAAACACTTGTCATTGTCCTTACAGCTCAGTCACGCCTTCATTTGCCCAAACCAGTGAGTACTTAGCTGAAGACGCACAAGAGCTGCACCTAAGACCCTGCAGGATCGGCAGGGACGGCACTCAATCTTCGCCTCAACTGCGCCTACGAAGCCAATGACAAAGGCCGTAGACTTCACAACGTGAGGGATGGATCTTCATCTGGTCCGATGGCCTGGTTCATCCACGTAGCTTGTGGAGCAGGTGAACTGCGCTAGGTTGGCGGGAAGCGCCATCCGGCGGGAGGTCAGGGGAATTGCGCGGATAGGGTGTTTGAATGAAAGCACGTGGGAAATACATGTAGAAACAAGGTGATTTCCGTGATTTTACGTGTTCCGGACCGCGTTGATCGCGGCCAATGGGCGTCCTTACATAGCCCACGTGCCCGACCCGTCCGGGCGCCGGGTCCGGACCGGAGTGGGTCTGGTCGGATGTCGGCCACCAGACTGTGAACTTCGGTCTCCTCGTATTGAAAGGCGCTTCACCTTGAAATTCAGCTGACCAGTTAGGTCGTTATAAGTTACTTTCATGTCAGAGCCGAAATGTATTGAAAGATCACTCGCTGTGTCACGAATTCTGTAGAGCCATGATATGTTTTCTAATTTATTTTATTTCCAGCTATCTTGCAAGCTACCCCCTACAAACAGCACCGGTATAGACAATGGTGTGGTAAATACATGATACATAGAAGAGAAAAGACACTCACTCAATCACCAAACAATCTCACTCCCAAACTTCCATCCAGTCAGTCTCTAACCCAGCTTAGGCGGGGTAGACACGGATAGGAGTCGTGATGGGCTCAGCGGGCTGGAGACCGATGGGAACCTCGTAGCCCTTAGGGGGGTGGAAGGCATCGGGAAGCTCGATGATGTCGCGGTAGTAGTCAGGGAGGCTGGATCCGGCCCAGAGACGAGCAATGGCGGGAAGGATGGTGCGGTAGCCGCCACCGAGGATGTTCAGGTTGGGGGCGACGTAGAGGTGGGAGGTGTTCTCGGCGCTGCTGAAGACACCGCCGTAGCTCTGGTTCCAGTAGTAGTTGGCGAAGCTGTCACCGGCAATCTTGGTGCTCCACTCGCGGATCTTGTCGCCGGTCTTGGATCCGACAAAGTTCCAGACGTTGGCACCGACGTCCCAGCGACCGAGAGTGTGGAGGCCCCAGTTGGCCTGGACGGAAGACAGCTCGCTGTAGTGGTTGTAGAAGGCGTCGTCCTTGGTGCCGACCAGGTCCTTGGGGACGGCGGAGCCCAGGAGGATACCGGCGACGTGGTTGCGCTCAAGGGGGTACTGGCCGTTGGCCTGCCAGGTGATGTAGATGAGAGTCTTGCCGTCGTTGAACTTGGGGTCCGAAAGAAGGGGTTCGACAAAGTTGCGGGTCCAGTCGCACGAGACGCTGATGTTGGTGTCGTGGCCGTTGTTGTACAGGTTGGGGGTGACGAAGAGCCACTGGGGGAGGCTGTCGTTCTCGAGGTCATCGTAGAAGAGAGTCAGGTTCTTGACCTTGGCCAGGCGGTCCTCGTTGAGAGTGACCGAGTCGAAGCGGACGAGCAGGTTATGCTTGCGGGCGTAGTTGCCCTCCTCGGGGTTGTCATACTCGAAGCCCTCGAAGCCGGTGTAAGGAAGGCCCTCGTTGTAGTCACCCCAGCTAATGCCCTTGTCCTCAAGGAGATCGACGATGGTAGAGACGTTGCGGTCGACCAAGAGGAAAGAGTCACTGTTGGTGCCGAAATCGTCACCGCTGGCCGGGGCAACATAGTTAGGCTGGCTGGGAGTGCCAATGCCGTACATGTTGGTAAGCAAGATACCCTGGTTGATGAGGGCCTGGCAATTGGGGTCGGCAATGGAGTTGTTGTAGGCAGTGGTCTCGAGGTACACCTGCATGATGCGGTTGAAGACCTTGCCCTCAACGTTGGAGGTAGGAGACTCGGTCTTGGCAGTGGCGGCCGCAGCGGCGACGTCGGCGCTGGCGGTCGAGGTGTACTGGATGTCGGCCGCGGTGTTGACGGGAGTGGCCGAAGCACTGGTGGCGGTCACCGAGTACCAGCCACCACCGTGGCCGTTGCCGTTGCCGTGGTCCTTTCCATGGCCCCAGTCACCGCCGTTGCCATTGCCGTGGCCGTGGCCTCCCTTACCCCAGTCGTTGCCGTTGTCGTTGTCGTGGTCCTTGTGGTTTCCCTTTCCGTGGTCGTACCCGTGGTCGTTATCGTGAGCGTCGCCCTTGGAAGCGCCGCCGCAGGAAGTGGGAACGGCTGCCGCGAAGCTGGCGGCAGCCAGGACAGCAAGCATGCGAACCATCTTGAGATGTTGTACTTGTGCTGTAAAAGAGAGTGTTGGTTGATTGCAAGTGAGAGTGTGAGTGAGTGAGTGTAAGAGAGAGAGTGCCAGATGCTGATGAGGATGAGGAAAAGAAAACGTATTGAAGCTGAAGATTACCCTCACTTTTATAACAACTTGAGAAGCGTCGAACCGTTTGTTTATTCCTCAAAAAGGACAACGATGCAGTCCGTGGTTGTCTAAACAACTATGTGTACGCAAAGCTGCTCAAGCAAAGTCATGCATGGCTTGAAGCCGTGCAGCGATAACACTCCTCCCATCTACTCGCATAGCAATTGCGCTGAACGCCATGCCTGCAACTTCCTTGTCGAGCGTCGTGAACTTGCAGAATTCGAAATGAGTGGCTTGAATGTAGTTCACATTGAACAAGCTTGACCACATGAACACTTCGAGTAGGGCTGGAATGATAGCTTCTTGCAAAAACCCTGGACCCTTGGATTGTTGAGCCCGAGCTTTTCCGGGGTAACCGGGCTCCCGAGGTAGCATGGACGCTTGCTTGGGCGATCGAGGAACGCCAACGTCAAAGTGCACCAGATCTCGTCCAGTCTGAGATTATCGAGCGCAAGCGCCCGAAGCCTGTTTTCTCGGGGCGTTCCTTGTTGCGTGCTAGTGCCTGGGCTGCGTTGTCTAAGATACAAGTAGGAGTTGGAGCTTCGGAGATCTTCAACGCCACAAGTGGATTTCAGGTAACGCCTCAAGCTTTGCTTCTTGTTCTCGAACATGTTCAGGTATGAATACCTAATTAATTTGTATGCAAGGTGAAGAAGTACCTAGCTCATAAACTCTTTCAATCTATACTACCAGCTGAAGGACTCAACAACAAGCCTAACCTTCGACCCTGTGCCTTTGCGTGAGATGTCCAAAACAACACTCCTCACTTCGTCGATCAGCCCTTCCGGTCCGGAAACAAGCACACACGTTTCAGTTCTGGCTCCGACGAGTTCTCTGTCAAGGCAATCCCGAACAGACATTCTTTCTCCCACAAACACCTCCTTCTCGACCCTGGACAGAGCATTGAGGCGCTCAACATCGTCAACGAGCGCTTGTGTTCGACATCCCCAAAATAGCTTAGTTCGACCAGTATGCATCGAGAGATAGGGCAAAACAGCCGTGATTCCCACCCCGCCAGCGACTGCCACTAGAACAGGGGACTTGAGCGGCGACTCGGTCAAAGGGGAGTGAGAAGGGTAGCCGGACTCCACAAGGACAGGCACCAAGCTTCGACTGGCCAGAGCGGAAGTGAGGCCTGTTTGAATTCGGACGTAAAATGTGATGCCAGTTGAAGCTTGCCCATGCCACGCGCGGGGACCATCGGAGGGCTGGCTGCTGATGGGTGATGCCGTTGTTGTAGCAGAGGTTGTAATTCCACCGTGCTTCTCCAGGTCATTTGCGAAACCACATGTATTTTGAGCTTGTTGAAGAGCAGGATGAATGATGCTAGAAGCAACTGAGAAAGGGTGATTCTCCCAGATGCGCCAGGTAAGAGTTGGGAAGTAGAGGTAGGCGACTCCTATTGCCGATACATCCGGGATGGTAACGCGAACGTAGTCAGAGTCGATGCTCGTAATGGTTGCCTCTTTCACTCCGTATTGCGCGAGTCTTGCGACCCGAAAAACGCGATCAAGCCCCCAGACAGCCATACACATAATAATCCAAACCTCGTAACCCCACTGATGGCTGAATTCGAACACAATGTGCCAGTAGCAGCCTGCAATGACCAAGACCGCGATGGCAACATGCCAAGCCAGGAAGGCTTCGTATATCTTCCTGCGTATGGGGATGACCGACGTGGGGAACATGATGACCAAGCCAACGGTAGCGATGATTCCCCAGTACCAGAACGATTTCTGAGACTCTGAAGCGTGTGTTCCATTCTTGACGTAGACGTCCAAGTAAATAATGCTATGCAATATTGCTTGGAGAGTTGCTATTGCGGCAATCCATCGATGAAGAAGTATAAAGGTCGAGTGCGACCAGTTCGTTATCCACAGAAGGATGTTGTTCCGGCCGGCGTACAGAAAAACCAGTGGCAGGTTGGCGAAACTGAGTAACCCAAGGCGGTTGGAAACCAGCATGCACATCCAGCGCCATTTGTCGCCGGGATACCAGGTGTTGGGGTCGGCGTATTCGTAGTTGACTGCCGATAGAACTGTGTTGATGATGATGAAGTACGAGATGAACATTGCTTGTCCGCGCTTGGGCATGAAAACGAGGCCGAACAGTACTGGCGTGTCGTGATGCTTCCCAAACAATGGAGGTTCGATTATCCAGGCATTGAAGAAGTAGCGCCATGCCGTAGGAAATGGGAAGAATCGGAGAAGGGATAAACTGATTGGTATGACGACCCCTGACAGGAGGATGATGAGACTGTTTATTGTCAGAGGCCAGAATTATTCGTACTCAGTAATTGTCTTTATGCTTACCCGTATCCTTCCTGCATACTCTCCTGGTCCTCAAAGATTGTGTCGGTATTATAAGCCGCGTACCAGAGATCATCGGAAATCCGGCTCGTCTGGTTCAGCGGTCCAGTACTAGCATAGAGAGCGTCCGGTGTGCTATTGACTCTCATCAAAGCTTGCTGATAGGATTCCTTCGGGTCCGGCTGGACAGCGGCGGTACCGGCGACGTTGTCTTGCCAGTACTTCTCGAGTCTCCAAGACGGGATGCTTTGGCATTTGATCGAGACGCACCATGCGAGCGTCTGAAGAAAAGCGTCGTCCGTAGCGTAACAGCTGGCATCGGTCATCACCATGCCGGCGTCCATGCCAGCCATACCACCCATGTCGGCAGCTCCGGCGGTGGAGCACTTGAGTGTTGCCCCGGATATGGCGTCCCGGCACGCAAACGCGCAGGCGGGTTTGAACATTTGTATGCCATAGCCGACTAATCCGTGTCCTGTCCTGCCCCCAGCATCAGCTAGAACACCACTGACCGTGATGGCGAGAAGGAAAGCTCGATGCAGCTTCATGGTTGAATGAGACTGATGAAAGTATTGGTAGCACGGAAGCTTGGCACAGAGTGTCTTGTGAAATGCCTGTATCGCGGTATTGATAACCCATGTAACTGCCATCAGTCTGCCAATTATATACACGCAATATCAAATTAGGGAAACCCCCTCAGAGAAGGTTGTGGTATGCGCGAGATTTTAGGTTGTCATTGGTCCAGCTCTAGTGAGTTTGTGGCAGAATAATGTGCTCAGGAAACCACCTCAAACCAGCTCATTCCACGCCATCGCCTCTTTGATTAACATTCTGGATGCTAGGTACAATCTGATTGGCTCGATGTGTCTTAACGGAAATGGGCAACCCATGGCCGACGGGCAGAAAAGAAATATTTGCTACAAATACAGCATGACGGGAGATGAAGATCTCGTCACGTGCGATCTCTCATATCAGATTGGACATACGTATGTATCTTCGCTTACTCGGAAAGATCTAGTCATTCTTCACCAAGGTCGGTCACCGCTAGATTTGTATCTACACACAAGCCAGACTTGCGTCTTGAAAGACGCGTGGAAAGAATATTAACCAACAACGGGACAAACGCTAGGCTGCCAAGTTCAATCTGAATTTCCGAGAAACACGTATCGTCGCTATGAACTAAACGCAACGATCGATAAACTTGACGACTTTTTGTCCTGTCCGGCTGAGTTCAAAGCCGGACATTCCATCAAGAAACGTTATCTGAAACTTGTGTTCGTTGGGCTCGTATACGTAGAAGAACTCTTTCAGACGTTTGACAACCAAGGCCTCGCTCCCACGATTACCACGGAGTACGCGCAGCTCAAGCGCTACCTCTTTCGACGGCTGCATGGTGGATAGAATGACCTGCCACTGTAGTACACCAAGAGCTGGGTCGGCCATGACGACGCTCAATTTGTCGAACTCAACGTCATCTGCATCCCACATGAAGCTGAAACGCTGATCGCGACCTTGCAGTCGTAGAACACGCATGTAACGACGATGTTCCTCTGGGATTCGTGACTGAGCTTCTGGTGATAATGAGTGAAGAGATCCGACATCGCCAGTGAGATAGCGGACAACAGGGTTTCGTAGTCGTGTAAGGGACGTCTGGGCGATCATGCCAGCTGCGCCTTCGGGCAGCGTGTTGGGAACGGGGTCACCCTCTTTGTGTGAGAGTGGGAGAATCTCAATGATGATCATGCGTGTGTCGAAAACAAAGTCTGTGTGATTCAAATGAGAGTTTTCGTCGTTTGATGTGAGGTCGGGATTGTTTACTCCATACGGCCCGGCTTCTGCACTACCGAGAACGGAGCAGATCTTCACCGGACCTAGTATCGTGTTGATGTAAGACCTCTGAGTCGCTGTGAGACCCTCAGATGTGTAGATGATTTTGTTGAGATGGATCCCTTCCCTTTCGGTGGAAGACATCATCGATATGTGGTGGACGACCGACATAACTTGACTCCCATCACCGCTCAGCACATTGGCGTTGAAATCTCGTAGCATTTCGGCAACTTTTGAAGGGTGTAGGTGGTTACCAGCCGCAAGAACGGAGGCGCCGGCGTTTTCCATAGTTTCACAAGTCAAATCTAGAGATCTGAATCATCATACGAATCTCGTCAGCAGAACAGTCCCACTCACTGGCATGGTTCACTCACCTGTAGAGGTTACCCGCGCAGTGTGTTGTCAAAACCCAGTCCCCGCGCTCGATCACGCCGAGGGCTTGTAGAAACAGACCGAAATAAGCTCTGTGTCGACGATTCTCGATCGCGTCTGTAGCAAAGAATAAAGGTTTTGACGTAGTGCTTCCACCACCAGTGACACTTGTGTAGACATTGTGACGGTAAGTGTTCTGAGGCCTGATGTCGTTTACCAGTCTGTTGATAACGGTGTATCTGATAAACGGTCAGTTAATAGCTCCAGAACCCTTTGTGGCAGATTCACTCACAAATCGCTCTTTTTCAGGAGAGGTTGACGGCTTAGGTCTCCTTTTGTGATTGGCGATGCGGGCTGGCGTTTGATAGCCTCAATGACTCCTTCATCAGGCGGGTACTGAACGTCGGAGTAGAACGGATGAACCTTGGCAACCGACAGCACTTGGTCTAGTGAGAATGCCATGTCTTCGGAGATCGAAGGTGGGAGAGGATCCTGGGTGGGCGATTGGAATTTCTTTTCCACGTCAACCTCGGGCTTAACTTGGGACGTCGATGAAAATATCCGGCGGTTGTCGGAGAAGTAGATGGGCTGGGGGCTGAGGTTAGAAGATTGCAGCATCGTGAAAGCTGACGGTCGCTTCTGGGGGAAACGAAAGTGGTCTAAAATCGGGGGTTGATGCCACAGGCACCTGAGCTGGCATGCTGGTTTTGGGGAATTATAGATGATTTGATCAATGGATACAGAAGGATGGTGTCAGTGACAAGACAACTATTGCGCAGGCTTCAATCACTGTCAGATGAAGACGGAGTCTTCTCCGAAATCACTGAGGTCCGCAGTGTCTCGCCTGGTGAATTCGGCATGGAATGCATACATATGTCTGTGGAAAATGACTGCCTTTTCATTGTGGAGTCCCGGTTGCCCACATTCACCGGCCAACCGTGTCAAATCGAGAACTGTTCAAGCTTATTAAGGTTTTTCATTATCCGAAAACATCGGTTTGATTCCATTGTGTCTCGAGGGTGGCGTTCGGTTGTCCCGACCCGTCCAAGCCGTCAAGAGTTACCCGCTTGCAATGTCTCATCAAATTTGTGTCTCAACGCATGGGGCTGTTTGTGAGTTCTACTAAATCATATGGCACTGCAGGCACATAGTAGACACAATGAGGATAGTATCCATGCCTTGCAGTCTCAGAAAGATCACGCTTCCAGTTTAGATTTGGACGGCGTTGTAGGTGAAGGGGCAAGAAGGACCTCATGAGGGCTGATATGAGCCGAACAGCGTTTAACACGCTTATTCAGAGGTAAAATAGGAATTTCAAAATACTCTCTCTTGATTTTTGCTATGAAGTCGCACACTACTGCGATGTTGCAATACTATCATGCTGAGTGACATCGCCGAACGATCTGGCATCCCACCTTACACGACGCAGATGACGTTCCGGATCACGGATGTGGTTCCGAGCGTGCAACCAACGGCGGTTATCCATGAGAACGATGGATCCCTTCGGTAAATCAACTGGGCTGAGATGTACCGCCGCACCTAAATTAACATCCTCTCTCCCAAGAGCCTCCTTTAGCTCCTCCAGCGCCACGGCCGCATCCTCCGTCATTGGCGTCAAGATGTCCTCTCTGAAACGCATGATGGGTGACTGTCCGTTGAAGCTATCGGCCATTACTGGTCCGACTATGTGAGTCTGAGTCGGATCTTTGATAAACTCGGCCGGCGTGAGAATTCGGTATGCTGGTAATTTCAAGGTGGCCCTGGTTCGAGGGGAGAGAAACTGGCTGAGTTTCGAGACATTCATGGCGGACAAGGTACCGCCTCCAAACCGATCATGCTGAAGCACCTGAAGAGCGAAATATCTCGGAGGAAGATGCTCGTAGCTACAGTCGGTGTGCCAAGGAAAGTCGTTCATGGTTTCCGACCTGGCCTGGTGCTTCTCGGTCTGGAAGCTGATGCTGTTGGGGCGGACATCCCAGAACCACCCTCGAGTGGCGCTATGTGAAATGGGAAGTTCATGATTGTGATGCTTGTGAAGAGTTTGAAGAAGAGTTATGAGATACTCGCTGCGGTCGTCCTGAAACTCCAACCCGATTTTGAGCAGACCGACTCGCTCTAGATTTGTTGACACCAGGTGAACATGTTCGAGATCATGTGCCTGGCTTGGACTCTGAGCCTGGATGTGAGGCAGATGAACAGCTGCTGTCTTTTTCAAAGTATTTGAGGGGCGAGGGGGGTTGATGGGGACGAAATTGGAGCCTAGACAAGCTCTAAGAGCTCGATTGTGGAATGTCGCGATGTTGCGAAAGGTAAAGGCGAACGCGCGCATAGTGAATACTTGACTGAAATTATTGAGCATAGAAGGGAAGTTTCGAGAACAGAGAAAGAAATGAACAGCCCCAAAGAATTAGCATCGCTAGTATAAAAAGGAACGGAAGGAGTGATTCATGGGTGACGGGACCTAGCTTGAAACAGAGATTTTGTGTGTGCCTGACAGGACGCCGAAACGGCTGATTCACCATCAACATCTTCCCAAGTACGGAAGAACAGTCTCATATTGAAGACTTACTGCCTGATTTAGCTCATGGTGAAGATTCCAGCCGTTGCCGTCTCGAGCAAGACACTCTAAAGTGAGTCAGTCTCTCAATGGTACGTCGCAATATCACTTCGCCTGGTAATACAATGTAGCGACCCTTGGCCTTTCCCTCTTGACTTATTCGAAATCTCGCAATAACCAGCAATAGCACATGCTTCATGATACGTCCAGAAAACATGAAACTCTGTTCTGATTAGCTTTCAGCCATCCGAAGTGGCGCTGAATGGCCTCACCGATCCAGGTCGAGTCGTTGAGACCTCAATGTCAATATCAAGTACGTCACTAACATCATACAGCTAGGTATGCCAATGAATTCGGAACCGCACGCATCAGTGACCGCATGCAGCAAGAAGTCATGAAAATCCGACAAGAGATGAAACTTACGCTATATATAACTAATGCGTTGTTTCTATCCATTCCTAAACGTTGAAATCTTTCTCCAATCCCACCAATATCACAATGGATGGTCAACAGCTCGTACAAGTATGCTTAGGCTCCGCGCCAGGAATATTCGCTTCGGCAACAAGCCAGAATCTCAGCCCTAGTTTCCTCGGCAACGAGGAGATCAAGTTTCGAAACAAGCTTCTCAATCTGTGTCCAGAAAATTTATGGCACAATGGGTCATATGCCGCCGGATGTCCTCGGCCAATTCTCGTTGGCAACCACCACCTACAACAGATGCAAGATCTACATGAGGCCCTGACTATTGCCATCATTGATATCGTTCAGCGTTGGTGGATCGACACGCAGGCTCAGTTCCCGCAGCGCATGCCTCTGCAGCCAGAGGAGGAAGAATTATTAATAGTAAGCCATTTTGCTCCCCTCCGAGTGAGTTCGTGGGTAATTATTCTGACCTGTCGCAGTGGATAGAAAGCCAAGTAAAAATTGGCATTCTTCCAGATTTCGCCAAACGCCTGGGATCTTGGCGGCCGGATTTCTTGGTTGAAGAAGACGATAACCATGAGGAAAGTTTCAGGATCACGGAAATCAACGCGCGATTTTCTTTCAATGGATTCATACATGAGGCCTACGGTCAAGAGGCCACAAACCAAAGCCTGAAGGGACACGAAGATGAATTGGTTGGAGCTACGGATCCGAGTATGGTACTGGAACTTTCCCTCACATCTTGCATCGAACCTTTCTCCCTAACTCTCCGAGTAGATTTTGGACGGGCTGTTCAACCTTTTTCGCAGAGAACACCCCCTACATCTTCTCAAAGGCGAAGAGAACGGGATTGATATCCACATGTTCGTGGACGTCGTCCGGAGACGCTTCGGTGTTACGCCTCGTTTGATCACGCCAGCCGATCTGAGGCTCCTTTCTGATGCCAGTAGTAGAACTGGATACCGCCTCTGCTGCGTCGCCGAGAAGGGTGCTCCAACAGGTTTCGAAGCGGCGAACGGGGAAATCTGGGAGGAAATTCACCAGGTCGGCCTCGAACTGCATCAGCGGGAGCTAGCTGCCATGGAACGTCAGATGTTGCGGGAGGTTAGCCTCCGATGCTTCAATGACATGCGCACTATACTTCTGGTTCATGACAAAAGAATGTTGGGCATCGTCAAACAGGAGATACCGCACTTGGTTGCTAGCGAGGTCCTAACACCAGCGCAAGGCAAGGCTCTCGACAGGGGCATCGTGGACACAATTCTACCGGGCTCGCAACAGCTGAGAGGCCTTATTCAGACATCAATATCGGACCCTAGGCTGAGATTCAGTTACATTCTCAAGCCGATTCGCAGTGGGAAGGGTGATGGTATTGTGTTTGGCGAGGATCTCCGGGAAGATGAATGGACATCTGCCCTGCGCAAACTCATTTCCCCAGAAGTTGTGCCAGGGGTCACTTGCGTTGCCCAACGCCGAGTAATCCCGCGTGAGTACGACCTCGTGCTGAAAGGCACAGATGGAAATGTTCGTTATCCTCTTGTTGGCACCTACCACGTCGTGAACGGTCAATTGCTTGGTTTGGGTACATGGCGAGCCAGCGGAGGTAGAATTGTTGCGGTTTCATCGGGGGGTTCTTGGATCTGTTCGGTCACTAGGAGTCAATGAAAGATCTCGCTTACTGAGGTTTGATACTGCAAAGAATTTAAGCTAATGATATCTCTTTCCACACGGGGCCGGGCTGGAAGCTGTGATCGATGTACGATAATGACAAGTGTCCCAGTCCCCGTCGTTGCGTGAACATAGCGTCTTTCTTCAGCAGCATAACGTTGTAAAACACAGTATTATCGTCTGACGCTTCATCTTCCGTATATTCCGACAGCAGTATCACCTCGGAAGGGCTTCCTGAGTTATTAAAATCCATAGACTCTAATCCATCAACCCTCAGACTGCCGAACTCGAGGCCGTTTTCTCCATAGAACGTGCAATCTCCACCGAAGGTATCCAAAACCTTTATGCGGTAGTAGACTGCAAGTGTCCAGAATCGAAGTAGCGGGTAGTTCATGGTAGTGGCGTTCACTTCTTGTTCTGGAATTCGCCTGCTAGTATCAATATTGTAACGACAGCAGAACCTGGCCATTTTGTCATCGTCGGTTGAACTGGCGACGGAAGCGTATCTCAAGTATCGCCCATCTGATCTGATGTGATTTGGTAACTGTTCTGTTTCCCCGGAGGCTGTTGTCACATGCCACAAGATCCAAAGGCGCGTCGAAGACCAGCTGCTGAACATGTTGTCGTATTCGAAGGTGACCTGTCCTTCCCATCCAGCCCATGACCAACTGGGAAAGGCCGTTCTGCGTCTCAGAAAGCCGCCTCCTGTCGCACTTCTGAACAATAGAAACAGGGCCAATGCACCTGAAGGCATTCCCTGTATCATCTCTTGGCCCATTTTCTCTCCTACTCGCCGAATGATGCCGGCCAGAGCTCGCATTACGTCTTGTGAATTTGTGAATGACCTTGCTGTGTAGCTTTCCAGTATGTGAGAGTAATCTCGGCGTGGGTCCGCCAAATGGAGTGCTTGCTTCAACGCTCTTGGTTGATGCCAACTATCAGCTTCAACGTTGGCTATCGAGTGGACCTCCCGATCAAAGCACCGCTCGGAGACGTCGATCCGTTGACAGCGGAAGAAGATCTCGTTCTGGAAGAAAAACAAGGCTCGGCGACTGAGCACTTGTTCCTGGAACCTGTGCGCGTTTTCTTCAGTTTTCGAGGGTCCTGAATTCGCGTTCAACTATGGGTCACTTACGTCCAACCCCTTGTTTGATAGACTGTTGAATCAAGCATCCCATCCAGCTCCATGAAGACACGCATATGAATGTTCTTTCTGACGTCAATGGACTCCGTCCGCATTCGACTGTTCTTTGCAATACCGGGAAGACCTGCATTCGCATTGTGTCCGTAGGCAGCAACCACGGTCAAATGCGCCCTCTCGTAAATATTGTCCATCACGTTGATGCCCCGACGAAGATCGTCCTCGTCGTCCTGGATAAGACAAAGAGCATCAACCCAGACGTATCGGATTTGGAGTTTCTGCGCCAGTAGGATTGTGTCGGTAATGGTCTTCGGCAGACGTGACCAGGCAGCCTTTATCCCATTTATCCTCAGCATTTGCTCTAGGTTAGACGTGGCCAAGCGAACGCTTGCAACACCGCCCCAGACGTAACTGAGAGCCACGTATCGGCGGACATCTTGGACTCTCACGAGACAATATGACTCCACGTCAATGAGTCGCAGGACTTCTAAACCCGGATATGCATCAGAAAATTGTTTCGGAGTGTAACCATCGCCACAGTGAACGGTGTGCGTCGCTTCACATGAGGAGATCCATTGACCAATCCTGTGATAATCCAGGTCGGGAGAAATCGATGATCGGAGGAAGCCGTCGTCATCTCCTCCGTCCGTGGTCTGAGTTTCGTCTCCCGCGAAGTATATGATGCATTTTCGGACGCCGTAGACGTAGAAAGCCCCTCGTTTGCCCGGTCCCAAGTCGTTGGACCAAACGACATTTACTGGGTCCAATCGACTAGTAGCTACTCCATCTTCCGGGTTTGCGATGTAGTCCTGGTGGATAGCCTGGGTGACGAGTCGACAGAAGGGGCATTTGCTGTTGATGACCCGGTCCAAATGTCCAAGACCGAACCAAGAAGCCGCAGCATCGTCCTTTCTGGATCGGAGTTCTGCAGAGTTGAGTGGGATGACTTCGCAATACTCGCAGAGCGATTGCATGGTGACAGAATTGCGAGGATGTGTCGCGCGGTTGTTCAGCCCAACATTGCGGTCGGCAATGACGTCGCAGTTGCTGAGGGGAACTCATGAAATTCTCGCATTACTCATTCTCGCACCCTAGGTCCACTATCGACCACTAGTAATAGGCGCTCGATGGAGTGAGACACATTACTTGGCAAGAGAGCGTCGATCATCCGCGGCTGTTGAAGTTGGGATCTTGCAGTTCAACATCATTATCTGAAGCATTTGTGCATCAGTTTTGATCAGAGTTGATGAGAAATTCGAGATGGACGTGGTTACGGGATCATGGAAATCAGCTCCGTCGCAACCGGCACCGAAAAAAGCTCCGGCCCGTTGCGGATCCCCAAAGCAATCCGATCATCAGACGATACGAACAGCCAATGAGGTCTGAACAAGTTCAATACTTGTCTCCAGTTTCGTAGCATTGTGTTTGGGCACCTCTTTGGCCTTTCCTGACAACTCCGCGGCTGAAGAGAGGCACGAAAAGTCTTCACATTTAGTGGCAGCCTGAGCCACGAAGTAATTGCATTCTGAGCCAAATACGAACAAACAAATGCAATACGCCGCGCAATACAATGCAGCCACCCTTATAATCTGGTCATAGATATCTCGCCATACCCAACGAGGAGCCAAATACGAAGAGTCCGTGACATACCATTCAAGCATACTTTCGATCAGTTTGTGTTCTCTCAGGTTACACTCAGCATCGGGCCATGGGGATACCCACAGAGTTAGTCGGAAGTCTTCCGCGACCAGAGGCTTTACAACAAGCCTATGCAGACTACGACGCTGGCAAAATTTTGAAGGGCCAGTTGGAGAAGGCACAGGATGCAGCCGTCAAAGACTCAATCAATCGACTGAAAGATACCGGCGAGACATTCGTCAATGACGGCGAGCAGCGCGCCAGCTCGTTCGCGACGTATTCAATCACCGATACCCTAAGCGGAACGGGTCTGGCGGACGGCCTGGCAGGTGACGGACAGGTCTTTGCCTATTTCGACGACGGACATCAGCGACAACTACCTCGACTCACGAAAGGTCCGTTCAGGTATCAGACCTATGCGTTCGAAAACTTCAAGAAGTCGCAGGCGCTGGCGGAGGGCCATGCCATGAAGACTGCGGTCATCTCGCCGAGCATGTTGTACCTGCTGTATCCTCTCAAGGGCGACCTTGAAGGGTACAACAGGCTGCAGTTTGTGCATGATCTGGTCCGGGAATGTGAGAAGGATATTAGGGGATGCTTCGCAGCGGGTGCGAAGAGGGTTTCGATTGACTTCACTGAAGGACGTACGTGCTTGAGTTGATGACATCATGAAGCATTCAGAGCTGACTCTGCCTTAGGATTGACCAACAAGAAGGACCCCAGAAACCCCTGGACGAATGAAGACTTGCTTCAAACATTCGTGGATATCATCAACACCGTCCTCGACCGCTTCACCCCTGAGGAGAGGAAGAATATTGGTCTTCACACATGTCCCGGCGGTGACTATGACTCTGTGCACTCGGCTGAAGTTCCGTATCATACACTTCTTCCGTCGTTGTTCAAGATCAACGCAGGTTAGTCGATGCCTCTTTTGAAATACATGTATTCATCTGATAATCTGACCATTGCCTAGGATATTTCTTGATTCAACTGTCTTCGGAAAAGGACAAGATCACCGTGTACAAGGAGATCGGGGAACACATCCGCAAAGACGGAAATGGAGTCAAGCAAGTTGCTTTCATCGGCGTCACGAACCCTCTTGACCCGAGAGTCGAGAACCCCGAAGAAATTGCGAATGATCTGTGCGAAGCGGCAAAGTACATCCCTATCGATCAACTCGGCGCGACGGATGACTGCGGTTTCAGCCCTTTCAGCATTGACAGTAAGCCCAAGTACGTCAAAGGTCCGGACTTTGCGAGGGATATTGCGTTCCAGAAGATTTCGAATCGGGTCAAGGGCGCCAAGATTGCCTCTGAAAAGCTGGGTGTTTGAAGTTGACGGAGTACAAGTAGACTGAGGAGTGTCTAAGTACAACGGTCTATCTTTCTTGCATAACAGACTCAAAAGTACGGTGCGCTCTCTGATGCTTGTGTTGGATAAACATTGTGATGGTGGACTGTGTCTCGTACATTTGTTAGACAACATTGTATCACTGCATCAAAAATGGCATGAGGCGAGGGAGGCGACGTGGCCAAGGGAAGAGTAGACGCTTTCTGCAGAACTTCATGGACCGTCCTCGACGTTTTTGTCTCCAAATGATGATAAAGAACAGCCTAGGGCGCTGAAGTCAGTGAAAGTTCTTACATAGCCAACGTTGAGACGATGCATCACCAAAAGCATTTTCAACGTCCCTTTCTGCCATCGAAGTATTGCTCACGAATAGACATGGATTATACCAGCAATATCGGAAGCTGGACCAATCATCAGATAGTTGGATGCCAAGGCTACGTTTAGCTGAACAACTTCGCTCACCTGAAGGCTATATGCCGCAGAAAAGAAGCCAGTTGTTCCGGATCTGGTCATTCAAATCAATTGGAGGGTGAAGGAAATGACGTTGAAATTTCGTAACTTCAGTGTCATATCGGACTAGAAATAGGAAGAAATCCAACCAAGGAAGTCAATGTACGGCCGCGCACGCTCAGCCCAATGGGACGCGAAAGTATATAAAGCTTAGTTGTGCTCGTATCTGCTCTCGATTTGACGAGCTAGGATCATCGTTGTCAGTATCTGGCTTGGTCCTGCTCGTTTGCCCTCATGTATGAGGCTGGACCGTCCTGTGTGATAGGGAGATGAGGCAGCAGATCAAACTCCTTGCCGTCCAGCGAAAGTAGAAGACCTGAAAAGCGGCTAGTTGAAGATGGAGTTTGGCCACTTCATCGGCCTCAGTGGCTATGCGTCGTGACAAGCTTCAAATGTGAGACTTTGAGCGGGCTCGTTCATAGTCTATCACCATCAAATACGCAAAGGCCGGCGGTGGTGATGGAAGACGGAGATATTATCGACATACATTGTCAGCTCACCTTCAGCTTCCCACTTATTGCCCAAGCAAATCCATAGAGAAGTCGCTTGAAACGAGTGTCGATGGACATCTAACAGCAAAGGGCAATACTCTTTGGACGCCACAGCTCTTACTAACAGTCGGCCTCTAGTACCTACTTATACCTTGACCCAGAGCTAGAACATACGCAGTCTTGAGCGTTACTGAACTTTGTTCCTGCGACGTTCTGTTAGATAAATCCAGTCTGGTCTTACCAGCACATAGATTGGTAAGGGGCAGTGATGTACTGGTGCTGTTTACTTTTTGGTCTCTATAAAACCTCGTCACCCCGTGTTCAATGGCTTTTTATCAACAGACCTAGGAAATGGTCCGAGATGGTTCACGTCAGTGATCTAATGCGCCAAGAAATAATTCAGTTCTCATCTCCCCTGTCGACGTAGTATCTACCTATGAATAACCCCGTGATGGCCGGGAAAACAGCGGCGACGTAATCTCATATTGATGCGAAGCCCCATTCAATAAACCCGAAGAGGCGGCTAGATTGACTCGTTATCAAATTCCCAGCCTGTAACCAGCGGATTCCGGGGAACCAAGTTAATTCCTGGGTTGATTTGCTATTTCTATGACATGAAGCGATTTATATGCGGTGGTCTCGAGGAGACATCATCTTCAACCGTCATGGTGGACCACTTGAGAATCTATACGCAGAAGTTCTTCCGGCATAGTCACAGCCCTCTCGCGTCTCGGTTCACTTTTACTCGGCTTTTCTCACAGTGTCGGGCTGTCGTCGATTCACATAAATATCCCACAAATGCATGCTTCAAAACAAATCTTCATCAGGCCAATGGAGTGTGGTGTTGCATTTGTTTCCACTGCGAGGTTCAAATCTCATCTCTAACCTTTGATTATATAACACAACATTCGTGACATGAGCTTCAGGACCGTCATCTTAACCAGCACTTGCTTCAGGGTATTCATAATAGGATAACCCACAGACAGGACAAACCAACAACGGCGAAACAGCTGGCTAGACAATCAAGATCATCAAGCGACGAGTTCAACACTTCAGCGCCGAGACATAGCTAAGATGCGACATTCTGGTCCAGAGTCTTCCAGAACGTCCTGAGAGCAGTGATCTAGATGCTAGACCGGCCGAGCACAATTCTGCCACTCTTCATCACAATTCGGCTGTTTAATCACGTCTCCAAGGCAGTTGTGATGCCTTATAAATGCCTCTTGGCGGTAATTTCAGTTGCTTGGTGCCAAACCACCTCATGTGGGAGTATCATTGATTTCTACAAGACGTAACTGTAACTTTATCCTTCCTGTCCTCATCGATTTCACTGCGAGCTGTATAAAAGCGTCTGAACTCAGCGTTTTCAACTTCGTAGCCGCAGAATGGCGTGATGTTCGGCGACGTGGGTCCATGACTTGTTGCTCCCAAGGGATCCTGATCCGTGCCGTGACTGCTATGCCAACCAGCCCGGCGATGCCATCCATATTACGAAACGTCGTTATGATGACACGAGCTCATTCAGATGGATGTAACTGTAAAGGAATACACAAAAGACAATGATAAGAGACGGCGATGACGATGAGTTGCGGGGAGATCGGAATTATCAAGCCTCCTGCGTTTCAGCGCCGAGCTGATTCTGGGCTGCAAAGCGCTCAATTTCTGACAAAGTCTGGGACTGTAGGGTTATGACTTGACTCAAAATGCGTTGAGCCCTTGTTTGCCCCAGACGAGACAGTCGAGTGCTGCAGATTCCTTTCTTGGATTTTGTCATGCCTCGGGAGTTTAAGTACATGGATATGTAGCTTTCGATGGTGTCAATGCCAATCGCATCAAGCACCTCGATATGCAACAACGGTGATTTGACGCATTTTGCAAACCCAACCTCAGAAAGCTCTGTTGCGTCCTGTGAATATATCTCAAGGTACGATTTCAATGATTTCGTACACGAGCCCATCTATTCCTCCAGGACAAGGTTACGACAAATCAAAGACTTGGATCCCATTTTCTTGACTATGAATGAGCTTCGGAATTTGGCAGTAATGGTCAATGCTATGGAGAGGTCGTAGTTGGAGACAGTCACGAGTCATTTCAAAAACTCCGTACGGCCATGAACGCGGTAGCATCGCTCTTCAGAGTCACGAAAAGCGTATTAATAAGGAATGGCCGGCAAACGCCGATCGATGAAGGCCGGCTCCGAGCTAGAAGACGTGGAGCCCAGGGGATTGGGTCGTGCTAAAAACGTCCGCCCATTTGTTTGTTTTGGCCCGTCGGAGCTGTCGTAGAAAAGAAAGGTTCGGCCTAGGCCTATTACTCGGGGAGTCGAGCCGGCGAGGAAAGCGGAAACACGGGATCGGTGGTGCGGTTTGACGTCATGTGCTGATCGGGATTTCATGACCTGATGCGTTCGAAGGTGTTCAGTCAACCGTCTGCTAACCATGTCTTGGCACTGGGAAAGAAGATCCTCGGCAAGACTCGGCCGTGATGGTCGGCTCGTTGGCCAGTGATAATCGCGAAGGAGTCGCTTCCCGGCTGTGCCTCGTATTTGCTGGCGGGTTCCGGCTGATGGTGTGGACGCGGGCCAAGGCTTTCCAGAAGGATGGAAAACGGATGAACTCGTTGGCGACCGCAAATAGTGCAATGCTCGAGTCAGCTTGTTGATGTCTAAAGTCAGAGCGTCTCGTTAGCTAGACTGTGTCCCAAAAATAATGAAGTTATTGTTGTTGTTGACAGTGTCAAGCCGAAGAACCATCGTACTCATCATGTCGCTGTGGCCGGGCGCGAAAGCAACGTTGCGCCGCTCCGGTGTAGTGCCGGGGCGCAGGGGAGTGGCTTGCTAGTCCAGCTGCCAGCTGAACATAACCAGTCGGCTTCAGCGGTCAGACTCGGTCCAGGCGATTGCTTACCAGGATCGTATTGACGGATAAACTGAGAGCCCTCGTACTTGCATGGACGTCAGAAGTTGGGATTGCCGTGACGGCTTAGGTAGTGATTGCTTCAAGAACATAGCCAGTATTAAACGAGACGCTCAGATGAGTGCGACAATCGTAGCGGGGTGTAAGCCAATTGTAAGTGAAATGAGACGACGATCTTGGTGTGCAAAATCAGCAATGGTGACATGTCCTCGGGGCGATGAGACGTCGCTGAAGATGGGTGACGATTGTCTCAGTCGCGATGCGTGGAGCTGTGATTGAGAGGGGCCCGAAGCTTGTTTTCCTGCCCACAAAATTAAGGTCAGCACGGATGCGACGTGATGCCTTGGGAGGTTGGGATGATGGGATGGGGCGGCAACCCCGCGGCCCCCGGCGGGGTAAGAAGCGAAGGGCTCTCGTATCCATCGTGAGATGTAGGTCAAGAGACGATGTGACGATGCGGCAATGTTGCCTTATGCGTTGGCCTCATGAGTCAGCGTGGCAGACAGACAGCGAGACCGACTGACGATCGAGGCGTCTTGGGAATAGCCGAAGCTGATTGAAAAGTTGAGCCAGATGGCTGGTGATGAAAAGTCGCCGGCTGGTGTTGAGTTGAGTAGAAGATGGTGGGCGGAAATCCGCTCGGATTACCTCATTGGCGAAGGTTGTCATCTCGCGGTACGAAGGTACTGGGTAATGTGATTCTCCTCCAAGCTTATTCCAACGAAGCGGGCAGCAGCAGCATCATGCATCCATCGCGAGGAGAAGACGAGCTAAGAGGCGGCGAACTGCATGTTGGAGAAGAACAAGCAAAGGCTGGCAGGAGAGGTGGTGTTGTTGACAGGGATCCCAAAAAGCCTCAAGTGTTGTTTCTTTTCTTAGGCCAAGGCAAGCGAGCGCACCTTTGTCGTTTGACCATTTTGGTGCTAGCGGCGGAGGTGAAGGCCGGCTGCCATCTGGTGTTCTTCTGAGGACGTTCGCTGACCGGGCGAGCCGTCGATGGTGGCTATTTTGGTGTATCGTTCTTCTGCAGTACGGGAAGGATGACTTGGCATCTGAGGTTGAAGATGAGGAGGCATGATTCGGTTGAATCGGCACGCGATGAGGATTTTGAAGTTGTATGATAAGTAGAAGAAAATTCAGAAGAACATGATGGAGGAAGAAGGCAGTCGAAGGCTGGGTAACCAGTTGGACGGAAGGCGGCAATTCCAGAAGCTCCTATTGGACGACCGAGACATGAAGATTCGTACTTTGCTCACTTGGCAAGAGCACAGCAAAACGCACCTTCCATGAGAATGAAAACATCGAATGGCAGGCAGGTTTAATGATCGTACCTTCCGTCCTTGCCGAATGCTCAATCCTCTCTTCCACGGCAGGTGCAGGTCGCGCAGTTGCAGTTGCAGTGCAGTCGCAGTCGCAGTTGCCCAGCGAGGCAGCAACAGCCCGCTTGCTTGATAAACCTGGAAGGCAAGAACACTGCACCCACCTGCCCAAACTGGAAAATGGCGGCCCTGATTGGTTCTGCTAGGCCGTCCTGCTGGTACGACGACTGGGCAACCCCTGGCTAGCGCACGCTAAGGAGCGCCTTGAGGCAGGGGGTAGGGGTTTTTCACCTCTGATTTTTCCCGTTCCTTCCTTCCTGCCTAAGAAGAATTCAACCGCGGAGAACTGCATCGACGCATGTGGAAAAGACGACAAAAAGAAAAATGAAAAGAAAAGAAAAACGGCGCGAAAACTCGAAAGAAACTTATTCATTAGTCCTGCGCCGTTGGAGACCGCTTCTCGATGACACCGCACGTTCCGCCGAGAAACGTCGAAACATCAGCCCAATCATCACAACGACATGCCACGGAAGAGCAGGGCCAGCTTCGATAGATTCGGGAAAAGAGGGCCATGACTCCTCTCATACGAAGATCCTCCAGATTTTAGTCCGTCTTCTCGTCTCCACCGGTGAGATCACCGCCGGGAGCGAGGTCATCGCGTTGCAACCGCCCCTCTTCGCCCGTCTGCCGCCATCAAGCCGTCAAACCGTCAAACCGTCAGTCTGGTTCCCCCCTCTCCTAGTCTTCATGGAGTCATGCTCACTACGACACTAGCCACCCGGTACGAGCTGACGGAGGGCGCCATTCTCTTCTCGCCATGTACCAGCCCAAAATCACTCGCCTGGCCGACGACACGCCGAACCCGCCGTTGTGGTGTGGGTGGCCCCAAGCCAACCTCCATCATCACACCCACCGCCCGTCACAACCACCACCAATCGCCATCATGCAGCAGCCCATCCTGCAGCCCAAGATACCCTACCCTAATTCTACCTGCATGGGGAAAAGGCCTCTGGGATGATGCAGTCGTCCATGTCCAGGCTAGCCTGGCATGCTGGGTGGGAGCATGGGCAACGAGAGATCAACCACGAGGCGACTGCGGCTCCAGAACTACCTCGTATTCCTAGTCCGCCCGTCTATGTGGGTAGAGCGGGTGAATGGGTGATGGATGCACGCGAGACGTCCCGCCCCCAGCAACCCCGACCCATCTCCTCTGCCTCGCCTTGGTTCTCATAAAGGCCGCCTCAACATGCCGAGACCTTCGTTCATGTCTCTCCTTTTCTCTTCACCCACGGTCGCTTCAAGCCTTTAGGCAATAATACCTTCGCTTATTCAGCAGCTCGACTTCATAGTCACTGACATTCGCTTTTAACACCACGAAACTATTCAAGATGCGCGGCCTCTACTTGGGACTGGGCGCCATGGCCCTGGCGTCCGTCAATGCCTGGGATTACCCAAACTGCGTAGGTCTCTCCTATTCTCATCTCATATGAAGTCTTTCATGGGAGAAAACATAACCCCAGAAACATTGACTAACACCTCCCAGGAGCACGACGGCTGCTACCGCAACCTCATCGACAAGCGCTTCGAGGAAGAAGCCAAGACTTTCTGTGTTGACTTCCTCCACGGCACCACCACCGCTCCGTCGGCCATCCCGACTGACTTCAACAACTGCGGCGGAGACGTCAAGGCCGTCTCTTCGGCTTGCTCTTGCATCACCTACAGCCTGAGCACCACCGTCCCGGTTACCACCTCCACCGCTCCCGGCACGACCAGCACTCCCGTCATCACCACCTCGTCGACCAGCGAGTATGTCACTCCTACTCCTACTCCGACCCCAAGCACCACCAAGGAGCACTCGACCAGCACTTCCTCTGAGGACTGCACCACCTCGACGACGCCGGTCAGCAGCACCAAGCCCGTCCACACGCCCACCACCTCCTCCGAGGACTGTGATACTACTTCCTCTACTGTCGTCAGCAGCACCAAGCCTGTTCACACTCCGACCACATCTACCGAGGACTGCACTACCTCGTCGACCGTTGTCAGCTCCACCAAGCCTGTTCACACCCCCACAACTTCCACCGAGGACTGCACCACTTCCACCGAGGTCAGCAGCACGAAGCCGATTCACACCCCGACAACGACTTCCTCTGAGGACTGCGACACGACTTCCACTGTCGTGAGCACCACTAAGCCCGTCCACACCCCGACGACGACCTCGACTGAGGACTGCACCACCTCCACCGAGGTTAGCAGCACCGAGGTTAGCAGCACCAAGGGCCACTCCACTTCGAGCAAGACCTGGTCGACCAAGTACCACAACTCTACGACCATCTCTACCGAGGACTGCACGACGTTGACCACGATCAGCAGGACGAAGCCCGTTCACACTCCGACCACATCCACTGAGGATTGCACGACGTCGACCACGATCAGCAAGACGAAGCCGGTTCACACCCCGACCACTTCCACCGAGGACTGTGAGACTACTTCAACTTTTGTGACCAGCAGCAAGCCCGTCCATACCCCTACCACTTCATCGGAGGACTGCGAGTCATCGACCGCCGTCAGCAGCACCAAGGGACACAGCACGACCAAGAGCCACCACATCCCGACTTACACTCCTACGACCACTCCCTACCTCAACACCACCAGCAAGCCTCACCACACCAAGACCAAGAGCTCCGAGAAGCTGACCACTTCCACTGTCTGGACCACCCGCGTTGAGACCATCACCAAGTGCCCCCCTCACGTCCCTAACTGCCCCGGAGGACACACCGTCACCACCGTCACGGTTCCTGTGTCGACCACCATCTGCCCGGTGACCGAGACTCACACACCCCCTCCTCCTCCTCCCCCGACGACTTGGACGACCTCGACGGTGTACACCACAAAGATCCACACCGTCACCAAGTGCCCTCCCGGAACTCCCAACTGCCCCGATCAGCCTCCTCACGTCACCACCGAGACCATCCCCGTCTCCACGACCATCTGCCCCATCACCGAGAGTGTTCCTCCTCATACTTTCAGCACTGTTAAGCCGGTCCCGAGCCCTCCTGCTCCCCCGGTGCCTCCTGTCAACACTCCTCCTGCTCCCCCCGCCGGTACTCCTCCCGCTCCTCCTGCCGGTACCCCCGCTCCTCCGGCGAGCGTCCCTCCCGTGTCTCTCCCCTCTGTCATTCCTACGCCCGCGACCACCCCCGCCCCTAGCCCCAGCAGGACCACCGTCCCCCCGGTCCAGGTCACCGCTGCCGCCAACCGCCTCGGCTCCGGCGTCATGGCCGCTGCCGCTGGTGTCGTTGTCGTTGCTCTTCTCTGATCGGATTAATGTTTGATGGATGGATACGGACACCTGGGCCGGACTGCGCCCATATCATGACGGATATTTAGCATTTGCATTTAATGTATAATTCATGAAAATAATGTTCAGACGACAGGATGTAGATCTAGGATAGGGGCACCTGTTCATATCTAGTCACATCATATTATTTAACAAAATAAATCATAGTGTAGATAACTTGCTCTAATATTCAAAGTAATGTCAGAAGACTTGCAGTGATGTATCCAACTGCTGTCTCCTAGAAACCGGAGTGCGATTGAGAAACGATCAATTAAGGACTTCTTTGCTCCTGGTCACAGCACATGGCGAATTCATATTTATGCTGTTCCTGCCTCCAGGGCACTTCGTAAAGATTGCTGGATGATTCAACTGGACGACGGGTGCCTTTGTCATACCCCAAAGCTGGAGCAACCGGGTTTAGTGGGGCCATGCCGATTGTGCTGGGTGGAAGTGGGGCCGGACTTGGACATGCTCCCCGGAACACCCTCACACAGAAGGTCCTAGTGAAGAAGTGACTTCTGAATCGTCACGGCAACTGAGCAGGAGTTTTTCTTGTCATATTTTGATGTATTGGTATTTTCTAAGTGGGACTTTTGTCCTTTCGTGGAAAGGTACAGAATCCAACAGACCACCCCCAGCCTTCTTTCTTCACCCGTCCTCAAAGACTCCTCGCCAGAAACTTCTCCCTTCCACATCCACCACTCCCAGAGATCACTTCAATTTTCACCTCTTCAATTCTTCTAGTCGAAACATACAATCCAAAACATCCTCTCAAAGTCCCTTCCAACAAATCCGTTCCTGAAAGATGTACCTCCACCTCCTCACCCTCTTCCTCCCGCATCCTCCGCCAAAACCTCCCCTCTCACCGCTGACACGCCACCTCTCCCTCCCGCGAGAAAATCTCTTCTCTGCTTTCTTCGACTTTAAGAGGGCAAGAGCAGACATTGTCCTAGTCGACGTATTCTTCCCACCCAGACGGGAAGAGTGTGGTCGCGGCTTTGGCGAGGGTTTTGATCTGAGAGAGGTGTCGTTTTTCTTTCCTGTTTTGATTTTTTGGCGATGTCTCGGCGTTCCCTGCGAATTTCTCTTGGGACAGAGGAGCAGGGAATCGAGTTCTTTCTTATCGGGTCTCCCGGGCACGATTCTCGACTGCGCGTCCCCATGGCGATGAGGTGGGTTTGCTCGTGTCGAGGACGCGTCTATCGTGTCGAAAACCGTCGTCGTGGTAAGTCGCAGAATTTCTTCTCGTTCTCTCCTTCCTTCCACTTTACTTGTTTACAACACTACCGCGGTGGCTCTACGAGCTTACGGTGCGCAGTCTTCGAGATGTTCGCATAGGACGTTCATTCACACCATCAGACGACGCCATTGTACCCCCGAAGTGATTCATTATCTTTTCACTTGCCGTCATCGAAACGACCGCTGATTCTTCTCTGCTCTCAGGCCGTCAGATTCCCTACCGTCCTATCTATCGACCACTCTTCGGATCGACCGCACGATGGAAGGAGTCGCAAGTTTGAAGTTTACCACCGTGACTCGGCCAGGACTTGATTGGAAGTCTGAAGGTCGGCGGTATACATGGAGGTACGTGAAATCCTGGTTCCCCTCCTTCATCCCGGGTGATGATGATATACGGCAGAAGTGGTACGATGGGCTGTGGTGGACCCAGATGACTTCACGACACCCGTCTGATTCGGTTTACCAATACCCCGATTTCACCACACACTGCGTTTTCTTTTCTAGGATGGAGATCATGTGCTAACCTTGACTCAGGTACCCTCGTTGGCGCGAGCTTTTGAGGCACTGTTGACTGCTCAGACTCGTGAGTTATCTCTTCCTCAACCACCCTCGTATCTACCCAACTCAATGATGACCTATCTTGGTATTCAGACAAGCATCGCCGAGGCGTTGCATGATGTTTCTTTTCTCTTTTTCTCTGACTGAAGTCCCTTCAAGCACCCACCGTTCGCTGTATTCATCGTACCCAGATGCTAATCTTGTACGATCACCAGGTCTCATCATCCGTTCGTCCAAATATTCAACCCAGTCTTCACACCACCTTCCGGCGGCAACCCAGCATGCGTCGTCCTAGTATCCAGCTCTCCGAAATTATCCCAACTCTTCCAGAACAACGCATTTCCCGGCACAGCCTTCACAGTCAACGCCTCATGGTTCTCGCAATCCACATACGCACACCAACTCCGGTCCTCCAGCGTCCAGTTGACGTTGAGATACGGGAACTGCGTCCCGCACTTCTCGCAGCTCGCCTCGACGATGGCGAAGATGGTGGTGAGTCGATGCGTAGAACTACCGTTCACGGACGCGTCGAGGGGGTCCAGGTGGGGATTGAAGAGCTGGCCGGCGCGGTAGCGTGTGAGTTGGAGGGACTCGTGCAGGTCGAGGGGGGTGTAGCCCTGGATTTCGGAGGCGCGTTTGGTTATGCGCTGGACTATCGGGTCCGAGTCCGGGAGATACGCGGTGCTGCTTGTTCGGTCTGGGTCGTGGAGGTATTGGGTTTCTTCGTCGATGTATATCGTGGACCTCTCGAACAGAGATTCTCTTGTGCATCGTGTTAGTCGCATGGACGGCAGGCGTAGTCCCGGGCACCTACCCGAGTCGCAGCAGGTGTCTCCTTTCGGCCCATGAGAGGAATCCCACAATGTAGATGATGAGAGGGTCGTACGAGAGAATACGAATGGAGTATGCTTTTGGCAGTGGCTGGACAAGGAAGATGGACGAGATGTCAAATGATATGCGCGGCCACAAATGCACCATCACCGGCACCAGAGCGCCGCATATCACCAACCAGTTCCAGGACAATAGCTTCATGTCGAATGATGATGGCGTCTGGATAGATCAACCACACGATACGACGATCATCACCCGCGCTATCAAAAAGCGACGCAAATTGTGTAAAAAATGGCAACAGCATCCTGGACGTTCCGGTCTTACCTCTCAGTCAGGTGATCACAGTCGTATTCCGAGGAGTTCTCCAAGGCCCCCATCACAAGGAGCTCAAATTGTAGGTTTCGGTCCGGACGCAGGATCGAATTCTATTTGAAAATCTCGGCGGTTCTCTATCTTCCACTACGAGATGGGACGAATTCCACACAAATCCTGTCAAAGTCTCAAAGGTCGCCGTACAGCTCCGTTCAACATCTGCCGATTGGACCACAAGCCGCTTGTTAGATGAAAAAAGAGTTGGCGTACTCTATCTGGTGGGCTGAGTTTACCTCGCGGCTGATCGACAGGATAAATAATCAACCCCGAACATGGGCAGTGGCCCAGAGCTTGAGGTAACACTATGCCGCGTGTATACTCATTGAGAACCCCCAGTCAGAGCTTAACGCTTAACGTACGTTGCCGTAGGGCTACTACTCCTTCCGCAGTCAAAGCGTCACCGTCCTTCTTCTGGGATTATCACGCGACTTTGTCTATCCAAGACTGGCTATTGGTTGCCTTACGACTAGAAACCTTCAAAATGTAGGGCAGAAATGTCCCAACGATCTCGAAAACAGAGTCGTATCCTGCAGGATTGACGTGCCGGACGACGATTTCGGTAAGGTCCTCGTGAGATCTGGAGAACCAATCTTGGAAGATCTAAGCTTGGGAATATCCCTCAACGACCTGCTATCGTTTTCCCGGAAAAGAATACGACTACCGCCTAATGGAGAAGTTGGTCGTCTATCAGGATCGCCCCAAAGTCATCCGTCCCGCGAAATATCCGCCGATGCCGGGAACCTTCGACGGCGGAAGTCCCTATCAATCTCAACCCTACTGCAGAGATTGCAGCTCTACACTTTTTCTCAATCATACTGTGGCTGTGTAATGGCGTTACAGCCTGAGTCGACGACCAAATCGAGCAGGTTATGAGCGTTACCACGAAAGTTAAATGTAACGTAGTTTTTGTAAGAGTGTTTGGAGACCCTGAAGATCGTTTTAAAGCTCGGTCCGCGTCATACGACTCTATCAAAAACACACATCCTTGTGAAAATCAGGTGGTTTAAGTTGGCAACGCGTGTCTGAAGCATATCCCTGGCGATTCACCCACGAACCTTACGCGCCGGCGTTCGTCAGCATCAACGATGCCTCACGGAAGCTTCCGCGCGGAGTAGGATTACGTGGGAAGTTATACCCGATAGTCTTTATTTCTGCCCAACAGCAATCGTTGGATACTGAACTGGCAGGGATGGCATATCTTCAATTGGCCGAAGAGGCAACGAGTTACCGATACTATCCGATATTTAAGCTGCGAAAGGAATCCAGAGTCGAATGTTGTCGGCCGAATCAGTAGCCATTGAACGAAGCTGCAAATGCTTTTCAAGCGGGCTACTCCTGAAATTGAAGCATGTGAGTGAGAGGGAAGAACGAAATTTCCCATAGCATGTGAGCTTTCGTCAGCCAGATGTGGTAGAGAGATGTTGGGGTGTCTATGTGATGAGTATAGACCCGAAACGTTTCCTGATATCGTGCCAACAATATCTATTACTTATGAGAGTTCCACGTCCACGTACCGTAAGTCTTCGCGAGAATAGCTGGCTCCTCCGAACTTCTGATGACTCAGGGCAAGTTTCATGGCAACAACAGGCGGGTAGCAACCCGCCACGCCCGATTTCACGCCGTGTTGGGTGCGTGTTTCTCGGCGCATGCCGAATCTGGTACGTTTGACAGGCACGGCAGTGGAACCTTGACCATTTGCCGCCGCGGAGGGTGTGTGATGTTTCGGTCTTTCTGCCTACGGTACCTGCATCGTATCTCCCCTCCCGGCACCCCCAGCTTTTAAGCTTATCCTTGCTTTCGAGGCCCAGAACCCCTCGTCTGATAAGTCTTCGTATGTTCATTGCTGTTTGCGTTCATAGCAGGCGACGACGGACCGAAGATGAACTGTGAGTGGGCCGGTCGCGCGTGATTCAGCCATTTCATTTGAGCATCTCGCGCGTCCCTGGTCATGCCGGTGGGCGAGGAGATCTTCTGCCGCAAACAAACACTCACTGAACATTATTATTCTTGACAATATTGAACTTGATCGAATTCACGACGTGACTCACATAACATGAAATTGGAAGTCGGTATCCTGTTGTTCTTGGGCGCCATCGTTCAAGCAGTCCCTCGGGCGATGGTAGTGGAGGGCAACACCTACTTACGCGATCTCGAGGCAAGTCAAGACGCCCGTCCCGGATCCGCACCCCCCTGAAAGGAATCTAACTTCGCTCGCGAACTACAGCTGAAGAACGAGATTGAGGCCAAGGCTGATGCCGTCAATTCCCCTGAGTGGGTTGCTAGACCCAAGGGCCGGATTCGGCCCTCCGGGCCCAGCAAGAAGATAAACTGAGGTAAGAAGAATCGACTTTCATCCAGCAGCCTTGGCCAAACTGACAATTACCGACGCAGAAAATGCCATGGACAGTTCTTGATGACCATTCGAGCCACTCCAAGGTGCACGTGTGAGCGCGACAGACTTTTGGCCAAGGATATCAACTATCGATCTGACACACCTTCGCTTTACGGCCATGCGGCTGACGAAATGCTTTCTGGGGCGAGTTCCGGTTTAACGACGCTGTTTGATGGAAACGGGAGTAAGAATGGAAGAAAACGAAAAGCGGGAATCATTGAGTCTAACACAGGATCACTTGAAGGACCAGACGTCAATGGGGGGTCATCACCGGGATTCCATTGCTGACGTATCTCAAGTGGGTCGGTCTTGTGTTTTGAAAATGACGGCAGAACTTCCCTTTGCGAAGTCGATGGATACATGTTTAATCCACTCTTTATTATATCTCTTGGCTGATCCAATACGCTGGGGCTTTCAGACACTCTTTGTATGTATCGGTGCTAGGCACTCTGTCCATCGTTATGGAAAGCTCATCAGTTTGATCAACAAGAATTTTCTCAAGCCAATTGAATGTGAAGGCATGTATGAACGAAAGTTTCATTCACTACTGTGCTGATGAGATCATTAGGAGTCTCCCAGGCAGTCAGCTGACCAGACCTGTATGCAGCTCTTTACTCCAAGATTAGCTTCGATATCGGTCTCGGTTTCTCAACGGAGATCACATAAACCAATCGTCTTCACCATGCCATCATTACAGCCGTGGGTTAAATGTATGGCTGTCAGAGGGACAATCGAGAAGCTCAGGTAGCCACAGGCTCACATCAGACGATGTGGAACCGTCTTCAAATCACCCGAGCAGCAACCCCGCAGCCGACTGACTTTTGCTTGACACGAGAGCTCAGGCTCTCATGTCCGTCGACGCTGAATGAACGACTCAGGGAAATTGAATACCAGCTCATCAACCTATCGTGTGGGGGACATCTCCTCGGAGATAGTAACCCAACGTTCGTCTTTTGTTAGCGAGAAAAGAGGCCAAGGCAACATTCCATAACAGCATCTGATGCGGATTCAAACAGATGACAGTTCCGTCTTTGAGCTTGGGCATCTTCGGATCCGCAAGTTGCCTGATGAAACGAAACGCCAGAGGACGCTCGGCCGAGGATGGAACCAGTACGGATGCTTGAATACAGCAAGATCTCTCATCCTTGAAACATGTTGCACCAAGGAAACTGGCGGGATGGAATGGTCAAAGAGCGCATGCTCTCCATACCGTATTTTGACCCTTCACACAGCGACAGCTTGCACAGCTTGCTAGAGATTATTAACAATTGCCCATGTCAGTAATCCTATGGACATGACGGCACCTTTGATTCCACGCCGATTACCTGACCACCCTCATGACAACACGCCTGGGATGGAATTGAGGGTGGGTGCCCAGCTGCTTGTGCATGCAGGCCATCAACCGTACATGAATGTTTCACGCCATCGCCCACTTTCCGATCATCTACGGCTCGAAATAGCATCAATCCAAGATCGGAAGAGGCGCTCTTCCCTTCCATCTACATCCACCTGCAGCGAGATCGAGCGCACTTGTCTTGTCATGCACATGTGCCTGTACTCAGATTACAGGTGGCTTGGGCCCGGCGGGATGGCATTTCCCGCCGTGTAGGAGCTTTCTCTGCGACAATAGAGCACAAACACGAGAGAGAAAAGCTGCCTGCAAACTAAATTAGCCCATTCGTGATGCCGTGCATGACATGACGAGCACGCTCCCGACTTCGGTCCGTGTCGTTGCATGTCATGTTAGCATTCTTGCCAAGCTATTCTGGACCGCCTCTTTTATAACCCCCCTCTCCTCTCAAACCCGACAAGCTCGAAAGCTTGCTCGAGTCAGCTAACCGTTTCGCAGGGTCTTCCCCTCAATCTTCCGTCGACCCGTTCAGCCCATATTCTAGTGCCAACCCGTCCTGCTGGAACGCGCCCACTTTCCTGGGTTTGTTTGTTTCTCAATTTACCAACATACCCCACAGCGTAGGGCGCACTCGGTATACTTTACGACAATGGTTTACACCGGAAAGCCCTCCGGCGGGTGCAAGCTGTGTAGGATTAGGAAGGTCAAGTGCGACGAGGCCAAGCCGTTTTGCATGCGATGCACCAAGTCGAAGCGACACTGTCCGGGGTACGGCGCCGTCGTCCGCGACCAGGGGAAGCCGTCGGCGGAGAAGCTGAGGAAGATGAAGGCCGGCAGCTCCGAGAGCACCGGCGCTGTGGATCCGTCGATACCGATCAAGAGCATCGAGACGGATTGTTGCATGGATACGACGGCCATCAGCAAAAGACGGGGTTCGACGCCGAACTTCAGGCTGGGCGACAAAGAAGGCGACCTCATGAGCGTGCTGGAGAAGGTTCCCGGGGGGCTCATGGACTCACTGGACGAGCAAGCGTCGTGTCTTTTTCTCTCCGAGTTCGTCAACGTGCCGCTTACACCGACGGCCCGGGGGTACTACGCATTCATACCAAGATTCCTCGGCAGCGGCAAGGTTTCAATATGTCTGTCGCAGGCGTTCAAGGCGACATCCATGGCGACGTTGGCGATGAAGCAGTCAAAGGGTATGAGAGGGCCGGCGTTACTCCGCGCTCAGGAGCATCACCTCAAGGCGTTGCGGGCAGTAGGCCAGGCCATCGCGGATCCGAAGGAGATGCATAGTGACCAGACACTGGGTGCCGTGCTCATGCTAGCATTCTACGAGGTATATGAGACCCATGCCATTCTATACTGGCGGCTTTACTAAGTGATTGCTAGTCATTAATGTCGAAAGACTCAATGAAAGAGTATATAAGTCATCTGAAGGGAGCCGCAAGGATCGTTCAGATGCGCGGGAATAAAGTACTCGAGACGACCGAGGGAAAGGAGTTGTTCGCCATGACACGCAACCAATGCCTCTCAGTGCAGAGCTTATTCAAAGAAGCGGAAATGACAAGCTACTCATGGCTCCTGTACAACGAGGCCGTCAACGAGAACAACCGCCCAACCGTCGACATCAGCCTGCTGAGCAGTCGACTTCAGCAAGCGATCGACTCCATCATCGGCAAGGCCAGCGAACCGAGTCCCGAGGCCCTCGCGACAATGACGGAGCTGCTCGGCAAGGCACGAAAACTGGAGGCAGAATTCCGCAAAATCAACGACAACAATCCCAGTCCCACATGGAAAGTCGACACGGCGGAGTGGGTTTTCGATCGGACCGACGAAGAACTCGATACCGAGCCAACCTTCGAGGGACAAGTCTACAAGTTCTTCAACCTTCCGATGGCGGTCCTGCACCTGGTCACCTGGTGCACTCATCTGAATCTCATCTCAACCATCATGCGATCCACATCGTGGCTCGCCTCGGCCGGCAGAGAGGGCATCGAAGACGACGAGGAGTACGACGAGCTCGTCCGAGTCGCGACGAATCGCGTCGAGGACATCGTCGCGGCGGTCCCTTACTTCTGCAGTTGGAACGGCTACGGGGTTATCGTTTCCCAGTTCCCCTGCGGTACCACGAAGCCGGACGACCCGCTCAAGGGAGAGGCCGGGCTCATCGTCATGTGGCCCGTCGCCATGGCGATGAAGAGCGATTACGCGACCGCGCGTCAAAGGCGATACCTACGCGGCCGCCTGCGGTACATAGCGGATGTGTCTGGTATCAGCCAGGCCAAGTTCTTTGTGAGCGAGATTTGATGGCATGATGTTCCGTCTTGGGTTGGCGTTTTCGGTTGGCATTGGGAGGTGCACTGGATGCGGGATACCACTCAGCTATGGGCGCTGAGAAACAGCTAATGTGAGCTTTCAATCTCGGGGTTGGCATGTCACGATTGTCCTCACGGCGCGTCTTCTTCATTATTCGAGATAGTAAATATGACTTCATGACCCGATACTTATCTCTTGCCCATCTCTTTTGCGTACATCTCTTTTGCGTATTAGATGTTTGTGGCATTCTTCCAGGCCCATGTGATTCTGTTTTCGTTGGGAATAGAACACAGTGTGCTCATGTGCTCATTCTGTCCCAGTCGTGGCAGTCCGGCACAAGAGACCCACGATTTCCGGACTCACAAGCCATGATCAGAAGTCACGATCAACATTCAACATTCGGCTCCGGAAGTCCGGTCGCACTCGGAACAGACGGATTCCAAGTGCATGAGGTGACTTGCATCGTTAGCCTCGTGGAAACATTTCCCAAAAGACGCAGGATGGGAAATTTCCAGAGAACGGCGTTCGGACCAGAGGCCGTCCGTCGTGCAGAATCCCACCTAGCCGTCTGCATCTGCCGATAGTTTCATCCCATCACCGAAATGGAGTCACTTTGTGTTTCGCCCGTTCGCCAGCCTGCAGGGCTCCTGAGGGGAGTGTTTAGAGTTTTGACTTCTGGTTCGGTTTCCCAAGATGCTGTCTGGTGTCCGGATGTGAATAGCAGCTCGCGTCGTCCAGCTGTTAAATGACGTAATCGCTCAACCATGTGAGAGCCAAGGGTCTCACTACATAGTATCCTCCTCTGTCTACGTGTACGCGAAAATGAAGCCCGACGCGTTTCCGGTGATAGACAAGTGCTTTCTTTCTGTACTCGACCAGCCTTTCTTCATATCCTTAAACCTGTACGGAAACATGACATGTGAGAAGATTGCAGTGACAGTTGAGGCACTGAGCGCAGTCGCTTTCGCAAACCAACGAACTTCACCTAGACAGCGAATACGAATTGCTATTCTTGGAGTGCATTCTGTTCCTGGACTTGTTACGCCCAGATGAACCAAAACACCAATGCTTCATCATCGGCTTATTTTATGATTAGTAGTTCTTTTTTGACAGGCGGCGGCACGCTGCCGCTGGTTCCGCCGATCTTTTCATCTCACAAGCCCCCTTCCCGTGCATGACACATACGAGCATGTCCGTATACACCACGTGCTGATTCGACGATGCGCAGATCTGTGACGAGGTTTGAAAAGTCGTTCGAAACGCGATATTGAAAGGCACTCAGCCTGAGATGTACGCATCATAGCTATCCCCGTCTGCTGTCAGGCTCCGAGAACACGTGCACCTGCCTACTCGAGGCTCTGAGAGGAAGAGAACGTTTGAAGAGGATCCGCGTAGAATGAGCATGTCAACTACGGCGGTATTATCCAAGTTAAAGTAGTTTCGCCTTCGGCTTCCAAGGTTCTTCTGCGAAGAAGCAAAGAAGGCTGCAGCTCGTCGTGAATAACTCATCAGGATGAAGACTGGTTTTTTTCAACGAGCAAGAATGTCGCAGGGTGACTAGATGATGCGGACGAACTCACGGGGCAGCGCGTCGCCGCGAGCCGTACACCAGCCCCGGCCCGGCCCCGGCCGTCTGAATGTGCGGTGATATCGAACACGTCTTTACGTGCTAATAAACATACCAAGAAAGATATCTCGAGAACTCTTCTCCCGCTCACAAGCCATCTGACCGAAACCCCCACCCTTCGGATTCACGTCACCACGTTCGCTCTGAATAGTGAAGCAAACTTAGCACGTAAAGGAAAAGCCTCATAAACATTCCAAGAAAGATATCTTGAGATCTCTTCGCCCGCTCATAGGCAATCTGACCGAAACCCCACATCCTTCGGATCCGTGTCATCAAGTTTGCTCTGGATAGTGAACTACACTCGGTATGCAAGAAAAGGCCTTATATCTAGTCCATTTGCAGAGAATCTACCCGATTTTGGTAGTTTCGTTACAAATGAGTTAGTATTACATTAGCCAATGGCCACGATGGATGCCGAACGGAAGGCCAGACCGGCTCCGGTCCGATCACGGCCCCGCTCCGGTCTCCACTGCCTAATCCGGACACCGGAGAAGCAAGGCCCGTCCAAGAGATCAGTGATATCTCTCAACATCCACTTCACAGCTTCAAAATGGTCAAGATCGATACCGAGTAATCGGAAAAGACATTACGATTGATGAAGAATAGAATTATATCAACCCCAACCCCTCAACCCCTCAACCAACCCTCTCCCCCCTCGCCAACTCCTATCCCCTCCCATCCTCCTAGACAACTTCCCTCCCCCAAACCCCCTAAGCACAAAGCGTCAAAACAACATCCTGCTCGCTCGTACACACCTTAACCTGGCTCCCCCCCGGATTCGTACCGGCTCCCCATTCAATCCTCGGACACGTCGCCGCCCGACTCGCCACCACGACCTTGTTCCCCTGAAACGCGTCCCCGAACACGGTACTGAGATCGTACCACACCTGCGCGCCGTCGAGGTTGTACGCGAAATTCAGCTGCGGCGCCCCCGTGAACAGCCCGTCGCGCGCGCGCGTGACTTTCAGCGTCTTGCCCCCCGTCACGGCGTCCCGGACGAAGGTCTCGGCGTAGGAGCCGCCGCGCGGGGAGAGCGCGCCCGCGGAGACCGCCGAGGAGCCGACGGACCAGAGGGAGACTTCGGTCGCGCAGTTGTTCACGACGGTGGCTTTGCCGAGGGCCGCGGCGGGGGAGGCGGCGGCGAGGAGGGGGAGGAGGGATTTGAGTTGCATTTTTTTGGGTGTGGTTGTGAAGTTGTGAAGCTGTGAAGTTGTGTTTGGAAGTTTGATATGAGGATTTAGGGCTTGATGATGTCGTGATGCGGATGAGAAGAACAGCTTGGAGAGATCTTCTCTCTTGTTTATATACTCACCTCATGACATATCATCTCAGCGAGACCATGAGGAAAAAAACCCTCTCGGAGAAAAGCCATCGTCGGGCGCCTCGGGAGGAACACGCATCGGGCGACGGCACGATACCAAGCCTTGCAAAATACGAGCGGCGATCTCCACCCGTCACGATATCTCCCCATCCGCGAACGAGGCGCGATGCAGCATTTCGTCAAGATCACCTCGTCGGAGCGACCACCACGCACGGAAGCCAAGACACCAGAAACCCCACGATGTCACGATATCACAATATCCAGGACGAACACGAACGCATGCTCGCGGCTCAATAGAGTGAGACGACAACGACGGTGTGGGATCGCCGGCGGGCGGAGGTCATGAGGGCCACTGGATGAGGGAGAATACGAGGTTTAGGTAAGATGCTGCCTGCATGCGACGTCGGTTACTGGGGCCGTTCAGGATTGGCATCGTCGATGCGGCTTTGCGGGTTTCCCGATGGAGGGGGATGGGGTGACACTGTGGGGCGGCCGATCTGCCGTGTTTCTTCCCCGCATCTTCGGCGCCGCTCGGAGGTATGTGCTAGCCTGCTTACCCGTGCCAACCAGGCGGCGTGAATTCCTAGGCTGACGGCTGCAAGGGAGAGAAGAACCAGTGCCGGGCGGGATCCAAAATAGCATCCAATTCCCAGCTGAAAGCAGAAGTGCAGAGTACTCAGACACTGATGTCTCAGTCAGGGATACGGTTCAGCCCTTGCATCAGCCTAGTCGAGAGATATGGAGACGTTGGGAGGAAGCGGTGAGGGCCATGTGCTGGTCATTCGAGGCATCAACACTGCCCTGCATCAAGACACATCAGGTCACGTTGCCGCAGTGGAGAAGAAGTAGTGATATTGATAAACGGATTCCAATTCCAGCTCTTGTCGGGTATATTCGTAGTCCTTCACTCCAACGCCGAAGTTCCCATAGATAATGATCTGACGTGGTTAAAACAACACGCTTGCGCCACTTTCGCGCGGGCTTTCTGAGCCCGTAGGCCATAATGCCTTTTCGCCATACCCATATCCTCAGTCGTACAATATGTAAACAGAAATACTTTCGTGAAGTCCTGCACCGACGTCGCGGTGCCTCGCCGAGGGAATGAATCAAGAGAAGTTGGGAGAGCCAAAGGTCGGCATGGTAGACTCTTCTTTCTTGCGTTCCCTCTTGGCGTATATCAGGCCGCAGACGTTGCAAAGGGTACTGGGGCCGTCGGGGCCGGTGCGCCATTCGGGGGTTTCGACACGGCGACACTTGTGACAGGAGAAGTCGACCTTGCGGCGATTCTTGGTGCGACCGGCGGTGCTTGCGTAATCGTGGGCGGCGAGCGGTGGAGGCATGCCGCCGTAGTCCTCGGTGCCCTTCCGCTTGGGCGGCCCCGGATCATCTTTTCTGAGGGCCATGATCTCACTGATATCGCGGGCGATGCCATGTGAAAGCCTCGTCATGGCGCGGATGTCGCTGTCGGTGGGCAGAGCTTGGTCATTTGTGGTATCGTAGCCGCCTTCCGGGCCAGGGCCATTGTAACCGGAAAAATTCTCCGTCAGGCGAAGGAGTTGCTCTGCACCATGGCGGATCTGCAAGAAGATGGTCAGTAGACGACGGGAATGATGGCTGGTGACAAGACGATGATGACGGAGGATAAGGTAGAGGGCTGACATTTGGAAGATAACCGGATGGGTGGACTCACCCGCTGATGGCTCTCGCCTTGCTTCAGATGATTCAGCGACAGGCGAGGATTGGGAGAAGGAGACTGGGCATAGGTAGGTTGGTCGCCACGGAAGCCGGATGCCGGATTGGTGAAGGCGGCGGCATCAAGGCCTCGGCGTGACGAGTCGGGTCTCTGTGGTGAGGAGGATCGTGAACTCTTTGGGCCGGAAGGCATCAATCGGAGCGGGGACCCACGGAGCGGTCGGAAGCAGAGGGCTTGCACGTGGGAGCGGGACCTGGACCGGGGCCGCACGGTAACAGAATGGGACGGAATTTTGCAAGATGTCGATGATGCCGTGATGGGAAAGTTGCGATGGGAATCTGGGAGAGGAACGGGACGGGGGCGGCTGGCCCGCTCGACGGCGCCGTACGAGTGGAATCGGGTCACAGGTACCGAGCTGCGGCGACGGCTGACGGCTTCTCGGCGGTAGGTAACAGACGGTGACAAGGATCGAAAGCGGCGAATGGTGTGTTGTGTTCGTGATGGTGGTGGTGTTTGCTCGATCTTCAGACAGGAAGCAAGTGATGGAGATCGAGATTTTGGAGAGCGATCAGGCAAAAGGTATTTAGCACTGGTTTTATTCAACGGGGGGGGGAAACGGAAGGTACCAGCACCTGGCTGACTCGGCCAGCTCCTTCCAAGGTCAAGTCACAAAGAAGCGGGGTTGTGGCGAGTTCAGTCAGCAGGAGGCAAGAACTACACGTGTAAGGAAAGAAGACAGGGAAAGACCGGAGAAAATGGTAACATTGCAGGCAATAGCAAGCGCAAAAGGCAGGAAGAAACAGGCAGGAAAAAGGCCACACGCAGGGCAAGTGCACCACCCATACAATCAGCAGGGAAAGCGCAAACTGAAAAAGACGGAAAGAGGGGATGCTCTGGACCCTGAAAACTCTCTCTTCGCTGGCCCCATCGGCATGTGGCAACGTCCAATAGAATTCTCTGCTTCAGCCAACGGTGGAGCGAAACCTCCTGAAAGTCACGTTTTTTAACATAGAGCAGATCCACTCGCTTACCTCATTCAGCAGTAGTGGCCCCCGCTTGAGACCCTGGCTGGTCCATTTCGGGAAAGGTCGGGCTTGAGATTAGATAACGACCCCTCTTATCCAGAGACCCTGAACTGGAGCAGAAAAGGCAGGACCGAATGCACCGGTTTACCATCATCGTTCCTGCAACTGGCGGAGTTTATTCCGAGAGAAATGATTTGCCTGGGTTGTTGTCGCGCTTTCCGTATATACTGCTTAGAGCATGATTTAATTGGATAAAATGGTTCTAGAAGTTGCATTTCCCGAAAAACACAGCTAACAGGCCGAGTTTCGTCTGCAAAGCCACCAGCCGCAGGTTCTAGCCGTAAAGATGGCACTCCAAAGAAATACAATCCAACATGGGTACTGACTTTGAAATCTACCATTTCTGGTCCTTGGGAACCGACTCCTGCTTGCTGATGAAATATCCCATTTATCTCAATCTTCTACTATTATACGCGATTATTATATCTACATCTACCACCTTTTAATACCCTTTCCGGGACCAAAACACCATCCTCGCGAGTTTACAACTCCTCCCTCCCCCACGTGCTGTACCAACCTCCGTCCTCCTTCTCGCAACCCCATGAATCCCTCCTCTCAGGGTCGCCGCCCTTGAACTTCGACTTGGCAGGATACGCGCACAAAGGCCTCGTAGGCGCGTCGCTCTCGTTGCCCCCGCTCAATTTAAACCCCTCCAACACCTCCGGAAACGACCCCTCCTCGACCCATGCCCGCAGAGTCTCCAGCCCCTTGAGCGGATAAAACGTCCCGTTGAGCCCGTAGCAGTGATACAGCCCCGGCGCCTCGAAGTGACGGTAGTACCTGTCCGCCTTCCCGTCCCTCTCCAGCACCTTGTCGTAGTAGTCCCTCGACGTCCGCATCGTGACGCACTCGTCCGCCAGCCCGTGCCAGCTGATCATCTTCTTGCCCAGCCTCTTGAACTCGCTCAGGTCCGGGTCGTTCGCCCCGATCAGCCCCTCGTACTCCCTCCGGCTCTGCTCGAACGCCGCCTCCAGATCCGCGTAGTCCATCCCCGCCACGTCGTACCCCGGGTCCTTGTGGACCAGGTTCCGGATCCACTCCACCGACATCCGGAACGGGTGCCCCGTACACGGCCGGTCCGGCACGCTGCAGTTCACGTTCCCCAGCCCGAACCGCCCCGTGAACGGCGCCCCGATCGGGTACCCCTTGAGCCAGAGCGGCCTGCCCTCCGCGTCATGCGGCCCGCGCCAGATCTCCCTCGCAATCCTCGCCGTCGCAGCCGACATGTTCATCCGCTTATCCCCGCAGTCCAGCTCCCTCCCGACAACGCTCTCCGGATCGAAGTCGCACGCGTCCGGGTCCGCGATAACACCATCCCTGACCCCGTCCATCTCGTCGCACGCCTCGACCGCGAGCCGCGTCATCATGACCAGCTCGCACACGTGCGGGTACACCCCCATCCGGTTCATCACGAACTGCGGCCAGTACGTGCTCACGATCAGGCTCGGCTGGTTCACCGCCGGCGCGCCCGCGAGGATCCCGTCGTAATCCCCCGGGTACCGCTGCGCCTCGATGACGCCCTGCCGCCCGCCCGTCGAGCACCCGCTCCAGTACGAGTACGCCGCCGGCCGGGCGTAGAACTGCGCCACGATCTGCTTCGCGATCACCGTCATGTCGTGCACCGCGACGTGCGCGTAGTTGGTCAGTAGCCTCTCGTTGATGGTCCCGTCGTCGTTCAGCGCCCACGGCGCCTCCTCCCACGTTCGATAGTCATGTCCCGCGTCCGTCGCGCTCGCTATCGTTCTCGTATCAGCCTCCAGAACCTGCAAAGAAAACGCCAACCCGCAGCGCACCCACGTGCAGCGGTACCACAAGAACAAAAAAGGAGAAAAAGAATCAGGGCAAACTTACTCGCATACCCCTCCGCCAGCGTCGCGACAATCTTCTCGCTCCCAAACTGCCCGGCCGAGTACCCCCCGCCCCCGACGCCCACGAACCGCCCGTTCCACGCCCCCGCCGGCGGCAGCCAGACCTGCACCCGCGTCAGGTCGTCAGAGCCCGCGTGGACGTACTCGACCGTGACGTTGCAGAAGCTGACGCCCGAACTCGGGATGGCTGCGCGGCCCTCTGGCGTCGTCGCGGGCGTCCTCGTCGTCGGGGCGCCCAGGTCCGTGACGGGCTGCGCGAGGACCCTGACGACGTCTGCGCCCTCGAGCGCGGGGAAGCGGAAGGTCGTGGGCGCGCAGTGCTTCGACGAACCGTGTGTCGTCGTTTGTGTGCTTATTGCTCCTGCGGGCCCTGCTGGTGGTTGGGACCAGCGCAGGGCTGTTAGGAGAGTCTGGAGACTCTTCATTTTGACTTGATCTTGCGGCTGAAGATGTCCTGGGAATTTTTCCTTGGATTTTCTGAGGTTTGAATTGGTTATTATTTCCTCCCCGTGTTCGAATTAATTAGACCGGGTTTCCCGGAGCTGCAGTTCCGCTTGTTCGGAGGGCGTGCCTGGTGCGTGTGTGCTCAGACTTCGCAGGTCTGTGACAGATACTTCAGCTTGATGCGTCGCGAAACATCAGGCTCAGGCGGGGGTTCGGGGACGTCGAGGATCCCGTCGGCATTAAAAACGTTCGTCGCATGGCATTTGATAACCACGCGCAACAGCCAACGAACATCATTATATCTTCTCTGGAAAGACCGAAAACAACAACGGCATAGAAAGTAGACAGATGAGTTGGCAATGCAGCTATGCGGATGGCTGGACTGCCTTACCCCACATGATCGTGGCTAGCTCCGCGCCGGGAGACGCGAGACCACGTCGGTAATGCCTTCTTAGCGTGTGGCATATTGAAGAGCGTGGTTGCTTTTCTCTTCGTGAGAATGTCGTTGCGCGGCTCCGATATCTCGGGCTGGATGACTAGTCCGCGCCGTCAGCCACCTCGCCAAGCGCGGTAGGATTGTAAGTCGGCATGTTAGTCTGGTCTCGTGTAACTGTTGTCATGCCGGACTAAGGCAGTCGCATGCGAGGTGAGGCAGGTATATTGAACTTCATGGACAGGGTATGTGTAGATTCGGTGCTATTAGTCAATGGTAGACGCCGTTGTTGCAAGCTGTTTGGCCTTGATCTATTCCACATACCAGGTCTGGCTGGAAACATCCGGACTTAGTCGTCTTCCACCACTCTTGATATCAATTTTAGTAGGAATTCACTTGTGCTCTTCATTCGAAATGCCGAGTAGGGTTGAGTATGCGATATCACGATAGTCACACTCAACCACCGGCCAAGGCGAAATAGCACCCCCTGAACCATCAGCCAGACCCTATGCAAAACTATCATTGCCACTGGCATATCAATCTGAGCCATCTACTTCTTCTATCAAGCCATTAACACCGCCACGCAATCTCCAATATCAAACCCCAACCCTACCCAGCCCTCGAGAAAGCATACTCCCCAAGCCACCGATACGCCTCCCTCACCGCCCGCCACCCCTCGGACTCCCCATCACGGCTCGCGTCGCAAACATGCGGCGCCCCCTCCACCAGCACCAAGCGAGCCTCCACGCCCCGCGCCTCCATCTCCGCGGCCGTGCGCGCGGACTGCTGCCACGGGATCAGGTCGTCCGCCGTCCCGTGGACCAGGAACGTCGGCGTCTTGTACGTCCCGCTCCTGACCTGGGCCAGGGGGCTGCACCGCCGGACGTCTTCGATCGGGGGCTGCGGGAGAGTGTTCCAGTCGGAGAAGGAGGAGGAGGCTGCTTGGCGTCGGCTGGGGAGGCCGCCGATGATGACCGGGAGGGATTGGGCTTTCCAGTTCATGTGGAGGACGATGCGGGCGCGCGGGTCGGTGCGGATGCGTGGGTCGGAGAGGGGTTCCCAGGCGCCGATGGTGGTGTAGTTGGTTATCTGGATGCGGTCAGGATTATGAATAGGTATCGCGCTCATGGAGGTGTGGCTCACGGGACTATCTTGAACTGCGGCCAAGACGTCGTACTCTTCGCCTTGGTCCTCTGCCCCGATGGGCTGGATGGGATTCTGCCACCCTGCAAATATTCTTAGCATAACACTGGGAGAGAGAATCCCCGACTTACAGTCATCTTCGTAATCAGTCGGGCAGTAGAACCCCAGGATGGCGTTCGGAGGCTTGAGTCCCCTTTCCGGCGCCGTCCATCCGGTCGACAGGGCCAACTGGCCTCCCGAGGACCACCCCACGACGACGATGTTGTCCGGATCAGGCCTGACATCGGGATTGATCAGGTTGGTGTATGGAAGCTTCGTTCTGGCCCATTCGAGTGCGTCGCAGACATCGACCACCGGCCCTTCAGCCAGCCGAGTCTCTGGACAGAGGCGGTGATCCAGACTGACTGGAAGTAGACCCATATCCAGCATGATACGCGTCTGTGGAGGGCGAATGTCTTTCCGGGAAAAGATGATGTGGCTTCCGCCGTGTATCATCAAAGCTGGTGAGAGAAATGAGCAAGCTGCCCCGTCAAGTGCAGGGACGTTACCCACCTATTGGCATCTTCTTCGCAGGATTCGCCGTCAAGGGGCAATAAACATCCGCATAGATCTCTCGGGAACCCACAGTCTTATAAACCAACTCTTGTACTCTCACACCGTTGACAGCACCGGCATCCTTCACCACCTCCCGTCCCCGCGACGGAGCCCCCAACTTCCGGAACCCACAAATCACGCGAACAGTCCGGGCCTCAAGCGACTCCCCATCAGACCACCGCACCTCCGGAAACCCGGCATCGGCGAAGGCGCGCCCCCAGCTCTCCGCGTCAGCCAGGGCATGCGTCCGGCCGTCGTCGAAAAGCCACCAACCCTCGAGCAGCCCGACGATGATGTCAAAGACGTACAGCTGACGCGTGGGTGTCATCTCGATCAACGCGAGAGCGCCGTCCTCGCGGAGCATCGTGCGCAGATTCGAGAGGCTGCTGGTTATGTTGCGGGTGGCGTGGATGCAGTTTGTCGATATGATGACGTGGAACGCCTCGGTCAACTCAGGTGCGGGATCTTGTTCGATGTCCAGCACGCCGAAACTCATACCCGTGACATCGGCAAAAGAAGTTTTGGCTTTCTGGACGAGGGATGCCGATAAGTCGGTGAAATGGTACGCGAACGGGATACCGTGTTTCGTGAGCATGTCGACGATGTGGCGTGTGGTTCCTCCTGTTCCCGCTCCGACCTCTAGGATGCGGAAGGGCCCGGACCCGGTGCTGTCTTTGAAGGCCCGGCATAAGAATTTGCCGAGGAGCTGTGTGGCGGTCACGAGCATCGGCCAGTCTCTGTAGAGGTCATCCAGCCATTTTTTGTTCGCGCGGTTTCCGAAGAGGACTTGGAGGGCGTCTTGCTCTCCGACAAGGCAGGACGCAAGATGTGGTCCGACGGCGTGCAGGAGATGACGGATCGGGACGTTGGATGGATGTTTACCGATGATTTCGTGGAATATCTGCTCTCCATGAGTAGCTTCTATGTCCTTGTCACTCCTTGTGAAGGCACCATTTGCCAAATGCTCGATGATGCCTTCGTCTTCCAGGAATTGGTACAGGCGTTGGACGAGCTGTGTGTGTCGAGACAAGACGCCTGTGACGTTGGGGACGGTCATACCGGGTTCCAAAACTCTTAGGTCGCAGCCTAGATTTGTGAAGGCTTCGGTGACGTACGCGAGGACTAGGCGGACATCGTCGGGGTGCATGTCGGACCAGTATCCCAACGCTTGCGTTGCTGCTCCTAGCTGATCGAAACTGAGCCTGACGTCGTCAAAGGACTTGGAAATGGAGTTGATGACGGGCAGATCGGAGCCTTCTGACTTGAAAGGGCCGATATTTGTGTTCGGGAGTGCATCTTTAGTGGAAGTTGACACCGATCCATTCGTCTGAGCTGAACTCTTTCCCTGATTTGGTGAGTCTCCGGCCGAGGAAGGATCGGGAGTGTGTTCGTTAGCTGAGTCGAGGCCAAGTTGAGTATCGACGTGATGAATGATCGCGTTGATGTCGGGAAAGAGCAGGAACGTCGACAGATCAATCGTCACATTCAATGCAGACGCGATGTCGCTGATCATCTCGGTAGACCCCAGAGAGTCAACCCCAATATCAGGGAGACACTCCTCGCCGGAGAGCTTCTCCTCAGGAACATCGGCAATGCTAGCAGCAATCCGAAGAACATCATGACATTTGCTCTCGGGCTTGTGGCTACCTGCTGGGATTGTCTCCGTTCGTATTCTCTGACCCGTTTCGTGGGTCTTTTCTGCGTGCTGAAACTCAGACCCCTTGGTACTTCCACTCAGCAATCGCGTGAGGGAAGAACGAGACATCCTCGTGAACTCCATTCCAAGCGCAACGAGAACCGTCTTTCTGCTCTTCGCCCCGGATACGTACACGTCGACTGAGATGTTGTCTTGGTCGATGGCGGATTTGTTGGCGAAGACGAGCCAATCTTCGCTGTCCGGAGAAAACGAGGGTCCGAATTGCAGGCGCTGGATGTGATGACAGACGAGGAGGTCGTCTGGAGACACTGCCTCGTTGAAGTAGTTGACCAAGAACCCCCCAAACTGCATGAAGCTGTCGATCATCGGGGCGTTCGTCAGACGCTGATCAGGCGGGTCGCCGCTGGAAGTTGTTATCTTGACCTGACCGGCGGCTTCATTGCCTAGGCTAGCGATGGCCTTGATGCCACGGAACGAATCCGAGTATTGCACGATCTGGTTGAAGGCCCGGTAAATGTGCTTCCCGTGCATTGCTTCCGCGTCGGGGTGGTTCATGAGCTGCTCCCAGCGATGGTCTCCGATTAAGCCGTCAAAACGACCAAATTCTTGCCCTGCCCTTCGATCATTCTTCTCATGCAGAAGGACGGTTCCAGTCGTGGTGTCCTGGGCCTCGCTCGACAGTTGACTATTACCAGAAGACAGTTCAACCTTCATAGTGAAAGACCAGGCTGGCCGTAATGTTCCGAGACTTTGCAGAGTCATTGTGATCTTGGGGGGATCTTGACCGAGAACCAACGCTACTGGAGCCTTCATCGTCAGATCCTCAACTATCGGAACCCATCTCGCAGCATTCGGATCTTCCTGCAGTAAGAGGACGGCTCTCGAGGCGATCTCTATGTATGCAGAAGCCGGCATGACGGCATGGCCACACATGACGTGACCGGTGATCAGAGCCTGGAAGCGATCACTCGTGGCCGAAACTCGAAAGCATGCCTCAGTCGACCTATTGCCTTTGATGAGAGTTATGAACTCATCACTTTTCGGCTGTTCAGGCTTTGGATTTGTTGCAATCTCTGCTCCACCTTTGGCCCGGATGTACGGAAGCCAATGCCGAGTCTTCTGGAATTGATACGGAGGCGGACTCAGGTGCTGATATTGCCGCCGCTGACTACGATGGAACGGCCAGTACTGAACGCTGTGGCCTTCTTTCCATAGTCTGACTGTGACATCGACGAGGGAGTCTTGTGCATTCGGCGCAGTGAGTTGCGGAGCCATGAATGAATGGTTCTCTGGCTTCTCGGCACACGCCCGCACAAGCTGTGTTGCGGACAGTCCCCGTCCTGCTTCGAGCCAAGTCGCTCGTGGATATTTCCGCATCAGTCTCTCAACAGCATGCTGGAAGTAAACTGGACGTCTCATGTGTTCAACTACAAGACGGCTGTCGGGAGCCTCTTCCGTCCGCGTTTCGCTGCAGATCTCGAGATGAATCATTGGACTGTTCCACTGTAATCCTTCCGCAAGTTCACTGAGGGCAGGTAATGAGGATTCTGAGAATCTTGAGTGGAATCCGTGCGTGACATCTAGCCTTTGATGACGGACGGAAGAGAATGACTGAGTATCCCCAGTGATAAGATTTTCCACCCTTTCAATGGCTTCGGAGAATCCAACAAGGACGTGGCTTCTAGGCCCATTGAAGCATGCTACCTCTAGACCTTCGACCTGATCAAGTATCTCAGCAATCTGACCCCGGTCGGCTTGCAAAGCAAGCATGGTGCCTGCCTCATGACCCCAGTGCCTGTTAACGATCGATGCCCTGCCAGCGACAAGCTTGATCGCGTCGCGCAATGACAGCGCACCAGAAATGCACAGGGCGGAGAGCTGACCAAAGCTATGCCCAATGACTGCGTCAATCTTCAGTCCGCAGTCCATCCAAGACTTTGCGCAGGAGTACTGAATAGCAAACAAGGCCGTATGCAGACTGACGAGGTTTGATATAGGTGCAGGCTGAAAGATAGCAGGAAACAGTCCTTCCAGGCCGAAGCCCAAGAGCATATCGTGACAGATGTCGAGATGGTGGCGAAAGATGTGTGATGACCAGTAAACAGCCTCCGAAAGGCCAACGAACCGGCTCTCCTGGCCCCCGAAAACCAAAATGACTGGTTTGGGAAGGGGCGTTGTGGTCACGCCGCTACTTCCGGTAGCGAGCGCAGAGAGAGTTGACTCGAGATCCGAAATACTGGATACAGAAGTGGAAACAGAGTCGCCAAGTGAGTGATTGGCTCGATGACAGAGATTGAAAAGAATGTCTGAAATGTGGATATCAGGCGTGATCTGTTTCTCTCTCCGTAACCACTCGAGCAACTTTTGTGCATAAGTGGTCAAAGAGGCTTCCGTTGACGCGGTCAAAATCAGGGGCCACTTTGAAGATGGTGAAGACTTCATAGCCGGAATCGAGACATCGAGTTCAGACACAGGTGCTTCGCGAATCATGACGACGGCGTTGCTACCTGCCGCACCATAGTTGTTGACGCAAGCAACACGGTCTGATAATCTCCAAGGTGTCATATGTTCGGGAATGGCCAAGCCATCAGGCTCAAGCTCCGGAATGCTGGGGTTCAACGAGTGATAACTAGCTTGCGGTGGTATCTGACCGTGTTTCAACATCAGGATCGCCTTGATCAACCCGGCGGCTCCAGATGCAGCTTCCGCGTGACCGATATTCCCCTTGATAGATGAGAAGTAGAGTGTTGAGTCTCTGGACGGCTTCCCGAAAGCTTCTCGAAGGCTGCTAACTTCGATGGGATCGCCAACACTGGTGCCAGTCCCGTGTGCTTCGACATACGTTACATTCTCAGGTGAGATGTTGGAATGATCCATCACCTTTCTCAGCAGATTGGCTTGCGACTTGGCATTTGGCACCACGATAGGCCCTTCTTTGTGGTTCTGGCTGGTCGCCGAGCCGACGATGACTCCAAGAATGTGGTCATGCTCTTCGATCGCTGCGGATAGCGACTTCAAGACGACCACAGCAACCGCCTCGCCACGGCAGTAGCCATCAGCGCTCGCATCAAAGGGCTTACATTGACCCGAAGGACTTAGAAAACCAGCAGCTTTCAAGTCTCGGTAATCATGCGGACACGTGATGATGTTCGTACCGCCAGCAACAGCTCGACTACACTCACCCGAGGCTATAGCGCGGCAAGCAGTGTGAATGGCGACGAGCGAAGAAGAGCATGCTGTGTCGATAGTCATTGCCGGGCCTGTCCAGCCGAAATGGTGACTGACAGCGCCGCTGAGATACGATCGCCCGGTTCCTGTGGTAGCGTACGCGGTGGGAGGATGGCTGGTGAGATTGCTCGCGTAGTTATTCATCACGGCTCCGATGTAACAGCCGTAGTCGGATGGATCAGAGGAGGCCTCTGGGCTGAGCTGGCCTGAGGATTCCAAGGCCTCATACACGACTTCGAGCAGCTTCCTTTGCTGTGGATCGCAGGCTGTGGCCTCACGGGCTGACTTGTTGAAGAACTTGTGATCGAATGCGTCATACTCATCGAGGAAGTTGCCCCACCACTTGACTTGCGAGACATCTTCTGGTAGCTCATCCAGTCCAACTCTTTCTGGTGCACGAGAGACTGTGACGCCTCCAGTCGATATCAGATCCCAAAGTTCGTCGACTGAGTTGGCGCCGGGAAACCTCCCTGCCATACCAACAACAGCGACTGAGTGGGGAGGGAAGCCCGTTTGCGCAAGGTTCCCTGACGAATTCGAATCTATCTGTAGTTCCGTTTCAATGCCTAACGAACAGCCATCACCCGTGCGCCCTGGGGGCGTAGTAGGTGGTGTATGCTGGCCGCCCAGCCCATCGCAAGACCCTTGAGATATGGCTGGCTGTGTTTTCGTGATGTCCCGCAGGTCCAGAAGCCGTATATCGGAGCCTGAGACCAAAGACCGGGGAAAACAAGTTGAGATGCCTGCCATTGCGATGAACTTGTACCCTGGATTCAGGGATGCTGTAGCGAGCGTGAGAGTTTTGTACCACTCGACGGGTTTGAGCAGAGTGTTCTCCAACATGTGTCGAACAAGGTCTCCGCCAATGATGTTTCCACTTGTGGCAGATCTGACGGGAACAAGCAGCTTTCTTGGAAAGGAAAACCGAAGATCCGGAGCCTGGCTGATGAAGTCGGCGAGTCTTTCGATGTCCTCAGCATAACTGTGATGATGGAATCGGCCATCAACGCCAACCTGCTGGACGATAAACCCAGCTTCGATGAGTGCGCGTGACAACCGCAGGAGGTCGTCAGGTGAGCCCGAGATTGTGATACAATTCTCGTCAGTGACTGCCGAAACATACGCCTAGAAATATCAGTGTGATGATCATCGTTATTTTGAACAGCTTGGAAGTTTACCGTAGGATATTCTTTCAACACAACATCTACTATCTGCGAGCTTTCGGCCCACGAATGCTTCACCCTCACAGAGATGCAGGTTGTCTGAGTAAAAGTGGCGTCGTAGTCGACATAGGCACCAATACAAACTGCCAGTCGAAGAGTCCGTATTGCAGTTTTAACAAGCGCTTCCTCTGTAGGAGATGTTGCGACTGTGATAGCAGATAAGAGGCCAACACAAAAGCCTTGAGCACCGCCCTCCAGTTTCTCAAGCAGTGATTGTTGCCCATCACAATCCTCACTTATTGATCGAACGAGGCAGATGTATTGGATGAACTGGATCAAGAAGTTGATGGGAAAAGTGAGGACCGACGGCGATCTCGGAAGGCGAGATGGAAATGGATCCCCATGCTTGAGCCAGCCGACGAGGCCACTTAAAATCGAATGACCAGGAACGCATGAGAGCCGTGGATCATGATCTAGTAATCTGGACCAGAAGTTTTGTAGGTCTATTACAGCGAAGAGCAGTCTTGAGAGTCGCTTATCCGAGAGAAGATGAGCACGCAAGTTGGCGAGATGCTCAGGTGATGGTCGGCCCTGCGGCCCAAAAACAATCATGGATGGAAACATTTTGAGATTCTTTTCCAATGTAGGTCCAATGATACCCAAAAATGGTGATTGGAGATCTCAACGTATTAGCTGGCTGATGAAGGCTGTAGATGTTGCCAAAATGCCGCGCAGAGACGGCGAACCGGCCCCAGAGAAAATTAGGGAAGCTGAACTGTCGGATTTCCACGAGTCTGCTGCTATTACGTGAGGGCAATAGTCAAAAAAGCCGAGGCATATATCAGCATCAACTCTAGACAATTCCAGCAATGCACCTGTGAAAAGGATTGCTCGTAACCTTTGGGCAAACAGACGTTGTATGAGGCTCCGGCCAGCACGGAAATCACAAGAAACCACAAGACCATGCTGCACGTCACTCGTTCCAGGAGACATTGTGCTGAACTCACATAGCATGCCATGACTCTCCCATCATAGGGTGTGGTTGCAGTAAAACGTTGAAACCGTGAGTCGTATTCATCTGATTTCGTTCAACTAAACTCTTTCTAGGTAGGGGTTACATTGCTTCTACCCTAGCGTGAACAAAAAGCTCAGAAAAACCTTGCTGATGAATCTCGCCATGAATTTTTCGGTTAGCACGAGGTAGCAAATCCCTCTGATGGTGTGGTGTCAGCCGCCCCAAACCTAGTCAACATGGGTTGAAGATTGGGACATCGGTCCGTCAGTCTGAACATGATATGCGAATCACAAAACTGGTCAAGCTTTCTCTCACACGATTTGGAAAGCTTAGTGCAGAATTAGGTTTCCGGTATCATGATTTTCATTCTGTCTGTTGAAAACTCTAGGTGTGGCGAGTAATCCGTTCAGCCATAGCTCCATGAGGGCCTAGTTTGCCCCCATGCCGTTGGGGATGATGGCCTTCTGGAGCAATGTAGGTGGTCACTTGCAGCTTTCCACCTCTTACCATCATAGACAACCACATGTGCACACCCCGTGACTCCTTCAGTTTCCTGTGTGTGACGATCTGGTGTAAAGAGTCCCAGTAGGCATCTACATATTGACCCCGACCATGGATTTCCATCCAATTCGTGATTGCGGAAGCGATGGCCTCATCGTCCGCTCCGTAGTGGCAAACTGGAATGTAGAACTTGACATCGGGCAACTCCTCTCGACCAAGTCCAATATCGAAGTAGTACGCAAAAGTTCCCCACAGGCCTTCAGTGTCAACACCATCGGTCGAAACATTGTACCTAGGAGCTCTGGGAAGGTCTTTGTTCCGAGGGAAGTCCGCCGGTAGATTGCACACAGCTTTCATAAGCTCCCAAGCGTTGTCGAGAATGACTGGGTCGATCTTGATCATACCGCCCATGGTGAGAATCGACTGGACGCTCTCGAATGATGTGCGTGCCTCGACGCAGTAGAACTTGATGCGCGCATTTGCTGGCTTGACAACATCGATACCAAGCCAGAGCGGTGTCATGGTCAACCCAAGCTTTGGCGCGTCGTTCTTGACGAAAGAAAAGACCTTCGAGAAGGTACGAGTCTCAGGGACAGCTGTTGAGATTGCTTCTTCCCAAATATTCATAGGGGTAAGACCAACTTGACCAAGCTTGCGCGGGAAGAAGTAGGCCTTGGGGAGAATCTCGTGACCCAAGAATTCAAAGCCAAGGCAGACATTCGTCATGATGGATCGTTCATTGGTGTCCAGGTATTTGTGCTGGGCGGCGTCGTAGAACTTCCCGATGAAGTGGTTGAAGAGGCTCATGTCGAGGGACGGGATTTGCGGCTTCATGGCGTAGAGCATCTCGGTAGCAGGCTTGAGATTCAAAGGATCCATGTAGGTGCCTGCAAATCTGCTAAAAGGTTCCATAACCATGCGGATCTCGGGCTTGGTATTGGACTCGTTCCATCTCCAGCTGTACTCGATGTGGGTGCCGTCGAGAGACAGCCCACTATCTCCGCTCGCCGTTCCGAGTCCGCTTAGGTTTGGGGAGTTTCCCAGCCTGGGGACGACATGGTGGTGAACGAAGAGCAAGTACTCGTACTGATCCTCGAGAGTGTAGTCGGCGTTGCGAAAAAGGGTCGCGAAATGGGGCCCAACGAGGTTCCACCAGTAATCGCTGTGCTCATCTCTGGGCGGGAGCCATTTTGACACTGACTGCAAGACGGACTTTCGTGGGCTCGGTTTGTGATTCACATTTGATTTTGGGGTGACTGTTCCGCTACTAGCTATGATCTTTCCCCGTTCTTTGGGAAGCTGAGCGTACTAGTCAGTATCTTTACGATCATGAAGCTCCAAGGTGAAAGAACAGGACTTACCGAGTCCCGCGAAGGCATCTGAAAAACAGAGACAGACTGCATAACGAACCACTGCAGTTTTCAGGCGTTCAATGAGGATGAATGAAGTTGAGGTCCAACAGATGGCGCAATTCCAAAAGAAGCTGTGCGAATGTCAAACTATGAAGAGAGCTCAGCTTCATGGAGCTCTTTCTGTCATCCAGGGCTATGAGGTTCGTCAAATGCCAAGCGCTTGGATCGGCTGCGAATTGGAGCTCTGGCCACCACATCCAACATATCCCAGATGCATGTTTCTTTGATTCGGCGTCCCAATCTTGTCCGTTAAACATTGGTGACACCAAGAGCTTCGGTCATGCCTGTTTGGTCGACGACACCATGAGTCAAGGGCTATGTGCCCTCAAATGACATCCCCAGCCGCTATGTTGTCAAGACAACATAGATGGTGTGTAACGACAGGGAAATGAACATATGATAACTTCGAATCAGGTGAATGTATCCGGAACCTTGAGTGGTATTTCGTCCGGTGCTGATCCGCGGTGCTGGTAACACATGTCCGTCTCAAATCTCAACCCACCCCACATCAGCTCGACCGGGGAAACTCTATCGGTAGTTTCTCCAGTTGGCTCCATTCTCTGTGACAGCAAATCAATTAAACCTCCAAGATGCACAAACTTTGGCTCAAATGAGACCAAAGCACCTAAACAGGATTCCTTTCTCAAACCACTTGCCTTGCTTGAGGTGATGATGCCCTGGTTTGCGATGGTTCGATTCCAGTTGTGTCCAACTGCCCACCTAGCCGCTCAAGTCAGTACTCTTGCGACGCAAGCAACAGGCGGGGTTACCGTCAACAGGCTGGTTCCATTAAACATATAGTACCAAAAATGGGAGAAACGTAATCCCCGAATAGCGGGCATTTGTAGGGCGTAATTCTCACTCGTCATTTTCAAAGTCCATATCGGTGAGGGAAATTTGAAAATTGCAACGAGATGAATTGAATATTTATCACCTCCTAAGATTCTTCAGTGATACCATTCAAATATGCAGACCTCAAAAGGATTTGACAAAACCAGCCCAATGGGTGCTTCCCGCGACGAAGGACATATTGTTAGCAAGACGGATTATGAATCCTCAACGGGTTCACGGCGAGCTCGCTGGTCAATATTTGGTCTCGCCATTTCTTGCTTAACTTTGAGCTGGTGGTTTCTTCCTCAAGCTGTCCGCCTCATTGAGCCTCTTTGGGGCAGTGGGCGGGTTCATCACGGCCAAGCTATCAACCAAATCGTTCGAAAGTACAATCTCACAGTCGGGGCGAGGTGGATGAACTTAGGTGTGTATTAGCGACATTTTTAAGTGCATGGTTAACTGAAGTTGTGATATAGATGGAGGTTTCTGGAGAGGCATCTTTGTCTGCAATGGCGAGACTCCATGCCCGACTTTATTGGCGGAAGAGGGGGACATCGTCGAGTTGAACGTTCACAATGATCTGTTCGGCCAAGTATCGATCCACTGGTCGGGCATGAATCACAGAAGGTGAGAGGACGCGCATGATGGGATTACCAGGAGATATAATTCGATTATACTAACAATTGAATAGATTCGGCTTTTGGAATGACGGGACTGGGGGTCTCAACCAGGTACATATTATCCCCCTTTTGGGCCATCTGGCTGTGCTCTACTAACCAGACAATGCCCTAGTATGGACTTCTTCAACGAGGAAACTTCACATCGAAATATGACACCACGGGGCACTGGGGCCTGAATTGGTATGCTGACCACACCGGTGTTGGCATTATGGATGGTGCTCATGGCCTGGCATACGTCGCACCTTCGCCGTCTCGCCCCAGGCCTTATCATCGCATCACGACCTCTCCTAATGAGCTGGTCATGATAAGCGAAGCAGAGCGCAACGCTCAACACATACTTGTCTGGAACTACTACCGGAGAGACGTCACCTGGCGCGTTCTTGAGATGAGAAGCGAAGGGACCAACCTCGACTGCTACGACTCTATTCTTGTCAATTCAAAAGGCCGACGACATTGCCGCCACCCCAACTTCTCAACTCTGAACGGCCATCAACTGGATGAGTCAGGATGTATGATAGAGCAAGGAAATGATGGTGTGCGATGTACTCCTACTGATACAGATTATGAGGTACTTCTCTCTGTATTCTCAACAATGCGTCCCATGCTAAACCTCTTCAGGTGATCGAAACCCACGGCAGACCTTGGATTATGCTCAATGTTTTGAACATTGGTTTTGAGCATGCCGTTCGATTTACCATTGATGATCACAAGATGTGGATTGTTGCGAACGACGGAGGCTTCGTCGAGCCGGTGCTGGTTGACGTGCTCTACATCACCAACGGTGCTCGCTACACCATCTTAGTCAAGCTCGATCGAGAAGGCGCCGACTACGCGATGCGCCTAGTGTCAACAAGCAATCGTCAAAATCTCCAAGGATATTCTATCCTGCGATATCCGGTACGCTTCTCATTAATTCCCTCTTACTTGTGCTCAATTAACAAGATACAGGCATTGCGATACCCATCACATGGTGCTCCCATGGAAATACATGATCCTCCGAGCGGCTCGGCACCCTGTGTAATTCCTGATGGCTCCATTCATCCCAAATGCAACACGACAACACCGGAGTCCCTGGCGCCGTATCCGCCGTCAGCTCCACCACGAGCAAACCGAACTCTGCACTTCCAAATTGCCCAGAAGCCTTCGCGATATGAGAAGCACGTCACGGAGACTTTCCTGAACGAGAAGCCGTGGCAGCTTTACCATGCACAAATGGCTCCTCTGTTGTTTATCAACAACCCATCAGCCATTGAGCCACCGATTGTGGGAGATCTTCCTTGGGGCACGACCGTCGACGTGATCGTCCAAAACACAGTCGACGACACGATGCCGCTCTACAAACATGGAGACCCCATGTTCCTCCTCGGATCCAAGCCCAACGCCACGTGGGAGTGGGACACGGTTGAGGACGCCATCGCGGCTGGGACGGCAAAGCTTAACCTCAAGAACCCCGCCCTGCAGCTTGTCCACGACGTGCCGCCTCTTGGCTGGGCAGTGCTCCGGTGGCAGATCCGCGTGCGCGGTGCCACCATGCTGCATTCGAATAAGTTCAAGTACTACGCGGTAAGATCCCTTTCGCCATGTGCTTTCAGTGGTCGGCCCGATCTGACTTACCCGTTCAAAGATGGGAATGTCGGTTCCGTTACTCGAGGGCCTAGATTCAACGGGCTTCCAAGTTCCTCAGCATGTGAAAAGCATGCCACATGTCGAATTCACGCCCAAAAATGACGGTGTCTTTGGCTAAAATGTTTTAAGATTCCGTCAAGCAACGCGCGGCGAAGGAGAGAAAGACTGAATGGTTCCCAGCAGGATGTTCCTTACATCCCAAGTTCGATGTTTGCAAAGAACGTGCCGTCGTCCGGACATCCAGAAAAACGCGTCTACTCGGATAGTCTCCGGTAGCATGTTCCGTTTTTAGTCCCAAAATGGATATATGAAACTTGTGTTCCCGAGTAACTCGTATTCTAGTGTTGGCTGTACTCACTATTGTTCGCGTGGCCAGCATGTTCCCCCAAATTTAGTTTTCTTCTCATTCTGAACTATAATCGTCGCGTCTGATGTGAACATCGAACGGAAGTTTATATGTTTCCGTGAAAAGTACAGCCAATAGAATTGTCCCCTAAAGTGATCTATGCAACAACGTAAGGTTTTCGGCATGTTTAGTCTGCAACACAGCAGTCGAAGTAATAGTTCCCGGTCGAGAAACCCACCGGAGCCTGCTCCGCGCGCCGCGCATCGCGGGTTTTCGAACATTTCAACATCCAATCAACACCGGTCAGTTTGACTCGCTGCCAGTGCGAGACATTCAAGGATGGCTGGGATTTGCGTGTGAAAAAGGGTGCCGAAAGCGACTCATGATCTCTTGAAGGTAGTGTAAACAGTCGATCATGAACATGAAAGCTTGCTTTACTACACCCTCATTCTTACTTTCAGTGTTGAGATACATGGAGCTAGTTTACCAATCTTCATGACTTAGTTTGATATGTTGTTCCATTAGAATGGTTGCAATCACACAGTCTGCGGTCAGATACGGCCTCAGTGGTAAATAAACCTTCGATTACGTTGAGAGCGAACTTTATGCACGTCTACGCTTCTCGAATAAACTTCGTTCAAAAGTGGCAGACGTTTTCTCGAATGATTGAAGCGTTTTAGGCTTTTCCCATTTTCTAGAACGAAACCACCCTGCAAAGCATGGCGGCATATCTAGTGGAATTCAACAACATGTCAGTTCTTACAAAGAACCAAGTGCGCAACTGCACGCACCTATTGCCCATGTGTATCAAGCAAGCTACGTTGACCTTACTTGTTTCTCATCTACCATCACTCAAGTTGCAAACATGATCCCCACTTACATCCCAGCTCAGAAAGTGGAAGCGAAGAATGGCATTGTGTACGCCTATCGTCGACTCGGTCCCGCAAAGGGTATCCCGCTCGTGTTGCACATGCATGTGAGTGTCTTCAACGTGGTCCCTGTTCTGTTCAGAAAGCTCACTCTAGGGTAGGTGCGAGCATCGATGGGCTACTGGGATCCCGTCTTCATACGTCCGCTGTCGGTGAGACGCCCTGTCATCATGTTCGACCCGCCCGCGGTCGGTCAGAGCAGCGGCGACACCCAGCGTACACCATCTGATAGTGGGCATCCTTTTGACCCCCGTTTGTGTGAACCCGCAAGCTGAGCTGTGCTTTAGTAAACATCATGGGGGATGATCTGAATGCGTTTCTTGACGCCCTTGAACTCGAGCTCGTCGATCTCTTGGGGTTCTCGATCGGGAGCATGGCCTGTCAAATGGCGACCCTTGCGGAGCCCAAGCGTGTGAGACGCTTGATACTCGTGGGAGCCGATCCGTCAGCACCAATTCCTGGTCAACACTTTTGGCCTCGGACCGACCCCAATCTTGATCGCTTTTTGTCGTTGCAGAAGAGCGCGTCCGAGGCAGACTGGCAGGCTGCATACACTCTCACCTTCTTCCGCAACGATGACCAGGGTAGGGCCGCCGCCGATGCCTACTTTCAACGCCTGCGGGAGAGTGAGTTCAACGAATTTGCTTCCGAGGGGAAACTTCCGACCTTCAACGATGTGGAAAGCTTCATGATACAGTTGGGGGCTATCAAACACTGGAGCGCTCCGGGCGACAAGAACAAGCATTCTTTCTACCGGATGCACGAGCTCACGATGCCCGTGCTTGTCATGACAGGTGACGACGACTATCTCGTCCCAACGCCCCGCAGCTATGAGTTGATGGATAGGATTCCCAACTGCCAACTGGTGATCTGGCCCCGCTCCGGGCATGCTTCCATTTGGCAGTATGCCGAGAACAACGCGGCAAGGGTGAACGAGTTCTTGGACAGCAACCCTGACAATTATGTCGAGCCTAGATTGTGATGAGACGTGGAGGAAGGTCTTCGCTTGTAAACAGTGTTTAGTTTCTCGCGACTGCTTGTGCCATGAACAAACAAAGCCTTTCATTTATTCAGGGTATACTAGTATACAGCAATACAACCATGTTTGTGACCAAATGCTACTGCTACACCCCCACCACCTCGTAGCACCGGACTTGGACCTGTGATGAGTAGCCCGGACTTGCTTGAGAAATGACTCGGATTCTCGGCAACACGCAATGACTCAAAAGATAAAGCTTCCACCTAGAGTTCATAGAGGAGTCTCGTTCATGCAACCTCCGGATCACATACTGGGAACATGGCTCAGCCTGTGCATGGGCAACTCGGACTTTCGATTGACGTGATCACCGCTGACGGCACTCGGCGTTTGTTTGTAACTTAAGGAAGTTTGGACAGAGAGGGAAAATACCATTATCCCGTGGTGTTCAGAGCTTCAATGCGAGTGCTCCATCACAAGTCTGTGAAGCATTATGAGCGGCAGCTGATTCAGTCGTCACAAACACAGAATGAAAGGGAAGCCATACTGATACATGACATTTTATGGTAATTCTTTTGAGAATGGCTCCGATCAGAACTATCTTTACCTCACTTCTACTCCCAATCTTTGTGGCCAGTGAGGGAGTCCGGAGATATAATCTGACGTTGACTTATGCGTGGGACAAGCAAGGTATGAACTTCAAGCGAACATCACGTACCGTCCGTTCTGACTCTATATAGATGGCCATGGTCGTCCAGCTTATCTCATCAATGGCAAGACTCCTGGCCCTGTACTGACGGTCGACGAGGACGAGACTTTAGAGGCTTTTGTAGACAACCAGCTCGGAATTGAAACCACAATTCATTGGTACGGTCGAGGCATTCAATCAATTCCGGCTGGATGGGAGAAGACTGATCACTGAAAAGGCATGGAATCTACCAAATCAATGAACCCTGGAATGACGGCGTTCCCGGTGTGACCCAGGTTTGATGCATCATACATGACGGCTTTATTTTATTGGAGGTTTAACAAGTAGTAGTGGGCAACAGAACCAAGGGACAACTACACCTATCGCTTCACGCCAAAAGGCCAGTACGGTAGTTACTTCTATCACGGGCACTTTGGACCTGCATTCTCCGACGTGAGTCACTGATGTCACCTATTCTTTCCATGATATTTGCACTGAAATCTCATGTGTGTTCTATGCAGGGACAAAGAGGGCCTCTCTGGATACCACCGGCTGCCTGGCGTCCTCGGCCATATCACCTCATATCCAACGACAAGCATGAGATCCGTGCTATGCGCGCGGCGGAGGAAAATCCCCGCCATATCGTCATTGCCGACTGGAACGACCAACCAATGGACATGTACCTGATCCGATTTCGCGACACTGGATATATCCCCGTCTGTGCGAACAGCCTCACTCTTAATGGGCGAGGCGGGACGAGGTGTGAGTCGCCGAAGGACCTCGAAGATGCTGGAGGGCCTGGTCGTAATGAGAGAGGGTGTCGTTATAAGATTCCAGGTCACAAGTATACCAACACGGAATACTGCACTGAAACTCGTCCAGAGCTTGAGGTGATGCAGGCCGAGCCAGGTGAAGAATGGATGTGGATCAATTTCATCCATTCAGGGGCTCATCACTCACTTGCCATCAGCATCGATGCGCATGAGTTTTGGGTTGTAGCTGCTGACGGAGAGTTTGTCCATCCGCAGAAGGTGGTGAGAACTCATGTGAACCTCGGTGAGAGGACAAGGTATGCATTTCTGTTCAATCTCCGACTGACAATCGAGACTTAACTCACGATTTGCGCAGTATTCTTGTCAAACTGGACAAGCCAGCTGGAGATTATGCGTTGAGACTGCACTCTCTTCGTTCGGAGCAGATGATCCAGGGTGCCGGCATTCTTCGCTATCCGACAACCAAGGTATGAAGAGACCTGAATGGCAACGCAGTACCAATCCTCGCTTTTCGGTGTGGCTGACAAATTCACTTCACAGGACTTATCGAAACAATCCAATCGAACGGTTCCAAGCACGAAACCGTGGCTGCATCTGAACGGCAGTGTCATCAACTCGTTGAACAACGTCATGAATGAAGCCAAATTGGCCCCGTTCCCTCATCGACCACCACCCCAGAAGGCCGACTTCACTCTCAAATTTGTAGTCAACAACACTGGCCCGTCTACTTGGGTTCTGAACGCGGCGCCGCATGAGTTCTTCCGCCAAAATGTCCCCCCAATCATGTGGAATAAAAAGTCACGCGGGAAGACATCGTGGGGCAATTCGAATGGGTTCCTTAAGAACGGCTCAATTGTTGACCTCATCATTGAGAACGGCGCCAAGGTCGATGCGAGTCACCCTTTTCATAAGCACAACCACAAAGTGTGGATCATCGGTGAGGGTGGAGGTGGATTTCACTGGGAGGATGTGAGAGACGCGACGAGAAACGGAGGTGAAAAGTACTTCAATCTAGTCAACCCGCCATATCGCGATGGGTTTACCCTTCGTGCCGGAGAGGGGAAGTTCGTGGTGGTTCGGTACCAGATTTATTTCCCCGCTGTGAGCATGTTGCACTGTCACATGATCCATCATTTTGCGGTAAGTCTACTTTTCCTCTCACTCATCGCGAGTCTCGCCATATGCTGAGTCTTGGGGGCAGAGCGGGCAACAGGTCATTCTATTGGAGGGGATGGAAGTTATGCCACCAGTCCCGCAGGAGCTTCGAGATAAACCACACGTTGAGTTCGAGATGCCACTGCGCTATGGACCTTTGGACTGATTAGGATTTGGGACTCGTGGAGTGGACGCTGTCTTCATCGACATGTGTTATTACTTGGCCGAATCATCGGGTGAAACAATGAGATGAGACATATGAGAGAGATCAAATTGATTGAGGTTATTGCGGCTCGGAAAAGAGGTCTCTTCTGAGATGAGTGTCGAGCACAACCAGGTCGAGTGAACGTCAGGTGGGAAAAGCACATCTAGCAAATTGACTGATTATAGAAATGTTCTTCTCAACGCACATGTATGTAAGGGGCACCCGCGATGTCACCTAAAAATTAAGCATATGTATTTTGGAAGCGCCTCTGCTCTCGGCGAAACGGTAATTTAAAGTCCGGTGCATCGTAGCCAGATGTGTCTTGGCTTGGCGACAGGGAAGACTTCAATCACGGCCAGATCTAGAATCAACTTGGCGGAACAGAACTCGGCCATGCGCGTACGAATACCTGCATCGCACTCTTACACGGTGGAGCTCATTTACCGGCCGAAAGTGCCGACGACAGCATCAGCCTCATAGCCTCAAGATGAGCTCAAGTTTGATAATCTGAACTTCCACGAGCTTGAATGGGTCGAGAGCAGCCAAGCACCCGGCCAAGCCGTCGCGGGCCTGTCACGCGAAGGGGTCGGGAGGCTGCCAAGTTGGCATGGCGTCTTGGCTTGCGAGGGTAGCGACCAGCTTAAAACTTGAAGACCATTGGCAGTGACTTGCCAGCTGTACTCGATCTCAATCAACACAATGCATTTTCAATTTAAGTCGAGAATGAGATGAGACAGACTGGAGAAGAACAAAAAGAGAGAGACAATAAGTGAACTACGCTGTTGCTTCTCCGCACGCGGCTCCCATCTGTTCCCGGTTTTTAAGCAATAGGCTTGTGGAGGGCCAGAATTTTAGCAATTACAGGCGGCCTCGTCTAATAAATGTGCCCGTGTCGACGGATTGCGACGGATTGTGGGCAGATATGCCGGGGTCACAGCAGTTAAGAGGAGTTCATGCGACCTTTCGTCCGCGGATCCTCCTTGTTTCAGGAGGCTGAAACGGGGAGTCCCACAGAGCTGATGTGCTTCCGCTGCAAGAGGACGCGAGTCTTGCGACAATTCAAATGCTTCCGGTGGGAGGACATAATCTTGCTTTTTGCGAATCTTGCGAACACCAGATCTGAGATGAGACGGTGTGGAAAAAATAATGCCATCTGAACACTGCAGTTGGGCCTGTTGAACATGCCGATTGGGTTTCGATTTGGCATAAGAGAACAGCAACTGAACCACGCAATCGGTTCTCTTTTATATGGAACCTGATTTTCGACGTCTGGGTCGTTCGCAGATCCGTAAATCGGCCGCGTCGACTTGCTTCAATTGCATTGTGGCGGTGTCCCTGGTGTCGGCACAACCCGTTTTAAGGACGGGCCCGAAACCACCTTACCTTAGTCAATGGACCAGACCACACCCAATCTTCACCGTTCGGAATCTTTCCAGACGTCCATAACGTGGCCTGCATAACCCCCTACTGAAACCGAAATGAGATGACATGAGCCCATTCCCAAGCCCACGCGTGTGAGGATGGTCCAACGGAGACCCAGACGCGCGCTTCATGTGTCTTGGCCCCGGACCCCGGCCTCCGCCTCAGCTCGTCGAACGGTGGACCACGATACGTTGATTGCGAATTTGCGACGGACGGAACGGGGAAATGGCGGGACTCTGTCTTGGCTTGAGATTATATGATGTACGGATCCTGCATCTCGGGCATTTTTTTCTTAGTATCGCATCAACACCAAAATATCTTGTCCCGTTTGATCCCGGTGATCGTCGAACTTCCCGTCCTTTCCGCTCCCATTTTTCCACTCTTTCTTTTCTTGTCCATCTTTGAGCATTTCGATATTTCCGCGGCCATGCCCGTCATCGACGCCAGGTTACTTCAGGAGGGGGCCATTGAGGTCGGAACGATGTTGATGAAGAGGAGTGTTGATCACACTGTCCTGGAGACGCTGGCAGTTGGTAAGTCGTGGAAATTGTCAATATCATCAACTCATGAGGACAAACATTAACTTGCAAATCAGCTGCAACATGCGTTTTCGGGGTTGGAGGCTTCATCTACTGGATCAACAAATGAAGAACTACAGTATCAGCAGTGTAAGTCATAGCCAGTCACTAGTCAACAAGACGTGGATTTGACAAAATTTCCTACAGTCAGTTCACCCCGACTATCGACCCGATCGACAACCTACTTCTGCGCCATGCTGCTAAGCAGCTACGATCACACGATGACAGGTGCAGGACACCAAGTACTATAATATGAAAGCCTCTTCAAGCGGGCATATCGCGTCCAACTCGCGATGCTACCAAGGCTCACGCCGGGACACAGCTCCCACTTTTAATACCACGCTCGACTTCAAGCTCCATCGGCATAGCGTCTTCGATTTTATAGACTGCAAAAAGCATCAAAGAAAAGAGATGGAATTCACACATTTTAATTCAAGGAGGACTAGGTTGAGTGTTGTTTGATACCCTAGGCTGCCATCGATGCGGCAATGACAGAGAACCGGACCTTTTAGAGGTTGCCAGAATAGACATCCAAAACATTCAAAACATGACTAAAAGTTTCTGTTTGGTTTACGCCGCAAGATTGCAAGAAACCCTAGCATGTGATGCATTACCCGCATGTTTGGCAACAGCGGGCGTTCAACGTCGATGCTGATGCGATTTGTCATAGACACAGGCATTCAAATGAGCCCGTCGTCATTTCAGCAAATGGTAAAGCATGATTTGTTTGAAGCGAGAAACAAACGAGTTCCGAGGTTGAACCGGGGGCTCCATGATGCTGTTTTCTAAATTTGGCGGCGGCTCCGGATTGACTCAGTTGATGCGGAACGTATCGAGTGCCGAAACTGGGGAGCACGGGGAAGATTCATATCTTGTGTAGCATGTGCAAAGACCACGTTCAGTCCCAAAAGTCAGCATCGTGGGCCTCGATTCTGGGTCACTTATTCAATAGAAAGGTACAATCACTCCTACGTTGTTTCCACGCAACTATTGCCTATTTTCCACAAAGATATTGGCAATATATACTGAAGCTCGAGACACACACTAGCACCCGGTTCCTAAGAACTCAAAGCTCTACTGCATTTTGGAATCGTTTCGGTAAGATACGATGAAAACCAAATTATTCCTTTGTTGCTAAGGCATGGATATCGGCGGCCGGTGCACGGGGAGTGTAGTGGATTTTTATTTTAACATAAACATATTGTGATATCTGTACATTCAGTTGATGTGTAACTTCTATTATACAGGAAAGCCTTTGTGTCCTAAGTGAAAGAACATACATGTAAGTTGCTTGACTGTTCTCACCTAATGCAATATTCTACGCAATACAATGCAGCCACCAAACCTCCTAGTTCTGGCTCGACATACCCAACGAGCACAAAGTTAACTGTTCTCATTCCAGACCGGTCTTGGAATGAGCTCCTTGTAATGTTTACGGCTAAGGTTCTAGCGCGGGATGCTTCCTACCGCATGACGATGCTGCCGTTTTCAACTATACCAACAGGTCTAGCTAGGTTTCGTTATCTAATTGATCAGATATCATCCGCGTTAAACACTGCCCGTGGTCATAATACACAACACCATCGCTTGCAACGGGTCACGATTCCCTCTCAAAATCGCATAGTTCGTGGCTGCCACGGAAGCACCACTCGTTCAGCCTCAGGCTGCTGGTGATCGATGCATTTAATTGTACAAAGGCAGATCAATAATATGTAGACATTGACATAGAGATTGGGTCAAAAAGCATTGCTGCTTCGAATAATACTCCTGGAACCGGACTCCTAATTGCTGGGAGATCAATGTACAAGTCACATCGAATCACGTGCGCCCCTTCTCGGGGATATGCCGAGTCGTGTGTTAGCTACTCGACTATCACAACTGTACAGTGCTTGCGTAACGACTTGGATGTGTCCAGAGCTTTCATACATTCGAATGCAGCCCGGACCCTTTCAATTTCCTATTGTTCCTTACCTATATCACTAGACGGCTGGCTCTCAACACTTGTCTTTATGTGAGTTATTCGGAAAGACCAACGTTGAGTACTAGGTAGTGTATTATTTCTTGAAAACCTCATTGCGTACATCACCAATACAGGGCATATCCCCAGTATCGTTCGATTTTATCATTTATATGGACAGAAATGTTACAATGCAGACTTCTAACTTTGGGTTGTGAATGAAGTGAATGCAATTTCTCTTGCCCGGGTATTTCAGATCTCCCTTTGTTGAAATACGCCTTTCCTACTTTGCATCAGACGTACCATCGAAGATGCTTACGGCATGGTATTTGCGCATTCAACCCACAGCCTAGAACTCCTGAAGTATATCTCTACCACGGTCTGTGACTGAGGGTAGGGTTACCCAACCTCGGACTGGTACGAACTTGCTGCGCGGAGCCAAAACTTTCAGAAGTTAATGTAGACCCAACATTTAGATTCTCGCGGGACTTCCACGGAAAGGCTCGGGACTCAGACGTGTCGGTGTAGTATAAGGAAGACATAGAAATTATTATGAACTGTAGAGCGCATTCATGACACAAGGGGTTGAAAATAAGAACATGCAGAGATTCATACAGGGATCCAAGTTTCCCCTTAAGTTGAAGATATTGACAATCTGAGTACATGTGCCAGTTATTGTCCAGAATGACCATGTATAGCATAACCCAATCTAGCAAAAGCAGACTGGACTGGATATGTTTACTACTCCAGTCCATGAGGATTCAAGTTTCAACGTTGGCCAAGGCACAAGCCAGTTGGAAGATAAACCTGGGGAACTTAATAATAAGCAGCCTGATATTGGACCCGGGGCGGCCTTCTGTCCATGCCGGACACCGGCCGCAGAAGGATCGACATCGCTAGACGGAGACATGCCCGTCATTTATATCCATGGCAAAGCCTGAAAGGCGTTCGATTAGGAAACCGATTAGCCCATTTACATGACCGGCTTTACGCCGAAGTCTTGAAGAATAGAAGAGTACGGAGTAACCCGGCCACGAGTAAGGAGGAGCGGACTTCTCCGCGTGAAAGACGCAGGGACCGCATTGGGAGCAACCCGAGTCTTCGTAGAACGCGGACTAACCCAACCAATCATGTGTGCCTTATTGTCTCAACAAAGCTATTCCTTGCTCTTCCCCATACTCTTCGAGCCGCCTCCCGTGGGGTAGTTGCGAGCATCATCACTCGACGAACCAGTCCCCCAGATGTTTCCTCACGGCTTCGACTTTTCATTGTCTTTCTATCTGTGAGATGAAAACTTGATGATAGCAAAATTATCAATCTGCATCTTAGTTTCCAATATGTTTGGCAGAGACAACAGCAACTGAACATCTTACTGGAGTCTTCGGGACCGTCTATGTACTTAAACAATCATCGAGGACAACACCGTCTCTCACCCGGATAAGGCGGCTGGAGATGCAGTTGTGGGATCTTTGTGACCCTCAAGTGGCTCGATACCCACCAAGGAATTTGCGGAGTCCCCATGGCACGACACGGACGGGGTACCCAGCCCTCCGCCTACCAAGCCTGAGTTCAAATCTGCCTCTGCTCCCATTCCCCTATCTGAGCGACGAGCGAGAACTTTCATCTCTCCAGTCAGCGGTAGGAAGTCTTTGCAATGGCCATCATCGACAAGAAAATTTACGAGCAGACGCCTAAGGAGGCGATTTCGTGGAAGATCTTATGTTACTCGATCATCCTCTCCTTCTCCGGGTCAGCTCATGGTAAGTCACAGGCAAACAAGCTTTTATTGCCCCGATGCCAAGATTATAGCGCTGATCAACGCATACTATTCGCAGGCTTCAACACGGCCAACATCTCGGGCGTCCTCGCCTTCTCGCCCTTCAAGAAACACTTCGAGCTCAACGGCATGTCGGAGGAGTCACTCGCTGACTGGAAGGCCTGGATCACCTCCATGTTGATTCTCGGCTCCTGCGTCGGCTCCCTCATCATCGCTCCCGTCAACGACAAACTCGGCAGGAGATGGTCTCTCGGCCTCTCGGCCTTCGTCTACTCCATCTCGGCCGTCTTGATGAGCGCAAACCCGGGCGGTTCTGGTGGCAGGGCGGAACTTCTCGTAGGCAGGTTCCTGTCAGGAGCAGGTTCTGGCGCAGCGAGTGTCGTTGGCACCAACTACATGGCCGAGATCGCACCCAGCGCCATCCGAGGCGGTTTGACGGCTTCGTACAATGCCAACACCATGCTTTCTGTTGGCTTGGCGTACTGGATCAACTACGGCGCTCTTCTCAATCTTGGGGGCTCCGACAAGCAGTGGCAGGTGCCCATGGGAGTTCAAGCTTTGCCTGGAGTCATCCTCATCGTCGGTCTGTTCTTCGTGCCTGAGTCGCCACGATGGCTCCTTAGCAAGGGAAAATCGGAAGCCGCCGAGAAGGCTCTGGAGGACCTGAGGTCACTTCCCCGCGACCACGCATATCTTCGACAAGAGCTGTACGACATGCGTGCCGGTATCGAGCATGAGCTTGCTCTAGCCACTGGGTGGAGAGGCTTTCTGAAAGAAATGACTTCCCCTGACATTCGAAAGCGTCTCGCTTTGGTCTTGACGATGCAAGTCGGCTTTCAGTTCTCAGGAGGAAACATTCTGACCTACTACATGAACTCTGTACGTATAACCTCTCTCACTGACAGTCCGCAACAACTAACAGAACGTGCCAGATCTTGGAGTCTATCGGCATCACATCGCAGTCCTTCAACTACCTCTTTTCCGGTATCTATGGCCTAGTCAAGTTCTTTTCCGTCCTACTATACTGCCTCTTCATCATCGACAGGCTCGGACGTCGCACAGGACTATTCGTCGGATCAGGTCTCATCCTAGTATCTCTGACCTATCTCACCGCATTCCTCGGAGTTTCAGACACGTCTGGAGAGATTTCGAAAGTCGGCGGCATCGTAGCCGTGGTCTTCATCTACGTCTTCGCCGTCGGGTACAGCTTCTCCTGGGCCGTCGCACCGTACGTCATCAACGCCGAAGCCTTCCCGACCCGAATCCGCTCCACCTGTATGGCCATCTGCATAGCCTGGCAGTATTTGGTCAACTTCGCCTTATCCAGAGCTCAGCCGAACATGGTCCTTGCCATGCACTCCTGGGGCCCCTTTTGCCTCTTCGCTTGTGTCACCCTGTGCATGACGGTGTACGCCTACTTTGCGTACCCCGAGACCAAGGGGCTGTCGATGGATCACATGGATGAGCTCTTCACTATGCCGTGGTATCGCGTTGGCAGAGCGAGCACCAAGGTTATCATTGCTGTGAACGCGCAGCCTACACTGGACGAGAAGGAGAGAGAGGGCAAGGTCGAGCAGGCTGAGCACGCTTAAGGTCGGCGGAAAGTTTGAGTCGACATCATTCCTGCCCAAGAGGGACGTTGAAGCTGTGCAGACGCGGAGCTAAAGAAGAGGCCGTTCATCATCAGATGTAAAGATCAGACGAGGAAACTCTCCAGACGTCTATTGTTGTTCAATTGGAATTAGAAATGTCTAAATGCTGCCACATGTATTCTACGCCTTCTGACTATCGCAAGGAATATCGGATGGCACGCCCGTAGGGTTCACAAAGTAATCATGATACCAGTAAACCTGCTGCTCAGCTTTCGTCGACAAGTTCGGCGCCGCATCAACAGACTGATTCGTCTTGAGAACCGTGTATTGTGTCTTGTAGCTACCCAGCAGTTAGTAAACCTCTTCATCAACACACATGTCTATCCAATCGACTTACTAAATCTGCGAGCAGTTGCCTACCTTGAAGTTATTCTCAATACGACCATGCGCCTCATACACCGTCGCCGTGGCGTTGTTCTCCGCCACGAAAGTCGTGTTAGGGAAATGCTGAACACAAAGGTCAGACGCACGGCAGGACGGAAGGGGAGAGACAACTTCGCTTACTGTGAGCGACATGCTGCCGTCGGTGGGCAGGAAGCGCTGCTTGCACTTGGTGATCGCCTCCGCGCCGACGCAGTGGATGCTCAGGGTCGTCTGCATGCCGTCGGGCGTGAAGAAATCCGTGTACGCCGTCGTGGCGGTGGGATCCTCTGCCGGGGTGACGAGACTAACATGAAGGTCAGTACATTTGCGGAAGGAGGTGACTCTGTTTTGTGAGACTTGCGCGTTGAGGAACTCCTTGAACTCGGGTTGGACGCCCGGCTGGGGGTCGTAGTCGGTGAAGTCGATCGCTGCGACGAGGCGGGCGGCGAGGAGCGCGGGGAGGGCGAGGTTGAGATACATCTTGACCGTAGCGGGATCGGAAAAGACAGAAAATGAGTGTAACTGAAAGAAAGTTGTGTGAACGAATGTGAGGAAGCGGGAAGGTTGACTGTGGATAGTAAGTTGTGGTTGATGAGAAGAGCCAGCCGGTGGGATATATACACCAGGAAACAGCTACTGAGAGAACTTGGAGCACCTGAAAAGTAATCAATTCTGAAGCATCAAATGCCAACGTTTCAACTAAATACCTATTACAGAGCCTCACAAACTATGCTATATAAAGACACGCACAAACGCAACCCCCGAGAGCGAGAAAGCCCTCAAGTTAACAACTCCCCTTGCGCCGCCCCCTATTTTCTCGGCTCAAGGCGAAAGCTAAAACAATGACATCCAAAAAGTCAATTAAACAACGCCCAAACCGTATTCCAATGGCCCATCCCATTTTTCGCGGGCCGCACGAACCAGTTTGCCCCAGATAAACTCGCGAGTTCCGGGGTGCGAGTCTGCAGAAGCAGCTGGGGTGGTCCCTGTCAAAGATGGGATGAAGGTTTGCAGGGCCTCTCCCGCATGCTCCGCGCCGAGACCGTCCGCCCCTTTTTTTTGTTCTTCGGAGGACCCGGCTGCGCCGGTGACCCCGGTGGATCTAGGGCCATGTGAAAGGGGTGATTTCCAGCCTCGTAGGGCGGCTGGATAGCTTGTTAAATAAAGGCTTCAATGCCTGGCTAGAGCTGGCGGTAGATTCTAAAGCAAGATAAGATCCAGTCTACTGTCTAGAAAACCACCCAACGTCACTCATTTACTCAAGTCCAGTCCTTACCGCAACACCACAATGAAACCCTCCCACCTCCTCCCCCTCGTCCCCCTCGTCCCCCTCGTCGCCGCAGTCGACATGACGCCCTACAAACCCTCCCCCGACGTCGACGCCGCCTTCGCCGCCTTCGTGGAAGAATACTACCTCACCTCGGAAGACAAGAACGCCACAACCACCTTCACGGACTTCTGGCCCGCCGACAACGGCCAGCTCATCATCGCGGGACGCACCTTTTCCGGGTCTGCCGCGATGCTGGGCGTGAAGCAGTCGCTGCTGCCGCCCGCGGGGAACAAGTCGTGGTGGCACCTGATCCGCGGCGCGAGCGTGGCGGGCGAGAGCGGCGAGAGCAAGACCTTCGTGGCGGATATCGTGATCCAGACGACGTATGTCGGGGGGAACTGTTCGCAGGCGTAGTGAGTTTGATCTTTCTTGTTTGTCGTGTCGGGGCTTGGAGAGTTTACTGACGAGTGTAACAGTGGCAACGCGAGTTTCACGATTCTGAAAGACGAACAGGGTTCGCCGAGGCTGGAGCCGCATTCGGGGAGTTTGAGCGTGTATAACCTCACAGTCTCGACGACGGACTCGCCGACGGATATCCCGTGCAGTTCGTCATGACACACACACAAACACGCGCAAAGTTTGATGATTTATGAGAAAATTTTTGTATCTGTAGTATTTCAATCCGATCATCGTTCTGTCGTATCGCACATTTGCCCTTCTTTTGCAAGTGTGTCTGTCTAAGCCGTATCCTGAAAATGCAAAAAAGAAACATGAAAACAAAAGGTTTCGCTCCGCAAAATGCCCGTAATGACAGTAAAACTTTTCCCCACGTGCCGTATCCATTCCACGGTGAGTGTTTTGGTTGTATCCGATCCGAATCCGCACATAAAGAACGCCGCTCAAGAATGGTTTTGGTATGAGACCACCCCACCCATATATATAAAGTTGCCGGTCGTGAAATCATCGCGCCAAAGAAATGTATACAGACATGAAGGTATCGTAACTGAAGAAATGTACCTTGAAGGGGATATCATCGCAAGTAACATTAGCAATTCAAGAAATAAGAGTGTGAGACGTCGAGGGTGAGGTGAGGTCGACAGCGTCGACTCAGCGTCCCTTCTCGACGTCTCTGGTGTTGTTGTTGGTGGTGTCCTCGGGCTGGGTGGAGATGACGATCTCGGGAGCAGCGACGGCCTTGGACTCGCCCTTTTCAGAGCCAGACGCGGCGTTCTCGTCGGTGGAAGCGGACTCCGCGTCGGTGGTCTTCTTGCGACGGAAGACGGCGCCGACGGCGCCGAAGAACTTGGACAGAGCGCGGTAGACGATGACGACAGGGCGTCCAACGGTCTTCGCAATCTTCTCGAACCAGGCGTCGGGGAACAGACGGACCAGGACGGCCATGGGGAGCGAGAGGGAGGCGATGACGACGGAGACACCCCAGTGCTCGGCGCTGATGCCACCGGGCGTGATGCGGAAAGCCTGGCCACCAACGTAGATAATGGCAACCTGGGCACCGACCATGATGCAGTTGATGACGATGAAGAAGACGTTGCGGTGGACGCCTTCGAAGATGTTGAACTTGTTATCGAGGCGACGGTTGTTGAACTCGTTGAAGATCTGCATCCACACGAAGGTGTTAAAGATCATGGAGTCCAATTCCAGTTGCTGGTCCTCATTGGCGTCGGTGTACCCGAAGATGGCGTTTCCGCCAAAGTGCAAGATCAGGGTGGCGGTGAGTTGGAAGATGGCCTGGCCGATAATCATCTTCCACATGTTGATCGTGATTAGAGGTGCCTTTTTGCCCTGCGGAAGGCGGTCGAGGATCTTTTCGGTAGGGGGGTCGGTGGCGAGCGCCAGGGCGGCGAAGGTGTCCATGATGAGATTAACCCACAGGAGTTGGACCGCGGTGAGGACGGATTCCATCGTCGGGCTGGAGACGGCGGTGATGAAGGCGAGGAGGACAGCGGTGATGTTGACAGTGATTTGGAACTGGGGTGATTATGTTAGCGGTTTGAAGATGTCAAGGAAGATAGGAGCACAAACCTGAAGGAACTTTTGGACGGCGTCGTTCACCGCGCGGCCCCACTTGAGAGCCGTCACGATGGATGTGAAGTTGTCGTCCATGAGCACAATGGCGGAAGCCTCCTTAGCCACCTCAGTACCTGAGATACCCATCGAGAAACCGACGTCCGCGGCCTTCAGGGCAGGCGCATCGTTAGTACCGTCACCAGTCACAGCGACGGTCTCGCCCAGAGCCTTGAGACGAGTGACCAAAATGCGCTTGTCCTCAGGGGAGGATCGGGCCAAGACTTGCAGACGGGGCAAGGCCTCATCCATCGCTTCAGTAGTCAGAGTTCTGAAGACGGGACCCTCCATGATGATACCGCCCTCTGTGAAGATACCGCACTCGGTAGCAATGGCCTGGGCCGTGACGGCGTTGTCTCCAGTAACCATGCGAACGACGACACCAGCATGCTTCGCCTTTCTGACAGCTTCAGGCACGCCAGGACGGACCGGATCTTGGATACCGACGACTCCGATGAAGACGAGGTCATGAAGAACGTCGCCGAGATCGACGTGACCCTCAGAGGTAGCGTTGACACCGTGGGGAGGCCATTGGGGGAAGTCCTGGTAGATGAGAGCGATGGTACGAAGAGACTGCTTGGCATAGGTCTCGATGGTGGCCTCGAGGGACTGGCGATCGGACTGCCCCAACGTCGAAGTGGAAAGATCGGAGACGTCCAGCTTCTGCGAGCAGTATCCCAGGAGAATCTCGGAAGCGCCCTTGACAATCAGTCTGTAGCCGGCATCACCGGGCAACTTGATGACCGCGCCCATGCACTTCTTGCCAGAGTCGAAGGGCATCATCTGCGGAACCTCCGCGTTAGCCCGGGTCTCGGCCAAAGCCTGCATACCAAGGTGATCCTTTGCGAAGTTCAGCAGCGCCGTCTCGGTCTTGGAACCGATGAAAGTGGCCTGGCCGTCTTCCTCGCCCTCGAAAGCAGTGGAGTTGATGGCGACGGATTGGACGATGAGCTCCTTGGTGGCGGTAGGGAGGGACTGGGCGAACTCGACAGCAGACGTCGTCTTTTCGCCGTCGGAAGCCTTGGAGAAGCTAGCAGATCCAAAGGTACCAGCAACGACCGTCATCTTGTTCGTCGTGAGAGTTCCCGTCTTGTCGGAACAGATCGTCGTAGCGTTTCCCATCGTCTCGCATGCCCGGAGAACACGAACGAGGTTGTTTTCCTTCAGAAGCCGGGTGGTAGCAAATGCCAGTGCGAGTGTGACGGCCAGAGGGAGACCTTCAGGGACAGCCACAACGATGATCGTAATAGCCACAATCAAGATATCCATGAACGAGGAGGCTTTCTCAGCTCCAGGGCGAGAGTCATTAGGCAGTCCCGCGAGGAAGCGGATGAGGAGGACGAAGAACAGGAACAGGGCTGCGCTGCTTCCAAGCTTGGCAATTGCCATTGCTAGGCCCTCAAGCTTCTTCTGCAAGGGTGTCGCCTCAGTCTCGGTGCGGACGGACATCATGATCTTTCCAAAGCTGGAGTTGGTGCCAACAGAGGTGCAGACGAAAGTTCCCACGCCTTCAAGGACCTTGGCTCCGGAGATGATGAAAGGGTCGAGCTCCTTGACGGCCTGGCCGGATTGCAAGGCATTGAAAACCGCATCGCCGCCAGTCTTCTTCAGGGCGTCAGACTCGCCGGTGGCTGACGATTCGTCGCACTTCAAATCATGGCCACTGATGAAGATGCCGTCCACAGGGACGAGATCACCAGGTTCGAGATGGATAACGTCGCCGACCAGGACCTCTGCAACGTTGATCATGTGAGACTTGCCAGAGCGGATGACTTTGACTTCGCGGTCCTCCTTTTTGGCATTAAGCCGGACAAAGGCGCGTTCCTTCTGCCAGTCGTTGAGTGACCCGACAAGTGTAACAATCAAAATGGCGACGATAATCGCAACACCCTCTGAATTTTCATATCAGCATGGGCATCCAGAGCCATAGTGGTTGTGATGCACTCTGGGCGCTTACCTATCCATTCGTAAGATTGACCCGAATGCTCAGTGCCGAATGTTTCGTAAAGACCAAGTGCTAATGAGATCACCGCGGCAACGGTAAGCAAAATGATAACGTGGTCGTTGTAAGCATTCCACATCAACTTCCAAAGCGGCGTGGCCTTCTTAGGAGGCAGGACGTTTCTGCCGTAAACTCGGATGCGATCGGTAAAACCATTGCCGTCGGCGCGGTGCGCAGATGATGGCTGAGCGCCTATGGTGGCGATAGTCGGCTCTTTGTGGCCAGTAGCCTCGAGGAAGCTGACATGCCCCCGAACTGAAGCCTCATCCTGCGACAGACCAGATTTGACGTCTGTTTGCAGTCCCTTCTCGATTCCCCGAAGTCCTCCGAGTGCCAAAAACGCAGGCAATGATTTAGGATTTAAAAGTTTGTTGAGGTGCCCAGGGCTAAATGCAAATGGATTATTATCGACGACGAAGTCGGATTCTGTGCCGGGGTCGGGTCGGAGGGCCGTATCCGGGTCTTCGGGCACGACTGTTGTAGTGCTCGAATGCATACTTGTTGCGGAGCTGATTGCCGGCGTAAGAAAGGGGTTTGAATGTGTCGATATGGGAGACGGCGTTATCGCGTCGTCGTTGTCATTACCGCGAGGATTGCGGGTATCGACGCGCAACTGAGGAGGTGCGAGAGACGCCATTAGCACCGATACTGAGTGGTCTGAAGCTGATGCAAGAAACTCTCATCGATGATGTGGTTGGGTTGAAGCCTGTAGCTTGAGAAGTTGAGATGATAGAACGATGCTTCAAAGCAGCCGGATGAGGACTCTGTGCTGAGGCCTCGGGTGACACAAAGATGGTATATAGATTGTTGTGCAAGGCTATGCTGGGGGCGATTCTTGCGCGTTGCCTCAAGGTAATGAAAGTGGCAGTATCAAGGCGTACCAGTCAGTGTACCGTGAAGTTCCAAAGCCTTGATGACTTGTGAGACTTGGCGTAGCTGCGCCCTCTCGCCCCGTCGAACAAACTTTCCTCAGGTTTGGTTGACACCGAACGCGAAAGCAAAAACGAAGTCAGCCTACTCCAACCCCGACGGTGTATTCGAGACGGGCTGTGCTAGGCAGCGGGAGGGATTCGGCGGCGAAAGAATGTCCACTTCCCGACTTGACGGAGAAAGTGTAAAGTTGTAGGAGGAATCTCATACACTCAAGCACGGGCGATCATAACGTTGATGAGTATCCGTATCACAGCTCGAGCTCGGTTGTGTAAGAAACAGAGATTGCAGAACCGCGGGAACTCTGCTGGCGATGGCGTCTAGAATCTCAACCAGAGACTCGAGCGTGGCAGTGCTCACAGCGACATGCCTTTCTTGGCAAGCTCAAGAGGAGATGAGGTCAAACGAGACTCCACAAGGAGGTGATGTATTGGTTGAAAGAAGGGACAGATGGGTTGCAGAAGGGAGAATATCGCGCTTCACAGATATCACAACAGCATTTGGTGTCCTTGGCGGGGACGGTGGGTTGAAAAGTCTTATGAGACGTGATCGAGAGGGGAAGGAGAGAAGGCACACGAGGAGATCCAATGGATAGCCGATAGACAAACAGACAGAATGGCGTGCCGGGCAATTCTTCTCACAATCCTGGGCTTGGCCTTAATGATTGGCACAAGATTGGCTGGGCAAAGGAGGTGAGACTTGAGAAGAGGTAATAACCGCCAAATGGTCTGGGCATTGGGGCTGTGCAAAGGAAAAAGTGCCAAAGGACCCGATGAGGGAATTAATATGGAGCAATGAGAAGCGAGCGTCTTTTAAGTGGAAGAAGAGCTCGAGTCGGGACCATCCCAGGACCGCCGTGTGCAAAAGCGAGTCGGAAACAAACAAGGGGTCGTGATGGGGAATGGATAATGACAGCAACCCCTTGGCCGTGCAAGTGCCAATGTTTGGAACTTGGCGTTTATGTCGAGACAACTGCCGGGACCTTATCAAGTTCTCTGTGGACGTGTAGGTCTTGAGGTCTGGAGGAGAAGGAGGAGGAAATGAAGAAATGCTCTGGGCAGACGCTTGTCTGACAGACCGACGAGGCCCCGTTGACGGAGATGGCATCTGGCCCGATATTGGGGTGGCGGCCCCATCTTTCACCCCCCAAGATGCGCGGCGACCCTTCCGGCGGGCGGGTAGGAGCGCCTTTAGACTGATGCCGTTGGAGTCGACAATGTCTGTTCTCCATCCCGATCGGTGGCCCGGTGTTGGTTGGGAGATGTCTATCAGTGCCAATCATCTGGCGCTTGCCAAGAAAGTCGATATGTCCGTGTCGGTAGCAGCTAGCAACGGCGGATTCCTTTCCTGTACCGATCTGTCGAGTGGATTCGATTCCTTCATTGCTGACAGGAGCGGTCACCAAGATGATGCGAGTGAATGTGTTCGGAAAGGCAGGCGCCCGATCGGAGAGCAGCCGACAACCTCGGACAGGCAAACGGTGACATATCGACCGGCCGCGGCGATATCAAAGTTGGAGGGTGGGATGTCGGGAAGTGGTGGATTAGGAAGGCGGCAGACTTCGACTGATAGTTGCATGCATCGGCCATCGGGGTCATGTCCGGCCATGTCCATGGCTGTCAGGGCGGAATGCTGTTTAGATTTGAAAACAGGAGGGTCGGTCCAAGTTGGAGTAGGCGTTCTGTACATACGCAGAGCTTACTCGCGAGAGTTCATCTGGGCAAGATGATGATCAGTGATGTCAGTTTGTCAAGTCACTGACTGATTGACCATCTCTCCTGGTCTTGGCCCCTTTGATGATGGTGTTGAGAAGAATGGGGGACACGGGATGAAGTGGTGACGGGTGGAGTAAAAAGAAAAAGAAGGTGAAGAGACGTTGATGGGGCCAAGAAATTGGTCGCGATGCGATGCAATGGACCCACACTGAATCAAGCTCCGGGATACGTATCTTTTCTCCCGCGCTAGTAGTGCGCCAAGAGTGGCTGTGTTAGGCGCGTTGGTAGCGTTTCATTGGCTCGCTTAAAGGGCCAAGGGAGGGAGCCTCCTTGTTTGCCAGCTTATGTAAGCCTCATTGTGATATCACAGCCAGCTGGCTGCAGGTGGTCGGCGACGAGAATTCAAGTAAGGGACGGTGACATTCTGAAATGCCCAGATCAGAATTCAATCTTCATCCCAGTTTGTTAATTAGATCTTGAGATGTCTTCCCTGCTAGTCAGGGCCAGAGCTTGCTTGCTCTATCTGCCTGCCGGAAAGTCTAAAACGAACACAGATGAAGCAATATCAGACTGCCATGTTGCTACCTCCAACTAACACGGGCCGGGGTCCCGTCTATCCAGGTATTGCCGTCTTATTTCACGTGTCAGTCTCTGTGAGTGGAACAGTACGGAGTACGTGAAGAAATATTCTGTCGAAAACTTTCTGTTGTCGACATCAGCAGACATGTCAGCAAGTTCCCCAGACTTCAAGTTACAAAGAGTCAGTCCCGCGCTGAGCTGCATATTCTATCGGTCAGTGGCGCCGGTCGTGTTAACTCACAGTTGCTTCCCTTCGTAGAACCTAAGAAATTTCTTCATTCACCCCAAGCTCTGACTTGTTGGCGCCAAGAGGCTTGGAATCATCCCAAGGACTGTTTCGACATTTTCACTCGGTCCAGATGAACGAATCCGAGAACACGTGCGTCCACGTTCCCGTCATCGTTCTCGTACCGGCGAGAACCACTGGCTCTAGCGTTCCAGAATCTGCTGCCAATATCTACACTGCCCTCTGAATTTTGCTGCAAGGCATCACGACTTTGGCTTGGCCATGCGGCTTGAAAAGTCTCACCGCGCCGAGGCCGACAGATGCTGTGCCACTGGACACATCACCGCGTCGTGTTCAGAGAATCCACGTCCATCACGATTCCATGAAGTCCCTCCTGGTTCTCCGTCGAGCCACACCGAGTTGTGACGATTCACACAAAGTTCAACGCGTACGTGTACTCGACTGCAAAAGCCTCGTCGTGTCCATAGTGGCGTCTATCAAGCCTCCTACTCAAGTCTGAGGGCACCAGCCACATTAACTTTCGTCACTGGTATGAGGCTGAATGTGTCATATGCTGCCAGTATCCCCTAAATTGCAGGCTGAACCGCCTCATAGACCTTCCTAGCTCGCCAGCTAGGGGTAGTGACGGGCCTTCAACCCACGCGCCTGGTGAATCTGCTGGTCATTGAAAGCATCGAGCGGCCTCCCAAGCTGCATCTTTGGCGTTGCTGCTCCCAACCTCTCACGAAGTACCTCTGAGATGTACATGTACCAGAATGCCAAGACCCACCGACAACAGCACTGCCTGCCTCCAAAATGTGCACTGCCACTGTATTTACTGCAGAATGACGTGGGATGTCAGACAACAAGCAATTGGCGTCTTTTCTCTCGGTTGTGGTGTTGAGGTGTTGGCACATTTGCGTGAGATGTCCGATATCAAAAGGTGTCGGAGGCGCGCCAAGCCAGGTTGTGAGCGAGGCGCAGTTCAGAGGACTGCAGAAGACCGGTCGCGAACTGAAAAAATCGCGCACTTTCTGACCATCTTGAAAGATTTTCCGGTAAAACTCTTGTCATTGTGATTTTGGCGCAATCGGCATTTGATGTTTGATGTTGAAGACTCTGTGCATTATATGTGAGAGCTCTAATAGGTATCAACCTGAACGAAACATCTCTGTCAACTGTTCAAGATGACACATCTGATTGGACGCCCTCTGAACGTCCCCTTTCCCCCTTTCTTGCTCTTCCTAAGACTGTCTTTGATCAGAAATTATTCCCAACTCAATTTTGTACCTTTCAGGTTGTCTGCTGCACAACATCACTGTGATGAAACCAGCCCTCTGCTGCAGGGACCTTTTTAAGAGCTGAGGCGGGCTCTTCCAACTGGCATACTCTTGAAGTCGTATTCAGAGGCTGTGCTCTCGAGGCAGACTCAACCTGCAGCACATATTTCCAAACCATTCCCAGAAACTGCAGGTTGCTGGAGGCAAATAATAATAAGAACAATAGTAATGACTTATATTCCATGGGTTAGGGCTACTAGTACTACTGCTGTTGCAGCATCTGTTCCAGCTCCTGCTGCCTTCGTTGCAGCTCCTTCTGCTGTAGCTGCTGCGCTCTACGTCGTAACGAAATGGTCTCAATCTGCTGCTTGGCCTGCACTATGCAGCTTCGTTTAAAGGTGTCCAGCTGGTCAGGCGGGATGTTCTCCACCTTTCCCCCCCATTTGGCAGCCAAGTCGTTAATTGATTTGTTGTACGTCGCCTTTGCTTGCATCTTGATATGGTTCGTTATCACTGTACTGTTGTTCGCGGCTTGCTGCTGTTGCGGCGGATGCTGTTGTACTTGTGCCTGCGCTGCTTGCTGCTGATTTATCCTCTCCATCTCCCTCTGTAGGTACTGGTCGAAGTGCGGCTGATGTTGTTGTCGTTGTTGTATAAGTTGTTGTCGTTGTGGTTGTCGTTGTGGTTGTCGTTGTGGTTGTCGTTGTGGTTGTCGTTGTGGTTGTCGTTGCATTTCTACCATCGGTAATGCCTCGGGGACAGGTGCTGGCGTCGGTCTCGGATGTCTTCTGCGCTGGTGATCACGTAGATGTCTCATAGAAGCGTATCCGACGTCATTGTAGGGACATCCTGCTTCTAGACATCTGAGTTGCCCTTGGTGACGAGCTTCGTGGTCTTTCAGAATTGACGCGGATGAGAACCCAGCAATCGCTCGTTCGCACCCTGCGGCGGAGCAGACAAACGCAAATTGCTTGAATTCTTGCTTGAAGGAAATCAGGTCAGTTTGTGACAGCCCAGGATGTGAGTCGCGAGAAAGAAGCTGGAGGACAAGATTATGATAGGTGTCTCGAATACGTGGAAACGTGCTCAGATGCTCGTCACCTTCTTGGGCTTCTGTTGACGTGTCAGCTGTGTCGCGCGAAATAGCCGATATTCGATTATCATGAAACAGATTGCGGTGATTTTGGCCTCACCTTCTTGGTTTCGTAATTTGGTGCGGAATTGAAGGGTATGAGAAATCAACGTGCAGGTCGTGGGAAGGTCTCTCAACCATTGAGGAAAATCAGGATCGTCCTCTGGCTCCCAGGTTGGTGGAAACGGGAATTTCTCATAGTACCTGCTGGAGAGTTGGAATAAGCGATTCACGACTGCAGGTGAATCTACCACCTCACTCTCATCCTGCTGGCACTTCTTGAGATAAGAAGCCAAGTGATCCGCCCAGTACTCGTTCGCGTACGGTAGCAAAGCGTGAAAACCATGGCCTACACGGTACAAATTTTCCGTGATGTCTGAGATTGCAAGAAGGTCGAAACCTTGAGACATCTGACACAGACAAGCCAAGGTGATGTCACGATTTGCTTCATGTGGAGTGATGAACGGGCCGCTAAGCTCAGAGAGCATGAACCTGAAATGTAAACGTTAGCTCGTACAAATCGTTCTGTGCAGTGATGGTATTACCTTGGAACAGTCGAATGAATGAAAACAACTGATCCCCCGGGGCCATCTTCTATGAATGGCTTGCAGATATCCAAAGCATTCGCGAAGGGTTTTGATTCCTCGTCAACGAAATACTGGTCTTCGTGCAACTTCATCGCCAGTCGAAGCTCGCATTTTCGTAGATGCAAATTGCCTTTTCTGAAACGCATCCATCCAAAGACCCGTCGCAGTTCTGCGATCTTTTCGGGTTGGATCTTGTTAGTCACACTTATGAGGATCTTCTTATACCTAAAGTCTTATGTCAGATACAACAAACATATGCGTGGCAAGGAATAGGAGACAGTACGCTTGTGCCATATCTTTTGGCAAGCTTTGAACATTTTCCTTGAGGTCTCGGATGCTCGAAGATGTTTCCAAGAGCTTGAGCACAAGATGAACCCAGAGGAACATTCCTACAACCGTCAGCCAGTGACCAATAGAACAGCTTGAAGATTCGATAATACCGTCGGCATGTGCAAGAAGAAAGTCTTGTATATGCGAAAAGACCCTCTCTGGAATTTCATCGTCGAACCTGTCCCTGATTTCTTCAAGTCCTCTTTTGACAACCAATTCAATGTCTTCAGCAACTGAGGACGACTCGGCTCCGATGGAAAGAGTAGGCTTTGCCCTTAGCTTTGCCTGAATGGTGGGGATTTCTTGGCTAGATATGAGAAGTTTGCAGTTGTTTTGCTCCTCAACTAGTTTTGTCATATCTCCTATGACATACTTATGTTGATCGGAGTCGATTTCGTCTAGGCCGTCGACAATAAGCCGTACATCCTCGAAAGCCGAAATCAATTTGGAAAACAATGGTTTCAGAGTTCCAAGTGAAACTGCCTTACCGGAGGCAATAAGCTCGTCGTAAATAAAAGGCACTAAATCAGGGGAAGCCTGGATCATCTGAATGCACATGCTTCTCAAGATTTGGACGGTGATGTTGAAACTGGGCGTGTTGTAGTCGCAGAAGAAAAAGAGACACACTCTTTTTCGATCCAGTCGAAGAAAGTAGATCAGCTGCGATGCCAGTACGGATTTGCCTGAACAGGTTAGCATAGAAAGAGGGGAAGGGGTTTTAGAGCATCGTTTACCTGAGCCTGGTTTGCCATGGAGCCAAAGAATTTGCTGTCCCTTTCCCCGTTGAAGCCATGATCGTATCTTGGGCGACTTCAATACCCACTGAGATGTGCCTTCGCAACATCGGTTTCTAAACCATTCCAGTTTCATTTCCTGGTTCAGATTGTCATCCTGAAGCCATTTGAGAACCTCATTACGCTGATCTGCGAGTCGCTGCTTTTCTAGCATCTCTGCGTCTTCGCGAGATTTTGCCCTCCATTCTGTGGCTCGAACAATTTCGACGGATGCCGCCTCCTTGTCTATGAGGTCGCTATTGCGAGCAATACCATTAATCAGGCTGTCAAAGTTGTGTTCAAAACGACCCCACCCGGACGAGAAGAACATCTTCCAGCCTGGAAGTGGGTTTAGTGATTGTCGTGAAAAGACTTCTTGGATACGTCATACCTGGCTTGCGCAAAAGACAGTATGCGCGGTTATGGAAGTCGATGATGTCTTCACAAAGATGACCTAGCAATTGCTGAAGTTCGTAGTTTTCTGGAAACGCTTCGCTGTAACGCGACATGCGAGGCAAGGCTGCCCCAATGGATCCGTATGCAGACAATAGTTTATCTAGCGCGTGAGTATGATCTTGGGCCAGCTGCACAGGTGTTCGCGTAAGCTCGCCAACATCCCTGACGATGCCAGGAACAAGAGGCGACTCACCTGAAGAATCATTTTCAACGGGGCCTGTGAATATGAAACCTATGAGCATGAACGATCAAGGCGGTTCATGACCGAAATACTCACCCAGATCCAAGGAAGAAATGGTGTCCCATTGCATAGAACATCCATTGGCTTGGTGAGACGATCAATTGCGTCAAGGGACGGATTGAGTCGCTCTAGATTCCTTAGACTTTGTCGCGCTGCCAGGTGTTTCTCGACTTGACATATAAACACTCTGACATCGTCGATCTTGCTCGTGGCTTGTATTCTGCGTTTCTCTTCATCTGACAAGTGGGTTTGAAATCGCTCGCAAGCTCGTCGAAGCAGGATTTCCGCCATCGTGCCCGTTTTCGCCTCATGTGCGAGGTTGTGAGTCGTAGTTGCTCACATTGAAATTGCAAAAATGCTTAGATCTGCATGGTTTTGTAGTCAATGCCGCCTGCGGCGGCCCGGTTTCTTGGCCATGCAACATAACTAAGCACTGCCACGACAGCCTGCTTGTGGCATGCAAAGATGTAACATCGCACACTTTTCATTCGTTGAACAGTGCAGATAAGATGTAATTGTGCCGCCAGATGTCTTGCTTCCGACATGCTGCGCCGCCCATCTACCTATGGCATCGGGGAAATGGTGCCCAACTGACGCCATGGGCAGACGCCACAGGCAGTCTCCTCAAGTCAGACTCCTCAAGGCAGACTCCGACTCGAATGCATTTGCTGATGAGCCCCCAAAGCAGTGAGAAAATTCTCCTGAGACGCAAGTCCTTGAACAAATGCCCGGTCGTGTGATCTTTACCTCAGCTGCTGTTCTCGTTACTAGCCTGCTGATTTATTCAGCCAGCACTTCGAGGATTTGGTCGCTCAAATAAATCTCCAAGCAACCAACCATCAGCGTGGCCCCGGCCCCTGGGAAACCTGCATCATTGCCATGGAGGATGATCATCGTCCCTTCAAACGAGCGCGGCATCACGTCGGACACCCGTTGTATGAGGAGGAGACACAACCTTGGATTTTGCCTCTGGCACCGGAGAGCGCAGTCGGAAGCCCCGCGAAACCATATTATCCTCAACAGCTACCCGCTACCGACGCATATGATGGTACCTGGTTTCATGACGACGACAGGATCTATGGAAACTCAACTTTCGGTTTGATGATCACTTCCCCTCCGGAAGAGACATTTTGCCAAAAGGCTTACATCGACAATCTCATGGAAACACATCAGACGCCTGCTTTTGAAGGCAATATCATGATGCCGCAAGATTTGCCCCGTCCGGATGACAATTGTTCTCAGTCATACTCGTTGGAATCGATCACTTGTGGCCCCTCCACTTTGCCACAATACGCCAGCCACCATCCAACACGATTGAACCCGGCCATATCCTCTGATGCGCGACAACTCAGCGAACCAGTCTTTCACAATTATCACCCAGAAGAACTGGTTTCTGGAAGAGATGAAGGGTTTGCAACATCAAATACACAGGAGTGGTGCTACCTTCCCTGCATCGACCCATCGACAGAACAACCTGAACCTCATTCATGCTATCCACCCTCCAAGCGTCTGGAGCCCGCCGAACAAGATGATAACCCTCCCTCACTCTTATTACCTTTTGCGGCGACAAAGTATGAAGGACTCATTTGCTTTGGAATGGTAAGCTGACTTGCTCATCAAGTGTGAGAGATGTTGTAAGTGAACTAAAGACATTTAGTTAACGACGCTGACCGCCCACGTTGTCGACTCACTACCCCTAAGTAGATGCAAACAATCTGAAGCTCCCCTTCGCTTGCAAGGTGACAGGGACTTGGTGTTTGCTGACTCGGGGTTAAACTGTGGGAAGATCGAATCCCGTGACGGCCAATTACTCCGGTTACTCACAAATGAAGGCATTGAATTCGACTTATTGTGTCTTCTTCGAGACCAGGATCTGTCGCTAGAGTCAATGTCGATACTGGCCACAATCTACGGGTCTCGAGAAAAGGCCAAGAGTCTCGGGGTAGTTTTGCAGGGGTTAGAGTATTACTTGCAAGACCCCAACTTCGCCGTCAGAGACTTAGAGTATTTTAACCCACACCGCTTTGCAAACGCTTCGGATGCTCGGACAACGGACTTTCGCACCACGATACCCCTCAATGGAAATCTTTCTTCCGAAGATGAGGCTGTTATTTCTGTTGGAATTCTGGACACATTTACAACTCAGTGGTCGATCCCTACTGAGGTCGTAGAGCCACCTTACCTTCTTACACAGCTAAAAAGGTACGTCCAGGGCTTTGATCAATGATTGAATGCATGTACTAACTACTGTTAGTCATCAGAAGCAAGCCTTATGGTTCATGGTTCAACGTGAAGCTGGTTGGAACACGCGTGAACATGGAAAGGATGTCTGGTCTCAACAACATGATTCCCAAGGCCAGGAAATGTGAGTTTGGAATGTGAAAGAAACCGTTTTTCCCTTTTCTTTTTGTTTTCGTGGACTAATCTCTGGTGAGTCCAGTTACATCAATAATATTGATTCCTCGCTGCACTACTCTTCGCCCAATCTTTTCAAGGGCGGCATTCTTGCAGATACGATGGGCCTCGGGAAGTCTCTCAGCATGATTTCTCTCATTGCTCATGGGAAATACACCGACGGTGGGCAAGAGAATACTACTTCTGGAAGTGGTACACTGCTGGTTCTGCCGTATTCTCGTAACAATCACCCAGCCCTGTATCGCCAAACTCAAGCTAACACTGCCAGTTCTTCACAGTTGGGAGCAGGAGCTACGCAAGTAAGTGATTCCGGGTTCTGCTGACTATGCTTGATGTCAATTTAAAGTAACATTCTCCGTAGACATTTGTCAGACAAGGATTTCGTCTGGCGACGCCATCATGCCCGGTCTCGAGTCAAGGACTTCACTGTGCTGAAGGTCCACGACATTGTACTTACCACCTACAGTACGCTTGCTAAAGAATGGCAATCATCAGATGGGAACCATCACATATTCTCCCACGAATGGCACCGTGTCATTTTAGACGAAGGCATGAGAAGATCCTTTTCGAGACACTGAGAAGAGTCGCTAATATTTAATCGTGAACAGCTCACGAAATTAGAGACTCGAAGACTGAAAAGTCCCAGGCAGTATTTCAATTAATATCGCACCGAAGATGGGCTGTCACCGGAACGCCCATACAGAACCGGGTCGAAGATTTCTTCAGCCTCTTTCAATTTCTTGAGGTTTTCCCTTACTGCGAGAAAGAGGCATTCAAAGACCTTGTCAGCCCCTTACTGCGTGGAGAGGATGCCGGACATTCGGCCCTACAAAAGCTGCTTGGTTACATTATGCTGCGGAGGCCTAATGACACAATTGAGCTTCCGCCGCGACATGACATTCGGCGTCTGCTCTCTCTGAGTGCATCTGAGCAACAAGCCTATGACTTGGAAAAGGCAAAGACAATAGAGTATCTCGACGCTGCATTGGCTTCAGCAAAGCCACGAGATGGCTACAGAAACGCGCTGGAAAAGGTTAATGCTCTTAGACTCATCTGCGAGCTGGGCTGCTACCGGAAGGAGAACCAGTTCAAGACTTTAGCACCTCAGAACGTTAGAGCTAAGTCTCGATCGGCCCCTGGAACACCAATTGGACCGTTGACGCCCATAACCCCAACCGAGGAAGACGAAGACAACGACACAGGACTAGACACCGAACTAGCTTCGCGGCTTGAGCAATGTTTCCCACCGTGCAACAGCTCAAACCAGAACGATTTCCCGGCCTCTCCCCGTGGCCAGTCACGTACAGAATCAATTGGGTCTATACTACCCCATCTTCTGCCAACCAAGGTCAGGGCTCTATTGATGGACCTCCAGGGGTGCGAGGAGGGAACGAAAAGGTGAGAATGAACTTCAGAAAGACACAGTTCAGATCTCCAAAGTATTGACAGGTGAAGCGTCGTATTCTCATACAGATCCACAATCCTTGACGTAACAGCTGCAGCTCTCAATGATGCTGGTATAAGCTGGGTTCAAATTGATGGCAGGGTAGGCCATAGAAAGAGAAACAGCATCATCGAGACCTTCACGTCAGCCACAGGCACTCAAGTTCTCCTCCTTTCCTTGGGTTGCGGCGCAGTTGGGTAAGAATTCCATCCATGGCTTCTGTGCCCAGAGGGTCTTCGGAAACACAGAGTGAAATGTGGTTGCTCACAAGTGTCTAGGCTCACTTTGACGGCGGCGTCGAGAGCGTACTTATTAGAACCTCAATGGAACCCCGCCATAGAGGAGCAGGCACTAGCACGCATCCATCGCATAGGACAGAAACAAGAGATCACCACAATACGGTTTGTGATAAGTAATTCCATCGAAAAGGTTGACACTAAAAGCGCTCATCTTTCTTCAAAAAGGCAGCTGCTGACATTGCCCACATAGTACGTCTTGGATATACAGGACGGAAAGCGAGATCTCACGACCTTACTTTTAAACGCGAAGACAAACACGGATGGTCAAGTTATAGGAAAGCTAAAGGTGTGTTGAGGCATTTCCCACTTCAAACTACTGCTTACTATGGGGCATAATAATAATGTAAAATCAAAAAGGAACTTCGCCAGCTATTATGTTAACTCCTTTACGTACTATACTGAGTTGAGAGGGACTCAGTTTGCCTCTTGCTGGAAGGGTTCACGCCCAGAAGCGAAAACGGTTGTGCAGATGTATTGGGACGAGACAAGGGCAACGTCCGGTGGCTTACCACTGGCAGAGCCTACTTGGCTGCCTCTTGGCGTGATTACCATGATGAGGAAGAAGGCCGTTCGATGGGGCATGGTTTTCTGATGGATGTTGAAGCTGAGTATGCTAAGTGATGGTCATCTTCCGAAATAAAACATTGTAAGGCAACAGGTTTCTGACCAATAGAGGAATGAGATAATTTCAATCATTAAAGGGAACTTAAAAGGTGACCTTGGCCCGTTTTGCCCGTGATTCCTAACGTCCCAGCCTATGCTACATGTATGTACTCCGAAATTCCATGAAAACCGACATTATTTGCAACCCATTTGTATCCTTGTCACATCATAGCACGATCATTTGGGGTCCCCCTCCGTCGAACCCGAGTCGCGGCTACTGCCGAGATTACTTGGCCGATTGGGCCGTACCACCACAAATCCTTGCTCCGGCTTCGCTGGCCGCACGACCTGGAATCCCTGTTCCGCCGCGCTCGGCTGCCCCGTGAACTTTGCCCAGATGCCAGACGTCGAGCGCAGAGATGGCTTCGGTGCGGGCGGTCGAGGGATCTCTTCCGAAGCTCGTTGTGCTGGTTGCGGCCGAGCTCCGTAGTAGAGGTCTGCCTCGCGGAAGGAGTAGTCGTTCCATCGTGGACCGAGCGGCCTGCCGGTGGCGTTCGGCGGGGAGCCGGGGGATGCAGGATTGGACTCTTCCTCATCTTCTGTAGACTCCGACAGCCTGCCGGGAGACATGGTCGACTCGGAGCGCTTGATAGACTGCTTCTCTGCTACCGTGGTGCAGGTCGACGTCGTCCTTGATGGTGGATAGGCGGATGACAGGGGGGAAGCGCTGCTGGAGGCTCTCTGGTAATGGTCGAATGAGGAAACGGATGTGTTTCTTGAAGGCGAGCGGGGCGCTCTGTAGTATCGACTTGAGTATCGGCTTGAAATGGTCGATGAGTCAAGGCGCAAGGTGCTAGGGCTGTCGGCACGGTACGTCGGATGGAGATAGCCCGCGGCAGGTTCCTCGATGGCGTCCGGTTCGGGATACGGCATGTAAGACGTGTCGGTGGTCGAGTCAGCGGCGTACATATCGGAGAGATTCGTCCGCGACACCTCGCGCCGGCGGAGCTGACGAAGTCCATAGACCTGCGGTGGGTTAGGCTTTGGACGCAGCAACGGATACGAAACACTTACATGAGGTCGCGGGGCGGTCCACCAGCTCTTGATTAGTTTCGCGAGACTGAAGACGGCTGGGACGAAGAAGCCTAGCACGAGCATACCGGAGTGAAGCGCCAGGAGAACGTAGCCGATAGCGCTCTTGATCTCATGACTGGCGAGGTCGGGCAGGAAAGACACCATGAAGATCAAGCTGCAAATACGCATAGTCGCCGCGATGGCGCCAACCGAGAAGGTCGAGTAGGCCTGGAACCCGGCGATGCTGGCCAACAGAACGAGCTCGCACGCGCCGAGGACTGCCAACTGCGCGGGGCCGGAGATCTGCAGCCCGCCGATCGCGGCGCCCCGGACGAAAGTGAGGACGAAGAGAATCAGGATGAACTTCTCGTCGTGGCGGCGGTAGTTCTCGGACGGCGCGATGCGCTGGTACCGCTTGGTGCTGTCGAAGACCAAGACGCCGAGGCTGCGGGTGGGGATCTGGCGGAGGAGCCAGACGAAGGCTCCCATCATGGCGACGATGAGGGCGACGGCGAGAGACGTGTGGTACGCGGGCAGGAAGGTGGCGTGGTCGAGCTGGTAGAATGATAACGCTGCCAGGGGGAACATGAAGTAGGAGAGTATGATCCGGAGGACGCGGCTGAGGGTGTGACGCATGCCGCCGGCCGACCGGGGGAATTCGCTGTCGGAGTCGCGGCTGCGGTTCATGAACCAGAAGACCTCGATGACCATGGCGCAGCCGAAGGCGATGATCATCATGAGCACGACCATGTTCACCCAGGTGTCCATCGTCATCGGGGCGCCGGCGATCTGTGTCATTAGTTCCAGTCCGAAGGTGCCGCCGTATGTGCCGTTCATAACATAGATTCCATCACCGACTCTGTTGTAGGTCACTCCGTGTGTGACAGGGCCGGTGGTGAACAGAGAGAACAAGTTCAGATTGCTGACGACAGGTTGGTAGAATCCAGGGTATCGGAGACTCAGACCACCAGTCAAGAAAACGAACTGGAGGTACTGCAGACAGTCTCCAACATTCGGCAGAACGGTCCGAAGTGACCGTTCGTCTTCCTCGTCCAGGGTAATCGGGGTGCTGTACGCTGTTCGAATGATACCGACGAGAAGCACGAACAAGAAAATGCCCCAGGAAACATAGCTAATGGCTGATATCGTGGTCGGTCGAAGAGCAGGAGTGATGTTGGCCTGTCGGCAGCTGATTCCTTCGGAGTCGTTCGACTGAAGCTGCATGGTCGCATGAAACGTGGATAACGGAGGTAATCGACCGATATCGGTGGTGAAGTTGACGTATAAACTCGCGGGACTCTCCATATTCTTCGCCCACTTGTTGTTCTTCAAGTTGAGTTTCTTACAGGTCGCGTTCGTCATGGCCGTGTACGCCGAAGACCGTCCCAGCATCCGAATCTGCAAAGCCGCGGCGGGCATAAGCTGGGCGATTTTCTCGCAGTCGACCTCCTCGATCCATCTTCCGACCCTGAATTCCAAGTTGTTGCCGTTGCCGCCGTCAAGCTGTTCCAATTTGGCTGCGAGACTCGTGGGCGCGAAGGGGTCGTCTCGAGAGGAGGCTTCGTCGCAGTTCTGCCATTGCACGTAGGCACCCGAGGCGTGGCTGGCCAGCAGCAGCCCGACGAGACCAAGTCGTGCGATCATGGCCTCGGAGGTTTAAGTTCGAGGCAGATCTTTGAGAGGTTCGTCAACGGCGGCTTGTCTACCGGTCGAGCGTCGAACTTGCCACCCAGCAAGACCGTTAAGTTGTCATAGAAGTTGAGATGAGCGAAGGAGGGGACAACGAAGGAGGACGCAGCGCGAACCAACAAGAGCAACAGTGGATGACCGTCAATCTTTTTTCGACCCTGACCAAGTGGATCTAAGGCATAGGATTGCATTGCCGAGCCCGCTAAATCTCAGCCTGCTCGTATTTTTACTGCGGAAAGGGGTCTTTTTGACGCGGATCACCCCTGACTCGCGGGCCCGCCGAACGTCCTTTTGCGGGGATAGGCCGAGGTCACGCATCCTTCCGGGAATGGGGACTGAGGGATCGCGTTGACTGGTGGACAAGGAGACAAGATCGAACAAAGCTAACGGTATTTATGATGGGGCATGTTGGTGTTGCCTCCTTGAAACCGGCCGTCGCCTCCTTGAAACCGGCCGTCGCCTGATTGATGGGTGCCGTTATGTTTTGCTGTTGAACGAGGTGTACGATCAAAACATCAGAATGTCAACTTGGACCAGGAAGCAATCCGTCACCTATCCTCCAGGGCCCTGTTTGATTGTTCGCGCCTCGAATTGACAAACTCTTCCCTGAGAATCCTGGGTATCTCGCCCCTCTGATGGTCGATATGCGACGCCGCATTCGCCAAGTTCTCCAGCTCCGCACGCCGCCCTAGATATTGCACGATGAGCTGGAAAACAACACATGCGAAACCGCGCGTCACGACTTACCAGCAGTCTGGAGATCAAGTCTTTCAAACCTGGTTCCAAGAGACATCAATTGATCATTGAGTACCGTCTGCCACTGCTCGTGTAGCCAGAACTCATCCTGTCCACACACACGGAGCAGCCACTCAGACTGGTGGAACTACGGAGCACGTTAATTAGCAGCCAGGCCGATGAGGTTTTGCGTGATAGGAACTTACTACCCAGTTGAAAAGCCTACAATGGCCTTTTACTCGTGTCATGCAATCCCGCAGGCCTTTCATCTTGGATTGCGTCGTCAACTTTTGGTCTACTTCCGTCGAGCTCAGAAGCCGGTGGACCAGAACGACTTGAGTGGTGATCAACAGTAGACCAAAGCAACCGTTGTGTAGATCGAATTGGCCAAGCTCCCAGACTTTCGAGACAATGTCGGCAATCCGAGATGCGTGATCGTAGATTTGCTCTGGCAGAACGCGCTGGCTGGCGTTGCCGGTCAACACTGGAGTTGTCCACGACATCGTGTCCATCAGGATGATCTGCCAGATGTGATGGTAGTGCAGATGAACAAAGGCAAACTGCCGTGAGGAGAACCTAGAGTGGTGGGCTTGCAAATTACTTTCAGAGTAACTCAGTGATGCCGGAAGCGAAGAGTGCCAAGTCGAGACTGCTGATGCCAAAGACGTGGTTGACTTGCCGGGATTATCTCTGCGTTGCTCACAGACTTTGTAATATAGATCGGACAGCTTCAAAATTTCTTGCATGAGATTCGGGGCCGAGGGAACCTCAGGGGGGTTACGAGATCGTGTCCTTAGAGCGTCATACTCGTCGTCGCTGAATAGCCGCGGCATCGAGTCGATGCGGACAAAAGCCCGTTCGTTCTTTGCGAATGGCAACATCAGGTTGTCTGTCAGAGCCACGGTCGCTAGGAGGCGACGGATGGTTTCCGCTTGGACGGGGTCAACCTCGTCATCTTGGAGGCCGTTTTGCAAATTCAGAATGTTTAACACGACTCGAGCGTTGTCTATGAAGATTTCAAATTTCAGCAAGGTTAACTTTAGGTCCGGGGATCGGGAACGTACTGATGTACAGCGAGGCTCTTCTAGTTCCACCGAATGTGAGGTGGTACGTGGCTTGGAGGACGTAGGCTTGTGCAGTCGTCAAAGTCGGGTCGTCGAAGTCTTCTTGCAACAGCTGTCGCGCCTTGCGTTGAAGAGGCTCGCCCCAGTGTGTCCTCATATGAGGATCTTGAAATGGCGCGTGCGAATATCTGAGCGAACAAACGTCAGAACCACGATGCTTATAAGTTTACTCGCGGGAGGCGGCTGGTTTGGCCACCTGCGCAGAGGATGTTTGCTTGACTCACCGGATTCCGAGCGCCATGACGGAGTAGAGTATGATTTTCGGAACGGTACCCAAGGCATACTGCCTCAGAAAGCTTCCTTGATCAAACATGAAATGAACATCGCTGAAGTTATGAAAATAGAGTAGAATGAGACTCTGCGTCAACTCGCCTTCACGCAAGAGTTCTTCTGGTGTGCCATAACCCACATCTAAAGCTGAATGTGTCCCGGCTAACGGGAACAGCTTGCCAGGTAGTTCTCTTCCTATTGGCATGTTGAGCTCATGAGTAGTGGTAGTTGACGCTACCCGATCCTCTTGGAAGTGCTGTCGTGGAATTTCTAACTCAGGAATTGCTGATCTGACAATCGGACGCGTGATATTCAGAGAGCACTGTATGTTGCGTCGAGAACATCTCTGACAGTTTGGATTTCCTGCCTCGACATAGCATCGGAGTTTTCGTTGTCTTATGCTCAGGTGTTAGTGCATCAGTCGAGCGGTCGTCGGCCATTGATGAGTTATGGCTTGGATGTCGGAACGTTGAATCTTACCGGCACTCTTTGCATGCATTTCGCGTCATTCTGAAGTAGTGCAAGAGATTCAAATGAGAACAAAGAGATTGCGGTTGTTGATTGCAGGCGTAGTCGTGGGTTGGATGAGTTGGTTGCTCAATGCACATGTAGGACAACCGCGGTGTAGTTGCAGTTGGTAAGTGGACTTTAATTATGCGCTTGTGAGCGGGGGGTATTAGAGCCCCTACCAAGTCGGCCTGCAGAAGAGGAGTAACACTAACACGTACAGAGTACTGAATGCAAATAAGCGGATGCATCGAGTCAGTACTGTAACTTTATTGGTTCACGAATGACATTTACGTCAACTATGCGTGACCGCTCAAAGCTTGAATGGTATGGATACACATTGACACATATATATGTTGGAGTAGCTGATATGCGAGCTTTGCCAAGAGGCTTGCCAAGTGTGCGCAGAAGAAAGGGAAGAAACAAGAGATATTGTACAGTTCTCAGGGCGGTTGCGACCCATGTCAGATGTGGCCAGAGAAGCCTCAAGACGGTCTGGTCTACTCGATCTTGTCGCTACAACTACATTGTCCGCGTTGGCTTACAGCCGATCAAAAACATCCGCAATAGCCTCGAGTGACGGGCCCTTCGTCTCGACCAAGAACAGGTAAACGCAAGCAACTTCAACACACAACCACCCGATGTAGACGTTGTAGAACTTCCAGCCCAAAGCTTCTAAACCAATGGGGTTGGCGAGAGCGTTGACGAAATTCGCCGCCTTTCCCGAGAACATGAGAATTGAGTAGCCCTTGGCCCGGATATGATAGGGCAAAACCTCCATCGGGTACGAGTAGAGCAGTGCGTTGAACGCGAGGTTGAAAAAGGTGTAGAAGAGGAACAGCATCGCCACCACACCGTACCCGGCTTGGGTGTCGCCCCTCTCGTTGAATAGGCCGGCACACAGGGTCTGGCTGGCAAACACCGCAAGCATGCCAACGGTGGAGATCATGAATTGTGTTCGTCGCTTCAGCTTGGCTGTCAAAAACGCGGAGGAGACGGCGGTTATCCAGTTCCAGATCATCAGACAGCCGTTGATGATGTTCTTGTCGCGGTTGTTCTTGAAACCGACCGTGTCGAGAACACGAGCCAAGTAGTAACTAGAGTTGAAATTAGTTAGCACAGCGTTGATGCCAAAAGAGTGGAGGGGAACCCACGAGACCAGTCCGTTTCCAGACCACTGGGAGAAAAGCCCTAGCATGATCATGAGCATCATTCTTCGCCGATTCCCTTTGCTCGATAGGAAGGACTTCCACGTCATTCCCTCTGAGGTCAATTCCGTCTCAATGACGCTCTTGATTTCCAGAAACTCCAGCTCCACCAACTCGTCGCCTTGTCTCCCGTCCGCGTGATACTGTTCCAGGATTTGCTTTGCCTTCTCGCCACGGCCCTTGGCGACCAACCAACGGGGGGACTCTGGGACGAAACAAACGCCGACGATCTGGATCAAAGCAGGTGCGGCTTGAAGCAGGCTCGGTATTCTCCACGCCCACTGGTTGGGCATAGAAAAGGTAGCGAATGTGGTCCAAGCAGCTATGATCGCACCAATGTACCAGGACGTCTGGTACAGAGAGGTGACGACTGACCGATCTTTCGGGTGAGCAAGCTCGCCGATGAGAATCGGAGCGAATGTATTACAGAAAACCAGTCCGAAGCCGAGGAGAAAGCGGGAGGCGAGAAACATGCCAACTGTCGAGCAGATAATGTGAGCAACTGACACGTCGGATACTCTCTTGCAGAGTACTCACTGTGCACAGAGGCGCCTTGAAGAATTCCGCCCGTGGCCATGATCGATGACCCGACGATGATCCCAACCCGCCGCCCCCAGCGATCGCCGACGGTGCTGATGAACGGCGTTGCCATGATGGCACCGAGAGACAATATGGCTGTGAGAAGACCTAAAACGGCGCCTTGAGGGTGATCAAAGGCTACGAGTCTTTGTTAACAATGCGAACTCAACCGTTCCAGACGGCTGTGGGCATGCTCCGGAAGGAGACACGGAACTGATTGGAATAACCAACATTCTTGCCAAGTTGCGACAGCCTGAAGACCATTCATCATGGCCGAGTCGAACCCAAGGGTAACGGAGGGTACCAAACAGCCAGGAATCATCAACAAGTACAGGTTGAGGAGGTTACGACTGCGGTAAAATGGCGGTGCCTCTCTGACGAGTTGCTGCAGTCGAGCTTCGACGTTGGCGTCGGTGTCATGTTTGGGAGAGTGTCCGATCTCCTCGACAACGGCTTCGTCTTTGCTGGTTGGTCGAGACATGACGGGCTTCGGTCTAGGCAGATCAGACGAAGTTGGGTGCGCGTGGAAAGTACTTTCGATGAGTCTCGATTCGACAAGAAAGAGAGGCAAAGGACTGTGTGATATGGCCAGACGTTCGCGATCAGCAAGATAGCAAACTTCGTCTTTATACTTGTGCTTGGAACATTCCGTGGATTATTGCGAGAATTAGACCCTGTCCAAGAACAGTTAGGAACGGGGGAAAGCCTTTTTCCTCCCCATGGGGACAAGTTGGAGAAAGCCTCACTCACCACCAGAGTCACCAGAAGACGGAGAAGGATGGAAAACATTTTCAGCAGGAGTGCGGGGAAAGTTGGTGTCTTGGGGCGTGATCTTGATCTGAACATAGTCAAGGATGCAAGCGATTCTTGACTCTCCCCTTGTATCGGTGTTGGTTCATCTCGACGGCATAAACATCGGCTTCCAGCCAATGGAGTGTATTCCGCACCGAAGGCTCCGGGCGTTCTCCGTAAAAGCCTCGGAGCTCGACCAATCAAATGCACCCCGCGCCGAAACCTCCGAGTGCTCCCCGAAAAGCCTCGGAGCCGCCATACCAAATCCATCAACGAGGAATACACCGCATCCTTCCCCGCAACACGATCGCGAGGAAATGAATTGAGCCGGAGACGAGACCGATTCAAAACTGGGGGCCGGGATGATGTACATAAACGCGGGGCGCCGTCTATCTTGGAGTTCGTCTTGTGATTGCATTACTTTGTGTTTCTGCAGAGATTCTCATCATGGCCCCGGAAACTTCTCAAGTTGATGTCCATGCCCTCTTGGCTAAGCTGACCAGGGAAGAGAAAGTGTCGCTTTTAGCTGCTGTTGACTGGTGGCGCACACTGACGATAGAGCGAGATGGTGTTTTCGTCCCGCACATCAAGGTTCGTTTCGCCTTTCTTTCACGTCGTCGCCATCATCAATAAATCAACGTCTAATCAGAGATCGCGATACTTCCCTTCCGACACCGTCGCTCAATTTACAGTAAATCATTTCGTCCTAGCGTTTGCTGACCAAATATTTCGGTAATCACAGGCGACAGATGGTCCCAACGGCGCACGCGGCGAGAGCTACGTCAGTGGTATCAAGGCGGCCTGTTTTCCATGCGGCACCAGCCTCGGGGCATCCTTCGATCGCGACCTGTTGTATCGCTGCGGCAAAGAGATCGCCATCGAAGCGAAGTCAAAATCAGCAAATCTTCTGCTTGCTCCCACTCTGAACGTCATAAGGTCCCCGCGAGGTGAGCACCGATACTTGGGCAAAACCAAGCCCAGCTTGACGCTGACTTTTGAACTCTTCAGGCGGCAGAAATTACGAGACGTATTCTGAAGATCCGTTTGTACTGGGCTCATTGGCTGCTGCTTTTGTCAACGGTACGACTGCATGATCAACTTCTCTCGAGAAGCTCAAGCTAACGTGTATCATCGTCTAGGTTGTCAGTCCGAAGGTGTTGCCGCTACACCGAAACACTTTGTGGCCAACGACACGGAAAACAACCGCAAGGTGCTTACTGCGGAGGTTGACGAGCAGACTCTCAGAGAGATATATATGCTGCCCTTCCAGCTGGTGATGAAATATTCGGATCCGTGGTGCTTCATGACGAGGTGGGTTTGTTTTCAAGTCTCGCTCCCAGTAGCTGCTGACAATAGACCGACCAGCTACAACAAGGTGAATGGGGCCTATGTTTCCGATTCTTCGAGGCTCGTCAACGATGTTTTGAGGGGAGAATGGGGCTTCAACGGGACCGTCGTTTCCGACTGGATGGGTGTCTATTCCACCGCGGACAGCATCAATGCGGGCGTTGACGTCGACCTGCCCGGACCCACGATTTATCGCGGCCCGAAACTTCTAAAGGCCATCGATGAAGGCCTCGTCAGTGACGATACCATCGACAAGTCTGCGTTGCGCGTTCTGGAATTGGCGAAACGACTGGGTCGCTTCGAGAATCCCGAAGAGCCGCCAGAGCAAGAGGCGAAGAATCCCCAAAGAGACGAGTCGATCCGGCAAGGAGGCGCGCAAGGCATGGTTCTCTTGAAGAATGACGGGGACCTGCTTCCCATCCCCAAAACGTCATCGGTGGCTATCATCGGCCATCACGCCCAGCATGCCAGTCTCGGCGGAGGCGGAAGCGCTCGTGTGGACTCGATTCGAGCTGTCAGCCCTGCCGCCGGACTGGAGGCTGCGGGTTTCAAGACGAAACTATCTAGCGGAGTTCCTGTCTTTGGTGCTCTGCCACACGCTGACCCATCGATCCTGTACGACTCGGAGACGAAGACGCAGATCCCGGATCCAGTTCAGATTGAGTGGTTCAACGGGAACATCATCGGCCAAAACCTCGCCTGGAAGGAACGCAAGGCGCTGCCTGAGTACATGATCAAGGAGAAGTGGCCCGAGTCCCTCTCGAAGGAGTACTGCACCCGCATCACATTCGACGTTTGTCCGAAGACAAGCGGCGACCATATCCTTTCCGTCATCTCCACTGGCCCTTCCATCTGCTACATCAACGGGGCGGAGGTCTACCAGCGGCCCCAAGAGACGGACCTCACCCAGGAGTCCTTCTACTTCTTTAAGTCCAAACTCGAGAGACGATTCACGCATCCGATGAAGGCTGGTGAGCACTATGAGCTGGTACTGGAGTCGTGGAACACCGATCCCGAGATCCTCAACGCGAAGCCCCTCTACGGCAAGATGTTCCAGGGATCCGCGCTCCGGTTCCACGAGCACATCGACACCCCCGGCCGCATCAACGACGCCGTCGCCGCAGCGAAGGAATCCGACTACGCCGTTGTTTGCGTCGGCACCACGAACGAGATCGAGTCGGAGGGATTCGACCGGGACACGATGAATCTCACGACGGCACAGTGCGAGCAGATTCTCGCCGTCGCGGCTGCCAACAGGCGCACCATTGTGGTCAACTTCAGCGGAGGCCCCGTGGATCTCACGCCGTTCGTCGATGCCGTGCCTGGCTTGATCCAAGCTTGGTTCCCGGGCCAAGAGTGCGGACATTCGCTTGCGCTGGTGCTCAGCGGCGATGTCAATCCCTCTGGTCGGCTTCCCTTCTCGTGGCCCGAGAAAGACGAGGACAATCCTGCGTGGGGAAACTTTCCGTGCGACGAGAACAACGTGGTTCGATATGAGGAGGGTCTCGACGTTGGCTACCGATTCTACGATCGCAAGTCGAGTCCGGATCCTCTCTTCCCGTTCGGGTACGGCCTCTCCTATACCACGTTTGACATCGGCGACCTTCATTCTCCCAAAAGCACTCTTCGTTGGGCGCATGATGCCGTGACAGTCTCTGCCAATGTGAAGAATACTGGCAATACAGCAGGTTCTGTTGTCCTTCAGTACTACGTCGCCATGCCTGCCGCCGGTAATGCGTACAAGGGCCGGCAAAGACCTGAGAAGGAGTTGAAGGAGTTTCGGAAGGTTTCCCTCGGCGCTGGTGAATCTCGGACAATGGAGATCAGCCTCGACAAATATGCCTTCAGCTTTTACGAGGCGGATGCGTCTTGCTGGCGGGTGGACGTCGGGAAGTATAAAATCCAAGTAGGCTTTTCTTCTGTGAACCTGAAGGCATCAGTCGACGTTGAGGTGACCACTGGGTTCACTTGGACTGGCATTTGAATTTAGGAGTCGCTGGATAGATAGTGATTTTATGAATTGCTCAAATGGAACTGTGCCTTTATTAATGTTTGGCAGTGAAGCCAACAGGATCATAAAAGCTTGACGCCCTTGGCGGAACTGCTGTACGTGAATCTTTCATGTCCGGTAACGTCAGAGCAATTGCGCCCCGCGAAAAGATGTCAAGGGTATTTGCTGTACATCTCCAGCGAGCCCCGCGTCTCCTTGATGCCGGCGCCGCGGCGATGTCTCACCGGGATTTAAAACCACGAGGGCACCAAACGGCTTGACCTAACAATTGAACGTGTTGACGTTCGTTGGGCTTACACACTCAGAGGTTAAGTTGACTCGGTTCAACCGAACTCGGAACAGCGATGAGTGGAGCCGTCTCGTCGAGTTTGGAAGCCTGGTAGCGCGAAGGACTCAAGCTTCGAGCTTCCATCGAGAAATCGAGACATCGCCGACGCTGACATTGCCCGTTGAATCTCAACGCTGGCAGTTCAAGTCGAGTTGAACGACGACGACATCGGGAACGGAAACCGGACGGCAGCGAGGCAATCATCCGTCTTCAAGCAGCACCAGCACGATCGCGCGTCCTCTTTCCCGTCCATGCTGACTTTCCGCCAACCGTCCGGGCACGCTTCGTCGCATTCGGGCCCCGGGGCTATTTTGCGGCATACTTGGACCTCTGCGATATCGCTGGCTGCGTCTCCAGATACTGCGGTCTCGTTAGGTTAGATTCTCATGTGGAGGGTCGACGAAGGTTTCGGAATAAGACTCACGTAACGGCGTAGCGTGGATGCCACTGATGAGGTATGCTACTAGAAACAGTATGAGGCGCATTTTGAAGAAGGCTCTCCGATCTTTTGAAAGAATGAGTTGGCATACGGATAAAGAAGGCGAAAAAGAAACGCAAGGCGAGGATGTCGTCAACGAAAGTCCTCTTACTCGCCATAGGCTTGGCTAGACTCTTTATGTGTTTTGCTGCTCTCCCGTTTCAGAATATCCAAAACGATTATCCGTACATGACTATTAGTAGGACTCGTCTGAACAATAGTCGCGATGCAGCCTAGCAACATCTCCCTGGTTTACCCCTGCTATGCAGAAGCTTGGTTCTTCACAGAGTTCGGTTTCTGGCTCCGATCACCATATAGCAAGTACTCATCCGGTCTATCGCACAACCTTCGAACGAGATAACGAATGGGCTTCATTCCATCCTGTGAACCGAGCATTGATTTCATGCCAACGGAACCATTGGGGCGGGATGATGTGTGGAGATCTGCAGACTTCCGACGACTGTTGGGTGCTTGAGACTCGGTTGATAGTACGGTGAACATGGGTAACTAGCGGTGGGATGCTTTCCGATTAAGATTTCGAGGGAAAGTTGATCAGTTCTCCGAGTAGTTTCTCCATTTGCCGACCTCATCTCCCCCGCTTCACAGGTTGCCATCTCACATGCGAATATAGACATCTTTCACAGCAACCATCAAATGACCAGACCCAATCCACCACGATGCTCCTCCTGATATCTCCCCTCACAGCACTCACATACCTCTCCATTTCCCTAGCAATCTACCTCACCCTCTCCTCCATCCGCCGCTCCCGCCGCCTCGCCCGCGCCGGCTGCCTCCCCATCCCCACCTTCAGAAGCAAATACCCCCTCGGCATCGACACCATCATCGACTCCACGTCCGCCATCCGCGAGGGGCGAGCGCCGGAGTACCTCCGCAGCCTCCTCCTCTCCAACGGCTCCCTCACCTGCACCTACCGCATCGGACTCAACACGGGCGTCTTCACCGCCGACGAGGCCGTCGTGCAGGCCGTCCTCACGCGGCAGTTCGCCGACTTCGAGGTCGGCGACGAGCGGACCGTCGCGCTGGGCCCGCTGCTCGGGTCGGGCATCTTCATCCAGGACGGCGAGCCGTGGAGGCGGTCGCGGGGGATGTTGAGGCCCGCGTTTACGAGGGCGCAGATCAGCAGGTTGGACGTGGACGAGAGGCACGTGCGGAGGATGATGGAGGAGGTTTGCGAGGGCGGGGATGGGAGCGGCTGGACTGGGAGGGTTGATCTGTTGCCCATGTTTTACCGGATGACGATGGATTTTTCTGTGGAGTTTCTTTTTGGGTTGGGGGATGCGCGGTCGAGGAAGTTGGGGGGCCCGGCGAGGCCGACGGACGCGGAGTTTGCGGAGGCGTTTGATAGGGCGATGGAGGGCGCCGAGATGCGGTATGAGTTTCTCGATCTGGGGAAGTACGTGTGGCCGAGGGGATTCGCGAAGGCTTGCGAGCTGTGCCATCTGTTCGTGGATAACTGCATCGCCGACGCTTTTGAGAGGCTCAGGAGCGAGAAGGCGTCGTCGGACTCTGGGGATGCCGAGTACGACTTCTTCAGGGACCTCGCGGCCGAGTGTTCGGATCCGCTGGATCTTCGGTTCCAACTGCTTTCTATCCTGTTTGCCGGGCGAGACACGACGGCGGCTTTATTGGGGTGGATCTTCTTTGCACTTGCGCGGGATCCCGATTGTTACCGGAAGCTTCGGGGGATTGTGATTGATCAGTTCGGATCTTATGAGACGCCGGCGAACATCAGTTTTGAGACGCTCAAGTCTTGCAAGTATCTTCAGTATGTCGTCAACGAGACGCTGCGGCTCTACCCCGTGGTGCCGTTCAATGCCAAGAGGGCAGTGAGGGACACGACTCTGCCTCGTGGAGGCGGACCGGATGGGAAGGCCAAGGCTTTCGTGCCGAAGGGGACGACTATCAACTTTTCTGTTTACATCATGCATCGGAGGAAGGATATCTGGGGCCAAGACGCTGAAGAGTTTAAGCCTGAACGATGGGAAGGAAAGTTGACAGGCTGGGAATATCTGCCGGTATGTATGTTGAGTTGAGCCACGATCGAGACATGCTGATGTGACGCAGTTCAATGGAGGGCCCCGTATCTGTATCGGGCAGCAACTTGCCTTGACTAGGGCCGGGTATGTAGTGGTCAGAATGCTGCAGCGGTTTGATAGTCTTGAGAATCTGGATCTGGGACCGGAGAGACATCGAATGACTGCAACTTTGGCACCGGGCAACGGAGTCATTGTCCGACTTCATGATTCTCTGATGAGGAGCAACCCACGCAAGGAGTAAAACGTTTAGAGTGAGACTGCGGCGAGTTGACCGGTGCTCAAAAGCGAATCGATATTTCACATGCGATACTGAAGGCCGAGATCGTAGTTTGAGAATATCTCCGGCCAGCGTAAAGTGTGGCGGCGGTTCTTGGCCACAGCGATGGTGGCTGGAGGCTCACCGTTGATGGCGAAGGGATCAGAGGAAGCCGGCGGCTTGGCAAAACGGCCACCACAACGGATTGAAATAGATTGAGCTGAATCGGAGCTAGAAATTGAAGCTGAATGAGTCCTGAGTATGAAACACTCCGTACTAGAAAGCCCATGATGACAAAAATGAGAAAAGGTGACTGAGTTGGATTGTGAGATTCGCTCAACTTGTTTTCATCGCCAGAAACCCGTGAGATGAGCAGTTGCCTCGAGAATTGTGTCGCGTCACTGGTGATCGCCTGATGACTGACAGAAAAGTGAAATGTTTGGAATCTGAACGCTCGCAAGTGAGCTGGAGCTGACCTGCTCCCTGAGTCCTGCAATTGCCGTGAGGCTCACGAATCGTAAGTGGCGACGGCAGGCTTGCGGCCAGTCAGGCCTACCGTTCTAGCTAGTCGAACCACCGGTCCGTGTCCGCCACTTGGCTTGCCGGGCCATCGGGAAGCGGCGTCCGCGGAGGCTGAAGCGAAGTGAACTCAAACGGGCGAGTCGTGCTAGGAGGTATTCAGCAACAGGCGTCGGCGTCGGCGCGTCTTACGAGGACCAGAGCCGGCGACAAGGTCAGAGAAGCTGCTATGCGAGGGCGACAGACGACACGAGACCTAGCGGAGGAAAGTGGATGAAGAGATGGGATGAAGGCCATCACACTCGTGGATAAGACCTGCGTCTGTGAACTGTTTGTCCCTGCGCCATTAGCCTCAGCGCAGGGAGGGAATGGGCTGTGCTGAGGATGAGATGAGGACAGGGCGGTGATGAGGCGAATATCCAGTCGCAGTCGTACGGGAAGAGGAGGTCATCAATTTCTCCATGTGCCGTGGTGAGTCCAATGTTTGAGATTTATCGTGAGCCCATGTGTTGTTGAAGTGGAACACATTAAAAGAAAGTGTTCAGCTGGGCGCCCAGGGAAGGGAGCCTCGGCAACATCGGCATCAGCATATAAATTAGGTAGGGCGGCGATGAGAAATGATGATGTGCAGATATTGAAAAATCAGAGCATTTCGAGAGCGGAAAGGAAGCCGACGGAAAGAGGTCGTTATTGCAATTTGGGTCGGTTTTCGTGAGGAAGGGGCGAATATCGGCAGACACCCGCTCCTTCCAAACGGAAAAATGAGAAGCCACCTCACGGAAGGCGCGTCCCAAACTCCAGACTCGATGCTCTCTTTCCCGTCCGCAATTGATTTTGTTAGATGGCCCTTCCTTTCTCGTCCTGCAGCATACAGCAAATTGCAATTGACGTCATTACTTTGTTTGGTTTGGCCCAAATTGAGATGCTGCCATGCCACCTGAACAGCTGTCGAGGGCGGATAACAGCTGAGAGACCGTGTTTTCCATGTGTTTTTAGCGGCCACTTCCCTCCAGTCGAGCTTCGACCGTGTGCTGTCCCCCTTGCATCGTGCATAGTGCAGGCCGAGGGTGCATGCAGCTGCATCATTAGCGCCGTCGCCTTTCCCATTTTCTGCAATTTTGCCATTTTGCCAGTTGAGGCCGTCAAGCCTTCAGCAAGTGAAAGTGCAGGTGCAATCGTCGAGGTGAACCTGGATCGCACCTTCTGTGTAGACTCGGGAGCTAGGCGTCCTCGCTTAAGTAAACACTTGTCCTAATCGGCTTAGCTCATCCAAGCCATCCAATCTCTTCTCCAAGCAGCATTCTCGGTGGAGGCCATTCTCGACCCCAGCTTCCCGTCCATTCCACGCTCCCCGAGTCGAATATCGACTTCATCGGAGCTTGTTCCATCCTCCCGGCCGTTTGGCTGCTTTTTTTAGCCCCTTCAATCGACTTTTGTTTCTTCTCCACGTCTTCCACTTCCTCCTGCCGAGATCCAACATGCCTCGCAAACAATGTCCTGCCAATTTACCCGTGGCCACTAGCTTCCGCGCGTCACACTTGGCTACATAGCCAAGACATGGAAGCAATTGAATCACCTCCATCGTCAGCTCCGGCTCCAGCTCCGAAAGCCATGGGCTTTAGTCATTCGACGAAGCGTCGCCGTCGCCTCTCACCATCTCGTCAACCTCACCTTGCTTCTTGCAGCTCTTCCGTCCGAACATCCCTGGCTCACGGCCTGGCCTCTATCCGCCAGTCTGGATGCAACATGTCTTGGCGAGCACAGTCGCCGCCCTAGTCCGTTCCCCTCCCTTGGTACGGGTGCACGACTTGGCTCCCGGTCTCTGTCGCCGCTGCGCTCTGAGCTTTCCAGCCCTCTTTCGCGTTGGCTGCTGTTGTTTTTGGACGCACGCTTTCTCACCGACCTAACGGATTCGGACTTGCCCGCCAGAGAAGATGCTTCCCTGGCATCCTGCCTCCAGTCCAGTCTCGGCATCCTTCTCCCGCTTGCCCTGAATTGTCTCTGGCGCCTCCAATATCTCGCCCTAGCTGATCAAATTCACCAAGGCACGCGCGCCATCCCTGGGTACGGAACCTTCTTTCGAATCCTGGCTTACACGCCGCTCGCCGTCCAGCCAGCTCCAGGCACGGGAGCAAGCACTTGGCTTCTGCACCAAGCCGATCTTCTGCGTCCCTGCCTAGCTACCTAGCTACCTTGGACCTGCCTTAGCTCGGGCTATGGGTCCTGTCGACTTCCATCTCGACGAGAGCGCCGCGTCGGTGCCCGGTCTGGCGTATTGTTGTCGAGGGATACCATGCTCTTGGCTCGTCATCTTGGCCATCCTGGGTTGTTTATTATCTGTCCTGTCCCCGGATACTCATCATGCACTCCTCAAGTGCTACACTCTTTTGAATTCCCAAGGCACTCGTGGGCTTCCTGTGTCGAAACAGGCACTCGGTCGTTCTCTTCGCTCGTTCCCTAGCCTCCACCGCTCACTATGAGGCTGTCACTCGGCGTGCTGGCCTCGTTGCCGGCGCTCGTCGCCTCACTCGCTTCAACCGATTCGTACCGTGATGTCGTGAGTATCCCTTGACCGCTGGTTCTTTCCGTCGGCGCCAGTATGCGCATATGCCAAGGTACCCATGCTGATATGGTGTTATTCAGGATCTCCCGCAATCTGGGTACCTGCCTAATCACAATATCGACCCCAACATTGCTGGATCGTCAAGCTTCAGGAACCTATGGACTTTCACTTCTCCCAACAGCCAGGAATTCTGGTTGGCCAAGCCTCTGGTCTACACTCCGGAGGGCAGCCCCGAACTCGTCATCACGGCATCTGAGATGAACATTATCCGTATCTTCGACAGCAAGACGGGCAACATCTTGAAGCAGAGGACCCTCCAGGCGCCCTTTTCCGCTGCCGACAGCAACTGTGGAGATATCCCCAACTGGATCGGCGTCACGGGCACACCCATCATCGACCCGGCCACGGACATCATGTACGTCTTCTCCAAGGGCTACCGAGACGGAACCACTTCAGGCACCGCCAACGGCGTCTACAAGATGTACGCGATCCGCATTCCCACCCTCGAAGACGTCGACAAGTTCCCCGTTTTGATCGACGGCATCAACGCCGACAATGACCCCGCCAAGTACTTCGTCGGAGGTGTGGCCCTGCAACGGCCATCTCTGGCCGAACTCAATGGCCACATCGTCGCCGCCTTTGGCTCTCACTGTGGTCGCTGGAACTACACGGGTTACCTCGTCTCAGTCAGCAAGACTCCTGGTGTCGGCCCCGTCAGCATGTGGGCCACGGAAGCCGCTCCCGGCGCCCCCAAGCCGCAACCTCTCGCTCTCGATGATGAGACTGGCGGCAAAGCCGGTATCTGGCAGAGTGGTATGGGACTTCCCGTTATTGGCAACAACATCTACTTCGTCTCCGGCAACGGCCAGGGCCACGCCAACGGCAACGTTCCCGCCAGCGGCAGAGTTCCAATGTCAACTCTCGACGAGTGCACCGTCAGGATGGAGCTGTCACCAGCTGGAAAGCTCAGCCTGATCGATTACTTCCAGCCGTACGACTATGTTGGCTTGGATGCCGGTGACCGCGACGTTGGATCTTCGGGTCTCTGCGTCCTGGATCCCGCCATTTTCAAAGGCACGGGAGTCAACCGGATGTGCGTCACTGCGGGCAAGAAGGGTCGAGTCTACGTCATGAATGCTGACAACCTGGGCGGATTTCGCCAGGCGGCCGATGGCGGCGACGGTATTCTTCAGACCATCGAACTTGGCTTCTCGCTCTACGGTGGATTCGGCAGCTACCCTGGCGAAGGTGGCTACATCTACGCTACCACCGTCGGCGGTCCCTTGGTCGCTTACAAGCTCGGCTTCGACGCGAAGGGTGCGCCTCAGTTTACCCTCGCTGGCAAGTCGACCTTTGTCGGTGCTGGTCGAGTTGGCGTCGGACAGATGACCATTACTTCGGATAACGGGGAGCCTGGTACCGGCATCGTGAGTCTTTCTCTACGTCTCTGGAGTTACCCAATGCTAACAAGTCACAGGTCTGGGTCGCCGATGTCAACGCTGGCCTGCAAGCTTTCCGCGCCGTTCCTCAAGACGGTGTCATGGTTCCCATCCCGCTTCCGTCCACACAGGGTAGCAACAAGTTCCAGCGCCCTGTTTTCGGCAACGGCCGCGTATTCATGAACGTCAACAACAACAAGCTTGTGGCCCTGGGCTCTCCGGTCAACCAGGCTGTCAACTGCACCGGGCCGGTGGACTTCGGCTCCGTTGAAGCTGGCACGACGGCAAGCGTCATCGTCAACTGCAAGGCGAACGTCGCTCTCGCCCAAGTCAATGGCTGCACGACGGCGGACCCATCCTTCAAGTGCTTCAACTCCACTCTTCCTCAGGGCGCTGTTGCTGCAGGCACCTCATTCCCCGTCAACGTTACCTGGGATCTCTCAGACCCCTCTCTCCGGATCGTTCCCGGACTGCTCTCCAGTGCGTTGACGATCTCAGTCAGCCCCCCCGCCGAATACGCCCCGAGTGTCCTGGTGTCGCTGCAGGGAACTGTCGTCAAACAAGGCGCCTTCTTGACGGCCACCCCTTCCGATGTTGCTTTCGGAAGATTGGTTCTCCGGGATACTCCCGACGGTTTGACTGGCTCCGCCCTGATCCAGAATGTGGGCAACGGCACTTTGACCTTCACGGGCTTCGCATGGCAAACAAACAGTAGCGATTACGCCAACTTCACCAGTGACGGCAGCCTTGGTTCTGGCTTTTCTTCCTCGAACTTCCCAACCGTTGGCTCCACTCTCGGGGCCGGCAAGAGTTTGACCGTTGCGTTGCGCTTCTTGAGGCAAACTCCAGGCTCCTACATCTCGAAGATCACCATTTGGTCCAATGGCGGGACGGCAGTCCTCACTCTGAGCGCTTCCGTCAACGAGGCTCCCGTGGTCAGTTTCGAGCTGGCCAATGGGGCAGGCGGCTGGGACGTATTGTCGAACTATTCGGTCGCCTTTGGCAATGTTCTTGCTGGCGCCTTGGTCGACAAGCAAATCCGAGTCTGCAACAAGGGCGGCGGTCCTTTGACGATCACCATTTCCAAGCCTCCTTCCGGTTCTCAGCTCTTTGCGTTGAACCCCAACAGCGAGCTCACTGAAGGTACACAGGTCGTCGGTGGTAGCTGCGCTATTGGAAGCGTCGGCATCCACGCAGCACCCGTTCAACCGAATCATCCGGCACAGGCCCTGCGGGCTTCGTGGACCCTCAGTACCGATGGTCTCAACTCCACAACCGGCCAAAACTCAGGCCGTCACGACATCTTCTTCGAGGGAACGGTTGTGAGCAAACAGGTCGGACCTCTCCTGACCAACGGAACCGCGCGTTACCAGTGGGTGGGATGCTTCAGGGACACCACCAACTTGGGCCGCAACTTGCAGGTATCAGTCAACACAGCTGCGCAACAGAAGACGAACACCCTGCAGCAGTGCCAGGGCATTTGCAACGACAGAGGCTACATCCTATCCGGTGTGCAGTATCACCAGGAGTGTTGGTGCGGTGGAAGCATCAAGAACCCTTCCACATACGAGGACGAATCTCTCAACCTTTGCACTTTCGACTGCACAGGTGACGACACTCAGGCTTGCGGTGGCGACAATGGACACATGAGTCTGTACGCCGACATCAGTGCCTTCGACATTGCTGGATTCTATCAATCACTCAAGAACCCCAGCTCCAGCTCGGCTCTGCCATCATCGACAAGAGCCCCCAGTGGGGTTTCGTCTTCAAGCAGTATCCCTCCGGTATCCTCCGCCGCATCATCTTCATCCGCCGTCAGCTCCGCGGTATCTTCGAGCAACACCATCGGCAGCTCAGTATCGCCCTCCTCTACTGCTCAGTCTAGTGTGCTCTCTTCGAGCTCGTCACGCGCATCGGGTGTATCCAGCAGTGTTGCATCAAGTTCAAGCATCATCTCCACGACCACCACCTCGTCCACCGTCGTCAAGTCTTCTACATCAAGCAGTGCTTCGCCGACGGCAACTTTTGTCACATCCCCACTCAACCCTCTCATGCCTGCAATCGTCGGCGGCCAGTGGCAGTATGCTGGATGTTTCAAGGATCTCGTCGACAACCAGAGATTGTTCACCGGAGCCTCCTCTGCCTCAGATGACATGAGCCTGGACAAGTGTGCCGCGTTCTGTAGCACAGGTGCCCCAGGAGGTGGAGCTTTCAACTACTTTGGTGTCGAGTATGGTCGCGAATGCTACTGTGGTTGGGACGTGCAGGCGTCCAAGATGTCAACACCTGAGGCAGAGTGCTCTTCGCCTTGTGCTGGTTCCTCAGTCGGGCGCTGCGGAGCTGGTTTCCGTCTCTCGGTATACAACAACACCATCCCTAACCAAGCACCCCAAGCACCGCAGCACGTTGACAGAGCTGGCGACTACCAATTCCTCGGTTGCCAGACAGAGGGCGTCAATGGCCGTGCCTTGACTGGCGCCTTCTTTGGTTCAGAGGATATGACCACCAAAGCGTGTGCGGCCTTCTGTGTCAAGGGCAAGTGGCAGTACATGGGAATCGAATATGCCCGTGAATGTGAGTCTGACAGATTTTGGTCGCCAAAACATTTTCTGATATCATCTAGGCTACTGCGGCAGTGTTAACAACGCCGGATCGGTGCCAGCTCCTCTCAAAGAGTGCGACATGCAGTGCAGGGGCAACCAGGTATGTGTATTCTACCGCCAGTGTGCGTCTTGATCTAACTCTTCATAGTCTGAGTTCTGCGGTGGAGGCAACCGACTCGACTTCTTCAAGTTTTCCCCTCTCGGTGGAGTCTCCTCGTCTGCTAGCTTGTCTGGCACAGGTGCAAGTTCGACCGCGGCCTCCTCTGCCACATCATCGACTGCCAACGCAGCTTCTTCGCGTCCATCTGTCGCCAGCTCTAGCTCTTCAAGCTCATCTGCCGTCGTCACAAGTTCGTCTCGCTCGTCTATCGCCATTGCCAGCTCTTCAAACTCACCTGTGGTCACTTCCAGCTCGTCCCTGAGCAGCTCGAAGCCATCATCAACAGCGCCCTCTAGCAGTATTGTGCCATCTGTTCCGGCCTCCACGACCGGGAGCGCCTCCCTTTCGACGAAACTGAGCACATCCTCAGCTGCCTCGGCCACCCCCACGAACGGTTACTACTATGTCGGCTGCTACCGAGACAGACCGAACGGCCATGCTCTTCCACTTTTGTTCGCCAACCAGAGTGTCACGCCTGAGCTCTGTATCGACTACGCCAACTCTATGTACAGCAAAGCCCCTACACCGACGACTAAGCTGCCGTATCTCTTCTTGGAGTATCACCACGAGTGCTACGGTGGCTCAACCCTCGACTTCCAAGGGGCCGCCGTCACAGCTCTTGTCGGGACTAAGGCCTGCAAGAACTACTGTTACGGCAGTGTCAGCACGTTCACGACTGATGGAACCGTCACAACCACCACCAACACGGCCAATTACTGTGGGGGCGCGAAGATGTTCGACTTGTATGCTCTCTCGACCCCGGTCGCATTCCCGACGACCGGCGGACCCGTGGTCACTGAGACTGCGTGATCCCATAATACTTCACAGGGTCTTAATTGGAGTAATGATGGCCTCTACTGGCCTTGGATAATCAACGAAAATCTGATTTAGTACATACCCAGAGCATACCTACAAACGGATGCCATGTAGTCACTGCATATTTACAACTTCATTTCTTACTCATCTGGTCGCTTTGATGTGTGTTACAAACTGCTGCCGCCTGCGTTCGTTTGGCTCGATTTCAAAGCAGTAAAACCTTTCGACTTGTGTTTCTTCTTTGACGCGCTGAAGTTCTGCTGATCTCAAGTCAGCAAACAATTATCGGCGTGCATCCAATCCCTGGGGCAATAGCTTTGTATGCTCATCGGCACCGATGCCAAGTACCCCAGTTGGGCTACGGGACCGGCGGCCGGCTCCGATCACCATTTGAATCAACATGGCTGTTCTGGCACAACACGAACAACTAAAATACCACAAGGCCGCACATACTAGAAGAACTCGTCTATGTTTCGACGCTTTTCTGGCAATCACGGATCAGAAAAGCCACTGCGGGTTTCGGATGCTTGACTCGTGTCCCACAAGCAAGTTTTCACAGTTGTCGATGTGCCGGACTGCACACCGGGTAGATATTCCCGGCGCCCAATCAAACATCTCACTATCATATTAGGAAGGTCGCAAGTTGCCCGCGGGGTTGAATCGCCCACATCCCCGTATCGGCACCGGTCGGGCTGGGTCCGACTCGGAAACATATCAATCGGCAAAGACTGGGGTTCGATGCCGTTATCAGCTTGGGTCCCGCTCCTATCTCGGCGGGTAGGAGAGCTCCCGCGACACAGATGGATGGTCGGGAGGACGAATGGAGGAGATAGCTATCACGCAATGCAGCACAGGGATTTGTGCGTGTCGCAGCATACAAAATGACGTTTCCGAAGATGTCTCCTCATTCTTTGGTCTCTTCTTCTTGGAATCTTCGACTGTCGAGACAGAGTGGATGAAACAAGTGAGTAAAGAGAGCAAATCTGGACGATTGAGTCAGCCAACACCATCAATTGAGCTCAACTCTCAGTTTCTGCAACTTTCACGCAGGCTGTAACCTGGACCGCCGTCATAATGCGTTCTACGGCAATTTTGAGCTTCTTCACTACGGCGGCGGTCGCAACCGCCTTCGCTGATCAACGTCCCCTCCAATCCTCCTCGTCTTCGTCTTTCAACTGCGATCTGCCACCCGCCATCTCGCCGTCCGACGGCCTCCCCTCCGCCAAAGAACTCTTCTCCTCTGAGGCCGCCATCCTTAAACAAGTGTCCCGGCACGCGGCCCTCGTCCGTGTCCCGTCAATTTGCTACGACGATCTTGGCGACTTTGACACGGATCCCCGCTGGAAGGTCTTCTACGAGCTTCACGATGTTATGCGCAAGACATACCCAGCCGTCCACGCCCGGTCCAACCTCGTCAAGGTGAACACCTTCGGCCTGGTCTACACCATCCCCGGGTCCTCCCCGGAACTGAAGCCCTTGCTTCTGGCCGCCCATCAGGACGTCGTCCCCGTCGCGGACGCTTCTACATGGACTTACCCGCCCTTCTCGGCTCACTTTGATGGCGAATGGATGTGGGGACGCGGTGTGTCGGACGACAAGAACTCCTTCACGGCGCTGCTCTCCGCTCTGGAGACGCTCCTCTCGGACTCTTCTTGGTCGCCTAAGCGAACCATCATCCTCGCCTCAGGCTTCGATGAGGAGTGCTCCGGCCAGCGCGGCGCGGGACATATCGCGAAGTACTTAGAGAAGGAATGGGGTAACAACAGCATGGCGCTGATTCTCGACGAGGGCGGCATGGGCCTGCAACAGCTCGACGACAAGACCCTCTACGCCCTCCCCGCCGTGATGGAGAAGGGACATGTCGACATCTGGCTCGAACTTCACGTCACGGGAGGCCACTCCTCTGTCCCCTTCCCGCACACCGGCATCGGAATCGTGTCCGAGATGGTGGTGGCGTTGGAATCCCACCCGTACAGCCCCAAGCTCACGACCTCGTCGCCGCTGTACGAGCACATGGTCTGCCAGGCCCGCTACTCCCCCGACGCGCAGCCCAAGATCACGAAGCTTTTGGAACAGGGCGATCTGGATTCTCTCGCCGCGGAGCTGATCTCCATCGACCGGCCCACGCACTACCGCCTCCAGACCTCGCAGAGCGTGGACTACTTCCAGGCCGGACAGAAGATCAACGCCATGCCGGAGGTGATCAAGGTCGGCGTCAACTACCGCGTCGCGCCGCAGAACTCGATCCCCGAGATCCAGCACAACATCGTCTCGTACATCAGCGACATTGTCGAGAAGTACGGCATCAAGGTCGAGGCGTTCAAGGGCGACGAGGAGTACGAGGACTATGCCGCGAAGCAGAAGCGGGACTTCGCCGGCGTCAAGCTGGAGGACGATGTGAAGCCCTTGTACGAGGTTAATTACAACGGCACTCTGGTGCTGAGTTCCAGCCAGAAGACGCTTGTCGCGCCTATCTCGCCTACGAAGGGACCCGTTTGGGATTTGTTCTCGGGCACGCTGCAAAGCAGTTTTGCGTTTGAGGGCGGGAAGGTCGTTCCTGTTGGGGAGTTGATGACGGGAAACACTGATACTAGACACTACTTGAGTGAGTTTTCCGATCCATGGTTCTATGTTCATGATTAACTGGCTGACATATCTGCAGACCTCACGCCCAATGTATACCGATTTGTGCCTATTCGCAACGGATACACGATTAACGCCCACACCATTGACGAGAGAATTAAGATTGATGCCCACATGGAGATTCTGAGGTTTTACTACGACTTGATCCGTAACTTCGACGCGGCGGGTGTCTAAAGCTTGTTATCGTATCTAGTTGAGTAGATATCACGAATTAAACCCCTCCAACAATCATCTCCGGCGCCGAGCGTTGCAAACGCCAGGCTGCACAGGCAACCCGGGATTCACAACTCCTCCCGCATCGTCGCCCTTGCCCTCCGTGCCGCACATGTTGAACCAGGTCTCGGCCTCATTCGTCCACGATCCCTTGATGGCATGCAAATCTGCCCGCCCATTCCCATCTAGATCAGGGAAGTACTCGCAAGCACCCGCCACCGCGCCTTGATATAAAGCCCCCTTCGGCCTCCAATCGAACTGGCTCCCGCCGACCTCAGCCCGCCCCCAGTTGTAATACACCCTCCCGTCCCCCGTGAACTTGTCCAGCCAGATCATATCATCCCTCCCATCACCGTTGACATCCGCCCACCGCAGATTCGCGCGGTCAGCACCCTCAGCACGCTTGAACTGGTTAATCCGCTCCCAGCTCCCGTCGTCATTATGCACCCACCCCCACGTCCGCCCGTCCTTCTCCATACACAGATAATCCGCCCTCCCGTTCCCCGTCATATCCGCAAACGCGACCGGCAGGTCGAACAACCCCAGCCCGCGCCTCTCCGGACACGAGAGCTGCGGCGCCGGGTCCGCCAGGTGCGTCCACGACCACGTCTTGGTCTTCGGGTAGTTGTTGATCCACACCTCGACGCGGTTCTGCGCGTCTGGGTTCACCCAGACCACGTCGCACGTCCCGTCGCCGTCCCAGTCCGCGAGGAACAGGTCCCGCCGGTCGAGCGACCGCCCGAAACTCGCCGGGTCGAAGATGTTGCTCTCGTACATGCCCCAGAACGTCTTCCCGTCCGCCACGCTCGTCCGGCCCAGGTTCGGGTACAGCGTCATCCCGCCCCTGGAGTGCACCCACACGTAGTCGGCCCGCCCGTCGGCGTACCCCTTCATGTTGCAGTACTTGTCCCCGTCCGCGACGAGCTTGGTGCTGCCGGAGCCCTGGTTCCGCCACGCCTTGACCTCGAAGCGGTGCGGCGGCGCGCCTCCCCCGGTGGCGGTCTCGTTGTGGTGCTCGATGTAGACGTAGTCGGCGCGGCCGAGGAGGCCAAAGTCCTGCGGGGAGTTGTAGACGCGCGCGAAGTGGATCTTGGAGCGGCGGGCGGTGCCGCCGACGCCGTAGTGCGTCGGGCCGGATGTTGCTCCCCTCCAGAAGCCCTGGCGCCAGACGGCGAGCTTGTTCTTGTTGCAGGAGCGCGAGTTGGTCCAGGTTGTCGTGGCGCCGTTGTCGTCGACCCAGAGCCAGTCGTCCCGGCCCTTTTGGAGGTCAGTCACAGTCAGTTTCGCTGCTCCGATAGGTGCTGGATAGAAGGGAGGAGACTTACGTCGCCGTTGAGGTCGTAGAACCTGACTCCTTCAAGATCCCCCATCCCCTTCCCCGTGAAAACCACGCCGAGGTCCTGCCACAGGCTGGGCTTGTCCTCGTTCAAACCATTACGGAAACACCGGATATCCCCGTTCGCCTCGAGATAACACACATCACACCGCCCGTCGCCGTCGATATCCCCCAGCCGCACTCTGCTCTGATCATACCCCGCCCTCGCCGCCCTGATCAAGCCCACACTCTTAAACGTCGGCGGCGACGAAGCAGTCCCGTCGCCCTGGTTGACGCTCGCATACACGGCGCCATCCTTGCCCACGCAAAAGAAATCATCCAGACCGTCCGCATTAATATCCGCAAAGTGAACCCCGTTGATCCCGCAGTTATTCCGCACGCTCATGTCCGGAATCTTGACGAACAACTCCTCCTCGTTCCCCGTGTTCCGCCACACCCCGTACATCGCCGTCCCGTCGTCCCGCAGCCACCACGCGACCAAATCGGACCGCCCGCGGCCGAACAGCTTCGCGAAGCGGAACTGGTCGCGGTCCCACTGGCTCGCGATCGTGAGCACGCTGCCCGCGGCCGTGCTGGCGTGCTGGTAGATCCCGTCGTGCTGTCCGCTGCCCTTCTGCGTCAGACCGCCCGCGTAGACCCCGTCGCCGTACGACATCTCGCAGTTCGGGTTCGCGGAGGGGTTATCCACCGCGTCGGAGGGCTCGGGGACCCGCAGCATCCCCGCGTTCCAGGCGCGGGTGATGGCGCGGTGGAAGATTGAAGCCATCTTCTTGAAACCTTCGTCGTTGGGGTGGATGCCGTCGTACATGTCCGCCGGCCAGGCGATCCAGCCGTGGGCCGGGGAGGGGGGCTCGGGGTCCATGTCGGCGAGGACGATGCTGCGGCCGCCGGCGCGGAGAGTCTTGACGAGGGCGCGGTACTGGGCGTTGACGGACGGCCTGTTGGGCTCGATGTTGCCGTCGTGGGAGGGGATGACGGTGGAGAGGACGACGGTGGATCTGTCCATGCCCGGGTGGCTCCATAGCTCCTCGAGGAGCTGGCGGAGGCGGGCGCCGGCGTTGGGGATGTCGATGTTGCGGCTGCAGTCGTTCGTGCCGATGTTGATGAGGACGAGGTTGGGGAGGTACTTGAGGGAGGATTTGGAGGCCTGGCGGGCTTGGTCTATTATGTCGCCTGGGGTTGCTTGGACGTCCTGGGATGTGTGATGGTGGTTAGACGGGAGGAAGAGGGATGGGGAGGGTTGAGGGGAGAAGTGGGTACGTTGTCTTGCATTTGGCCGTTGCGGAGGCTGCCGACCATGTTGACTTCCCAGCCGTCGTATCTGAGGCGGTCGCGGAGGGGTTTTCGGAAGCTGGTGAGGTTGTGAGTGAGGGTTTTGCTGTTGTGATCAGGGATACAGTGTACCTGTTTCCTTGGGATGAGCCGACGCCCCAGACGATTGAGGCACCGAGGGAGAGGATGCGCAAGGGGACTTTGTCTGCGCGTTTTCTGAGGTTGAGGTTGATGGGACGGCTTTCGAAGCTGGTGTAAGTGGCGTTTGCACTTTGGAAAACCTCCAAGTCCCTCTTGAGATTCTTTGCTTGATCATGTCCTTGATTGTACATGTACAAATGATGGACGAGGAGGACGCAAGCCCAGAGCGCGAGGAAGGTGTTGCGGGTCATGATTGTAGTTTCTCGTGGATGACACTCAATCTTTAGCTTGCCGTCCTTGTTATCCTGGGACTTAACTACCAGATGTCCGGTTTCGGTCCCAACAGTCTTATGTGGTGAAACTCGGAAGCTGGGTCACAGGAGGCAGTTATAACTAGAGAGGTCGACAACATGATAAGCTAGATATAAGTTCAAGCTGTGCCTCTAAGTATCACAGAACGGAGCAACCCTTTCTGAAGGCTGATGTCCTCAGAAAGGATTCTAACCCATGAGGGGAAGGTATTCCCCCATGGCATGAGAGGCACGAACACGAGCATCGCTGGATTCTATGTGAGAGCGCCGAAGCGCTGTTCTGGGAGCTTTTGCAGACGTGAAGACTAAAAGGGAAATAATTCTACTTTTTACAGATTTTGACCAGATAGATTGGTGATAGTATGACCGGACCCTTCGATGGTGGTCAGTCTACGCCGCAAATCAGGCACCCGCTTACGGGCCCGACACCAAAAGCGAAGAAATTTCCTCATTTGGCTGACTTTGCCTCCTTCAAGCATTCTTATGAGAAGTTCAATTCGCATACGAAGGATCGCGAATTGAGATCTAGAGCGGCGCGGTAGATAAAGACTCCTAGTGGGAGAGGGGAATGGATTTGAATCAACTCATTGAGCGGCCTCGTGGCGCGAACGACGAAGGATTTCGACTGGGACCGGCACCCGACAGATACCCATTGTTCTATTTTTGTTTGTTACTTGCACTCGGAAGTTATTGTGAAAAGTTTGTATTTGGCTTCTTGTGGTAAGTACAATCCCTTCTCGGTTGATCCTGGTCTCACATCATCATGCAGGTAGGCTAATATTTGGCTGGCGCTATATATCTTCTTGGTTTTCCAACATCCGATTGGTTTGTGTCTCTGATTACACCGACTTCACTCACGCTTTCTCACGGCAGATATGACTTACAACGGAAGCCCTATCCGCATGAATAACACACTAATCGACAAGTCACAACTTACAACTTCTCTTCACATATCTCTTGAACTTCTTCGCGAAGGAAGTCTCTCAGTTTCTCAGCTAACAGCTTGATAGAATTTTAGTCATGATCTCACATATCACCGCATCATGAATATTCCCTGCGTATGATGCAATAGATAAGCATTTGTTACGAAGGCCGTGGGTGTGGCGACCCCTTGATGGGGGGACCGACCTCTACACCTCAAGACTCGCCGACACAATGTTCTATAATCATGGAAATTTCGCTGCTACTTGCTAAATACGAGCTGCTTATGTTTCAGTGTAAGTGTAGATTACAGACGATTGCAGTTGCGGAAGCAACATCCCTAGTTGTCGACGACTACAACTTCGACAGTTCGTCAAGATTACATGTGCTCGGACGACATGCCATCCCAACTGCTGAAATGAAACTTTTGAGCAAACATGGATCATAATTGGGCTGAAGTCTATTTATAACTCATAGCAAACTCTGCCAATTAATAAGTGGAATGTTTTGACAACCTCTCTTGGTAAGTACAACATACAATAAGGAAACACTGAATAGTTGAGTGTAAATGTGAGCAGCCGCATTACCATGATAAAGTGGCTTGAGGCCAATACTGGAGTCGGACGCCGAATTGTGCTTGATAAGCCCAGACAAAAGGCTGCCGGCGCTCGGGAGTAACAACGTGCATCCTGTGATCACACCAGAACGTCAACCGTCAAAAATTATGCCAAAAATTATAGGTCGACGTTGGCCTGATTCGAACAGACGCTCCCGAAGGAACAAGATTTCTAGTCTTGCGCATTAGACCACTCTGCCACAACGCCGGATGATCCCTGGGGTTATATCCAGTGGAGACGTGGGTCGTGGCCGAGTCGATGGCCAAGACGCAAGCTGGCAGGCTCCTCTGCTGATCCCTGAGTCGGAAACACCTTTCAACTTTCGCCTACGCCCAATGCTTTCTTCCGTGGTCATCTCAAGCTATCAGCTTTGCCACAACTTCGCAGGAATGGATCATGTCAGCGTTACGAGGTTTCCTGCCATTGGCGGGAGGAAAATCGCCATCTGCAACAAACATCTGATGTCTCCGGCCAAGTGTGCGGGGTAATCAGGCTCTCGTGCTACGTTTTATCAGGTTGAGAAACTTCTTCTGCGCCGAAATTCCTCCTTCTGAGCTAAACCAGTAATCTCATCAACCACATCGCGATCTGGCCACTACATGTACCGACCCAGCTCACTTCAAAGACCATGGACGACGAAATCGGCGGCTATCTGAGGCCTCTGGGGCAATGGCATTACACGCTGAGCAACCTCTCCGCTGCAGCACTCGCAACCCGGAATCGGCGCAGTGGTTTCTTGACTCGGTGCCATATCAGAAATGGATCCACGCGGGAAAACATTCTTGGCGTCGGCCGTCGTTCACGATCTCTGCCGTCGCTTTCGATCTGACACTACGTCAGGCGTAGGCATTGCATACATATTCTGTTCTATCCCGTTTCACGAGACGCAAGACCCTTCTAACCTCCTTCTTACCCTTCTCCAGCAGCTTCTTCCGCCTTCCCCAGCGGATTTAAAACATGACTCGTGGGATGATACGATTGTACCGTCACGAGCCCCAATCGTTGACTGTCTCACGGATGCTATCATGACGTACAAACAAGTGGTTCGTGTAGTGGATGGATTGAACGAGTGTCCACCGCGGGAGCGCGATAGCCTCCTGAAGGAGTTGTTCAGGCTATATGTAAACCACTCTGTTCGTCTTTTCTCTACATCCACCGTCAAGCCCGAAATTATCTCATTGTTTCCTGGGGAGAGACATACCAATATTCCATATCCTACGAGTGTTATTGTTGTTGATGTTGTATTATTTAACGCCTGCTTTAAACCTCAATGGGGCATAAGGCGTCCGCGCCGGCAGTCTACTAAGGATACGCATCTATATATAATAATAGAAAGCAAATACATAAATCCAATATACACAGTTTAAACGCATGCAGACAGATGAACCAAAATCAAGTATGCAACGGGCCCTCGGGCTCTGTCGGCTCTGGCTAGTCGGTCGCTCTAGATACACTGCACAGTCCATATCGAAAACTAATTAGTTCCTTGCGTTGGCGCCATCGACGCACTTTCCTGATATGTCCTTCACCCCTCAATTGAGCGTCTCTCGCGCATCCTGACTTGACATCACTGCAAACGCAAGGCGCCCGCCCGCCTCGCATCTACTTCAATCAGCCCAGCTCGCAAACCACTGATCCACTCGATGCTCAGATTCCCAACACCCGACAGAGCTAGTCAGCCGAGCCATGTCACTGAATCGCGAGCCTGACCCTTATGGCTCTATGGCAGTAGTGCCTGTGAGGCTGGTCCTTCTGCTGGCTGCAGTCGCAACCGCCGTGTTCTTTAGGTCTTACGGATTCGTGTATTCTCGTGAGAATCGGTCACCCAAGGCGGACATTTCTTTCGTACCCCAATTATACCGCGTCAAATCCCGCTTAAGCTGTCGCATAAGCCTGCATAATATCTCAGAAGGGTGTCCTCATGTACATGAAGCCTTACTATTCTAAGGACTCGGTCAATGACCAACATCAGGTTTCTGTGGTTACACTGTTGGAGCAGCATATGCATGGAGTGTGAATTGACACGTCCATGAGTGAATATCCACAACAGCCCCTGTTCATTGCGGTATACCCTGTCGATGCATGAGAGGTTCTCCTGCAGTCAGGGAAATGAGTTGGAGAAGTTCCGAGCAAAGCATGCTTAAATCTGCCAACAATCTGCTGATCTCGCCCGTCTCAGTTGGAAGCCCATTTTCAAGTTTGATCCTCGTTTCGGCAAACTCACCAAGCGCACGTTCAACTGAACACCAACAACAGCATCGTCATGGATGTTCCCAACTTGGAGACCTGGTGGTACGAGCCAAATCCGGATACCCTGCGATGCTTGATATGCCAGAATGATTTTGCAAAGAAAGCTCTCGTTCGGACATTCAAAGTCACCTTGCCAAGCATGAGTCAAGACCAGGCCACAGCTTCCAGCAAGACTATAACCACCCACACGGGATGGAAAGTAGTTTTGTTTGACAGGCATTTGGACTGCCTTAAAAAAGCAAACGTGCGCCTCTTGGCGATCTCCCACGTGTGGGATCCTACTGTCTCCAAAACTCAACAGGTACACCTTCATTCTCCCCAGGACCTAGGGGCAAAAAGAATGGTCACTGAAGAGCCGGTCCGCATGTATCGTGGTGTTGAGGAGTCTGGAGAAGGTGCGGTCGAGTTATGGCACGACTACTTTAGTGTGCCCCAGTGGTCAGACGGCCTCAAAGGCAACATCCTGCTGGTGATACACGAGATATTTCATCAGGCGGATGTTACAGTTGTCTACCTAGATGACGTTTTACCTAGGCTTTTCACGCAGATCACAGGAGGGAGATCACCAATGGAGCGTCTGACGGCCATTACCGGAGTTTGCAAGGCTCGTTGGTTCAAACGCATGTGGACGGCCATGGAGTTTGTACGCAGCAGAGCCGTCAGAATTATGACTGCGGACTATCGCCTTGCAGTCGACACAGGAGATCCTATGCTACTTCAGACACTTGAGACTCAGTTCTGCAGAGAAGTTCAAGAGCACTTCAGGGGCAACCTGTACAAAGTACAACACGTCGTCCACATGGAAGCTGGAAACCTGATACCATGGTGTCTTGGCCCTCTCAGAGAAACGCGGTCGTCACAGCCTGCCATCTTCGGAATGGCGTTCTCATTGCTATCCAAACGACTTTACCGCGAGGATACCGACTTCTTATACGCCCTCCGGGGCATTACAGGAATTCGGCAAGAGCCTTCCACCAGAGACTTCTACGCAGAGCTGCTTTGGGTAGCTAAGGAGCGCCTTTTGGCTGGCGACTACAGCCCTCTGCTTATGACTCCGAAGTTGGAGATATACGATCGGCGTTTGGACCCGAACGAGGCATATAATTTCAACGACGTATGGACCTGGGACTTTGGTGATCAAGTCAGCCTCCCTATCTATGGTCGTCCCTCACTTGGATCACAGGAAAATAAGCTTTGGGGAAAGTTTGAGGCTATCGGTACTGTTCAAATGATACTGGAGCCTGTTGGATTTGGCGATGATGTGCGGCACCTTAAATCGTCCATCGACATGACCCTCACTGTTACAGGACCTGACCTGGAGCCTTTCGTTGAGACTTTGGGGTCAAGGATTTACGGAGCAGACAAGCACGTCATTATGAAGCACCTCAAAGACAATAATCTGGTAGAGTCGATGAAGGAAGCCCTTCTCGCACATCACGAGGGATGCCGGCAATGGCGGGAGTGGTGGGTGAAGTCTCTTAAGATAGGAGGCGACAACATCATCCGTTGGTTTGCTGACGCTCTTACACTCACAAATCCAATCAAGAGTCTGGGGCAAACTCACATGTATGCCGTTGGTGGCAAGTTTGGCCCGATGCACTGCGGCCCGCACATGTACTTTGCGACAATTTGCTGTGGGCATTGCCACAAGACAGCGCTTTTCCGCGTTGGTCTATTCGCTCCCAAGTATGAAGCTCGCGGTGCTAGAGCGTGGAGGATACCAGGACTACAGTACAGCATGTCGCATCGCGATGGAATGGCGTTCTTAGAGAAAAGCGGCCGAATCGTTGGCCGGATGATGTGGGCTACGCCAGCTTGTGACTGCCGAGAGACAGAGATTGTTGAGTTACAGATGCCTCAAATCCCTGACCCGCGCAAGTACCCGAAGTGGGAGATGTGAGCGCAACTCTCTGGAAGGCGATACAGCACGCTTCGATTGAGGAAGTTGTTTTTAAGAGCGAGTTCCAAGAGGCTTTGCCATGCGAAGTTAAGCCGATAATGGGGCATTGGGATTGGGCTGTCAATTAACTATCCGGTAATATGGGTTTACTTTGTGAATACTCAAATTTTGTGGGTTTGTCCTTTTGCCTTTGTCTTACCCACAATCTAGTATGATGCCTACTAAATGTAGTGTGGATTGGTCTGTGATGTTGGACATTGAATGGCCATTCATCTTTCGCCCGTTCATGCTGGGTATCACGAACAACAACAATAACAATAATAACTGCTTGATTTGAGTTTTGATAGAGTAGTAGAGAACGCCCTCAGAAGAATGATAAAAAACATACATGTAGAAGTGACGACGACGACGACAACAACAACGACGACGACAAGGATAGTAAGGAAACGCAGGTGGTTCTCTTCTATTCAAAGTCATGTCGCTATCTGCACCTGAAATGAAGTTGACATACTGATTCACGGGTACATCTATGACACACGCAAATCTATGTCCTGGCTCACCTGCTTCTCCCTTTCTGATTCCTTTCGGGGCCTTTCATGAAACATGTCTACAGTATCACGAATCACAGCATCCTTACATTAAGCGAACCGTCACAAGGCATTAGGTACACCATTAGCTCAGGCTTCTCCCAAACAACCCACGCCTGTTGTCCCTGTGTCCAGCTCTTGCTCTCATCAGCAAGCCTCCTTTCAAAGTCCCAGATGACCTTGGCTAGAATCGTTCGTATTTTAATATACGTAAGACTTGTTTCGAATACTTGTTAGCTTAAACCCGCAAGCGTTTAAACATATAATAGTAGGACTTTAGTGTACTTTATTCTAATGTAGTTTCTAGGCTCAAAGGAAAAGGGCTTTCGAACCTCTCTCTGATCGTTTTACTACGTACACCCTCGGCAGAAAATACCCACAAAACTCATCGCCGCCTTTGCGAACCACGCGTGGTGACATGTGAGGAAGCAGTGGTTTTAGCCGGAGTGCCTCGTCCAGGACGGCGAGAAGGTAAGGGAGCTTCTGAACGAAGTGAACGTCGATTTCTTCATCTCTGTCGAATGCCAGAAGGGTTTCTATGGTAAACCATTCCATGACTTAAGGATGAGATGTGACGAAGAACGTGACAGCAGACAGCGCCATCTCTGTTGCTGACCCCTCCGCGCCTCTCAATCATCTTTCTGAGACAGATTCTCGTCAGCCTATGATCTCGGGTTTCAATCTTGCCATAAAAACTCTGACCTTTTCACCCTTCTGTCATAGCACAGACTCCAAAAATTCAGGACGGGAACCTCTTTCAGCGATCCGCTTCTCTACATTAGCTGTAGCCAGTGCAAAGTTTCTCTTCCTCTCCATGGGCCAGTTCCGTCGGGACCAGTGCCTTCAACAGGGGGGAGAAGGGGGGAAAGCGCACCGTCTCTGCCTTAGCATTGTTGGCAGCGCCGCTTTCTGTTTGCGCACCCTGCGCTTCGCCGTTCTTTGTCTCCGCCGGCTTGCCATCGTCCGTTACCTAAACCTTGGCCGGCCTACCGCCGCCATCGTCTCCTGCGGCGCGCCGCCTCTTCTTCTCCTTACGCTTAGAAGCTGGCTATATAGCTCTTCTCTCAACAACTTGCTCACTATAAGCCCTAATAGCTAAAACTAATAGGTTATAGTTAATTTGCTAGACTAGGTTATAGAAAACCTAGTGCTTCCCTTACTTTCCCGCAGCCTCAGTAGGGACCAGGATATTGGCTTTGCCCTCCTTTACGCCTTTCAACCCCTTACTATTATAGGTGATGACGAGGTCTTCCGGGCTTATTATTTCAACTTTTGAGCCTTTGAGGGCCTGGGTGCTGCGCAGTCTGGCTGAAGGAAATCTGCCCCTCAAAATGAGACGAGTGTTAGGAGCGACAGAAGAATCCGTGCGACGCAATAAACTCAATGTCCTGAATGGGAGCTGCTGCTGCAGTAGCCGGCTCGCAGCGCGTGTGCCTTGGCGAATACCTCCTCGAATGTATGGAAGCAACATGCAGATATGTAGCCTACCACTTCAACAGCAACAACGGCGAGCTTAGCGGCGGAAACCCGAGGGAGACAGCGCGGCGTCCGGCTGCGGCAGGTCAATCCATTTGCCGACGACAATGCTATACCAGAGAAAGGCATCAACATCATTACACGGCCTTCAAACCAAATCGCCAGAGACCTTGGAATATGAAGTAGAGGACAGCCATAAAGTGAACTAGCTACAGGACGAACATATACTGCTAGCGGAAGTCTCTAATATTTATACTTACTTATAACTAGCTAGCTGATTATTTAGAATGCTAGATGTAGAAGACGATACTGTGTATCAACTTACCCTACTCCTCCTTACTAGGGTTAAAGGATAGCTACCCATAATAAACAATAGGCCTCATTATAAGGATAAACTCATCTTATTTGTTACGTTAGTTCCAGGAGGCTCGCGGCCACGTTTGCGAAACCGTCGTACCAGAGCTCGTGCCAAAGGCCACGTTCTGACCGTCGTTCCTCCCGAACCGATTCTTGACACTAAGAACTCGGCGTGGTGGACGCGCGCGTGGACGTTCCAAGAGGGCCTCCTCTCGCGACGGCGACTGGTCTTTACTGAGAGAGAAGTGTTTTTTAAGTGTCAAGGAATGATCTCCTGGGAGGCCGTTGAACTTCCACTTCAGGTGCACCGGTGGGCTGCGATATGGACACCGGTGTGTGAAAAGGAACGTTTATGGTCTCGGACGCATCAGTTCAAGTCTGCCCAGTTGAAGTTGAAATACCTATGGCGAATAATCGCCGAGTTCGGCCACCGACAACTTCGAACCGGAATGATGCACTTAATGCTTTCTTGGGTATTCTACAATCATTTTCCGAGGCAAGAGAGACCCGCTTTCCGATCTTTCATCTGTGTGGTATCCCGTTTCTATCTCAGCCTTGCGACGGTCAATCTCTGGCTGAATCATTTGTTTCGGGCCTTTGCTGGTTCCTTGACGACAAGAACTGCGTTCGGGTTCGTCGTGAAGGGTTTCCAAGCTGGTCGTGGACTAGCTGCAAAAGTTCGGTAGAATGGTCCTACGATAGTCATTTGCAGCAGTCTTGTCTTCAGTCTCGATTTGTGGAAGGTGCTGCGATCGACATCACCATCGTTGACCACCAGAGCGCAGATTGGGAACTGTCGTGGTCGGACTTCGAGTTCCTCGCTGCGGACAAGGAGACCTTGCTTCCCCAAAACTGCCAGCTCCGCCTAACTGCAAGTTTTGTGAAGGTTACGATGCGAATTCTGCCTTCAAATCATTCCGATCACGTTTTGGGTGCCTCGATTCACATTGGGGACGATGAAATTGAAGGCCATTTCTATCCTGACCATCATACGGAGCCGGACTCTGAATTTCTCAAACGGCTAGAAAATGACAGCTGGCTCGCTATTGTACTTGCCTATTGCAACTTGGAACCTGAAAGCGAGGTGCGTTTTCTTCTTGTAGAAGAAGAAGATTGTTGCTGGACGCGGGTTGGGCTGATTGCTGCAATATATGAAAAGGAAGTAGATTTTGGGAGCTGCATCAGGAAAACAATTATATTGCAATAGAGCAGAAGAAGGGGAGGGTAACTTTACGCAAACTGGACAGGATATTTCCCAATGAAATAGCCACTCGCTGCTGCTTCATCAAAAACGCACCGCGACAGGGACAGTAGCTATTAACAAAGCTGGGTCATAGAAGTATTGGCAATAATAACTGTTCTTTATTATTATCTCCCTATCGTAGAGTTGAAGTCTGCTGTGCAATCTGTTGTACCATATACAACCTTGAGTCTTATGTTGAGCAACATGGTCATTAATAACTGTCTGCACTTTGCATAAGACAAGACTACCTAATTGCTGTTGTTTCATCTCGAGAATCTGAAAGTCGGCTAATGTCAGTTACCTGCCCGATTATTCACGAACATTAATTCATATTAGCGTGTTTCCAAGAGATGATTATGTATTGTTCCAACTTAGCGAGAGAAACATGAAAAACAGTAGGTGGTGATACCTGTGGTGATCACCCATAGCTCTGTCCAACGAAAAATGAATCTAGGCTGGTTCAATTGCACAACATTACGAACAATGTCTCTACTCCAGACATTGAACTCTTGTTGAATTACAACGTCTATGTTCGCTGTTGAAAATATGATCCCAGTCGCAAATCTCAAACATTGGGCTTAACCCGTGGAAGATGCGGAAAGCAACCGTGATAGCGTCCCAATCGAAGGCCCCATCGCGAGGGTGGGTCAAAGCCGGGTCCGGTACCTTCAGTCCGGGACCGGTACATAGCAGTGGGTCTCGGTCGGTCTCATGTCATCTCGTGCCAAACGTCAAGTTTCCCAATAGGCTCATTTCTTAACGATGATTGAGGTAAGCGACCGGATGAATTGTCTGAGCCACAAGGCGTTGTGAGAGCAGCAAAGGGAATTGCTTGTACTGTGAAGTGACGGCGCGTCGGTCATGAGGACCCTATTCCTTCGCTTTGCTGCTGCGCGTTCGACTTCGCCCTCTGCCACAACGCATGCGTGTTGCATCAGATGAAGCTCTGAATAGGGAAGCCCCGTACATTTCACGAGCCCGGGTAAAGATCTTGGAAGTCAGTTGGGAGAGGCCGCGAGAGCGCATGTGCCAAGGCGTTTTGCCGCCATTCCTCGCCGTGCGGTGTCGACTCGTGAACAGTCCAGCTCCGCCGAATCTACAGCAGAAGTAACAAATGCTCATGTTTCTGTTCGAACTGGAGTGATCGACAGCAGCCCACTCTTCACTCATACGCTTCCGACAGGTTCTCAATGTCTCCGGATCCAGTCGAGCGGCAAATAAGGGCAACTTCCCACTCTTATCCGTCGGCGGCGAATATTCATCTGATCTAGGCGATGTGTTGCTCACAGAAAGAGTAAGGTTGCCGCCGTGTGTGCCGCCCAGGCGGGTATCGGCTGATCCGGTTGCAAAACGCCGTCAGCTCAAAAGTCCGGATCATAGGGCTGGTCGGGTGAGCTGAATCGTCCAGACCAGACAGAGGACGGGATGACGAATTGACGTCAACCGCCGGGGAAACAGGCCGGCCGGTTCAATCACCGCGGGGTTTGGAAAAAATAGAGACATTCATGTCGACCGCTACTGCTCTGCGACATGCGACGGCCGCTGGAACGTCAGATCCGGGAGCGAAGGGATGCCTGCCGTCCGGTGTCTTTCAACTTGCGTCGCCGCGGTCTCCGGTGTGGTTGTTTCGTTTCGGACGGCGTGGCGACGGACTTGACGGACTCCAAGTACAGACGTTCCGCGTCTCGAGACATTCGACCGGGCGCAAGAGGCGCTTCCGCTTCCGCTTGCTCCGCCGGTGCGCCCACGATAGTTGGCCTAGGGCGTGAGAACTCGGCTGCAAAGTAGTTTTTGGCGTAGCAGCGCCCACCGGTTGACGGATCGCTGCAGGGGTGGGGTGTCGCCTGAGTTGACGTTGCAACTGAATCATGGTGATTTGCAGCTTAGCGGGTAATCTTGCTCGCTTCTCTGGTCTGATCCTTGGTTCTTAGCTGATCATCATAAGGGACGATCTGCTTCTGGGTGGTCTCGTTTTCAACTTCATTCGAGAAAACAGACGACTACGAGCAGTTCGGGCTCAGTGTCGTGCATTGTTCGGTCTGAAAAGGAACTTAGGTTTAATTGCTACACGTGTAGTGAACTCGAGATGGTGGGAAGTTGGGATGGTGTGAGGCAGTATGGAAGAATCACGTAGCTGACAAATAACGCCATTGGTGGTTTTCTCAAGGATCAGTTCAGACGGACAATACGATAGTTTTCGAGGCTCAAGAGAAGTGTCTTCTCCCGAAAAGCTTCCCGCATAAGCCAAGATCTTCATGTACCGAGACATCACGTTTCACGTCACGACGCAGATCCGTCACGGCGCATTGGGCAATAGGAGAGGTGATAAGTCAAAAGTGTTTGGGGGAAGAATAAGTATTGAACATTTGAATGGTATGAACTTTGTACAAGAACATGCAAATCCCAGAATTGCGGGGGTCAAGCCCTTTTTGAAACTTTCAGGTCTGGTTTCCAAGTCATCTCGTCTCGTCTCAACTCCAAGGCTGACCGGGTATATGATGCGAGTCCGAACGTCTCTCTAAACTCTAATTTCCTGTTTAGAAGCGCTTGCGAAGAGCCCGCTTCGAGCTGCGGCGCTTGTTGCAGGAGGACTGTTGAGCAAGGTTTCGTGGTCAGCGGATGAGCTTCTCATTACACTTTCAACGGTTTCAATCCGAACTCTAAGGAGCAGAGCCTCTCGGGAAAACCACATGGGACGTTAATGTTGATGACTTACGGCAGGAGCGGAAGCGACGGGGTCGCTGGACTCGTTAGAGGCACCGGAAGCAGGGGTGGAGGGGGTGGCGCTGGGAGTAGCGACGGTCGCGAGGGTGGTGGGAGTGGCGGGGGTGGGAGAAGAGCCAGAGCCGGAGCCGGAGCCAGAACCGGAGCCGGAGGTGAAGTCAACGCAGCTCATGTAGGTCTGCTTGGCCTCGGGGGAGTCCCACCACCACTGAAGGACGCAGTTGCCGGCGGTACCGCAGTTGGAGGGGAGGGAGTCGGGGAGGGTGACGGAGAAGGCGGTGTTGTTGGCGGCGATGCCGGTCTTGGTGGAGGCGTAGTTCTCGAAGGAGATCAAGGGAGAGCCGATGATGGAGTTGCTGGTGGTGTCGACGACGGAGACGTTGGCGACACCGGTGTGGGGAGCGCGGATCTCGACCTTGAAGTCGACGGTCTGGCCGGGGGAGTAGCTCTGGACGTTGGCAGAGTTGTCGGCGAACTTGTAGCCCTTGCAGAGCTCGAGCTGGCAGTCGGCGCCGACGCCGCCGTTGGCCTGCTGGGCGAGGCCCTGGATGTTGCCGTACGGGTCGGACTGCTCGGTGTTCCACATGGTGTTACCGCAGGCGGCCTTGAAGGCATCACCGGCCGGGCGGGGAGTGGGCGAGGTGACCTTGCCGTGGGCCGAGACGGCGGCGACGAAAGAGAGAACGGTGACGATCTTGGACTGCATCTTGACTGATTTTCGGTTTGTTGGACGAAACGAAAGTCGTTTGTTTCAAAAAAGGGGAGTGTAGAGACTGGGATTTGTTTTGCGATGTTGTAAAAAGCTCAAAAAGAGTGGCTTGTGACTAGCACAGCTGTAAAGAGAGTGTGAAAGAATGAACGTGAATGGAATTGAACCGGATGGAATGAGACGGAGAGATCAGACAGAAAGACAAGCAGAAATGGCGTGTGGTATGAGGAGGCTCTTATACGGATTGCCAGCAGATCCATCACTCTCCCATGCGGGTGGTCGTCGTCACTCCTTGGTGTCATGGACGGCCCCGTCCGGGCCCAGCCAGGGATCGGATTTCAATCTATTCAAGACTGCTTGGGGCGATTGAAGCTTTCAGGGGCAGAGGAACCGGACGAAGGACGAAAAGCGCAGGCCAGCGCTTGGCCAGGCACCGCGAAAAGGAAAGACGGGTTCATCCTCGAAGGCCGCTCACCGCGTGCTCCTCCTCCTCCCACCCACAGTCTTCCAAGAAGAACAAGAGAACGAGATACGATCCATCCATGGTCCTGGAACGTGGCAGCCAACAACCCCGGACACCATCCGGCCGAGGGAATACCAGCGATTGGCCCAGGCGCGGGCAGGGCTCCCGTCTTTGGCAGTAGTCGCCCAGTTGTTTAATTTGAGTGAGGCTAGGTGGGCTCTTGTTGGACCGAGTCTTGACCGTCTTTGGCTGTGTTCCTGGCGCAGACGCCCACGAGGCAGCGGTCATGACATGATCCCTGCCCGCCCTGCTCCTGACCGGGGTTGCTGAAACGGCACCATCACGCATCTTTCAGGCGGCTCCGTCGACTCGAGCGGACCCCCACCAACATTCCCAGGCTTCCCGTCGCCTCGTCCGTCCCCGTCTTGGCCGAGTCTACAGCACTCCATCTCATCGTCGGTCTTCGGCTTTCTCATCTTCGATGACTTCGATGGAGATTTGACGTCTGGGAGGTCCTTGACACAACCAGATAAAGCGGTCGGACGGTCAAGGGAAGATGCTGCCAGAAAGAGTGACAGATCATGTTTGCTGCCTCCACGCTCATCAGCAGGAAATTGAGTTGCCGTAATCGTTGTTTCAAGAGGTTTGTCCTACACTTTCGTGCGGATTTCGTGCAGGACTCGGACGCAGGAGTGACGTGAGTCGTTCATCGCGGCGCCTACTGTGACCAGCCGACTTGAACGGGCGCCCAGATAGCCGTAGGTATCAGTAATCCTCGCAGAAGTGCCCGTCAGTCCAAGCAGCCAGAGGATTTGGGCCAATCTGGATTTCATCTCATATAGAAAGCGATATCCTTCTTCGCTGCGACCTCGTTCCATCTTTGATCGCCGTTTGGCGACTGCGCATCTTCAGCCTCTGGTCGAATCTGCCGACGCTCAGCGCACAACGTTCATCAACTTGTGACCCGGACTTCGCCTGGGGTGGAGGACTCCGCAATACCCAACGCGGCATCTTGTTCGTTGGTTCAGCAATACCGCGCGTCATATGAACACAGATCTCCAGCGGTTCTCGACCTTTCGTCCCAGGTAAGGTGCCTGAGGCTGGACCCGGTCGCTTCGGTGAGCTGGCGCCGTTGGCTGGCTGGCCTGGCTGGCCCGGTTGACCGGCAGGCGCTTTTCTCTCGAATTCGTGTTTCTTCTTCGTCTTCTTCTCCTTTTTCGTCCGATCATCAACTGAACACATTGAAACTCACCCCCGTGCCCACCTCGTGGATCCTCGGCAGGGTCAAGGGCGCTAAACCCTGCAATCGGCGCGGACCCAGTCAGCCTCCTGAGCCGTAAGATTGGGCCTCTTTAATTTTTACCTTCAGGTGAGAAGGGGGAGGCGAGGACGATTAGGAAGGAGGGGAGGGATGAATCATGGGGGAAGATGGGACCCGTCCATCTATGCGACGGAGAATGTGGGAGATGAAAGGCTTTTGAAATTCATGGGACGAAGACTGGAGACTGAAAAAAAAATTACAGATGGACGCTTGAGCCCATTCCAGATTGAGCCATGAATTACTCATCCGCGTGAATAGGTGACCGGCCGACAGTTTCGGCCGAGTCAGGTCGCGAAATACGATACCACACCCTTATCAGTTGGTCGTCACTCCTTTTCATCTGGATCTCACAGCGGAAGACGCCACGCTTGGGATTGATGTGACCAACGAAGTCCGAAGAGAACGAGTGGTACTATATTTTACATCTGACATCTCCAGAATGACATGTATGAGAGTGAGACTTCACAGAGATAAGGCGTATGCAATCGATTGAATCTCAGCCCTTGCGTCACTCGACCAAAAGAATCGCTCACGCGCAATCATTTTTGCTTATTCTTCATGTCAACTCCTGTGTGTCTGGTACAAAAGTTCCAGGTCATTAGTGAAAGCTTTTCAGTCTCATTTTCTATGGAAAGAAATGAAGTTGGTGATAGTCGTGGCGCCAAGACATCTTCATTAAGCCAAGGAAAATCCCAAGGTGGAAAAGCTTAGTTCACAATAAGCCTTTTGTTAAACTTTCTTCAAATCAGACAGTATTATCTTCTAATTTCATTAATTAAATTCAACGAAGTTTCTATTCAGAATTCAACTGCCATCTACTCTACTGAATATGCGCTCGTCACAAGAGTCGATCGTCACTCGGTTACGAGGCTGCCACTGAACGAGTCGCACTCACACCGCCACACACCGTTGTTTCAACTGCACTCCCTACTATACACAAATCGCCCACTGATTCAAATATTGACCATGACTGTATGACACCGCCGTTAAGCGTACCCTCTTTGATCGGCCCCTCTTCCGTGCTGCATATGCAGCCAGCATTTCGCCTTGAGACAGGCTTTGCAATATCCTCATCGCTGAAGTCGTAGCAATTCCAATTTCCATTCGATTGACTTGGTCACGTATTGGTACGGTTTTCGACAAATTGAACTACCGGTTACACCAAATTACTGGCAGTTGCCGAGGGCGTCGATATGAGCATGCAGAAGACAATCGCGGGAGGCACAAGTCCGGTCATCATTTGTGTGGATTGACACTTCTGCTGACCTTCATGATTGCACTGGGCACCCACTCTGCCTTTTAACATCGAACTTGCAATTTGATAACTGGAACTTATGGCTTAAGCCTCTAACAGTTTTCCTCTTAAACCTCCACTGACATGAGCACTCCGTACTACATCAGTGACATCCACACGTACTACGTGTATAAAAACCCCTTCCACGACCGAAGTCAAGCGCTTCACTCTATATACTACGTCAATGGGACTCTCCAAGATCGTAATCGCGCGCAAATATTTCAAAAATACCACGATGAAACCCAGGTTGTAATTTTGTTGACAGACGGCCAGTGACTTGCTTTGGAGTTGTTAGTTCGTCGACTGGCCTTGAGACTGGCCCAAAGATTTCGGACACCGATAATCATCAGCAAATGCAGATGATGAGATGAGTCTCACCTGACTGAACTTCTCAGCGGACAGCTAACTGGACCCTTGCGTGGAGCTAATTTGACAACATCTACTTGTAGGATGCGACATTAGACGACACGGTCCTATGAAACGGCCAGGTTGCTTTGGATTCATATTATCTAGTGTAGTGCTTTTCAAGTCAAATAACGTTTGTGTCTAGCGATGACTTCCACATAGTAAGTGCTAAGCTGAGCGGTTTTATGTACAATTATCGTACCGTATTGATGATCTTGCCGGCTGAGGCCGTCGCCACATGTACCCAGCACATCTGTATGCACATTTGGCGTGCTGATAGTCTATAATCACTATTCTTTCTACTGCTTATTAGAATGAGTCAGAGGTCCCATTAAAATCCAATTGTATTACGCGGCGAACTTCAATTGTTGAAGAGCCGCAGGCCACGCAATAGACCAAACGGAGGCTCATACTGTGTCACGGTCTGGATGCCGCAACATCAATCCTAGAAGCCGAGCGACCACACGCAATCGGAGCCCCAAAGGGTTGGCTGCGATCAGAAGCCACGAGTTCGTACAATCACAATCCTTTCTCTGTCTATGTATCCCTTGCCGTGATGTCTGCTGTAGCTTGAGGTTTTATATGACGTGACCACCAAGCACGTTCATACCAAAATTCTTCCAGACGAGGCAATCACCCACTGATATGAGCTGTGTCTAAAAAGCAGAAGTTCCAGTTCCACTGATTTGGAGTTCTCCCATAGTATGCGATCAAATGAGAGGACATAGTTGAGTATAAATAAACTATGTGGGAATTCAAGTTGATGCTGATGAAACTGGGGAAGAAAATGGTTTGGAAAGAATCTGATCCCCAGTCTTTCTAGATCTGAGATCAATATCATCTGAAAGATGCTGCATCTGGTTTTGCCTTGTATACCTGTGTTTTACTTTATGTAAACACTGATTAATTGTCCACAGCTTTACGTTCTTGGTATGAATTTATATGAACTTGGAGGAGTCTGCTACTCATTGTCATCTGAGGTGCGATGAACCTAGCAATAAACATTGCGTGCTCAGAAGCAAAATTCATATATTGAGCTGTTGTGGTTAACTGCTCTTACCCATAATTGTCAAAGACACCAACTATCACTATCATAAGGGTGTTATTTTCTGCTGCCAGTGCTTTACATCTTGCCTGGGAGCCCTCACCCTAACCTCTTACCTCTTCCACGCCTTGTGCCTTTGTTTTCCGATGTTGAATATCATGTATTCTTGTCATTTTTCTCACTTTGAAAGACCCATCTGCTTCTAAAACTCTCTTTAAATCCCGACTCAATTTTCAAATAGTTCGTCTTCCTCATCACCACTCCACCATTAGCAGCAATCATCCACCATTGTACTTCAACTTGAGCGGAGAAAACACTCTTCAACATCAGCAAGTGATATAAATCATTTTGGTTTTCCCAAATTTTACAACAAATGATGACGACTACTCATTCCAAATCCGACACCGCTTCGGCGGCTGATGAGGAAAGAACGCTAGTCTGAATTCCCCCCTTGCACGTGCTTCACCCGCTTTCCGCTTTCGGCCACGACCTTCTCGCTTAAAATGCTAACTTTTCTCGGCAGGCACAAATTTCTTCACCTTTTTCTTCCCTCCAATTCAATCCGCCGAAAAACATCAACAGCTCTCTCGCACCACGATCGCGCTCGTCCGCCGAGAACGTCCCGTTCGCCTTTCGCTTCAAGCGCAGCTGTCGCTCAAGATGAGCACTGGGAATCTTTGGAGATGACGGTTCGTGGTGCCGAGCGTTGCGGTGGATGATGACGACTTCACTATTCGAAAAACACCGTCAATAGTCGCAGTGTCGCGCTGTTGACGCGACCCAAGCATGCCAGGCAAGTCAATCCCCAAGCATCCTATGCTATCCCGCAATCACCCTCCCTCCATTGTGATGATCCAAATTTAATTAGACGCTGAGAGCCACCATTTATGGCTGGCTCGATGCTATCAAAACGAAACACTGAAATTTTCCTCTCTTCTTGACGAAACATCCGATCATGTCTTATTTAGCAAAAGCTAACCAGCATGGTCTTTAGGTTGCATACTTGTCGAGCCTCTTCATCGACCTCACCGTACCGATTGCCCATCCTACGCGAAGACGGAAGGAGAGGGCTATTGATCGATCAAGCCCGAATCCCCACACCAGGCCCCCGATGCCCTCAGTCCCGTCGCATGATGCTGGAGATGTGTTTGTGTGCTTCAATGGGAGCCTGCTACGTCCTCATGGTTCTATGCCAGTCCTCCTGCAGTCATCGGCTCCGTGAGCCATTGACAGCAAGACTGTCACACATGATACCGCGGCGGCCGTGCTTCGTGGTTGCCCCGAAGAAGGGTTCTCTGCTTGACTCTATCGTCGTGTTGCCATTTGTGACAGAACACCGCGATCGTTGTGCCCTCTGTTCCCCATCCGAATTCGACCGTGACATCAAGGACAGCGCCAGATTACCTGACTTAGCATTGAGGCGAGTAACGTGTGGACTGTACGTCAAGCGAACTCGTTACTCTTCCTCCCGTAAACACCAAGCTTCACTACATCGAGTTAACGTACTCATATCTTGAGAACCTCTTTTGATGTATCCCACTCTGTACCTTGACTGGCTCACGGGTGCCGTCCCCAGACCCAGTTGTAGTAGAAGCCGACCATGGCTCCGTTCTCTACAACATCCTTCCGTATCCCCGCCTCCAATCTGTCAATATCTTCAACAGTCTGCATCGTCTCCATTCCACCGTCCTCAAGCACGGCCAGCATCACCGGCCTGACTACTTCAACAGCAATCTTCTTCATCGCGTCCCGCAACATGTCTCTGGTGCAGAACGTGTTGTAGGTCTTGTAGTCAACATCTTTGAACCCTGTGTCTTCGAGCACGAGGGGCAGTCGTGCCGGCATACTGCGCGAGGGTTAGCATGGGTACGTATGAACATGGTGAAGTCGTGAGAGGAAGACTCACAAAGGGTCGCGCCCATGCTTCAACCCCCACAACGAGCTCACTCTATCCCACTCCGCAAACGCCTTGCTAGGCGGCACCATCTTCCAACCCATATCGCCGACCTCCTCCCAGTGTATATACCCACCGGGCTTCAGCAAGGTGTACAAGTTCTTCGCGACGATCTCCCAATCCCCCTTCTTCATCCCCAAAGAAATCAGCCTCACGTGGACCATATCGAACGTGCCCCGCATCTCCGCCGGGAAAGCCCGCAGGGCGTTGTGCTGTATCATCTTCATGTTCTTCGGCAGCTCCGACGCGGGCGGGAACTTTGTCGTGTCCATGTCGATGCCCCGCAGCTCCGCCGACGCCGGCAGCTGCGTCGCCATCTCTCGGAGCCAGATGCCAGTGCCCGTGGCTATCTCTGCGACCCTCGGCGCCTGGAGTTGGCGGAGGTGGGCCAGGACCTGAGGAGGGCACAGCTGGCCGCCGCAGAGGGGCAGCCAGATGTTGTGGTGGTTATACTCAAGGCGGGCGCGCTCGGTGGAGAGGTCGCCGCGGTTGAGGATGTAAACGCCGTCATCGTCGGCGTTCCAGCGCTTGAGACCATGTTCGAAGTGAGGGCGGGAGACGGCTGCCATTGTGTGAAGCTATATGATTCGAAATGGTTTTGGTCATCCGCTACCCAACGGCTTCGTTGCGGAGATTTTATGTTCGAGACAACTTGCCGGCTTCGCACCGAAATCGTTCATTTTCGGCCAGATTGAGTTGTACTTCCTGAAGCTTGCCCAATCTCTCAAAGACTTCTCATCGAGTCGAAGCATCCAGATCGTATTTGTCTTTTGGTATTCTCTCATCGGATTGGCGGGCCATCATCTCGTTCAGAGTTCAGCTCAAACTCACCTCATGCCAGGCGGACCCTTATCGAGCCCCCAACAGACCCGGTAGCGCGGTGAGCTAGAACTTTGATGCCCAGCAAGGTTGCGGGTAAATGGAGACTGGTTCGGCCAACCTCCGGTCGCCGGGCGGGGCCGCCGGGTCGCCGAGGCACCGACCGCGGCGGCGCAGTGGGTACCGGAACCCGGTCGAGACGCCACGGGCTTGAGGGGGCGTTCATGGAGGACCATGAGGGTTATGCTGGATGCAGATGCTCATGCGTATTTGTATTCGGAGTGAGTTCTTTGTGCCCGCCTGACTCCGACGTCAAGGTGCGTCAAGGTGGGCGGTGGCTTGGGTGAAACATTCCGAAGACGGCTCAACGCCAGGCTTTTTGGGTTATTGTTTCTTTCGGCGTATTCTGCGTCTGGGCCCCTCACGAATATGGCTCATTTTTAAAGAAAAGTCCCCTCTCGCGCTTTCCTGCCGGCTTGGATTCTTCTGTCGTCCTTTCAAATGGTAACACATCGACAGCGGGCTCTCCCCCCGACGGATACATCACGAGAATGGCCGTTGCCATCGGCGAGCATGCCTTTTCGAGGGAGAAGAACTACGAGTACCCGGAAGCCTTGATTGTCTGTAACAGCACCTTCGGAAACTCGTCCTACCGCATTCACGCGGGCGACTTCACGTGCGAACACTTTGGCCTCTGCAGCTGTCCTCGCATGCGCGCCGAGCCCGATATAGCAGGGAGAGGAGTGAGTCGCGACGCCTCGGACACAGATCTCCACAATCACTAACGGCCCTTTCGGCTAGGTCATCGCGGCATTCGTAGTAACGGCCTTCTTAACTCTCCTCACTACTGTATTCTGCCTCGTCGTGGGCCGAACCTCCGAGGACCGCCAAACGCTGAACCCGATCGACCGCTTCGCCCGACGACATGTCTCCGAACCCGTGCGGAACTTCATGTTACGCCGCAACATGAACCCGAACCTGCAGGCGCTCGTCGCCTACGACCTCGTCAACACCCTCAGCGATCTCCAGCTCGTCACCGGCGTGGCCATCCTCATCGCCGGGATGAAACAGCTCGTCGACGGCTCCATCTCGACGTACCACTTCATGATCGTCACCGACCTCGCGTGGTTCTGCAGCAACACGCACCTCTTCTCGCTCCTCGTCATCACGAGCATGCACGACAGCGTCAAGCGCACGAGTCCGGACCGGTATAACCCGCAGAACATGGTTCTGGCGCGGCGGCTGGCGAGGGCGCTGCGGATCTTCCTCATGGCGGTGACCGTCGTGCTCCTGCTCTACGCGCTGTACGTCGGCGGATACGAGTACGTTTACGAAGAGGGGCAGTTCAGGTGTCCGATGAAGTGCGCGTTGGGACTGCCGAAGGGCGGCACACCGGCCGATCTCATGATTACGAACATGACGCTGATGGGATACTTTTACGGGACGAGGATATTCATGAGCTGGCGCACCGGCCGGATGTTCTGGATGGATCGCGTCCGGGGGTACTTGCTGGACAACCAGAGCCAGCCCGTCAACGTGTTGAAGCCGGAGGCGGTCTTCAGGAGATGGTCGGAGAACAGGTTGTGGAGGTGGATCAAGACGGTTCTCAGGTGGACGTGGTATTTCTTCGCGTCGGAGGCCGAGACGGTGGTGGGACTGACGGCGTATTTCTTGTTCGGCATCCAGTCCATCGTCGAGGACCGTCACATAGGTCACAAAGAGATGGAGGAGGATACTTCTCACGACGAGAACAGCCTGGCGTTCAGCCAGCTTGTGCCCATCTTCCTGCTCATCATCCCCTTCATGGGGTTGTTCGAGTCGTACGCGAGGCACTCCAGGGCGGATTGCGAGCGGAGGATGAAAGAGCTGGACGACCTCGGGGCCTCGGATGGACCTTGACGGGTCACGGTGCTCCGCGGGGGCGAAGGTATTTGTTGGGAAAATGACGTATGCAGCGACAGCACGAACAAACAGAGAAAAAATCGAGGTTCTTTTTGAGGCATTACACATTAAGCCGAAGATCGGATGAGTTTAGAGGGGCATGACAGTAATGTGCAGATGTGGTGTGACGCACGAAGGCGCAGTTCATCGAGTGTTCTTCTCATGCAGGGATGACGATTCAACAAGAAGGGTTGCCTTTCCCCGGTGCGATGGTCTATCCTGTCGAAGCATTTGACACATCGACCGCGGACGCCATCAAAGATGATTTATGCATCGAAGAACCCGCGACCACAGACATCGCGGTAGACCCTGTGATCTGCCAATCACGACGACAAAATGTCGAGATATAGACCAAGCAGCTGTCAGAGCATCCTTTAATGGCTCGGATAGAGAGACGATACCCTGCTAGTTAATTATGTCTTGCTTGGGCTTGACGTGCGAGCTGGTCTCGAGCCCCCTGGACGCAAGACATCAGAGCCTCCTCCGAGTTAGCCTTTGGCGCTAATGCCTCTTCAACGCCCTCGGCAGAGCGGTGGCTGAGTGAGAGAGGCGCTTCTTGTGAGATCCAGCTGATGAGAGATGGGATTTTGAAACGATGCCACCAGCCAGCCGCATTGCAAAATAGGCGGTAATTACTCGGTGCGATGGAATCCCCCCTTCCATCCTCCACCACGTCGCTTCTGAATGATTGCCACGGGGTCCAGCTAGGCAGCCGAATTCCATTAAGCGAATCAAGGGGGTTTTCATGTTGGTAGGCGGGGGTGGGTGAGAGAGAGCATGGAGTAAGCCCCACGACGACATCCGTGAGCTTGTTTGCGCATCCATGTGTTGGTTTTGATATAAGACGATTGACCACATTCTTTCCGAGGTCCCAGAATCACGGGTAAGCTCTGCCTGCTGCTGCACCCTCAGACCTCGCGTCGAGGGCCCTTTCACCATCGCAATCGTCGTCATCAAAACGCCCTCGAGCGTTGCGCCCGTGGGACGACGCCTCGGGAAACAGGATAATAAAGCCCACCCCTGGCTCACTCAAACCCCCTGTCATCAAGCCTCTCAATCCATCTCACGCCTACGCCATCAGAGCCACAGAACACACCTATTCATATCTCACATCATCTACAAACAAAAACACAATAACAACATGCGTTCCTCCTCGATCCTCGTCGCAGCCGGCCTCGCCGCCACGGCCACGGCCAACATCCAGATCCAGACCGCGCCAAACCAGCAAGCCGGCTCCCCCGTCCGTCGCGACCTCGCCTCCTGCAACTCGGTCGCCACGGCCCTGCTCCCGAAGATCACCGACGGGGCCCCCACCGTCCCCGCCGACGTCGCCAACTACCTGGCCTTCTCGGCCTCCGTCACGGACGCCTGCGCCGACCCCCAGATCACGGGCTCCGTCGGCTCGGCCTACTCCACCTACGCCGCGTCCCTCACCTCGTGGAGAGATGCGCACATGAGCGACTTCCGCGCCGTCTGGCAGGCTTGCAGTGACGTCCAGGGCGTCGCGACGGTGTTGCCTGTCGGAAGCGGCCAGTGCAGCTCGCTGGTTGCCCAGATTACCAGTGCCGGACCTGTTGGCGGAAACGGTATTGGTGGTGGTAACGGTAACGGTGGTGACAGGTCCGGTAATGCTGGACCGAGGGAGACGGGAGCTGTTATGGCTGCGGCTGCCATGGCTGGCTTCGTTGTTGCTGCTCTGCAGTAAATCCATCATATCATGAAGATCGGAGGAGATAATAGGGACTGAAAGCAAGTTGGATCAGAGCGATACACATTAGTACAGGCGTTATCTATGTAATTGCATTTCAAAATACCACTCTCATTTTATCATCGGGGACTCAAACACGCCACACATTGTGAAGTGAGGTCGTCCTTCAGTGAGGTCGGCGCATTATCATTATGGTCAAGTATCTACAGAAAATCCGAAATCCGTCATTGCAAGATGGCGAAGTTCCATCCCGCCTTCGCGTTATGCGAAGACTTCAAATCCCTCTTCAGCCAACACCTCAGCTCCATCGTGCCCTCGCCGGTGGTGACATTCCCCCACCCGGCACCGGTGCACTGCGCCGTCTTCGAACACACGTCCATGCACTCTCCCATGCTGCTGGTCAACAAGTTGGACATGTCGATCGCCTCGTTGCCGGTGAAGTCGATGCCACACACGCGCAGGAACTTCTTGTCCGAGCCGGTTGGGCTGTAAAACGTGTTGTCGGCGTCCGGGCAGAGGGCAGTGGGCCCGGAGGTTGCGGTCGGGGTTGACGCCTTTGTCGAGGAGGCCCTCGTCGAAGTCGCGAGCGTCGTGGATGCGCTGGAGCTGATGGTGGTCGGGGATGCCGTGGGACTTGCCACGGTCGTGCCCGAAGCCGAAGAACCGGCGGAGACGCTCGACCTCGGCGTAGGTGTCGCGGAGCTGAGTTCATGTAAGCCACACCATCTTCGACAATCACCACGAGAAGAACATTAACATACCTAGTCCGCGCCGCGCTCCCATCCGCCTGGCTTGCCTTCGATCCCGCACCGACACCCACGCCGACACCGACTCCGACCCCGAGAACCACCAGGACCAGCAGGCCGACGAGCAGCCAGAAAACCCACATCCTCAGCCCGCAGCACTTCCGATCCCTCCTCTCCCGGCGCGCCCTCCTCTCCTCGTCGTACAGGCTCAGCCCCCGCTTGCGTGCGGCGGCCGCGGCGCCCTTCTCGTCCGGCGGCGGGGTGCCCTCGCGGTAGAAGGTGTGCTCCTCGTCGGCGAGCGGCGTCGGGTCGTCGCCGGCCCAGTAGACGGAGGGGATCGAGGCCTTGCCGAAGATGGAGCCCTTGCCGCTCCGGACCGTGGGCGCCTTGCGGGGCGACGGGACGATGCGCTTCGCCCTGATGTCGCGGGAGACCACGGGGACGGGCTCGTCCGGCGGCGGCGGGAAGTTGAATCCGTTCATGGTTGATCCTTCGTCCTTCTTCTTACTTTCCTCCGAGACACACGTTGCAGGGTCTTCACAATCCAATTTGTCTTGGATTGGTGTTTCTTTTGCTATGCCACCGGTTCCAGCAACACCATCGTCTCGGCCCTCCCGGGATACTTGGGATCTTTCTTCTTTCCCTTCTTCCTTTCCTTCAATGCCTAATCAGAGTTGTTTAATGGTGCGAAATGAGCGAGTGTGGTTTGTTTTGAATGCGACGTGGTCGCGCGTGTCTGTTCAAGCGAGTGCCGATCGTGTTGTTAATCGTGATTTGGGGGCGGGAAGTGCGGCGTGCCAGGCGCAATTCCGATGATGCGCGGTCGCTGCCGTCGCCTGCGTAAAATGAGAACCTGCCGGGTCGGCCAAAAGCGACCGTAGTCCTTCCCCCCGTGCAACGTTCAGAAAAACCCTCCCGGAGCGAAACGAGTGGACGCCGGCGAGGGAGTATTTGAACGAGTGTGGTTGTTGAATGAGTGAACGAATGGAAGAGGGAATGACTGGAAAAACCACCCACACCCACAAGGAAGAAGGGAAAGGCAGAGAGAGAAACGAAAAAAGTGGACAGAGATCAGAGTTCAATCGAAACCCATGATCCCTTCTCTCTTCGGGAAACTCTCTCTCTCTCCCCTCCATCCAACCCCTGGGCTCTTGTGTCATAACGGAGGGTTTTAAGAGTCTGAAAGTGGTGTTGCCCCTGTTGTGATAATTTCCCGGGCCTGGGGATGATGTGACGGACTAAGCCGCTTTGGCACGTCCAAGCAATCGGCACCATGGAAGGGCGTTGGGGGTTCGGCAGGGATCGTATCAGCAGTAGGACTCGAAGAGGAAACCTGGGTGAAGCATCCGTTGGTGGTTTTTGAGGGGAAAGCAGGTTGAAGCGGCTGGCGGGAAAAAGATAATATGGTTGGACATGTCTCAATTGATGTTCGACGAGATCGACATGGCCAACTAAGACATGGAGATCTGTCAACCGAGTTGGTGTTTTCCATCTTCTCTCTCTCTTCAACTTCTTCAACTGCTACACACACCCGGCTCACCTGAAGAATGCGATGACACTCTACCAAACAAACCAACCAACTCGACACCCCGGTAGCGAACCTCCGGAACGAGACGCTCGGCGGGTGTGCGTTTCCACGATAAGAAAAGTCCCGCAGCCGGAATTTGGTTCAAGGGTCCTAGCGTATTGGAAAGTCTGCAGCTAGAAGCAGCCGTTGCAGTCAAAAGAGACGAGCTTGTGCGTCAGCCACCAGCCAGTCCCGCCGCGATCGAATTTCACGCTGGGCGCGACGCGAAGGAATCCCCCCTTCTCGAGTTCGAGTTTGGTGTTGGCGCCGGAGGTTTTGCCATCTGGTCCCCTCTCATCCTGGGCGCTCTGAAGTACCATAGTAACATGAAGTCCCCCCTTGGCCAGACCTCGAATGAGAGCGAGAGATCCTCCAACCCCCTTCCCATTCGCACGGGATCGCTCGCCGTGCATCCAGCGTCGCTGGACATTTGTTCTTCTTGGCGGCAGCTGTGGTAGCAGCAGCAGCGCGTTCTGCGCTTTGAATGGCCTCGATTGCTTCCGCCTTCCGCGCGTCGGCCGCCCGCAGATGCCGCAGAAAACGTTGGAAAGGGTGGCGTTGCGAAGGGGAGCCTCACAAGTATTAGCTACTCGGTCACTTGATCCAAGGTGCGGCAGGGTAAGGTGAGAAAGGAGCGACGACCAAGGAGGGGGGATTTGGAGACTTTAACTGAGGGAATCGCTGTCGAGTCGACATTGTCGTTCGTGCTAAAAAAGGCAACGTCAAACACAGCAGAGTTTGCGATTCATGAACGCGGGACGTTCATCTCTTTTTTCGTCCCAACGGTGTCCCTGCGAGGAGCAGCCCAATCATCCGTCCCGCGCGCGCGTCCGTGACGGGATTCCCGTTCTCGGGCTTCGAGGCTAGAGAAGAACAGACCTAGAAACACGGGAGAAAAACAAGAAAAAAACAAGAAGGGCATGAAGAACAACAACAACTATCGACTCTTCGTTGACGCCCGATAATCAAACATGTGCCCAAAGCAGCCTCTGCTCATTTGAAATTCCAAGGCTAGAGCCCTTGTCAAAAAAAGCCCAGGCCACATTGAAGAAAAAAATGAAAATATTCCCCGAGAGAGACCAACACATGCCAAACGGCCAGAAACACAGATTCGCAGAAACGCAGAAACACAGACACGCGGAGGAAACGCGCAAACGTGACACTTCCACAACACCAGAGGCCGGGGGTAAACAAGCATATTGTCTTTGTGAAATGAGGAAAACTGGATAAACAGCGTCTCTAGTTCATGCCCATCAAGGAACATCTCTGCAAAACGAAGCAGACGAGCAACGAACACCCGTTGACCTTCCCTCCCGCGGCCCGCCACCGGTTCCAGGCTGATCGCTGCAAGTCGGGCGTAAAGTGGTGTGGATCGTCCCCACGGATGACCCGGCATTCCGCCCATCGGGCACCAATTACCTACCGCAAGACTGGCTCTTCGCCATCCGGCTGCCCTCTGGCTCATCCCTTTAGAAAAGCTTCTTTAAACATGCCCGGCGCACCTCGAATGCGGACGTGAGTTACATGCACTTCCGCAAGACCTTTCCTTGCTTTGTTCCGTTGGTTTTGTCGGCTTTGCATTTGTTTGGCTTGCGTTCTGATCCAACGGCCTGTCCTTACCGTCTACCCGTCCCGACACGTCCACACCAATCCGAAGCGAACGCGAATTTCTGTTTGAAGGTATCGTCACTTCGGAAATCCAAAAGAAGAAAGTCTGTGGGGGTGGAGGCGCATTCAAAGTGCTACTCGACCTGAATCTGCGACTGCAACATGTCCCACCGCCAAAAAGCTCCGGCCCCGTCCCGGAGCACACCGGCCCCGCAGCCGAAAGGCGCCGGAAACACGGCCCCGCCGATGCCCACCTTGGCGGCTCCCAAGCCCGTCCGCCCCGCGCAAACCCTGTTGCGGGCTCCCGAGCAACAATTGACGGGCAAGCCGAGCCCGCCCGGCTATACTAGTTTCCCGCCGCCGCCGAGTCCCGCGCCGAACGCCGCCGTTGGCCGCCCGTCTCCGTCTCCTGGCACGCAATCAACCACACCGTCTACAAGAAACGCCGGCACCACGCCGCGTGCAGGTCTTAAAAGTCCGGGACCTAACGCTCTGACAAGCTTTCCTCCACCGCCACCGACGCCGCCCCAACGAGATGCCGGCAGTTACTTCCCTGATCCGTCGAAGAAGTCCAAGTCGGGTCCCGGTGCTGCTCGGATTCCGGCGTCATCAGAAAAGACGGTAGGAGGGTTTTCGATCGCAGAAACAGAGCTGCGTCCGGGTGTGATCGATATCGACAACCTCGAAGAGACCCTCCACAACCTACGCTTCGCACCCTCTCCCATGCTCTCTACCATCTACTCAGTCCCGTCTACTCCTCGCGAAGAACTCTCCACGCCAGATTTCACCAACAGCACCACGTCATGCTTCACACCGCCATCCACAAACCCGACACCTGAACCTATAGTCCTTACCCCTCGCGGACCACCGCCTTATCCAAAAGAACCCATCACATCACCCACCCGCCCCCGAGCCAACTCCCGCAGAGCCAGCCCGCCCAGCAGGAAACGCGGCCGAGGCGTGGTCTCCTGCATCGACACCCCAGTGACCTTCCCTACAACATGGTACATCCACCCGGCCGCTCCCAACTTCCACATCTGCTCCCGCTGCTACGAAGACCACCTCTTTGGAACCCGTTTCGAGACCGACTTCCGCGGCAAGATCTACGAAGACCAGAAACCCCGCGTATGCCGCTTCAGCAAGCCCCGAATCAGGGACCACCTCCTCCAACAAGCCCTCATCACCGGCCGCATCGACGACCTCACCTCCTTCCTCCGCGACCGCAGCTCCGTCCCAGACTGCCGAAGCTTCGACGGCGCCAGGGGCTCCGAGGGAACGAAATGGTACCGCCCCAAGAACAACGCCGTCCCGAACATGGTCGTCTGCCAGGCCTGCTACGAAGACCACATCCAACCCTTCCGCACCGCCGCCAACTTCGAACCAGCCTCCGCGCAGCCCGCCGGCGACGTCTGGTCGTGCGACCTCGCCATCCCCTACATCCGCAACATGTACAAACTCAAAGCCGCCCAGGACAACGACTGGAAGTCCTTCACCACCGAAGCCGCCGCGAGAATGACCCTCCCCCCCTGCGCGAGGCGCCAAAAGGTCGCCGTCGGCTCCCGCAAGTGGTTCACCCCGACCTCCGGCATGGACGGCGTCCTCATCTGCGCGACGTGCCACCGCGACCACGTCGTCTGCTCCGGCGAGGAACACCGCTGGCGCGACGCCGGCGACAACCTCGCCCCGCGGTACGGGAGCATGGTCTACTGCACGCTGGGCCACTTCAACGTCGGAATCGCCATGTCGCGGGCGCAGGAGACCGGGGACTTCTCCGTCTTCTGGAGGGCCCTGGACACCGCGTGCCGCGAGGAGTTCTGCGACCCGCAGGGCGTCAGGGACGGGAAGTGGTATACCTTCCCGTCGCACCCCGAGGACTTCGGCATCTGTACGGCGTGCGTCGCGACCATCGCCGAACCCCTCGGCCTCGCGTCCTCCCTCGTGCCCAAGTGCGGCGTGTCGCCCGGCTCGACACACCTCTGCTCCCTGAACCCGGCCAGTCCCCGCTTCGTCGCCTACATGACCAAGCTCCTGGAGGGCTTCTTCATCGCCGACACGCGGCCTCTGGAGTCGTACGCCCTCGAGTTCGCCAGCCTCCCGCTCTGCCCGCGCGACGAGGACTTCAAGAACCGGAGGTGGTACGGCTGGCAAGACTGCACGATCTGCCCGTCCTGCTACCACGAGTTCGCCCGCGGCACGCCCCTCGCGGCCGCGATGCCCCTGAAGGGCGAGACCGTCCCGGGTAGCCTGATGTGCGAGATGTACTCCCCGCGCATGCGCGCCCTCTATACCCAGGCCTGCTCGCGCTCGCCGCCTGACGCGTCGCAGCTTCTGAAGGCGTCCAAGGATCGTCGCGCCGTGTACTTCGAGACGGTGCCTGAGATCCGGCAGATCATCAACGAGGCGCAGATGGCGCTGGGACAGCGGCGCATGTCGAATGTCGTGGGCTCGACGAACCGCGCCATGGGGCAGACTCGCGATATTTCGTTCAAGAGCCCGTGCATCTATGACATGTCTGGCTCGGAGAACAAGACTAGCTCGTTGTCTGTCGGGTTTGTGTCTGGTACGAAGACGCTTGTTCTTGAGAAGTTGGAGAAGCGGTGGAGGGAAATCGAGTAAATGTATTTAGAGATTTCTTTTGTCTACAGAGATACCACTTTCGAATACCAAAATTTAGACCAGCAGCCCTTAAAAATGATTCAATCTCGGTGCTTTGCTACCGAGTATGGTGGGAGTGATGTTCTCGTTGCGTGGCTTCACGTCGCTGCGAGTATGCGATGACTTCGCTACTGGGCTACTGCACCTTCGTCGAATATGTCACGTATGAGTCAGCCAACCCGATAGAGAGAGCATGGTATGTGACGAGACTTGATTAACTTGATTGACTTGACACGATACTATCTTTCCCATTATCATTGACTACGTCTCATTTTGTGATGTTCGGGATCCCCGGCGGCATGTTTCCGTTATCGTGAAACCCTTTGGTGCATGCGTTGCATTTCAATTCAGCGTAGAACAACCTAGCTGTGCAGCCGCAAGAGCAGCCGCAGATGGATGGCGGCGGGTTCGGCGGCGTGGGTCGCATGATTGATGATATGGAGGATGGTTGGTATGCTTTGAAGGTGTTTTTGCTTGGGTTCGACGTTTGATAGATTTGAAAAATGCTTTGGGGACACATTACAAGTCTCTTTTATACCAAAAATGCATAATCATTTTCCTGTGATTTACTACTGAAACTCCGAGACGCGGTGAAGGCGTTGGGCCATCCGTGGAAGTGAATGAGACCATTCAGAGGGGCTTTTCATAAAAAGGGAAAACATTAGGACTCTCACGCCATAGTGAATGCCAGGGTCAAAAGCGGGATGCAATTGAGAATATGTATTAATCTACCAGTGAATCGTGGCTATCCCACCACGAATCACCGAACTCGTGTAAATCATCAGAAGCGACTGTAAATGCTAGGTATCTCGGCGCCGTAATCCTAACCACAAAAAAAGCCCAATTGCGAACATTCCATTCATGAGTCAGAATCCATCAGTCCAATTAGAAGAGAAGGGCACCGACGGCAGCGGCGCCGATCAGGCCGAGACCCTGGGGAGAGACGACGCCGGCGGCGTTCGGGGTCTGGGTGGGGTTGCTGTTGCCGGCGGCCGTGGACGGGCTGTTGTTGTTGCTCCCGCCGTTGTTGTTGTTGCTGCTGCCGCCGGACTGCGTCGGGGACGCACCGCCCGCGGCGCCGGGGGTGATGGTGGTGGTCAGCTGCGCCGAGGCCGTGGGGCGGGTGGCCGTGATGGCGGGCGTCTGGGAGGCGTAGGAGGCGGTGGAGGCGTACGAGGTGCTGGCGAAGCCGCAGGTCCTCAGGATGTCGTTGATGTCTATTCACCACGAGTCAGTTTTTACTATGACGAACTTGCCGGTATGGAACGGGGAAACTCACCATCGAGGTCGTCGCGGTCGCGGACGTTCTGGTCCATGCAGCTGGCGCAGAGGGCGGCGTACTGGGAGACGTTGATGCTGCTGTTGGTGCAGACGCACTGGGCCTCGAGGCGGTCCTCGGTCAGGTCGTCGCGGACCTGGTCGTCGTCGACCTCGCAGGCACGGCCGAGCTCGTAGATGGGGCGGCAGACGGCGTTGCACTGGGTCGGGATGTCGTCGTCGTCGAGCTGGAGGTCGGCCTTGACGAAGGCGGCGGCGGCGAGGGTGAGGGCGATGTGAGAGAAGTGCATTTTGGCGGTTGTTTTTTGAGATGTTGTGGTGTGATTGAAGAAGCTGCGATGTCGATGCTTATGAGTTGAATGTGAGATGAGTTGTGAGACTGTGAGGCTGTTGATGAGGATGCTGATGACGAGATGGGTGACCAACAAGGGCGGGATGATGCTTGATATATAATCTTAAAGGTGGCTCTTCGAAGACGATCTTCTCGAAACACAGCAAGGAGGAAAAGAAACTCTCGACAGAGTATTACAGACAGGCATGTCTCGGGCAGCGAACGCACATCGTCACTTGGAGGCTTGGGCCTTGGTAGGCTTCTTGGCGTTGGCGGTCTCCATCTTGGCCCATCACAGCTGCACTCCCACTCAGATTGCAGCCATTCAAAAGCGGGTTCCAATGAACGAAGCCAAGAAATACATGTCTACACCAGCCTCAATCGACGACTCAACATCCCAGCCGCCGTCGTCTGTCATCGGCAGTTTTCGTCCCATACGGAGAGAGAGCCCGCTAAACAGAGTCTTGTCGAGTAAGATCGTTAATCAAACAAACACCAATTACCTAAGATGAGCGCTGGAAACCGACCCTGTTGGCCTCGAATGCTCGATGGAAGATGTTTCTCTCCCCTGTCATCATCCCTCCGAACAGCCCGAATCCCCAGGAAAGCTTAATGCGATACACCTGGGGTTTCCCTGAGGCCCCTTGGAGCCCCGGGAACTGTCAGAGAGTGATGGGCGTCTGGCAGACAGGCATCGCCGAAAGTCCAAAGCGGAAATATGTCGCGTGCCACAGTTGACAGCATGATTACGGACATGACCGCATATTGGCTGCTGAGGACAGGGTCAATGCCGGATTCACGTCGGACGAGGGCCGAGAGGGCAAACCAGACATGCCGAGACGCTCATTCGTACGATCATTCATCTTGCGATCTTCAGAGGCCAACCGCCAAGGTTGTAAAAACCACGCGTCCTTGAGCATCGCCAATTCACCAAGCAAGACACCGCGTTCCCAAGCAAGGCTCTGCAAGAAGTCTGTTCTCAAGCTGTCAACCCAAATCACCCCCCAAGCATGAAAAACCTTTTTTAGGGTTTCCGCCCATCACTTGAGACGACAATCACTCGCGCGCCGGCATATCCCCGCCAAGACCGGCAGAGCCACGGCGACACGCATCCGCCCGCCCCCCTCACTCACTCGCCCAAGCCGCCTCGCACCAGCTGTGGTTGCTCGCTCAGCTCATTCGACAGATCCGATTGTGAGCTGTCCATGTTTCACATGGTCTCTTGGCGAAGGGCTCGCAGGGCGGGAAAGCCTTGCCGTCTCATCGTTCCCTTTGATTTCTCGTTCGTTGTTTCTGGCTTTCTGCCCACAGCTTGGTAGGGAACACCCTGCACAATGTGCACCCGTATGACGCCGGCCGGCGGATGATCGACGACCACGTCCCACCCTTCGGGGGGCTGAGGCGGACCAACTTGCCAGCGAAGTTTTCTCGAAAAGGTGGACGTGGTCGACGATGATCCATTTCACTGCTCTCATTGCTCAGTGACTCTCTTCAAGTCCACAGAACAACAACTCATGCTTAAACTGCAAAATGAACGTTGCAGCGGGGCAGCGGACCTTTTTTTCTCTCAGCTTGACCAGGGACATGAAGCTTGAAAATAGGGTGCGGATGCTAATTTTAGGGCTCCGCGATGCAAGTCTGCAGCTTGGCGCCCCCATGTGATCCACCGGCAATATCCTCAACGGATTTGGGCTCTCGGCAGGCAAAGAAAGAGGCAGTGAGAGTGAGATTTCAAAAGGCCTCAGAAATGAGAACTTCCGCGGGGGACTGGGTGATTGACTGGGCTGTTGGAACTCCTGCAGGTTCCGTCGATCTCTGGTGAGTCCACGCAACACGCCAAGGCGCCAAACAACGCCTCAGAGAAACATTCACCAGTGGATGGTTTTCCGTACGCGCAATGAGATCGATGAAGAAGATCTGGACCACGGTGATAGTCCGAATTTTGGGGCTATTCTTAGTCATTCTAAGTGCCGGCTTCTCACGATGATGTCTAAAGCTTGTCAGAATACACGTAGCTCTCAGAAGATACTGAGAGCTTGTGGCAGATCCGTTGTTCCCCTCAATAATTGGGTCCATATAGTCACGTTGATGTTCAGAGACTGCGAGCTTCGGAGGCAGTGCTTCATCGACAGCTTCAAGTCTGGAGAAGAAAACTGATGTTTCTAAATCGGTTCAATGTATTCAGCTGCGAGCCTGTGGCCGTGTGTTGGCGAAGACGCGCGTACACCGCTACGGTGCAGGCGCTCTAGTTGATGAGCTCGAATGAGAAATCTTCGTTCACATAAAAGTTGAAGTAATGTGAGCGAGATCCACGAGTTATTTGTTTTTTCTTAGGCCGACGAAGATAGCCGGAGTGCTCATAAGAGATCCTAGATAGGAGCAGAAACGCCTGTGACCAATTGGCTCGCACTTTTTTGATCTCAACAGCATCACGTTCTCAATTGCCGTCACCGAAAGATTCCTCGATCCACCAGGTAAATGCGGGCGGGGGTCGTTAGAACCCAGTGTAGCTGAGCCTCTACTCGAACAAATACATGGAGTTCCCATGGGGTCAACCTTCGGCCACCCCGGGAAGCCGTAGTAGAGTTACGTCAACGAAATTACACAGTTGACTCAATTCTTTCCAAGATTGGCCACACTTTCCGACTCGGTTCATCCTAAGATCGGAGGCTGTTAATTAAATGTTAGCATTGATCTGGCAGCCTTGATCTTGAAACTAGACTCTTGAGTGACCTTGATGAAGTATATCTCCAGTCTGCTCTTAAACGGAGTGAGGAACGGTTGGGACTTGAGATCTATGTAGAGTCTCTGCTAGTTCGGCACATCGGGTTAATTTACAGGTTGAAGTTTTCTACTCAGACTTTTCTGCGGCATATGTTGTGACTGTGAAAGTCATAGAGTCTAATGCAATTGAAATTAAAATAAATGGAAAACTGCGTTTCTGAAAATCATTTGGGAGGACTGTGAGTAAGACTCAGTGAATAGCCGTTGTGTTTCATATGAAGAACTCAACAGCTTCCAGTGAGAGTTGAGTCTTATCTAACAGATGATGAATTTTTCACATGGGCGAATTGAGCCAAGTCAAGTAGTCCAGTTTCATTTGCGATTAATAGAAAACCTAGACGTAAGTATGTACTTTGAGGCTCATGCAACACAACTTTCTGATATCGCAGAATTATCTCAAACCCTTAGAATATCCACCATTTCGTTCACTCAATCGTTCACTCAAGATAAGTTCACAAATTGACATAGATCTGACGTTAACGAGTCCTTGCGTGGTGACCACGATTTTAGACGATTTATCTGATTGTTAAATCCCATAGCATTTAAGTAGTGCCCTATCAAATCTAGCAGTCATATCAAGACATTGTAGTAGCGAATCTCATGGAATATGAAAATTTCTCATAGTAGAATAGACATGAGTGTCAACAGCAAAACTATCTGAATGCTCACAGCGTCGAAAGTCATCTATGTCTGTAAAGGCTGGAACCTCGGGCCTACAGGAATAATTTGAAGACTTGCGTTGATGAATTTGAAGAATTCAATTCTATTGGGAACGATTCTATTCGCCATCTATAGGATTTCCAACCTATAAATATTTAAAGCCAGCATCCAAACTATTTTTCTCAAGTTGGTCATAGTATTCTCCTGCTGGGCTAAATAAGAGACCCAGGCTGATCTACAACTACTACAGAATGAGCGAATTAGGATCTCAACTCGAAGACGAAGAGATAAATACAACGTCTCTAGATCATGGTGTCATGAGCCTTGTTTTATTCACAGATCATAATCGTGCGTTGATGATTTGAGAGAACACCCCCACGTTCCTTCACGTGAGCGGCGACACCTGCAACCCAAAGCCATTCGGTGACCAACATACCTCGAAGTAGCTATGAACTACTGACCCTGTTTTACTGGGCATTCAAGTAAAATGGTGTCCTGGAGTATTGCCTTTGCTCATGATTCGCCAATTCACCTTGGTTTGAAGGCCCCTTAATGAGAAAGGGGGGTTGCGCAATGAGTGGCGATGGACACTCGCAGAGCAGCGCGGGATGAGGGGACCGGCGTCTCGCCAAGCCCCTACATCCGGGCCGCTGTTTGTGGTATTCACCCACCCTCTTCCGGCGCGTGTGCCACAGGTGTTCGCAGGAAGCCGTTGCCTGGGCGCACGAAGCGGATGAATTGAGACAAGGGAAAGAGACAAGTGGAGGGGAAAGAGTTGACATCCGAAATCCAAGGGTTCGTTTGTTGAAGTCTCCGAACGCAAGCAAGCCAAGCCGGGCGTTGACAAGCGTGGGGGTCACCGGTCCGGGAACCAGGCAGTTCCCCAGACTCATCTCATTCCGTGGCACTAGACAGAGCACAGACAGACTAGCGGATTAAGTGAGAGCTTGAAGTCACAATGGCTAGACAATATGGAAACGCCATTGTCCTTCCCGGGTCATGTGGTCTGAGTATGGTCTCGTTGCTAGCTCGTATCAACTTTCTTGAGTCTGAGCATTGGGGCTGATCCTCCGCGCTTCCGAAATGTCTTCACCGGACCATCCATGTTCCCCTGGCAATCACCGCCCACAGCCAAACGCTTCACGGTTGACTTCACATCAGTTGATCTACCATGCGCGTGACCAAGAAAGCCGCTTCGTGAGATGGCAATTGGAAACCCCTGTAGAGAAACAGCCTTGATTGCCCAACATCTCAATCAGACGGCCCCGAAACTGTCAGGCTCCGGTAAGCCGGAGCATATCCCACCCACACGCCGTGTCGTACCTGGTGATGCTGCATGCCGCTGCTTCACCACAAACCTGGTATTGACCCTTCTCGACCTTACACACACACACACACACACATCTCACGCGCATCCATGATCTGCGCTTCCAACTACTTGGTCGAATGCGGCAGGACAAAGCGTGGACAAGTAGCCACCCCCACGCCGGGCTGCCGCCCAAACCGTGCGATGCGCCAGGTTTGGTAAAGCCGCATGTCGAACATCATGGGATCCCTGAGTTCGACTGGGACTACCCCGTAGTTTCCTCAAGCGGACATTTGCAACCCCATTCTTCGACTCTATTCGTCCGTGGCTCTTTTCTGTGTGCAGATGTAGACACGGATAGCACGACATACGTCCCCAAGTTCCATGCTTTCCCTTACTTGATGGTTCCTGTGTCTGGCTTTTAAGACAACATCTCCCCAGCTGGATTTCTTCTCATCTAGTCGTTAGCTATCAACTCGATCAATCTCATCTGTCGAGGTACTTTGTTGAACGAACAGCATTGTTCATCATCACAATCACAACAGTATTCAAGCCGTCACCATGACTACGCCTCCAGCCGAGATCACATACGGTGCTCCCAAGGCCCAGCACCTCCGACTACCCGATGGAGTCTACGTTCCTACCCTCGCATTCTTCACAGATGCCGAGGAAATCGATACCAACACCCTCGAGCGACATCTTGTCCGCCTCATCAACGCCGGGGTGGCAGGCATCGTCGTCCATGGCTCCAACGGCGAAGCAGTTCACCTCACTAGAGAGGAGCGCAGCTCCATGATCCGCTGCGCAGCAGACACCATCCACCAAGAAGGGAACGATGTCAAGATCCCCCTCATCGCCGGCTGCGGCGCCCAGTCGACTCGCGAGACGCTTCAGCTCTGCAGAGATGCGGCCAAGAGCGGCGCGACCCATGCTCTGGTGCTACCTCCCAGTTACTACGGCGCCCTCCTCGATGAAGACAAGATCACGCAGCACTTCTACTCAGTGGCTGACCACTCGCCCATCCCGCTGCTCGTCTACAACTTCCCTGCCGCCGCCTCCGGGCTCGACCTCACTTCAGACGCCGTCCTGCGCGTCGCGCAGCACCCCAACGTCGTGGGGGTCAAGCTCACCTGCGGCAACACGGGCAAGCTGGCGCGGGTGGCGGATGCCGCGCCGGAGGGGTTCTTCGTGGCGGGAGGCAGCGCCGACTTCATCCTGCAGGGCCAGGTCGTGGGCGCCAACGGGACCATCTCGGGGCTGGCCAACGTCGCGCCGCGGGCGTGCGTGCGCGTCATGGAGCTCACGGCGAAGGGACGGCTCGACGAGGCAAGGCGGCTGCAGGCTGTTGTGGCGAGGGGGGACTGGGTTGCCATCAAGACGGGCTTCGTGGGCGTCAAGGCGGCGATCGGGCACTTTGAGCAGTACGGGGGCGCGCCGAGGAGGCCTTGTGTCCGGCCCTCGGATGAGGAGCTGAGGGTTATTGCGGACGGGCTGAGCGAGCTGCATCAGGTTGAGAGGCAGTTGGAAGAGGAGGTGGTGGCTCGCGGAGGGCAGTGATTGACGGGTTGGAATTCTTCAGCACAATTATCCGGGGTGGTAGATGTGGTATTGTCGATTGGGATGGTATGACATGGTGCATGGATGACGGCTTGGAGGAGGGGGAAAAGGGAGGCGAAAAGTGATAGATGGGATGTGGGAGCTGAGGAATGATTGCAACGGTTTCATGGATGAATGTACGGGCGGGGGATGGCGACGTGATGGGACCTGGGGTCTTAAATCCGGATTGGACTAAGAACTGCTTGAACCGGAGGCGAAGAGGTGAGAGTGAGAGCATTGGGTGGTGGTGGTGATGGGAGAAATGAGGGGAATGAAAAGTTGATGTCCATTCAAAAATCCATGCATTGCTCATGAGCGCTGAATGCTGGACCAGCTGAGCTGGTCTGGTTATGACTTGTAGCTTGGAGAGATCACTAGTTGAATGACTGAACGGCGATGTTCTAAGACGCCTATGGCCCATGGGAATCTCCTTCGCTCACCAGTTTGGTTTGCTGTTTGAGAAATTTACTGTAAGCATCCAAAATCTATACTCGATAAACAGGATGAGATCCCATGCCATGAGATGAGTAACTCACTCAGAAACACCATCGTTGCGGTGAGCCTGCGGATAGAAATCATGACATCACTACCCCAAGACGACTTACACGTAGTCCGATATCAGGACAGCCAGAGCCATATTGCGACGTAAGGAAACCCCATCAAGACATCCATCCTAAGTACCAAAAAACAGCGCGGATAGTACTTTCAATAGCAAAAATACCTCTCCAGCGCGGGGAAGCTTGGTCCGCCGATCAGAGACTGACCAGAACGGAAATGTTTTCCTTCCTTGGCCACTGGCAATTGCCACCCGCAATTGAAATATTGGAATGTGACTTGTGATGTCGGCCGGTGGTGGGCGAGCATCTCATCTCGCCGGAGAATCTTTCTAGAAAGACGGCCGGCGCAGGAGATCGGCGCTGCAGCGGCGTTTGGGTGTGCTCAAACCCCGGACTTCGGGCGTCGATCACCAAGCCAAACCCCGGTGACTCGAGTTTGAACTTTTGCTGACAACCCGTCGAAGAGGGTGCGAAGAATGTACGTGAAGAAGATGTACGAATGCTGCGATGCTTTGCGTACCCTGAGGAGGAGAGAGAGTTGATCCATTGATTGACGTACTGTGAACCTATCAGTCTGCTACTCAAGCCCCCTCAACCAACCATCACCACCGCTTTACCGCGACTACTTGATAGGTTGGCCATCTCGACCACAAATGGGTTTTAATACGTAAAATTGGTGATATACCTTCACACCATAGGCCTTTCCCTACCTTTCTTAGTCTTTCTGGCTATCTGGAGGAAAAGGCCGAGGGGGGGGGGGGTTAGCCAACAATCCTTTTATCAAGTATGCGGTATTCGAAACGATGAGAGACTCATGATCGCGGCATCTCTGATTGGTAAAGTGAAAGGTTCAAGGACACACGCGTCGTGCGTCGATTGGCTCTCGAGATGCAAGACAGCCTCAAAAGAAGGAGCGGGAGGGATAGAGATGAACCGCTGGTTGGCCGTGTCAATCCCAATCAGATATCACCACACGCATCAAATGAATGTAAGCGCCAAGCCTCTGACACCTCTCACATGCGCTGCGAAGCGCAGCCTGATCTTGAGTTGGTTGCATTGTCTCTCTCTCAGCCGCTTTACCCCTCTTTTCTGGCCCTCCGAATCGAGCTGAGGTTCTCATCTCTTTGCAAACTCCATGTTCATGCGATTTTCTGTTACCAAACGCCTTGTCCTTTCACGATTAGTCGGCACTTGAAGATTTCGTCTGGATGGAATCCGCTTCACGACGGTCACCATGGCGCCCGGCAAACTGAAGGCCCTGGACAGCCCTGACCTCTACACCATTGGCTGGATTGCTGCGCTGCCCATCGAACGAGCTGCTGCTGCTGCTATGCTAGATGAAGAGCACGCACAGCCGGAGGGCTTCTCGAGGAACTCAAACGACAAGAACTCATATACCTGGGGTCGCATAGGTGATCACTATGTCGTCATTGCTTCCCTACCGGCCGGCGTTCATGGAATTGTCCCAGCAAATGCTACCGCGTCAAGCCTGTTATCCTCGTTGCCTTCGATTCGCCTTGGACTTCTAGTTGGTATTGGTGGTGGTATTCCTCGACCGAATGGCGATTATGACATCCGTCTGGGAGATGTCATCGTGAGTCAGCCCGATGGCACAACGGGCGGCGTCTGCCAGTACGACTTTGTCAAGGTAAAGTCGGGAAATCGTCGCGAGCGAAAGGGCTTTTTGGCGCCGCCCCCGAACGTACTCCTTCACGCTGTTGCAAATATCCGGTCAGCTCACGAGCTACGGGATCCCAAGATCCCCAGCTTTCTTGAAGAGATGCGAAGACAGTACCCCAAAATGGCCAAGAAAACCAAGCAGAGTCCAGGCTACATACACCAGGGTTTCGCCAACGACAAGCTGTTCCAGCCGTCTTACGAGCATGTATCCAGCCAGCGTGAGGGCTGCCAAAGCTGCGAAGTAGCTCAAGAGGTCGAGCGCGATGAACGTGAGTCTGCGGATCCTGAGATCCACTACGGCGTCATCGCATCTGGTAATACGCTTGTCAAATGTGGCATCGCTCGGGACCGGATCATCGCCGAAGTGGGAGAAGAATGTATCTGTTTCGAGATGGAGGCGGCTGGATTGATGAATGAGTTTCCCTGCCTCGTGATACGAGGTGTTTGCGACTACGCCGACTCTCACAAGAATGATCAATGGCAGCGCTATGCATCTGCCACGGCTGCTGCGTATGCTAAAGAACTCCTTGCCTACGTACCAGAAGCCGACGTCCAGAAGACCAAGCGAGCGTCAGAAATTCTTCAATCGGGTTAGTTTAATTTTCCTGCGGTCGAATTGGATGTTGTTTCGGCCTGGAACTCTCGAATCGATATGTATTCTACGCACAAAGCACAGCCAAGCTAACTGCATTCAGTTGATCAGAAACTTGGCATCGTGCAGCAAGCCTCAGAAGCAGTATATGCCAAAGTAGAGTCCATCATTCTCAGTGACCGTAGCCAAAAACTCCGAGAATGGCTTGCAGCGCCAGACCCGAACACCAACGCCAACCACGCCAGAGAACTTCGACATGAGGGTACAGGGACATGGCTTCTGGAAACATCGACCTTTCAGGAGTGGGCTTTGGGCACCAATCGACACTTATGGCTTCGGGGCATGGCTGGATGCGGCAAGACGGTCCTAAGCACAACTGTCTTGGATCATCTCACAAAGACCGATGACAGAACGATTCTCAGCTTCTTCTTCGACTTCAGCGACAAAACAAAACAAACGAAGGATAGCTTACTACGATCCATCGCTCTCCAGTTATACCAGCCAGGCCGCAGCTCAGTGGCAGCACATCTCGATGATTCGTTTCGCACGCACCAAGAGGGCAACCTGAAACCAACCACTGCCAATCTTGAAGAGCTTGTTGATAAACTGTTGACAGCAGAGCAGAGAGTTGTCATCCTTCTCGACGCCTTGGACGAGTCCACGACAAGAGATGAGATCATCTCATGGATCAAACGCATATACGAGAGTCTGAGCTTGGTTCAGATGTTTTACACCAGTAGAGAGGAAGCTGAGTTTATGGACGTCTTTCCCAGCACAATCAGGAAGGAATGCTGTCTCGCAATCGACAAAGGAGCGACCGATATGGATGTAGCATCCTACGTATCAGCAAGGCTTCAAACTCAGCCAGACTTCACAAGGAAAAGGCTGTCTGGGGACGTCCTTGACCAAATTCGAAAAAAGGTTGGAACCGGGGCTAATGGAATGTAAGTTCCTGAACAAACGTCCAATATCAAAATATGGCGATGGATGGTGTTTTGACTTCTGTTCCAGGTTTAGGTGGGCAGCTTGCCAACTAGACAGTCTAGCCAAATCACCGAGTCTGGACGAACTTGAGCAACAACTAGACAGCTTACCTCTTGATTTGCCAGATACGTATTGTCGCATGCTCGATAGCATAACGCCTCATTACCGAGAACGTACGATGCGCCTGTTGCAGTTTCTTGTGTTTTCAGATCGACCTTTGACCTTGAAAGAGGGCGTTGAGATTTTTGCTACGGAAATTCAAGGCGAACAGCCTGGTTTTAAACCAGGGCGCAGACTTTTCAACGGCAATGATATACTGCGTCACTGCAATAGTTTAATTGCACTGATTGATGTCGAACAAGGGCAGTACTGGCGAGAAGTCACAGTACCTGTACAGGAACTGCATCTCGCTCACTTTTCAGTCAAAGAGTATCTGTTGGTTCACGAACAGATTTTCAACCCGAGAGATGCCAGTATAGCCATCACGAAGACTTTATTGACTTACTTAACGGATATCCCGGAAACATTTCGGAGAAATGGATTCCAAGAGGATTTTCCGCTGGCGTCATATGCTGCTAAGGCTTGGACATCGTTCGCTATCATTGCCGAAGCATTCGAAGACGTATCAACGATTGCAGTCTCGTTCGTTCAACGAAAAGCAACACTCGACAAATGGATCTACCTTAGAAACCCATTTGCTCTGGGGGAGTCGTACTTTTACTACGCTTGTCAGTTCGGGCTCAAAGCGGTCGCCATATCAATTATCAAGGAAGGAATCGACATTGATGGTGGGCAACATGGACCTTACGGGAGCCCAATTCAAGTGGCTTCCTACTATGGTTACCTCGAAATCTTCCGGCTACTGATCGCCGCCAACGCAGACGTCAATGTCAAGGGAGGCAAGTTTGGAAATGCCCTCCAAGCTGCCTGCTGTGAAGGTCATACTGAGATTGCAAAGCTTCTTATCAAACACAATGCGAATATTGAAGCTGAGGGAGGTAAATATGGAACCGCCCTTCGGGCAGCCTGCTCTAAAGGTCGTCTCGATATTGTCCGCCTGCTTCTCAAGCATAACGCGCATATCAACGCTACAAGTAAGCGAGGCACAGCCCTTCAGGATGCCTGTTTTACAGGTAATATTGAGATTGCACAGCTTCTCATCAAACATAACGCGCATATTGATGCTAAGGGTGGTGTAAATATAACCCCCCTTCAAATTGCTTGTCGTTCAGGTTATATCAATATTGTCCGCCTGCTTCTCAAGCATAACGCGCATATCAACGCTATAAGTAAGCGAAGCACAGCCCTTCAGGGTGCCTGTTTTGCAGGTAATATTGAGATTGTACAGCTTCTCATCAAACACAACGCATATATTAATGCTGAGGGTGGTGCAAATGTAACCCCCCTTCAAGTTGCTTGTCGTTCAGGTCATATCGATATTGTCCGCCTGCTCATTAAGCATAACGCACGTATCAACACGCGGACGGGGGAATACGGAAACGCGCTCGTGGCAGCCTCCAGCGGCGGTCATCTCAAGATAGTTGAACTGCTCCTCTCTTTGCAAGCAGACATCAACGCAGGCGAGACTTCCGTGGGCAATGCACTCATGGTGGCATGCAAAGGCGGGTACGACGCCCTTGTTCGACTGCTTCTCAATAAAGGGGCAGATGTTCAAACCCCACCAGGGGTCATTGAATGCCCACTCATGGCGGCGTGTTGTCAAAAGCATGAACTTGTTGATATCGTGCAACTCCTGCTTGACCACGGAGCGGATGTCCATTTCAAAGGTGGTAAATATGGAAACCCGCTGCAGGCGGCAGCGTTCTTTGGTCACAAGAAGATCATCACACTCCTGTTGGACAGAGGCGCAGACGTCAACGCGCCGGGAGGAGACTTTGGAAGCGCTCTCCAAGCTGCTTGCTGTCCTTTTCATTCTGATATCGAAGTTGTCCAGCTCTTGATAGACCAGGGAGCGGATCTCAATGCACAAGGTGGCGAATGGGGCTCTCCACTCCAAGCGGCATACCATTTCAATGAAGAGGCAGTCTTCCATTTCCTCGTTGCATCTGGCGCGGATGTCAAAGCTTTAAACACCACCGATATAGAAAGCCTTTTACGCAGTACGATCGACAGAAGTTCTGCCAGTCAATTCCGGATGCTAGCAAGCTTGGGGGAGCATTCCAGACTCAACGCCAGCGCCTTGAGTGATCTTTTGCAGCATGCATGCCATAAGCGTTTTCAGGAAGGCATCGAGGCCTTGCTCAACTTTGGCGCAAAGATCAATGCGCGGGGGGGCAAGTACGGCAGTGCTTTGCACGCGGCGTGTTCGAATGGTGCCTACTATAGGGAGCAGACCGTACGCTTCCTGCTTGAGTCAGGTGCGGATGTCAACACAAAGCACGATAAACGCGGCGATGTTCTTCAACTTGCGTGTTGTAGGGGCAACCAAAGTATGGTAGATATGCTGATCAACTTCGGCGCAGATGTCAACGCGCATGGACCCGGAGGAACCAGCGCTATCCATCTCGCCTCACGCAACGGGCACCCGAGCATTGTTTCAACGCCCCTCGCGCGAGAGGCTGATGCCAACATGATCGATAAGAGTGGGTGGACGCCACTACACGAAGCTTCATGGAGAGGTCACGATGAGGTAGTGACCATACTTCTCAGAAATGGGTCCGATCTCGAAGCTAAAGAGCGTCGAGGACTTACACCCATTCACCTAGCATCGGTAGAAGGCCATGAAGAGGCAGTAAAACTTCTACTTGACGAAGGATCCAACGTTGAATGGACCGATAATGATGGGCAAACGCCACTGCACCGGGCATCATGTTCCGGGCAGGAGGGGGTGGTCAAGATACTCCTTAGGAATGGAGCCAACATCGAGTCCACTACTAATGATGGGCAAACGCCACTACATATCGCGTCTCAGAAGGGGCGTAAGGAGGTGGTTGAAGTACTCGTTGAGAACGGAGCCAATATCAAACCTACTGATATTGATGGGCATACGCCACTTTACCTAGCAGCGTGCGAGGGCTACAAAGAGGTAGCCAAACTACTTATCAAGAACGGGGCCAACAGCGGGGACAGATGGAAGTCATTTGTTCTTGATTCATTTCACGACCATCATCGGCTGGTGGAGCTACTTTTCAAGAACGGAGCCGACGATCACTCCGAAGAAACAGAGGAACACCCTGACTTCACTCATTCGCTCATATGATACACGGAGGTTATTTCTTTCGGATACGCGCTTTCATAATTTCTATTCTAGCTCAAGCTATATGATCATTTCACAAACACTCCCGATTCAAAAAGTCTTGAAACCTGTGACCTGTTCTTTACCATAACCATCACGCTCCCGTAAAAAGCCCACCTTACCAACGCCATCCCAAACCAAAATCCAACCAAACATCACTCATCATCTACCCCCTCCCAAACAACTTCTTCGCCGTCACCCTCCTCGTAGACGAAGGGGCATACTCCTGCTCGTGACCATACGCCCCGTACCCGCCCTGCTGCTGCTGCTCACTCACAGAGCTATTCGACCTGTGCACATACGACGACGCGTCAGGCGTCAGCGGCTCCTCAGCCCTCAGCTTCTGAGGACGGGGAGGCGGGGGAGGTGCCTGTGAAGGGGCCGCCTGAGTCTGAGCCTGAGCCGGCGCGCGGTAGTAATCCTCGTCCCACTCGGAGTTGGAGGTGTTGGCGCGGGTGGCCTCCTGGCGGGACGTCTGGTGGTTGGCGTAGTTGTAGTTGCCGTTTGTGGCGGGTTCCGGCTGGGGTGTGGCGGTTGGCCTTTCACGCTCACGCTCGCGCTCGCGCTCGTCGCGGGAGCGGGTTGGGCGGTGCGATGGTGCGCTTGGTGTTGCTGCTGGTGCTGGGGTGGAGGTGTTGTTGGATACCGGCTTGCGTGTTGTCTCGCGCGGCGCTTCGCGGGTCTTTTCTTCATCTTCGTCTGAGGTGTTCTCTTCTAGGTCGCGATCCTCGTCGGCGTACTGTGTTCTGGTTAGTGATGATACTTCATATACGAAAGGATGTGAACTCACCATTCTCAGCTCTTTCCTCATGGCGAGGTTGGCACAAATATCCTTGGCCTCCTCGATGGCTACCTTCTGTGCCTTGAGCGTCATTCTGCGGTCTCTAGTCTCCTTGTTCTCCGCGGCGATGGCCTCGACAGTCTCATTCTGCATACCCAGGATCTCCACTGAGTTGAAGATTCCGTACATGCCCTGCAAGAGATGACGTTCCACAACCTGGGTGATGGTGTTACGGATAAACGTCTTCGCAGCGAGTTCGTAAAAGATCAACATCTTCTCGCACACCTCCTGAGCCTCGGTGTATGTTCCACCCTCCTTGGTGACCTCCTGCTGCCACTTGCGCAGACGCTCCTCGTATTCCGGATCGTACGGCTGGATCTCGAGGTTCATATCCTGAGTCAGACGCTCGAGCTCCTCCTGTGCGTCCGCCATGAGCTTCTTGATCTGCGGGTCGAGGAATTGGTACCGGAGAGGCTCGCGCATGCGCTGAGGCCAGGCAAAGTCGATGACCTCGCTCAGGAACTCATTGCACACGACACCAAGGTTATCCTTGTGTTCTTGTGCGAGCTTGGGCCAGTTCTCGGAATAGCTCTGGAAGAGCATGTAGACCGCGCGGGGCTTGGGGTCCATGGGGAACTCAGAACCGCGGATTTGTCTCAGGAGCATCTCGACTTCCTTGGTGACGAAGTCCCGCTTGCCGCTGTCGGAGATCGTGACGCCGTCGATAGACCGCGGGTCGGTTGATGACGAGAATCCGAACTTGCGCCCGTTCTGGCGGATGCGGTGGGAGAACTTCTCGTTCTCTTCGATGGCGCGCGCGCGCAGATTCTGGGCGGGCGTGCCACGGGGGTCGGCGGTCGCGCGGAAGAAGTTCTTGCGGGGAGGATTCTTGTAGAAACCATAGACGGCTGGGATGACGAGTTCCTTGGAGGATGAAAAGAGCTCGACGAGCTCGATGCGCATCTCCTCGACTGTGTCCTTGCCGGTGCCCATCGACTTGAGCTCCGTGTCGCAGTCATCGAGAGCCCTTTGGATCTGCTTGCGAAGAGTCTTGACGTGGCGGCCGATATGACGCTGAAGTTGAACGGACAGCTTCTGCTTCAATGCGGTGGCACCGCACATTGAGCCAGGGAGAGCGCGCCATTTTCCACGACCGAAGAATTCCTCTTCGCGTTGTCTGCGTTCACGGGCGGACGGCCACGGCTGGCCTTGGTCACGAGGACCGGGGTTGAGCAAGACATACCAGCCGAGCTTGAAGAAGTTCTGTTTGTCCCTGTTCTGGACGAGCTCGATGAACTTATCCTCCAGGCCGATAGACTCGCAGAGATCTGGCTTGGTGAGAACACCGATGGTACGGCTGCCGGAGGGGTCGAAGTGGCGAGCTTTGGTGAGAATAGGCGCCTGTACATAATCGGTGTTACCGCCGACGACGGCAAGAATGATGGTTCGCGTCGACTTCATGTAGCGATCGCAAAGCGTCTCGATGGTTTTGATGTCGTCCATGGACTGGTCGTTATTGGCATTCTTAACGAGACCGGGCAAATCGACGAGGGTGAGAAGTGGCATATCCGGGCCGCGCTTCTCAACAACCAGGATGTCGCGGGCGGCGAAGCGACCGGGAATGTTCTTCGGCGCAATCAGCTCGACGGCGGATCTCATGAGCGATTCAAATGACATGTCGGTGTCGACAGCGCCGCCAAACTGCTTCAATCGCTCCTGTTCCCTAAAGTTGCGGTTCTTGTCGGGGATGATGGAGACATTGAGAGTCGCCTCGGCGGACCTCCTCAATCGGATCTCGGTCGCGAATCGTGTGCAAGCGCCAGCGTCGCGGGGGAACGGCGTTCCCGTAATAGCCTCAAGGACTGAACTCTTTCCGGCGGACTGGTCGCCGACGACGACGATCTGCGGGAGCTTGACATTGTCAAGCTGGGCAAACTGCAGCTTGTCGATGAGCTCGAGCAGGCCGCGCTGCTCGTTGGCCATGTCCGCCGTCCCCAGCGCCGAGTCGATGGTCGGAGCCATTTCGCGTTCGGGTCTGGGTGAGACGTTAGCTGTTGAGCGATAGTCACGGCCTGCTGGTGGTGGTGATTCGTACAATGATCCCATCAGAGTCATGCAGTGGTGTCTAAAAAAGAGTCGCGATGTATCTTCTCTATGTGCGAGTAAAAGAGAAAGTTCGAAAAGCAAAGACGTCACCAACGCGGGAAGGGTAGAACAGGGACAGCAAGCCTTTTAAACAAGAGGACCGAACGTATGCCTAGTACAAGCTTATGTGGAACAACGCAGCAGCCCCCAGAGAGACTCGCGTCTGGACCGAACATATCACATGCGCATGCACATCCAATGGCTATGAACGGGTGCCTGGATCTGGCTTCTAAGTCGTCGCAAGGCTGGCGTCGTCAGCTCTCCCATGACAAGTCCCAGTGGCCAAACGGGCGACGTGGGGAAGAAAGCGTAAAAGCTTCGCCTGCCAGGTTGCCACCGGTAGGGAAATATGCAGCAAACACCAGTCATTTCGGATAGCATTCCGTTCTTCATGGATGTTGCTTGGCTGGAGGCAGCCGTCACCGTGTGTTCGGACCCTTTGGCAGTGAAATGAACAGCAAAGATGCCGTCACTTGCGTCTGCGGCTCGGCAAAAAAGACCCAACAATTAGGTGTATCCATACGCGAACAGTCTGGGGGAAGAACAAAACGCAGTGAAAAGACAAGGGGTGCCCGGAGCTCATCCATGTCTGCGCAAAGGGCCACAAGGGCGAAGCCACAGAGTTGGAGACCAAACAAGCTGATGTTTGAATGTCGGACGAATGACGTCGGCCGCTCGGCGCTAGCACAGCCTCATTCTCTCTCGTCCGCAGCACCCGCGGCCAGCGAGACTCGTCTTGTTCAACCCACCCTTCAGGCAAACGGGCAGAGACATCTAGCTCGCATGACGGGGCGTACGCGTCGGAGGCCACTCGTCTGCCAATCAGTCTTCGGACAAGTCCGTGGGATGGCTGGTGGTTTTAGCGAATGAATGAGTTGTCAAGCGAGGAGCGCCAAGTTGGTTTGGTGCCGGTAGTGAATTGTCCAGGAAATGGTTTTGCCACTTGTGCAAGTTGGATTAAGATTTGAATATGCCACCTGTGGCAGTGCAGTCAAGCCACAAATGACTGAATTCCGCTTTTGGACTAGACTATCTTTTGAGATGTGGCTGGAGAAATGTCTGTGGCGAGTGTTTGTGGCTTCGCCCGGCGTCCTCCAGCTTCCTCGACTTCAACCGTGCACTTCATCATCCTTCTGACTTCATCTGTCACCGTTCTGTATGAGCTTCACTAACATGCAGCCGCCATGAAACACCATGAACCCGCCAGCCTACATCACGACCGTTCCAAAAGTCCGTGCCGGCATACCCCTCAGTACGCAAACTCCTGCCCAACAAGCTTCTCACTCAGCTTCCACAACCGATCCGCGTCCACCTCACTCTGCGCCCAACAGTGCACCTCCTCCTTGTACGGATCCGCGACGTGACAGTCATTCACATACACCCCGTTCCGCGCCTTCAGCTCCGGGTCGAACGACGCATAAACGTGCGTCGCAACCCCCTCGTCCAGGTCCTTGGGCCTGAGGTCCCCGATCCCCCACATCCACCTCGTCCCCATCGCCTCGTCCGCGCGCCTGAAACTCTCCATGAACCCCGCCGCGTCCCCCGCCCCGTGCGCCCCGAGGTTCGTGCCGACGTAGCCCGGGCACAGGCTGAACGCCGACAGGCCCCCGGACGACGACGCCCCGAGCCGCCCGGCCAGCGCGAGCGAGAAGAGCGCGTTGGCCGTCTTGGACTGCCCGTACGCGGCCCACTTGCCGTACGTCCTGCCGCCGTCGAAGGCGTGGTCTGTCCAGCGGATCACGCCGAGGCGGTGGCCGCCGCTGCTGACGTTCACGACGCGCGGGTCCGGGGCGGCGAGGATCTTGGGCATGAGGAGGTTCGTGAGGAGGAAGTGCGAGAGGTGGTTCGTCTGGAACTGCGACTCGAAGTTGTCCACGGTGAGGGCGTAGGGGACGGCCATGATCCCGGCGTTGTTGACGAGGAGGTCGATGTGGGGGACGTCGGTCCACGAGTTCACCGTCGAGGCGGCTTCCCGGACTTGGGCGAGAGAGGTGAGGTCTAAGGTGAGCGGCTTTATGGTGATGTCTGGGTGTGCAGCTGCGACGTCGTCGATGAGGGGTTGGAACTTTGTGGGGTTGCGGCCGGCGAGGATGAAGATAGAGGGCTTGGCGGCTGCGACTTGCTTGACGAAGGATTCACCCAGACTCCCCGGCGAGACACCAGTGATGAGGATGGTCTTATTGGCGATGTGAGGTGCGTAGATGGGCACCAGCTCGCTTGCGCGGGTAGTGTCGTCGTAGGATGGCGCCATGTTGTCAGTTTTGCTGCTCCTCGAGTGATCTCGACAGTGCGTTGTGACGATTCCGAGCCTAAGGATTGAGGATGGGCTAATCGGGTTGATGCTTCATGTTCTGGGAATCAATCGCCAGAGAAGCCATTGAAGCTATATACTCGTTCATGTCCACAATCTCCTGATGAACTGATGGACCTCCCTGCCCGTGCCGCGATACTATCGAGCTTGGCTTATTACATTCAACCAATGAGACTCAGCATGATGCTTGATACTGAACCATCCATTGTTACCATTGCGCTTTGCAGCCCAACTTCACGACTCGCATGCTGCCGAATTCGAGGTGTCCAACTGGGCATGTCCGGAGTTAACGGTTCTAAGCGGGTTCTAATGGACGTTGGTGCTGGACTTTCGGGGTTAGAGGACGGAATCACCAACAAAAGAGCAAGGAAATCCGAGTGCAAACGAAAAGTCTTTGTAATATTGTAATTCAAGTTCCATCAACACCGTGTTCCTGCGCCAACCTGCGAAGGTTAATTCCAGCACCCAGATATCAAGGATGGCCCGATGCCGAGTTCCATTTTGCCCGAGCTTACAAACGCAGCAACCCAAGATTTACTGACCCAACAACTCCATCGCCCATTAAAACTGCCCTCAAAACAAAATCGCGCTGTGCCGCACAATCGACGATCCGTGCTCACTTCTTCCGTCCCTGTCCGCTACCCCTCGTAGCGCCAGTAGTGCTCGGCACCGAGCCCCACTGGTATGCCCCACTACCGGAGCCGGCGAACGGTTGGTAGGCGCCGATGTTGCGGTACGGCGCCGCCGAGTCGGGCTCCGAGAGCCAGTTGTTCAGCGCTGCAGACCCGCTGCTTTGTTGATATGTGTAGGTAGCCGGCATTTGGCCTTGATATTGGCGCGGAAGCGAAATGTATTGGGATGAGGTTTGGTTTTGGTTTGCAGACATTTTAGTGGTTGTTTGTCTGGTGAGTTGGTTTCACTAGGTTAGTGAATTGGGCAAGACTCGATGATGGAATGGAGAGTTCGTGGCTGATGCACTGATTGATGGTGATGATGCGGAAACTAGAACACGACTTTCCCTTCAGTACCTTTTTGGTCATTTTATAATTTCCAGATCCTCACAATTTCCTTCTTTCGCTGTAAAAGGACCGCCGCGATCCTCGCGTCCTCCTGAGGAGTAGAGGAGCAGCCTCGAATCCTCAATGAGGAGTGTCGGGTCTCTGCCGCGCAGAATGCCCAGCAGGGTCTTTTTGCGGTCCTTTTATGCGTCGCCCAAATGAAGCGAGATCTAAATCACATAAAAGCCAGAATGTCATCAGTTAAACACCATCTACGTATGCGTCCTGGTCAAAAAGACCGTCGCGGCCGAGACTTTTGCAGCGTATGTTCTGAAAAAGGCAGATAAAAGAACCGGGCATATGGAAAGCCCAAGGCTTCTCCCACACCACCACGTTGCCGTCAGCTACTGCAGGCACAGTCCGCCTACGCCCGAGGTGTGGCAAGATAGCCTCCTTCGTGAGACGGCAGATGATATCTTTTCTCTTTTTTTTTTGCCCGGTCGCCACTGTTGAAAACGATGGCACGCTTGCCTGGTAGACAGGGCAGATGGCACGACGAGTCTTGCTATGCCCCCGTTGGTGTACTTGGCCTCGCTAATGCAGGGTCTTTTTACATGATTGGTCGCCTCAACTTCAGCATCAGCGAGGACGACAGAGAGAGAACCTGAAGCATGTGACCACGGTTGCTTAAAGTACCGCAGGTTGAGCTGCCGTGCTATCGCTTTGAATAGGCATTCGTCTTACGCAACGACCCGATGAGGGTACGAAAACATCTCTGCCTGTCGACCTATCCTACCGGTAGGCAGCATCAAAGAAAGTCAAGAGCAGAAGCTGCTGGTGCAACCCGGAACTTGTTCGTGGTGCCAACAGCAAGTGAAGTAGTCAAGTGAACCTCGACGTCCTTTCATAGGGCTCAGATGTCGGGTTAACTGTACGCGACGCCTCATCAGACACCACATGCACGCAGCGACGAGCGTAAACACGTAGATTGGAGAAAGTCTCCGGGTATCTTATATTCTGCAAGCTGTAAGCAACCTCCTGAAAGGACGGCCAGCAGCACCGCCTATGATACAGACCACATAACCGCAAATGTGGCCATCCCTGGCTCGGCCAGTCACATGTAAAATTCGAAAATCAACTCCTCTCCCATCCAACAGCTCTAAATAACCCCCCAATCGCCTCGAGCACGGTGTCGACCACGGACTTGACGAAGCCCTGGCGCTTGTTCTTGCCGGACGAGTCCCGCAGGGGGTCCTCGCTGCCCATCGTCGGCAGCACGTTGTCGCTCGCGGACAGGCTCACGAAGAGCGCGAAGGGGACCATCCAGACGCAGAGGCCGAAGTAGGACGCGATCTCGGTGAAGGTCGGGATGTCGGGCTGGTCGTAGTAGGAGTGCATGTTGGAGTAGGATCGCTGTTGCGCGGCGGAGAAGTGGCGGAACCAGAGGTAGTGGTTGACCAGCACCAGGACTGTGTGTTGACGTTAGTCTACTTACTCGTGGCGGAAGAAGCTGGAGAGGGTGGTCACATACCGCAAGACGCCAGGAACAGAGGGTCAGTCAGCCTAACGAAGGGGAACCGGCGCATGTTGCCGAGGTATATGACGTGGGAGACGATGCCCATGAGAGTCAACTTGAAGGGGAAACGGTCGACGACGCAGAGCACGAGCTGCAGGACCATAATCGAGTAAATAAGCCTCGTGAGAAAGCGCTTCGCAATCACGGTATGCTCTTCGACGAGCTCGGAGAGGTAGTACAGACCCGAAGCTGGAGGCACATGGCTACGTCAGTATACTGCCAAGGGAGACCCGGGGACAGAAGCCGGGGTGGTAACGAACCGATTGCCAGGGTCAGGAAGCAGAAGCCCACGATGGAGCCCAAGTAGCCGACGAGAGGTAGAATCCACATCTTGACGGTGGTGTTGAATCCTCAAGAAAATAGTGTACAATGTGGCATGAGAAGGGAAGGAGGGGAGTAAAAAAAGAGAGAGTGGAAGTGGTGGTGGGCAATGACAGCTTAGCTCCAGTAGTAGCACATTGTGTAATTAAAGCCAGGCGCATGCACGGGGAACGGGAGGCGCGTCGGGACGGGGTGGGTTCCATTTCGCAAGCGTGGCCTTTGCGCCGGAGTCTCGGAGCAGCTCTTGATCCGGAGGGCGGAATGACGGAGTGGTTGATAAGATAAGAAAAGCCCCACCTGTCCCTCCAAACTTCTTATCTTATCGATAGCTATCCGCCTTTGCGAATTTTGAAGATTCCCACGACACAAAAATTCACCGCCAAAGTTGAATGCGCCGACGAGCCGATCGTGACCTCTGATCGCATAGCTCCTTCCTGCCGCCGCTAAAACTCTTGTATCAAACGCGATTCACTAGGATCTGCCCATCATGTCGCGCCCTGAGGATACCCTGTAAGCCAATCCCCTTCTCCTCCAACCCCGCCCTCAAGACTGACCTCCCCTCCCAGCGCGGCCGACATCCACTACGATGACACCGAAGCGCGCAAGTACACGACGAGCTCCCGTATCCAGAACATCCAGGCTTCGATGACCCGCCGCGCCCTCGAGCTCCTCGACCTCAAGCACCCTTCCCTCATCCTCGACGTCGGCTGCGGCAGCGGTCTCTCCGGCGAGATCCTCTCCGCCGAAGGCCCCGAGGACGGCGGCCCGCACACCTGGGTCGGCATGGACGTGTCCCCGTCGATGCTCGATATCGCGCTGCAGAGGGATGTCGAGGGCGATCTGCTGCTGGCCGACATCGGGCAGGGCGTGCCCTTCCGCGCGGGATCCTTCGACGCCGCCATCAGCATCTCCGCAATCCAGTGGCTTTGCAACGCCGAGAGCAGCGATACATCCCCCGAGGGCCGTCTTACCAGATTTTTCAACGGGTTGTACGCTTCATTACGTCGTGGCGGGAGGGCCGTGTGCCAGTTCTACCCCAAGAACGACACCCAGCGCAACATGATTACCCAGGCGGCTGTCAAGGCTGGCTTCGGTGCCGGTCTGCTGGAGGACGATCCCGAGACGAAGAATGTTAAGCTGTATCTGGTACTGACGGTCGGTGGTACCGCTGAGGGTGGCAAGGGCGGTGACATCACCAACGTGATCCACGGCATGGACGACATCAACGTCGAGGACGCCAGGCGGAAGGCGAGTGACAACAGCGGCAAGGGGGAGATCAAGAAGGGCAGCAAGGCATGGATTGTCAAGAAGAAGGAACAGATGGAGAGGAAGGGAAAGATTGTCAAGGCCACGTCAAAGTACACGGGCAGGAAGCGCAATGTCCGGTTCTGAGGGGGCATGGGATCGGGGCTGGTTTGTTGGGGATGACGACGCATGGCATGGCGTTTTGGGTGATAGGAAAATTTGCTTTTTTTACTTGGAGATCGAATGCGAATCAGATACCCTCAGTCAGATACAAGGCGGTCACGATGGGAGCAGGCCTAGTTTATGTCATTGTCTGAGTGTATCGTGCCATCGTGCCATCATCGTGGGCATTTTCCGTTATGAATTTCTGAGGGAGGAGCTGGCAGCGGTTTCCAGCTATCTGTGAGTAATGTTTCATGTTCTGTGAACTGAGTTCTTATCTGGCGTTGAAGGTGACGCAAGTGAGAGACTTCAGCTGCCGGAGGCCGACAATGACGAGGCATCATTCCCAAGGAAAGATTCAAAGAAGCAAATTTTTGCCGCCCAGGAACTCGTGGTTTGAGGTTCGACACCACCCGAGAGCAATACTCCTGCCGAGAATATAAGGACCTGCCAATCCGTGAAATTCAGTTTTATGACTTTTGTCATCAAAACCTATCTCAACTATTCTTGATCAACTCAGCTCATTTCACCAAATCCCAATAACAGCATCATGAAGCTATCTCTTGGTCTTTCAACCCTCGCTGTTTCCCTTGCCGCTCAATCCGCTATGGCAGGTCCTTTGTCATACGGAGTCTGCCAGGCCGGCTGCGCCGGTGTCGTGGCTGCCTGTTATGCCGGTGCCGGTGCCGTCTACCGCCGGCGCGGCAGCCCCACCGGCCATCATCGCTTGCAATGTTGCATTCGGGAAGTGCCAGGCTGCCTGCGCCGCTGTAGCTTTGGCCCCGTGTCCCTGACTATTTAACATGGTCGCATCCATGGCTGTTGAGTCCTGGCTTTTTCCTTTGCTTCAAAATCAAGGCCCTCCCGGCGTAAGCATCCTGATTTCTGACGCCGGATTCGAGCGTCTGTGACTGACCTCTTCTCTCAGGTTATCATACCACCTGCGCCACCGAAGCCGTGGCCGACTTTTAAGGCAAGGGGTGCCAATGCTGCAAGGGAAGAACAATCGTGGGATCCGGAGGATGGGAGCCGGGATGTTGCAGCCATGGGGGCATAATCGTGTTTGGTCTATTTGAAAGTACATCCAACGAAGTAAACTTGAGCCAAATCAGCCTTTGAGGTCTAATCTGTATATGGTTTGCGTGAAAAGATTGAAGCTTCCTCAGTCATAGATCGCGTCATTGGTCAATACTCGCCATCTAGCCCTCATGTCGATACCAACAATGCTCTCATGATTAGAAATCAGGAAGAAGATTCCAGGCTTATTCAGACGAGGAGTTGCGTCAGAGTCTAGATGGTGCCATCGTCGGTTGACGAAAAATCAATGAGATGAGTGGACGAATGTTGGGATTTGACCTTATTCAAGATCCGGTGGACACCATGTCCAAATGAACTCCACATTGTGCAAAAGCTACCTTACTTGCCTTTTCACGATTGCATTCAAATTCGATTCGTTCAACTTCTCTTCAGTCGAGCTTATCATAAAAAATACAATATGCTCCTGTTGCTATGGTGCCCGAAACCTCATCCTCCATACACGTATCCCACGCGGCCCTTCTGGTTGAATATATACGACGAGATACAGATTCTGACCATGGCTTCGGTGGTGCAGGGGGTATGATGATCTAAGAGCATGACTGGTCAGATACGTTCAGCTAAGATTGCTAGAGTACCTTACATACGCATCTTTTCAGCGGCGAACGACACATCTTGTCCAGTCGTACGGGATTCGAAGCCGAGGCCATGGCGGGAGAGACTGCTCCAAGGCAAACAATAACGATAGGTAGTGTCAAAGATGGCTTCATGATGCGGTTATTATCGTGGAACAGGAGTCGATTCGTTCGTCAACAGTTGAAACGTTTTCTGACAGAAAAGGTGTGGATGCTCATTGGCGTTTCAAGGAGTCTTATCACCTGGCTGCTCATTATATACACAGAACAACAAACACCCGGAATGACGTGGTGATCAGAGGTGCGCCCTCATAGACGAAGTGAACCTGAGGGATATATTTCTTTTGGAATGCCGTCATTGACGGCCTCCGGCAGCTAAAGTCTCGAGTCAAATATTTTGCAACCACATAAAGTACGAAACGTCGCTAGGTACTCGAACGAAGAACATAATCCCTCATCTCCTCTGTCTCTCTCCGTTTCTCCCGAACCCCATCTATCACTATTAACGATGAAGATCAGTCACGTCAAACACATACTGATTGCTATCAGTATCCCAATTGCCGCTGCCAATCCATGGCCATGTTATGGAGTTTGCCAGTACGGGTGTGCATCGTTGGTCACGGCATGCTACAGCGCAGCAGGGTTTGGCTGGGGGATTACCGCGGTGGTGACTGCCCCTCTCGCGGTGAAGGCATGCAACCTTGCTTTTGGCAAGTGTGAGAAAGGATGTGCTACCGTTGCTGCTCAGCTATGTCCGTAAGTGGCAATGACTTGGTTCAAGGTTCAAAGGACAGACTTTGTTAACCGTTCTTAATGTAGGTTGCCACAACAGCGTGGTGGGCTTTAGATGTGCCCGCATGCTTGGGGAGGAAACTTCAGACACGGCATAAATAATGTTGTATTGGATATGCTAATCGGTCTTTACTATGTGGTTGCATCCGATTCTGGGTAACTTCAATGAGAGAGAATCTTCTGCCAGAGATCGGTCGTCCGATGACGACGTAGACATTTTCTCACGTGCAGTGACAGGATCTGCCCTGTAATGTGGTGTTAAAAATGAGAAGTGCTCATACTTTTATAACGGCAATTCTTAGCTCTTTACTGATTTCCCATCTTGCGAATTAGGAAGCGTTGATATCTGTCGTGTGCTTTCTCTTGCTCATTTATGATTTTCATATTACTGGTTTCCTTCAACCTTCACATCTCACTTTTCCGTACCGGTCTCTTAGTGCCATCTGGTTCGTGGGTTTATATGGTGACGAAACCTAGCCTTCAGTTCCCAATATTCGGACCATTTGTTAGCAACATGACCACGATGGACCTTGACTTCCCTTACAGCGAAATCCTAAGCACAGGTGGAAAGAGGTAGCGGCTAGAAAACTCGCACTGAACTCATTGAATATCACCGTACCAGCGGTTGGGTATTTATATGATATTGAACCATGATTGTTTAGATCCATCTCTTCACACGTGCTTCCAGCAGTCGTTGATGGTGTCAGCAGGCATTTCCTAAGATGGCAAGTAGCTCGTGGCTGGACCCCTGAAAGCCGAGGCGTTCCCTGCCACAGCAACCCCCCAAGATATCCCCGCAAACATCAGTGAATGGCGGGCGCGTCCACACCACCTGCTCGCGGGGAGAATATAAAGTGCTGATAGCGCGTGAAATCCCCCACTTCGCGTCCGCTCATCGTTCATCCTCCCGCATACCCCAGATTCTTCCACTTCGCCTTGACCTTCGACGGGTTGCGTTTGTTCTTGCATTTTGCTAGCCGGCAACCTTTTTAATCGTCGAATTCAATTTAATCAGTTTTCGTTAATCGTAATACCTCCCTTCCTCTCCATTTCCAGCACATCACGACAACATCGACGATGACGTCGGACGGCTACACCCATGTTCCCCCGCCATGGAAGCTCAAGGGCGACATCTACCTCTTCAGCTTCTGGACGCCGCAGAAGCAGGCGGAGCACCCGCCGACCATCACATACTCTCCCCTCGAGGCGAACTCCTCGTTCGTCTCCCCGGTGGGAAGCAAGCCGCTCGGCGGAATCAGCATGATCCAGATCATACGCTACACCGAGAGTCCGGTAGGACCCTATGACGAGCTGATCCTCAGTCCCGGCTTCCACGAGTACACCGTCGAAGAGAACGGAAAACGAGTAAAGAAGAAGAATGCCAGGATCACGAGGATATACGTGTCGCAGAAGCATACTTGCTGGAACGGCCGAAAGAGTAAGTTCCGTCCTGGATTGTTCCTGCCTGATGAAATGCTAACCCAAAACCAGACTGGAACATCCCGAAGCACCTCGCCGCCTTCGAGTGGAAGTACGACCTGGACGGTAGCACACACGTGAAGGTCTTCCCCCACGACACGGCCGGCGACGTCAGCGAAGCCTCGGCAAGCACGACGCCGCTCTTCCAAGCCACCTTCAAGCCCGTCCCCTACGTCCCCTCATTTCCGCTGTCACTTAACGTCTTGTCGTATGTCGGACTCGACGCCACTCTCGTGCAACCTCCGCTACCGCAGGGCAAGGGCAGCCAGGGCGAACTTCCGGGCACCGATCGCTGGTGCAGCGTCGCGCCGGGCCAGTATACGAAGAAGGCGAGCCTGGGATGGTTTGATATCCGGCAGGCTGACGAGAAGGGGAATTTGATCGGGGAGCATGAGAACTTCTGGCCTGGTCTCGGGAGGTGGCAGTTGGGTATCAAGATGGAGAATTCTGACGTGACCTTTGCGGAGCCTAAGCATTGGGATGCGCCCAAGTCTGTCTTGTAGGATATGACAGCTCGCTGAGCTCAGTCAAATTGCTCCGGTGGATCGGCTGTCTATTGCTACCCAGCTGCAGGATGTAGCTTGAGACAGATCCCAATACTACAGATATGACGATGGTGACGTTCTTCGCATTTGAATGCACTTCATGTACAATGTAGGCGATTCCGAATGATCGAGGCCACGACATGCCACAGGATCAGCAACATGTAAACCTTGTAAGCTGGCATCTACCGGGTAGTTAAATCGATTTCGATCGCACACTTAACTCATGTTACAGGCAGTAAAGCATAGCATGTGATGTGGAATGTCCGAAATTCAACATTCTACATGCCTGGCAGAGTTTATAAGAAGCTACTCCACGGCAACGGAAGAGGCAAGTGGCCGTGGAGTACCTAAGGTACCCATCCATAGACAACTTGTTCAGAGAGAGGAATGCAGCATACTGAGACCTGAGGCTTCTGATTGCTTTACGGCATTCTAGGCTTATTCACATAGATGTAATCCGAATCCTCTTGAAGATTATTAATCATCAAAGCTGACGGTTTGCGTAGCTTATGCCACGGCCCGCTATGTAGCCAATTACCTACCGAGAACTGAAGATTTGATATGGCGCGCTTAACATCGAGATAAGGGCTAGTGAAAGATTCTCACCTAAGCTATGAACCAACTGACCCAGGCCGAGCTGTGAGGCCGACGGATCTCCAGTTGGCTGGCTATATCACATGAACTTGGCAACTAGCATGTGGCGAAAGCAGACCTGAACACTCTTCGACGTCTGCAATCTAAGCTTCCATGAAACTAACTTCATTGCTCAGTAACCGCAATAAGTCCAGAGGGAACTCCTTCTCATCACCGCCGAAGACCATATCAGGGCTCGTCCCACTCACACCAGACTTCGGAGACAGAGCCAGGGGCCTCCGTTCAGGTGCAGGGTATGGGGTCTGCAGTCTCGGCCTGCAAGTCCAGGCTCCACGATCGTGTCGTATCCCACGAGGCAACGTCTCATCCAAATGACTTGCATCCATACGCTCGGACATTGTCAACGTGGGAGCAGGATTCTTGCCGCACGCGAAGACAGGGACATGAAGTGGAGTACGCATCAAACGAGGGGAGCTCGGGACGGGGCTAGGCGTTCTCAGGTATCTGTGAAGGATCACTGTTTGCGTACTGGCGGCACAGAACGGTGATCGCTCTTCATAGAAGCCGTTCAAGCAAGGTTGGTATCACGAGAAAGTGTGTGTTTTCAGATTCGATTTCAACTTGGCGAGCCGAGAGAGGAACTTGACGTGGTCATCAATCATGACTTCAATTATCTGAAGCTATCACAACGCTTTTGCTAAATGCTTTTCCAAAAACGACATCTATGCCCTGACTCTCTCCTGGCCGACCTTGGCGGCGTGCTCCAGACCCTCGGCAACCTCGTTGGGGACGGAAAGGAAGGGGGAGTGGGAGGCCTTGCAGCTGTAGGTGAAGCCGTTGGGGCCGAGCTGGGCGGCCATGCCCTCCTGGATGGCGAGGGGGATGGCCTTGTCCTCCGTGCAGAAGAAGTACATGGAGTCGATCTCGTGCCAGGGCTCGTGGGTGACCTCGTCGTCGAAGACGGCGGCGGACTGGTGCTCGAGGAGGGAGATGGCCTTCTTGCAGGCCTCGGGCTCGACGTCGTGGTAGAAGATCTCCTCGGGAGTGAGGGCGTGGACGTATTGGCCCTGGGAAACGAAGTCAGTTGTGTGAACTTTCATGAGATTCTGAATACAGCGCTGGCTGTACAACGTACCTGGAAGTTCATCCATGGGAGGAACTGGCCGCCGAGCATGGCCTTGATGGACTTGCCGGCGGGGACGACGAAGGCGCTGAGGTAGACGAAGGTGATGACACCGCCCTTCTTGCCCTCCTTGGCGCGCTGCTTGTAACCCAGGCCCTCGACGGCGTTGGCGCCGACCAGACCGCCGTAGGAGTGGACGACCAGAACGACCTCCTTGCCCTCGTCGGCGAGCTTCTCGACAACGGCCCTGACGGCGGCGGCGTCGTCGTTCAGGCCCTTGGTAGGGGGCTCGGCGCCGACGGAGGGGTACTCGACGGCGACGGCGGGGTAGCCCTTGGAGCTCAGGATCTGCTCGACGGGAGCGTAGCTGGGCGCGGCCTTGTGCCACGCACCGGGCGCGAGAACGAAGGTGGGCTTCTCGAAAGACATGATGTTGGATGTGAAGGTTGAGATGTTCGGGAGATTCGCGGGAGGATTTTATGGCTCGGCAGGAGAATTTCAGAAAGCTTGACGATGTTCACGAGCAGAACGACGAAGCGGTCAGATCTTAAATAAATAACATCTAACCAGATACGACGACCCGTTCATCTCAATTTGTTGAATAGCTCCCGTTTGCCCCTCCTCATGCCATCCCCTCTCTGTATTCGTAACCCTGTGGCCCCGGTATCATCCTTGCCTAGGCACTGAGGCGCGACGGCGATTGACCCAACACGGAACTCGGAAAACCCTGGAGCTATCCACAAACACACGGCACTTGTCTCCTAGTTCTTGCAAAGTCGAGGCTGTCGGCGGGCCCCAGCGACTCATGAGCTCGCAGTCGCAGCGGAGACTCTTCAACCAGGCCACCACCCAACGGGGTGACATCGTGCAGTGAATGGGGCCGAATAGACGACCGATAGGGGTCTCTTTCCACTTTCAGGGGGAGGAGCGTGCGCAAACGTCAAGGTATCAGGGGTCTGGGGTATCGGGTTCTGAGTGCGACTCTGTCGGCTTCTGCCCTTGTCGATTTCTAAGAAATGCTCTCGATGTTTCGCGTCTGCTTACCGAGAATTTCCTGAACTGCTGAGACGATGTTGCAGTCAAGTGGCTCTCACTTCCCCTTTGAAGCTGTCGCTTGACGTGGTCGCGGTTAATTCCACGTGTCGCACATGCATGTTCATCGGATGCCGGGTTCAGGGATATGGGTTGCAAACGGCGATCGATGAGGGGGGACTTGAACCTGGAATGACACGATGGCGCAACGAGGAAACAGAAGAAGGCATGATTGATAATTCCTCTTCAATCCCTTTATCGCCATGGGTGTTGTTTCGACTTCATTCTCACGATGATAAATCTCCCATGAAGACGCATTTCAAATCAGGCCATAGCCCGAGCATTCACCTCCACGGTGTTTGAGAGGATTGGCAAAACTTGGCTGTGAACCCGGTCATTGGGGCCGGCGTGTGGACACGGCGACAACAGCGCAACGAGAGTGCACACCGCTCGACTTAGGATCCAAAATAGGAGTAGATGATCGTCGAGACCCCAAGTTGAATTGGTTTTACGATTGATATGCTCATTGTTTGGGGACTGAGGTACCTGGGGACTGAGGTACGTAAGCAAAGCGCATTATTGTTTGGGAACATTCCGTCTGTCAGAGAAGTGTGAACCCTTGCTGCGGCAGTTCTTGTCGATCACTGTCCAAATCAGACCGAAACCGAATGACATGGGTATTCTCAACAAGCTGTCGAGAACTTGAAGTGGAAACTGCTGGCATTCATAAAGAACACCTGGCATTTACGTCTACTCAATGGGAAAAGGAGCATCAGTTTGGTAAAGAGGAATTACTCGTTCCGATTTGTGTTTTTGTCGGGTCGTCTGAGACAGTCGCAGCGATCTGAATCTTCGTGCATCAACGCAGACTGTAGTCCAAAGTCATGAAGAAAGGGTAAAAGTCTCAGGCTAGCGACACCAATGACAGTTTCGACTTTAAGTCTGGAGGAACAAACCACTGATAAAAGACAGGACCTTTGCGCGGAACTGAACAACTAAATCAAAAGCCCTGTTGTCTGAAGCGCCAAATGCACCCGGCCGTAAATAAGCCATGGTTGCCCAAATAAGCTGTTCTTCGAGATGTCATGAATTGATCATGAGGGATGTGATCTAGAGAGGCTTGCTAGGAAGAATGAGGTCTCTGATTATATTTACCTTGCTGTATACGTTCAACTGAACCTTCACAACACATTCTGAATAACTCATCATTTCTCCCGTGCGTTTGAGCTAAAAGAAGTTCTAGTTGTATCAACCTGCGAACAAGCTCTTGTGACATTGTTATCGCGTTTTGGTCTAAGACTTTAACTTACCTATGAAGTGTAATTTTATGCATCAAACCTCTGATTGTTGCAACTAAGAATATTGGGTTGCGGTGGCTCATGCTGGAGCAGCGCCAATGGCAGTGTCAAGTCAATTTGATCTTGCTTCTTTGAGTGGCATGAGTTCCTTTGATTACAAGGTAGAGACAATCGAGTTGAGAGAGCTTTTCTTGATAAGCGCTGAGACGGTGGTGGCTGTGACATGCGCCAAGTTTATGTCATCTCCCATCTTTCGTGTACGTTTTGATGTTTCAGGTGGGTTGAAACGGTAAGACTCTAAAGGAACTACACATCAATCATATGGACTGTCGCGGGGTCAGAGGGAAAGAATGCAGCAAAACGTTTCACTGCTTCACTGTTTCACAGCACGGCTTGTCATTCATACACGATTGGCTCAAAATCAATGTCAGCATTTGATTCACACCCAGCAAATGGATAACCGCCACATTCTGATGACATGCAGCTGCCAATGTGCCAGTTCACCTAAACGGCTAGCGTCTCGGCTGTGAGAACCATCTGAGGCTGGAAAAGTACCGTCGTAAGCTGGAGGACGCGTGATAGGGCTTACATAGGCAGCACACCGCAGCCTTCTTTTAGCCTGCAGCTGCAGGCGGCCTGGTGTTGGGTCTAAAACTATTTTAAGTACGAGACTGTCCCCCGATCGCCCGTGCTACCTGCAAGATTCTTTTATTCTTGACTTACTTCCAACGCCATTTGATGTGATGAAGTGTGTCTGACCTCAGATCATGAGCGACGTCTTGAGATTCGCAAAAGCCTCGTTCCTTTCTGGGGCAGGCGATTCTCCAGGAATCAGCGACTTCCTAGAACGCAGCGCGCCAGGCTTTGGAGCCTTACAGAGATTCTTTTCGAGGTGGCTGAGACTAGACCTGACGACAATCGTACTTCTCATCTCATTCGGCGGTGACATCCCGAATGCGTTGGTCGGGTTGCAGAAGTTATGGACTCAGATCTACTGGTGGATCACCCGATTCTTCACCGCCTCGATTTCAATCGCAAGTAACGACAAACTCAACAGAGAGGTGCTGAACTGGCTCGGCGCCCACGTGCTCACCCGAAAAGGCACACGAATCCTGACGGCACGTACTGAGGTTATCCGGAACGATGCTTGGTACGACAGGAAGCCGGTCGAGCGCGACGATCTTCACCATGAGAAGAGGATCCCGGTTCAGTACTTGCCGACGTTTGGCACGACTTGGTTCTTCTATGAGGGAGGATTCTTTATGGTTCGGCGAGTGCCTCTTCGGAGTGTCGGCGGCAACTTTGGCATCCCAGATGAATTCTCCGCCGCACCACAGGGCGATGAACCGCTGGTTGTCATGAGACTCGGTCGGTCGATCAAACCTATCAAGAACTTCCTCGACAACTGCAGAGACTTTGCAGACAAACAGCGCGAGTCGTTCATCACTGTACGAGCGACTAAGAACCAATACGGGACGGAGTCTTGGGACACAACGATCCTTCGCCCGATCAGACCATTGGAGACGGTACATTTTGACGAGAAAACGAAGGATGAGCTGGTTAGCGACATTCAAATGTACTTGAACCCGGCAACGAGAAGCTTCTACACCGAGAGAGGAATACCGTACAGAAGAGGCTACCTCTTCCACGGGCCACCAGGCACTGGCAAGACATCACTTGCCCTCGCTCTCGCAAGTCATTTCAGTCTCGAGCTCTACCTCGTTCACATACCAAGTATCCGCGGCGACGGCGATTTGGAGAACCTGTTCACAGCACTCCCGCCGAAGTGCATTGTACTGTTGGAGGATATTGATGCAGTGGGTATCGAACGACGGAAGAAGCTCGACATTGATAGTGACTCTGACGATGACGGCGCCAGCGATACCAGCAGTGAACGGGACTTTGGCAGGTGCCGGTGCTCTTTATCCGGCCTGCTAAACGTCTTGGACGGAGTCGCATCCCAAGAAGGCCGCATTGTCTTGATGACGTCGAACGTAGCTCACAAGCTCGACAAGGCGCTTGTCCGGCCTGGACGCATCGATCAGATGATATACCTCGGAAACATATCACACCAGAGCGCCAAAGGCATGTTCGACCGGATGTACCGACCCCGTTCCTCGACCGAGCTATCGGCATCAGGGAAAGGACTTGGACTTCTGCCTCAGCAAAAGGATGAGTTTGATGTTCTGGGAGAGAAATTCAGCCAAAAGATCCCAGAGAAGATCTTCACGCCGGCACAACTTCAAGGATTTCTCCTTAAATACCGCGGGGCGCCAGAGACTGCTGTTGAACGAGTCGCCGAATGGGTCGTCGAGGAAAAAGCCATCATGGATGAGGCTCAGCGGCGTAAGAAGGCGGAGTCTGCAAGGAAGGCCAAGAAAAAGAAAGCCTTGAAGATGAAGGCCCTGAAAGCTCTCGTTTCCAGCCAAGAAACCGACACCGGAGACGCAGCATCCAAGGCCGAGAAGCCGAAGAAGGCATCTGACGATGTGAAGACCGAAGCAGGGGCAACCGACGAGACCCAGACTACCAACGGCGAGAGCCAGCCAGATTCCGAGGTTCTCAACGTCGAAGAGGACACAGCCACCAACGGTTTGAACGGTGTTGAGGAGGGGGATGTGTCATAGTGGGGGCGTTATTGGGACTTTGGCATCCATGGATATCGGCATGAAGCAAGGCGTTCAGGTATAATCTGTTGGTTCAATCCATACTTGATATTATTCTTGTGCAATTCCACCTTGAATCATCCAACCTGTTGCCTTAAATAGCATAGTCTCGTTCTGTTGGCCATGCAGGCAGCCACACTAATCTACCTTAGTTTGCGGCACAGCAGGGGTAGCGCGCGTCCGACCTCAGTAAGCATAAATGAATCAACCGTGTTTTTAAACGAGATAAAGATCAAATTTCCTTCTCCAACATCCTGCTGTATTGTGCCAAAGTCATGGCCGATGGATCTTTCTAGTTCTTTGTCCCTTGGTAATTATTGAGGGCCGTTTCTGGCACTCGTTTGCAGCGTTGATTCAGTCATTCTTCCACCGCAACCAATCTAGCCCGAAACCCCAAATCTTACTTGTCACTACTCAAACGCGTCAAAACAGACACTTTGGTGGTGATATTCCTTCGGAATTATGAAGTCCTATGTGTCGGCCGTCTCGGGCGCCTTGCTTCTGCTGGGCACCCTACCCGGCACCATCGCTGAACTCAAGATCAGCTCCGGCGACGAAATCATTACATCCTCCAGCAAGCTAGCCAAGGATCTTTTCACCCTCTACGATGGTGACAAGCCCGGCAAAGCCCCTGGCATTCTTCCCGGACCGCCTCCGTATGGCGGAGGCGACTACTACTACATCCAGGGCGCCGGTTTCTGGCAAACTTACATCGACTACCAGCATCTGACTGGCGACGACTCCTTCCAGGACAGTATCCTCAAGGGTTTAGCCCACCAGATTGGCCCGAACGACAACTACTTGCCTCCAAACTCCACACTGGAAGCAGGAAACGATGGCCAGTGCTTCTGGGGTTCGGCGGCTCTGCAAGCCGCCGAGTACCAGCTTCCAAATTACGACGGCAGAGCTTCGTGGATCGAGCTAGCGAAGAATGTTTGGACGGAACAGAGCTCTGATCTTCGTCAGGATGGTACTTGCGGCGGCGGATTGCGTTGGCAGTTTGCCTCTTTTATCGAAGGTTATGATTGGAAGCAGGGTGAGTAAGGCGAGCCGCTTATCTGAAAAACAATCACTCAATTAAGTCGAAGCGACCGCGAACGCGTGCCACCTCACAATGGGCGCCCGTCTCGCCAGGTTTACCGGGAACGCCACCTACGCCGAGCATTCTGAGAAGACGTGGGACTGGCTGAGCAACGTTGGCCTCATTGACAACAAAACGATGGCTGTGTACGACGGCACCAGTGTTGAAAAGAACTGCACCAACATCAACAAGGCCCAGTGGTCTATGAACGTCGCATCTCTCGTAGAGGGGGCAGCGTTTATGTATAACTTCGTAAGTTTATCGGAGATTCACTTTATGCGTACCTAAACCATATGTAATGCAACAGACTCTGACTCTTCTTCAAGACCAACGGCTCGGATATCTGGCGTGACCGCACCCAGAAGCTCACCGACTCTCTTCTCAAGACGTTCTTTCCCAAGGGCATTGCCTATGAAGTTGCTTGTGAGAAAAAGAAGGGTGTCTGCCCCGTCGACGCCCTCTTCATGAAGGGATACGTCCACCGCTGGCTTGCCGTCGCGACCCAAGTCGCGCCATTCCTTTCGGAAAAGGTTCTCCCCGTGCTCAAGACTTCAGCCGAAGCCGCGGCCAAGCAATGCAAAGACAGCGATAACGGCACCACAACCTGCGGCTTCTACTGGAGCGATTCCAAATTCGTTGACCCTCGAACTGCAGACGACACCACCGGTGTTGGTGAGGGCACCAGTGTGTTGAGTGCGATTTCGAGCTTGCTCATCAACGACGCAAAGGTTCCGTTCACCGAGAAGGACGAAGGTAGCAGCAACGGTGGCTCAGGAGGTTCTGGCTCGGGCGGCTCCGCGACTGGGACTGGGACTGCGGGCCCGGCCTCGCCGACGGAATCGCCTTCAGGGGGAGGTCGCTTTGCAGTGGATATGAAGTTGTCTCTGTTGGTTGGAACGATGGCAGCTTTTGCCTGGGCCATTTGAGTGTTTAAAACGCGACCTGGATAAAATTATCATTTGACTAAGTAATTGAACCGTTGAACGCGGCATCACCATGAGACTTTGAGCTGCAGTCCATTGATCACGTGGAAAATAAATATGTCAAGCGCACATGTCTTATGGAAAGTCTCATCTAAACCTCATTGAAATGCTTTCATTGAGTCTCATTATGGCAGAAAACCTTTCTTTGCCAACCTGTAGTCATGGGCGTGCCAAATACCAGAAAAGCCCAATCTAAACTCCAGTAAGCCATCATCAACTAAATATGCTCGGATGTCGCTCTTTGAGCAAACATTCCTGTGTCCCAACTCCGGGATCATAGACGCGAATAGCGCGAAGCGAGTGCTGTTCTCCTCCATGACTCGGTTGATCACCTATGCGTGATTCGACCTCCCAAATATTCTTGCGTATCTTGAAGAATGATTCCCGAATCCTCTTCCGTTTCAATCAAATACCTCGGCACAGCCGCCGATCCCAAGCCAATCAAAGTGTTATGCATGTCTTTGGGGTTGATAGTATCCTTCGAGTAGTGAGCATGTAAACAGTCGCTCGGCAAAGCTTGCTCAACGTCCATAGTGTAAGAGTGGTAGTCAGAAGGCACGGTTGACACCACGTCGAATACAGGCTCAAAGTCCACGTATGAGGCGCTGCCCAACTCATCAAAGTCGTCAACCGTGCCGGACTGGGAGTATGTTTGGTAGTCTTGTTGCATTTGCATGACGGAGTAGTCTGCATCTGTCGTCTTGTGTCGTGTCTTGGTGCTGCGTGTGATGTTGGTCGTTTGGACTTGATGCCCAGAGGGAGTGGCCATGGGCATATCGTCCATGCCTTCCCAGTTGGCGTCTTGGTAGTCCGCGAGTTGGTATGACTGCGCAGAACCATAGCCGCTGCCGTTGCCGAGCGTGCGGCTGTATCCGCCCGAGGTGGCGGAGGGATACGCGCTCGAGGCATCCGTGGAGGGAGATGCGCCGGCGCTGGAGTCTGAGACGTGGCGATACTCTCGAGACCTGTCGGAGTCGGTATCGCTGCCGTCGGAATCGTATGTGTGTGGTGAGGTGGCGTAGCCCCTTTCCCAGCAGCCTCGTTCCCAGCTGTCGACCGCTCTCTCCATGGCTTCAAACATGAGCTGGGCGGGCAGTAGACAAGGCATGTAAGAGTCGTGATCTTTTCAATCAGTCAGCAAAAAGTCAAGAGACTCTGGTGTGCAAATGATCTTACAGATTTCGACCCTCTTGGCCCACTCTTCCTGTCCCGGGAAGAGCTTCATGAGAAGCTTGTGTCGGTACTTGTAGTCCAAGGACTGACCGGTGGCCCTGACCGACAAGTTCTCCAGGACACGATGCTGGTCTTCCGTGAGCAAAGGTGGCTCGTAGGGCGACCAGATCTTGGTGCAGCTTCGCGCGTGCGATGACTTGGACTCAGCAGGCTTAGAACCGTATCTAGCGCCGCAGTTGTGACATTGCTTGTCACTTCTCAGATGCACCCTCTTGATGTGTTCGCTGCAGGCTGTGTGAGCCAAGACCCCTGCATTACCCGATTTGGAAAAGGCACTTACATGAGCTTTCCGATCCCACCCTTGATGTTTCCATCAGTGCAAGAGTTTCTGACGTGGGTAAAAGATGCCGGGTCTCTGATGAAAAGAGGACAAGCCAAGTTGACGCTCTTCTCGTCAACGTTGGCATTGGAATGCCGATGCAGCGGAAGACTCATCTCCCTCCTGAGCTCGGTCAAGAGGAAGTTCTTCATGCCAGAGAGCCCAACAGGCGACTCTGGTGTCATCTGCTGCTGGATGATCTCGATGGGGACGTTGGTAGTGAGCTTTGGGCGCTTGACTTCGAGAGCCTGCTTGCCACGGCTGTGACCAGCGGACTCACGGCTTCGCTGCCGAACTCGCTTGTTCTCTCCCATGGCTGCTAGTGGACCAGAAATGCCGGCTCTGCTGCGGGTGGTTTGGGTCCTGGAAGGAGTCGACGTTGTTGGTCAAGTGCTTGAGTTGATCGATTCGCTGAGCGTAATGCTGCTTGGTCTTGGACTCGGACCACTCAGTTGCTTCAGCAAGCTTCACAATAGTTGCGGGAACGGCGTCTTGCTGCTCCCGAACCCAGTCTTCGGTGAGACGGTTGCTTGGTCCGATGAACTTGGGGTCCCTGCGGACGACTGCGTCAAGTGAAAATGAGGGCTGCGATTGCCGACTAAATTTACTTGACGATCTCGTAGATCTGTTCGAATCGATACAATGATTAGCCTGTGTACTCTTGAGAACGACGAGTATTTCGCTGCCAATGATTGACCAGCTTACACCTGATTGGGGGTTGGCTCACCTCTTTGGCGTGTTGTTGAGCACCATTCGGTTCAAGTCAGATAGACATGAGAGTAGCCATCAACCCTGAACACGACACAGGAGGACACACACGCAACACAACCACGAAAAAAGTCGTTCAAAGAGACGAGAGAAGAGTCGTACCTAGCTCAGGACATTGATTGAGGTGAATTGAGATGAGAAAGAAAGAGAGATCGCGGTGGATTGCTCAACGGGGCGGCTTACGACTAAGAAGCAATCCCTCGATCGCAATTGCGATCGGGGCACGGCGGAGCCGTCCGCCACTCCCAACAAGTGCCGTTAGTCGCAATTGAGAACGTACAAAAGGGTCAAAACCGGGGATATCGTTATCATGAGGTGTCCAGAAGAGCATGATACGATCTGATGCATTTTCTGCCGACTGCGGGTTGTACGACATGGCTTCGGAGGGGGTCTTGAATGACGGCTTGGCGTGGTGGTTCTTAGTGTCAGACTTTTTCAAGAGTATGGTATGAACAAAAGGCTTCGGCTTATGGGCAGTTTCAACAGCCTGACTTGACAAACTATACAGAAACAAGTCTTTCAGAGTAGTCTCTCGATGATTGGTCTCGCAACGTCGAGGATTGATTCGCTCCGACGAGTTGCACAATGCCTGGCGTCGAAGCGAGGTCTGAATACCATGTGCCCGGACTTTGTACTCATCCCCAGATGTCCATGGGCCAACCGAAAGGAGCCGATCTCACTCAATGGGCAGCCGACAAAACAAAAGAAGGAAAGTGAAACTAATGCGGTGATTAACTGCTGAGCTTTGCTCGGATTTGGAACATTGGCAGGGTCTTTAAGAGGAAGATCCTATGGACGTGCTCTCGGAGAATTAGCTTAATATCGCTAAGCTCTTCCAGGGACCAGGCGTCTGGAATTTTTGCTGGCTCACCACCACGTGGAAGCATGCTTTTCGGCCGAATTCCCAGTAAGACGGCGATGGAAGTTTTCCAAACATCTCATTTAAGGTTCGCCGGACCCGGTCCTGCAATAGGTCGTCGTTCTATACATGCAACGGCAGCGGGGAGTCTAGACTCGGAGCCCATGGTTCTGGACCATGGGACTTGCACGGTCGGGGCTTCATCGCGAATGGAGGCCAGAGGCAGTGCAAAGTTCCAAGAAAATAGTCGCATTCAATCTGGAGACATGGAGAAATCTGCAATCGGCAATGGAAGTCTGAAATCTCGCCCGGTTTGCTGCCCAACAACGTGGACTGGCTCAATTGGCGTTCTAGAATACCTAAGGATATCCGGGGATCCGGCATTTTCGCTAGGCGGCCTCATCTCTTCAATTTTGAGCAGGAGCCGAGAGAATTTTCCTCCAGTCATCATATCATATTCTTTCTGTTGATGAGAACGTGTTCTTTACAATCACCTTGAGAACAGTGCTCCATTTTATTCTCATTCTGGCGAGGTGCTCAATACAATCTGATTAACGATTAGGGTCCTCGTTACGCGAACTCTCTGAAAGTTCGGTGCCGAGGTTATACACGTATAAAAGGCTGCCCTATTAGAAAGCCGGAGGACAACACGAGCACATCGACGAGGGGCCTCTGAGCAGCCTCGAGTCTAATAATTCCAGGACAAAACCTATCGCAGTCTAGACACACTGCGACAACCGTTCCTAACTGGATCTGTCCACGCTCACTGCTCTTCGCAACCAGTTAGCGATTCACGTCTAGCGATTCACGTCTATCTTTCCAAGGATGATGACTTGGACTGACCTTGAAGAGCTTGAGAATAAGATTTGAGCTCTAAGACATTGCGTTCGCCATTGAGACGCCTGGCAGCTGCGTGAAGATGCAGCTGCGCTCATGTGCCCGGTCGAAGGTGACTGTGAGCCAAGCCGCCACGACTTTCGAGGCCACTCAAGAGCCTTCTCAATCATCAGGACGTAATGCCTCAGTTGGCAACCAGACAAGCATTCTCTGACAGTGGCAGAGATCTGCCCCGGGCCAGCTTCCACATCATGCTTCTTGGCGGTACGAGATTTCGTGTGAGTCAGCTGGTACAGAAAGCATCTTGTCTTCTGCGAGACGACATCCGCTCAATCAATCATGTTCCGTACTGATAGAACTCCGCCGTCCATAGACCCAGGCCGCTTAATCTGGTCTGCTGGCCACTGCAGCCAGTGAGAGTACTGAGGATCTAAGACTCGAAATAAGCCATCCATCAGGTGTCCAGACCATCCCTGCATGAACCAGAAATGCTCCAACGTCTGAATCAGGACGTTGAAGTGAGCGAGCATGATGATGGGCAGGACGTGGCTCTGCTGCAAGCGAACCACGAATTCGTCATCCATGCTGTACAGCCACCGCATGATGCATTGGAACTTCCCCTGGACATGTGTTTCGGGCTCGGCCGTCGTGCCAAACGTCATCTTGAAGCACTCCGCAAGGGCAGCGAGTAGCGTCGTGTACATGGCTCTATCCGGCTCAGGGGATGTGGCGACTAGGTCGGCGAGCTCTTCGAATCGCTTCTCCCAGTACACCATCTTGTGAACTGGTTCGGGCAAGGGCGGGCAATGGGTCCATGTGTCTTCGAAGGAGACACCATCGTCTGCCCACCCAGCTATTATGGTCTGGATTCCCATCGTCTTGACGACAAAGCGGACTCCACGAAGAAGCGCCCACCAAGGCACTTCGCCCTCCTCCGCGACGACTAGCAGATGCCCTGGTGAGGGCTTCTTCGCAAACGTCGATAAACACACAAGTACGGTGGTGTGGTATAGGGCCTGGCAATTGTCTCTATTCAACTTCGGAATGATGTTGGTGACATCCGGCAGAGCACTGGTCGAGTGCCGCTCGGCCAATGCCTCGTAGTGACTGGCTTGGTTAGGTCGCAACCTCGCGAGATGTTGCGCCGAGATCGCCAGTACCATGTGGAGGACATAGTGGTGTTGAAAGCCGAGTCGTGGGACATGTTCCCTCCATACCCGCGCTTCTCCCAGTGTGATAGCCGTGTGACACATGTAGTGGTGTAGAAGCTCGAGATCGTCACCGTTCAGCAGCGACGGAAAGGAGGGTTCGATGGGCACGGGTACGGCAGCCGGGGTGATCGGTGTCTGGGCGGAATCCGGCTCCGAAGCGGTCGGCGTCGGGAGCTTCTGCAGGTCGTCCCAGTTCTTACGTGGACGGCCCCGTTTCTTCGGCGTCGGCGTCGGGGGCGACGATGCTGTCGGAGAGTGGGCCGGCTGGTTCAAGAGAGGAGGGGCAAAGTCGCAGTGCATCGAGAACCGGACGCAGTTGCCGCACTCGGGTTTGACCTCGTCGCACTATCAATCGCGAGGATGAAGTTAGCTTTCTGTTCTGCATGTTGTGATGTAGCCGGCGGCGCATCCTGGGGAGGTTTGACAGGGGCGTGGTTAAGGAGGGAAACATGCCTTGACTTTCCTCCTCTTGCAATTCTGACACCCATTTCGAGACTTCTTGTGAGACCTTCTCTTGTTCTTGCGACAGGTTCCGCAGCAGCAGCCACCAGTGCCGGTCTTGTTGTTGGGCGCGCTACATTTTGTAGAGTCCGGTGCTGATCCGCTTGCGTGGTTGTCGTCCTCGTCCCCATTCATCGTTCGCGATCGCGTTGGTCCTTAGGATTCGTACGGGCTGCAGAGGTCGAATAGGCGCGGCGGCTGGGTGGGACAAAAGCTCCCATCCCGTCTTTCCTAGACATATGACGTCGTTTAGAGGCTTTCAAAGAGAGCCAGGACCCGGTAATTGGCTTCGTAGATGCATCTTGCACCTCCCCTCGAAGGGGACGGGAGTCCATGGTCTCTTGGGACTTGCTTGAACTCTTCGTCCCCGCTCGTGGGGATCCGAGAATTTCGTATCCGGTACGAGAATTCGTTACGTGTTCTGATTGGATGAGTGTCCGGGAACGTCCCCCACGTTCCGATGCCCCTAGCATTCTTCACATCCGGAAATGCATCAGATGTCCCGTCTCTTGAAGGCCTCTTACAGACGCGAATACAAATACAGCTGTCTTCCCCCTCATGATCCTCTATAGTCTTGAGCGCCATACCGTTAGAATTGCTCTTGAGAATACCCCAGGATGAGCATAACTGTCTTGGAGACGGTACTTGTCGATCTGGGCACGTTTCTTTGCCGAAACTACCGCCCCGAAAACGGTAACCAGTGATGGCACAATTCCTTCAATACGTCCGATGCGATCTTCAGTGTTTCTGCATCATACTTCCATCACCTCAAGCAGGAAATTCCCAGTCACTGAGAAAGAAGTTGTATCGAATGAGTATCAAAAATGCTAAAAGGTGCAAGAGATAAGTTCAACTCCGAAGAGTTCCTCATGCCAGTGAGTCACAGCGTATCATTCACCGCTGAGGCAGTGCGTTAGTTAAATTACTCCCACCCAACTTCTGTATTATTCCCGGACATTTGGTATATTCAGTGCACCCAACACGGCTTACCGGTCCTCCCATGCTGATGCTGGCCTTCTAGTGCTCTGAAATGTTAGGACTTATGTATTCTCAAACTCTGGCTGTGTTTGAGTCAATCATCTGCGTGAGTTGACCAACCTTGAACTGCTAGACGATACTGCCAATCGATCGAGGCACCTTTCTTGTTTGGCACTGGTCTCAATCCTTCGCACCGAGGGACTTTTGCGATGAGATAAGAACATAAGATTGAGTCTGCCGCTCAACATGCGTCTTCTTCTTCTTTCCCATGTCCAACAACCAGCAACCGACCAAATTTCAGCCTTCAGCATGGTCGCTGTAGAGGCTCGCCATGACGGCGAGTGCATCGACAACGTAGCATTCGGTTTCGGTGGAAGCTGCTCACAGCCCGATTTTACCGCAATCGAGTACAAATGGATATTCTGGCTCTCGGTGGCCACCGCAGCGGGATTCATAGCCGCCGCATCGGCCCGCGTGCTCCGCCTTTCCCGATCTCGGAACCCGTCCGTGGCGCGCGGCCTCGGTATGATGTGGGTCGCCAAGCTCGTTGCCGGCGCCGTTTTCACCGGCCTCAGACTCGGGCTTCTTGTGGTGGCCGTCCGCCGACAAACGAGTCACCCGAGTGCTCAGCTGGTAGCTTCCACAGCACTGAATTTCACCGCATCATGTCTCCTGCTTGCACTTTCGCCTCTTGAGCATTTCAAAAGCGCCCGTCCTTCGGTCCTGGCCTGCTCTTTCCTCTTTCTGGCCCTTTTCTACGATATTGCACGATGCCCCTCACTTTGGTCAGATTCAGATACTGGCAGCGGCGACGAGTATTACTCAATCTTTAGGGCTCTTTATACTACCGTTATTGTCATTGAGTTCTTGGTCTTGGTGCTAGAGAGCTTGAAGCGTCGGCGATGGATTGCGTGGGACCCGGAAGACCACAGCCCGGAGGAGACGAGCAGTATCTTGAGCCTAGGGCTGTACTCATGGCTGAATCCTCTTCTTTGGCGAGGATATCACAAAGACCTCGTCATGAGCGACTTGTTCCCACTGGACAAAGCCATCTCGGTGACAACATTCGATGCCGAGGGCCGAAGCTCGAGAGAAGAGTCGAAAGGAATCTCGACGTGGCAACTCATCGTATGGCTTGCGAGGCCACTAGGCTCATCCGCTCTGCTAGCTGTACTCCCGCGCCTGTGCCTTCTTGGCTTTACTTTCTGTCAACCCTTCTTCCTTCAACGCCTCCTCGGTTATCTCTCTTCCCAAGAGAGCGATACGCCTACTGCCTCTGGGCTTATCGCCGTCGCCGTCCTGACGTACTCAGGCATCGCCATCTCCACATCCCTATATTGGTACTATCAGGAGCGTTTCCAATCCCGTCTACGCGGCTATCTGATATCAGCAATCTACCGCAAAGCAACAAGCATCCATCACGTCGGCAACGGCGACTCAGCTGCTGTCACGCTCATGGGCGCCGACGTCGAGCGCATCTACACCGGCCTACGTCTTATGCACGAATTATGGGCCAACATCATTCAGATCACCCTAGCTTCCTGGCTACTCCAACATCAACTCGGATTTGCCTTTCTGGCTCCCCTGGTCATCGTCTTCCTCTGTTTCGCCGGCTCATTCGCCTTGTCAAAGCGCGCAGTGCCGCACCAAAGTGCGTGGATGTCTCGCGTACAGAAACGTATCGCTGCAACCTCGACGATTCTCTTCAGCATCAAGGACCTGCGGGTCTCAGGCATGACACAGCCCGCAATCGCTCTGGTACAGCGCGAGCGTGAGGAGGAGATCCGCGTAGGCGAGCGTTCGCGTGTGCTCATCGCCCTGAGCGCAACCCTGAGCCAGCTTCCCCAGGCTCTAGCACCGGCTCTGGCTTTTGCTTTCGGGCCACGGGTACTTGATGAGACAAAGGCATTCACTGCACTGTCGTTCCTTGTGCTGTTGACCGCGCCACTGCTGGTGGTCTTGCAAAGTCTGCCCATTTTAGCTGCCTCTGTGGCATGTCTCCGAAGGATCAAGCTGTTTCTTATGCAAGATGACAGAGTGGACGAGAGGTTCTTGAAGTCAGTCGGGAACGACAATGAGAAGGGTAAGCAGGCTTCTAGCTACAGCGATCCGGATTTGTTCATTCATATCGTCAACGGAAGCTTTGGATGGACGCCAGAACGCTCCGTACTCAAGGACATCAATATCCGCCTCCCAAAGTCCTCCATTACGTTCGTGGTCGGTCCTGTAGCTTCCGGAAAGTCAACTCTGTGTCGGGCACTCCTCGGAGAGGTGCCTCACATGAAGGGAAGTGTAGCTGTTGGGTCTAACAAGGTGGCGTACTGCGATCAGATGCCGTTTCTATTCAACGAATCGATCATGGAGAACATCATCGGATTCTCTGAGTTGGACACCAATCGCTACGCTGAAGTCAACAAAGCAACTATGCTGACAGATGACTTGACGACGTTTCCTGCGGGAGACAGGACGGTAGTTGGGACCAAGGGGCTCTCCCTCAGCGGTGGTCAACGACAGCGTGTGTCGCTTGCCAGGGCACTTTATCACGACGCCGAGATCCTCATACTGGATGACATCTTCCGCGGCCTGGATGTTTCTACACAACACCAAATATGTCAAGCCGTGTTTGGACGCGATGGCCTCCTGAGAAGACGAGGTTCGACCGCGATTGTCTGTACTCACTCGACGGAGTTCCTGACGGTTGCTGATCACATCATTGCACTTTCTCAAGACGGCACCGTTGCAGACCAAGTCTCGTCCCTCGAACTTGTGCGAGACGAAGAGCGTGGTAAACGCCTCGGGTTTCTGAGACAAAAAGAGCCAAGCATCAACCTTGGCAAAGTACACCCGGATAAAGGCTCCCAAAATATTGAGGGAATAGCCTCGACGGGCTCAGAAACATCACAGCGCCCATCTGTCGCAGTCCAGTCACCAACAACCACCCCTACAACTGTAACAACTCCAACCGTTGACTTAGCCGTTTATCGCCACTGGCTGTCAACTCTCAAACCCTTGCCGTTGGTGGTGTTCGCCGTGCTTGTGGTCGGTGTTGGATTCTGTGCCAATTTCCCGACTATTTGGCTCAAGATGTGGTCAGAAGACTCAACATCAGCTGAGCCAAAGCACTCCCTCGCCTTTTGGATGGGTCTCTATGCACTCCTTGGAGCAGGCGGCATCATCTGCGTCTTCCCAGCTGGACTCATCATGCTGCGTACTGCTGTTCGACTTGCTGGCACCGATCTCCACCGCACTACCATCAACACGATCATGCACAGTAGCCTGCGGTTCTTGGGCAGTACCGACGTCGGCAAGGTGCTAAATTTGTTCAGCCAAGACATGAACATCATGGATACTCAGCTGCCACGTATGATCAACAACTTTTGCTTCTGCTTAGCTACTGCTATTGGTCAAGCTGCTGTTATCGCGGTTTCTTCTGCATGGCTATCTATCAGCTATCCGTTCTTTATGTTGTTGTTGTGGATGGTTCAGCGCATCTACCTTCCTACGTCAAAACGGCTGCGGATACTCGATCTCGAAGCCAAGGCTCCGCTGTAGTGAGTTCTTCCAAATGTTACCCGACTCTCTCACCTGGTACATACTGATGACGGGCGGCGTACCTAGTACCAACTTCCTAGACACGCTGAGCGGTCTACCAACCATTCGAGCTTTCGGCTGGTTCCCTCATCAGATTGCTCGCAACAATGCTCTCCTTGATGACTCCCAACGCCCTTCGTATTTGTTGGCGATGGCACAGCAGTGGCTCATGCTGACAATGAACATTCTCGTTGCCATTGTCGCTGTGCTCCTCGTTTCGCTATCCACACAACTTAGGTCCGACACAGGCAACGTGGGTGCAGGTCTAGTCACGCTCATTACCCTCGGAGGCACACTTACCACTATCGTCGTTGCATACACTGGTCTTGAGACCTCCCTCGGCGCCATCAGTAGGCTAAAGTCATTTGAAGAGGAGACGGAATCAGAGGGCAACGCAAAGGAGGATGTTATTCCAGACGAGGCGTGGCCTATGAGCGGCTGCGTACGATTGAAAGACGTCGACGCAAGTTATGATGGCACTCAAAAAGTCCTTAAAGAGTTGAACCTGGTGATTGAAAGTGGGCAGAAAGTTGCTATTTGCGGAAGAACTGGGAGGTTAGTTGTGATCGAACCACCAGCCATTTATGTCGCTAAGCTGACATTAACAGCGGCAAATCATCCATTCTTGCCCTCCTACTCCGTCTGATCGACCCGCTGTCACCCGATACCCCTGATTCGGATGCCCCGACAATCCTCATCGATAACCTCGACCTCAGGACGATTAATCGGACCACACTACGCGAGCGCATAATCTCTGCCTCACAAGATCCCGTGTTCCTATCAGACGGCACGTCTTTCCGCGTGAACCTCGATCCCGGCTCCACCGCTACCGATGAAGAATGTAACGCTGTTTTGACCGAACTTGGACTAAGCACTATTATCGAAACCAAGGGCGGCCTGAATGCGTTCATAAATGGAGCTGAACTCAGTGCCGGGCAGAAACAGCTGTTCAGCGTGGCTAGAGCGGTACTTCGGCGCAGGGTCAAGCAGAGAGAGACAGGTGTGGATGGAGGGCTTCTTCTTCTGGACGAGATAACTTCTGGTGCCGATGCCGATACGGAGAAGAAAGTCAGAAGGATTCTCGATAATGAGTTTCAAGGCTATACCGTCGTCATGGTGACACATCGTCGAGAAATGGCTATGAGCTGTGATAGAGTACTGATGCTAGACGCAGGTAAGGTTGCTGAGGATGGAATACCTGGAACACTGCTAGACAAGCAAGGCAGTCAGTTTGGATCTCTATGGGAGAGTGAGAGACTTTGAGATCCGGATTAGCATGATCAGAGACTGTGTTTCCTTGAGTCAAGGCGATAACGAGACGTCGTGAGCTCAGATAGAGCCCAGCCAGCAAATGCTTTGACCTACATCATTCACTTGAGCTGCTTTCCATAGTTACAGCCAATCTAACCTAAGGGTTTCGGTCTTTGATGAGATGTTCGCAAATGACTCGAGGATCATGCATTCAAGTCAATCTTCTTAACTAATTGAAGTTGCAATCATACCAATGACTTCGTCTACTTTGACCATCGGAACTACTGTTCATACGAAGACCTCAAACATGGGGTTAGCAAATCGTCGGTTGTTTCATGTTATTGCGAAGGCAGTCAATCCTGTAGATTTTCAGATTCTACATGTATATAGAGTGTTGATTTCCAGCAGATTACACCACCACGTTTCCCATCAAATTCCTCCTCATCCACTCATGGCTCCATATTCCCATCTTGTGACCCCCAAATGCCAACAGATTATTCTACATGGGCCGTTTAGCATCCAAGCCAGTCGCAGTAGGCGTAAGACTCCTGGGGGCACCCGAGAAGGCAAGAGTACTTGCCGCCGCAGCGGAACGCGCAGGCGACGTTCTCGACGGTGGTGCAGACGCCCCAGCTCTCGTAACCGCACGCGCGGCGAACGACGGTGTTGTCGCGGGCCTCGATGTCAGGTCCCGTGACGGAGGCCGCGCCGTACTGGGTGGCGAGCTTGATCAGGAGGTCCTTGTCCTCGGCGTTGACCGCACTGACGTGAGACTCAGCGGCGGGGGCGGCAGCGACGAAGCCGGCGATGGCGGCGATGATGGCCTAAGAATGGTTGGTTAGATGGTCTTCTGGTAATTATCAAGTCTTGCGGAGGACATACGAGAGACTTGAACTGCATTTTGAAGGGTTTGGAGGGTGGTGGAGGATATGGTCTGGAAGAGTAGGCTGTCGAAATCGGTAGAGGGGTTGTAAGTGTAGGAGTTGGAGTTGAAGTTGCGAGATCTGATGAAGATGAAGCTTCTGATGGTATTTACAGATGGCAACATGCTCTCTTTATATACATCCTCGCAGCTTCAACTGATCGTACTTCCGAGTCCAGTTTCTTCATCTTCCCATCAACCATGATGTTCACTATCCAAAGATCCTTTTGCCATCCAACCTCCACATCTGTGTTCCTGGTATTGTACTAGTGTAGTTCAGCCAACGCGACATTTGGAACTTCGGTCTACGAAGAGCCCCCGCGCTGCCATTTTGATGCATCATGAGACTCAAGTTCTGCCTTCGCTCTAGTAATTTCTGCTCAGCTACTTCGCTCAGCCCGGCTTCAAGCCAGCCGAACACGTCATCATAATATGTACGCCGGTGATAAAATGAGGTATCTCGTGAAACGAGCGGCACAGCAGTTCCTTCCCAGTCCCTCCATAACTCCATGACTCGGCTACGCGCTTGGCCGGTAATGATAGCCCCCAACTTGAGCTGGAATTCAGAAACACTTCATATTTTCATCTGTAGGCATTGCAATAACGTCTTTCTGAAAGGTCGAGCTGTATTGTAAGTTCCAGCGTGTCAAGCTCCAGTGATGAGGCTCATCACTCACTTGGAGACACCTGATAGGAATTCTGGCAAGAACAAGCTTTTGATAGCATATTTGCACACGTTGATAATCTGCCTGTTGGCTGTCGGCCTTGAAGCACAAGGGCACTCTTCCCGCTGGAGCCGCCACGCCAGAATAGGAAAACGCCATCCCTGCACAGAACCAACAACATATGAAAATCGAGCCGGAAGCCCAGCTTCCCGCTTGGCGGACGCCCCGGTCCCGAGTTTCCCATCTTGGCACCGGCTGATACCCCCATATGAGGCAGTCTCCCCGTCGCCGTGAGAGCGGAGCTCAGCGGTCCAGCCCGTCCCGGCCCCAGCCAACCCTGTGACCCAAGATCTGGCGACGTTCGTTTGGTTGGTTGAGAGTGCAAGTTCTGATCTGATTATGTGCTCCGCCGTAGCTTGATGTTATCTCGGAACCACGTCTATCCGTGGCTGGTGCATTCCGCCTTGTGAGAATGCCTGTCGACATGCACCGCCTCTTCTTCCACCGGCGGCGTCGACAGACTAGAGTTTGAGCCCACTCCGCTCTTTACTGGGGCCATCACGAACATGGCACAACCTTGACAATTTAGAAATGAGTTGGCAAAATTCGTGCGGATATAAACCAACACGATGGACTGATGATAAGTCGAAAGCAAATGCAAAGGCCGCCTTTCCTTGACCCCTGGAAGCTGGCTCCTCTAGAGATTTGATGCTAAGTGCGCTTGGAAATAACGACGGATGGTTGAGGCGCGTTTCCATCTGTCTTCTCCCCCGTCCGTTGTCTATATGCGGAGTAATCGGCTTCTATCCAGCAGAACACCAAACGTTGAGTAACTCACCCAGGATCTTACCTCATCGCACTTCAAACTCCTTTTCTTGAAGGAACGCATTGAAACATCCAAACAACCCAGCTCTGGACCAATTCTTGACAGAATTGCGTGACCTCCTAAGCAAACGTAGCGAATCCAAAGCATACCCTTTTGAACCCCTTTCTACCAAGACTAAGCTACGACATATAGACAGTATAAAAGCCACAAACACTAAAATATAGTAAGGGATCAACCGCACTTGTCGATTCCAACGGCCAGGTTCTGCATACTGGTTGCTTCCGATAAGGTCATTAATGACTAAAAACACTCGACACTGTGAAACCCTGCCCGGTTATCGCCCATGAAGAACCTACAAGTCTTCAGAATGTTTAAAATTCTCGAATGTTCTTCCTCACCATTGCTTTGGAAGTATTCACGTCGCCTTATTGTTAGGACCACTACTCGACCACGGTGCGCCAATATCCCGCCATCATTCCCTATGTGCTGATCGTGCCATCTGCCGGGTTCCGGTTCAGTTCGATCGGATAACTTGAGAAAGCGGCCAGCACTAGAGAGGGCAAAGAGATCAATCATCCTGCTGCCAAGGATCCATCTTACCGTTCAGCGTAGCTTTTATATCGTTTTTGAAGGGGATGAGAAGACTGGCTGCGATGTTTCACGCTGAGGCAGGGTAGTGGATTCATACCACTGAAAGATTTCGAACGTAACTCCAGAGCAATGTAGCAAGGTCTTGTCGAGTCTTCAAAGATGAAAACTTCCAACAGGCAACTCTACACGGCATACGTACACGATATGAACCTCGACGGCGAAGGCAAGTTCAAGCCTCTTGTTAGTTTAAAACGCCCAGCCTGAGAGGGGCAGACGTAAACATACCACACCAAGGCCTTCATCCCTCTGGCGGATCTGATAGATTGGGTAGACATACTTCTCAGGTGCATCCGTGGTGATGATTCAATACGCGAGGCAGTTCATCAGAGCTTCGACACTCGCGCAAGTTACATCCATCCGTCGTCCTCGCCCATTATCCCAGACATATTCCCAAAGCTTATTCAACCCATAACCAAAACAAAGTATCATCTCCACGATCCAACTCTCAGGTTCTCTCAAGCGCAATTTCTAATACGGCCAAGCTATTGCTTGAGAGGAAGTGAGAAGAAGCATGCCGACCAAGCGCTTTCGGTGTGCCGCTCGAAGTGTTCTAATTCCATTCCTCATACCCTTAAATACCCGTCCTCAGAACATAACGCTCAAACCGCGCTCCTTAAAAGAGTCGTCTTCATCACTACCAAAGAAACGCAGCAATTGGCTTCGGGTTGGTGTGGTCTCTACGGACAACACATTCCACTCAGTCCTCACACACCACAACCCCGCCCCCTCCCCATCGACGAACCCAAACCCATAGCCCGCACTCAATATCCACGCCGTCCAGCACTACCATCCCCGGTGTAATCATCCCACCTATTCACTTCCCCTCCAGACGTACTCAAAATGCCTCACGTTCCCCATTCCACCCTTCCGTCCCCGTCAAAGTCTCAACACACCCATGAGAACGAGAGATCAAACCACACCCGATCCACATCAGAAGACATAATCGACTGCCTCGTCTCTGTCCTCACGAAACAAGCACGTCTCGACCTTGCCATTTTATACAACAGCTCTACCATTAACATTCACCACTTCCACCCGAATATCCCACGACCTGCTCGTCACGGCACAAAGCGAACGCAAAAGTATATATATCTACGTCACAGAAGCCGACTGCCAAGGGGTGAATCTCGACCATGTGAGCGATCCATGTGTTTAAATCGTCACGGTGTTTAACGATGCAATGGAGATTCCTGAGCGCGATTGTTTAACTCATCTCAAGAGTTCTTCATCCGCCGGGTGTATCTATCAACATGTGAAGCTACAAGAACTCGCCTACGTCGTCCGTCCGCGTCTCCGCTCCTGGTTTATTTTGTTCGTCCTACACCGTGACACCTACGATGAAGCAGCAATTTCTCAGCTTGCCGATATGTGTCTTAATATCTGCATGGTCCTCAACCGTCATGGAACAGAAGAGCATATGTTTCGTGCGGCGTCTTTACCAAAAGGAGATGGCGGAGCTTGTCACTGGGCTGAGACCTCTGAAGAGCATGCGGGTTACTCATATCAAGGGATTCTGTGTGCCGTCAACGTCACTTCCCTTACGAATGTGAGGAGAGAAACATGTAGGATATTAATGCATTCTATCTATATACCAATTCCCAAGTCGTATTCGCTATGCTCTTGCAAACCCAAGCACTTTTCACCGCATTCATTCAAGCTCCTTGCTTCGATGTCTTCATCATGAGCACCTGCATCCTAACAATAAACGTCCAAGCTGAATGTCTTCTCCTGCTAACAACTCATCCGCCATGGAAGTTTCCTACTTGAATCTCGTAGGCAAGGCAATCTTCGACTTGTCGCTCTGTTCCTCGGCCGCGTCCATGTAAAGGTCAATCAGACAACCGGCGGACCAAGCTTGTGTGGGACTCTGTTCCACTTGTTAGTATCATGTCTTTGCCTTGTAAGCGCAGGGAAACTTACCGAATCAGGGCAGTCCTCTCCGTTCTTCTGCGTCAACTCTGTCAGACCCGCCCAGGCGCTTTCCTTGATCATCTTCTTGCATCCCATAAGTCTCCGGGTGACTTGCTGGAACGCCTCGATGCGGTCGGCATCGGAGCTCCTTCTCGCCAGATCGAACTTCAACAAGGCTCGGAGGAAGAAACCAGTCGGCCAGAGCCACTCGGGACCTTGGTGGTAGTTCCGTCCCTTGCTTGTGGCGAAGTCGTCGCTGTCCTCACTGTTGCGGTAGTACGGCCTGTAGTTCAGGTCGGCAGGGTCCAGAGTTGCCATGCCGGTGGGGCCTCGGAGGACAGAATCAGCAACGCAAAGAGCATGCAAGGCATGCTTGGGATCGAACAACTCGGGGGCGGCGCACATGGCAATCGGGAAGTTGGGGCGCAGCTGGTAGTCCTCATACTCCTTGCCGGACTTGTACAAGTCCTTGTAGATACCACGTCTGTTGACGATCTTGCTGTTGACGTCGTAGTTGGAGTCCTCCTCAGGCGAAACAGGGACATAGTAGCAGCGCTCAAAGTTGGCGCGGATGAGTTCAGCCCAATCCTTGAACGAGATGGACGAGTCGTCTGCCTTCTTCACGGAGGAGTACTGGAACTTGCCCTCCGAGTTTAGTGAAGCAACCCACTTCAACGTGCTGTACAGGAGGCCAGTGATTTCAACGGCAGCACCGTCACGAGGTGTGCCGGGAACTCCCTTGGAACCGGCACGCGGGCTTTCACCCATCTTGTCCATCCATGTTCCGCAGTTGTGCTGGTTGCCTCCAAAGACGATGCCGGTGTTCCAGTCGACGTTGATGGAGATGTTGAAGCCCTCGTCACTCATTTGCGAGTCGATAGAAGGACCAGCGTTGGCTTCGCGGAAGGACATGCCAGAGGCATGTCTCTGCAATGCTTCTTGAATGACATCTTCGATCGTGCTCTCCTGAGAGTAGGCCCGAGAATCTTCAACGTCAAACCAAGTGTCATCGTAGGGCAAGAAGCGTCTCTTGACCTTCTCCTTCAGAAGGTCCAAGCCATCTGGAGCGAACTTGGTGTAATCCTGGATGCACTGAAGGAAGAACCAGATTGAGTCACGAGAGTTGTATCTAGGCAGAGCACCACTGCTGAGCAAGTTGGGGATCATACCATGCTTCAGGACACTGGCGAAAGCAAAGATGTGCTCTTTCGCCTCGTCGAAGCGGCCAGTGCCGAGGTAGAGACCGCGGAGGGAGATGAACACATCGCGACCCCAGCATCTTGCCCACTCCACAGCAAAGTGGGGAAGACCAGCAGCCAATGACGGGACCAACTTCTTTGGCCAGAGGGAACCGGACTTGACCAAGCCCGTTTGCTGTGCGCTGACCATGGCGAGGCTCTGAAGGAACCACTGTCCTTCGCGAACATTGCCGTTCATCTGCTCGAGGCCGCGCTCCCAGGCGGCCATGTACAACGTTCGCATCACGAGGCCAAAGTATCTCGGCAGCAAGAAGCTAGGGATCTTACGAATGGCGTCGAAGCGGTCCTTCAGCCAGGCAGCGGGCTTGCCGAGACGCTCGAATTCAGGCGTCTGGCTAGCACGTTCCAGTCGTCCAGCGGTGAAGTCCAATGCCCACTGACCATCACGGAGGTTCTGGCAGAGCGGGTGTGCCAGGTTGTTGTCTCTGATGATGTCCTTCAGTAGACTCCACCAGCCCTGGATACCAGCGTACACAAGCTTTCCATAACCTGGAATTTCGTAGCAGCCGTCCTTGCCACCACTGCCATCGCGCTCCTCGGCCTCGCATCGGTAGAGCAAGAAGTTGAGGTCAACAAGGTTCAAGCTCTCAACTGCTGTTTTCGCACCGGAGGTGACATAGGTGTCGAGACCTGCGGAGTGCTCCGCTGTGGGAATCCACGTCTCGAAAAGTGCGATACTGCCAGGCGGGAACTTGTCGCGAACGGCAATGATGGTCTCGTCACCCTTGACCTCCATGCGAATGCCCGGGACGTCAACGACACGGCTGGGAAGACCGCGAAGGAGCTTCTTGTCCTCCAAGACCTCCTTCTTGGCTTCGTCGCTGGCATCTACCTCGAGCATCCAGCTTCCGAGGTGTCGAGCCCTCGTCCCGCCAAGGTGGACAGCATTGAAAGCACCATTACCGTTGCCGTACCCAGGGAACGCCGTGTGGGCAATGAGGAAATAACCTTTTCGTGAATCGGGGTGAACTCTGTGAACAGTGATGTACTGATCCTCGTGGTGGATGTGAGTTTCGTCATAGCCATCCTTGCCCATCAGAGTGTGGATCTGGTTGAGAAGCTTCTTGATACCACCAATGCCGTTTCCGCCGCCGCCGATCTTAACAGGCTTGGAAGATGATTCTGAGGTGTAAAGTCTGGTCTCGTTGACAAGGTCGACGAGCTTGGGGTAGATCTCATCGTAGCCCATGACACTGCCGGTGGCGCTAGCGCACATGTTTACAAGGGCAGCATTGGGAAGAGTGTCGCGAGCGTCACGCTTCTGGGCTGGAGTCTCGTTGTCGTGGGTGCAGTCCATGAAGAGAGCTTGGACTGGTACTGGCTTGATCCTCCTGATGATTTCTCGTGAGGACGGGTTCCCGTTAAGCATATCGCTACCCTCTTGAGAGGGGCTCATAGGACTCATGGGAGACTTTCCGTCAGGGCGTGAAACTTCGTCGACTTCAAAGCTGCCGATAGGCCGGCCACCGTGCTTGTGTACCAAGCGACTCAGCTCACCAGTGCTCCACGCCTGCATGGCTTCACGAATGAGGGCGCTCAAGCCCAGTCTCTTGACAAAGACATGGTCCATCTCCTCGGAGCCTGTGAAGAGCTCTGCGACGACGTACAAGTCGGGCCTGACGCGACGAGCCTCGTCCAGGACATGTTCGGCTACGTGGATCGGAGTGGAGTGGCAATTGTCGATTCGGAAACCGGCAAAGTACTTGGCCAGCATGCGAGCGTACTTGGTCATGTACTCCCATAGGAAAGGACTGTCAGAAGGGCCGCTGCCATAACGAAGCTTGACGCAGTCACCCCAGACGATGACCTCGCGGCGCAGGTAGACGCGTGAATCAGGACCAGCATTATCCACAAGAGCATTTCCTCCCCACACCCATCCATTATTCACAAGAACATTTTCCTCGGGCTTGTTCTTTGCGGTCGTGTCATTCTTTGGTAGGCGGGTGAAATACGTCTCGATCAGAGGGTTCTCCTTGTTGATGACACCCATGCGAGGGCCGTGTTCGTCCATGCGGCAGTACTTGATGCGGTTGAAGAGCTGTTGCAGGATCTCGGTGACTTCGGCGTCGTACTCCTTGTAGAATGGTAGGTTAACTTCGTCAAGGACAGAAACCAGCTTGGATTTGGCCGCCGCCTGTCTGGGAGAGCTGCCCTCCTCGCCCTCGTACCTTCCGAAGATGGCGGACAGAAGACCTGAGGCGACCTTGGGGTCAACAGTTCTCCTGAAACGTCCGCCCAAGCGGTCTCCGCCTTGAAGGCCGTTCTTGATGAGGAACTCAGCCTGCTCCTTCAACGGGGCGTCCTTGAGTCCAGTGACGCTCGCACCGGCGGCTTCCTCGGGGAAGATGGTTTGGCCTGCAACCCAGGCTTGCAGCGAAGCTTCGACATCGCGCTCGACATCGATTGCGTAGTACTCCCACAGCCTAATTTCTGAGATGACGTGCTTCTTGATGGCGTCCATGATCTTGATAAGATCATCGTCAGACTTGACTTCTGTGGGCAGACCCAGCTTGCCCAGGTTATCGCTCAACTCCAACAGCTTCGTGTCCAAGAGCCACGCAGACTCCAGCCAGGGTGCCGTCACAAGATTGTAACCGGCCTCAGGGTGGTCCTGCAACCATGCGCTGTTGTGGGCCGTGTGGTTGAGGACAATGTCGGTCAAGCTGAGCATGGAGTATTGCTTCTCCAAGCTGGTGATCAAGCCCTGGACGTCCTTCTCACCGTCGGGGAAGCATTCGGGATCCCAGCCCAATTGGTCGTACAAGCTGTAGGGGGAGTTGGAAGCACCGCGGACCTGGAGCGGGGTGAAGTGGATCATGTTGTAACCGCGGTCGCTGATGCCGCGCAGGTGCTTCTCCCAGTCGCCTGGGTACTTGCCCATGAACTTGCTGATGACGGAGAAAATCGACAGAGCTGGCAAGGGCAGAGGGCGGCCATCGAGGCTGAGGCGCGGCGCGACGTCAATGTAGTAGAGCGGGGTCTTTTTGTTGGTGGTTTGGGCCTGGGGGCTCGAGTCCAGCTCCTCGGCGAGGTCTGGCAGCTCTGCATAGGTGGTGTAGAAGGCGTATGCGCCGGCCTGGAAGATGGGGATGGAGATTTCGATTGTGCGATTGAAATCGGGCACGAGTCTGGTTTGCGCATGAGCTACGGTGTTCGGTCAATTGAGGATTTGGTGAAGCTTACTTGAACTCGCGGAACTGGTCTCTGTGGAACTCGGCGCCCTCTTCTGGAATGTTGACCCACAGACTGCCATGGCGACAGATGGAGGAGGTGCCCTCAATTGTGAAGCGGATGGTTACGGGGTCGTTCGTCTTGGGGGCGAGGTAAACATACTCGCCGGCGACTTGGGGAGAGCCGTCGTCGTTGAGAGGCAGCAGGTAAACTTCGTTGGACATCATGGTTTTTGGTACCATCCTCCGAAGAGTTGTAGGAGGCAGCTTGGTGCCCCGCGGACAGATCGACGTAGAATGGGTCGCAGCTGGCGCAATGACTCGGGCTTTGCAGCACGGAGGCGATTCCGGTCGAGGAAAAACACGCCGATCCGGGTTCTGGGCGACAGGGGAGCAATTGGAGCAATATGATATGACGAGGGGCGTCAGCGACGGCAGCTTGATTGGGCCAAAGCCTCAGGTGAATCGATGTTGCCGAGGGAGGTCGAAAACGAGGGAAAACAGGAGGAATATGATCGAGTGTGCGAGAGAAAGAGAAGAAAATTGCGAAGGCAGATGATGACGATAGGAGCTAGAGGTTCTGTCAGCTCTGGTACGCCGCAGTACGAGTAAAAGGCATGGCGGGGTATCAGTGGCAGCTCAGAAATTGGAGAAGCCCAGCTCACTGTAAAACAAGCAAGCCCGCAGGAGTTGCTCCGGCCAAGGAAATTTGGAGTATCCGTAGAAAGCATTGGCGTCCATGTACTTTCTGCTAAGAGATTGTTGCTCTCATTGTGAAGAGAGCTCGCGAAGTAGGGGGAAGCAGCTACCCTCAGCTCATCCGAAGGTACCTGCCTGCAGCGACCTAAGCTCTTGCACTGAAGGGCAGCAGCAACAGCCGAAACTCTGAACACGACAAAATGTTGGCGAGGTAGATTGCCATACAAAAAGATGGGAAAGATACATGGTCTGAGGTGTCAAGCTGCCACTTTCCCAGTGCCAGGCTTCCCGGAACGGATAGCTTCGGTGGGGACAGCGGTGAGAGGCGGGGCGCCCTTGCGGAGTTTGGGGTTAGCGCCTGGCGTCTGTGGAGCCCCCATCACGATCCCGGAGAATCCAGACCGCGATTCGACGTGAAAATTCCCACTCTTCCGCTTGCCGTGGATCGCGATGAAAGAGAGAGGAGAGACTGCAACGAATTGTGCGGTGAATTCATGTCGTGCAAGCCTGGGCGGTAACTGGGTAACTGGGGTAGAAAGCAGCAAGCCGGGGGCGGGGATTCAGAGCAGGTTCCCGGACAGAACCAGTGCCAAACCGTCGCACAAACCCATGTTCATATTGCTCGTTGCGACTCTCAACAGTTTGAAAGAAAGGCAATTGCCCCTTTCTCTCGTATCTCACCTCAATTGCTGAATGACTGGGAAGCCAATCGTATATTCATCTGAAAACAGGTTAATAGTACGCCTCATCTGTCGAGCCACCATCACAAGAGACAAGTACTCTGTATCTCGTCAGCAATATTTTTTCGGCGTGGATTCCGGACCAATCCCAATATTTATCGTCTTCCCAGCTGGCCTGGTGTGCCGGGTAAGTCTGTACGAATAAGCAGATTGTCGCGTAACATCGAAGGAGATTTTTCCCTCATATCAGAAAATAAAAATAAAAAGGATGAGGCTAGAATCAACAAGAGCTCCCATCCCGGCGCTAGAATGACGTCACCCAGCCGTACCGCCGCGTTCTAGCGCTTGCCCAGTGCACAGACGCGGTTTCATGCCCCTCCTTCCTGCTTCCTGCTTCTTTCCTGGTCCAGCGGCTCCTGCCTGCCTGCCCGGTCAGTGACATTTTGGCACCGGCCTGGAAGCCGTGCCAAACAGGCCACCCTCGCCTGCATTGAACACACCATCTCGCCGGCGCCTCTCATCTCACATCCATCTCATTCTCACCCGTCGTTCTTCCGTTTCGCTCGCCTGCCCTGAAGATCTGCTGCGTTCCTGGCATGCCTCGCGCTAAATTGACTTTTGTTCCTGACTATCACCTGCGGCAACGGCTACTGGAATGCCATCCCGTGTGTTTTGCATGTTTCTTATCATGTAGATAAACATTCTGTACCAACGTATTCCTGTCATCTCATTTCTCGCCCGACCGGACCTTTAACCCAGAACACCTAGATGTCCCGGAGCCGACACCGCTCTTTCGTACCATGTTCATCCTTATTGCATGACGCACATGCTGCAGATGAGCTTGGATATCACCATCACTATCTTACTTCATCCCAACTGGGCTAGCGCGAAAAAGGTGAAATTGTGTATCCGTACCCCGAGAGCCAGCCCCGAGAATTATGGAGCCCACCGGGCAGAACGGCCCCGTAAACGGCCGAGTCCCACTGCACCGTAACCGACCGGATGGATCTTACGGACGGCAGCGACACTGGAGTGCCTGGCTGCTTGCAAAACCTCGCACAAATCTAACAGCTCAACTGAACCTTCAGCTTTCCTAAAAGTATGCCTAGAATATCGGTCGCAAAGCCACTATTTACAATCTTTACGCAATGATGAGGGCCTATTGCGGTCATCCGGTGCTCCACTTTGGTTACGGTTCTGAGAAGTGACTGAACTTCTTGCGTACCGCTATCGCCTTCCGTGATAGGTATTGAAATCTGTATGTTTTGCATCTTAGTTGCCAGACCTGCGTGGCACCTTCGCATTGTTAAGCCCCCCAAAACTCCAATGGTCCTTCTACTCAACCTTCGCAGAACCCGACTGGCCTCGTCGGTGATTACCCACGGAATGCGATGACCAAATATTGCCGCAGTCATATCAATCTTGGATCAGTGAACGTTTGAACATTTACCTGACAATTTGATTAGGGGGGGGGAGACATTTCAGCCCGTGTAGAACGAAGACATGTTGATGACAGTAGATTGATCACAGTAGTCATTTCATCACAAAGGTACCAGCGGGAGGTGGAAATGCGGCTCACAAGTTTCGGTGTAGGCGAGTCGTAGTTGTTGTTGCTGTAGTATTTAACGCCTGCTTTAAACCTCTATGAGGCATAGGCGAGTCGTAGCGGCTAATTGAGCTCAATATGACTGAAGAACAAGACTGGAGAGAAACCACTGGATGCGCCATAGCATGCAGCGTCTAGAGTGGGACCCGCTCAAGTCAAAATCTATACTTGGTTCCGACACTAAGAGGCGCACTTGTCCCCGCAGACCTCTCAGCGACCGAAGCCACATATCACAGCCGATGTTGGCACCAGAATTATTCCACTATCACTGAAACGTGCTTCATCTTGGCCTCGGCCAAGGCGGACTGTAACAAAATCCTAGTGGAAGCTGTCCCATCACTTGAGCGTGGAGTCTTGGTTTTGTGCCAGTCAAGATTCAAGTATAAATGCTCTCTGGTCGTCATTCCAATTCCCAACCACGCCTTCACTCATCTTATCTCCATTCCTCAGGTATCGTACAAAGTCTTTCATCAGACGTGTTCCACCGACGAAAATCAACTGTCAGAATGCGCTTCTTAGTCTTTCTCTGCGTGGCCTCTGCCTCCATCGGCCAGGCTACAGCTCAGATCAAGCCCCGTCAGACCGTTGCGGTGTCTTGTCAAACGACCCCTCAATGTACCCGAAGCAATGTCGGCACTGCCTGTACCGTAAGGTGCGATGATGTAAGTACATTCGTATTGTGTATGAGGCCGCACCTGCTGATGTCCTCTCTCGAAGCCTGCCCGGGGCCGACAAGAGCGGAGCGGCAAATGCTCAACCAAGTCCTTCGGGGTCGTTTGCGAATAGTTGGTGTTTTCAGGGACTGAAAACCCGTCGCTCGCTGAATGGATAAGGAACTCAGGTCTTTAGAAATTTGCAATGATGGCAGCTTGAAGCAAAACTCAAGAAAGATGCACTGTTCCGCATGGATCAAACGTTGTTAGAACAAATCTCTAAATAGCAAAAGAAGAGTCCGCACGCAAATCGCCGATGGCACAACTGCCGGTGGAAAATGAGACCGCGAGGAAGCCGGAGAGGCTGAGATCATCATGTATCACAAGCATAGGCCGGCAAAGGGGCTAAGTCTTCATCGGATGAGATTAGTGATCCGCCGAATCAAACTCATGTTAAACTTTACCAACACAACGGTTCTGCCGTACCTGGGGTAAGATACCGGGCATTAACCCTGGATATTGGCTTGGCCGGGCCGCTCCACCTGTCTAGGATGACGCTTTGGACAGTATCGGATGAGATGTTTGGCCTAGGTGTTCCTATCTTTGGCGCGCAGCGTGCAGAATAAGGTCCCAATCACCCGTCTCGTACTTAGTCATGGTTCAAGTTCGCATGATCTCCGCCAAACTCCGCTCAAAGCTGTCAAGACTCAAGAAACCCTCGGCCTCCGGACACGAACATGGTTATTGGCATATGGTAGTCGGCATCTGAGCGGCAACTCTAATACAACACGTCTCGGAGAGTCAGCCTGTTATCTGGTAAATAGAGCTCTGGCTAGATTTGTGAGACGTTATGCGTGATTTCACCTTGTAGTTTCCTGTAGATCCTTGGAAGATACTGCCGATATTCTAACCGTTCAACGACATCTACTAGCACCTGTTTTCTATTATCAGTAAGGCTTACCGAGAAGTCTTTTCTCCGACACGCGGTACTCACCAATGTCACTCAATAGCGTCATTGTGCTGACCATTGGGATTGCATGCTTGTTACGTGAACATCATCATGGTAATAAACTTCGTGACAATCGACATGAAGACATGTGAGGATTCGAAAACTCGGCGACCGCCGAATGCTGGGAACTGGATAAGTCTACGTCTTGGCTGTTGACAAACAGTCCGGCTTTTGGAACGAAACTCTCTTCGAAAATCGTTTCGAGCGTTGCTGAGGAAGGCGACTTTCTGATCTCATGTTGGCTCCCCCGGCCGCCTTCTCCAGGCAGGGGAACCAAGGCAAGATTATCGAAGGAGCTTCCGAAAAGGGTGATCGACGCTTTACGATGCGATATCACCGTCGCTTATTGCAGCCAGATTGGGTTGGAGTAGTATACTTCAGGTCTGAATCTCTAGTCCGACTTACCTACTTACACTTGCGTAGTTCAATAAGATATAAATTCGAGCCTTCTCAACCTTTACCACACCCATCCACCTGCTGCAACTACAATCCGACAATTTCCATTTACTCAGGTCAATACATTTCCGTCAAATCTCAACTCCATCAAAATGCGTTTCCTTGTCTTGTGGTTTTGTGCATTCCCCCTAGCCTTTGGAACTCCCACTGGCGGAAGAATTGCCAAAAGCAACTCACTTGACCTGGGCCATCCAGAGGCGGCTCAGGTCCGCGATAAGGTACAGAGTCATCTAACATAAACATGGTTGCAAATGCTGACATGACCGTAATGACAGATAGCTGTATGCCCAAAAACCTCCCATCACCTTCCGTAATGGCCGCCTTGACAGACGTGGCATCGATTCACGGTTTCCTCGATGAAGCCCACCTGAAACCAAGCTGACCTCTTGCAGACGGCCGCGGGCCAAGACGCAAGCCTCGTCGTAAGTGACGACATTCTTCATGTCATTGCTCTATTCATAACCGGTTACAGACGGCCCCCGATGCATTGGTCGCGCGTCAGCGGCCGAACAGGAAGCCCGGCAAGGGCAAAGATTTCACGGCGAGACCGCCGCAGCGGTCGTCTTCAAACCGAGGGGCCCCACCCAAGAAGAAGGGTGCGTCAGGCGGCAGAGGGTAGATCTCGAGATAGATATGGAGTGATTGCGGATCGTCCTACAACGGATCTGGTGGTGGGCATGCGGCGATGATGAGGGAACAGCGAACCAGGGGCTCTCGTTCAGATGCGACTCGTCGAACACAGTCATTACTGGTCATCGCAAGTCATTCAGCCGAACGTGGTTCACAGGGACAATCGTCAATCGTTGACGCAATTCTGCTAGCAATCTAGCAGATTGCCTCTATAAATACAAACCGCTTGTCCCATACAGAGTTTATATTTGGAAATCTGTGTTATGATGTGACCAAATACTGCCGGGGAGTGAATGGGGACTCTTCTTCGCAGCGTGTCGTCGCCGTCGGGAGGACGTGGCTGGAGGCACTTCGAGGTCCCATGCCGGAGCAAACAAGTCGGAATTTGTGAGAGACTTGACTTCCACCAATGCAGCTCTTGTTGTAACAGGGTCGCCCGTATTCCGCAGAAACCTTGCTTGATATCTTCATACACTGTGTACACACTTGTTACCCTGGTCCTACGCGCTCTAGCCCATCAAAGCTACACCGGGGCTTTCTACTCTTTTTGGCTCCAATTACTACGTTTATACAACAGGACTAAACCTAGACGGCTTGTCTTATCTAGAGTCAGCATCTATATATAAAACGCGCTGCCGTTCACATTCCCTCTAAAGTGAGCAGCTGAAAGCTGGGTGCCTTGGACACTGGAAAGCAGCGTACTGACAGGCCATCGACTCAGACTTCAGGAATGAGACTCGAACTCCCCTCCCAAACACTATTGCAATTCTAGTTTATCTAAGCCAAAGACAACTGTCACGTACGCGTGAATGTCTCGGTTGATAAGATGTTACTCTTGCTATGGAAATTCCTCAGACTGCCTCGGCCAGCGGCTGTGGCCAGAACGGCGGCCGTTGCGCCTCCAACGGCCAATCACCCAGGTCCTCCCACCCACAGCTGAAATTGTGCCTCCCCGATCCGACCCAGACGCCCTCATCGTCCTGACCGGTCACATAAGATCGATGCTTGTCAGGCAACACCACGTACGCCGTGCAGTTCGGAGGCACCGTCAACCTCAGCACGAACCGCCCGCCCGAAATCTTCCAAGAACTCTCCACCTCGCCGTAAGGGCTAATGTGTCTCGCGCTGGCGTGCGTCAGAGGCCCGCCTGGCACGGGACGGACCTCGATCTGCTTCCACCCGGGCACCTTGGCTTTGAGCCCGGCCACGACCTCGTGCAGCCAGTTGACGACGGAACCGAGGGAACAGTGGTTGAAGGACGTCATGTCGCCCGGATTGATCGAGCCGTCATGAAGCATGCTATCCCAGCGCTCCCAGATGGTCGTGGCGCCCATGACGACGGGGTACATCCAGCTAGGGCACTGCTTCTCGAACAACATACGGTACGCGTACTGGTGATGGCCGATCGTGGATAGGGCGTGAAGGATGATGGGCGTGCCCGCGAAGCCTGTAGAGACTCGGAACTGGGCTTGGCGAACGGAGCGGATGAGGCGCGCCGTGACGGTGGATCGTTGCGTTGGCGATTTTATCAAGCCATTAGTGATAGCGAGGGCGTATGCCGTCTGTGTATCTGAAGCCATCAGGCCGCGTGAAGTAATGTATTTGTGCTGGAATGTCTCAATGAGCGTAACGCGCTGGCTGGCGTAGCGCGCCGAGTCGGAGGCGCCTCCCAGGATCGCGGCGACTTCGGCTAGGATGCCGGTCACGCGGATCAGGTAGGCGTCTGCCACGAGGACGCCGTCTGTCTTGCCCATCCCGGGCTCACTAGGCGGCGCTGCCGGGTCCAGCCAGTCGCCCAGTTGCCAAACGTCCTCGTCCCATAGCGAGTCGGCCCCGCGGATGATGCCTCGGTCTACCCAGGCTTGCATGCTGTCATAATGCCGCTCTAGTATGGCGGTGTCGCCAGAGGCGCGGTACAGCTCCCAGGGAACGACGACAACGACATCATCCCAGACGGCATTGGGTAGATGGGGCCACCACTCGTCCTGGACGGTCTCGTCATCGCGACCGATGACGTTGGGTACGACGAAGGGGGGAACGCCGTCGCCATTCGCGGCTTGCTCTGCCATAACATCCGCCATCCAACCTCCCAGAACACTATTCGTGTCGTACAGGAAGTTGGCGGAGGGCGAGAACACTTGGATATCTCCCGTCCAGCCAAGTCGCTCGTCTCGTTGGGGGCAGTCAGTCGGGATGGACAGGAAGTTTCCTCGCATGCTCCAGACGGCGTTCTCATGGAGTTTATTGAGGAGCGGATGGGAGCTTTCGAACCACTCCGTCCGGCGCATATCCGAGTGCATGACCAGCGCCGTGACTGAATCCTTAGTGAGGGGCCCGTCCATGTCGTCGACTGACCATCCATCGACCTGAACGTAACGAAAACCGTGGAACGAGAAAAGAGGACTCCATCCCTCAATCAGGTCGCCGCGAGAGATGAGCACTGCTTCTGATGCTGCGAAGCGCAGTGGTCGCCGGCATAGCTCGCCGTTCTCCAAGACCTCGGCGTGGGCAAAACGCACCTCATGCCCCTCAGGCTTGTTCAGGTGGTTGACACAAATCTTGCCAACAATGTTCTGGCCGAAATCCAGAATCGTTCGGCCCGTTGGGCTTTTGATAATGTCCACCGTCGCGATTTTCTCCGTGACACGCACAGGCGGAGCTTCGGGGCTCACGAGCCTCGAGCCGGGGTGAGCTCCGATCTGGACTCGAGCCCATTGAACTTCCGATGCTTTGGCTGGGTCTCTTAATCTGGCGTCGTACGTCTCGCCGTTGTATATCTCGCTTTGGGTGATGGCACTGGGTGCGCACTCCCAAGTCTCGTCCGTTGCTGCAATCCAGATCTGAGACGCTTGCCCGGCATCCTGGCCCTGGAAGTCTACCCGCAGCTGTCCGAAGACGCCGAGCGTATTGCCGAAGCGGCATCGCCTGCCGCCGGCCCATCCTAGGGCAGATCCTAGCCATCCCGGGGCCACTTCGACTTCGACGCGGGCCTCAGGCTCATCTCGTAGTAAGTCCGTGACCGAAAATGTGACATAGTTCAGGCGATTCTTGTAGCTTGTCCAGCCTGGAGCAAGGAGCTGGTCGCCGACGGGCTTGCCGTTGATGTATGCCTGATAGACGCCGTGAGCTGTCATGTAGAGTCTGGCCCGTGTGACGCCGGCGGGAAGCTTCAGAAGCTGGCTACGAAATCTCAAAGGTCGCATGGATCCATCCTCTGCACGCAGCTGGATAGCTGACGGCGGCTCGATCAAGGCGGCCTGCCAGTTGTCTTGGTCCAAGACGGCGGCTTCGACAGTCGCCGATGGCGACCAATCGGACCATTCCACCTCCGTGTTGCCAGATTCCATGCTTTTCACTTTCCCGCAAACGCGGACACGAACTTTGGCAGCTTCAAAGGACCGCAGGGGCCGCAAGGGCCAAGGCACGAGAAGAGAATCGGTGCTGTCGACCCTGACGGTGCGGCTCTCTTGGTCCTTCGCGGACAGACCATTGCTCAGGATAACCGTCTCGATCTCGTAAGAGCCCTGTTCCCAGGCCATGACCTTCCCCGGATCAGCAGAGAAGGACCAGGAAATCCGGGGACTGCCGGTGGCAATGCCGAGTCCATCGTGGTGGTGCTCAAAGCGGACATTGACGATTTGTGGCTGGAAGGAAGACATGACGTAGCTCTGTGAGAAAGGATTTCTGGCGGAATGTTTTCCAATCCCGAGAATCACTGGTCAGGAGCTGGGAGAAATGCGGCAACATGTATAAAGTGAGACGTGTTGGGTCATTGCCGGCTGCCAGTCGATGTTGGCGGAGCGGACGACACACTCGGGTCAAAGCCATCCGACAGGTGCTTGATGATTTACAACGCTGCTCTTTTGATCCTACAGGGGCTAGTGTCGTTGCTTTTTGTTGGATGGATGATATGTTTTACCTCATTCGGTGGGTAGTCGATGGGCCGAGACGCCCGGAAGAGAGGAAACCAGGCTTGGCCCGGTCCGCTGGCAAACACATGCCACTGTACGCGTAATGATCCATGGAACCTCTCCAGATCTACAGGGAGAAGGTCTTAAAGTCGGCGAAAGGGATGAGTCCATTGAAGGCGAGTCTTCTTCCCAAGTGTCAATGACGCCTGTGCAAGCCTCCTCACCGTTGAAAGCATTGGATGATTCCCACAGGGAAATGCTGACACCTCGTCCAATCCTGCCCACAGTCAACAGACAGTCACAATCTTTACTTGATTAAAATCCAGAACTTGTATTGAGTATCTATCCCTGGCCGGGAAACGATACGGGATATCTGACTCCTGGGGACACCGAAGCTTTTGGAGCCCCCTCGACCGTGGGGCTTGATGACCTGGAAGCCCGTGATAGCACGCAGAAGCTACTTGAAGGGTGCTTAAGCAAGGTAGAAGTATAAATTGGAGCATTTGAAGCTAAAAAGCACGCGTTTCAGACTGAGTACATGTTGACTTCGTCGTGTATGCGGTTCGACTGAACACATGAAGAATGCCTGTACACACAATCGGCTCCCAGAATGGAAACTTCTTCGCATTCAGAATGGGCCCAGCTTGCCCCATCCGCAGTCACCGTCCCAGTCCTCGTTTAGGGTGTTTGCACTACGGTCTTCACACCTGTTAGGCCACGTCTCCGGGCCCGGCGCCTCGTAGCTCTTGGGCACGGGGTTGAATAGCTCCAGCATTAGGCCCGGCTCGTACCCGTTGTACACGCCCGGGATTTTGACCAACGGTCCTGGCTTGCCGGCTCCATTGCCCGTCACCTGGAGCTGCGCACAGCTGATGTAGAACTGTGCCTTGGCGTGCTGCGTGGCGTCGTGCAGCCCGACGTGCTCCGCCCGCAAGAGATACTGGCCTGCTGGGATCTCCTGCGGTAGCTGGAAGGTGTAGTTGCGGATGGCCTGGGCGTACTTGTAGTTGCCCCAGTGAATGGTGTTGTCGTCAATGGTCGTCACGGTGAGGGCGTACACCTTGAACCAGTCGCCGTCACCGCGGTACTCGGAGGCCGAAACGCCGTCAGGCGCCTTGCTCATGTACACCGCCAGAGGTCCTGGATGACCGATCTCAATGTTGACGGTGAAGCCGAGAATGTCACCAGGGGCGACGGTGGCCGTCTTGGTGGCGGCCATTGTCTCGGGGTTCAGGCCACCCTCATTGCAGACCATGTCAAGAGAGCTGACATCAGCCACCGGTGACCAGCCGTTCGTCGAGCGTCGAACGTACTCGTACGGCTGGGTCACAACGCCGTTAATAATGAGGGCCTCATGGTTGTAGTGGGAGATGGCCACAGGGAGAGAAGCAAGGGCCACGAGGCCCGTAGAAATGATTGGCTTGGAGAAATGCATATTGGTCGATGAAGTCTGACTTTCTTCTTTATTCAACTACTGTGGCGATGAGCTCAGACGATCTGATTTGTAGCCAGAAACTGGATCCAAAGGCCGCCTCCATCATTCTTTATGCCTCGAGCTTGATAGTGCTTGGACTGAATCCTCATGTCGGCGCCTCGGTCTAATGAGAACAGCGAGATTGTCTGCGCCATGGCCGTGTTGTGATCGTATTCCCAAGGCTGGGACCTGTTTGAGTAAAGATTGCCACTACTCCAGACTTTCTCGACAGACACCCCGCATTTTGGATCGGGTACTCACCGAAATGAGACTCTGGGGTTCCCGCAGGAACGGGATGTCGCGAGATGCCGCCTTCAACACGAGCAAGAGGGAGTGGTCAGCGGGGTGATGTGGATGTGACAACGAGGTTGTTTGCTATTCCACAACTACACGATGCCATGCTAATTTCCCGGATGGTGGAGAATAATAGCTCGTCTTCCAATATCTCGTGCCGAAGGCGGGGTACTGAAATGATCATGAGATGTCGAGTCTGGAGGCCAAGCGCAATAGGTTCTTCTGATGCCGAGGGTAATTTCATTTCAGGTTCTATGACTGTATCATCTAAGGCGGTGTACAATTCCCTTGATCTGGGTACCAGCTGAAAACACGTTATACATCGACTTCACAGAGGTTTTCTCATAGCGAGTGTAATTTGATGTACTCAATGTGCTTCAAAGCGAGCTACATACTTGTTCAATACATTATCTGGGTTCCCAAGCACTGATTGAATCCATCATAGCCGCCCCCTATCTGAGTCCAAGCATGTTTCTTAGTAGGCTCCCTCGCGCTTCTCCCAGCTGGGAGACTCGACAAGATCGACCTTGGAACGGCTAGAAATCACAGGTGTCCCGGCGCGAAGCTGGATACCCTTCAGACCCATGGGCTCCACCTCCTTTGCCTGCGACCAGGACGTTATGGCGATGGTGTTCTTCCCGCGATAGTTCAAAATACCCTCCGGCACGGGGAAGTAGTCCATGGCACCCCATCGACCCAGAAACTTGCCAAACTGCCAGCCATTCACAAACAAGTGAACACTGAAGTTGACGTCTGCAGCCCTGCTGAACACGACATCAAGAGGGACATCCCAACCTTCGGGGACGTTCAGGTCGAACTCAGTCGTGTACAGACGGATGCCTGCTTTCATTTCGTCCTTCAACGGATTACCTACATTCCAATCCTGTGAAGGCGGCTGAGGAAGATGCCAGCCCTGGCGTTCCGCGTAGCTGCCACCCTCGTTGAGGGGACCGCGCGCCCTGTCCTTGTAATCCTCCCCGCCGAGGTTGCCAGTGATCTTCCAGTTAACCTCGGTGCCCCCTAAGGAGTAATTGATGATACCGCGTGGAGATTTCATGTCGTCGACGCCGACCTGGAAGTTACCCTCCTGCCCGTGGTTGTCTACCACGACGGTAAGGACGTGCTCGACGCCGGCCTCCAGATTCGGAAGGGAATACGACGTTTGCTTCGTCTTGTCCCAAGGGCTGCCTTCCCAGGACCCTATGTAGGTCTCGTCCAGCCATACTGAGTGGCTATAAGCCATGCCCCCAGCTGTTGTGAGGTCAAGCTTGGTCTCGTTGCCTCTAGCAGTGAAATGACCCCTGTAGACTAAGTAGCCGGAGTGAAACCCGTACTCGCTTCCCGCGAGAACGAATGGAATGTATTGGGGTGCAGCCTGGTTGTTCCAGGTTTGATGGTTTGCAGAAGGCCACATCGAGTCATCGTAGCCGGCCGTGATCTCGGGGAGAGAATCGGCGTACTTCCAATCCACGGAGCTCAAGTCAGGCAAATTGAGCGTCGGCGTCTCGTAGTTAATGATGATCTCCAGGTTGCCGATGCTGTTACGAACGGCGTCCACCTTCTCGCCATTGATGTTGAGCTGCTGGACCCAGCCGGGCGCGCCGATGACCTCAACAGTAGTGGTTCCGTTGAAGTCGGCCGCAAGCGACAGAACGCCAGAATCGCGTGAGGCCTCAGCGCTGCGAACGAGGTATCCGGCCTTCACGATGACCGCATCGGCGTTGGTTTCTGTAGTACCGTAGGCACCGCGTTCCGGAGAGGGCAGGAGAGGGATGAAGTACTTGTAAGCCTCGTTGCGATCCAAAAGGTAAACAAAGGTGTTTCCAATCTTGAGGACAGATCGGGCAGATGAAATCTGCCATTGGAATGTACTGAGACCGTTCTTCTGCTCGATCTGAGGCTTGGGTCCCTCGAGAACCTCAATAGTGCTGTTGCTAACGATAGATGCCTCATGCGTCTCTTGGGGACCGCCGTACAAGACGAGGACTCTCTTGTTGCCATCGTACTTCTTCCAAGTCAGGACCTCGCCAGATGAGTACAGAAGCTTCTCGCCACCCAGGTCGTAGTCAACGACGTGGATCTTGGAGTCGCGACCGTTGAGAAGCAAGGAACCGCCTAGTGCAGGGATGGTGAGGTTGCCCCTGCTAGAAGGAACGGATAGCGTGTAGGGGGTAATCGCCATGCTCTCATAGGCCGAGTGACGTAAGACAAAGAGACCCGTGTCGTCGTCTGGGTTGACCAGAGGAGTAACGGTCAGCGCTGAGTCGTTGGTGTATTGGGTGCTTGCTTGGAGGGGTCGTGAGGTGAGGTAGGCCGGCGTCACCCTGAAGAACTGGCCTTGCAGCTTCATCGATGAGTACGCCTCACGGTTCAAGGTTCGATCTTCCCGTATCATAGAGCCGACATCGTAGCTGGTTCCTGAGTGAGGTGATCCGATGTTGCCCCAGTTGGTGCCTCCAGCCGTCATGTACAGGTTCATAAGCTTCACGGCAGCAGCGTAGTTGTTCTTGTAGACCACCCTACCAAATTGCTCATTGACCGACTGAGCGCAGACATCATAGTTAACGCTCACGTCCCACCCGGCGCCGGCGCCACCCTGAAACTCGGGAATGGCGTGAGGAGTGCCGGCGCTGACGTTCAGATGCTGCTGCCAGTATCCAGTCTTGAGCTGGTTGGCCGGCCACTCATAGGGGTTCCAACAGCCATTGCCAATGGGATAGCTGTCGAAGCCGTAGATGTCCATCTCGCCTGTTCCGGTACCTGGAGCGTTGAAGCCATTGTCGAAAGCATCGTTATTGATGAATGGGACTACGATGCCGGCGCCCCGGTATTGGTCGATGACATGCTGCATGTACTCGCCGTCGGGGCCTGCCTCGTTTCCACGAAACTCTGAGTACTCGTTCTCAGGCTGCACGAGAATGACAGGGCCACCATTGGTGATCTGAGCGTCGGCGATGATCTTGCCCATGTTTCCGACGTAGTTCTGAGTGGCCAAAAGGAAATCGCCCTTGTTTGTGCGGAGCGTGCCATTCTCCCCCTTGACGCGCTGCACCCAGCCCGGGAAACCACCTCCCGAGGTCTCGGAGTTGATGTAGGGGCCCGGCCTGGCGATGAGGTAGATACCGGCGTCTTTGGCGGCCTGAAACCACTTGTCAAGCGCAAAGACGCCCTCTGCGGTGAATTCGCCGGGCTTTCCCTCGTAAAGAGGCCAGTAGGTGTAGAAGGATACAGCGTTAAAGCCTGCAGCCTTGATCTTCTGGAAGTTGTCGATCCAAAGGCTGGGTACGGGAAGCCGGAAGGGCTGGTATTCGCCGGTCAACAGAAAGACCCGCTCGCCCCGGACGAAGAAAGAGTCCTCGTCCCAGGTAACGATGTCTTGCAAAGCACGCCCATCCTTGGAATGACCCGAGAATGATCCAATGTCGTAAGGGGCCCCCAAAGCGGAGGAGAAATAGGAGCCCAGCGCCAGAGCACAGAGATGACGCAGGAGCTTCATTTTGCCGTCTGGATGTGAAAATATCTGGTATTACAATCGAATAACAAAAGACTCCTGAGGTGTGAATCGTGATGCCTTATGTGTATATACCTACTTTTATATTCACCGCACTACTGCCCATTACTCCCATGCCTCTTTTACATCTTCCGTTGCAATAGAAGAGCTGCATCACCTTTTGATCGGCATCTTCTCTTTTGGGAAACTGGTAACGTCTTGCTGCGTTTGCGCCATGTTCACACTAGCAAGACTCAAATCAGTCTTCACTGGACTGTCTCCCCAAAGACTGATGATCTCGTAGTTTCGGTACAATGAGCGCCCGAGAAGTATGTCGGAAATGAGAATGAAGCTGAAAATCACGGGATATGTACGACCTTTCGGCCGAACATCAAATGCAATAGACCAAACAACACTTCGAGCAATCTCGTGCTCGCAGTAGCCTCCTCGGCTCTCAACCAAGTCCGGTGCGTTCCCCGCCTACCCCGTGTCTTCCCTATCTTCCTCCAGCTCTTCTCCGCAGGTCTAACCTGTTCTGCAAAGGAGGTGCTGCTTCTGGACACGGCAGTTTTCTCCTTGCAATTGAACTGATGCGATCGAGCAGACTACATTCGGTATGTCGGGGCATTGTTTAACGGTTCTAAAGCATACGACACTGATTTGCTTGACGAGCGGATGTGGCAGTCCAAGACTTCTACGCTGATACCTTCCTTCCCAGATCAAAGCCAAGTATCTCCGCAGGGAACACGAGGTCCAAGATCAAGGGGCAGCGCTAACATAACCCTACATTCCAAGCTATGATGTGGACCGTGTTCAAGACCGAGGTGTTGCTGTTACCTCAAGCCACCAGGCAGTCACCCGCGTCCGAAATTGCGATGGGCTCTCTGGAAGGCTCATCAGATTAAATTCAAATGTTCCAGGTAGATTATACTTTCTCTGGAATCAGAAGAGCCTGGAAATGTCTGCCTAAGATGTACTCAACGAGTATGCCTTGCCGAGGACGACTTGCCTAGCTGCGAAGCTCCTGGTCCACCGCGACATCCTCCCCAGGCACAGAAATGCCGTCATCTAATGAATCAAGGTGTTAGACAAAGCAAAATTATCAACGAATGACCCAATGTTTGATTTGCATCACGCCTACTACACACTCTGAAAGCGTTCAACCCAGGTCGTCCACCGACCCAGGACTAGTAGGTGAGGGATATCAGACTGGTCGGTATAATGACTGGAGAAGATTCCCTCGAAGAGGTTGAATAGCAAAATACGTCGTTTGTCACACTTTCGGACATGTTTGTTTTTGGGGCCACGGCATCACCGGCTTCAGGCCGTTCTGAAAGTCGTCATTTACGAACGTAACATCAATTGAAAGCATTCGTTTGTGTTAGTAAGACTACATATTGATGAGAAATGTGAACCTCCTCCTTTACTGTCAAGCGGTGTCGAACATGCCGCCCGCTGATGCATGGTCTTGGGGCTCCAATGATAGGAATATACTGAGAGCGACATTGTAACATTGAACATGGTGCTGCGCCTTCTGTTAGATGCACTTGGGCGTTCATTGGAATTGCAGCTCCTATGAGCAGGCAAGTCTGAGAGATACCTAGCGATATATTCACAAGATCAGGGGCTCTCTCCACCGAGGCTACGTAAAGAGCACCCCAATCTGTCGAATTCACGTTCAGAAAATAAGGGCTCTCGTAGAGCCTGTACACTCTATCTCTCCCGTGCCAGTCTATTGTTGCCTTCAACAGAACAGTACAATGATTATGCCCGGTGTGTAGCATGAAGATCCCGTACAAGAAGCCTTGCAGAAACTCCCCTTTTCCAGTCTCCCTCGCAAGTCTCGACGAGTCGGACAGCGAGTGCTCACGGCCATTTACATTATACACATGGACCTGCACAAGCTCCAGACACATTTCAAGGACAGGTACCGACATGTTTATTGCGCCAAAGTCACTGCTGCGGTTACACTTCACTAGCAGCCATGGCACCTGAGCCTCGTCCGCCCCGGTTCGCTCAGAGGCCCCCGTCGGTAGGCTCTGCTCGGTAGCAGTTCCAGTCCCGTCAGACTCTACGGCTCTCGCACGCAGTCTTTGCTTCTCTGTTCACAGCGCTTGTCCGCACAGTGGTTCTCTTCCGTGATGGCATTCTGTTGGAGCATCCTGGGATGAGCACTGTAGCTAGCCTTTCTATGCGAGAGAAAGGGGTTCGATCCCCCTGACTCCTGTGAACCGCAGGCAACACTATATTGACTCACTGTCACATACTCCGAATACGATGTAGCAATCCTGGGCGCTCAAGCTTTGGACGCACATTGTTTGTCTTGGTTAGGATCGAGATTATTGTGGATGGAAGACCTGTTAAAAGATTTTGAACTGTGGAGTGCCGATCTCCATTTCGTGATCTAGGTTAATCAAATCAATGAAGTTGCGGTGACGAACAAGAACGGTCACTACGAAGTATAGCATGAGTTCAATGACGAGAGGATGCCAAGTGTGTAGCACTCTTCAGTCAAGGCTCGGGCGCAAATATCATGGGCTATGTTTTCAGTACCTTGGCTACTTTCACTCCCCTGGGCCATCGCCAGGCAGTTCTCCGTCGGTGGATTTGCTGCCGAGCGTATCAACCGACGCTGATGATTATCAATGCTCTGTTGACTGAGATGGACGACCAACGAGGCCATTGGTAATACAGCCCGTGTGGTCTTCCACATCTTTCCAAAATCGTACACGCAGGTACAGAGGTTTCCCCGCGTTTCCTTCTCATGTCGCCATGACTTCAATGTGACTTAGTTCAGGGGCTCGATGTTCCCCGGATGCACCATCAGAGCCTAGGGGTTTACACGTCACCACCACTTTCGTTCCAACTCACCGGGCACAGTCGACGGTGAGGGAGGGCCGAGAATTCAATCTCCGCATCCGAGATTTCGTTTCCTGCTCTGAGGCATGGGGTATTCTACATGGCGACCTATCCCTTACGTGGTCTTCTCGGATTGTGGATTTCTCGACACGAATTCCGATGCCTTGGGTGCCTGACAGCCCCCTCTTAGCTCTGCCCGTTGGTCAAGTATTCTGCGTCAACTCACACCGAGCTGTTGGTCATTGACGAATCTCTGTACATATTCAGGAAAGTCCAAGGCGTGAAGCTTTCATGACCTCGGAATTGGTGCGCAAAGATACCCCGAGGAGTCATGGGAATAGTTAGTCTTAATAACCTGCAACGGCGTTGTTTTGTGTTGATGCCAACCCGCAAATCCACTTTGTTATTCATTCCTGATAACCACTTCTTCTCCTGCCGTGTGTATAGACCCCTCTACAAGTCAGGCAACATGGGCAAGAAAACAACCATCTTCTCGGGCGTCTTCCTGTCCGTGGGAGGCTTTCTTTTTGGCTATGATTCAGGCATCATCACCTCAACAATTTCCCTGCCAACCTTCGAGGAGTACTTCTCGCAGCCGTCAGACACGGTCGTGGGCGGTATCGTCTCGTCCTTCCAGGGCGGTGCCATCCTCGGAACCATCTTCAACATGGTCTTCGCCCACATGCTGGGGCGCCGTCTCACAATTTTCATCGGGGCCCTGGTCTCGCTATTCGGCTGCGCGCTCCAGGCCGGCGCCATCAATATGACCATGCTCATAGTAGGTCGCTTTATTGGCGGGGTGGCTGTCGGACAGCTCACCTCTACGATCCCCATGTACGCCTCGGAGCTTTCAGAGCCTCAGTACCGCGGGACCCTCGCCGGTCTACTGCAGTGGTCCTTAAGCTGGGGCTTTTTTGTGGCTCAGTGGCTCGGCTACGGATGCTCGTTTGTTGCTGGCCACTTCTCATGTATGTTGATGAACCACTGCTGTGCCTCCCTCCTTTTAGTGCTGGACTGACTTTGTTTCACACAGGGCGGTTCCCACTCGCTTTCCAGACCGTTCCCGGTCTGGTTCTTGTTGCGGGCGTCTATTTCCTCCAGGAGTCACCTCGTTGGCTCATGGAAAGGGATCGCCACGAAGAAGCGCGCAAGTCACTAATTGTGCTCCGAAACCATCTCGAAGAGGAAAGGATTGAGCTCGAATTTCGCGAAATCCGAGATGTCATTTTGGCTGACCGGGCTCTTGGCGACATCTCTTGGAAGTCGATTATCACGAAGCCCTCATGGCGTAGGCGTCTTATTCTTGGATGCGGCGTCCAGGCTTTCGGTCCTCTCAGTGGCATCAACGTTATCAACTATTACGGCCCTCGTATCTACAGCATCCTCAACATCCCCGTTCGCGAGTCTCTCCTCATCATTGGCATCAATGGCGCTCTTTCCATCGTTTGGTGCAGCATTGGTCTTTATCTTCTCGATAGGGTTGGTCGCATCAAGCCCCTTCTCGTCTCCGCCACGGGCATGGCCTCTGCGCTCCTCATCAACGCTGTCCAAGGTCAATATTTCAACACTGAGAATGCCAACCAGATGCGAAGTATGGTGGCTATGAATTTTCTGTTCAGTTTCTTCTATACGCCTCTTGGGATTATCAGCTGGGTGTACCCTGCTGAAATCTTTCCTGTTGAGGTCCGCGCCCTGGGTAATGCCATTACCACCTTCACTAATTGGACTGTCAACCTTATTTTTGCGCAATTTACGCCCTTGGCTCTCACGGCGATTGAGTTCGCCTATTTCTATGTTTTTTTCGCTCTCAATATTACCGCCTTTATATGTTACTGGTTCTTTTACCCAGAAACCAAAGGCCGCACGCTGGAACAGATGGATGAGCTCTTTGGCGACCAGATCGTTCCTCATGCTATGAAGGACTCGGCTGCTGCCCAAGCCGCCTTCGAGAAGGACGAGAGCATCGCCGCTCAACTCGAGGTGGCTGAAGCCAGACACAATGCCTAGACAGCCAAGAGAGCATTCATCAGCGCATACACGCCAAGATCAGAGGGGGACAAAGGATTGTGAAATTGGGAAGAAGGGAACGCTTGCACAATCATTAGCGCAGAAGTAGGGACTGGCAGTGGGTCTAAATCGAGTGTATGTATCGAAATGAGACAAATCATGTATGGGTGCACCCATAGGTTGGATTTAATTGAGAAATTTCTCTTGAACCAATTGTTGAATGATATGTTCACCAAGTCATTCAAAAGGTGAAGAAGAAAACCCCATTGTAGCACTTATATAATGATCATATTACGATCATGGGCATAACCAGGCTAAGAGGTACTTTGGAACCACTCGTGGGCGGTGTTTTACGCAGGAAGGTACGGAAAGCAGCTATGGTTCCAAGCAGCAGAATATGTCTTGCAAGTTGCTTCATGGCGAGGAATGGAGAAGGAATCAGTGCCTCTGAAATCGCATGCGGGGCATACAGCACTTGTCGACAACGGCGGATGAGATTCCGCTGAACTCTAGAGCTATACGCGTAAACCCATGCACGTGATTGTATACGCGTAAAGCTTTACATGAAGATTTAGTTTGGGACTCCAGTTCATGAAACTGTGGCTGGGCACGGAGACTGGACATCTCGGCCCCCGTTTGTGCACCACCAAAAGTTCCCGAAAGGGAAATCACATAGAAATCATAGATGAGACAGGCCTTCACAACAATGTGTCGTGATTGGTTAAGAAGGATTTACGTGTGGTGATCACTATGCGGTACCTCATTCGAGTGGAGGTTGGATTCTTATGTCACCCGCCACCTAGCCGCCCCCAGCGGGCCAACCCGGATCGACGTTCAACGCCAAGCTGTGATACGTTCTCTATCCCAAATCCTTGGTTCAGTAGATGTTGTGGTGTGGGAGGCTCTGGAGTCAGGAGTATCATTCTGATCCAGAGCTGTTGGTATGTAATGTAGGCTTGGCGGGAGGGTTACACCATGTCAAGAGACCGGGTTCCCCACCGAATACGACATCGATCCAAGTCGACGTCCCTGCTGACCAATGCCAAAGCTTTAACCTGCAGCCTGTATGCGATTTGGGACTGAGCTAACGGTAACGTCGCGAAGAGAAGTCTAGAAACGGACAGTGGAGTCTCTGCTGCCAAGAGAATGATCTGTCGGTAGGTACCCTGGTCAAAACAGCAGTCGTCCGGCGGGTTGTTGCTCCGCTACGACGGGTCGAATAGTAATCAAACACCATATTTGCCCGGTATGTGATAGGATGCAACTGCCTTCTGTCTGACATGAACCAGCGGGATTACCATGGATTATTTCTGCCCGAGCCCCAGTGTGGCCGCCGGGACATCTCCCAGCGAGCATCGATCACCTTACATGCAGTGAATCAGCCCTTGCATCGATGACTTTGAATCCATAATCTGGATTCGATTTCTTAGTCCTTACAGACTTTTCAGGTGAGCGGATGGCACACGGACTAGAAAAGGTACAGCCAACGCAGTGATTATGTGATAGTAAGAATTGATCGTTCAAGGTACTATCTACAAAGCAACTGTATACAAATTGAGTGGAAAGAAGCAGCACTCCTCTCCAAGAAAGTAATATCTACACGGCGTCCGCAGCTTACAGTGTAGGCTGATCTCTTAGATTTGTAACAACAATCATCGCCTAAGACGTGATGCCCATGTGTTACATGTGTTGAGTGATCATTGAACCACCCCATGCCCGTGGGGCATCTACATAGATGAGTAGGTATAGCACAGAGGTCCACCTTGGATATCCATGTAATCCTTGACAACAGGTTCGGTGTCAACGAGTTCCATCACAGGCATGGTGTCTGTGATCGAGGCCGGAATGGTCTTGTTAACGTCCCGAAAGCCAGTGTAATCCGCCAGGCGGGTCTCATTGCGGCCTTGCCACTGCAACGGAAGTAAGCGAATGAAAGCAAATGTAGGCCGAATACAATCGAAACTCACCTTGGCCCACACTCGGTCGACGTTGCCATGATGGAGAAAGAAGAGAGGCTCGTTGGGCGAGGTGGCGGGGCCCATGTCACCAAAGATGGAGCTGTGGACTGCACACACGTTAGCATTCGTCGGGAGACTAGTTAGTGAAAAAAGCATAAACATACTCTGTGCATGAGGAAGACCCTCGAGCATATTGACCATGTCAGGGAACTTGTCAAAGGCGTAAATTGCGGTCATGACCTTGGAGTCGTAAGCTGCCATCTGCATGTCGCCAACGAGGCTGTTTCCATTCTCGTCAAATTGATCGCCGCTGTTGAACTCCCGCGTGAGGCAGTGCAGGCGGTTTCCTTGCTCGGTCATGTTGGGCCATCCCATTGCCAGTGTTAGGTTCGTGTTTGCGAAAGGCCCATCCACCACGCACCGCTGGAAGCCTGGTTCCTTGCTTCCCGTGAACTGGCCGTTGCCGCCGAAGCCAGTGACCGGGTCGAACAGGGGCGACTGCGGCATGTTCTTGGCATCAGCGTCTATGGTCCAGTCCCAGTACGGGTGGACACCGGTGAAGCCGCACTCGTCACGCAGCAGGTTCTCGTGCAGTTGCACGAACCAGCGGTGCCAGGGAAGGAAGTTGGCGACAAAGTGAATTTGGGAGCTGAGGCGGAAGTGAGTGTACACCAAGTCGTCCATGCGCGTGGTGACGGCGTCGACGGCGGCGTACTTGGACTTGGGAAGCCCGCGGACACAGACTGCGGCGCGGAGGTACTCGGCCTTCTCGCCATCAGTGAGCTCACGCCACTCCTTACGGATGGCCGACTGAGTGCAGATGTTGCCGTCACGGGGCGTGACGCTCGCAGCAGTTGCGGCTGCGAGTGACCCTATAGCGAGAATTGAGCTGAGAAGCATGTTGTTGGCGAATGAAGATGAAACGAATGACAACCAGGATAATACACAATGAAGGCACGAGTGTCTGTGGAATGTTAACAGTCTTATTGCAACAAGAGGTTTCTTTCTGTATTTATCATGATAAATCGTCGTGCTCTTAGATGTTGAATCCATAAATCTCCTTCCAGTTCACCCATGAACGACCATGTCTATTTTCATCAGCATCGTTGTACTTGAAAATGAATACGATCTCTAGCTTGTCCGACCCTGCTCCCCTGTTCTCTGAAGAAATGATGTTCTCGTACTCAACTACCCAGCACCGCAAGCCAAAATCTGAAGCTAGTCTGTAGACGTTGTCCTCGCCCGCCGTGATCCGCTCTCTGAACCGAAGTAGCCTTCGTGTTGCCCTCTCATCGTATTTCTGTTCAGCATCATGTCCACTACCGGGGAAAGAACTTGATCCGCTTGATTCTCCTTAACACCGTCGGCATATGTTTCCTTTCCTTTCGGGGCATTTTTTCCATGAAAGACAAGAGAGGCCCGTATTCTCCGACCCCGCTAGGCGCAGCTGAATATGACTGGAATCACGAGGTGTCCCGTGACATGAAGAAATCAACATCTCTCGGGAGTTGCTATCTCCGGCCGCTAGCAGCTCAGTCAAATGCCAAAAAAAAAAAAGGAAAAAGTTGCCAAGTTATGAGAGTCTATTTTCGACATGCGAAAGGATCCTCTCCATTAACGCGTTATGATCCCATAGAACTACTCACGGCCAACTACTCACGGCCAGGGTTCCCAATCTAGTAATTTTCTGTCATCCAGGGAGGAGGGATTAGATGAGTGGTGAGTGGAGCCGAGTCCGTTATGGGCAAGACCTCGGTCGATCTCGGTGGATACTAGTAAACTCATGTTTAAGCTATTTCCTGGTTCGGCATAGACTAAATTCTTAATTTGGCGTACATCACAGAGAAAGTTACATGGCGTCATTCCGCACTCCGTCCCTTGACGACCGTGAAGCAGAATTTAACGTGAAAACTTTTAGTTCTGATTGGTTTGTCTCTTGGATAGGTCCGGCTACACGCAAAAATGCTGATTCCTGAACAACCTCGAATGACAGGCAACATCGATGGATGGGATAACCCAGCTTGGGAACGAAAAGGACACAGTCACACAGGTTTGTCCTTGACTTGCGTGTGAGACACTGGACGATGTGACGGTCATCTTTCCGAGGAGACGGAGACTCCGCTAGTGGGCTTCGCCTCGCTCAGCGCTACGTGCCCACTCTGCCACATCGAACACACACTCTCCTTGATTGCCAGGAAGACCAGCCGAGCGAGGACTAAGACAGTCAGTGCGGAACAGCAGCCGCCTCTTCGATGGTTCAACTTTGTCTGAACTCGCTGGAGTCGTTGCATATTCCTGCATGGATGAGAGTCGTCTACTCTGACAATAATCTGTAGTCGTTGGGTATGGAAAGATGTCGAATAGACCGAGATTCAACAGTAGCTGCATCGTACTGCGCCGCGGCGAATTGCAATTGTCTTAGGTCTACTCCGACAGGATTTTACACTGCTCTGATTTCTCCCTATCATACTCTTCGTAGAACCCAGACCATACAACCCGGTCTGCACACTTGGGCGAACCTTCCCTACCAACTTTCTTATCCAGGACGGGGCACTCTGGCAATGCAGCCTCCCACTGCTGCTTAGTGCGCGATATCCATGGTTTAGGAAGAGGCCAGTCGCTGAAGTGTACAAGGTAAGATTGTGATACCTCCTTCGTGGCATTCCACACCTCATTCTCATTAGGAGCCAGATATTTGGAGTGATTGGTAGCACGAAACTCGCCTGTCAGGAGGGCTAGTCCCCGGTGAGGCAATATCATGGCTGAGTCTCCGAATAAGTGATTGACGACTTCCATGTCAAACTCTCCCGATTGCGCTGCCTCGTCCATAATCTTGTGATAGCGTGCCTTGTTTGGCTCGATCAACATTACATGAGACCCGAGGACTTGCTTCTTATCCATATTCTTCTCGTTCAACCAGTAGGCTCGGGGTAAGGCGATCGGGGCCTTTGGGCTAAGAAAGTAGTCGTCCATATTGTTGAGGACAAGAGAGTCGGAATCGAAGGCAAGAACGCGTTTCCACCCTGTCAATGCGAAGGCGTGGAATTTTGTCAAACTGTACTGCCAGGTTTTGTCGCCTTTGCTTGTTGATATCAGATCGAATCCGCTCATCTTGAGGCCGGGACTTGAATCGCGGAGTCTAGCCAACGCAGTCGCCTCGCGAGAATTCTAGTCGGGAAATGATCAGATTCGCGTCGCCTCTCGGGCAAGGATGTGAAGCCAATGTAAACTCACCCCTTTTGACCATTCGTTTGGGTGAATGAGGACGAGGTCTTCTCGCGCGCCATATCGCCGTAGGCGAGCAAAGTTGATCACCTACATCCCGCGTTTCATCGTTAAAATGCGAAAACGTTTACATTGGGGGAAAGAAGTGATGCTCACTGCGTTACACAGGTAATCCATGTTTGTGGCATACTGTACGTAAGCAAACTTTGGCTGGACCTCCTCGGTTGTCCATGTCGGCTTCCAGGCGAATTCTTCGGGCGTAGAGATTTCTACAGAAGCAGGCCTGTTTTCGGGGGCGAGTAATATGGCCGAAGCAAAAAGCAGAATGATGAGAGCAATGCTGACGAGTAGAACAAGCCGCCGTGGGAGAGTCTGGAGTCTCCTGTGGATTTGGCGTATTGATAGTCTTTCACGCACAGGGCTTGGGTTGGGAAGGCCGTCTTCAGAGACGGCGTCCAAAGTCCAGGGCATGATCTGTTGAAGGTTGCAGTCACCAAAGAATTGACGAGTATAGCGAAGGAACTTTTGTCGTCTTTTTACGCAACGGGGCAGAGATAAAGGTGATAGGATATGATTATGAATAATCTCTTCATGTCTCCTCATAGACAAGCCTGGCTTGAGAATGACGGACGTACTGTGCCCCACTGCCTACAGACAATCTAGCCTACCCAAAAGATTGAGGAGCATAGCCGTCTCCAGAAGTGAGATAGATCACTAGACGGGCCACTTTCTTGGAACTGGAGCCTTAGCCCTTGACGAACCACAAGTCCAACGCCGTGACAGTTGGCAGCATGTATATCACATCTCATTTCCGTCCACTCTGGAGCTTGCCGAAGCCGCATCCCGCAGTGTCCGCTCCCAGGCGTTTTCAAGTCGTAATATCACCTCAAAATGCTTGGTAGGTCACAGGGACTCGGGGTCTGTTTCTTTCGATTCTTAATACGCCGAAGAGCCGAAGACACCACCCCAATCAGCACGTACCAATTTCCCACCCAAACCCCATTCGCTTGAAAACTTTTACATTTCTGAATACGAACCACATCAGACTAGCCGAGATCAATACCTCGGTCGATTTGCATGATTATGTCTCATCTCTTAGCCCCTTTGACGCTATGGTCTATTGGATTCGCCTGGAATCAGGAGACATCTGACTTGGAGCTGCCGGCAACGTTACCAAACCACTGTGTTCCTGTAGCCGGGGTTTCAGCCGCGCCTTTTTCAATCAAGCCAAATGTGGTCAGGAGATAAGCCGTACGGCTCGCAGCTTTCAGATAGGTTATGACTGTTGGATTGAGAGTTTCGTGTCTGATTACAGCGTTGGAAGTCGTGTAGGCTTTACCGGCTAAGCAGCCCCTCTAGTAGCTACAGAAACCTTGACCGGCTTTGGCGGAAGCATGAAACTATCTCTACGTAAGACAAGGCGACAGCTTCACTCCTCCACCAAGCCAACCATTTCACAGGAGATTGCCCACAACTTGGCTGCAGCACTCTCATCATAAGCCCATTGCGCGTGGCCTTCATCAGTGGACATGGAACCCGACGTCTCCGCCGCCGGCCCCTGTTCGATGCAGTTGCTGAGATAGCGTCCGCCCCGGCCTTCCCACTCCTTGCTGACAGCGGCGTAGACAGATGTGGCCGCGCCTTGGGCGACGCTCTTCATCTGTTTCTGCAGCTCCGGATTCGCGCCCAACGCGGCGATGGTGTCCTGATCCAGGTGCTGGGAGAGGTTGGTCTGGATGCCGCCGGGGTGCAGGGAAAGGGCATGCAAGCCCTTGCCCCCGTAACGCTTCTCAATTTCATTCGCCATGTAAATGTTGGCCGTCTTTGACTGTCCGTAGGCGACCCATGGGTGATACGAGCCTTTCTCTTCGAAATTGATGTCGTGGAAACGGATTCCACCCGCACGGTGTGCCATGGATGAAACGCAGATGACCCGTGAGTGGAAGGTAGGGGTCACAGCTGCAAGGAGCAAAGGATCCAGGAGTCGGAACAGCAGAAAGTGGCTGAGGTGGTTGATGCCGAACTGTGTTTCAAAGCCATCAACGGTCCTGCCTTCGGGTGTAGCCATAACACCAGCGTTGAGGATCAAGATGTTGAGTTTGTCGGTTTGGCTTTGAAGAGTGTTTGCAGCATCTCGGACTGACTGCAATGAGTCGAGTGAAATTTTGATCAGGTGTAAGGGGGCACCTGTCGAGGTCTCTGAGGCCAAAATATCGTTGATCGCCTCTTGACCTTTGGCCAAATCTCTGACTCCCAGGTAAACAGTTGCTCCTGTTGCGTGCAAGGCCCGGGCCGTTTCCAGCCCAATACCCTGGTTGGCTCCAGTAATGAAGACCGACTTTCCCTGGAGCTTGAGACGCAAGTCCTCATCCTCGATGATTTGGATCGCTCTGGGCCGAGAGTCTCCGGGGCCCTCCGGGCTTTGGTGAGCGGTGATGTAGCGGGACATGGTAGAAAGAGGGTGTGACCGACGATTGAATCTACTGACGGAATGATACAGACAAGTTCAAGACCACTGAGCAAGTCTATGTACCAGATGTCTTTTAATATTCCATTGAAGATCAAAGTAAATGGACATAAGAGACTCATCTTTCCGATATGTCCGGTTCCAATCTAGAGCCCCCGCGTGAGTGAGGTGTCCAACGAAGAGTAAACACGAACTCAGACGCCAAGCTCCTCCGAAGTGATGAATGCTTAGAAATCGTGGTCGTCAAAGTCCGCGCCATCCGCTATTCATGACTCGTACGAACGAAATGCTTAGATTGGTTCTATTTGAAGATGATCTTAGTTCATGCTCTGCTTTGGTGATGCATTTGACCTCCAGATTTCGACCGCCGTCAACAGCCAACAATGCCCATCAATCATATCACTCTAGCCGTGAGGCCTCAACTCATCCAGAAAGTTTGCGCTTTCTATGTCCAGACTTTAAACCCTCTTGGTTGTACGCTGTCTTATCAAGATGGAAAAAGCTTTGGGTTTTCTTCGAGCGATGGGATCTCCGACTTTGGCCTCCACGTCGCGGCTGACGGCAATGATTCCCTGACAGAGTCCACACAGCCTCTTAGTTGTGGCACGCACGTTGCGTTCAATGCCTTCAGTCCCGAAGTGGTGGATAAATGGTATGAAGCGGCAATGTGAGCTTTTGAGATATTCCTTGAATCGGGACCCCTCACTGACCATCTGATTGAAGTAAGGCTGGAGGGAAGTCTAACGGTGGACCAGGAGAGCGGCCAGCATACGGCAAAGGTTATTATGCTGCTTTCATTATTGATCCGTTGGGAAACAACATCGAAGCCATGTGTTTGGAGAGGGAGGGCTAGGGTAAGGGGTGTTGGAAGCTCGTATTCAAAGCTTGACGGTATTCTGAAATCGAAGTTATTGGTTTGACAGACGGCCATTCATTACTGCTTTTGTATGCTTGTGTATTCAGTCTCTTTATGATCTAAAACAAATACAGTTACAAGTGTGTCACGCTTGGCAATGCAGCATGGCATCAAGAATTATCGTGCACTCAAGGAAGCGGGTCGAAAAGACTTCAGTGGTTTTACGAGCTCAGAGGCAGTATTATTTCATCACGGACGAGACAGATATCCGAGCCCATTCGGACCCAGCCCGTCAATAATAATTTAACATCTATAACTTCTTAAAAAGTGTCAAAAAGACGAAGGGATCGCGACTTAACTTCTCTTGACGACAGAAGTAAATACCCCGTGATTAAACAAGAATCCGGATGACTGGGTATGTGATTAAATGCGGATGACAAACCATGAGAAACCTGCCGGGCGACGGAAAGCTACAGGGCTGTCTAAACCCAGTTATAACCAAGGTGGTTTGACTTGCGTGGATGTAAAGTGAGGTTTAGTTAATACGTTTAGGTTCCTTGAAACAGGCCAAAATTCTGCGATGTTCATGACCGCAGTAGAAAAGGTTTTCCTCAATTGGTTTCTTATGATGTTAACTCGACCGATTGTTGAACAAAAGCTCTTCAACAATATCAACTACTAACAGAAAGTTTCATTTTATCAAGTCAAGTGTGGTGTCTTATGTTTAATGATACATGCGGCGTCACTCACGAACTTGCCTTGACAGCCAATTTAGACCCAACGTATTGATTTGATGCCGCCACAAGGACCCCTTGATACTATTCATCATCATCATCCGGTCCACCCCACTCTGTGGGTTCTTCTTCTTCGTCATGATTAAGAGAAGTAGCCGTTTTCGGATTTAAAATGGAAGAGTAAATCAATGCTTCTGATATACCATGCCCAGCCAGGGCCAAAGCTGGCAGCGCCAAATGGAATGTTTCGTCCGTGAGGTCTCGTAATCTTTTTGATGACGTGTAAGGAACGGTGATAAGAATCTTCAACCGTGGCTTCAGGCCGTCGTGTTGAATTATACGCTGTAGGCCGAGTAGCACTGCCCGTAGCTCCAGAAAGCCATTGTTGAAGTCGGTCTCGTATCGAGACATGTTATCGATGATGAAGTAAATCGTCGTCTCTGGGTCAAAATGCTGTAAGAACTCAAGGAGCAGGTTGCACAGTGAGTTTAACTCATGATTCTTGAGTCTTTGAACGTAGCTTTTGCTGTTGAGAAACTCCAGGTTGAGTGATTTTCTCTCTGTCAAAACCAAGAACAGATGGGTTGAGAGATATCGAAGCATGCCTTCTGGTCCGTGCCAAGGATCTTGCTTTGGATCAGATGCAGCATGAAGTCCACAATAATATTGCGTTATTATGCTGTGAGGCTCCAGATTTGCCATCGTTAGGCCAAGATTGGCACAGAAGAGTGACATCGTCGACACGTTCTTCAAACCATCTTCCTTGATGTTGCAGTCCACAATGAGCATATCTGCATTGTCCCTGTGCATCCAACGAAAGAAGCGGTGTTGTTTGAGAATATAATGCGCTTGGTGGAGGCTTGAAGGGCTGATACAGATTGTCGTTCTCTGCACAATGTTCAAATTCTGTAATGTTAAGGCTTTGAAGTCGAAGTATGTCTTTTCGCGCCCTTCTGACGATTTAGTTCCATTCCCATTGGTAGTGAGGAGATCGAATAGTTGGCCAGGTGAAATCACGGCTTTGGAAATCGTCAGTCTGGCCGGTTTGATACGATCGTCTTGCAGGCTTCGAAGCACAGCGAGAGCCTGCCGAGTAGAAGTTTCAATCTCTAAGAATATGTCAGAACCCACGTCTTATTCATTGTAGACAGTATCTTACCTGTCTGGCGCTGGAAAAAGCCGTCAAAACGTGATAATCCCTCTTCAATTCTGTCGTTCATTGACTCCAAGATGAATTGTTGCTTCTGCTGTTTTGCGTCGAATCTCATCATGATAGTCTTAATCTCAACACAATTCCATCGAACCCATCCCACACTATCTGATATTTTGCGAATCTGTTCTTCCGTACGTACGATGGTGGCGTCTCGGCATGCGTCGACGGCCTGGCGAAGCTGGTTTGCCTTGAAAGTAAGCTTGCTCAGAATCGCATGCGTATCTTTCGAGCTTTCTTTGCTTTTGTGTCCCAGGACTTGACAATAGAATGAGTGAGTTCAGGTCCTTAAGAAATACATACATTCTTCAACTTACAATTGAAGTTTCCCTGTGATGTTCCAAGTTTCCTCTGCATCAGCAATGTCAGTTCAGGAATGGCATCCATAATGGCTCCTCTCAAACTGCTTGCGTGAGCGCCAACTTCAGCATCTTTCCTGAACTGTTTGATCTTGATAGTCGCATTTCCTATGATGGTACGTATGGTAAGAAATGCGTTTGTGATAGCGTCTCTGTCGTCTTTGAATTGGGTTGCGCTCTAAAAGGTAATGAGCGTTTATGACAAGTTGGTAGTCTGAATTCATGAAGGGTTCCCTACACGTAACAAGATGGCAAATAGGGACTTGACAACACAAAGCCCGTAGTCGTCTGGAATCAGATTCGCCCAAGGCTCAATCAATTCGACCTTCTCCGCAATTTGCAGCCTCAGTGAGTTGAAAATCCCGATTTCAGCCAATTTTGCTTCTTCGGATGCGACTCTGTTGGAAAGGTCTTCCCACTCAACGTCGCTGGATGGTGGATTTGCGTTTCTGGGGATGTAAGATTGAACTGCCTCGTGAAATCTCCTTCACAATTTCTTGGTAAGTGTCCAGTCCTAGGCCATGGAGCAGTGCGAGGAAGTGTCACCTGGTACGAATTGAGACTTCTGAGGGTTGACTTCCATCCACATTCATAGCGTGTGATGTGCCGACCACGACGAATTCAGGAGAGGTTGCTTGGAGAGCACCCGATTAAGTGCTCAAATGAAATTATTGCCAGCCGTTTCACGTGAATGTGTCAAATACAAATGAACAGTCGAGAGAAACACTCCTACAAGTAGCGTTTTCTCTCTTGACCAAGTTCGAGGTCTTGGGTCAAAGAGGCATAAGCATCTGGAAAAGTTGCCGCTGGTTTTAGTTGTTGGTTGTAAGAACTTTTGTTGGTTACCCCTCTTCACTAGATCCACTAGGCCACTGTGTTTCAACGGTTTGCATTCACGACCAGCTGCTTCCTGATTGGTATGCTTTAGTCATAAATCATTTGTTGATGCCCGGCCGTTACGTTGCTAAGTTGAAGCGCTGCATACAACGTCCCACATGTGGAACTATCATGGGTTTTGTCTGAATCTGATTGAACCTCATAGATTTGGTTTATATGTGCCGATGTGGCGGGCCCAAAAGCATTTACTCAATTTGGATGGTAATCTGGCGGGGGTCAGCCATTGGTTGGTTGCCTCAACCTCTGGGCCCCGTTACCTGTTGGCTCGTCTGCATGAAGCGAACTCGTCCTGCTCGAACTGCTGCTTACTTTGAATTTTCGCTGAAGACAAATTCCCTTTCTGTCTACGTCCACGTGCTACGACAGCGGCCATACTCTATCTTGAAAGACTGCTCACATCAACTTGTAAGTCACAGTTTGAAAGAAGCGGCTATTCGAACTAACTGTCATCATTATTTAGGGACGCACTGCCCGCCACCTTATACGATCTCTCAATTCGCGACGAAACCTTTCGATATGACGACTGCTATCAACGATGATGGAAGAATTCTGGAAGACAGCGAAGCCTTCGACTGGGAATCCCACACCCCCTCCTATCCCTTGCTTCCTTCTGTAGGGGAATTCGATTTCGACGGGTTCAAAAATCGCTGGGGTGCTGAAATCAGCCATCACATTATAGAAGTCTTCATGGCTTCAGACAAATCTATGATTGAGGAGGAGAGGGAGAAATCATTCAGACTCAGCTTTGAAAACCATACCAAAGCAAGGAGGCGACCGAATGTCAAGAGGCCGCCCCAAGTCGATACCTGGGTCCAACGCGCACGTATCCACTCGCCGATGATATTGTACTTTTTGCAAAAGGTCAATGATTTGCGTGACTGGGATATCACTCAGCCGCGAGTGTTCTTCAGGCCTTTCGGCTGCTTGATTGATTCATATCCGAATATGAAAAGACTTTTGATCGAGCTGGAGGGCAGCCAGGCTGATCCTCGCACTGAACATAGTCAACGCAGCACCAGCGAACCCACGGAAGTGCAGACGCAGCATACCGCGAAGGCTGATGGGATCATAGAGAACGGAAGCGGAATTTCAAAATCTGGTGCGCCAGACGTCATGAACGTAACAATGGCACGCGAACATTTGCGCTGCTACATTGATTTTATGGACCACTACATCATGCCCCTGAGCAAGATGTTCGACGGGGCCACCAGCGGAATGATCAGATTCAATGACTTATGGTACCTTTTCAAGCTTGGGGAAATTGTCTACGTCCCGAACCGTCGAGGCGATTTAGCTAGGTCCCAGAAAACCTTCATGGTTCATCATAGGCAAGTTCCAACAGTAAACGACGAGGAACCAGACGACCTTCGCATAGAAGATCCCCACAGCTCAGAAGATCGCCACATGGTACTATGGACCTATTACATCGACCATGACGAAGACTCATATGGACCGGTCAAATTCTATGTCAACATATGTCCATGGTCGGGTCTGAGAGATATCAGAAAATTACCCGTATATCCTCTACGTTTTCACGAAAGAGCCGCCCAAATCGCAGAGGAAATTGAAAACCAGGGGAAAAGGTTCAGAGAGTTCTTTCAGGAAAGGTACATGTCGCACGAGGGCTGGACAGTGCCGAGCTCACCAACATCCCCAAATCGATCGCCGTCTCATTTCATTGAGAGCGACGTCATAATCGATTTCAGTGAAGCATTGAAAAGAGATGGCGAACTAGGCCCAGAATTCGACCTTCCCGGATCAAGAGAAGTTACCTGGGATTATGGGGCTGATGCAACAAAGATATGGCACTGGCCCAACCCAGACCAAGAAGGCAAGAGAATGGAACCTTGTTTTACCATCGAAGAGTGTACGGTGGTATTTGAAGGCACCGAGATGGCGCTCGAGAGGGCTCTTGTGAAGAATGACCCTTTCCTCAGAGCCTACAAAAGAGACGGATTTGTCAAAACGCTCGACGGCCTGGACAAAGTCTACAATTTTCTCTTGCCTCGGAGAATATTTGTTTACGTTCTCCGACAGAGACGCTTTGTGGCAGTGGACACACTGTCACTGAAGCATATCGAGCAACGCCCCGCCATATTCGACGAGTTGAGAATCGAGAGTGGTCACAAGAGCATCATTCAGTCTCTAGTAGCGGAACACTTTGAGAAGCGCGAACGCAATCGGCAACAACCCATTCTCGGCTCGAAATACTACCACGAGGATGTCATCCGCGGGAAGGGCTCCGGCCTCTCGATTCTTCTGCATGGTGCGCCTGGCGTGGGGAAAACTGCTACTGCTGAGGCCGTTGCCCAGGACTACAACAAACCTTTATTCGCAATTACCTGCGGAGACCTAGGTTTCATGCCCGATGTCGTTGAAGAAAAGCTTAACGACATTTTCCAGCTTGCTCACCTGTGGGACTGTGTACTGCTTCTCGATGAAGCCGACGTTTTCCTTGCACAGAGGGACACCCAAAGTCTACAGCGCAACGCCTTGGTCTCAGGTAAGTGGCCGCTAATTGTTGTTGCCCAGCTTCCAAATCACTCACTAGATGTTTTAGTATTTCTTCGAATAATGGAGTACTACAAAGGCATCATGTTTCTGACGACTAATCGCGTTGGTGCTCTTGACGAAGCCTTCAAGTCTCGAATCCACATCAGCCTTTACTATGCTCATCTGTCAAGGAATCAGACGATCGAGATCTTTCGTGCCAATTTCAACAGACTCAAGAGGAACGAGGAGGAAAAACAAAAGTATCTTCTTGAGATCGGTTCAAAGGCTCCTGCGCTCTTGATCAAGCGTTCGAAAATAATGGAGTACGTGAAGTGGTACTATGACGAGCAAAGCGCAACACCCCATCGACGATGGAATGGCCGGCAGATTCGCAACGCCGTACATGTCGCCTTCTCACTGGCCAGCCGGGAGATGCGGGAGAAGTCCAGGCTTGCCTCTGCTACTGACGACGAAATCCCCATTATTCTCGACGAGACGCATTTTGACCGGGTGGCCGAAGCAACTGAACGCTTTGGAAACTACATGGACTACGCGAGAGCTATGACTGACGCGGATCGCGCAAGGCTCGAGAGTACGCGTGCGGACCATTTGAGCAACAAGGACCTGACACCATCGTGGAAAAGAGATCCATACCGAACATCTGGTTCTTCTGCGGCGACAGCTTCCAAGCACGAACCTCGAGCTTTTCCCAATTCTTATCAGCAGCCAGGGGGCTTATTCGAACGATCATCGATTCCCATCGGGGATATTGCGAGAGGACAGGGTTCATGGGGGCAAAATGAGGGCTACATTCAATCTCATTCATCTGCCAGTGTTGCGCATTCTCTTGAAAGCATCAGAGGGACAGCAGGACTGCATGGTCAGAATCATTACGGTTTCCAGCCTGGGTCTTCGAGCATGGGATTTATGGGGCAGCACACGGCGTTGCATGGTACACAAACAGGCCTGGATGATGATCGTATCAAAGTAGACCTGTCTGAAGATGTCATGGTAGCTGAAACTACGTCTCATATTACACGCTTTAGACCTGGCTACGGCCGGGCTGAGCACATGGAGGAGGGAGTCGATGTTGACGATGTTTGATGGGAATTTCGAATACTAGATATTACTTCTATGTAAATTACATAGGCGGCAATGACTGCATATGATGAAACGATCTAGTCGTGCTATGCAACAACAATAGAGCGGTGAAATACTTGGCGGCCTGTTAAACTATGTGGCTTTCCTGCTGCAATAAGATCCAGTATGACCATATCGTTTCCCCCCACCTAAACGATCTCATTCAATCACAATCATGGCGGTTAGCTGTAGCAATCTTCTCTATCAGCTTCAATTCATTGGGCGCCTTACAGAAGTGGCCTGAGTTTATGTCGATTTTCCCATCAGTGAGTTGAGTCGAAGTAGGTGACGCGAGTAAACTTCTCTGAGCGTATTGCATTTCATCTAAAAGCCGTCCTGCTTCATCTTGTGTGTCGGCAGCTTCGAATACCTTTAGTATGTGACTGGAACACTTCACCTCTCCTAGCAGTGCGGAAAGAGTTTTGATAGCTCGCGAGCGGGCGGGTAGCGGGAGGCGGTTAGCGGCAGAGGAATCCAGGCACAGATGGTGCAGGCCGGGGATCCAGTTTTGAGGGGCTCACAACCCCTGTTGACCAAGTCTCAAGACCGACCATGAGTGACTCGACAAGGTCTATCGAGGGGTTGTCTTGAAGAGCTTATCCGGGGTTGTTTTTGTTCGCGACGAACACGCCATCTTGTTACGGGGGAACCTTCTACGGTACTATTTATTGGCGGAATCTTGATTTGGCCAAACGTTGTAGATTGCCTGTCGTACGTACGCAACACTCGGATCACGGACGTCAACGCAAATGGCCGAAGACGTAAGTGTTCCCCCTTGTCTCATCCAGAGACCCTTTAGCCGAGCTGGGTCGTATCATCTGCTGACGTTCTCGGTAGAACTTATCCTGCGTCTGCTTCGGCGCGCAGAAGATTCGTTTTGAAACCCGTCCCATCCCTCAGATCCAAGATCTTCATGATGTCTTGATACGGGTTTCTTTTGTTGGTGTTTGTGGCAGCGACGTAAGTCTGATTCAGATCCGACATGGCAATCATTCAATTTGCCAGTTGCTCACCGAATAATAGGTCCACTTCTGGCAGCATGGCGGCATGTCGAGAAAGGCTTCCGAGGACGCACCCATTGTCATGGGCCATGAGGCTTCGGGCGTAGTCCACTCCGTCGGCCCTGCCGTCACAAGCCTCAAGCCCGGAGATCGCGTTGCCATCGAACCTGGGTTCCCGTGCCGTCGGTGCCGCCACTGCAAGTCGGGCAGATACAATCTTTGCGGCCAGATGCGGTTTGCTGCAGATCCTCCCCAAGACGGCACTCTGGCTCGATTCTTCAGGATCCCCGAGGACTTTGCTTACAAAATCCCCGATTCGCTGAGCTTAGAGGAGGCCGTTCTGGTCGAGCCTCTGGGTGTCGCCGTTCACGTCAGCCGTCTTGCTTCTCTCAAGCCCGGACAAAGCGTGCTCGTCCTGGGCTGCGGGACTATCGGCCTTCTGACCGCTGCTGTTGCGCGGGCGTTTGGAATCAACAAGGTATATATGGCAGATATCAAAGACTCCAAAACGGAGTTTGCCAAACAGTTCGTGGATTGCACCACGTTCATGCCGGACTTGAAGGCCACACCGACAGAGAACGCCGATAGATTCCGGAAAGAAACGGGCTTGACTGACGGCGTCGATGTTGTGCTCGAATGCACGGGTGTCGAGAGCTCTGCTCAACTGGGCATCTACGCCCTCCAATCCGGAGGAACCTACATCCAAGTGGGAATGGGACAGCCTCTGCAGGCTCTGCCCCTCTTGGCCATGTGTGACAAAGAGATCACGTTGAAGGCCTCATTTAGATACAGCGTTGGAGACTATGAGCTTGCACTCGAGATGCTGGCGTGCGGAAAGCTTACGGTCAAGCCTCTTATTAGCAGCATCGTGCCATTTGAGGATGCCGTGGGAGCTTGGGAAAAGACTCTCAGAGGCGAGGGGATCAAGAACTTGATCCGTGGGGTTCCAGAGTGATGAATCTAAATTTTCATAGAATATATGGAATCAAGCGCATTCGCAGGGGCTTCTGTGTTTCCTGAGATATCCCGCCCTCCCAATGGATGACTTTTGCCGTGAGATTCTAGTCTCCGGTACCGGACTGATGTATTCTCACGGCGTATGGTCGATACCAGGAATTCATTCATCGGGAGCGAAAGACGTCAGTGACTCCACTGGCGACCAAAGTCGCCTGAGTACCGTACCCGAGGACATGGCAATAAGAAGAACAAGGGGGATATCGGGAAGAGCGCACTGACAAGGGCTGGGGTTGCTGCAGCCGACGGGATATTTCGATGAGCAGTGTACCCCGGCCCTTGACAACTGCCATGAAGCTCTCCTACTCAAGTGGATCGAGTGGTAGTACTCCAAATCATGGGGTGACTGTCTCCGCGTTTCTTACCCCAAGCCGGGGATTGCAGGGGTGTTGGGTTCTGAGGTTGGCATGTACTTATATAGCAGAGAGAATCACCGATGAACGTGAGTTCGGTCGCTGATAAATCTCATCCAATTCTTCAGACCAAACTGCATTGTCAGGCTCTCTTTGACTTCTTTACAGATTGACTGGAAAATGGCGCGAACGTCGGACATGAGCCCTCATGAGGGCGTCAAAGACATGGAGACCTCCTCCCAGGTCGAGCATCCCGCGCAGGTTCCCGTCGCCGAGAGGGTTCAGAACCGAACATGGTATCGAACGACATTCTTCAACGGCACCGTAGTCGCGCTCTGCGCCTTCATAGCACCCGGTCTGTGGGCAGCTATGAACGGCCTCGGCGCCGGCGGTGCTGCGTCGCCTTACTACGTCAACGCGGCGAACAGCGTCATCTTCGTCCTGCAGTTTGTGGTCTGTATCTTCGGCAGCGCTATCATCTCGCGCATCGGACTCAAGTGGGCATTCGTCTCTGGCATGATCGGCTTCCCCATCTACGCGGCGAGCTTGTACACCCACGTCAAGTACAGCAACAACTGGTTCCTGATGCTGGCGTGCGTCATCGACGGAATCTTCTCGGGTATCTTCTGGCTCACTGAAGGTGCCATCATCTTGGCTTACCCCGAGAAACACAACCGCGGGAAATATCTTGCATACTGGCTTGGCCTTCGCATCGTGGGCCAGATGATCGGTGGCTCTGTTTCCCTCGGCGTCAACGCGCGCAGCAACCAGAAGGGAGCCATCAGCGTCAACACGTACCTGGTCTTCATTTCCATTCAGGTTCTTGGTCCGTTCGTTGCTGCGCTGCTGTCGAATCCGAGCCAGGTTCAGCGCTCCGATGGGACCAAAGTCGAGGTGAATCTCCCCAAGAGCCTGAAAACGGAGCTTCAGGCCATGTGGAGAGTTCTCTGCCGCAAAGAGATTCTCCTCCTGACGCCCATGATGTTCCAAAGCGTCTTCTCGGGGGCCTTCTTCTCGACCTACAATGCGACGTACTTTACGGTTCGCTCCCGAGCGCTGGCATCCTTGGTCGCCAGCGGCTGCGTCATCTTCGCCAACTTCGGTCTCGGCTTCTTCCTGGACTCTCGGAGAATGACAGTCAACTCCAGAGCACTCTCCGCCTTTGTTTTTATCTACGCGTTCGAGGCCGGTCTCTACGTCTACGCGATGATCGTGTGCAAAGACTTCGAGTCCCGTGCGGAGAGCCCGGTATTCGACTGGATTGACGACGGATTTGGACGGGCCGTCTGCGTGTACATCCTCATGTTGGTAGGCTTCAACCTGATGTATGACTACTTGTACTGGCTCGTCGGTACCGTCAACAAGGATGGAGGTGATATTGTACGATTGAGTGCCATGATCCGCGGCATCGAGAGTTGCGGCCAGGCTATTTCCTACGGCATCAACTCCATCGACCAGTCAAAGTTCGCTCTCTCAGGGGCTGTTGCTGTCAACATGTCTTTTTTTGCTGCCTGCATTCTTCCGGCGGGCTTCGTCATCTGGAAAGTAGGAATCGTCAATGGAGTGAAGGTTCATGCTATCGTACAGGACGAAGAGCCCGAGGGCGTAGTCCCCAGCACGGCTCAAGACTCGAAGTAGGAGCGCCTCCATGTCAATGAGAGGCGCTTGAGATTATATTTTGTCGACATAACGCTTGTCAGTCATGCTCAGGAGGTTGACAAACTGTCCAAAAAAGGAAATCGAGTTGGAGGGCATATTAGTCGCAGTGGCAGAGCTATCTAAAATGCCAGCGTCGCTCGAGGTGTCTAGATGGCTTCATCTTCCCAAAATATGATATTTTCAGATAATGAACTCTTCTTGTTTTTCCCTAGGAAACACAACAAAATAACAATTTTGATCACTTTCAAAAAGAATGACTTCTCAAGCCATGGATTGGCTCTTCGTTACTAGAGGACTCCATGGGGCCCAAATAACACCCACCAAGGATCGGCTCCAGTGGGATTTCGATGCACGTGATGTTAAAATACATTCGCTACAGCGGGAGAGCACTTACCCGCTCGGAAACATGCTCGTAGCCACGCTATTTGCCTTCCCCGCAATAGTCTCGCCGATGTCGATATCGATGTCATTTCATTTGTCAGCGGAACCAACCAAAACACTCATACACATCGCCTCCTGTTGCCATGAGCTTTTCGAGAATACGTGCTCCTATTGCCTGCCGCTTCTGCCGGCATCGGTATGTCATTACATCCCTGAAGAGTAGCGAGATAAACCGACGTACTGACACGTGAGGACGGAGGTAGAAAGCGGCGTTGCGATGGAGCGAAGCCAAGGTGTGGTCTATGTGCAGTTTCCGGGGTAGATTGCCATTACCCGGATAAGATTTCGGAGATGTTGTCCCTCCCCATGATCAAATCAAGACCACCAGGGTGTAGTTGTGCTAATTTCTTGCACCAGACAACGTGCCAGGCGCAACAATGCATCAAATGAAGCCCTAATGCAACGTATCAGAGAGCTTGAGTCCATGCTTCAAACACAACGGTCTCCCCAATTCGAACCTCGACGCCATCGGTCTGGCAGTCCTGTCCATGACTGGGCAGTGGAACACACCTGCTCTCCGAACAGTCATAGCTCTCCGATTTCGCCGACCGGTCTCGCTGCCTTGGGATCTGATCAGCAGTATGCAGCCGCCGTTGAGCCCTCCCTCGATTACGCAGACAGGGTGATATCTACAGCTTCCACAACCCCTTGCGAACAACAAGTTAGGCCCGGAGTACGACCCTTGCAGTCTCAATGCGATATCGCACTTAATAGTACTGATGCAGAACGTCAGGCACCTCAGAATGATGAGGCCTATGTCACAATCCCTGCCGGTCATCACACCACTACATCTAATCTGTTTTCACTACAGCCCGTTCGTACACTGGTTGGCTTGTACCCAAATAGCCTCTTCTACGACATCGAATCGTTGCAAACACAAACATCAGGCCCTGAACTTGGGGTATGTCAGGGTCTCGGCAATCTCCATTCTGAATTCGACCTCACCCCTGCTCGGACCAGCCTTCTTATCTCGAATTTCTTCGCACATATACAACCAAAGTTTCCGGTTTTGGACGCGGGTTTATTCCAATCACTTTTTGATAGATCACTGAAGAGCGATCTGAAATATGACAGCGATACGGCCGTTTGTCTTCTGGTGTTAGCTTTGGGTGACCTGGGATCAACAGAACAAACGGTCAACCCGTCACAGGCCATGCCCGGTGTCTCCTATTTTAATGCTGCATATCGAATACTCTCGACACAATGGGCTGCAGTGTTTAGCCGCAGTTTATCCCAGCCGACTGGTCTCATACTTGCTGCTGTCTATTTCGGGTTCAAATCGCAACCCCTCGCTGCTTGGCGGATGGCTTGCATGGCGTCGAACTCTTTGCAACTTCTAGCACAAGAGTCAGTTTTGAAAACCACTCTTTGAATGCTCAAGAAAACACTGACAATTTAACCCCAGCGCAACGGCGGCAAACCGCAGCGCAAGTGATACTGAGATGTTAAGCCGCTTATGTTGGACATGCTTTATTATCGAAAGGCAAAGACTCCAACATTGTCATGGTGATACCATGATGAAACATTTCAAACGCTAACCTCTGCATGCAGTGATAGCTTAGCTGAATTTCACCTCCCTAGAAGTGGCATCGAACTTGCTGTAGACCGCATGCCCTTCCCACGACTCGGCAACCACAGCGACCGCGATGGTTTCATGTTTTTAGCACTTTGTTCTATACGCCGGCTTCTGAACCGCATACACAACGCCGTCTACGCATCCACCAACAAAGAGGCTCTGAGCCCGTCAAATGCCTCGGATACGCTAGCATTTGGTTCCACTGGACAGCACGCTGCTCTCTTAGTACTGATGTCGCTAGAAGGCGTCTGTGGTGAGCTAGAGCGGCAGCTGGACGTATGGTACGAGTCTCTCCCCGAAGTCATCAAACCGGACTTGTCCACCACGGTTCCGGAAGACAGTCAGGACGCTTGGCTGCGCCTGAGATATTGGTCAGCCAAGCACATCATCAGCCGGCCGTCTCTGATATACGCGGCCACGTGGGGCGAAGGAACCGTCCTTCCGGCGTCTGCCATGAGATACTCGGAAATGTGCATTCGCAGCTCCCAGAACTATCTCGAGACAGTACTGCACACGTTTGACAAGAGAACGCACTATTCCTGGATGGCATTTCAAGCGTAGGCATATGATCTAACGGATCTTCGTCGTCCTGTTTATTGAAGTAGCTGCTGACAACGAGTCAACAGGTGCCTTTCAAACTCAATGATTTTGTGTATGGCTGCAACTACACCCCAGCTGGGGCATCGAGTACCAGACATTGATGCACTAATGAAGTCAACATTTGAGTGCATAGAGCCATGGGCAGCTCCAGATACCAGTGCCGAGACCGTGGCGTTGATCCTGAGATCGCTTATACACAAGATGAAGCTCCATAGATCCAGGGCCGAATAAAGAGAGTTGCACGTGAGGGAGGGGAAGCAGGACAAATGCAATACGCCGCGCAATACAATGCAGCCACCCTTATAATCTAGCTATCAATATTATCTCACTATACCCAATAAGTATATATTTAATATTTAATATTCTAAAAGAATAAAACTCTATCCTAATAAGCTTTATAGCGTACGTAGTGGTATACTTACTTAAATAGCCTCACTTAAGGTTAGAGGGGGTAAGACCTTAATGAGGGATATTAGTCTATAAGAGACTATCCCTTCTACTAAGATTATACTATAAACTTTATCCTTCCATCCACTCAAAATGTCGTCCTACGTCCCTCATCTCACGTTGGCCCCTATCATCACCATCCTTGAGGGGAAGCAGGACGATTTGCCACGGCGACAAGCCTGTCGATTTTGGCTCTGGCTATGGGCTGGAGTCGGACGAAGAACCTCAATTCCCATACGCACAGATTACATTGCCAGTGCGCCACGCAGATTTCTACACACACTTGAGCATGCCTGCGATGTTGGCAACCTCGGTCCAATAAGCCAGGGGCCCCAGATTCACAGCATGTTGCCTACCATGGAGAGAATTGTTTCGTAGTAGCTCCGCAAGTGCCTGCAACCATGGAGACCAGCGGATCCAGACATGACAACCACCATCATCCCCGGTTCTACCCCGACATCGTGTGATAGTTGGAGACGTCGGCCCATCGGCGAAAACAAGCGAAACCCAGAAGGATGTTGAAGGTCGGACGGAGATGAGGGGAAGGTCTGCTGGCGGCGGCTAGGGATACCTTCAACGGGTAGCGGATGGCGGGTAGCGGAAGCGTTCTTCCCCACCAGCTGGCATCGACGTAATCATATGCCATCTCCCTGCGTAGGCACTGCAGGGGTGGGAAAAGACGTCGGTACGAGATCGGACGAATCCCAACAACAAGAAATCGGTGTTAATTGTGCGTTCATTTTCTTTGGACGGCATTTTGGTTTCTCAGCATTCATTCATGAACAACCAGTCTTGGACCAACAAACAGCTTGCAACCATGAGCAACACCGCAGCCCCGGAGTTTCGGGAGGTGAAGACTCGACAGGGGGGGTCTCACATTCGCTCTCTGGACTTATTCCGCCTCGACGGTCGTACCATCGTCAGTGAGTTCACCCAGAACCAGAACACCAGACATCTTGGTCGCATTCCTTCTAATAAGAGAAATCAGTTACCGGCGGCGCTGGATATCTGGGAATTGAGGTAGCTGGGACGGTTCTTGAGGCCGGAGGCGACGTCGTCTGCCTCGACATCGTAGCATCGCCGCCCGAAGAGCCATGGAGTAAGCCCAATAACTACTAAGTCTGACGCTGAGTCCCACATAATTGATCTGACAACCATGATACAGGCAACCTCGCCGATCTTGCTAAGCAGCACGATGGGAAGATCTGCTATGTAAGACTGGATGTCACCGACGCCAAAGCCATCTCCGACACGTTTGCGAAGTTTGTTCCGGGTCTGAGGTATCCGATTCGAGGTTTCGTCGGATGCGCCGGCGTTTCCGACAACGATCCGGCTCACGAGTTTTCTATCGAACGCTTCCGACGGTTGATGGAGATCAACGTTACTGGAACCTTCGCAGCGGCGCAGGCCGTGGCGTTGGAGATGAAGAAGGCTGATGTGAGCGGAAGCATGGTTCTCGTAGCCAGCATGAGCGGGACAAACGTCAATAAAGTAAGATTCCCTCCATTCCAGAAGGTGCTTCCCAGTGCTAATTCGAGAATGTTCACAGGGCGTAGATACTGCGGCATACAACAGCTCCAAGTCCGCCCTACTCCAGCTTGCCAGATCGCTGGCGGCGGAATGGGGTTCCCGGAAGGGTATGCCGCTCGTTCGCGTTAACACTTTATCGCCCGGCTATATCCGGACCCCCGCGACGACGGAGGCTCTTCAGAAGCCGGGGATGGAGAACCAGTGGACCGGGGATAGTATGCTATACCGCCTAAGTCTGGTCGATGAGTTCCGGGGGCCTGTACTGTTCATGCTCAGCGACGCGAGCAGTTTCATGACTGCCGCTGATCTGAGGGTTGATGGAGGGCACTGCGCTTGGTAGCAGGATATCTGGTTGCCGACATACGTCGACATTGGAGTCTAGACTTTCTTTGATGAACCTGTTCCATCAGTTATGCCTTGTAAGTGTCGTTCAGGCTGTCGGGGCGGAGCACAATCTTGACAAGCGTGGGCTCTGCGGCGATTGCGGGAAGATAACTGAGATAGTACAGTATAAGATCAGGTACACCTCCGTAGCACCTCTGAAGAATAGCAAAGACAGGGACTCGATCTAACTCCGGATTTGTCCTTATTCACCCTCTCTGATGCTACCCTTTCTCTCGGTAGCAACTCTTTTTCCAAGTGCCTTTTCACTGATTGCTCCCTCAACAACATTCTCTCTGGATGCTTCGGCTCTGAGGGGGCTGCTATTTCTTTCTGCTCGCTGGTCTTCCACGTCTCCTGTAGGCTCGGCTTGGTGCTTTTGACGCATGAATGACTGCCACTTCTTCAAAAGGTAACCGGTGACGTAGTGTCTGTTTTTCCATTCCCTTCCATCCTCTTTCGCCTTTTTCTTGGCCTCTTGTAAACCTCTGATCCAAAGATACGCCCTGCGCCAGTGGAAAAATACTCGGAAGAATACTCGGAGAAATAAACGTGTGCAATGCCATAGAAGAAGTGCGAGCAGGCCCATGATTGTGCCGAGATTCGTAATCGCAATTGTCAAGCCTTCAAAAGCGATTTTCAAAAGAAATGGAAGAGATGGAGCGGCATTATGAACGTATTGTCCCGCTATGCTGAACGGATGGAGGGCAATCTTAATTAACTTGAGAAAGGGGTTGACGTAGAGTGCCAAAACGATAAACGGAATTGCCGCTGACATGGTTGTAATGACTGCAAAGACGCACGACATGTTAGCGGGGCTTGGTTCGAGAGATTTTGGACTTTGAGTCTTTCGCACCGGTATATTTGATGGCGTAGCCCAGCTGCATCTTGTCATTATCGACGGAAGGATACTCGGAGATTGGCAGAGCCAAGAACGCAGCCATGAATGACGCCGGAAGAAATATAATCGTGACAATGGTAAAGACTGTGATGGTATTTCCCGAAACACGCATTGTTCGAGCTTCGTAGACGTTCGCCTGCTTCTGCTTTAAATCTAGGAGATCCTCGAGCTGGAGGGCAAAGTTAGCAACCCGAGTCGAATTCTCAACATGGTATCGGCTAGTTTCCCTTACATGGCGATAGAGCCTCCCTGCACTGTCATCCATCTGCTCGACATAAGCAATATGTCTCTCCACAGCGCCCACGAGACTGGGTTTCGAGGATGACTTGTCCGTTGCATCTCCTGCCGATACAGCGGCGCTCTGTCGTGCCTCCGCGATGATATGTGTAAACGGCTCCAGTATAAGCTTCTGCTGACCAAAGAGGTTACTCAACATGTTCAATTCATCTCGTATGTCTTTGATCTCTCGTAGCAGCTCGACTTCGTGCGATATATCAAAGGACTCCTCCTCTCGATGAACTTTCTTGGGGCTGTGAATGATCGAAATTAGTTGCTGAAAGCCGTCTGGTATTTCGTCAACAATCTCTTTTTCTCTTGTGTTCCGTTCTTTGCTTCTTCTTCTTATTCTTATTCTTGACTCCAAGGACGTCTTCGAGTTTTCCTCGCTCGTCCTATTGGCCAATAGATCATCCCCAGTGCTTGCTTCAACTCGGCTGGTCGATCGCACGCCAACCGTGTTATCTTGCTGGAGCACAATTGGGGTTGAATCTTCCGCCTTGTCCGGCCGAAGCGCCGGAACCATGAACCTCGAAAAATCATCCACGACACCTCTGATACCTCGGTTCATAGTGTCATTGGCTTCTCTTCTTAAATCCTCCACAATGACTCTGGCATCTCGATGTTTGACTGCTTGGTTTTCTTCCTTCTTGTTCTTCTTTGGTTTTTTTTTCGGGGTCTTCTGTCCCTCTTTCTCCAGGCCCTGTCTTCTTTTCTTGGCCTTGTCACCATTTTCCCTGTCCTTTTTCTTCGCTCTGTCGGCGAAATCGTTGAAACAGCGGGCTTCTTCGTTGGCCTACATTATCGAGTTTAGTCTGTAAAGCTTATTAAAACATTTGACGTCACTCACTACGTAGTTGATGGAGTAATCAAAAATCTCCAGGTAGCGATGTCTTTCGTACTCCCATTCGATCTTATCAAAGTTAAGACCGAGGCATCGGGCCATAATTAACTCCGCCAGGTCAAAGACGGATGTGACTGGAGCTCTGTACTTCTGCTTGAGGCGATCAAGGATACTGCTGAGTACATTTCCTGTATCCAGAATGTGGGCTTCTTTGGACTGTCTTTCTGAATTGTCCCAGCGCTGTGGGAAACTAGTTATGACCATTTCTGCAATTATTTTTGTCAGCAAAAGAAACTTTTACTAGTGCTAGGTGCAGGACGAACTTGGGTTTAGAACCCAGATCCATAGCTGGTCAATCATCATAATTGGTGGCGGGACGTCGGGATGTCGTCTTTTGAAGTAGCGTGAGATGACTTGGTCAGTATCACGATCTTCTGTACTCTCCGTCATGTAATACTGGAACTGATCCAGGGTGCGACGTAGGTGCAGCGGAGACTGGCGGGGCTCAGGGAAAAGATGGTCAAATATAAGACCCGCGTTGGGATCGGACCAGTGTCCTTCTTCGAAGGCTGTCCTGAGCTCTTCGTGGAAAACGTGTAGCAGCCGAACGATATTATAACCTTGGCTTGCCACAATTGACTTAATCAGTTCATTCATCCTCCTACGGCTAGCGTCGGATTCCCAGTGAAGGTATGGCATCTAGAAGTTTCTTAGCATCAGAACTGCCGCAAAACCAGAACAAGTGTACATACAAAAGCGAGAAAGCTTCCCGAATTTGCCGCAGCTACAACTCTGCACGTTAGAGAGTCTTGAAAATGACGAGGAATGCGGGTACTGTACTGTCGAGTATCTTTCGACACAGTGGTTTCATGAAGCGGCCGTGAACTGACGAATGAACCGGATCGTGAAGCTGTCGCATCCACAACTCCGTTCTCAGTAAGTCGGGGAACGTTTGATCATCATCACTTCTGTCAAATCTCAATGTCGTCATGAGAGCCTAGGAGCTTTTGTGAGCCAAGTGTAGATGAAAGAGCTTTGACTCATTACCTCGACCCAAGCCATCTATGACAACGTCAGCTTCGCCAGTTTGAGTGATGTTGACTAATCATATCAATTGAAAGTCTTACGCAATTGGCAGGAAGGTGTATCCACCTAAAGTCTGCTTCTGGGTAGTATTCGTTGCCAACTCTGTCCGCCAACACTTCATCGAGTAAACCATCTTTGTTCCACACAAAATCTTCCACTGGTACATGCTGGACTCGATGTCCGTCGTTCGTGGCTGACCCGTCGAGGCGAACGTCGCCAGAAACGTTTTCGGAATAGAAGTGAACCACTGTTGCTTCAAAACCCGTGACGAGCTCTCTTTTTGGACGTTGGTGTTTGGTACCGGGTGTATGTGCTGGCCTTCCGGCGGCTGTTGAGCTTGTCAATATTGCCCCGTTGCGGCCCATGAAAATCCTCACAACACCCTCATGCCCCGCCTTCATCGACAAATCCATAGCGACATTTCCACATCCGTCAAATGAATAGTCATCAGCTCCAATATCAAGCAGAAGGCTCGTGATACTCTCATATCCCAGTTCTGCGGCGTCATGCAAGGCTGTTTTCATAGTGTCGTTGTCCGGTTCGTTGATCTCGACGTCGTAGTCAAGTAGCAACTGCACAACAGGTTCGCTTCCTGAGACCACTCCCTTGCGGAACGCTGTCTGCAGATCCGGCTTCACTTCTCCCTTCCAGTCATCGACTTTGCCGTATTTCTCCAAAAGCATCTGCACCGCGGGTTCGTACCCTGCTGCACAAGCCTCTTCCAACAGCACCTTCGGGTTGACGAAACCGCTCCATTCAGCCAGAACGTCGCTGCTCAAGTACTCTGTGAAGGTTTGGACATCCATTCCGGTCCACTTTCGGACAAAGTTCCGCACCCATTCGAGGCCGAGAAGGCTCCCATGTCCCCATTTGGGGCCCATCTCGCGCAGTTTGTTCTTGAGCGAATGTATAGGTAGATCTCCTCCCTTAATAGTTCGCGACTCCGTTTTCAGGAGCGGAATGAGACAATCCTCATGCAAACTACATTGATGCCCATCTTAAGGCACCCAATAAGCGGTCAGTTCAGCATCAGGTTGTAGCGTTGGGAACTGTGATCACCTTCAATATGGAATTCATTGCCAAGCACCTGCGCTTGCTCGGAATTCCCAGCTTTCAGGTGCCAAAAGACCAAGTGTTTTGCAGCCCTTACAACATTGATGTTACCGTCCCCGTGGTCGTCCCTCAGGCTCTCGACTGCACTTTCCATGATACCCTTATACTCATCCTGATCGAGAGCGACTTGACTCAAATTGCAAAGTGTGTCGATGGTGGTCCGATGGTTCTGGCCCAAGACATGCTTTTTGGCCTCGTACACGTCATTGAGTAATTCTCTTGCTTTGTGAAAGTCGGCACGCCGAACGGAAAAGCAAGCCCAGTTGTTCATGAGTTCCAGGGTCCAGGGATACTCGCGTCCCAGTGCTTGTCGAGCACCCTTGATAGCAGTGTCATACAATTCCTGGACTTTGTCATACTTCTCCAGGATTTCGAAGACTAGGACCAGGGACTTCGTGCATGCCATGGTAGCAACATGATTCCATCCCCAAACTTCTTCCATTCTGGCGCGGACCGACTCTAGCATGGGCTCGGCATCGGTATTCTTGCCAGCAGCAGCATATGCGTTACCTAGCATCAGCTGGGCTTGCATCAGTCTTCTATTGTTAGCTTCATAATCCTCATAATCCTTTATCCTTTTTTGATAGAACCCGATCTCTGCATCCAAAGTGTCGAATTCAGCAAGAATCCAAGGCCAATCATCCGCCTGAGCATCTAAGTTGACGTCAGATTCCGTGGTAGATTGTGGGTGACAGCCTTCGGAAAATACCATCATCATAAGAGTTGTCGCTACGATCACTGCCACTCTCGTGGATTGAAGTTGGACGATGGTTTGAGGCGCTATCGGCCTGACTCTTGTTTCCGGGCCCCGTTGAAACGTAGTATTGCCTTTTCGGTTCTGCTACGTTATCAACCGATCCTGGCAGCATTTTGTTTAATGATTCAGGCGAAGACGGAGGCGACCTAGAGGGACAAGTCGGCAAATATTGACAGAACAGCTAGGGTAAAAGATCAAGCGCCATTAGAAACATGTGAGCCGGTCAAAATGTGAAAAGAGGTGGATCCGTAAGCAGCCTCATGAAGCAGATGGCTTCCTCTTTATACAGCAAATTTGAATGGAGTGGTACAAAGGGTATTGGTTGCTGAGAAAGTCCGCTATCGCTATATGTAACCAAACATGCATGCATGGGCGGTGGTTGGCTTACTATAACGATTGGCTGAGTTATAGGCCGTATAAAAAGTAATATATTGTCTTGGCTGCATTGCCACGTCGACATTTGAGGCATCGATCTGCCTTACCGCAGCCTGAAGCATCCATGCACATGCGTGCTGCATATTTGGATTCTTAGGCTGAATCGGAGTTCTGGATGGCTTATCTCTTGATACTGGAACAAAGCCCTCGTGGGGCATAGTATGTCATACAGTCTTGTTCTTCACCTGGCAGAAGAAATAGAGGCTGTGACATTGTGTCCCAAAAAAGACGGGGCAACATTTCACAATGTTTCTATCATACTAGTAAGCTGTCCCCATGTTGAAGTTTTATGTATCTCTGTACAATAGCTGGAGCTTTTGAAGAGTCAAGTCTACTAAATGGATATGGCCTGCGCAATCGCTGGCTAAGAGCTGCTTTTGTGATGCAGAATTCGCACCAAGAGGTTTTAGTTCACCATTTCTCCATTGTCAATATCCGCCATTGTATCCGCCAAGTCAATGTAAAGCAACATCAGGAAGCCTTACGAGTCTATGCCAACGTGAAGACCACGTATGAAACATAATTGCCTGTGCAGCATCTAACCCGGACGATGACTGGGAGCCATAGCTGAGTTGCTAGATGGCGTCTTTGCTTCAATAATCAATGGGTCATTAATCAGACCTTGTCGCAAACACACAAACTCAGCATATTGTCAATTTTTAGGTGAATAACACAGCCCAATATTATTTGCACGATTGACTCTGTATTGACAGCATAATTTAAGAAAAAACCTGGCGGCTTTGAGCGAGCAGACTGCTTTTGCGGCAGCATCTCAGGAGACATACTCAGCTTACTATGGACGTCAAAGCGGCCCTCGAAGAGTTTCTGTGAATTTGCCGGAGTTGTTCAAGAAATTTTCTCGAGAACAACGATGTATAAGAACGAACAAGCGAATATTTCTTACCGAGTCAAGTTGAGCAATTGGCCCGTGACGTCCCTCGGGATGAGATGCAATCGAGTTTAGGTAGTGACCTCGCGGCTCCGAGCGGCAAATCAAGATCGCCGCGGTGAGGCGAAACAAAGTGAACAATGAGGTAACGGCGTGACTTGTCCTCAGCGCCGTTAAAGGTCGGTCGGAGTTCAGCCGCGGACGGCCGTTGCATCCCGCATCGCCGCGTTCCTCGGGCATTCTCCAATGAGGACCTGCCAAAACGACACCCATGCGACGATCGTGGGTCGGGAACCGGAAAGGAAACGAATGGAAGAAAGAAATTGCATGTGATTCCCGATCCGCGGCCAGGGGATTGGGTCGCGCAAAGGAGAGAACCGGAAGCAGGAGACAGCTGCAGCGCAATCTAATCTTGGGTCTCGTTTTTTTTCTCGCTGGCAGTTCCCACTTAGGTGCCACTTTGGGACGTGTACAGGGGAGGCGTGATGCGGTGGGCAGTTTGTTGACTTTTTCTGTCTTGTGACGAGCCGAGATCCATGGAGATTATTTGGGGAACTTGGAGAAGCTGAATAGCAAGTTTGAAGAATATGGTTAACAAACAAACAAAACACGGGCACGCGAGCATGTTCCCGTGTTGCCTCGGCCAGCGCCGGAGAGCCCGGCCGAGGCAGCCCGGGCTTCAGCAGTCAACAGCGCTGGCGAACCCCCGTCGAAAAAGGGCCCGACTCGGCCTCAACCCCTGGCATTTCGTTGAGAGACCTAACCCTCTTCGGAAGGCGGTCAGGGAGTCTGCCGCGACCCTGCCGGCTTGGAGGTGCGTCATGCTTCTCTCAACACTGCCGCAAGGCCAGGCGCACCCCGGTTGTCCAGCTCCAATTGCTGTTGCTCTCAGTGGCAGCTTCTCGATGTTTGCAAGGATGCGACCGGGGTGATGCAGAGGGGAGGGAGAGCAGGAGCGGCGAATAGAGGGGCAAAAACACATGCTGAGCGAGGCATCGTTGTCTCTCTTCTTTTTTTTATTTTTTCTGCCACCACCACCACCACCATCGTTACCGCGACCCAAGACACCTGCCGACGCCGATACCGATAGTGAACCAACCTGTCTGACCCGTACCCCGTCTCGGCTGGACCCTCCCTTACACCTAACCCAGTACAGAGTACATAATAGATAAACTTCTTGCACACCCCCTCTCCTCGACCGCTTCTCCTCCTCTTCCAGCTGTGCCTCATGCTCTTCCGTCTACGATCTGTTGTTTCACTCGCCAGAAGCAGCTTTCCCCAACGAAGATTCCACTCCTCCACCACAATGGCTTCCCTCGGCGCCGAGAAGAAACACAAGGTCACCGTCGTGGGTTCCGGTAACTGGTGAAGCTCCCTCCACTCTACAACCAACCGAGTCTTCGCAAGACAAATGCTAACCGTCTTCCAGGGGCTCGACCATCTGCAAGATCGTCGGCGAGAACACAAAAGCCCACCCCGACCTGTTCGAAGAAGATGTCCACATGTGGGTGTTCGAAGAAGACGTCGTCCTCGACAGCTCCTCCCCCTACCACGACCCCTCCGTCGGCGACGCGCCCCAGAAGCTCACCTCCGTGATCAACAAACACCACGAGAACACAAAGTACCTGCCCGGCGTCCGCCTCCCCCACAACATCATCGCCAACCCCTCCCTCCAGGACGCCGTCCGGGACTCCACCATCCTCGTCTTCAACCTCCCCCACCAGTTCATCGGCAACGTCTGCAAGCAGCTCCGCGGCCACATCCTCCCCTTCGCCCGCGGCGTCTCCTGCATCAAGGGCGTCAACGTCTCCGACGACGGCATCTCCCTCTTCTCCGAGTGGATCGGCGACGGCCTCGGCATCTACTGCGGCGCCCTCTCCGGCGCGAACATCGCCTCCGAAATCGCCGCCGAGAAGTGGTCCGAGACCACCATCGCCTACGACCCCCCGCCCGTGGACAACTCCCGCGCGCCCACCCCGCGCTCGACATCCCCCAACGGCCCCAACGGCCACGGCAACGGCATCGCACCCCTCACCCCCGTCGAGATGCAGCACAAGGACGCCCGCGGCCGCACCTCCAAGACGAAGCTCACCCCCGTCCCCGCAGAGTACCCGCCCCTCGACCACCAGATCTTCAAGACCCTCTTCCACCGGCCCTACTTCCACGTCCGCATGGTCTCCGACGTCGCCGGCGTCTCCCTCGGCGGCGCCCTCAAGAACATCGTCGCCCTCGCCGCCGGCTTCGTCGACGGCCGCGGCTGGGGCGACAACGCGAAAGCCGCCATCATGCGCGTCGGCCTCCTCGAGATGGTCAACTTCGGCAGGGAGTTCTTCGGCCAGACCGTCCACGCCGGCACCTTCACCGAGGAGTCCGCCGGCGTCGCCGACCTCATCACCTCGTGCAGCGGAGGGCGCAACTTCAGGTGCGCCCGCATGGCCGTCGCCGAGGGCGTCAGCGTCCAGGAGATCGAGAAGCGCGAGCTCAACGGCCAGCTGCTGCAGGGCACCAGCACCGCCAAGGAGGTCAACAGCTTCCTCAAGGCGAGGGGGCTCGAGAAGGATTACCCCCTCTTCACGGCCGTCAACGGCATCCTGGAGGGACGGCACAGCGTCGACGATATCCCGAACCTGGTCTCGGATAACTGAAGAGTGGGAGAGAAGAAAGTGAACTTCGGGGAATTCGAATAATACGGAACGTTACTGTTTGTGTGATGGACGGCACGGCACGGCATGTGTAGGAGGACGGACGGGCATACAGCCAGGGATCGGAGTCTCGGGCTGGGTTTGAAGAATATGCACATTTGATATCCCCGGATTGAATACCACAGCGGCATGGTGTGGGATGGATCTAGACAGGTTAAAGCAATGACTTTGTTCTGATCAATTTACCGTGATCCTGGTATCCGACGCAAGGAAAAAAAGTAATGACACGTCCACGAAGACTACCAATCCCCCAACAACAAATTCCTCTTCTCAAACTCCGACCCCTCCACCCTCCTCCACCTTCTCTCCCCCTCCTCCTCCGTCCTCTCCCCGTCCCCAAACACAGGCTTCAGCACACCATCATACGCCATCCAGAGCAGGTTAAACACCACACTCAGCCCGACCCCCAACCACAGCGGGAACTTGCCCTCCTTATCCGCGAGCCACTTGTTCAGCTGAAAGAACACCAGCATCACGGGCAGGAACAGCCCCGTCAGCAGCCACCGCGCGACCCGCTGCCGCCACGTCGTCACGGTATACGCCGCCAACCCGTTCAGCCAGCGCTGGTAGTCGTCGGGCAGCTCGTGCTCGGCCGCGCCGTCGGTGATGAGCTTCAGGTAGCGCGCCGAGGGCTGCGCGTAGTTCGGGTCCGGGCGGCGCGGGGGCTTGATCAGGCGGTAGTACCACTTCTTGCGGGGGTCTTCGGGGGTGTCGTCTCCGTCGTGGCTGTAGGTACTCTGACCACGACCGGGCTTCTCCGGCTCCGCGTCGGGAATCGCGGGGGAGTACAACGTGTGCGCGAGGAAGGGCCTAGGGATATCGATCGGCGGCTTCTCCGGGACGGATACCCGCGGCGGGAGGGAGACGCAGGGGACCAGTATATCCGCGTACGACGAGCCCCCGCCCTCGGTGGCCACGATGGTGGCGTAGTCCCGCGGCGTGACCTCGTACACGACGCCGTAGAGCCCCTTCGTCCAGCCGCGGTCCGGCGTCGCGCTCTCTCTCTCCATCTGTCCCTCCACGTCGTACTCACGCTGCTGCTGCTTCTCGGAAGGCGGCGGCGGCGGGGCAGGGAGCGGAGGAAACCGCGGATCACCCGGCGGGCGCGGGATCTCGGGCACCTTGCGCGGCGCCGTGTTGGCGAAGCAGGGCTCGCGGTAGGGCAGGCCGGGGAGGTCGAAGACGAGGGTGAGGGAGGGGGCGGAGACGTTGGTCTGGGAGACGGGGCGGATGCCGCGGGCGCCCAGGAAGGTCTCGGCGGAGAGGTTGGAGCCGTAGGCTAGGTAGAGGATTGTCTTTTCCGCTTCTGCTTGGTCTCCGTCTCCTGCTGCGATGTCTTCTTTGGCATGTTGTGCGGTGTCTTCGGCGGCGGCGGCGAGGCGTTCGGGGCTGGTGCGCGGGATACTCGAGATCGGAGGGTACGAAGATCTCTTCGGAGGAGACAAGAAGGATGTTTCGTGGATTTGGCGGAGGAGGGGCGTCGGGTCTCCTGTTGCCATGTTGTGTGATGGTTGGCTCGGGGCGGTCCGTTCGAGGTGGTGATGAGATGGATGGTGCTTCGTGCTTCCTGCTTCGTGCGGGTAGGGTAGCTAGCTACGAGGAGCTTTGATTTTCGTTGGGGAGGTCAATCTGGGATGATGCCGGACCCCGGATGACAAGATCAGATGAGATGGAATTGTTGTGCGAAAAGAGGTGGTGTTTTGAAACGTGAGGCGAATGGATCTTCCGCGAGGTGTTTGGATGACGACGCTCGGGTGATAAGTGAATCCCACCGGGCGGATCGCTGCGGGCGCCGGTCGGCGGACGGAGGGAGGCGGAGATTATGTAAGACGTGGGGGGACCGGGGTGTTGCGGAGCGGGGACTCGGGTCGGGGTTGGGAGAGACGGGGTTGAGGTGGATGTTGATAATATTACTGTGATTCCATCGAGTCTATACTTTGCAGATTTCGTTAAAATTCATTAGATTCTTTCCGTTGACGTCGTTTATGTAAAATCTTCTCACCTAGTTCCTATACCATAAAGATGTTATCTTCCTCATGAACAACCGAGTTCTTCAAATCACGCCTGAAATCTACTTCATCGTGATAGTGACCCAGCAAGATTCCGAGATACCTCACGAACCAAGACTGGGCCGCTGATACAGCCCAAGAGTCAAGTTCACGTTCCTCGTCCCAGGTTTTCAACGACATCCTACCACGATCTAATCGACGCTAAGATACCCGTCACAATAACCATCAAAGGTAAAGCAAAGGAAGCCTAAATCATCCCCTTCCATGACGCTCATACTGACCTCATTCGCCGTTCAAGATGGGAAACATCACGACGCCGCAACGTGGGCCCGCTTCTTGCCATATCCATGAGTAGCCATTTATCGAGGCGAATGAGAAATCGTGCGAGGTAATTTAAGTGCTCTTACAGCAAGGCCGTCGGCATCCCGGGGGCTTTCATACCTCGGGCTTAAATCGTGTGGGGACATGGTCGAGGAGGACAGCAAAGAAGAAGCTCGACGATGTTGTGCACGTTGTCTCAAAATCGTCTTGCCTGCTCCAACCTCACCTTGCATCACTCTCCGCCAACTGCGGACGGTCACAGGAAGAATATCCACGCACACCACTGGAAATGGAATCCAAGTTTAGTCATTTGAGACGATCGACCAAAGCCAACGCTTGACCCGAACAACCGCCGTGAGGACACGGTAGAAAAAAAAAATAAGAAGCCACACAGAACAAATGCCTGCCTGCCTTGCGTTGCCCTTTCCCAAAAGCCAAGAATAAGAATCATAGCCGTCCCGTTCTTTCGCCCTCCTGAGCACGCCCAAAACGCCTCGCCTCGCCTCGTCTGGCCTGTCCCCTCTTTCGCCTCGCGCGTCTTTCGTTGCTCTAGTACGTCTTGTGCGTTCCTCTCACGAACAGATCTCCCCGCGACGCATCACCGCACGTGCTGTAGTGTCGTCCGATCTCGGTCAGGATGGGTCTCGGATGCCATTCGGGCTCGGTCGTCGGGCTCGGGTTTGCGTGCTGGAGTCTGCTCACTCTTCCCTCCTCTCACCGGATCTTCAAGTCCTCTCGCCAGGACAGGGTGCCATGTTTCGTAGCGGTGTTTTTGTGGATGTAGTTATCGAACAGGGAAAAATACAGTGGTGCATGCCTTCGTGGATATCGTATATCGAAAACATTAGAAGAGTAGTCGGATGCCTGGCTCGGCCAGTTTATTGCAGCGGGTTCACGTCGGGGGATCGAGCTGCTTGTCGTCGGTCTACTCGATACGCGGCGGCGTCTTTGACGAGTACGGTGACGCGCTTCTCCTTTTTGAAAGAAGGGGTGTCAGGGAACCCTTTCGTATGTACGAATGCAGATATACAACAAAGACACAAGACAATAGTTATCCTCGGGGGGATTGGGAGGACTCGTAACGCAGGATGGGGGGAAACAAAGGAAGGGCTTACGATCTCCTCCTCTCGCCCTCTTTTCTCAAGCTCTCGATGATCTTGAGCATTTCCTTGCGGCCGCCGTGGGAGTCGATGAGCTTGTTGGCCATGCTCATGCTGACCTTTTCCCTGGCATTAGCGGAGAGCAGGCGCTTAACGAGCAGGTGCCGCATGAGGATGCACACGAAAACGCCGCAGTCGCTGCCGTTCTCCTGTTGGGGGGAGTCGTCGAGGTTCAGGAATCGGAGGGGTCTGCCGAGGATCTCGGACATTTTCGCCGTGGCGAGGCGGCCCTCGTTGTAGTTTGCGCCGCCGAGGGAGTCGTAGTGGAAGGCGACGCCGTCGATGGCGGAGACGAGGAGAAGGGACCAGTGGGAACCGCCTTCTGCTTGGGCGACGTTGCGGGCATCGTTGATGGGCAGGAAGATGTGCGTTACTTTGGAGAAGTCGGGGAGTGCGGAGCGGATCTGGCGCATGTCGGGCTCCTTCATCAGGAGGAACGTCATTGACGGGCGGAGGAGTACGATACGGGCTTGCGGGTACTTGGGGAGAATCTCGCGCTCCAGCCATCTGCGGGTGTTAGGTTGGCCGGAAGAGGTGGAAGATGAGGGCAACGGCTTACTCTTCCCAAAAGGCGATGTTCTGGCAATTGTCAGCTCCGAATGAATTGACCGAGGGGAGAGGAAACGTACGTTGTCTGTTAACCAGTCATTCTTGAGCGACTTGATGTCTTCATATGTGACTGCTTTGCATGTAAGTCAGTGCGACTCGGGAGAGACGGGAAGCGGAGCGGCTCGATGCGCGCATGTTTCGGGAGGTTACGTACGGAGGATATCGTGGTCTGCAATGCGGAGGAACCAGTCAGTCGGTTTCGAGTTCGTGATCACCATAACCGGACGGTGGTTGATTTCCCATGGCATCCGGATTGGCAGAGAGGGTGACGACTTACACGACAAATACGGTGCTTGCGGGGAGAGCTAGAACGCCGGTTTTGTCAGTCCACCGTTTTCCTCGTGTTATCTTTTTTCGGAGCCGTTGCGCTGAAACGGGGAGCATTCTTCCCCCGCGCGAGGGGAATGTACCCCGCGCGGTGATGCCCAGCACCCACGCCGACGACGAGACGACGGGAGGAGGAGGAGAAAGCATGTGCCCGTCCGCCCCGTCTGTGGTGATTGCTGCTGCCTTGTGTCGTCCGACGTGGGAGAGCAGTGCGACGAGGCGGGTGCGAAGAAGGACGAGGAGAGACTTACGGTGTCACCAAAGTGACGAGCCATCTTCCTGAAAGGCATGCTTAGGCGCGACTCCGACCTGTGGCCGGACTTGGGGGTGCTGCTTGAGCTGGTGGTGGGCGAGATCGAGGGGGAGGCTGTCGAGGATGCGGCGGCGGCGGAGGAGGAGGAGGAGGAGGAGATGGTAGAGCTTTCGGAGCTGGAGCTGCCGCGGTGAGGTGGTAGCTGCTGCTGTTGCGGTTGCTGTTGCGGTTGTGGATTGCGATGGGAGCGGAAGGGAAGAAAGCGGCTGTTCGCGCGGTTGCGTCAGAGGAGACTGTTTCGTGCAAGGTTGTGTCGATCTCTCTTTCTCCTTTGGACGACCACCAGCCAGAGAGAGGTTTGGAGGTGGGAAGTTGCCGGGGACGGAGGTGAGGAAACAAAAGTAAACAAGTTGAGAGAGGATGACGAGGGAATCAGAGCAAAAAGCCGAGATACACCAAGTAGAAAAAAAAAAATAAACACAAAGGACCCTCGACTCGGCTCTTTTTTCGCCAACTGGGCCTGTGGTGCAATTTTTTGGGCGGGGAGGATGGAGCTGGAGAGCGGGAGGGTCTGTTGTCGGGTGTGTTGCGCAGCGCAGAGGCCCTTTTGGGGATCTTCCCGGGATCCAGCTCAGAACCCCCCGGGCAGTGGGCAGTCACAGTCACAGGGTCACAGGGAAGAATTGAGGCGGGCTGGGGTACCTTTAGTGGCGGTGGTGGAGAAAGAATAGAAGGAATGGCGCGGGAGACGTGGAGGAGACACAGACACTCTGCACCGAGCGTTGATGATGCAGATTGCAGATGCAGATGCAGGGAAACTGGGAACGGACTGGGCTGAAATCGGGCCTCTCTTTCTCAGTCATCGGTAAACTCTCAACACCGTTCTCTCTGAGCTGTACAACGAGAATGAGGCTGGAGAGATGGATGAGTGACGACGACGGGGAGAAGACGTGGCCCGCAGGTGGCTGAGCACGACGCTGGCATTGGCTGCATCGCGGCACCGCACCGGGGGGCCAAGGACCGAAAATGCGAGGTGACGAGCTGACAAGCCACACTTGCGGCGCGCCTTGTGGGGCCACCCCTCATCGGAGCTGGGGCCACCTTCTCGCTTGGGTAAGGTACGTACCCACACGCCGGTACGGTCACTCCAGTTCAGCTTCACCCACTGAGGTGAACCCGATTCCCCCCCACCACCTGAGGGAAGTGGTCACGAGCCCAAAAGACGAAGAAAGCAACGAATTCCAATCACGAGAAACCAGAAAAAGAGTAACACACCTCGGCGTGCTGAAGAAATAGCTCGACGTCGCCGGCGCTGCTGCTGCTGCTGCTGCTGGTGGTTGAACGTCCACCGCCGCGGCCATCGTACGACCGTGGACGCGGGTGTTTCCAAATGCCGAAAAAGTCTGGGGATCCCGGGGACGAAGGTTTCGAGGATACGAGGTTATCTGACAATTCCAGAAAGGCAATTCGGAGTCTTTGGATTTCGCTGTTGGTTCCAAAGGAGTACGCAGGACACCCGGGGGACAATGCAGGGCGAGCGAGCGGGAGCATGCGAGTTTACATAGTTTTTCTTACTCGAGGCGTGCAGCGGAAACGGGTAACATTAAAGAAAAGAAAAATAGGGACGAAACCTGGGACGCCAGATGGCCGATCATCTGCGCAGCTGGGGAATCTGGGAAGGGTATAGGTGCAAAGTAGTATCATCGAAGAGAGGGAGATCTGGAACGCCGCGCTCCGAATCTGGGTTTACTCGGCTTGGAAGAGGCCTGTGACAATGCCTTCCGCGCCCCGGACTAAGGAATTCTCACGTCTCTCCCATCTATCTGCTGGAACATGCACATCACTCTGCTTCTGCTCCTACGATAAAAGTTGATGAGTCACGGCAGATAGACTCCTCCGTCAGACGCGGTGAGAGAGACGCCGGACGAAGGAGAGAGAGAGAGAGAGGAAACCAGGTTTCACCTCGTCTACGTCACCGTGCTGCGGCACGCCGTTCCAGACCATCGCGATGCTTTTAAGGCTGGACGATACTACCCACCTGGAGCAGATACCGCCGCAGCAGCCAAAATCAGCCCTAGCCCGAAGCTTCTCTGCGAATCCGGCGCCAAAACAGCCCCCAGACGCACGCCCTCTCGCCTGCCCACCGGACGCCTGCGCCGGTTCCCTTCTCCACGGACGGGCAGCAGCAAGCCTCATCTTGTTTTTGTTCTGGGGGTGATTCGGGTGGGGTAAGAAAAGGGAAAACAGACTCTCACCGGTCGGCGCTTGCCGAGTGGGATATGCCGGTACGGATATTGCTACTGCGGGTGGACTTCGGTACCAACACTGTGAAGCCATGCTCTATTCCCACCAACCACGATGCCGGGTCCCGCCATCTGCCGGCAGTCGGCCGTTTCCATCTGGCTTCCCGTTTTGTTTTTGCAGTTGTTTTGCAAGGGTGCGTTGGAAAGTGCATTGAAATAGATAGACCGGTATTGGATATGGAATGTTCAAACTTCGCCCTAGAAACCAGATCAAAAACAAACAAAGTCCGTGGTTATCGTTAGCACATCTGAGCATCACCACCGTCTGCACCAGCACTACTGCACCTCCCGCCTGACCGTTGAGGTAACGGTCAACACATCAAAGCACACCGGATGCTAAGAAAATTGGGTTTCTCATTAGACGTTCTTCCCACCCATGTCAATAAGTTCGTAACTCATGTCCCTTTCCTTCCTATCGTACAAAGATCCGAAGCATCAGATGTAGATGCGCCTAGGAGTCGTTGCCGCTGGCCAGACCACCCTTGCGACCCGCCTCGCGCGCCTTCTCGGAGCCGGGCTCGAAAGAGCCGGACGAGGCCTTGCCGCCCTCGGACGCGATCTTGCGCTGTAAACAAAACAAGTCAGCCAGCTTTCCACATGATGGCAAGAGATGCTTTCATTAACGTACCTGCTTCTCGGGGTCCATGCTGGCGAATCCGCCAGTGTGACTGGCGTGACCGCCCTTGGCCGCGATCTCCTGAACTTCCTCGGTAGGTCTGTCACAAAAATCATGTTGTTAGCCTTCGTTCCGATGCAGAGCTTCGAGTCCGGGGACGGAACGGATCGTACAGATTGGCGAAGTTGGCAGGGTTCGGGTTCTTGTGGGCGTGGCTGGCATGGCCGCCCTTGGCTGCGATCTCGCGGACTTCCTCAGTGGGACTGCGGTAATCAGGTCAGTATCCTGTCATCCAGAGTTTCAAACCAAATTTTGGAGATCTTCTAGGAGAGATGCTGCGTACCGGTTGGCAAAGTTGCCGGGGTTCAGGTTGCCAGTCTTGTCGATGACTTCCTCGGGGCCGTGGCTCGCTTGGCCGCCCTTGGATGCGATCTCCTGGACTTCCTCCTTGGGGCTGAAATGGTCAGTACTGGCAAGAAGAGACGACTTGTATTCGATAGAGCCGTGATACTTACAGGTTGGCGAAGTTGGCGGGGTTGGTGTCGGCCATGATGATGACTTTGCTATGGTGTTGTTGATGTGTTGGTGAATTGGTGTCGTCGGTGATGATGGAGGAAGACTGAAGAAAATACTGAACGAAGCGAGGTTTATATCTATTCTTTCTCAATAACTTACTTCCTCATCCAGGTAAGGAAGCAACCGACAAACGTCAAAAGCGGGCAACAGCTGCCTACCTCTGCCTTCCGCGAGTGACGTTACTCCCAGGCAAACAACCCAGTCCCAGCCGTCCTCTCCTGACGATCTCCGCGCTGGCTGACCGGATTATGACGACGGAGCCGCATCTACCCACACCATCTACCCCAGAATCACGGCGGCTCACATCTTCTGCAGACAACCCGTGCAGCGAGCTGTGCAGCGGCGGGCGGCCCCATAGTATTAGCATGCCGGTCCAGGCCCTGGGTTGACATCACTGGATCGTCAAAAAAGATGTTACTGGCCCTGGGACGTCCAATCATTATGTTTGCTGTTTGGACTTTCTCCGTCGGCGTTTTGTTTCTGTGGGAGACGCGTGGTGGGCTTTCTTCTTCGCGTCTGTTTCGCCATGTGGATTTGTTTACTTATGATGCCATAGGCCGGGATCTCCTCTGGGTCCATCGCCGATTCGCCTCGTCTCTTGTGAAACGTGAGAAGGCTTCCTTCTGATCGCAAATTCGAATGTTTGCCGACTGTCGTACGTATTCATCTCGGAAGTTTCGAGCGACAGTTTGTCTGGGAGAGTCTCGGGCGACGATTTCAAGTTTAGTGTAAGGTGCAGACCGTGAGGAAGCAGGGCGGGCCCCACACCGATGCGATGACTCCGTGTGCCGGGTCCACGTCGGCACCGGTACCGGTCCCTGGCCCCACTCGCCCGGTTTCCTTCATCAAAAGCCATCGAGGCTTTTCTCATCCTGCCACTTTTCCCGAAGCATTGTGTATTCCGGAGCGATCTTTCATTAGCGATGCACCTTCAAACTAGTCCCGTTCGAATGATGTCAACCTCTGAAAAGCTCTCGTTCTCAGTTAATATGTAATAATGCTCCGAGCGATAATAAAGCCATATGAGCTAGGGACACAGGGCATCAGCAGCATTTATCTCATAGTCTCAGAAAACTGCAATGCCAGTCGCGAGTTGCCTGGCACGTCAGAATCTGAGCTGTTCTTGATTGGGTATTATTTATCTTCTATGCTCCGAAACATGCCTCCAGGTGTTTCTTATTATAAAAGCTGGACATACAATCAATTTTATGAGGTGGAAATGGTGCCTAGCTCTGAATCAGCGTTATGGCGGATTGGCAAACCGCCGTAAAGCTTGTTTAGAGCCGGGCAACATTCCCACCCCATAAAATTGCATACACCTCCAGCTCCTATGATACGAAACGCCGCAAGCAGTCTTGTATCCGTGACGCCATGATAAGTGCAATTCTTTTTGTAACCGTGACCCATTCCAGACATTCAGCCGATCGACCTTTTGTCGAGCGCTGCCGATGAGATGATGAACTCTCTCAGCTCGAAACCCTCCACTCTTTTCTTGTCATGTGCTCGAACCAGGCGCGCTCATGTTCCAGTGGCAGTTAGGTTGGAGTCATGCCCAGCACCTGCAGGCGAAGGACTCCCCGCTCCCGGGGACCACGTCCGCCCGTGAAAACCGACCCAAACACCAGAACCATATTCCATCCTCTCGTAGAAGCAGCTCACGGGCCCTGTCTGCTGAAAGCAGGGTTCTGCTCCATCGTCGTCGAAATATGCCTCCTCAACGCAGCCCACCTCCCCGCATTCGCACTCGTCTCCGCCGGCGCATCAGCCCCCGCCATGACAACCTCATCCCCATCCGCAGCAGCCGGCACCGGCGCCGCCGCCACACCCCCATTCACCGGCGGAACAGAAGCAAGCGCCGCCATACTCGCCCCGAACCTCTGCATCTCCCCCCTAACAACCTTCTCCTTCCTCTTCAGCGCGCCGGGCCTGCTCTTCAGACTCTTATGCCGGACCTTCCCCTCGCGCGCGAGCTGCCCGAGACTCGCCTCGTCGTCGTCGAGCTCCGGGAGCGCGTCGGCGAGCGACTCCATCGTGGCGACGAGCTTCTTGGAGGGCCGGCGCCGCTTGAGGGCGGGTTTCTTGTTGGCCTTGTCGATCTTGCTCACGAAGGCGCTGTGCTTCATCGTGCGCTTGTCCTTCTTGGAGGTCAGGAAGCTGTCGTCGACGTGCGCGTCGGCGCGGTGCGTCTTGTGCGGGGCGAGCGGGTGCATGGCGCCGCTGATTCGGGCCAGGCGCTTCTCGCGCGCCGAGAGGTTTGTTGGGGCGGTGGGCGCCTGGGAGGGGGCAGTTAGCGGTGGGTTGGTTACCTTGATACATGTATTCGACGTACCATTTTGGACCTCGCGACTAGGTTTGTGGTGGTCGAGGGGTGTTGAATTGGTTGGGCGCAAAAAGCGAGGTCTGTCGATGTGGGAAGAAGAAGCGGCGATGATGAAGTCTGGAAAGGTGCCCGAGCTTCAAAAATTCCATGGTGGGGTCCGACAAAAGCGGGTCCCTCTAAATCGTGGGGTCGGTGGTCGGCTGCGGCGTCTCCGATCTCTGTTAAATGCGCAAGACAAAACCCGCGCCTGTGAGTTACTCATCACAGAAACACCCAACTGCGAACATGGGCAAAATCGACGATTTGAGGCGAAAGGTCGCCGAGGCCGAGGCCGAACTGCAAAACCTCAAGGATGAGCTCGCAAGGGCGGAAAAGGAAGCTCTCGACGCAGAGACGACTGCCCAGCAACCCTGGAAATGGCCCCTGCAAGCGGAGGAGTATGAGAGGTACGGCCGGCAGCTGATCATCCCGGCAGTGGGAGTCAAAGGTTAGGGTTGAAAATCATCCTGCGCTCGCTTCTGTGCTAAGTCGCTGCAGGTCAACTCAGGTTGAAGAAGTCCAACGCTCTCATCATCGGCGCGGGGGGCCTGGGATGCCCCGCAGCCGCTTACATCGCCGGAGCAGGGGCCGGTACCATCGGTCTGGTCGACGGAGATGTGGTTGAGGTATCGAACCTTCACCGGCAGGTGGCTCACTCGACCGAGAGGGTCGGGATGTTCAAGGTCGACAGCGCAATCACATATTTGAAGGGGTAAGTGATACACCACTCACTTAATAGCATTAGACTAACGTTTCCCACCAGCCTCAACCCAACTGTCACATATCATAGCCACAAAACGCATCTAACGCCCCAGAACGCCGAAGAAATCGTCTCGCAGTACGACATCGTTCTCGACTGCACCGACCACCCGACGTCCCGCTACCTGATCTCCGACATCTGCGTCCTCCTCCAAAAGCCCCTGGTCTCCGCCTCCGCATTCCGCACAGACGGCCAACTCATCATCCTCAACTCGCCCGCAGCGCCCCAAGGAAGCTTAGAAGGCGGCCCTTGCTACCGATGCGTCTTCCCCAAGCCGCCACCGCCCGATAGCGTAGTGAGCTGCGGCGAGGGCGGCATTCTCGGTCCCGTCGTCGGCGTGATGGGTGTTCTCCAAGCTCTCGAGGCCATCAAACTCATTGCTGCGGGCGCCGTTGACCCGGATGTCAAAGTCAAGGAAGCGACTGCACCGTCGCTCCTCATCTTTTCGGGAGCCGCGCCGTCGGGTCCCTTCAGATCGGTCCGGATGCGCGGGCGTCGGAAGGACTGCTTTGCTTGCTCAGGGGAATCGACTCTGTCGCTTGAGACTCTGCGATCTGGGTCCTTGGACTATGTCTCTTTCTGCGGAGTCAGTGCTCCGATGAACATCTTGGGGCCTGACGAGCGCGTTACTGCGACTGAGTATGAGCGTATCTCTAGGGAGAAGAGTTCAAAGCACCTCCTGCTGGACGTAAGAGAGCGGGAAAATTTCGACATCTGCAGTATAGACGGCGCCATCAGCCTACCCATCTCAACCTTCATGAAGCAGACTCAGGCTTCGAAAGGCGGATCACAGCCGCAACCAGAGTGGATTCCCTCGGATTTCCCCGCAGACGCGCCAATTTACCTCGTCTGCAGAGTCGGGAACGATTCGCAGCTTGCCGCAAAACGCCTGAAGGACCTGGCGTTAAACGATGGCGGAAACCGCTTCATCGGCGATATCAAGGGGGGCATGAAAGCTTGGAAAGACGAGATCGATCCCACGCTGCCGTTCACATAAGCGACGATGACGAAGATTACAGATTTGAATAAGTTGGATTTGTTCTGACAAGGGGGGACTGTCGTCATGATACATACTTTTCCCACGCGATACCCCATATTGCTACAAAGAGAGGAGGGCGGCCTACGCCCAAGAGCCATGATAAGTCCATTAACCAACCTTAAGAGAGAAGAAGAAACCGGGTGCTGCGGCTTGTGAACGCGATTTGATGGTGATTTTACACGAAGGTGATGCGCTTCCGGTTGAAGGCCCGCTGGTCCTTGAGCCATTGACGGTAACCAGCGACGCTGGAGATCTTCTCGCCGTAAAAATCAGGGACTGGGTCACACAATTAGTACCACAAGCACGGACGAGCGAACAGGAAGAAAGTTCGCTTACCAGGGTTGCCAACGGAGGAGACGGAGGGGTCGACACGGTTCTTCTTGATGCGAGCGAAGAATTCCTTCTCCTTCTGCAAAGCGCAAACAGATTAGCACCCCGCTAGACATCAGATCATTGCGGGACCAAACTCACCATCGTCATCTGGTTCTTCCACCTCTTGTTAAGGGTGTAGAACACGAGCGATCCAACACTAGGCCCCATCAACCAGCCCAACGCGCCCAGGCTGAACGTCATAAGTCCAAGGGTGATGAAGGGATCCAGCGGCACCTGCGTAACCAGGGAGTCCGCGACGCCCGTCGTGAGAACACCCGCGCCGCCCACGAACGACCCGGCGAAGCCCACGAGACTGAAGCCGAGCTGCCACCTGCGGCGGGACTTGCGCAGGGCGAAGAAGGTGTTCCAGTCGAGCCTGTCGCCCTGCTGAGGAGCGGAGGGCTTTTGCGCCGCGGCGGCGGCAGAGGTTGCGTTGCAGCGCTGCGAGCACGGCTGGCGGACGACGCGGGCGATGATGGGAGACGTCGAGGAGGAGGTGAAGACGGCGCTGCTGCGGGCGATCGGGGAGGACGGGGCGAGGCCGATCGGGCGGGCGGGGGACTTCTTGGAGGCGGCGGCTGTCGAGTACGGGCATGTGCGGGCGATGGAGGAAGCGATGGAGGCGCGGGCGGCGCCCTGGCCGGCTAGGCGGAGAGCAAAAGTGCTCGTGGGAGTCAGCATCGTGGTCGTGTTCGATTCGGTGTGGTAGTTTTCGGTGGTGAGCAGTCGTGATGACGATGTGGTGGTGGAGTGGAGATTTTTTTTCGTCGGGAGGAATTGGAAATGTGCTGAAGCTGCTGATGGAGCTTCTTTCTGCGATGAGGTCAAGCTCAGTCCACAAAGATTTGACGCCTCGCTGCGCCGGTAGCCGCCCAGCCGCAGCTACTGCACGGGCCGCCCTGCAGCGCTTGCTCCACGCCGATCGATTAACCCTTGTGGCTTTAACATCAGGAGGCAGGTTAAGAAATACCAAGATATAAATAACTATACTAAGTAGTAAAAATAGTATAATCCTCTTAGTTTGACTTAAGTATTCTACTTATTAAGGTCTTTAAATACTATTAAATAGTTAACTAAAATTTTAAAAAGATTAAAATTAATATTAATATAATTAAATAATTATTTACTAATATATAGCTTATAGTTTCCTAGTGGTAGTATACCTTTGTACTAGCTATATGTATTACGTAATTTTTCTGTAGTGTCTAGGCTTAGTAAACTACTAAACTGGTACTAAGAATGTTAGATTTCCCCCTCTCCTCTACCCGACAAAGCACTTAGGCCTCGACGCGGAACATGCGCAATTGCCTTCCACGAGCCTCAAAAATCACGTACGTTTTGCTCATGATATCAGGACACTTTCTGATCTCTCCTGGAATTTTCTTGACATAAATAGCTCCAGGCGTTGACGAGTTGTGCGACTTTCGGCTTGCAGGGCAGCTGCAGTCGCGCCAGACACGAGACGACACGAACCCCAACCGCGACCCTTCCGACGACGAGCGGACGAACCCTCTTTACTACGACCGAAGCCGAGACCGCCCCGTTGCCCAGAAAGACCCAATCGAGCAGTCGTGGCTCGCTCCTCTCCCGAGAGTGACCATGTCGCGACGAATCGTCTGGTTCGGCAGACCCTCCGCCGCCGCCGCCGCCGCCGCCCCGAACACGACATCCTCCACGCGCAAACCGACCTCCAAATCCAAATCCCCAGAACACGTCCAGCTCGCCGTCGTCTTCAAAGACATCGCCACCTACCGCCCCTACAAACCCGGCGCCGGCCCCCGCCTGCGCCCCGTAACCCTCCTCCCCGTCCACGACTCGACAGCCTACATCCGCGACGAGTTCTTCGTCCCGCACACGCTCTCCGAGGACGGCAAGAAGCGCCTGCAGTACGTCGTGGGATGGACGGACCTGCCCGCCGCGCGGCTCGTCGTCGACGCCGAGAGGATCGCCGACTACGTCTCCCCGCTGGCGTACGAGGAGTGGTGCGCCGCGCGGGCTGCCGAGCGCGACGAGGAGGAGCGCAGGAAGGAGGAGGAGGAGAACGTGCGTGCCGTGGCCGAGGCCGAGGCGCGGGAGCGGGGCATTGGTCTTCGGAATGGGGCTGTCAAGGAGACGTCGCCGGTGACGGAAGATACGACGGCGAGGACGGGCGGAAAGAGGAAACGGAGGACAAAGGCCGAGATGGAGGCCGCGCGGGCTGCTACGCCAGCGGAGGAGGGAGAGAAGAGGAGGCCAGGGCGGCCTAGGAAACACGCGCCGTCGCTTTCGACACCCTCGAAAGCGAGGCTTGAGGAGTTTGGGGGTTTGGAGACCGAGGCCGAGCCGGAGACTGAGAACCCCGATGACGAGGAGGCGATATTTCGGCAGCTTAATGGGGACTTGTCCGTTGCGGAGGACGAATACGATTCAGGGGAGGCAAGCAGTGTCCGGACCGGATTGGAGCCGCCGACCAAGAAACAGAGAACGATATCTCCGGGGGCACCTCTTTCGAGATTACTGCCGGGCATCGAGACGGATAGCAGCCGGAGCACGCCGTTCGACTCTTCAAGGGGAGCTACCAGCTCACCGGCCCTACCACCACTGCCGAATCCTGCACGCTCAGTTCCGCTGTCCGCATTCCCTTCCGTACCACAGGCTTCTGCCAACTATACCTCCACCCCTCCGGCGACCGTCAAGAAAGTCACCCCGATTATGCCCCCGATGCCTCCCAAGCGCTCACTGCTATCATTACGAGATCCGCCACCATCATCAGCCGCGTCTCACCCCCCATCATCAAAATCACAAACACCCGCCTCGAAACCATGGCAACGGCCACCAAACATGAAAGAAACCGCAATCAAGCCCCCCATAAACGGCACAGCGGTGAAATCGAAACCAAGAACGGAGTCCGCCCCGGCAGCAATACCAACACCCCAAACCAACACCACCCCCGCCAAGACACCAACACCACGAACCGGCTTCACGCCCCTCGCCCAAAGCTCTCGACCCTGGAGCGCATCCCAAGCCGTCAAGAACGCAACGACCTTAACACCAACCCAACCCCTCAAATCCGTCCAACACGCGCCCCCATCCTCCGCCACGCCAAAATCACGATCCGCGCGCCAACAAAAACGCTCCGCAGCCCAAGACCTCGACCCAGACCGCGACGAGCTCGCCGAGAACCGCTACGAAGTCCTCCGCCTCGAGGGCCTACAAGTCCGCCAGGTCCACAACAAGCCGATCCGCTTCTTCGCCGTGCGCTGGAAGGGCCGGTGGCCGCCGGGGCAGAACCCGACCTGGGAGCCCGAGGAGAACATCCCGCTCGACATGGTGCGCAAGTACCTCCTCGCGAACCCGACGGCGGCGCGCAAGGGCACCACCGGCACGCTGGACAAGTACCTGACCCCGAACTGGTCCCAGCGGAAGTTCTCTTCCGTCTCGGAGGCCTTTGAGGGGGGCGTTCCCGACGCGGCTGCGGGCGAGGCGGGGGACGATGTGGCTGTGGAGGAGGAAGATGAAGGAGAGGGTGGAGAGGACGAGAAAGGGGAGGAGAACGGGGTTGGCGACGAGATGTTGCTGGTTACGGATGAGCCTCCGCCGACTGTGCGACCGACGCTTTCTTGGTGATTCTCATGGGATGGAGTTTGACGATGGCGGTAGCGAAGTGCTTTATGACGGCGTCTCATTGGATGGACGTGATGCGAGAGCTTGCGAATTCAAAAACATGCCTTGAGCAAGAAGCCGCAATAACTTCAGAATCAAAGAAGCAGCATGATGGCTCGTCTGAAGCATTGGAACATCGCGAGCCATGGTATTCTTGTATTTTAGTATAGAAAGCGTTGCAAAGAGAGATCATCCGAATATCGTCAGGATGATATACCCCAGGCAGCTTTTAAGGCTCCATACATTCAGGTTCTTGCTGCAGTCACTGCTTGGGACGGCCGTGGCTCATGGAGATGCTACCCATGTTTTTCTATCTACTGTTGCTAAACCATGTCTCGCTGACGATCATTCTATAGCTTCTCCGCTGGTGTCAAGTCTCAATCTATATCCATGGATAGGAAAGCAGTGCCAAGTGTGGCACGTAGTGAGCAAGTCCCGAAACGCCATACCACCGCCGTCCTTCATTCTGCCTCCAACGTCATTCCAAAGTCTGAACCAGGCGCCTTCCAACCCTTAATCTTTACCAAAAAGGAGGCTGGCCCGTCGAAGCTTTGCCAGCCGCCTTACTACTCATCTGGCTCTTGTCTTTGGCGATCCGCGCAGTGAGCTGGTTGAATCCCGCCTTTGAAATACCGTGAACTGCTCCACCAATATCATCATCCACGACCGAACGAGCAGGAGAGGAGAAGCCCGAGCTGCTATCAAGATTTCTGACGCGCTTGTGAGGGGGAACATTGGCAGTTGATACAATGTTGGTGGTGTTGTGGTCGAAGTTGTGGTCCAGGAGAGAGGGGATCTCCAGTCCAGAGTTGCAGCCGATGTTGTTGACATAGACACCCAGGGGAATGTGCTTAGAGTGATCATTGACCGTAAAGTAACCTCTGGCCATTTCGGTGAGTGTGGGTGTAGGGGCAGGAGTTCGGTAGGCGGAAGACGACGAGCCAACCTCCAGAACCTTAGCGGGCTCGCAAGGATTCATGAACTGATCGGCGTCTCCGTCGAGGCCGCCATCGTCGACGACGATCTGTCGTCACAATCATTAGTAACTGTCTCCTCCAACTGCTCGGTATTCGCCTGTTTGCTCTTGAGGTAGAGATTCACCTTCCTAATGTCGATGTCGCCGGTGGAGGCGTAGAAGAGGTCTGCAGTCTTCTGAGTCCAAGGCTCCTCGCTGTCCTGATTGTAGTGAAGCCACATCTTGCGGGACTCCTCAGGTGAGAGCACCCACTGGCCATGATACTGAGTTCGGACGGCGCCGGACGCGGGGTCTCTCTGGTGAGGAACGGTTCTGCGCTGATCAGGATCGTAAGCCATGTAGATCGGAAGGCCATCCCATTTAGCTTCCTTCTCCCAGACGATGGTCTTTCTAAGATCTTGCTCGTGGAAAGCGTCAGGATCGCTGGGGTCAGAAGCTGCGAGAACTTCTTCCATAAGGCGATCGCTGTCGAGTTGCCTCTCTTCCTCGGTCATGAAGCGGTGAGCGTTCTTGGGGTCGAGAATCGCCAGATCGGAAGTAGGCTGAGTCGGAAGGAAGGGCACAATGAGGCTCTCGACGGGAGCGCTGCAGGGATCCGGTATAAATGACACGCCTGTTCCATCTGGATGTCCTTGATAGAACTTGGATCGGATGATGTAGTCGCGGACGGTGACGGCAGACTGAATGCTAGAGAAGTGAACTTCGAAGCTTCCGTCATCGGAGCAGGCGAAATGTGTGACGATGTCGGCATAGTTGCGGGACATTCCTGCAAAGCTGAGAACACCCTGCAAGTGAACGACCGGGAAGTCAGTGACAAACAGGCAGCGGGTACATCCCTCACTTAGCTTGGCCTGCACAGGATCGCTCAAGGGAAAAGAGTCTGATGCAGGCAGCAATAATCGGGCTCTAACAGATGCGTCATTGAAGAAGAACCCAAACTCGCGGCGTCGACTGAAGCGGTAGAAGTCCATCGCATCCTCAGCGGCGCTGAACTCAATGCATGCGATGTTGTTACTGTTGTCACCTTTTCCCGTGGCGATAATGTGGGCGCGGAGGATTCTGCCACCCCGGACATGCTCCAAAGCACGCTGGATGTGAACTCCGTCTGGGAGACCTGAGATGATGACGCGACGGGACAATACGTCTGGAATATCGTCATCTGTCGTTAGCTTCTGTCTGGTGTGCTGTCGCACAAACCGAATGCCGTGAATGAACATACCGGGAGTTTGCGTGACGTGTCGCGCTCCCTGGTGGCTGCGGATAGCCTGAGCTTTCTCGAACTCGGAAATCCAAAGTTGATCAGAGTCCTGGCTCCACTTGATGCCACTGTTGTCATTGAAAGAGCTTTGAGTGACTTCGGGGGTTCTCTGAAGCTCAACATGCTCGGGAACCGGGGTTGGCGGAGTTGACGGCGCATCGTAGAGAGAGTTGGCGGACATCGCGTCTTCTTCCTGCTGGTGAGTGAAAGCCGGAGTTGACTCCGCATCATAGAAAGTGGTAACAGACATGGTGTCGTCTTGCTGGCGAGGGGGGGCCCTCTCGGTTGCGACGCTGTCACTTCGAGATCTAGCGTAGATATCGTCGTCCATATTCGTCGAGTCAGCAGGTCCGTCGAATGAGATCAATGCCTCAGCTTCGATTTGCGAAGAGTCAAGCGCATGAGCCTCTCCACCCAGGGTAAGACCAACTGAAGCAAAGGCCTCGATATCTTGGGGGTTCTTCGCCAGATGAACGCGGGCAAAATACTTGATCTCCTTGATACGCTCCGCTGCATTCAAGAGCTGGGATTGCAGATACTGGACCTGATCGTGCAGAGGCTTGTTGCTGGCGAGAGCACCGGAAAGCTTCCTCTTGTACTCCGCGATCTCCGGCTCGACGTTTTCGTAGGCCTGTTGAACCCGAGACAGTTCCACGTAAAGCTCGTCGCATTTCTCGCTTTGTTCAATTGCAGTCTTCTGGGCTCGAGTGCGCAGAAGCTCGGACTCAGCGAGATCATCTCGAAGCCTCTCGAACTGGCGCTCATCCTCTTCCCGCTTGTGCTTCAAATCTTCATTGTTAGTGTCGAGACTGTCGTTCGCTCGCTTGAGGGTCTCGTGACCATCCTCGAGATCGATGACACGAGCTCGGAGTTGGCGAATTGTATCATCTCGGGAATCCAACGTTTGCTGCGCGTCGGTGTAGGAAGAGCGGCTTGAGGAGGGAGGCGTATGATTACCGGAAGAAGATCCGCTGTTGTTTGTTAGTATCCGAAAATTTGACGCGAAAGGACATCGTTTCGATCAAACTTACTTGCGAGGGGTGAAGGGTGGCGACTCTGGATCCAGGCTCGCCTTCGCCTGAGGATACTTGTCCAAGCCTTCGTCCTTCTTCTCGGGAAGGTTATCGGTCTTCTCCTCGGAGAGAAGCTGGTCGCGAGAGTTCCAGTCAATGCTGGTCTTCGGGGTGGGAACATCGTCGAAGTCGGACAAGTCAATGAGGTCAGGCGAGTCTGATCCCGAGGGAGCAGGAGTGACGATGATGACCTTATCAGAGTCACTCGTGTCGAAGCCGTTGTCAGTTTCGGCGTAGTTCACGGGCTTATCGCCGCTACTGGCCTTGGCCAACTTCTGGCTGAGGGTGAGGGAGAAGGGGTCCGCCATGATGTACGGTTTCTTGCCTTTTGGGAAGTAGCGAGCGCAGTCGGTCGTTCTGTCGATACGTTCCGACTTGAGTCTTGTCCGTTTCTGTTGAATACTATGGTGAAAAGTTAGATCTGGTGAGCTTTTCGTGTGATGGCAGTCGCTGGCTCGGAAAGGAAAGGTAGGAAGAAAATAGGTGGCAAAGAATGTAGATGTTGATTCCTAGCCTTTCGACAGAGAGGAAGAGAAGTTGTTCTTGAAATAAAGCGTCCTCCCAAGCCCCGAATCATGGAGATGACGGTGGTGACGGTGGTGAGATGGGTAGAAGACAGATGTGATGGGGGCGGGAGAGAGGACGGAGTGGAGGAGATATGAAGAGCGAAGGTGTATTTCAGCGGAAGGAAGGCTGACAGAGAGCTCTTTCCACTTTGAAGTGGGAAAGAGCACCTCTCGACCGGCGCGACTGCCTCTTTTCGAAAGACAACCGCAAATTGGGAAATATCAGGACCATGTGAGACCTCAAACCGGTGGGAAGTGAGGCGATTTCGGGAAGAGATGCTTGGGGGATGGTTCGCGATACCAACAACTGGCCGTGATTGGATTTTGGGCGGATGAGAACTTCAAAGTGAACCAAACGTACCTTGAACGAGTGCTGCCGACGTTGATCGAAAACACAGATCTCTGAATGTGTTCTGAAGCCGCGATGGCGGAGTGATTTGGAGGATTCTCAGGATGCCCCCAGGTTGCCACACACTCTGCGTGATGGCGAGCTGGCTGGGTCGTCGAAGTGAGGGAAGAAGCGGACAAGTACGCTTGTGGTGAGAGGAGTACCTTCCAAGGCAGGATCGCTTGCTGTTCCTCAGTTGATTGGCGGTGACATGACCGTCGATATGAATGTAGGGAGTCCGAGGTCGAAGTTCAAGGGCCGTTTCGATGACGGATTGCAGCTGAAGAGATGAATATACTCTCAGCACCTGCCGCGAAGGCGCCGTCGAGGTCAAGCAGGCTCTGAGGATAAGCAATGCCTTGGAGATGATGTTGAGGAGGTAAGATGATGCTGAGGAGGTAGGAAGGTGAGGGTAATGAGAGGAAAGAAGGGTTGAGGACCTCTCACCACCAGGTCTGTTGGTGATTTTGAGGTGAGGTAGGTGGAGGGGGAAGAAAAGGCTGGGTAGAGATTGTCTGACTGGGTTTTATCTTGAACCAGGCCAAATAGAGCGGATCTCACACGATTACTGATTTCTTCAAGGCAAGAGCTAAAGCGGACACAAAACAGCAAGAGCCGTTGTACTCTAGGTGAATTCTTGCTGATGTTGTTTAGTCGGTGATGGTCGTGATGAGATCCATTCACTAGACCCAAGAAGGTGAGAACGACTCAGAGCACAATACAGTTATGGGCAAGATAAGAGAAGGCAAGTTGAAGGGCATGTGGGTTGAACGGAAGTGATCACAGAAGAAGACTGGCAGATGTTCTCCCAGAAACCTGCTGCAGTAAAGTACAGAGGACACTCAATCTCAAGTAAATCCATCTCTTAAGATAGAAATTAAGTCTGATCTGTAATTTGAAAGATCGTTCTTTGTTGCATGGACGGCAGTATCTCTAAAGAATGATGGGGTGAATAGCTCTTCCTCAAATGCCTCAAAACATCACCACGACGGTGAAAGATCAAAGCTTCGCATGATCAATGGATGGAGTGTTTATTTTCCTACTAGGGAGTATCAAAAGGTTGAACCCAGCTCTGCATATGTGACAAAAGTCAGTCCAAGGCTGCTTTGTCCTTACAGCAGAACACCATGGCCGAAAGGTAATTGCCAGTAAGTTGACCTGATGTCAATTACAGGCAAGACCCATCATGCCATCCCAAGTATACTCGCGCAATGAAGCTCCAGTTGATGACCGAAAGCTTCATTGCTACACAGACATCCGGTGGATGAGCCTAGCAGCTGCTGCGGAGTTAAGGCTTCTTCCAGCCCTTCTTGTAGACAACATGATGGGTCGGAGTATTGAATTCCTTCTTGGGAACTCCGGCAGGGTGCGGGAAGTGAAGATGGCATACGCGCTGTTTGGGTGGAAAAGCAATCCATTAGCAAGTTTCTCCAAAGAAGTTATGAATATCTCAAGAGCTCCCTCCCAAACTTGGAATCTCGTAAACTTGGAGGACTTACTTCACGTTCAACCCAACCGACACCCATACAAGTCGGGTCAGGATTGCATCTCTTCTCCAAGCAGTCGGCAATCGACGAGTACCGATCTCGGGCCGAGACCTCCTGCTGGGTACTAAGCACTCCAACACTGCAGTGACTCGTGTATTCCACGCCGTTGACGCTGAACTCCCTGCACCCGCGGTCACATCGGAACCAGTCGAGATTGCTGCACCCAGGATCGTTGGACGAAAATCCCTGGGGACCCTTATCGACTGGAGCCGACGGAGCAACACCGTACTGGTACACGTTCAGGCGCCAGTCACCTCCGCAGAACTCGTCCTTGCTGCCACTGCACGCCTTGTTGCACTCGGACAGAGGCAACTTCTTGGGCGGGAGAGTGTTGCCGCAGAAGCACTGTGAAGACCACTCCACTCCGAAGTACTTGAAGCCCTGGCAATTCTGCGCGCACTTGGCCAGCGTCATGTCGTTGACGTTGAGCTCCTTGCTCGGAAGCACGCGTTGTTCGCCTCCGTGGTCTTGATAGCAGCCCATCAAGGCGGTTCCAGCCGGGGCGAAACTGCCGCCGCCGCCGCCGGATGCTTGGTTCTGCTGTTGGGTCTTGCATTCCTGGAGGTTCTTCTCGAGCTCGGAAGTCTTGGCGTCGCATTGCTGAGCGGCGTCCGCGTTTTGCCGGGCCTTCTCTTGTTCGCATCGGCTCTTGTCTTGCTCCAATGAAGCCTTGTCTTGCTCACACCGGGCCTTATCTTGTTCCAAAGCAGCCTTTTCCGCTCTGCAACGATCATCCGCCTGACGGAGAGCATCCTGCTGCGTAGCCTTGAGAGCGTTGGTCTCCGCCTCGCACTGAGCCGCCAACTCGCGGCGGATGGCATCCTTCTCATTATTGCATTGAGCTATGGCGCCAGGATCAGGTACGGACGGATCGTCGATGGCCGTCTCTTGCGTCTTCGCAATGAGAATCCACCTGGCGGTCTGAAGGGGCACGTAGGACATGTGCTCGTACGTGACATAGCAGTGTCCCTTCCTGCTGTCCCAAGTGGCCGCGACACACGAAGCCTCGCTGGCGCAGATCTGGGCGCAGTCGCGAGGAGTGGCGGCCGGGTGGGGAGTTCTGTCGTACTTGCTCGCCCATTGGCCACAGTTGTAGGTGAAGACGTTGCCGCCGACGGAGCCCTTTCCGGCGAAGTCATCCGTGGGGCAGCATGATAGTCGGGAGGTTTCCCGGTTTCCGCCGGTGGAAGACAGACACGCTCCGTTGGCGCTGTTGAGAGGTGTCTGTTGAGCCCAGACGGCCCCGATTCCGAGTGGTATAAACGAGTAAATTAGTCGGAGCAACATTGTGAGAAGCTCCAGATGAAAAGAATAGCTTCTGAGAAGCTGAATGTTGCTTTCTGAAAAGAGTTTTGTTTGAAGGCTGTTGCTTCATTTTTATGATCTGGCAAACATAAACGATGTTCAACACTTGACGTAGGTGTATCTTTCTTGCTCAGCGAACGCATTCGTACTCAACTATTGTCAGGCGTTTAGTCACAACTCATCCGGATACTAGAACGAGTTGTCTAAGATTCACAAGTCAGCTTCATCAACTAACCTTCAGCAATAGTTGGAAACTAGTTTGAAGGGCTTTCCGACCTGTTCGCATAAGGATTTTCTGCTTTCAGCACCTTGGTGTCAGCAACCCCTCACAAAGCTCCCATCTAGGATCCGTTTAGATAGCTTCTTAGCTATGCATTGCCAAGCTAGACATGCTATGATCCACCGAGATCGTCATGACACACGTGAAGTCCGGAACTCGGCGGAAGTGGGATAGACAAGCGGCGGCAGAAGCCGGGTTCCTGGGCCGTCCCGTCTCCGTGCCTTTGAGAGACTCGGCAATCGGGCGTTTGATCAGCAGCTAGGTACCAAACGGTCCTGATATTGCCGATCATATCCTGGGCTTACGCATATCCGGTTGTGAGTACCTGTTTAAGCATGACGTCGATCCGTTGTGTCTGTCGAAGTCTGTTTCACAGACGTTGTTTTCAGACACGGTCACATTCTGGAAAGAAACTAGTTTAATACCGAGACACGAGCTACCGGTTCGTTTGCGTGCGACGACGGCCGCATCGCTTCAACGGTTGAATCAATCTGCCGAGGAATGTTGTGGACGTTGTGACGTGAACCGGTCAGTTTGACGGCAGCATTCCTCATCATCCACCTCAGATCCAAAAGACGCGTTCGTTAAGAGAAGATATCTATTGATGAATCAGTCAACTTAAAACTCTCATTGTGCAAATGTGGTGAAGGACAGCCCTGTAACTGCCCAGGTTTCTGGTTCATTGACTGATGAGTGGTTGGAATAACATGATGAGAATTGCTCGCGCACCAAGAGCAACTAATCGGAGACCATTCCGTCAAGATGCTTCCCAGGACGAGCATTCGACTGAAAGCAATTTCTTCGGTAAGGCTGAATGACTGATTAAGTTGATCTCGCCGTATTCGGCGTAACTGCCTAGGAGAGGTCGCTAAAACGACAATGTCTCGGCTTTCAGTGTACCTGGTTGAATCAGGAGCAAATCCAGCTGAGTCACTCTAAGGCAACTTAATTCCCAAGATGATACCAAAAACGTATCCTCGTTGATACTTTCGACCGTGGTATCAACTTCAAGACCTACTTCACGACCTTTTGAGTTCAAGACATGATCAATCTCTGTCTTGGTACCGCCATAGCTAACCTAGTTGCAAGATATGTCTCAACTAAGGCTTGGAATGCGGGGTGCGAAACAGAACAACGCGGCTCGCATCTCTGCCGCTGGAACGATTCCACATGCGGTCTTTAGGGCCGTTGCTGAGCTTTCGGAGTCAACTCCTGAACACGGTGATTTGACACATGTGATAGTTTCCGAGGCTTTCCTGTCTCCTACTATCCAATGTTACCTGAGTCGCTCAGCGATACAACCCGTAGCCGGGCACTGGTTCAAGTCACGACTTGTCAAGAGTCTCTGACGTTCCCGAATTCCGACTCAGTCGTAAAATGGAAAGCCTACTTCCACAAGTATTGAACCGATCTTCAATGGCTGCAATCGGAATATGAGAAGATAGCCGAAAGTCAGCCAGTGCAAGCATAGTCTGAGACGCGACATGGTTAAGACGTGTCAAGTTCGACACTAGGGAATCTGATATAAGAGCCATCACGCCATTGCCCTCATGTCCCCAACAACTCATCATCACCCCCTCATGCTTCTCAGTTCACCCTCACCACCTTCCACAAAATGATCGCGCTCCAGGCGAGTCTCGTCACATTCCTGCTGGCCAGCCAAGCAGCAGCCACCCAATACCACCTCGGCCCCCCGGGACGCTCCCACAAATACACCCTAGACTCCATCCGCCCCCTCACCGACCCGGACTCCGGCCGCACAAAGTGCTGTCCCGAGGGGACCCTCTTCGACGGCAACAACTGCGTCCTCGGCGTCCCCCGCTGCCCCGAGGGCACCGCCCTCAAGAACGGCCGCTGCTTCTCCACCACGCCGCCGGTCTGCGGCGACGGCCAGAAGCTCGAAGGCAAGGTCTGCGTCACCATCACGCCGGCAACCTGCCCGCCCCCGCTGCAGTTGAAGGACAAGGCATGCATCTACGAGGCGCCCCCGAAGTGTCCCTCGGGCTTGGAGCTGAGCGATAAGGTCTGCATCTCGACCAAGCTCCCCGTCTGCGAGGACGGAGATCGCTTCAACGGGAAGGGCTGCGTCAACATCGTCGGTCCGTCGTGCCCTGAGGGAACTAGTCATACAGATGGTGCTTGCGTCAGCATTCAACCGCCCAGCTGCTCCGGCAAGAGCCAATATGACAAGACCCTCCGTGCTTGCGTCCATCATCAGCCCCCTGAGTGTCCTCCGGGAACGACCGTCAAAGACGGAAACTGCATCTCCGAGGGCCCTTATTGTACCGAGGGAACGAAGTACGACGAAAAGACTCAAACTTGCATCCTCACGACACCCCCTCAATGCCCTCCTGGAGAGACCTTGGAAGGCGCACGATGCATCTCCACTCAGCCGCCCGTGTGCCCGCCCGGAACCGAGCTGGCCGCAGACCAATCCTCCAGCACATCCCGTTGCTGCGCCCCCGGTATGAAGTGGAACGGCGAAGTCTGCTACTTCAAGGTCGTCGGTGACGGCCAGTGCCCCGAGGGAACCACCCTGGTCAACGACCGTTGCCAGACCACGACCCCCGAGCCTCCCGTCTGCCCTCCCGGCACCAAGCTCGAGTGCGATCGTTGCATGACCATCAAGCCCCCCGTCTGCCCGCCCCGGTCCACCCGAGAGGGAACCATCTGCTCGTCGATCGACAAACCGGTCTGCCCCGACGGCATGGCCTTGACCAACGGCCAGTGCATCGCCTTCGTCTCGTGCCCCAGCGGCTCCGTCCTCCAAGGAAACGTCTGCGTCGTCGGCCCACCCAAGTGCGAGTCCGGCACGTTCAACGGTGTCAACTGCGTCGTCGACAGGCCCAAGTGCAAGAACGGCGGCTACTACGACGGCGACGACTGCGTCGAGAGCGGAAGCCCCAGCTGCCCCGACGACACGGTCTACGACGGCACCCGGTGCGTGTCCACCGTGCGACCGGAGTGTGCCCAGGGCCATCTGAGCAACGGCGCCTGCATCTCGTCCACCCCGCCAGTCTGCGGCGAAGGATCGACCCTCGTCGGGGGCGTGTGCCTGACGGGAGCGCCCAGCTGCCCGAAGAACCAAGTTCTGCAAGGAAACGAGTGCGTGCACGTGGAAGAGCCCGACTGCCCGCCGGGCCACCAGTGGATCGGCGGCGTGTGCAAGAACGTCGAGGAGGAGACCTGTCCCCCGGGCTACGTCTACCGGAACGGCGACTGCATCACGGAGGACAAGCCCGAGTGCGAGCTCGGCACCCACTTCAACGGGACCGTGTGCGTCGGAGACGACCCGAAGTGCGAGGAGGGTACCGTGTTCGACGGCGTGCAGTGCAGGGCCAAGGAGGAGCCCAAGTGCCCCGGCAACCTCAAGTTCAACGGCTACCACTGCGTTTCGGAGAAGCCTCCCGGATGCCCTGCCAATACCAAGTGGGACAAGGTTTCCAGGCAGTGTATCAGCGAGTCGAAGCCGGTTTGTGGCCAGGGACAGAAGTTCAACGGGGTCCATTGCGCGCTTTCGACCGATTGCATGGAGTTCGAGTACTGTCCCCCTGGGCAGAAGACTCTGCTTGGCGCCATGTCTGGATTGACGCGCTAGATGGATGTGCTTCGAAGGAAGAATAAGACACTCGGCGGCAGGTCCGGAAGAGACTGATAGGACAGATTCATAGTGAATGCAAAGATCCTACTTCATTCTCCATTACATTATCGATTAACATTCGTTGAATATGGGGGAGAATATTGAGAAGAAACGCGGGTCTGGTATTGGTATCTAGGAAAGGGTAGTGCACATGATTAAGTGCCGACAGACGGTGTACTTTTCGCTCAACTCCACAATGAACTCCTCGCTCGAAATGTCCCACGATGAAATAAAGATGGTAGCAGATGGACGTGAGGCATCCCGCTCAGACCTCGATGACAATGTCCCTGACCATGTCAAGGAACCTCTCCTGATACTCGGCGGGGTTGGCAGTAATGCTCATGGGTCCGTGGTCGGCGACGGCATTGTACGAGTTGACGAGGCCAGTCATGACCTTGGCATGAAACTTGTGCTTTGCCCAGAAGAAGTCAAGAACAATGACGCGGTATATCCAGTTGCCGTCAGCGTCGACCATACCAGTACGCCATGGGTGCGCATCGGACTTGATATAGGGAGCGTTCTCGCGGTCGTCATCCGTAACGTTAGGGCCGGGGTAGCGGACGAGAAAGAGGGAGTAGTCGACGGCATTGTTTTCTGCGAGAACTTTGGTGTCGGCTTCGAGTAGGTCAAGGAGCTCCTTCTTGTGGTTCGCCGAGATGCGGATCTTGTCAGGGAATTCGTCGATGAGTCTTTCTTTGACGCTTTCCGGGGCCAACTTTCCGCCGGCGATGTCTCTCTCGGGGAAGAAGTAGTCGTTGGGCTTCAGGTCGTATGTCTCCCATTGCTGCTTCCTGTAGTCTGTCTCCTCCATGTCCTTGCCGTAGAGCAAGTTCTCCATGATGATGTGGTGGGTCGGTGCCGTGCCGAGGATCCCGCCGAGGGTAGCAAGGGAGGTATAGACCATGTCGGTGATTCGCACCAGCAGGCTGTGTGGATGGCTCTTCATATGTGCGACGTAGGCGTCGAAGAGGTCGTGCGTGAAGAACTCGTGCTCGAACCGACGGGGCAGTGACTTGATGAGGAACTTGCCATCGGCTGTCGTGAAGAAGGTTGAGCCACTGTAGCCCAGGTCGCCGACGGGCTTCAGGTCAGAGTCGCGGCCCTTGCCCTTCTTGGCCTTCTTTGCGAGCACGAAAGAGTTCGCGTATTCTTGCTCGTCGAGGTGCCAGACATTATGGCGAAGCTCGAGGAAGTCGGCGGCGCGGTACCGGGCGAGGGGGAGACTGAAGAAGGAGAAGAAAGAGACTAGGGTGCGGAGGAGCTTGACTCGGAGGCTTGGTCGGTCGGCATCGTCGTGATCGTTGGAGATGGCCTTGAGAATTGAGGAGGAGATGAAGGTGCTGCGGATTTGCATGTTGGCGCCGGAAAGTACTTCGAGGGTAATGTCGAAGCGGTGAATGCCCAGGTCGGGAATGTGGTGCAGGTGAGAAACTACCGTATCCTGGATTTGAAGGCAAAGCAAGGGATGTAGGTCGAATTGAGTTCTGGATGGCGGACAAAGCTTGAGCGGGAGCTTGGGCGCGTGACGTCACCCGGCACTTCGGAGAAGTGGAGCTACCTAGTGGGGCAGGGGTCCGTGGTTGAACGGGCCGGGCGGTGGTCCACCTCCCGGAAACTGCGTGTGAGGGACCGGATGATGGCTTTGGTAGCTGAAAGCTCCATATGATGGTTGGTAATATCGGTAATCAGAGCCATGCCGTCTCGCCATGAAGGTGTACGGATCAAAACGAGATTGTAGCTCGATGTCATATTTCCGGCCGTTTTGCTTGACTGCGACGTAGGCGAATAAAACTCCTAGTAGTCCGACTACCACGCCAGAAATCCCGAAAACTATGGCCACGATAACCTCTGTAGTGATTGTCATGTCGTGAATAATGGGGCTGAGAACGTTCAAACTCTGTGTCTGAAATGTATTTGGCAAAGGCATGAGTCTGTGAACTGCAACATCGAGTTTTCTCCGTGGATGTCGACATTGTTTATATATTGGTGTAGTCGAGCGACAGCTCAATGGGATGGTTTAGAGCAGAATTCTGAAAATGTCGATGTATCCACCCTGGGGATCGAATGTGGAGACCTCTTTTCAAAACACCGGTCGAATCACACGGTGCAATGATGCAATTTCACATCCAGACATGTTGCGGTATCCACAATTGCGAAGCGGATGTGGAGACCTTCTTTCAGACGTGGACCTGGACGTGACACTGAGTGTGGACACTAACGGCGGTCGAACCTGTATCCACTCTCCATCCCACGGTGCGCGCAGGTTAGTGGTATGGCTCAGCCCTTTAGGCCTAGGTAGGATGCCTAATGTGTAAATCAGCCAGCTCTTCTTAATGGATCAAATCATCGACGCATATTTCAGACGCCTCCCAATGGTCGAATCTTATGCAGTTTCTATACTACCTAGCTGCAATGCATCCACTCTCTATCCACTCTCCATCCCACTCGAAGGTATCGCTCAGCCCTTCCAGCCTGGGATGCCTGATGTGTACTGCAGTAAGTCAGCCATCACCGTGGCGGCAAAGGATGAGTTTTGTTTGATTGAATTGTCCCCTTCTTCATGCCTACATGACAGCCGCTAACTGTTGTTGTAAGTCTGGCCGACTGGGATAAGACGACATCTTCGAATCAGATTTTTGCCCCGGTGATACATTGAACCTGAGATATTCGTTGGCCGTCACAGGGACCAGCAGTTAGTCGGGCGATTCAAGGCTCAGCCACAAGCTCAGCCTTTAGCACTCGGCCTGCTCTAATCAAGGCCAGTTAACTGTTGGTAGCAGTGACCGTTTCTCCCTTACAACCCCGACTACTAAGCCGCAAGCTACCCACTGAAGAGTGAAGACGGGCTGCCCGCACCTTCAATTTCCGGGCCTCGAAACTGTCAGATACCTTACTCCGACGTTACAAATTGATTAACAACAAGTGACCACACAAAGGTCAGTAAAATAGCGGCGTGTAAATGACCTCGAAAAGTTTGGAAGGAGTACCACATCTTTAGCAACAATTGGATGTGATGTTTAGCTGTTAGACGATTTTGACAGTTCTAAGCGGCGGAGGTAGCCCACAGCTCGATCTCTGAACCGGGAGTCAGGAAAAGCCTGGTATGCAATTGTTGCTTTGAAGATTGGGGTGCCAATAGACATGGCAACTATGACATTGGTTGACACCATCGAAGGCTGACCGTCGATAGAGAGATGAGTACACGAAGCCGTCGTACTAGTTTGAAGTTGACAGATGATCATAGACATTGAAATGAACGAAGACAGCGTAGAGTCAACTACAATACATTGCGAGTCACCGTGGAGATATCAATATCTGCATGCATTCACTCGTACAAGTGGAAGAAAGAGGCACGGCGAGACTCGCTGTCAAGTTGCTACTGAAGGCTACAAAGCACACAATAATGCGTGCATTAGATTGTAAATTGTGTCTAATCAGGAGCCACCAGCGAGCAGATGCTCAGTCGAGCTGGTAGAGCCATATCGGAAGATCTGCTCTGCTGCAAGCTTTGTTGAAGGCAAATGCTTCAGGTATCGTACGTCTACAACTACTACCCAAGTGCAGTAAAATCAGCCGAGTATGAATATCAATACGGAGCCTTGAAAACACATTCTTGAAATGTACATAGCGACGGTAAACAGCGATGTTAGAGGAAAGAATACGGATAGGTAGACCAATGCCTGTTAATTCAAACGATGTAAAGTGGCAATACTTTGCTTGACGCAATATTCCCTTCCCGACACAGGCAGGATGGAAGAGCGAGGGTGCAAGCAAACGATGGGGAAAGACTAGAGAAAATAAACCTTCCAGCTGAAACTAACATCAATTTAGCGAGGTGTTAACGTAGCACTTTCTATGTCGGACGTTGTTTTCTGTCGCAGCTTCTAATATGTTTATGGTATTGGATAACAAAGCCGTTTCGTGAGTCTCTCGATGACAGCGTTCAGTCTTACAAAATCTCGCACAGTGTGTGATTCGAGACACTTTCTGTCCTGCAACAACAAAAAATAACACATACTTGAAGATATCCGATGTCTCAGGTTTTCTCTTTCAACTTGATGAAGTCACAACCCAGCCATTCGCGAAGGAGGTTGATGGCCGGCAGTATCGGCAGTTAGGCGAAATTTCCAGCGGGTCTTCGATCCATGTGGAGGCGTTTATCGCCCACGCTAGAGAACATCAGGAAGCTCAGTCAGTGAGATATTGCCCATCAATCTAACACACGTGTCCGGGAGCTCTTGTTCTTTGGGTGATAGGTAGTGCGATTTCGGTATCTACATGGATGGGCGGTTATCATTCGCCGCGTCAGCGTTGCAACGTAATATGAAGATGATGGGAAATCGGGGCAGCAAAAAAGCTTGTCCACGGGGAATTGGGTCTGTTTAAAAGCTTGGCGACATGCACGACCCAAATGACTTGCATCTTCGCGGTCGTCACATCCCGTCGAAGCTCTCATCGACTTGATCGTGCTCCAAGCCTAGGCAGGCTGGAAGCGCCTTGAATTATTGTCTTTTTCCATCGGGCATACATTCTTTTGACCGTGTAGCGGTCTCGAAAACACAGAAATGCGTGTCGGACCCAGCACTTTGGCCTTACTGGCCTCCGCCATCTCGGTCTTGGCGTGCGATAGCTGCGAACATCCTGAGAGAGATGTCGTACTCACGAGACATGTCCGCCGCGCGCAACCCGACGCTCAAGCAGCCACCATCGCACCTCGCGGCCCTCTTTCATGGGGTCAACTTAATTTCCTCCACACTACAGGTATTTCAACACTTCGATTCGCTCATATCGCGCAAATGATCTAACCTTGAGAGGCAGACACCCATGGATGGTATGAGAAATCTGAGTTTCTCGAATGTACTCATACTGACAGCACCGAACAGGCTTGAAGGCCACATCCGCGAGCAGAATTACGGCGCCGACTGGGGCGACTTCGTGAGCTTCGTGAAGCACATGCGTCAGAAAGCAGACGACTTGAATGTTGATCTGCTGTTGGTTGACACTGGAGTACAGCCCTTCAAGTCTCATTCTTCATCAGTCGGCATACTAACAGCGACAGGACTTACACGATGGTGCTGGAATCAGCGATGCCACTGGCGTTTCATCATACGCGAATGGCACTGGTGTCAACGGCCAGATCTCGAACCCGATTTTCGAGAAGCTGGATTACGATGTTCTGGCTATCGGGAACCACGAGTTGTACATCTCCACGATCGCTTACGAGACATTCAGCCAGTTTGCCAAGACCTACGGCGACAGATATCTCACAAGCAATGTCCAAATCCGTAACCCGAGCACTGGGGAGCTTGAATATATCGGCAAGCAATACAGATATTTCACTACTCCGAAGGGTACGTAAACTCATCCTGGTCTATGTCTTTGCGGCTACTGACATTTGCGAAGGTCTTCGAATCATGGCTTTCGGAGTTCTGTTTGACTTCACTGGCAACTCGAATGCTTCGGCTGTCACTAAAGCTGCCACCATGGTAAAACAATCATGGTTCCTTGATGCCGTCAACCACCCGGAGCCCATTGATCTGTTCTTGGTGGTTGGCCACAACCCTGTCCGTCCGACGCAAAGCAGCAGCACGTTGAAGACTGTTTTCGACGCCATTCGCGCAATCAAGCCCGACACCCCGGTTCAATTCTTCGGCGGTCACACTCACATTCGTGACTTCGCCGTTTATGATGAAAAGTCCACCGCCCTGGAGTCCGGCAGATACTGCGAGACGCTGGGTTGGCTGTCTTTGACTGGCGTCAAGTCGAGCAACTACAAGGGCGCGCTCTACCCGGAGGGCGTTCCCAACCCTACTCAAAAGGCGGTCGACGTGGCTACGAAAAGTGCTTCTTCTAGTCTTGCGTCCGCTACCAGTGCATCCAACATGACGTACTTCCGCCGCTACCTGGATTGGTATGTAAACTCTGCATAGCCCTTACGTCTCGGACACAAATCTAACGACATCTTAGGAACACCCTCACCTTCGAATATCATGCAGTCGGTAGCCAGGTCAAGACGTTCAACACTACCAAGGGAGTCAGCGTGTCAAAGGAGATCACGGCCGCCCGGAAGAACTTGAATCTGACTTCTCTTTACGGATGCGCCCCTCAGACATGGTGCATCAGCTGCGCTCCTTTCATGTCAGAGGGATCCATGTTTAACTTGACCACGACAGCTTTGGCAGCTACCATCGTCACCAAGGAGAGAGAAGCAACACCCAGAATCATTATTGCCAACACAGGTCACATTCGTTTCGATCTTGCCCAGGGACCATTCGACTATGACTCCTCTTTCATCGTCTCCCCCTTCACTGATGGTTTCCAGTACATCCCCGATGTCGCATGGTCTCTTGCCAAACAAGTGACTGAAGGCTTGGAATCAGGCAACTTTCCTTCGAAGAGAAAGCGCTCTTTGACGTCCGACTCGTTCGGATTCAGCACGGTGAACCCGGCCCTGTCCACCGTCGACAAGTGCGTCGACCCGCCCGTGTCCCATGACCACTTGTCGAGACGCTCATACGCCGGAGGCCGTATCGTCCGCCGCCAGGCCGTCACTCCAGGTTACACCACCACCGACGACTTTGGCACGGATGGTGACGACACAGTTCACACCGAGATACCATACTACGATTACCCAAACTTCTTCCAGGCGAACGGCAGTTTCCCCAGCAGCGGTACTCTCGCAGACGACGACAAGGTTGACTTGATCTTCTTGGACTACGTCGCCGGTTCTGTTGTCTCCGTCCTGCGCTCGTTGGGAGCCAACTACACTTCGGAAGACGTGTCCTACTATCTTCCCAGCGTAAGTCATTTTGATAAACACTCCGAACACAGACTGCATCAAGTCTTTGCTTCACAGGCCTGCTACTTTGGCAGTCATTCCAGGCTTTCTTGCTGTGTTTTACCCATAAGCTATGTGATCTCAACGCTAATTTCCGGTATAGACGTTCACAACCAATTCGTATCTTCCGGAATACGCCAAGATCACTGCATCATGGCAGGCCGACGTGCCTAACTGCCCGGTTGGCTTGGGTATTGGATACAACGCAACGGCGTGAGAGTAGCGGCCTTTTCCCCGTATTATTCGTCGATGTATGTATTCGACTTTGGAATCGATTCAAGAACAATCAATGTATAAACCTTCTATACGTACATACAGCTTCCGACATTACAATTGTGGACCGAAGACTTGGGCTATGGCGAGATATGCCCCTGGCGAATCTGCGTGATTAGCATTCGAGGGTTGTCCATGTTCAAGCCCATCTGCACTAACATCTTCGCCTCCTAAAGCACGAAGATACAACAAGACAGCTAAGCAACTCCACTTAATCCTTGCCGAAAAGACTTCACCATCGGCTGGGAGAACGGAGGCATTGGCCTTGTTTATCTAGTTTCACCGATACCATTTGCTTTCAAAGATGAGATGTGACTGGGCACGCTTGACCCTCGCATCTACAGCGATTCATGCGTCAGCGGCTGACATGAGGCTGTTGGTGAACACCCCCGTCACCAAGCTTACTTTGAATGGGACCTCCGAGTCTTGGTCTCTTGGCTGGCCAAACAACAACACGAACACTCCACATCCAGTTTTATTCGGTGTCCACAAACCTCCTCTGCCAACTCTTGTCTTCCGCTGGGCGAGAATACGACGGAATTAAGCGATATACGTGATGTCATCTTTGCTGTATTCTGCGCACTTGCCGCGTCTTGGTGTGCCGGCTGACCGTGCAACTCCTCCGCATACCAAGCTACCAAGCAATCCTACTGCATCGCCAATGTTGAATGGCGAATGGGCTCTTCGGTACCCCAGACATGCATCTCCAGTGATCACAAACAACGCGGAGTAAGATGCGGAGGTAAGCTGGGGGAGGTGGGGGTCAAGGGCAAGAGAATAAAAAGCTGCCTCTGTGGAACACCATAGATCGTCGAGTTTCTCTCTTTTATCCAGACCGACGTGATGGCATCAGGCAGACTCCCCGAATCTCCTTCTGGACAAGACTCTACCGTGCGAGGAAGCAACATGGGACAAACGGGAGATCATGTCGCCTCCGAAAAGGTCAACCGCGATGGATCCCTCCACCTCGAAAACGTCCCGACGCAGCAATCCGGGGTTGCCAAAGAAACTCGGACGCTGACTGCGGTTGAGGCTCTTGGAATCCCCGATTGGGAAGCCCAGCAGAAGAAAATCGTCCGAACTCTGGACATGACTTTGCTTCCTCAACTGTGGATTCTGTACATGTTCAACTACCTGAACCGCACGAACATCGCGTAAGAGACTCTCGAACTTGGAAGGGAAGGCGTTCCTGTGACTGACAATCTGGATAGGCAAGCACGTCTCGACGATGATTTCGAGGCGACTCTGAAGCTCGGCAATACTGACTACAGCACCGCAGTCGCTCTTCTCACTGTCGGGTCAGTTTGATTGTCTCGCGATACGGGTAAAGCTGACTTTGTGCAGCTACATGCTCGCCCAGCTTCCTTCCAACATGATCATCACCCGAGTTCGTCCGGCCGTATACCTACCCATCTGCGCCATTCTATGGTCCGGGGTTTCGGCTGCTACTGCCGGCGTGTCGAGCCCCGGTGAGCTCTTCGCGGTACAATTTGTACTAGGAATCATCGAAGCGCCCCTGTTTCCTGGGTAGGTCAACGGCATCTGTCGCATCCATGATACATTCAATGCTGATATTTGCAGGGCCGTCTATCTCATGTCTTGTTGGTACACTCGCAGAGAACTGGCCCTCAGAACCGCTCTTCTCTACTCTGGTTTGGTTCTCGCCCAGGCATTCTCCGGCCTGATTGCCGCCGGGGTCTTTTCAGGAATGTCAGGAGCCGCTGGCATCGCCGGCTGGAAGTGGCTCTTCATTCTGGAAGCAGCTCTCAGCGCTTTCTTTGCCTTGACTGCCTTCTTCATCTTGCCCAACTATCCGAATTCCAAAACCGGAGGCGCTATGTGGTCAATGACCGAAGAGATGCGGAGAATCGCGATAGCTCGTATCGAAGATGACCGAGTGGAGCAAGCCACTGAGTCTACCGTGTGGCACGGATTGCGTCTTGCGTTGACGGATGTCAAGACTTACATCTTTGTGAGTCACCAGTCGAACGATCTATCTCGAGCTTTGCTAATTCGGTATGTAGATCTTCATGAACATCTTCATGACGTCTTCTTATGGCTTCAACAACTTCTTCCCAACCATGGTCCGCGGTTTCGGCCTAGGGAGCAGCACAATGGCTTTAGTCTTGACCGCACCGCCTTACATCGTCGGAACCATTGTGTCCTTTTGCGTTGCATGGTCCTCGGATCGTAAGAAAGAGAGAGGATACCACATCATGACGAACAACTGTCTGTCCATCACGGGCTTCGTCATTTCAGTCGCGACTCTGAACACTCCCGCCAGGTATACTGCAGCCTTCCTCTACACAACAGGAAGTTTCTCGGCGAACGCGCTAGTCTACACGTGGGCCGTCTCGTCGCTGAACCAAACGCCCGAGAAACGTGCAGCTGGCGGTGCTATCGTGAACATCATGGGCCATCTGGGCAACGTCATCTCGCCTTACTTCTTTCCCGATGATCATTCGCCGCGTTACACGATGGCTATGATTCTTCAGATAGTCTTCGCGGGCCTGACTTTCTGCATGGCGTTCACGTCGAAGACGTACCTCAAGAGGCAGAACAAGAAGTTGAGGATTGCGGCGGATGAGACTGGTACTGTGTATAATCCCTTCACGACGTAAGGTCGGATTTACGAAGTCAAGCCCAAATACACTTGCAAAAATTTCTTGCCGACTACCTTTCTTGGTTGATGCAACCTCTGCCATGAAGAAAACCCATGCTGAAAGTTGTGACTAGTGCAACCTTTGAACTTGGCTAAATGTCTTCAACTGAAACCTCCGATCATGCCAGTAGAGACGCACCTAACGGAGCAGCAGCGATGGCTTGAAATGTCAACTTCATGACCAGGAACACCATTCTGTCCGCCGATGGTAGACTTACTGGAAAGCTTCTCTAACCCTGCAAGTAGGTTGGCCAGGATGCGAAAGTTGAGTTGCACGAGGGAGCAGCATCCCAGCCATTAACCAATCGTTGAGTCTTGGCACAAATGGATATGGTGAACATACACCTCACCTCCCAAATTTAAAAGGACGAAAGCATAAAGATGAGGTTAAATCAGCTTATTACGTCAACCCGGCCCTCCATGAAGCTTTCACGCACGCAATGAGCTTAACGTCGAAAACAAAAACGTTGTCACGAAAAATGGCAAAAGAGAAGTGCGCGCAATCGCGGACGGGAATTGAGCCCGACGTGGGGGTCGAACCCACAACCTTGAGATTAAGAGTCTCACGCTCTACCGATTGAGCTAGCCGGGCAGATCAGGTGATCTGCCTTGTTGTTGAAGGTAGGCGCCGGAGCGGGTCCTATCAAGCGTACCGAGCTCGCCAGCGCGACTAAGATCCACAACGTCCAGCATGCAGCATCTCCTGGAGTTTGCACTTTTCTTCTTGAGGTCAATACGCTCTCTGTATTCTGTTGCCACTGAAAGTTGCGAGACGTTTTTATTATGTTTTGTAACACCTAATCGTAAGTAAGGTAGTCGGCGTCGCAATGTTCAACCCAGGTAAACAGCTAGCGGCCTAGCCTGGCAATGGGTTGAGAACTTCGGGGCACCACTCCATGGCTTTCGCGCTCAAGCAAATATTTAGGAAGAAAACTCACTGGCTGGCCTCGAAAATCTGCAAATACTTTGGGGAAAACGGGCAGGAAAATAGTGGGATTGTAGCTGAGGAGGCGACCTAGCAGAATATTGCGGCTTTATGTGGGCGCAAGGAGAGCGGAACGAATGCGTCTAAGGCTGAGGGTCATTGCAATAGATTGGTACTCGCTGTGATCGAACTGAACCTTGGAAATCTAGCTATATTCACTGGAGACTTACTTTGAAAGCCGTAGAGGCTGTCTGTCGGCGACCGCAACCGGCCCCGGCCCCACAACAGTCGGCACGCTCAGCCAGAGCAACGGCTTGCAGATGCCTGCGCCATTACATTCAGGCATGTCGAATTTGCGATTGCTTATATCGCTAAAATCACATCAACGACCACCAGCTGTTGAGACCTGAGCACAAATTAGTGGCTTGGTTTGTATGGGCATCTGGGTCGGCTACAACATCTGCGCCAGAAGAGCGACGCCATGTCGCGGCAGGCCACAGACATTACATGGGTCTAGTTTATGTCCGTTTGTCTTTACGTCGAACTCTGCGCGAGGTCGAAATGAGGAAAAGACTTAAGCATGTCATGACATGGTTTTAACAAGTCAGATCAGTATCAACAACAGCTTCCTCTGGTGATTAAGTCTGGTAGATTGGTTAATAATCAATCGTGATTGAGAATTTTGGTATGCGGCAGCTCAACGCAACGCGCAGGTTTTGACCAATGAAAACCGTTCGTCGGCAACGTCACTCTTTTTGGAAAAGGCAAAGCTGGTGATCATCCACCAGGATCCCCTGGACGGCAAGGAGACGGACTTCTTTTTGACAGGCCCGGCATAGATGGGATTATTCAATGTTCATATTCTCTCCTATATACAGTTCATTTCTGCCCGAAGCAGATATTGGAATCCCACCGGCAGAATCTGAATATCATTTCAAGACCCTGACATGCCAGTGGGAGAACTGCCCAAGCACATACTCAATTATGCCTTCGTTTTCCTCCTAATCCTAATCTTCGCATTATCGGGCGGGAACAAAGCTTCCGTCAGCCAATAGTTCGGTGGTCGCTGGCCGTTGTATTCGGGTGGAAACTCAATGTCGTAGTGCCCCAGAACGTAGGCAATGATCATCTTCAGCTCAAAGTCAATCAGGAACCGACCTGGACACGCATGCTTCCCGTGACCAAAGGGAAGATACTCGGGGCCGGTCGTGACGAAGCTGATTGGAGGAGCCTTCTCGTCCTTGGCAGCCGCATCCTCACGTATCCGGGAAAACCGAAACGGGTCGTACTTGAGGGGATCTTCGAAAGTCTCGCCATCGGTGGCAGCCGGCTGGCCCAAGAAGGAGATCAGAGTATTCTTGGGCAAGTGCGTACCATCCGGTCCCTTGAAGCCGTCGACCATGACCTTACGGAATAGCGCGCGCCCACCGAATGAGTTGAGGCGGAGAGTCTCGCGGGCAACGCTGTCTGCTTTGACCATCTTGCTGACCTTCGCCTTTGTCCAGCTGTCGCCACCGTCTTCGTACAGAATCCGGCTGACTTCGTCTCGTAAGATGGCAACAGTGTTGAACTCCGAGTCGGATGCGATAATGTTGAGTAGCATATTCGTAGCCTGGATGCTGGTTTGGTGCATCGAGCCGAAGTTTGCGGCGATGAGACGCTTGGTCATGCAGTCGAGACTGTTGAACTCCTCAACCCGATACTTTTGGGCGTATCTTGCCATCATTTGCAAATGGTCTTGAGGCTGAGGATGTACCGGGTCGTCCTTGTCGTACTTCAAGCTCTCGACGCGCTCATTCCAGATGGGTTCGAACATGTTCCGCAGTTTCCTGATCCTGTTGTGAATAGGCAGGTTGACCAGAACCCCCATGAGCGGCCGCAGTATTCTGGGACTTCCGCCGCAGGCTCCCGCGTTCGTAATGAGTTGATCAATGATCTGGTAGTTCACGTTGATGTACTCCTCGTTGCGGCCTGTTACGAGTTAGATGCTGACATAGACTCAATTGTATTCAACTTACACATTGGCAAACCAATGGTAAAGCGCCCTGCTGCCTGAGCTACCACCATTCTTATGGAAGCAAAAAGATCGATCTCCTTCCAATCTGTACTTGTGCCAAACCACTTGTCAAATGCAGCGCCAAGCTCGTTGTTCATCGCAGCGCAGATGTTCTCGAGCACTGCATTGAGGTCTGTCTTAACCAGATGCCCCTGCCAGGCGTCGGTGACGTATCGCGAATCTCCAAGTGCATAGTGAACTTGGTCAACCTCCGCAAAGGCTTCGGTAGGGCTAAGCATGTCTTCGGGCTGTGTCTGGACCCATCGCATTGAGCTCGTCGGCATGATGACTTCGTGTCGGAAACCCAGGCCGGGGAGGACTACGGCTTTGCCTTTCTTGACATACTGTCTTGGCGAAAACGGTTAGCTTACAGCAGGTCTTTTGTCTGGGAGTCAAGGAGAATTCAACGGACGTTGTCGTAGGCGTCCCGGAAGAGGCCTGGGCAATCGGTGTAGTAGCGCGCTACTGTCCGAAAACTGAATCGCGTCGCCCCCTCTGGTTCCCCAATGAGCGGGATTCCCTTGGGGTATGGAACTTTGTAAAAGAGTCGGCTGATCAGAAACAAGATGACAGTGCTTCCCAATGCTAGAAGGCCGATGCCTGACCAGCTGGAGAGCTCTGGGAAGAGAAGGGACGTGGGTGCCATGATAGGCCACGGGCACGAAGTTGGCTGGAGGAGTCGGCGTAACCTCTGCGTCGAGTTGCGAGGATTTGACAGAAGAGCATCAGAAGAAGCAGCTCCAGACTCAGAATCCCGAAAACTCCGCCCTCATTATGAGGGGAAGCTCTAGGGGTTTTAAACTCGTCTTCGTGCTTACAAAGTCCGTCCCATCTCTTGGATAGCGGACACCCCGGTGGGAGCTGGGAGCCGGAGAGTTGGGCCCAACGTCGAGACTAGCAAGGATGATCCTCCGTAGCGCGCCCGCCTAATCCCAGGGATCACTAACCCGGTCGTAAGGTTTTCCAAGCCGTCCTGTCAGAGGCTGTGCATTTGGCATCTGGCTTGTCCTTGTTGCGGACTCCATGAATCCAGGCGAGTATTGTGGTAGAGCCAGGCACATCATAATCCGCGTGTAACATAGTAGGAGCGGGATGATTTCCGGATGCTTTGAAAATGGCGCCACCGCTATAAGATGCGATGATCAGCTAATGGTAAAGTTAGTGAAGTACTATTTGTTGGAAACGCCACTTGGTTTGAGAAGATTGTGCTCATACATCGGAGAAACTGAGCGACGTGAAGCTATCGCCATGCTACCATTTCACACAAGAGTTCGCTCGCTTAGAACTAGTCCTTAGTCGATTACTTGGCGCATGTAAGCAGCCACTGACTAAATAGGAAGTCCGTAAGTATCGCAGTGTAATTGAACGATACCAGGCACCACTGTATTAGCCGGCTCCTTCGTGCGTTCCGGTTCAGGATATCAAGAATCATGCGCCCCACAAGTTATCAGAACACCAGAGCAAAAGATCTTTAACTGCATGCCCAAGTATTATTAATATTGAAGCGTTACTGACAAAATGAATACACACTTCTTTGTCGACAGTGCATATATGTCAACTTTCCCCCCACGCATCGCCATGCCAAAAAGCTGGACGATCAGGGAACCGAACCTCAACTTCAAGAGCACAGAACATGCTAAGCGAGTACGGATAATACCACTAAATTAATCTCCCATGACATGATCTAGCCCGGACTTGAACCGGAGACCTTCAGTGAATCAGGATGAGGCTGTCGAGATGCTTCAAACTGTGAGACTGACGTGATAACCAACTACACCACCAGACCAGGTTAGGTTGTTGATACCGGTGCATGCGGATCGCTTCATGTGCAACCCTCAGGGCTGGAATGCAGGCAATCGTAAAACCGAGGCGCTGGTTGGGTGAGTCCCGGTGGAGCGTTGTCTTCAACCCCGGTTGCCCACAAACCCTGCGATGTCAAGGGTCTTAGTCTGTCAGGGTTGAACATGGGGACATGGAATAGAGAAACCCCACTAGTACCTTCATGATAGAGATTAAATCATAAGCAAGCCATCCTAAATCTCACATCATCCGAACCTAGCAGCTAGAAGGGCAGTGCAATCTGGATATATCACTTGGCATGTTGTTGCGGCTTGGCATACCTGTCTCACCTCCATGCTCAAGGCCATAAAATGGGGTTTACCTAGGTAGGTTACTAGAACATGTGAACTTTTATGTTCGATGTAGTAGATAAACAAGCAACGAGCGACTTCAAATGAAGCCAATCTTTCTACAGAAGAAAACGTCAAATGCGCCTTTGTCAAATTAAGTGGCTAGGATTTGAGTCCAACCTTGAGGATCGAATATTATTACGGTATCCAGTCACGCAAATGTAGAAACAAGTACATCCTCGCGCATCAAACATATGAGTTTCCTGTTGCCTGTGAGCGGATACAAAATCGGATCGAGCACGTGCAACGCGGTTATCTGCTGCCATGAGGAACAAGAATCTTATCGGCAGCCACCAAAAGCTACTTCATACGTATTTTCATATCCCATCGAAAACTTTCTATATTCAAGTGTTCCAATCAAACAACACCCATCAGCTTTTACAATGCTCCCTGATAACTCCGTCATGCATTATTGCCCAATTGTGTTTTGTGTCAGAAACTGATCTGAATGGTCAACCCAATAAGAAGACCACTGTCGACAACAATCAATCTCTTTGAAGCCTAAGAACAATAATTTCAGTCACAGCTCTTGCAATTCTATGGGCCTTGCAACATGTTACACACCTATTTCCGCTTTTCGTCTCCTTTTGGTGCAGCAGACTTATCCTCTATCGTGATGTGCAGCTCCAACTGATCTTTCACAGCATGGCTTGTTACCGTAATGTGGTAATTCATACTGCTCGGAAATGTGTAGGGGTCTGATGGGTTATCTGATGGGAAAGCCCACGGGGAATTCGTCGTGCCGTCGTTGTATTTGGTCTTGTAATGTGACTGGATTGGCTTGAAGAATCCTCGTTCGGGCGACTCGATGCCAACGCAGAATGACTGGAGTGCTTCCATGTCCTGCCAGCATAGCGCGACATCATCCTGGCCACTCTTCCCGAAATAGCACCCCTTCGTCCACGACATCAGTTGTTCCCCGTTTCTCGCCGGTAGCGTGTTGTTCTGGATATCTTGTATCATTCGGACATCGGGAGCCGTCGGTAATGTGTGCTCCGACAGGGTGAAGTTCACCGAAGCGAGGTTCGAGAAAGTGAGCGAGTGATCCGGCGTAATCATTCTGACGCCTGGCGGGTGAGGATGCATAAGGTGTGGTGGTGTGAGGAAAGTTCTAAGTTGGCGAAGGTTTTCTGGGGCCGGGAAATAAAGTGATCGCTCGGCTCGGTCGGCGACGGAAGAATGGGCGAATTTACTGAGGATTCCTGTACGCATGGAGCAGAGACATGTCGATGAATTTGTTGGCTTTTCGAAAGTCTCGCCGGACCTGCTTCTCCGCCAATAATTGTCATTCTCTGTGGCCAAGTGCCGCATTCATCTAGACCAGACCCTTATTGGCGTTCGGTGACGTTCGAGTGGCTTATCCTCGCCCTGCGCACGGCGGCTCGGTTTGCGGTAGAAATGGGAACCTGGATGCCATCATTGCCATTTCCGGGGAGGATGCTAGGAGGTTGTCCGGATGCGGTCAGACAATCTTCCATCCCCAGCATCCGGGGATTTGGAGATCCGATCTGATAGAGATTTTCCGCCTCTTTTATTTGGAATGCTGATCACAACTGGAAATGTTCTGTGCTCCTCCAGCGTTCAGGTTTTCTTTGATCCAGTCCTAGACTCCCAATCTGGAGCGGGACATATGCCAATTACAATCAAACACCTCCCTGAATGGGAATTCGCAAAGCTCTTAGTTTTCAGTAGTTCAACGTCAAGTACCGGCCGTCTAGATCGCCAATGTTATCTCGGCAATTTTCATTATCCTATGGCTGAAGATGTGTCAGAAAAGCTTCGAGTTCTCGCTCAGTCGGCGAGGAATGTCAATACCGACGATAGTGATGAATTAGGCTTGCGGGGATGGGTGATCCCGCAAGTGGAAGTGTCTGAGACAACGCCACAGAAGATCGGTACTCGGCCGAAGCCTTTCAACTTGCCAGCAGAAGGAATGGTCTAGACCAAGGAAACGCAGTCCGACGTCCTTCTGCGCGGTTGGAACGCTCGGCATTTATATACTATGTTTTGATTGGTCTGGAACCAGCTTTGATGCGAGTTCTATCCGTCTTCGAAGGCCCTTCGGTCAATGATTCTAGCTCCATTAGCCAGGCGGCTGTAGTATCATAGCTTCAGGAAGACTAGCGTTATGTTCAAGCACTTAGATGTGCGAATTGCCACCTGCGAGAAAGGAGCTGCATCATTTTAATTGCAGAGTGATATGTTCCTGCACGCGTATGTTGGTTGCTTGAATCACCTGTGGTATTCCGTAACTCCAAACATCATTACCACCAGCCCATGTCTACATGTATTATCTACCACTCAGCTTAGGTCTCGAGACATGTCACGAGACCAGTCAAAAGATCTTCCGCCGTGACATCAATGGCTCCCGTCTTCTGATCCTCAATGCCAAATGAAACAAAGAGGACATCATCCATATACCCATGATATCTTTGCCCCTTCGTCTTCCAACTCATTGACGTGACGTAGAACATATCGGAGGCACCATTCTCTTTTCTTTTGCGTCCATGAATCCATATCGGCCTTTTCGAGATGGCGAATACTTCGAACGGCGCTCTCTGTCTAAATACCATGACGTATGGTTCGTACTCGCTGTGAAATCGATAAAACGTCTTGTGTTGGAATATCGTGAAGATGAATGTGTTTTCGGGACTCGGCTTGCAGTTCACATCCATTCTCTTGCAGAACGTAATGCTCAAGGAGTTGGTTGCTTGGTGGATGGACTCTAGATCCGGTGGCAGCTTCGGCAGGTACTTCGCCAAACAGGCTTCATCTCCGGCCGCCATGGGCGCCAGGTCTGGACCAACGGAACCGTCCAAGCTCGGTTTCGAGAACACACGTTTCGGCGACACGTCGTGGTGGACGTAGATCTCTCCGTCCAGGTCCCAGAACGGGAACCAATTCTTTTCCATGGTTCCCCATGGCGGCGGCCGCTGCAGCTCTGTGCCGGTGCCGAAGCCTTCGTCGAGCGACGGTTGAAAGCCCCAGTTTCCCAGCTTGCGGAAGTCTTGCATGAACTGTCCGAAGCAGGCGTACAGAGAGTTGGAGCCGTAGACGATAAATGGTGCTTTGGGGCCGTGGAAGACGCGAGCGTCGTGAGGCCCGATGTTCATAGCGATGTATGCTAGCTTCGGCGGACATTTTCCATCGCCAGTCTTGGTAGCAGGGATCGGAAGAGTCGTTGGGGTATCCAGACATGAAAGACCTTCTGACGTGAACACCGCGTTGCAAACAAGCTCAAAGTGCTCGGATGATTTGTCTTCTTCTTTTTTCCGCTTCTGTGCGATGATGATGAAGGTATTGTCGAGGGTGGGGTGTGGAATGATATTAGGGTTGATTGTATCATCGTCGCCGAAGCGGATGACGAAGAACTTCTTGTCCAAGGTGGTTTTTGAGAAGACTTCATGATGTGTTGGCTCCGTCGCGATCGGAGGGGGAACCGCGACGACAGGTAGTGTTTGAGTTGACTCGGGGACAGGTGTGGAACCTGACGGCGCCGGCCGGGAGCCGGAGTGCGGCTTCAGCTCATCGGCCTGTTTCCAGTTGGGCGCAAAAATGTGATGAAACCAGGAGTTGAGCTCTGATGCCGAGTCTTTGAATTCAAGGCGCCGTATCCCAACGTAGACGAGAAGCAGAAAGGGTCCTACGACGAGAATGACGCGCTTGAAGTCCCGGGCTAGCATTGCGAGGGCTTGTCTGCGTACGCCGACGTTGCGACACTCATTTGACTGGGACTTGGAGCCGTCCGGATGCTCGGGTTGCAGCGCGACAGGTCAGAACGTCTGAGCAGCTGCTTCTCTGATGGAGCTGTGCTCGACGAAGGGGTACGTACGGAGAAGAAAGATGCCGAAATAACCGCAGAAGCAAACTGTTTCTCTTTCCACAACGTCGTCGTTAGGGCCCAGTTTCTACCCCGCGGTTCACGATTGCATCACTGATAGGAACTCCGGGGAATGTGGGGGTGACGAGGATCAAGGCCTTTGAGTGATTGAGCTAGTGTGAAAATCACAGGCAAGTTCTCAGAGGCGAACGCATCGCGTGATGGGGATCGGCGGACAAGCAAATGAATACGACCTTGGACCTTGGAGTTTCCCCTCACTTGAGAGCTTGTGTCTCTCGCTTGAGTACCCCCAGCCACCCACTTTGCTAGCGCGGGAGGGTCAGGTAACTGGCTCACTGAGGGAAAAGAATGCTGTCTAGGCTTGTTCCTGGCCCGAATTGGAGGAACGAACTCGTTACTTGAACTTTAGAAGCATGTGAGCATGTGAGAGCCTCGGTGAGCGGCGCAGGCCCCTGTTCAAGTTGGAATGGCTTCCCCTCACAATCATCCCACACCATCACCCCAAATAGGGCATGAGTCCGTCCCTGCAGCGTCATTGGGTGTGATGGTGCTGCCATCGCTGCAGGACGAACGGAAAGCTGTGCACACGGGAAGTTTGGCGTTGCGTTGGTGGTGTTCGTTACGCTCGTGTATGGGAGCGGAATCTTCTGGTGTGAAATTCAGCACAGTTCAGTCTTCCAATGAGAAATCTGTATTCTGGGTTGAGAGGCGCACCGGGCGAGCACTTCGGCCCGCGTGGCAAGCATGTTGTGTCTGTGTATTGGACGTCCTAAAGTTCGTCTAGAAGATGGTCTCAGTTGGATGATTTTAGTCGGCCAATCCGACGATGTGGACCACTTTGGAGATCAGACGAGCTAACATCGAACTTTTTTTTGAAGCACTTCATTAAGAATTCATAGTTTATAATTGGTTATAATCCAATTGCTCATGTCGATTATTTACTACTAGCATGAGGTTCTTTGCCATAAACCCGTATGTTTCGGACCTGCCGCCACCTATTACCCAAAAATATCCGCGCCAACGCCGTAGTGTGCCTTTTCATCTCAAGCCCTCGCGGGAGGGGTTGCCGTGTTGAGGGTTTTCCTGTAAAGCCATTGCGAAAACTTCACGCTTGGCTCATCGACGAATCTCGTGACAATCTCCGCCAGCCACAAAGTGAGGGGCAAAAGAACCAGATGAGGAAGTAAGAACGCGGGTTCCAAGCCCAGTGGCCCGGCCTTTGGCAAAGGGAACTTGTCGACCAGATGCGCCAGATGCTGCTTCTCCGAGTCCTTGTACCAGCCGACTGCTGTGTAAATACGATCGCCCAGTGTTCCAAGAACAGGTCCGTGAACAAGATACAGGGCGAAGGAAATGCGTCCAAGATACTGGCAGAAACGTGTCTCGAAGAACCGCTTCAACCACCAGATCCGTGGGACACAGGCGACGAGAAAGGTAGCAGCCCAGAACAGGTAAAACCACTTGTAGTCGTAGACAGCTTGCGGTTTGAGCAACGAGAGGTAATACCACCCGCGGTTCTCTCGCATTCTGTTAACGTCGCCCGTGTACGATGGCACTCCTCCCAAGTACATCGAGATTGCGAAAAGGTGATAGTAGATGAAGAGCTTGGCCGGCTGAAGCTTCTTAAAGATGGCCGGCAAGTCGTCTTTCTTGGCCAGCATGTCGAGGTCGCAGAGCATCATGCCCATCACGAACATAGCTCCGTACCAGCCATCAGCGATGTACATGAAGTAGAAGATCAGCCCGGCTTCGCACCAGAGTCTCGCGTTTCTGGTACATCGAGAGAAGGCGAGAGCTGCCGTGTAGACGATGACGGAGCCTTTCATCTCGACTGGGATCGACCACAGATGGGGATTCCAACTGAAGAAGGGACTACCACCGGCCGTGAAAACGAAGCTGAAGTTCTTCGCTTCGCAGTACCAAAGCCACACGTCGTCTCTCCAGCTGGAGGCGCGGTCGATGTTGTCAACCCAGATGTCGAACATGTGGAGAAAGCTCATGAAAATAAAGGTCGTCGTGAGAAGCGGGAGATAAAGCCGAAGCCATCTTCTGAAGAGAGCCGAGCCGACATTCTCTGCCAACTTCGCGTGGTCCCCAGATTGAATCAGGCTTAATGGCTTAGCCGTGAGGACGTAGCCGGAGATGACGAAGAAGACGGATACCGCGAAGTGACCGCCGGTGAAAAGATGTCGGATACCAGGGAAGGCGACGAAGTGAAATTTGTTCTCATAACCAAAGGCGTTTTCGAAGATTCGATTCTGGACCTTTGGCTCGTGTGCCCATAGCTCGTTGTGATGCCAGTAAACCAGGAACGCAGCAAATCCTCTTAGACCGTCGAGGTAAGCAGTTGGCCGCAATGTCTCTGACTGTTTTGTGTCTTTGATGGGCCAAAAGAAGGTACCAAGGCTGGCGAGGTTAAGCCGTGAAGGTCGTCTGGTGCGAATCAACGTGGCGGGCTTCCAGTCTGACTCTTCTGTGAGCCATTTAGACTTCTCGTACCAAGCAGGCTTGACTTCGTCCCAGTCTTTGCTGTCAAGAAGTCCTTCGTTTCTGGGAGACATCTTCAACAACGACTGATGGGATCGTGGATGAGGAGTTGTGTTGCAAAGAGGTGCCTTCAGCCTCAACCGGTCGACGATGCGTGCTTACGGTCGTGTGCTGCTTCCCGTGTGTGCGTGAAGTTGCAGGAAGAGTCTCCAAACCCTTGTCTTGTCTGCGGAAGACTGGATTTGGGAAAAGAGGCACAGCTCTTTTGAGTGTCAGCGGCCGGCATTCGCGAGAAGGATACTAGACTACGGTGTTAGCCCGGCTTGGCGTAGATCGTTTTCGCTGATTGGCTCAGAGAAAAGACTCTTGTCAGTCGACTGTTCATCCAGTGTATCACGAGCCAGAACGAAAGTCAAATAGCCAGCTGAACCATGAAAAGACTCCGAGGTCAATGACATGAAGGATGCGGGGTGGCGGGTTGAGTGTTGGATGGTTGGTCAATCAGAGAGCTGGGGGGCCCTGGTCTAGCATGCGGGGGATAGGCCGGGGTGAAAATGCGGAGAGCCAACTTTCGGCCAACATCAGATTTGATTATTCTAGTTGGCGTGGGATGGATATCACACGATTTCATTCATTGTGACGTACATGCCATTCGCCAGTTGCTTTGGGACCAGGCGTCCCTGGCATCTCCATCGCGGGAGGCGTCGCATTACTCGGTCCAGCTGGGAAGTGTAAGCCGGACATGTGAATGACTTCGCCGCAACTCAAGCTCTCGGCCGGCTCGAATCCTTTGACAGACGAGAAATATTGCAACCTTCCCTCCTCATTGGGAAGGTTCCACCGCGCCCTGTCCCCTGACTATCACAGCCGTTGTTGCCGGTGGTCTTGATCGACCCAATCGAAGCTCGAACAAGCTCAACCTCCCGGCGCTATTATGGCGCCAAATGCGGGCGTCCACAAACGAGTGGTTCTCATTTCCTCCCCGCAATCTGGGTGGCTTCGATCCGCCGTCCCCTCTACTTTCTACGCTCAGAGATGGTGGCTTTCGGGGGTTCTTGTGGCAGAACGAATGAGAGGGAGCACCGTTGAGATCAGCTTCTAGCCTCTCTCGTATTGAAAGACACCAAAAGAACTACAGCAGAGTGAGTTACACAAATCGGAGCAACGGTGGCGTCAGTCAGCTTTGACGACTCATATCACTTGCTAGATAGTAGGGATGAACACGATGCGACTTCGGCCAAACGACCTCGGCGCTGCCTCCCACGTCTTGGCCCTTGGATCCCGGCTCGTGATAATGATGCACAACTGATAGGCGGCGAGTGGGGGACAAGTGTGCCGGGCGTGAGTAGGGCCATCCCCGCCTCGGCGACTAGTACAGCCTAAGGTCGCGTGCCTGCATGTAGAAAGTTCCTCAAATCTCTACATGCATCCCGCTTGTCTTGCTCTTATGCTCGTCGCATCTTCGCCCAAAGCTTGGTCCAAAAGCTTCTTTGCTCGAACACCTCCATCGATCTCCAACTTTGGACGACTTCAGCAGAGATGTCATCACCCATCATGAGTCCGCTGAGTCCATTGAGCCCGACGGGCTCCAAGGCCAACTTCTTCAGAAACAGAGTTCCAACACAACTGCGCAGATGCATTCCTCTCTACATCGCTTGCGTCTGTCTAGTTCTTCTTCTGCTCAACGTTGACCTGGTCGGCTCCGTTCCCAAGCCCGTTCACCTTTCAAAACGCAACGGTCGGTCGTCGACCACAACTCGAGGCTTTCCCAAGAAGATCTGGCAGAGCTGGAAGGTCGCGCCGTTCTCCTTTGAGGGCGAACAAATCCTCACTGCCAGAACATGGACGGACAAAAATCCCGGCTTCCGTTATGAAGTCCTTACCGACACTAACGACATGGAGTACGTTGAGGAGCATTACGGGCCCGACGGCTTCGACCGCCCAGATATTGTCGACGTGTATCGCCATGTGAACGCAACTATCATCAAAGCAGACTTGCTTCGGTACATGATCATGTACGCGGAGGGTGGCGTCTACGCTGACATCGACGTCGAAGATCTCCGACCCATCAGCAGGTGGATCCCTGAGAGATACAAGGAAGAAGACATCGATCTGGTCATTGGCGTCGAGATTGACCAACCTCATTTCAAAGACCATCCTATTCTTGGCAAGAAGTCCATGTCCTTCTGCCAATGGACCTTCATGTCGCGGCCCCGACACCCAGTTATGCTCAAGCTGGTCGAGAACATCATGGCATGGCTCACTGATGTCGCCAAGACGCAGGGAGTCTCAATCTCCGAAATCAAGCTTGACTTCGATGAAGTCATTAGTGGAACCGGTCCTTCGGCCTTCACCAAAGCGGTTCTAGAAGTCATGTCGTCCAGGTCCCGCTCCGGGGCAATTACATGGGACGACTTCCACGACATCGACGAGTCCAAGGTCGTCAGTGGCATTCTGGTTCGCGACGTTGAATCTTACGCTGCTGGCCAAGGCCACTCGGACTCGGGAAACCACAATTCTAGAGGAGCCCTCGTCAAGCACCACTACCACGCATCGAACTGGCCTAGCCGTCACCCGAGATTCAGGCACCCGATCTTTGGCGAAGTCGAGCGCTGCAACTGGAACATCGAGTGCGTCATGAAGTGGGACCAAGACATTGCCGCCTTCAACGCGCTATCCCCCGAGGAGCAGAAGCAGAAGATCGAGGAGCACGAGAACCTGCAGAAGTTCCAGGTCCAACAAAAGCAAGCCGAGCAGAAACCAGGCGCATTGCCGCTCCAATTCCCGCCTCAAATAGCTATCCAGCCGCCTGCACCCCAGCAGGAATTGAAGTTGAAGTGAGGCAAGCCTTGGAAACATCGACGGCCCGAAAAGTTCGATTGAAAAGTTCCACCAAAAGTTTCTGCCACACCGTATTTGCCTCGCGGAGACGCCAAAGATGTTGTGCAATTCACTTTCACCGTCACGCAACACCGCGCGGCAGATACAAGAACTATGAGTGCAAAACACATCATTGCGTATCGAATTAGTTGATGGCGATTGCCCGGAGCGAATGCCTTGAGCATACCGTCTGCATGAGTTGGTTACAGTTGCTTTGAAGTCACTTTGAAGCCCTGGAGGCTCTTCAGAATGAGCCAATGGTCTCGTTCTGTCCGGTGCAAGCCTTGATGAACATTAGCATGGACGTATAGATATACAGCTGAGGATGACATACACGGAAACCGGGGCGGGAATACCCTTCAATTACCTGTACATACATTTGGCTGCGCAGTGAATTTGGTAGACACCACGTCGTCGTGCGACGTTGCTCGAGTAATGATTAAGACCTTGACCGCTAAGACGTAGCAAACTGCTTCCTGTTTATGATTTATAATTGGTGCCACGACTTTGGCTTCGACTTAGTGAGATCCTTTTGGAATTCCGGAGTTCTGGAACGTGCAAACATCCTTTCATGGTGGCTTGGAACGATCAAAGTGAGTGATCTGCATTTGGAAGTTGGGTACATGCATACTTCGCAGACCGAAAGGCAATAACATCTGTTGAAGAATATATGTACATACATAAGATATGTGCGAAAGTAATATGGACCATCATTCCATGACCAAGTCAATATTTACAAAGGTCTCTCTCGTGTCCCTATCTTCGTAGGGTCTACGCAACATCGGTAACGCGAGATTGATTTAGAAGGTGAGCTTCTGGCCAGCCTGGCCAGGAACAGTTCCGACGACGTTGGCAGAGCCGAGGAGGCTGTAGGAGTAAGGCGGCGAGTTGGCGTTGAGGGTGCCGACCGGGGCGGTGTTGGCAGCACCTCCGAGATCGTTGTCAATAGCGTTGGCGTAGCCGACGATGTCGGAGTCCTTGGTCTCGATGGGGGCAGTAACATTCCTGAAGACGTTGCTCTGTACGAGGACCTGGGCGCCCTGGCGAGTGTTGATTGCGGAGTTGACGCTGCTTTGAGTCAGTGATTGTCACCTTGTTGGTATTTGAGAAGGGTTCATACTTCAGGTAGTAAGAGTTGTAGACGTGGCCAGTGCCAAAGCGCAGAGAAGGGCCACGGGAGCCGACGTTAGCCCAGTAGTTGTTGGCGTATGTGACTGTCGAGTAGTACTTAGTATCAATCCAACGTATCTCCAAGACGAGCAACTTACTCCTGAGGTGTCCCTTGTCTTCAGCGCCGTTGTTCTCGCTGTGCCCAATGAGAGAAGTCTTCCAGTGGTCGTGGAAGTAAGTGCTTCTTTTGTTAGCCTTACACATGCCACATAAGCGATTTGAGAGTCCTTACTAGGAGATGGTCAAGTAGTCAGCGGCGTGGGAAGCATCCACAAGACCGTCGTAGTAGTCCTTGTCGGAAACGAGAGCCGAGCTGAACTCGCAGTGGTCAACCCAGACGTTGGTGCTCTCCTATGTGTCATGTTGATTTCAGTGCTTGTTACTTTGTTTTTGAGGGCTCCGAGCACTCTCACCTCGATTTTCAGGCCATCACCAGTGCTGGCGAGGACGTTGGTAGACTTGATGTTTCGCACAATAATGTTGCTCTGACGACGAGCGTGGAGAGCAACACCATTGAATCCTATCATAGTCAGTGAATCTGGCTCGGAAACGTTGCCATCGTCATGACTCATCACTAACCAGCTCCAGCAAGACCGATGACGGACTTGTTGCTGCCAATGCGGACGTTGACGGCGCCTGAGATGACGCCCTTGACAACAACGATCTTAGCGGCGGTGTCCTTCTCGTTCACGGCAGCGGTGAACTGGGCGAGGGTGGAAACAGTGGTGACCGTGCCGCCAGCACCACCGGAAGTTCTTCAAATTTGTCAGTTGCGATCAACAAGGCTTGTGGAATTTGGCCAAGACTTACCCTCCGTTGAGGGTAGCATATCCCAGAGTTGCCTTGTCGGAGATAGAAGCTCTCTTGACGAGGTGAGGCTTGTCCGCGACGTTGTCAACGGTGGGAGTCGGGGTTGCAGCGGCGAGGCCGGCAAAGACGGTTGCCAAGGCGGTAGTGAACTTCATGTTGGAGAAGAGTCGTGATCTGCCAAGAGGATCTAGGATCGATGGGTTGAGTCTGGTGCTGCCGAGCGTTTCAAGAAACCCATGAACCACGTTGCCGGTTGTTCCTTTATATACATGATCGACATAGTACACGATCGGACGCTTTTCCGTCCATCAACCAGGGCCTCACATCTCACGAGATCACCTTGGGCCGCCATGGAATTGCGACATCGCCTCACTGACTGCACCATTATTTCCGTGCAGTGGATTCTGGCGAGGCTGGAAGAATTGAAGGGTAGCATTGATGGACGGAGCAGATAAACATCTTCATTCCGCGAATAACAGCGGGCCGTCTGCCAGGACTACGCGGCTCTTCCTCGAGTGTTTCCTCCACTTGTGTGTGAGCATCCTCCGGAAGGCCCCTGTTTCGACAAATGACGAACTAACAACCGTGGGATTGCTCACGCTAACGCCATCACATCTAGGCTCGGGAAACGGATTCTTTGAAATACCTAGAATCAAGCTTGTTGACAAGCTTTTTTGTCGTTCCCACCTTGTCTATTCAGTGGGGAAGTGTCTGTGTCATGTAGAGTCGAGATCTCGAATTAGGTCAAGGGGCGTCCGGGGTCGTGTTGGAGAAATTTCCTCAAATCAGCGTTTCGCCCTGGTTCCCCGTGCAGGTACCGGCACAATCCGGGGTGCAGAGCGCCTCTACCAAAACCAAGGCACTAATATGCCGAAAATGCCGTCTTATTGGAGAGAAATAGATGTTTGCCGCAGAGCTGATGACGCGGAGCGGTGCACGCATTGGAAATGTGGCTGTCAAGGAACGAATGTGGACATAGGGAAAAAGGCCAGTGGTCGGCTCGTTGTTCAGAAAGATAGAGCAAGTTTCCAGTCTTTTGTGTTATTGAATGGCTTACTATACTGTCTCATCCTAGTCCATCTCTATTCGGTGCGGTATTAGACGAGTTTGCATGCGTATCGGCGTGGGATTCGGCAACGCTCCAGAGGTTGCCAGCTAAGCGGATGATCTTTGGGAGGCTACACGGCGTCTTACCGATTGGTCAACACAACTGATGCTCGGTCAGTAGCTTCTGTTGACCTTCCGCATTGGATCAACTCTGGCCGGAATGATAGAGCCCGAGTCAGCAGCATCCCACCGGAACACCGGTGTACAGACCTTTTCGCTGCATGAATTGTCTGTTCAAGAATTGGTACCAACGTTACCTAAGTCCTTGGAAGGCCGGTCGTTCCCAAATTTCAATAACTGAGTGGCATCAAGTACTTATGGGAGCCTATATGTTAAAGGATACATGAGGCTTGATTTACTTTCTACCAGTCGTGACGATTTTCCAGCTAACTTATCTTCTATTTCTGAGGGGTTTGCAGACCGAAATTCGATATGATTTTTTTTTTGGAGTCTTGGCTAAGAAGCCAAGCTGCCAATTTGAGGTTTTCCTTTTGATTTCGACAAATACCTTGAGTTGGGTTGACGCCTGATACACATGAGTAACCCGTACGACTCCACGAAGTCAAACCTGTGCCAGTTTTCAGGATAAAGGTGTAATTATGGGATCAGAAATCATCTTATGAGCCGTTTTCTCGAATGCAATCTTTTTGACGAGGATATCAGTTTGTGGCTCAAATATGTCTGAGTGCATAATTGATAGTTGAGACAGATCCGAAGCTAGCTACCGAGGCTCCTCAAAGGCTTCATGTAAAATAGCAGTATTAATATCGTACCAAAGTAATAATGGATGAATAAACCAGTTTCTTAGGGTGAATATGAAATTTAGCTGAGATTTCTATACAAAAAGTACCATTTTGTCGGTCCAGCTTCCAGCTCTCAGTGAGTCGAGTGACGTAAGCGTGGGTGTGACTAAGCAACTCACTGAATTTACAGAGCTGTCAGGCCATTAGATAAACTCTGAACTCCTCTAATTCAACGCATACAAGTCACATAATCTGAGATGCCCGAACCAACTAAAAGAATATCGTGAGTTTTCTTTCATTGATTTTGATGTTGTCACTGACCGTTTCGCAGTTGCAAGCGATGCCAGTACCGAAAGGTACCCACGCACTCCTCAACTCCAGTTGCCGATATCGCTGACAATTGACTGCCCCCTCCCGAAGCTGAAATGCTCTCGCACTGAGCCGTGTCAGAATTGTGTCACTGCAAAGCAAGCCTGCGAATACCGCGAAGTTGATCGGAAACGACGACCCGCTACTCATGAATATGTCACTAGCCTGGAAAATCGGGTAGCATCGCTTGAGTCTTTCATTGGGAGTCTGCAGACGGCGTCAGCGCAAGAACGGGACGCCATGCTGAAAAACGTCTCCTTCGGCGATCATCTGCAAGCAAGCGGCTCACACGCAACCGGAGCCACCACAAAAGCCGACGGCAGACAACCAAATCATGATCAGAGCAGCACTGCCAACTTGCAGGTTGATCTTGAAGGATCGCTCATTTACCACGGCGCTACGAGCATTTATGGGGCTAAATCCAGATCCCTCTCAGGAGGCGTGTTATTTGGCAACGCCGCATTTGATTCATCACATCAATCTGGATCCGAGTCAAATTTCGAGCATGTTGCTGAGCATTTCGGTATCAGCCTCCATGATGAATTGGTGTCAGATGCTTTGCTCCAATTCTTCAAGTGGCAGTACCCTCACTTCATGTTTATTTACCGCGAGGCATTTCTGAGAGACCACTTCAGCGACAGGGCCAACTGCAAGTATTGGTCTTCGCCCTTGTTGCTCTCAATATGTGCTCTTGGAACGTTGATGTCTCCTGACAAGCGCCATCGACAAGCTAGTGAACAGTTCTTCTCGGCAGCTGAAAGTATTCTTATCGTCTCCGGCCTAACTAAGCCTTCGATTGTTGCTGTTCAAGGGTTTCTGTGCTTGGCGTTCTATGAAATAGGAAGAGGAAATTTGTCAAAAGGATGGGGCTTTTCAGGTGACTTATGAAGTCTCATGAACGATGATCACCACATTAACTGCGTACCATAGGAATTGCTTTTCGGATGGCTCAGGATCTAGGCTTCCAGAGAGACCCAAAGCATTGGATATCTCACGATGCCTCGCTAGCCACGGATGAAGATCTGGAGATTCGTAGGCGCATCTTCTGGGGATGCTACACTTCCGACAAGTTAATCAGCCTGATTCTTGGAAGACCTGTATACCTCTTCTATGATGACACCGAGGTTGAGACAACTGAACGACTTCCGTGAGATTATTTTCTCATGTTTTCCCGATCAAACATGCTAATATGAAGCAGGGACTTTCCTGAAATGACGCCATGGCTGTCTGCTGGTATTAAGGACTACGATGAACGGTTTGGAGACATCAACCCACTACCCCTAGTTCCCTGCTTCAATGAGCAGATCAAGCTTTCGAAAATCATCGAGAGAATGCTCTCAAAACTGTTCTCCACCAAGTCCAGTCTGGAAGGGATTGGGCGTCAGTCATGCCTCGACAGCCTGAACTTCGACTTGTGCCGCTGGTATGAAGCGTTGCCCGCGTGCGCGAAATGGAATAAGTGGGAACCTCCAAGCAGCCCTCTCATACCAAGTGTGGCTGCCCTTCAGTGAGTCATTGTCCGTTCGGTTGGCTGAACGGCTTTAACTTGGTTGATAACAGTCTTCTTTTTCATGGTACTCGAATTGCCCTCAACTTTGATCACGCCACCTCCGATCACGCCGGGGCGGCAACCGAGAATGCCCAGAAAGACTGCCTTTCGTCAGCACAAGATATCACACATATTTTGAGAAAGTATCGAAGCCAGTATGGTCTGAGACATAGTCCTCTGATCATGATTTACGGAGTCATGCAAGCTGCTAGAACATTGTCACATTTCGGGACGCCTGATGAGGCACAGTATCTTCTGAATTCGTTAGATGAATGCTGCGCTGCGTGGGAGTTGGCTCATCAAGCACGGGAGAGGTTAATACTAGGCTAAAGCCACCATGATATATGACTTTACCCACATCATACTGTGACGGGACGATGACTTTGGAAATCATCTATTACCCCAGGTCATTGCAAATATGAATCCAAAGATGCTCAACACTCAATTGTGAGTAATTACCGGCCGACAAATCTTGTCGCAGACACTTTTGTTACATGAGGCCCATGAAAGATCTGAAGTTGAGTAAGGGGTCCATGATTGCCTGTCAATAGTCCTGTTCACTCAGCACCTTATCTCAAACCTGAAGAGACGATTTGGTGCGTGCCCAACAAACCACCTCAGTCGTCTAGGCACATTTCATTCATCCGAACGGACTAATGAGATACGTAGGACGATTCTTGGCGTCTGACAGGTTGTACGTACTTTGTTGGTTGGGCAGGTAGATACGGCAAGGCGTAAAATCAACCAATAGGATAAGCGCGGACATTGAAAAGCTGTGATGATGTTGGTCGCCGCATACTATGATTACAAGGAAAGTAGAAGTTTGCCTGGAATCCTCCAGCCTGATGGTAATTAGGCAACAGAACATCTATTTTGTCTCCTGCATAGATCGATCCTCCCAACCAGTGCCCAACTAACATCAGGGCGATTCGCGAATATTATGAAATGGAAGATTTAACTTGACTGATGCCCCGTATAAGACCCGGAAGCTCGAATTGTCCCCATGTCTTTGGCTTCCATGTATTTGGCTTCCTCTTCCACGCACTGCCCTTCTTTTCGGCTAAATTACTCACTGCGCAACGCTGAGTATCATGACCACCACAATCAGGTCTGCCCAAGACCCCGACCGGGACGAGTACAGTCGTCTTGAGGTGGACACGAGTCTCTTACATACAACAAAGTACTCGATGCCGAATCGCAATGATTTTCCCGAAGTCTACAATGACGCCCTACCCGAGGCTCACCAACACCCTGGCAAAAGCGAGCCCGAGATGCGTTCAGCAACAGCCAAGCCTCTGACCAGATCCACCGTCGTAATTTGTGGTATCCCGAAGCGGCTGTTCCGGATCATAGTCGCAGTCATTCTCGTGATTATTGTTGGCGCTGGTGTCGGTGGAGGAGTCGCTGCAAGTAAACGACAAAATAGTTCATCCGAATCATCACCGTCCTCCCCACCGCCGCAGCTCAATTCCATGGATATCCTCTCAAATACTCAACTCGCGGCGACAAGCTTTACCGACGGATACGGCCACAACAACTACTTTGTTTACTATCAGAGAAACTCTAAGCAGTTGTATCAATCTGCGTACAACTCGTCTGGGAAGAAGTGGACTGTGTCTCAAGTAAACAACATCACATTGCGGGAGGGAACACCTCTCGCTTCCAACATCTACTGGTTCAATGAAACGGTAATCATCTTAACAAGCTTTAAAAACTCCATTCAAAGTAGTTTTGCTAATATGGACTGTCCTCTGCAGAAACGAAATATGCACGTGTACGCAATAGATGATGGCGGAAGCATAGTCGGCCAAACGCGTAACATAGATGACCAACTACAGAAAGTTGGCGACTGGGGCAAAATGAATCGTTTCGGCGTTTTCACCCCGTCTAATGTTTCAAGAATTGTGTCTTACGGGAGAGAAAATGGAAATTTCTCACTTCAAAATATCATCATATACCAAGATGCTGGCGGAAAGGTTCATGTGTTAGATTCAGCACTCGGAAACTCAGAACCTGCGAATATCAATCAGCCCATTCTTGGTTCTGGCCTCGCACTGGCGCCGATACTTGGCGATCAGAAAGCGAACAAATCTCTGGCGGTTTTCGACATTGTTTCCGGGGCCGGGTCCCCAAGATACGCAAGCCTCGATCAACAGAATAAGTGGAAAGACACGGGAGTTTCTGGCAAAACCGAACTTGGCTCCTCGACAACAATTGCTGCGTTCTCGTACAGACTTAGTAATAATGGGGATGCGGGGTCTGGATCTGGAGATGATATGGGCGTACAGGTTTTGATACTGGAGCCTGGAAAGTCTGTGAAGACCCTGACATTTACGGAAGGGACTGCAACAGAATTGGTCGAAGCGAAAGGAATTGAGGATGAAGAGCTTCTGGCCATAGACGCATGTCAGTCGGGCAGAGTGTACGGAACTACGGCAAACAAGGACGGCACGGTCAAGATCGTGGAATGGGAATGGATCAGAGGCAGTGAGTATAGGAAGATTGGCGATGTAGATGTCGAAGCAAAGTAGCAAAGTTAGACTAGATCTTGCGGTAACTGGTTTCTAATTCTGTGTAGTTCAGTGTGTTCATACAGCTTTGTAATATTTTGGGAGGCTGATTTTGTATTTAGACGTGCAGAAGCGCGATCTAAAGTGGCAGGTTACGAGTGGTTCGCCTGTCTGGCCAAGTCAATTCGACACAGCACTTGCTCTTCCACGCCTCGACCTCTGACACCCAGAAAACTGTCCAAGGAAGAGTTCTCGGGCAAGATATTACCGTCCTTTCTCAGTTGACACGCACCATAGCTAGGGCCTTACTACCTCAAGGCTAATCTCCGCGCTCTTGAGTGCATCACTAACAGCTCTCAAAACGGTCCTCCCACTCTTTCCATCCCCGGCACGAACGATGCACAAAGCTAGACCACTGCTAACATTCCGTTGCGTAGACGGAAAAGCTGTGAAGTCGGTAGGTAGACCGTTGTCGGTAGCGACGATTTCCCCGGGACCAGACACGATCGAGAATTTCACGAGGTTGTCTGCCGTGGGGACCGTATTGCCTTCCTTGTCGACAACCATGACTGTGACGAATATGAGATCCTCACCATCTGCCTTCAGGGACATCCGGTCCGCTTTCAGATTCAGGGCTTCGGGATCTCCCACCGTCTGGACAGTATCGGTGGCCCAGCTCTTGCCGTCCTTGTACGTCTCCACGCGCAGGACGCCTGGTGTGTAGGTTACGTTATCCCATCGGAAGCGATGGGCCATGGGCTCCTTGACCAGTCGACCCAGGCTTGTATCGTTGAGGAACAGCTCTGCTTCATCCGCGGACGAGAAGACGTGGACGGGAGTGACCTTGCCGACACGATCCTCTGGCCACGTCCAGTGCGGCACAATATGCGCCATCTGCACGCCGGGTCGCCAGTATGCTTGATACTGGTAGAAACGTTCTTTTCTGAAACCTGCCATGTCGAAGATGCCAGAGTACGCGCTACGCGCAGCGTCACTATAAGGGTACGACTCCCCGAGATAGTCCCAGCCTGCCCATACGAACCCGCCTGCGACGAAGGGGTACGTTTCGTGCGTTCTGAAGACTCTGTCCGGGGAGGACCCGGCTTCGGCCGAGTAAAGCTCGTAAGCACTGATTTCGCGGGTCTTGGAGTTCCCACCCGAACTGGAGTTGACGGGGCAGCTGTCATACGGACACACAGGAAACATGAACTTGCCCCGACTACTCAGCGACCAGGCCACCTCGCTCCCAAATATCATTTTCTCGGGGTAGGTGTCGTGAAATGCTTGGTATTGGGGTGGTCTGATGTCTCCTTTTGTGATGTGCTCATAGGCAGGACCGTATCGTTTACCCTCACCTTGGTAGTTGAGGGATATGACATCGGTGACACCGGGAAGTTCTTGTCCAGCCCAGGCCGTATGAAGAGACGTCGTTGATGGGCGAGAACTGTCTTCCTCTTGCACAATCTGCCTGAGATACCGTGCCATCTCGGCTGCGACCTCGTCGTTTCCGTTCTGTTCCGGAACCTCGTTTCCGTAACTCCACATAATAACGGAAGGATAATTGCGATCTCGTCGGATGAGGGCTCGTAGATCCTGCTCCCTCCAATCTTCGAAAATCAGATGAAAATCACAATCCCTCTTGCTCTTCATCCAACTATCAAAGATCTCATTCACGACGATAAAACCCATCTCATCTGTAAGCTGGAGAAGCTCTGGGGCTGGTGGGTTATGAGCTGATCTGATGGCATTGACGCCAACTTCGCGTAGGGCATCAAGCTGTCGTCTAGCCGCGCGAACGTTGAATGCAGCACCCAAAGCTCCCAGATCATGATGCATGTTGGCTCCCTGAATTCGCACATGCTCGCCATTCACCACAAGTCCGTTGTCGGCGTCGAAGACTAGACTTCTGATCCCAAACCGCGTGTCGTATTTGTCGAGGATATCGCCGGTATCTTTATCGATGATCTGTGTGACAGCCACATAAAGGTTCGGGGACTGCGAGGGAGGCGGCCCCCAAAGTCGCGGGTTCTCCAACTCCGTGGTGGTAGCAATCGACTCGTTGTGTTGACTCCGCAACTCGAATGTTCTTGAAGGAAACTTGGCAACAGGCTTGACGTTCGAGGCGCCAGTATCTGAGTTGTATTCGAAAACTTCAGTCTCCAATGTGATGTTGCGATCTGAATCTCCCAAGTTCTCGACGCTCACCTTGAGGTCGAGATTCGCGGTCGTCTGGGACACGTTGGTCGCAATAACTGTCCCCCAATGAGCGACGTGAATGGCATTGGTGACCGTGACCCATACGTTTCGATAGATACCAGCTCCGGGATACCATCGAGAGAAGTCCTCTGTGGGATTCTCCACACGGATGGCAAGCAGGTTGTCGTCAGTATCGTTGCGAAGGTAGGGTGTCAGGTCCAGTTGAAAGGAGTTGTATCCGTACGGCCAACCACCAACAAGATGATTGTTGAGCCAGACCATCGGGTACGACATGGCACCGTCGATATCCAAGAACACACGCTTATTGTCGAGATCCTTCCTATCAATAAGCAGGTTGCGGCGGTACCACCCGACTCCGCCAACAGGGAGACTGCCCATGTCAGTTGAGCCGGCACTATCGTTAGGCTCGTAGAATGGTCCATTGATGGCCCAGTCGTGGGGGACGTTCACAGCCGCCCAGTCGCTGTCATTGAAGTCGTCTTTTGTATATGGAACATCCAGATCTGGGACTTCAGATGGGACTGGGAAGCGACTCCCGATATCCTTGATGAATTTGTTGCCAGAGGGTAGGATCCAAGGCTTCAGAACTTGGAGTCCGTCGCTGCCCGTGTCTGGCCGGATGTCATACACAACCCCGTCTTGGATGGTGTCCCAGTGCTTGAAACGCCACTGGTCGCGAAGTCGAGTTCGTGTTCTGCCACGAGGATCTTGCTGCAGAGGACCCTCAGTGGTGTTCACAGCTTCCACATGGAATGACCGACCAGGTGTTAGGGAAGTAAGCAAGAGGGCTCCAAGAACAAAAACGTTTAAAGTAAGGCGGGGCATCGTGACAAGCGGGATTGCGGTGCGAGCTTGATAACACTCCTAGTCGGAGATGGTGGGAAATCCGTTCAATAAATATTTCGAAGTTCACTACTACTCCTCGTGACACTTTATAGCGTAAATAGATTTCATGTCGGAACACATTATGAGTTTCTGCAACTAGATATCCATGTGAAGTATCTCAGACTTCTAGTCTGATGTAACAAGCGGTCCTATCGGATAATTCCCATCGATTCCCAGATGAATCGACAAGCTGTTCGACTTCGTGTCAATGCTTCGCGTCAAGAGAGGACGAACTAGGCATGACACGGAAGCCCCATGTTCACGTCACTTTTCAGTAGAGAAGAGCCGGCTAGGTACTAGCTCAACTGGTAGTATATAACGTGTTGCTTTACATATGGCACCATACAGTTTGTAGAGGCCCATTGGCGGAGGAATCAGTAGAGTCTGACTGCCAACATCTTGTAGCGAATGACCTAGCTTCCGGGCTATGTGGACTATGCTCCTGCACCGCAACCCTCGACATAACCTTTTTTTGCCTGCGTATATGCTCCGCCATCAAGTCGAGATACACGAGCCGGCTCGTGTGCGTAGGATGGTCCTGATGTAATACCACCCATCTCGTTTCTATTTCAACCGAGGGACACACATTCGATCCGCCAACCCCCAGAGTTAGTGCAACTTGGCTTCCATAATAGGTTAAAGAGAGATGCGGGGAAGGACAGGCTAGAGTTGGAAACATCCAGGTGACAGCTATGTTCTGTGAATTGAACTAGCCTAGGGCTCTTCTCATCCCGCTTCGATTTCCATTGCATAGTATGCAGAAGCAACTGTAAATAACGACATAACCGCTCACATCCACGGAGACTGTCATCAGTTCACCCAGCATCAAAAGGACGATCATTACATTAGACGTGAGACCGCTTTTAGAAGCATGCTCAGAAAATTGACTATTGAGAATCATGTTGTAGACCAATAAGTAGATCGCAGTAGTACTTCGTTGCAAAACAACTCATCTACATGTGGCCAATTTGAATGTATAGTTTCCTGTCCCACCTGGGACGTCTATTGCATTCTTTGCGGGTAGAATGACCGAGCCATGTGTACCTTCAGGAGTGTTCCATTCAATCGCGGACATGCAGTCGCTAACTTCGAACTTGGCCGAGAACTTCCCTAAAGCGGTTGTGAAACCAGCTTGCGCCGAGCTGAGTTCGTCAAACGTGGCTGGTTGAAGAGTCCAGGTCTTTCCAGCAGGCTCCGTTACGCGTAGTCCGACCAGGTGTTCGGTGAGCGTTGAGGTCGGACCGCTGCTCCAGCAGTGGGCATGAGACATGTACGCTGGGCCGTTGGAATACCCATTGTTGTACCTGTATCCCCATGTGCCGTCGATGAGAAAGCCTTCCGGAGTCGTCGACTGCGTGCCGTTTTCATGGTTGAGATACCAGCCCCAAAGAGCTCTCGTGAGCTCCAACGCACGGTCTGGCCGCCCTGCGCGATAATGCGCTTGGAGCTCTATGCTTGAGATGAACGGCGACACGTTGTTTGGAAGTTCCGGGCATGATGGACCAATTGACGTCCATCTCGATGAAAGATAATTAGAGATGCTCTCCGCCTCTTGAGAACTCGTATTCACGAATTCATAAGCAAGAGCTATGCTGTTGGCGTCTTGCGGGTGAAGACTTCTGTCTTTGGGAGCCTCGGTGAATGCTCCCAATTCCTCGTTCCAGAACTGTTTGAGGATTGCCTCCCGTAAGTTTGCAGCTTGATTGAGGTAGTCTTCAGTCAGATTTGAGTCTGAGGTCGAAGAGCTCGGCAACCAGGACGCCATCTTAGCGCCAGTTGTAAGGGCATACCACAGCCTAAGTTGAAGTTCACCAACACATCAGAATCATAATTCCTGAGTATGTTGCATGAAAGGAGGGGATTGACACACAAAAAGCTGGCAGAGCAACGTTCTGTAGTAGATTCAATGCGTCCCCAGTCGCGCGTGCCACGAACACTGACTATGCCCGCAGACGTGATAGTAGCCAGACTGTAGTTCATAGCCGTCTGGTACTTCGGCCAGAGCTCTTCAGCCAGCTCAGTGTCACCCGAGTACAGGTAGTAATTGTAGGCGCCGATGAGAGCCCACAAATGGTAGGCTAAATTCCATGTACTCAGCACCACTGCATGAAGTTCGGAGAGGCCATCTTGACGTACTATCACTGTCATAGACAACATAAGGTGGGCCTGCCTTCGGAAACATGCCATCAGACCTCTAAAGTATGAAAATACTTAGCCCCATGTGCCGCGGATATGACGAGTAAAAATGATTGCGGGAAAACTTGCCTGGTTATCAAAGATCGCTAGAAGAGCATGCTTGGTGCTTTCGAGCTCGCCAGTTCCGACGAAGGCCGAAGGAACGGCTGTGCCCATATCACCAATCCACACGAATCGGTCTCGTTTAGCTCCGTCTAGCAGCACGGTGTCTGCCGTGGTAATCACAGCATTGTTTCTCCAACCTCGAACACTATTGCCCAGGGCGTTCTGGCCGGTGTTGCCTGGTACAGAGTTCGTTTGCACCGTATACGCACCGCTATACCAGATCTTGTTCAGCAACTCGTCTTCTGAGTGGAAATAACCTTTATAAGCTCGCAGGTTCGACCATGTCGGTTGGAAGCTGATATCGAGGGTAACGTTGGTGATGCCGAGAGAAACAACGGTTCCTGGAGTTTCGAGAAATATTGTCAAATACCGGAAGCCACCACGAATCCTCTCATCGGGCATGACATAGTAACCATTCGTGGACGCAGACATGTTTGCAAGCCATGGTCCGTCACCGGGTCTGCCACCGCTACCACCTCTCGAGCTATCTGAATTACGGCCAATGAAGTCTTTGGCTTCTGTGAAAGCCAGGCCAACAGACGCATTCTCGACTCCTTGGAGATCATAGGAAAAGCTGATTATGCCTCCGACTTCGATACCGAAGTCTAGAACAAAAGCCGGGGGTTCGTCTGTCGTGCGGTTAAGCTTGAGATAGGCATCGTTATCGTAGTCGGACATGAACTTTCCATCCGTGTAGGAGAGTACAGATACGGGATGCACTTGTCGCGAAGAAGGAGAGTATATGTTGCTCTCCCAGGGTCCAGGAAATGAAGGCTCGGATGGTCCTAAACAGGTGGTGTCCCTCCAGCAAGATGCTGCAAGAACACTTGAGACAAAGCTTCCCAACGAGAATAATATCAGCATCATAGCTACCAAGCGAGGTATGGACTTCTAGCAAACAAGCTTGAAGATAGATAGTTGGGTGAACGAAGCCGTAGCCCGCAAACTTATGTTGAACGTTCTACAGATTAACACTATAAACGGCCATCATATGATATCATCCAAGAATCAGTTTCTTTCTGCCCTTTGCCATTTAGTAATTGACACGAACCTTCTTCGCTTGAAATTGCCGCGAAGACCGAGACAGTGCGCTGATGCCAAGAACAGGAGAAGTCCGACGACAGGGTATCAGACACGGGCTTAGCCCAGTGTGGAAAATGGAGCTATCCAGCCGTCATAATAGCCTAAGGATTTCCGTACCCAATTACCGCCTTTGTCTACGGGAAGCAATACGGCAATAACAAAGCTATGATGAGTATGTTTATTGCCGTACCGTGAAGCTGATGGTAAGTTTACTCTCGATTATGCCACTCAGATTTCTTTCAGATTTCTTGAGACTTAGGACATTGAGTCATCGGATTTATTCTCTAGACTCGCTAGCTTCTCTCCTCAGTCGGCATCTGATATCTGACAACCGGCTGGGCGTACATTATCTCCAGTCAAGTAAAGGACCGGATCGCGTCGAAACAATGACATAGTCTCGCAAAGCAACGTGTAAGAACTCGCAGTCTTCGGACTTGCTATCTCAAAGCCATATTATTTCGCCTGTTTCTATGCTGTCTCGAGAGGTGGCTGTACAGCTGCCGGTGTCGGCATGTAGGCGTTAGAACGGCTTGCGGCCCCATATCCCCCGGCCTTCCGGTTCGGTCCGCGAGCCGTTGCATGCTCGGAACGAACGCCCTCCGAGCTGTATTCCGATACAACATCGCTCGTGGTTCGGTCCTGTCGATTACACCAACGCAGAGGTACAGGTGTGGAACTCGGGATGTTGGTGCATGCCCTCGGTCAAAATGCTTTGCTTATAAGTAAGGCCGCCCCTCCATGACGCGCAAAACTCATAAGGGCCCAAAATAATGGAACAGCCACGCGAGGAGAATTCTTAACGTTTGAAGTATTGGTAGCGGTAAATAATACATATCATCATTTAAATGTTATCTCCTGGGGGTCCTTCCCCAAAAGTTGTTGTTGACTCTATTCCCTGGAATTCATTCTGCATTTCAGCTTTTGGGATAAGCCTTTCTCATATTAGGTCTAGAAGCCCGGGATCTACACCAAACCGCACTCACACGCGCCCAACCCTTCTTGGATCCGATACAGCTTAGGGGCCGCCCGACTACTCTCCTTGAAGAACGATATGTTCCTCACTGATCTACCGCCATCTCTGGTAGTTTGACAACAGTTTGGTCGCCCTGGTCTGTCTTATTGAGGCCAGTAGTCGAGAGGTTTGACTAGGCACAGGCAAGATGAACTGATCTGAGTGTACACAGTACGGGAGAGCAGGTTGCCATCGAAAAATCTGTCAGATCTTTTCCATCCAAAGACTTACTATTGGTAAAGTATTATTCGATCCCGGGGACCATCGCCGCATTTGCCAAGTCTCATAGTCGAAGATGTGACAGTCTGTTTTGTCTTGAGAGACGGGGAAATCAACGAAGCACAAGTGCTTGAGGTCTGGTAGATCTGGGGTTCACTTGAGTTGATGCAGGAGGCTTTCATTCAGGTCAGCGGTTCCCAACGCGCGGCTTCGGGACTTTTCGAAGCCCGGTATCTCCGGCAATGAAATCTTGATTGAGTCCAATAGAGAACTCTTCTGCAATTTCATTCGCTCGTCTAGGTGTGATTCTCTCAAACACCCCTCAACGTCCGTATCGTCTGGGGGCTTGATGCTACAATACTCTGCCTAATCCTCGACTAGTAATCACTGAACAGGAGATGGTGGTATTCATCTGTATTTTTTTTCTCTCTCTTCTGGTTCAAATTCTCATGTATTAACTAGCCTTAATATAAATACAGCCCTGGAGCCGCCGACTGAGAAAAGTCGATGTGACGAGACATGACTTCGACGTCGCCAAGCGTCTTAGATTTCAAATCGCTTAACCATCGAATGAAGGGGTATCACATTTTCGGCGCGAGTCCACAGTCAAACGTTAGTTCGGCCAAGGCAGACGCCATCGACCGCGACTGGAACAGACTGGAATATCCAGTCGGAACTCCAAGCAGGAATTGTGTGGCAGTGATATCGTGTCAGACTGCGAGAGTCTGCTGTCTTTATGTATTAATTGCCCCCCTTCACTGCGGCCAACCGTCAACGTCGTCGAAAACTACTTTCCAGAACGAGAAACCGCTTCATGAAGAGGCAGCCATCAGGTTACACATAATTCCATCTCCCGAGTGGTTCAATGTCTCTCACCCACCAATCATCACGATCTCCACATCCCCGGTCCTCCGATGCAACCCCGGCTCCTGCGAGCCGTCACATTTCTCGGTGCAAGCCGCCCGAGATTTCCTAATTCTGCACCTTTCTTCTTCGCCGCCGCCGCCTCGCTGCCGACGTTTCAGGGCCACACGTGCCCTCCCTCCAGTCCCTCTCACCGCAACCACGGACGCAAGGATCGTGGCTCCCAATCAATAATGGGCCAGCACAACACCAGACACGCCCAGCAATCCGATTCAGGCACTCCGGATGAATGCCTCCCACCATGGCGCCGCGACCCCATGCGCTCGTGACAGCTGCCGCTCGCGTGGAGGCAAGGGGGTGATATGAGGAAACCGCGGGGAAATGAAAAGTTTTCCCTGCTTCGATGTGATCCAGACTCGGAATCCGGCCCTAGCTTGCTACGCCGGCGTGTCGTCCTGACTCTTTTCACGATGGTGCGATGTCCGACTCAGGCATTCGTAATCATCCAGACTGCCTCATTGGGTGTCTGGTCAATATCAGCTGCCGCCTTTCCCGGTCTGGTTGAATCGACGCGCCTCTTCGGCTCCAGATGAAGCACTATATATGCCGCGCCGCTCGTCTCCTGGAGTGCATTTTGCCTGAACTAGTCACTGCTCATCACCCAAGGCGCCGGGCTCCTCGTTGATCAACTCAAGACGCACCTAATCTATCTTCCCAAGACTCTGAACCTGTTGATCATGGGCAATCTCACCCCTTCTTCCCTCCTCCTGGCCTTGGCGGCCACGGTAGCAGCCCACGGCCACGTGGACTGGCTGGTAGCCAACGGCGTCGCCTACCGCGGTTGGGACTCCCCAGCCTTCACCTACTCGCCTCCCAGCGGCCCGGTCGTCGGGTGGAAGATCGACGCCCCGGACAACGGCTTCGTCGAGCCCGTCAACTTCGGCACCGGGGACGTCATCTGCCACAAGAACGGATCTCCCGCCGGCGGCCACGTCACCGTCGCCGCGGGAACCAAGATTCAGCTCATGTGGAACACATGGCCCGAGTCTCACAAGGGCCCCGTGATCGACTACCTCGCAAAGTGCAGCGGCAACTGCGAGACCGTCGACAAGACGTCGTTGAACTTCTTCAAGATTGGCGCCGGCGGCCTCATTGACATGTCGCTCCAGAACGGCAAGTGGGCTGACGATGTCCTGATGGCGAACAACTTCACCTGGACCGTTCAGATTCCCTCGGATCTGGCCGCAGGAAACTACGTTCTGCGCCATGAGATTATTGCGCTGCACTCCGGCGGCAACGCCAACGGCGCTCAGTCATACCCTCAGTGCTTCAACATCCAGGTCACTGGCGGTGGCTCCCTTGCTCCGGCTGGTGTCAAGGGCACGGCGCTATACAAGTCCACCGACCCCGGCATTCTCTTCAACCTCTACACCTCGCCCCTTGACTACCCCATGCCGGGACCGACGCTGGTTGCTGGTCTTCCCTCGACTGTCGCCCAAAGCACCGCCCGTATCACCGCTACCTCAAGCGCGACTGCTCCCGGAGGAGACAGCGGGAGCAGCCCGACTACTCTGCGCACCACGACCGCTGCAGCGCCGGCTACAACGACTCGGGCGGGAACTGCGACTACCACGGCTGCTGGCGGTGGCTCTGGCGCCACCGTTCCCAAGTACGGCCAGTGTGGTGGTCAGGGCTGGACTGGCGGTACGGTGTGCGCTTCGGGATCAACTTGCTCGAAGTTGAACGACTTCTACTCCCAGTGCGTGTAGAAAATGTCAGTGAAATTCGTGGTGTGGGAAGATTTTCAGGTCTCACGAGAGGGAATTCATGTATATAGTTCCGAACTGTTAGTTCCGTCTTGAATTGGACAACAATCACCCATAAACCATGACAACATGTGCAGCTTGATTTCAGTATCGCTGCAGACTCATCTGAGCCTGTATGAACACGGTTCGTCGCGGTGGTTGAACTTGGGCCCGCAATAGCCGCTTCTTGCTACATCTGGGAGCGATTGCAGTCGAATGACTATGTCAACTGTAAAAAGTAGGCCATATTTCCAGACACCATTCTCACTCGCGTGCTTGTGCTGTAAAGGCGACGAAGTCGTCTTATCTGGCCAACGTCCTGGTCGATAACATGGTCGTTTGAAGAACACATTCAAGACGTCGTTGATGTTCTAAAGGCGCCCATCATAGACAGTTGATGGCATGCTGAGGCAATTTGCTCAGATCCGCGTCCTTCTAGCCCTTCAGTAAAGAATACCCAGAGCCAGAGAAGATGACGATAGGCGAAGTGCGGTTTGGACAAGTTCCAGGCAGCGCATAGCATGTGGGAGAAGCCAGCCCGACTCACTTCCCACATCGGAAGTACGATGGTGAAGCTTCTTTACGCTCTGCGGCTGCTCCGCTGCGTCATCGATACGAGAGAACCGAGTCATGGCTTGGCAGGTCTGCCGAAACGTGGTCATACTCTTGAAGACTAAAAGGTGAAAATCGGCTGTTTTCAATGCCAATAAAGCAGCCGGGCACATTCAATTTCTCCGTGAAGTCTCTAAGAGCCGTTCCGGGTTGGATGAGACATGGTGAGGTTTTATTCTCATAATGTTTAGCGTAGGATATCCAACATCAGTCATGACGCAAAATCAGCACCGATACCTCGAAACTCTATCTCAACCACAGAAAAGTTAGAAGAATTAACAGAACGCAGTGAAGTGGAATTTGTCCGTCTGCAGGAGTACTAAACTGGATGTTCATCACATGTTTATTTGAGGTACTTTTGGAAACCCTAAAGAATGGCCCCCGAATAATGGGCAGTCAGGCCGGGATTTGAACCGACTTCATTACCTATGCACACGGCATTTGCAAATTGGCTTTCGCGAGTAATGAAACTGGAGAATTGCCGCCAATGTCCATAAACAACTTCGTCGCCTTCCTTGGTTGGTCAATTTCCCGTCAACCAGTGGATCCTTACACTTCGTTTTCTCGTTTTCTTGGTTCTGGACCTCTCGCGACGCGAGAAAAAAAGCGAAGCAAAAGCATTTTGCCAAGAAAAAGTATGTCATAGAGCTGGCCTCAAACAGTGGAGTGGTGAACATAACATAGGGCTTTATGACCAATCGAATGTTGTTGGTTGTTAAACAAGCGTCCGCACGCCAACTTCGAACAGACATCGAGTTCTGTCGCTGCGAGGCATTCTGAGATATACAAACCATGTCATATACTCACACATCGTCTTCCCGGATCGTCATCTCCCCCAAGAACACCGGTCTCTGGGCGATTGACCAGGATGAAGACGCTGCTCGTCGTACAGAGGAGGTTCTCAAGAAGGATTTAAACGTAAGAAACTCCCCAATAGCGCTTCCGCTGACAACGCAGTCTGACCTTGATGAGATTGACTAGCTTCATCACGTATTCCTGAACCGAGTCGGTTTTCACGATCATGTTTGTCAACCCCTCTTGTGTGGGTGTCATGGTACGTAGGGAGCATCTCCGGCTGACATGGAAACAGGTGCTCCATCACGTATTAGCACTCTACGGCACAGGGGCCAACGCGAAGCAGATTGAGAGGGCTTTCGACTTGCGACACGACCTACAGCGCCCCGTCGAACCTCGTCATGACGAGATTATAAGAGACATGCTGAGAGACGAGAGCGCTGCTTCGAAGTACCTAGGTGATGAGAAGTATTACCCGGACTTCCTCGCATACTTCCAGCACAAGATCGATGCTGGCGGTTACGAACAAGTCGTGCGCGACACGTTGCTGAGACGCGATGCCGCGTCCGACGACATGCTGCTCCGCCTCCACGCAGGCGTGCTGCACCCGTTGATCCAGCTCATGTATGGTCTTGAGTGGAAGCAACCGGCCATCGTCGCCGAGGCACTCGCGCAAGCATCCGTCCACGAGGTTGAGTCGCTCGACGAGCTGCTGCTGCCCAGCGAGCGCGACGCCGAGGGCAGCCCGCAGGGTTCGCGAATGCCGGCCGTGATCGATCTTTACGAGGAGATTCGGACCTCTTCTGCTTTTGAAGGCGCGGCTCGGTTTCGAGATGAGAGCAAGATAAGAGACGGCATCCTGCAGAGGGCCAAGGCGCCCATGCTTGCCCTGTTACGAAGGGTGCGCGTCCAGGACGACGAGTTGGAGGAAAGAACAGCTGAGATGTTTCACGCTGCGATCCTCGTTGCGTCCAGTGCGGCCGTACATCCGCCTCACCATGTCAAATTCGACTTCTTCCTCATGTAGGTCTCCAGCTCATGTCTTTCCGTCGTTTCGCTACCGTACCCTAATGCTCAGCAGGCACCACATCAACGCCGCAGTCATGTACCTGACGACGCTCACGCAGTCGTGGCTATCACGGGAGGACAAGAGGCGCCTGCTGGAATGGAAGATCCGTATGGATCTCATTGAGTACACCGCTCGCGGCCGGACCGCCATTGATCTTGGCCGCATCACCTCCTACAGCCCCAAGGTGACCGGCGAAAGCTCGATCAAGAGTAAGTCGCCCGTCGGAAGACAGACGCCAATTCATCGCTGATTTGTGACGTGACAGAGATCGGGAACCGCCTCCACGACTTTGGCGACGACGGCCACGGAATCAAACAGGCGCGCGCGACGGCACTGTGTCACGAACTGATGAAGCGGTACGAGGACAAGCCGTGGGCTGTGTTGAAGGGGGATGAGGTCTGGCGGAAAATCCAGCATATGGTTGTCGACGCTCTCCAGGCGCCGGGGCCGCTATACGCGCGCTCCGCCGGGTTCGAGGAGGCCTGGGAGGATGTTCCGCCGCAGTCCACGCCGCGCCGGCCCGACGAGGAGCTGCGTGCTTTGCAGACAGGCAGCGGCAGCTCGGCTGTCGCTCTGGCGTCGGCATGAGTTGACGTATGTAAGCAATGTTAAGTCTCAAAGGGCTGGCATTATTCCCGCAAGACAGAAATGCCGTCGTTGCGCACGAACTGCTCGAAACTTTGGAGTTTATGGGCTCTGTGTCATTACCGAAAGCTGCATCAGTTGCCAGGGGTTCTGCTCCGATGGACTAGGCTGCAAGCTCGATTGTTCATTGTAGATATCCCAAGGCATCTAAGTGTTAGCTCCTCTCATGCGAATGCGGCCCATGACTTATGAATATGGCAATCCGGTCATTCACTTGACAGAGAGCACGAGTCTAATGAACGCCGTCATGTTCCGCATGAAACAGTTGACGACTGAAACCACATGCAGATATCATGCAACTCGTGGGTAATGCGGCGACTTTGGGACAGCGGGATTGCGGTTCTAGCAGTCTGTAATGAATACTTTCGAGACGAAGATGAAGGACTATGAGCGAGATGTACGAGTCGCCGGACTAACCAAGATCCAATATCCTCCAGACTTGATTTGCCCGGCGGTAGGTCGCCTCTCTCTGTGGCCTAATGACATCCATTACTACCGGCCAAGCGCCAAAGGAATCCTTGCGGTGCGAGCTTGTGCTCACTGTTGTAGGGAGAGTCTTTAGATCCGCGTATCGTCACCCTTTAAATAGCCTTTAACGAGCGTCTCATCTTCGAGCGCATTCTGAGAGGTATCATGACGCGTGTACTAGAAGTAGGACGGAACAAGAATTCCATGTTTGATAATCCACCAGTTGACTCGAGTTCGCAAGCACACGCCCACTTCACATATATACGTTGGCTGGCCGTGGAACGCCGTGCGTACTCCAGATCCTGCTCTTCGCCTAGCATTCATCACGACTATAAGTGAGCTGCTCGGTGTTTTCAATTTCCGACTTCTCCAGGTTGCCGGCTTTGTCTTCGAGTGTGCGATGTTTGGAGGTGTTGCTACCACGGCTTCTCTTGCAGTGGCTAGCTGCATATTTATCAACGCAGCAAACCACATTGTGACGACTCGATCAACGCCAGCGCAGTCATACACCATCAACGTATATACTTGAATAAACCAAAGACAAGAGAGAAGATCCAAAGAGACGGGACACGGTTGACACGATGTCTTCGTACACAGATCAAAATGAAGATTCAATGCCAGACTGAAGACATAGTCCTGGGTATGTTAAGACCAACAACAGAAGAAGCCACAGGTTGCGTCAGGGTGTCCGGTTCTGTTGGAAGACCAAATCGGATCTAGGACTATGCAGACGATATTTATATCTCAAGTCAAGATCAGGAAAGCCACATCTTTTCGCAAACAACAGAACCGCTAACTCGACAAACCCTTTGCCTCCGTCAAGAGTCTCCATCTCCCCGTCATCAGGTTACGTCTGGTGGGACTAAACTATCTCAAGCTCGAATATAAAATAGACTGCTAATCACTATGAAAAACTCAAAAGAAGCAATCCTGTGGCCATACTTGCAGTTTTCAAAAATTGCTAGTGTTGTTGCTGGTGATTCCGGTGCTACCTGCGTACCACCACACCTCTCCATCCCTCCGCGACAATATCCATAGTCTTACGAACAGACCGCAATCACCAACCGCACAATCAAACACCCAGTAGAATACTATGTAATACTGCAAGAACAGAAGAAACACCAGACGACGAAACGCTACAAACACTGTGCCATCTCACATCACCATGAAAACTTTCGACCCCGTGTGGGATTGAGTACATGTAAAGAGACTCGGATTCGGATTGAAACTTGACACTGCTGAGTACAACAAGTTGAACTGCTTGCTTGAACACTCTTCAAGAGGCGCATGAGGCAGTCTTCTTAAATACACCACGCTCATACTTCCATCAACCTCCCCATGGGTTACGTTCGTACACGAGCCCGACGAGCAAGCGCGCCAAATACAGTGAAAAGCCGAGCACTCAGGTTGTCGTCGAGGAGATTATCTCCTGCCCTAGACATCTATTCAGAGACTTCCACCCATGCGCAGATCATCCCAAGACCAACACCATCTCCCTCCCCAATCACGAACTCCCATCTCGACTTGATCCTCCAGAACCTCGCCCCCACCAAACGGTCGCAGAGTAACACCACAAGTCGATCCTCCAACGCGCACAACCTCAAATAACCGCATTTCCGCGAGGCAGTCGTCAGCTCCGACAAAGCTGAGGCTCAAAACCCCGGCCAAAGGACACAAAGTCCAGACCTCGCGACAGGTCGTCGTCCTCCACCGCGACAAAACCCTCCAACGTGACCCTGCAGATGTCAATCACGGCGCAGGGTGTGCGAAACCCACATCGACAGGTCAGTCTGATCCGTTTGATCGGCCCGCTCGGACGTTCGGGAGGGTCCCCCGCCCCGTGGCCCCCGTCGTAAAATGACGCACGCAACGCGACCACAAACAACTGTCGAGTCAGCTCAAAACAAAACAATGCGAATGGAAACAGGACGGTGTGCGTGTGTGTGAATGAACAGATATAAAAATTATCATTTCTGACTGCCGAGCTGGCCGCAAGTCCACCGCCCGCGGTCCATGGCAAAATTCTAAGAATTGCATGCGAAGTTGGTGGACTCGGGCCGCTCATGATATGCGGATGCTGAGTCTCCTTGCAAATGTCCAACGACTTCTCGGTCGCAAACCCCCCTTTTGTGTGTGGTGAGGTCCAAGGACCACCAATGATTTGTATCCAACGAACAGTCCTCCCGTGTTCCCTACCGTACGCCGATAATGATAAAGAAAAAAAACACGAGTCTTGCCCAGAGTAACGTAGATGAATGTCCAAACACCGAATGCCGAAAATGATAGAAACGCCGTCTCGTAAGCCGTTGAGGGATAGTGTTGAAGAGTAGTCCTACACAGTCCGGAGATGGGTCCATCACGTCCTTTGAGTGACAGTCCACTTCTTCTTCTCCTTGGGCTTCTCCTCGTACGGGGCAGCTGCAGGCCCGGGCATGAATGATCCGGGACCAGTAGCCAGACCAGCGTTGTTGACGTCGACGCCGGAGCCAGCAATGATGCCGCTGGGGCCCTTGTGAGCGTGCTTACCAAGCTCATACATGCGGTCCTTTCTCCTGAGGTAGCGGCGGCGCCAGATGCAGGCACCAACCCAGATACCGGCGATGGCGACGACGAGAATGACGAGCATGACTACCCATCTCCAGTGGTTGGAGAGCCTGTGAAAATGGTCAGCGAATGAAGATGACCTAGCAGCAATACACTCACCAGTCTCCTCCGTTTCCACTATTGCTAGAACCTTTGGATCCGCTACTCGTGCTGGTAGCAGAAGCTGACGACGACGTCTGGACGGCGCCGTCGACAGCATTACACATGCCGGTGAACCATCCTTGAATACTGCTGAATCCCGCGGCGTCACAGCCAGCGTATTCACACACACCGGTGGCAGCGGTCTTCCACGGCTGCAGAGCCCCGAAACTGCAGAAGCACTTCTCGTACGTCGTTTCGTCGGCCTGTGCGGCAGCGGGAGGGACGCAAGCGCCGTTGGCATCGAAAAGCACACCGCATTGCTGTGCACAAGACGGCAGCTGCGCAAAGGGCATTATCGTTGTCGTAGGAGTAGCTGCATTGCGTTAAGATTCGTCCATCACACGAGGCTCCATTAGCGAAAACTTACACATTTTGGCGACGATGACAAGGCGTCAAGTTTGTTAGAGTCGAAAGTTGAAGATGGAAAAGGAGGCTTCGTAGGGATTTAAAGGTAGGTGTTCAACCGAAATGGCCAAACAAGACAATGGAATGCGGAGACAATGGGAGCAATAGAATAAAATAGCTCTCAATTGCAGCAAAACACCGCAAGTGGCACGAAGGCAATATTGAGCCACAATCCAGCGAGTCGGGGACGGATTATTGGCTGCGAGGTAGGAAGAAGCGAGACCCTTCTTGGGGGTTCGGTTTTTGTGTGGAATGAGTCGAGGCGAGAAGATGCTTTCGAGATATGCACTGACGAATTGGCCGATGCGCGGCAGCGTTATGTTTTCGTCCGAAGCCCTGGGAATGTCTTGCAGTATTGCTCTGTGCAGCTGCCGTCCCAGCTTTCTGCCACGCAGAGTGCTTCAAAGCGTTGCTTTCCGGTTGTTTGATGCAGGCGGCAGAGAAAGCCAAGTTCCTTCGTTTCCGCGGGCGGAATTTCGAGGATGTGTATACAGGTCGCGACTGCTGTGTTTTTGGATTGACTTCGGGGTCGCGATTTCGAGTGCGATGTAAATTCGAAGGGGCGGCGGTTACTCGTCACCAGGGGTGTTTCGTTCGGCTCGGTCTTCGGGAGGGTGGGATCGTGAATAGTGAAGCGAGATTTCGTGTCAGGCGGCGCCCCGAATACGGTATGATTGATCCTTCGTCCGGAAATGCACAGTTGAGGCGGGAAAGGGTGGCCGTCGACAGCGATGATATTTTGGGATTTGTCCGTAAGCGTCGGTCGGCGAAGCTGGAGATGTCGATAGAATGTCGGAAATGTGTAGATGTCGGTCGGCAGCGAGCGTGACGTGGTGTCGGTTGTTCCTCTTGGACCTCGTCGTTTGGTGACAAAGCGAGTGTGTGGAGGGAAGAAGGAGGCGGATCGGAGGGACCGGATTGATCGGGAGAGTCAGAAGACGTCTTGTTCGTGCTTGGCGGTGGTCGGTATTGAAGATGGGGTGAGGAAGAAGAGTTTTGAGAGACAAGAGGGAGCGGAGAGAAAGGAAGGAAATCGGGTAGTGATGACTGAATTGATGGGAATCGACAGGCAAAAAGCAAGAAATCACGGTAAGACAGCAGGCAAATGGCAGCCGGGCCAAAGCCAAGGACCGCCGATGGATCGGATGGTACGACCCAAACCTGATCAAGTACCCTTCACGGTTATTTAGTATGGGAGAGTACTTGCGAAGCGCCAGCAAAACAGCAGGAGACTGCCCTGAAAAAGAGGAGGGGGAAAGGAGGGTCAGCAGGGGAGGTCGGCTGCGTGGGAGACAAGGGAAGCGCTGCGGCAACAACGGGCTCTTAGGCCTTGATTCAACCAGTGGCTGGCGACAATTCAGCGTCCGGGGTCCCAATACCAGTTTAGCGCCGTCCCGGGGGCATCGACGACCGCTGGATCTTCCCGCCAGGTTTACAGCTCGGGTTGGGGAAGGCGGGACTCTGAGGGAAGTACGTACCTTCTATTCCTTCTCTCATCTTCCATTGCTGCTGGGAAGGAAGTCGCGACTCACTACGGCCTTCTTTCCCTCATGTTCAACTTAGGAAGGACATCGTCAAATTCTTCACTTCCTCTTCAAGTTTCGTCCGTCATCCAAACAACTCTTGCTCTTCGCTCTGACTGCGGCAATCCATCGGACTGGCTGGCAGACGCCAACCAACAAGTCGCACGAACCGGGCTGTGCATGTGCAGCAGTGCCTGTGCTGTTGCAGCGGCCGGCTTGATGGAATGAAGACGCACGACAACAACACTGCCAACGCCAACAGACCAGACTGGGAAACCTCCAAGACGGGACGAAGCCAGCCACCTTTTCTTCGACCACCTCTACATCTGCATCCGATGCCTCGCTGGTGGTGAGAATGGCCCTGGCCTTGGCTATCGAACACGCCATCAAGGCACCTCTGCGGCGCAGGGCGTTCGCCATGGCTTGCTGTCCTGTCAACATTGTCGACAACTACACTTGGGCTTGCAACCTTCTTCTGTCACTTCTTTGTGAGAAAATCTGGGCAAAAAGGTACCCGTCCAACTGCTGAGATCCAGCCGAGAAGGGCCAAACGTGCCACACGTGGTTAAGAGGCACCAAGCTAAAGACTCTACCAAACGACGACGCCAGAGACGAAGACTATCATCCCGTAAAACACTCAACAGCGACTATTCTCTTCAGCAACGCAATCGGCGCCTTCCATCAACCGCTCTCCCCATGTCAACCGCCCAGCTGGACAGGCAATAGCATCCATCCAGTGATGCAACGGACCAGACGGAAAACGGAAGCGTCCATTGGTACAGGGGGGTGGCTGGTGCTGATGTGGATGCCGCCTTACCCTTCCTGGGCATTTCTTCTCCAATATTCCTGCAGCAATTATTGTGGGAATTTCGCTCCCAGGGACCTTCGGGTCGAGAACAAATGAATACGACGGGGGTCAGAATCCGCAAAAAAACGGAGGAGTCGTGTCTTCCATTGTGTCTTGGGTCCCAAACGCTCGTCTCTCTGTCTCAGCGCCCTGCAGAGAATGCAGCCAGAGATCAGCGAGGGAGAAGGGAGGACACGCTGGATCTGACGCTGGAGCTGCAAACACTTTCCGTCGTCCTGGGCCACTCTTTCGCCCTTCATTCATTCAGTCCCGACACGATAAGGCAAGCCGCACCCCTTCATTCCCCACCGTTTCCAACTCCCGCTCGACCTCCTTGTCGGACAAAACACTGAAACTGAGGCGTAAAACTGCAAAGGGGATCCCTCGACGGGGAACGGAGGCGGTTCCACGTGGAGAAGGGGCTTAACGAAAACACTAAGAAAAGGCCAGAGGGCAAGGGCAGACTTCTCAAGACAAAACACGACGGCCAGATGGCACTATCGACTCTTGATTGCCCAATGGGTCTTCCTCTCGTTCCCTGGAGGATGCTAAGCTGCTAACTGAGGACGAGGTATCACCACTGTGCCACCAACTCCAGCCGGAGCGCTAAAAGAGGAACCAGAGCTTGCTGGAGCTGGAGGGAAAACAAGAGCCCAGCAGTTCGGAGCAGCCAGGCACATCATTTGTGCCGTAAACTCTGTTCTCCCGCGCTGCTACTCAATTTCCCTTCCGTCTGAGCGAATGGCGGCCTCTGATTTGCTGACGTCATGCACACCACACACCAACAGTAGTGAACGTGCTCATTTCTGCCTTTATGCTTATGCTTTTTGCCTTCCTGGCTGCAGGGCAAAAATCAAAAACAAGCGCAGGGAACACTTGATGAAGACGCGTTCAATTGGACGAATCTTGGACGAGTGGACGGAACGAAAAACCTTCGTTCTTCTGCAGCGAACCACGCCGCTTATCTAAGAACCTACACACCAACATCTCAATCTGGAAACGGCATGGCCAGGGAGGGATGAATCATCCCAAAAATACACTCCAAAGTCAGCCAGATTACGAACGCACACAACTTGTCAATCTCGCCAACGCCCGTGTCCGAGCCAAAGTCAATTCACACATTGTCGACCGAGATCATAATCATCGACCATTCACGTCTCGGCCGCGTCCGTTTACCGGACATCTAAATCGCAACCAACCCCCCGGACATTCCATCTTCCCCGAAGGTCTTGGCTTTCGCGGGGAACCATAACAACAAATTGATGACGCTGCCACAGCTGCTTTGGCAGTTACCAAGACGTCGCCAAGGTGAGCGGTCGTGCTCGGCGCCGCTTGGGGGCGCGTCCGGACTCGATAGCCGAGAGAATCAGCAAGGAATACGGGCTTGACTTTCCTTGCACATGCAGTCGATCCCGAAAGAAACAAAATGCTGTGTTTGATTTTCTTGATCCCAGCCCGGGGGTCGGATAAGGAAAGATTGCAAAAAAGAATGAAGATGGGCCCTTGGCTCATTCACCATCATCATTCGGCCCGCGCTGTGCCTATGAGAGACGTGGCCGCCAGCCAGGCCAGGCACCATCATCTCGAAGACAGCTGGCTCAGACTGCGTTCTCCGACACGTCAAATCCTCCCTCAGCTCCTTATGCAGTCATCGAAATTTCCCACACCACATTGCAAGCCACAGGTACTTAACCTGCCAAGTCGTGGCTTAGCTGAAGGTTCGACTGGCTCTCTTGGCACTTGTCATTCAATTTTGGCCAGCCTCCGCCGCGAATGCGCGGATATTAGTCTGGAAGTAAGTGTGCGTCGCAATCACGAGAACCCGACACCGTAGAACCCAACATTCTTGCGCCTGCCCCGTTCCCGGCACAACACCGGGCGCGAACCCCGGGCTTCTGTGGGGCTAGGCCCGAAACGCGGCCGGGTCTCCGGGTGTCAGGTGAGCCCGGGACTGACCACGGCTATGAGTCGGGACGATCATGGTGAATTGCTTGAAATTGTGTATGCGAATTGTGATAGACTCCCCAAAGCAGCATCATAATCGCGCTGAGAGGTCCTTCAGCGATGTGGGCATCAGATTGACGTGCAAGCCTATCGTATCGTGTCCGCAGATCTCTATATATTGACCGTCTCCCGGGAGACTGCTGTCCATACGAACAAATACAATCTTGCCATAGACGGGTTTTCCGGGTTTTATTTGTCTTATCACCAGACTCTGAGATGAAGAAGACCAATGCAGTGCGCTTGCTGCAGTCTTGCTCATTGATCGCACAGTGTCGTATCACTGTTGTCCGATACTCGTCGTCGAGTATGAGCAGCCTAATACTCAGACTGTTAAGTCGACGGGTGGGATTCGCAGTGGGATCGAGAAGGTCTTGGTGGCTTCACCGTGTGTGCGTGTGGTGTGGTCGATGCAGTCTTTGCCCATTCACATTGTCACACTACCGGAGCAAGTTTAGGGAAGAAGACAGGAACGCAGACGGGGGCGTGTGATATTGACTTTTAAACCATGTTTATCACACTTAGCGTCAAATCGATCTTAGACTGAAGCCTGTGAAGCTTGTTTCTTCCATGATGAGAAGTTAGCTCGAACTTCAGTCGTGTGGAAGGAGGGAGGGCCAAGACGACTGGAGACTCTTTCCTCCCAGATGACTCGAGTGGTGGCAGCCTCAAAACACTTGGCCGAGCTTAACAGGCCTTGAGTTGTTTCCTTAGTCGACTAAAATTCGATGAAGTGAGATAGGTTGGAGTGGTATTTCCAATTCGCTGGATTCAATATTTCCATGTAAGTGTACGGCTGGTGTAAGCCGCTACTTGTCGCATTCGGAAGGGAATGTAATGGATGATCTTAGCAAGGAGCTCGATATTTTTGAGGTCTTGTGTGAATCTGATTTACTTGAACAGTTTTCTTTGGTTTCTTTCCTCACACCAAACATTAGCAATAGAGCCGCCATCAGTTTGGAAAAAGGATGACAAGCCGATGAGCCAATTCACAACTGCAGAATATCCATCTCATGGGCGAGGATTTCTCCAGATTGTATGCAGGCATTGCGTCCAGACACAACCGTCACTGTTACCGGCGAGCGACTAAAAATCGTGGGCCCAGAGAAAGTCTATTGAAAGAACCGTCTAATCTACGAATCAAGAAATCTAAAAACCAAAGAAAACACTCGACACATTTTGACATCCTCCATATCCCCACATGATTCCCCTCCCCGCTCCTCAACCCGCACCTCTCTCAGCGGCGGTGCTGAGATGTAGCATACGTAGCAGCGGCCCCCGAGCCCTGGCTCGCCCCGGCGTAACCCGCAGCCGAACCGGCCGCGGGGACCTCTCCGATGTTGTTGAACGGCTCCTGCCACGCCGGCTCCGTGAGCCACCGGCCGACGGGGTAGTTGCCGTTCGAGCCCTGGGCTGAGCGTTGGCCGCGGTCGAGCGTGGGGTCTTGCCAGGACCGGTCGACTGGGACGGTGCTCTTGCTCTTGGAGCTGGAGGACTTGCTGCCGGAGCCTGGTTTTCATGTCAGTTTGGGATTTTGGGTGGGTTTTGGATGGGGAGATGTCACATACTCTTGGACTTGGAGGAAGATTGCTTGGAGGAAGATTTGACCATTTTGGCGGTTGAGTGGTGGGGAATCGAGTTGGAGTTTTGGGTGTTTGTTAGATTGTTGGAATTGGAACCGTATTTTGTAGCTGGTTTCTGTGTTCGTTGTGGTATTGTAGTCAGGTTTGTACTGTGGTTGTTGATGATGATGTTCCTCTCATCCTCCTGAAGCGAGAACTTGGTCACCATTTATACCAGTTCATTATTGCGATTCTAAAATGCTCTGACGATCAAGACTTCAGCTCAGCTACACGATCCTACACAAAGGACTTCCGAGGAGTTCTCGACAACGGGATAGTTTCACATGTGCTCTTCAACACCCGATGTATTCAGGAACCCGCACATAATGCAAGTTTCACATGGCGTTCTGTGCTGCCACCCTGGACCCATGGAACATCAACATCGATGAACACAGCTTCTGTCGTACTGCGCTAGTTGCTTCTAGCGGACGAAAGGTCAGACGATAAATAATATCTGTCAAGCCAAAGTTATTGAGATTTGGGGTCGGTATTCCGAAGCCCAGAAGATCATTGCATGTACAATGTGGACACGAAGCATATCAGCAAGTCGGAATCGTCACCGGAGAGGCACATGTGGTCTTTTGGCAGTGACATCTTGCTGCGGGAGAGTAGTCCCTGTTCCACTACTCCCACGCCGAAGGAGGTTTGACACCGTCTGCTGGTCAACATTAACCTTCCTCCTCCGACGGGAAAATGCAGAACCCGTATTGCTGCCGTTCGACAAAGATATTGAATCCGCTCCGCCCGCCCGAGACATGATGCACGCTCGGCAGCGAGCCTCTCGGGCAGACTTGCGTCTGACTACCTCGCGAGAAATACATGTGGCACGAGGGGCACGAGGGGCACGAGGGTTCAATAAACATGGCCACATGTAGCCCATCCGCGGAAGATTTTCGCCACGGCCGCTGCCGGGGCCGACCTAATCTCGCGACGGCTGCGCGCATATGATTGCATGACCTGGGACCCAGCCGAAAGGGCGATTGCATCGATACGGAGTCACAGAGCGCCCCCCTCTTGGAACGAGTCCCCGTTTCAACTTTCTCAGAGTCTGTACGCTGTGAAATTGGGTGACCCTCGAGGGTTGCTTTATGATGTTGGGATACCTGAGAGGAACCGACGTCACGACGATGAGGGTGAGGAAGTGTCAAGTCGGGATACGAGTCGATATATCTCGAACGGACACCTCAGAGATGATACCCGCCCCTGAAGATCAAGTTCCCACGTGGTAGGAAATCAACCGCTGAGCGATGAGGTTGCACGTCGCGTGGCACGGCGTCTACCCGTTCAATCAATACCATACTTGAAAGGCTTCAAGCCCTTCAGCCCCTACGACATGCCAGGGACGAGATGGGTTGATTTGCATACGTCGATTAAATGGATCGGCAAGGCATGCCTTGGAAAGATGGGAGTTTGAAGCAATCGTGGCACATGCTGTGCTACTGGACTGCAATTGCTGGACGTGACGATGACGGATATTTGACTTCTCATCACAGTATATCCCCCAATCGGAGAGGCCGACATGAAAGCTCAGAGATCAGAAACATTTGAAGACTAAAGATACGGAGATACGTAGATCAAAATGTGTTCTCGAATCCGTCGCCGACGCCCCCTTTACGTATCCACCAGCCCTAATTCAACTGAGACATCGCGCGTCGTACGCCATGTCAGTGTATCACGAAGAAACCGACAGCCATGGAAATCACCTGTCAGGTCATTACCTTCCAGCCACAGTTGCGCAAAAGATCCAGCCCCTGGTGGAAATCGCCATACTCTTGAGCATCAGCTGGCTTTTCACATAAGACTCCCCTGGGAAAGAGGCGCCCTAGCGGCCAGCTCCCACGTGCGGTGTTACCAGAAACACATGGTTTTCTGGCAGAGGCGTTCGTGACGGCCCCTCGCAATGCCTGAACCACGAGACAATCGAAGCGAGCTGGAATGCTTCTACGTTGTTGTCCTCCTCGAGAGAAGCTTTTACCGAAATTTGACGGGTTCGAGGGGCCGACGGGTGTTCCGAGAAAAGAGCTCAGCTCTACGGCTGAGGGCTTCAAGGTCTGCACGACTTCGGCACTCAACATCACTTCGAGACGCCTCGATCTGTGTCTTCGTGAATCATGGGTCGAACTTTGGCGAGAAACTCCTCCAGCCCGGCTAGCATTGCCTCGGGCTCTTCTAGAGCCGGAAAGTGTCCTCCCTATGAAGCTAGTCAGTCGCAAAAAACATATGATGGAGCGGGTTTCTTTAGTTACCCTTTCATAATCCTTGTAGAAGATCAGGTTGGGGAAGGTCTTCTCGACCCAAGCCTTTGGGGCTGGCACCAGTTCGAAGGGGTAGTTGGACACTCCGAACGGCTTTTCTGCGGGGAAGGGAATGCTGGCTGGAAAGCGGTTCGAGTAGATGCAACGTGGATAGGTGTCCGTGGCCCAGTAAAGGGTCACGTTCGCGAGGATGGTGTCAATTGGCGGGGGATCTTCCGCCCAGTCACAGAGTTTCTCGCCAATCCTATTAAAAGCTGGTCAGCTTGGTTGAGGTTTAGAATCACAACGTGAGAGTTGGGGAAGGATTAATGTAGGACTCGCTGACCATGCTAACAGAGACAACGGGTTGGATGCGACAGTGAATCCAACAGTGCCGGGCTTGGTCTGGTGCATAACAGAGTATCCAGTCCCTGTGGCGAAGAAGGCTTGGGCATTGGCAATGCGTTGCTTATCTTCCTCGGTGTAGCCTTCCATGTCGTTTGGAGGGGTTTCTTTAGTGGCGAAGAGACCATTCACTGAAGCAATTCACATTTAAGCCTGCGAATATCAAGACGGGCAAAGAGGGAGAGAGGGGAATCGACATACTGTGAAAAGCTTTACATCCATCAAACGTCTCCGCTAAGATTCTGGAAAGCAGGGTGCCAACGTCGCCGCCGTGAGCTATGTACCTCTCGCCAAAACCCAGTTGGACCATCAATTGGTTGAGAATGTTCGCCGCATCGTAGAAGTCGAACTCTGCCTTCACAAAAACATCTTCCTCAGAGGCCGCCGAGAATGACGAGAAACCGTAGCCCGGTAGGGAAGGGACGATGATGTGATAGGGCAATGTCTCCGGGGTGTACTTCCTTTTCAGAAGTTCAAGAACGGGCAGATACTCCATGAAGCTGCCCGGAAATCCATGAAGGACGACGACTGGCAGAGCATCTTTACGGCTGGAGAAGAGGCCAAGAAAGTGAAGATTGTAGTCAATGCCTTGCGTCCACTTAAAATCCAGATCCGAGAGCGACTGGGTTGAGATGAAGTTGGGTATCGCGTTGATGCGTAATTGGTGAGAATGCCACAAGAATACGGACGGGTCTAGCCATGCCTCTCTGGCCTCGGATAGCCATTTGTGAGTCGTCCCAAAGGCTGGTTGAGTGTTTTCCCACGTGGCGGGACCGATCTTGGATAATTGAAGGAGAGACCGGAGAGACGCGAGGAATGATGAGGGAATGTCGACTGTGAAAGGGGTGACGGATGAAGAAGGGTATGGAGGCGTCGAGAAGGATGGTGACATATTGAGTGTCGGGCGTAGGAAAGCAATGCTCTTCTCAAGATGCTTCAATAATAGTTTGAGTTCGACATGAACTTGACCACAAAACCATATATCCTAGGTGAATTCAACGATTTATATTGGGAGTGCAGCGTAGTCTTAGAATAAACTGCTAGGCGCCGCATCTTCATCTTAACCCTGAATGTTGCAACGAATGAGCAAGGTTAATTAGATCACATCAGTGCCAGGAAGGAAGGCCAATCGTTAGGAAGAAAAGCAATGCATGGTTGTGGCTTAGTCCACTCAGTGTTTCGAGAACAGTGCTTCGTTGTCGAATATTCTAAGTTGAGAAATATTACCGCTTTTAGGCCACGGTGAGCTTGCTGTGAACCAAACGAATGACGGCGAGCGTAAGCCCGAGCATGGAGTCGGAGATGCGGGGCCGAGTCTGCCGTTAGAGTGGAGCCCGTTCGGGTCATGCGTGTCCCGAACATGAGATGAACTTCCCTTTTCGTCAGAACCATTTTTGGCAAAAGGTCCAGATGTGGAACTAACTCTTGGAATTCAACATCACACTTATCGATCTATAAACATTTGACGCCATTTGGCATTCTGGATTACTATCACCAACACATGAAAGAAGCAGGCATATTTGGAACAACCCTCACTGCCGGACATCTCAGCACACTGCTGATCATGATAGATGCACTTTAGCGTTCAGTAATCCGATTATGATTTGTCACATTGATTCATGTTATCGAAGATCTCCCGCGAGCTCACGGAGGCGAAGCTTCTTATCCGAAGTCAAGCAGTTCATAGGCAAGCCAAGACACTGAGCAGATCATCTAGCTCAGGGGAACCCTGCAGCACTACATAAGATTAGTCGCACCTGGACTCAATCGTACTCGATGCTTAGCACAAGATCTAGCACCAACTGAGCATGGGAGCTCGCGGGAATAATATCGTATGTGACACCAATCCCGTTGAAGGCTTTTCGGTATTCACAGCACCTAGCACCCCCATACCTACCAAAGGGACCTTGTGGGGAAAGAAATGACAGGTGTCTCCCTTCTTGCGATTCGTCCACACGATCCGTCCACACAAGTGCCGCAGCTCGGGATGGCTTTGAACCGTTCAAATTTGTCCGCTAGAGATTGGATGTTTCGTTTGGTTTACTTGTATCTGTCACTGTCGATCACGACGTCGTCTCGGTCGCTACAAAAGGACTGGACTTGAGAGGCGCGGCGTCTCTCGCGTACCTGTCTTTCAATACCTTTGTGTGAGGTTTCCAGCTATTCATTGGTCATTCATGAATTGTGGCGCACTTGAAGCTCTCCACATCGCCTTGCCTCGAAAATGTTAACTCACGAAGATCTCAAAACCATTGGCAAGAGGGTCGGCACGTAGAGCCACGGTAATCGTTTGATTGGGCAACAAGCGTCTAGCGCGGCTGACTATAACGTCTAGTCGAAGGCGGTTTGATCCGGGGTGCCGAGGGCACGGACGAACGCCCTTAAGATCGACAAAGAATGAGATAGCAACATGATTCGGGACCCCTAAACTTGTCGGAGTTGTGCCTTGCGAGAAGTTTCTCACTATGACAAGGAGGCGTTACGCAAGTGGAGGGGGGGTTCGATACTCGGCATAAACAAGTGGATTTGCTGCTCCAGGCGAAGCTGTGCGTGCGGCTGCATCACTTCCGTATTAGATTGCCAAGCACGCTATTGTTTGACGGCCCCTAAAGATCTTGAATGTTCGATCAAATGTTGCCGATGCCAATGGTCTACGATTTGACTGCCTTCTAGACTTCACTTTTGCCCTTCCCTTTCCCCCGAGCATCTTCAAGATCTCCATGTTTGAAAAGCAAACGAATTCCCGTCTCGCTTCCTGCTAAAAACAAAAGAACTGGGAAAACATCTCTCTCGTCATCCAACCCGACACCATGGACCCTGCTGCACTGGCAAGTCTTACTATTTACAATCTTCCGCCATCGCCACCAAACTTCGACAGCTTAGGTATCTTCTACCTCACCTTCTGCGCAACATGGACAGCGCTTGTCATTGCGGGTATGGTCTTCTGCTGGGTGAATCGTCGAAGCCCAATTCTCAGGCTCCGCGGTCTGCCCCTGTCATTCGCAGCCATCATTTGCCTCCACCTATACTGGATTCTCGCCCAGATCACGTATCCGATTGGGGGAACTATGCCGGTGGTTCTGGCGTATGACGTTCAGTACGTCGTCATGGGGACGTGGTTTCCGCTCGGCATTGCTTTGTTCCATGCTTCCAACAGCCGGTTTCTCCACGTCGCAAAGCTTCAGAAACTACACTTCACTGGAACTGGGGAAGGAAGCAGACGAGGCAGGGCTGGCTGCGATGGTTCACGAACTTCTTGGCTCTGTCGGCTGAGAAACGCTAGTTATACGAAGAGAATTATGGTTCCGATTGGTATTTGCATGATCGTTCAAGTAAGCATCCCCGTTTATCTCATTGAGTTTCCAGAGATACTGATCTCTCTGGTTCAGGTGCTTCTCACTATCGCCATGTGGGTTTCCTGCAAGAAGTATCATCCTACTTTCGGTATCCCGGGAACGGAAATCCGAGGATCAAATATTATGGAGCAGATGGAAGACTTGGGAAGAGGGTGGGAGTGGTGGCCAACGGTGCTGTGGCAATTTGTTTGGGCTTGGATCGTAAGTTCTTCAATGCTCAATGGAGACCGATGCCTTCTCTAACAAAAATCGTAACAGGTCGCTCCGACTATGCTCTGGAAAGCATGGTCCATCCGTGACACAATGGGATGGCGAACGCAAACCGTTGGCTGCTGTCTAGCAAGGTTGGTGTCTTTGATTCTTCTGCTGGAGCATTTCATAAGCTAATCTTTCCGTTGTCAGTCTTCATGCCACGCCGATGTTTCTTGCTGCATCATACGCACCCGCTTTTGCCAAAATCAACCCCTATTTTCCACCAAGCCAATGGTTAGTGTGCCCACGTTGTAGGCCTTCATATGTGGAAGACATCTTAGCTAACAAGATACTACTAGGCTTCACCTTTCATCGATGGCCTTCGAAATCTTCGCCATTTTTGTCCCAGCAATCCAAGTCATACGACTTCGAATGCTCAGCAAACACACAGTAGAGTCGAACGCCAAATGGGATACTTCAAGCCAGGCAAGCACCGTCAGACCTACATCCACTGCTTTCTCGAACTACGGAAAGTGCAAACGTGTGACCTCGGCCAGTCTGCTGGAAAAAGGTTTTCCTTCGGCCTACAAACTCGACTCGAGCGAGCTTGGCCCTGAACCGGACTGTCGCCTACTTACCATGAGCGCTCTTGACTACGCTTTGCGCGAGAACCGAGGCTCATTGCAGGAGTTCTCAGCTCTAAGCGACTTTTCAGGCGAGAACATCGCCTTCATCACTCGAGTGGTGGCATGGAAGTCTTCTGCTTGGCCGGCGCGACCGGCATCGCCCGAAAGCTTGTCAGTCAATAACGAAACCATGCTCAACGCATACAACCGCGCCCTCGATATCTACGCCGACTTCATCTCCCTGACGCTAGCCGAGTTTCCTCTCAACCTCCCATCAACCGAGCTCAAGCATCTCGAGGCTATGTTTGAGAAATCGGCTCGGATTCTGTTCGGCGACGAAACTTCCATCAACCCGATCACGCCATTCGACCATACTCATCAAGTTCGCGATGGGTCAAGGACAGACAGCGAACCGGACATTCGGCGTCAAGTCCGGTACACCGGTGAAATCCCTGCCGGATTTGATGCGACGGCTTTCGACAGCGCCCAGAAACACATCAAGTATCTCGTATTGACCAATACTTGGCCCAAGTTTGTCAAGGAGATGCATCAAAGACGGCGGTCTAGTGAGACAGACCGAAGCGTTGTCACAGCAAACTCAGAAACGTCAATACTGAGTAAAGTGTCAAGCACCTTTTCAGGTTTCATTCGGTCTATCTTCTAAATAGACGTTGTTCTCATGTCGTCTTGCAACAGCGATGTATCATATAGCGGCCCATGTTTGAATCTTTATTCAAAGATAGACATTCATTTGTTATGGCGTTTCTCTTTTGCTACTTACACCGAATACCCGGGAACCTCCCCAGAGACACACATATGTACGAGCTGGAAAATCATAAATCGTAAACATGACGTATTTCTGATGAGATATACAAGTTCAGCGACAAATAGAACTGTCAATCACAACAACTCTCCATGTCCTGTTAAATTTACTGCACACTGTCACTAAACGAGTCGAGGCAACGTAGTGTTGCCGACTCACATTCGAGATGCGTCCTTTCCGGTTGAAAACCGAGGAATACGTACAGACTCAGTGACTCAAACCCTTCGCATGTGCCTTGGCAACGTGTTCCCAGTATCTCTTCGCGCTCTTCTCTCTCATAGTTCTACCATATTTCGCCATGATAAAAATGCTAGCATTCCAAACAAAGCCAATGACACCAACAATGATGTATGTATTGCGATAGCCCATGTGGTTCAGCCAGGGAGTGATACCGTAGTTGATCGCGAAGCTCATCGTGTTGCGGATGATGACGCAGGTGGTGATCATGTCACCAGACAGCTGCGGATACGAGGCAATGGCGTAGCCCAGAGAACCCGCGACTGACAGTGCATTGTTGATGGCGAGGGTGAACTGAGAGATAACGAGACCAATCCAATGAATATGGTAAGCCACACCCAGACCGTAAAGAATCATGCTGAAAGGCACGAGAAACATTGAAGCGGCGAATAGCCACAGCGAGTGTTCCGACTCCGAGATTCCGTTGTTGCGGCGAGCAAGCTTGATGGTGAGGATCTTGCCAACCTTGCCGCAGTAGTAGCCTCTGTTCGTGAGTTGAATTAGCCACCAAGCCTCAAAGAGCTTCTTTCTGTTGTAGGACTCACCCGACGATCGTGCCTAGAACACCACCTGCGTACGCAGCAGCAACGCCAGCAGTGGAAAAGCCATACATGGTGGTGTACACCGTTCCGGCAGTTGCATTTTGAACACCTGACCATACCAGGTTGTTTGCCCCGTACATCAGTCTGGAAAGGTTAGCACTGCATCATATTGATAGAACATGATGGTAACATACCCAGCATAGACCACAGAAGGGTAGGTGAAACCTCTCATAGAGCCGAGCGCAATATCCAACATCCGGTTGGGCCTACGCTTGTCCTTGATGCCGAGCTTTTGAATGAAAGTTTTTCGGGGGTAGATGACTTGCCCAGTCTCGCTATCAGTAGGATTGGCGGTCGAGAGATCCTGCTTGTCGGTCACGTTCGCGACCTTTGTTTCACTCTCGCCAGTAGGCGACTCGGTTGCTCGACTCTCAGTTACCAAAGCTTCACCATGGTCCGCTGGCCTTGGAGCTCTGTCATAGTTGGTCTCTTCCATGAACAAGAAACAATAAACAAGAGCTATGCCGTTGAAGATCGAGCACCACCACTGCGTTGGTAACAATATGATCAGCATGATGAAAGTATGTCTCCAAGGACGAATCTTACCAGTGTCCATTTCCATCCCATGCCGACGTTGATGAAGCCCGAAAGCATCGGGGCGAGCTTGCCGGTCAACGAGAGACCCCAGCCGTAGAGCGCAAGATACTTCGGGCGCTGATGGGCGAACCACTGCGACCGGATTAGTCTTATGGGACTCGTCATTGAATGATGTCATGTATGCGTACAATATCGGTGATGGATATCTCACACAGAGATTCCACTGGTGCTCCAAATAGACCCAGTAGGATTCGATTCGCGAGGTAGGTGTGTTTCGTCGTGCACATTGGCGCAGTAGCAAGAATAATCTAAACGACACAACTATCAGCATGCATGATAAATATAGTGTTCACTGGTACTCACAATATTCGCGACTAAAGACGCTAGATAGGCTGGTCTTTTGCCGTATTGAAGAGCGAGAGGTTGCCAAATAATGCATCCCCAGCCGTAGAATAGGAACTACTCGCCCATTTTATCAGCAAATGTCGAGTATGAGGAGGAAGCCCTCGTTGGTTCTTACCATGATGCCCGTTCCGTTGTTAATGTCTTCAAGAGACAGACCAGTCGCCTTTCGAATTGGAGTAACAACGGAGTACACCGCACTACTGGGAATAGCGATCATGATAGTGTACAGGACGACACAAGACGTAGCAAGAAGCTTTCGCTTTCTGGTCCAATTGAGCGGATCTTCCGGGTCCTCAGATGGCCGGGGAACGAGGATGATATCTGCCTCATCTGAACCGGTTGCATGTTGACCGATGACAGAGCCGTCTAAGTCGATGAGTCTGGTAGTGCCAGGAGGCAGGATCTCGCCTTCAGGCTTTCCATGGTCGCCGGAGGCCATATTGCCGATCTATACCTGCTAGAGGAAGCTGATGAGCAAAGACGATATGGTTGGGGTTTAGACGAAATCCGGTAAAGCCTCAGTTGAGGATGGAAAGGCAAAAGGGCGAAGCCGTTGCGTTTGGTTTCAACGATGGGTTTCTCCCTACTTATGACGCTGAGTACGACAACGCCGTCTCAAGCTTTTGATGCGGTCTTGGCTCACCGAGGTGTAACACAGACGCCACCAACCACAACATTTGTCGGGGTGCTGATAAGCTGCGTTTGACAGGGAGAGCTCTTACAGGGAGCTAACGCGGGGCGAGCTGATAACAACACGACCTCGGCGTCTAGGGTAAGCTCCAAGAGATATCGATCGGACATGATCCGATAACGATCAAGAGGTCTTCAGAGGGGCAAAGATATACTTGATTTGAAGCTCGGATATCTTCACCCAGTACCGTTCCTTGCTTTTCAATGTGGAGGTGGATGTGCATGCGGAGCTGACAAGCGGGAGCATTTGATGGGATACGCAATGCAACCTGCGTGGAGAATGGACCCGCTGCGATATCCAGCCGGGGAAGTTGACAGCGATAGGCAGGAAAGCAACCAACACCGGCCAAGATAGGTGCAGCTGATAACAGAGGATTGCATTGTCTGTGAAACTGTACAAAGTGCAAAGGCGTCCAAAAGAGAAGAACGATGATGCCCTTCGCCAATCGACAACTTGCAGAGATCTACCCGGTCGACCGGCTCACGTTACATACGCACGTCACGACGTAAAAGAAAATTACCACCACCATCATTATCGCTGCGCCTTTCACGTCATCATGGTTATCAAAAAGATCACTCAAAACTGGAGAGAGCTTGCTCAAATCTGTATCGACATACAGCAGAGATCGATCCCCAAAGACTACCTTCTTCCGGATAGCCAGTTGCCGCCCAAGGAACGACGCGATGTTCAAGGTATTCCATACGAATCAGGAATCCTCACGACTGAGGAGCTGGAGATGACAGAACAAGATGCCTCGGGCTTGTTGGAGAAATACAAGTCTGGGCAATGGACTGTACGAGAGGTCATTGTGGCGTTCTTGAAGAGGACCACCATCATCCACCAGCTGGTACGAAAAGTGCTTCGAGGTTGTGCAACGTGTTTACTAATCAGTATTTCCACGTTTATAGACTAATTTTGCCACTGAGATTTTGGCCGAATCTGCCTTGAAAAGGGCTGATGAGCTTGATGCTCATTTCAAGAAGACAGGCCAATTGTTTGGACCTTTGCATGGTATCCCAACCTCAGTAAAGGTAAGAGATCGCAACAACAGCCGGGGCCCCATGCCATTGAAATTCAGCTTGCTGACGTTTATGACAAACTAGGAGCACATTGGCATGGGCGGACGCATCACCCATGCCGGTTTTGTGTCGAAGATCTCCAATGTTCCGCTTGAGGATGCCCTTTCCATTCAAATTTTAAAGCAGGCGGGAGCAGTTATACACGTTAGAACGAATCAGCCCCAGTCATTAATGGTGAGAAGATTGAGTTGCTGTCAGAGCAGCAAGATTGGCTTTGCTGACGCAAAATGACCAGCACTTGGACTGCAACAACAACATTACAGGCCTTACTTTAAACCCCAACAACCTGTTGCTTTCTCCTGGAGGCTCTTCGGGAGGCGAGGGCGTTTCTGTCGGAGCCAAGTGTTCGGTGATCGGTGTAGGTACAGACATTGGCGGCAGCATCCGAATCCCGGCTGCTTTCAACGGTTGCTATGGGTTCCGGCCGACCGCTTTGAGAGTTCCATGCCTGGGAAACTTTGGGATCACGTCCGGTCAGGAAAGCATCCGAGGCGTGGCAGGTCCATTGGGCCAGAGTGTGAGTGACTTGGACAGATTCATGGGCGCAATGTTGGGGGCAGAGCCGTGGCAAACCGAGACATCTTTGGTTCCACTGCATTGGCGACAGCTCGCCGCTAAAAAACACATCACGATTGGAGTCATGCTTGATGATGGGTAAGCTAATGCCACTTGACGTCAGTCAAGATGATCTGTGTGGGAGTACACATGCTGACATCCGATTCCGCAAACAGATGCGTTAGGCCTCACCCACCAGTTCTCCGAGCTCTGAATCTTGCGGCGGAAAAGCTGAAAAGCTCTGGGGTGAATGTTGTTAAGTGGGAGCCTTTTGATCACGCTCTTGGTTGGAACATTGTTGTAAGTTCATGAGACTCCGGCTGCTCTGAGTGACCGCAACACCAGTTTCCAACATCCAGCTAATGATCGACTTACAGTCTGCGCTATACTTCCCTCAGGGACCCAAGCCCTACCTTGACACCTTCGCGGAAGGGGGCGAGCCGACCCTCCCTCTTACCGAACATGCCTTCCAGTTTTCAAAGTCTCGGCCGCTCACCGTAGCCGAAAACTGGTCTTTGAATGCCGAAAGAGAGTTGTATAGACGCGAGTACCACGCTTTGATGAAACAGAAGGGCGTTGACTTCATCCTATGTCCGGCATACGTCGGTGCCGGCGTTTTGCAGGGTGGCGCCAAGTACTGGAACTACACGGCCATATGGAACATTCTTGACCAGCCCGCAGCAATTTTGCCTAGCGGACTGCGAGTGAACAAGAACATTGATGTGTTTGATGCATCTTACGAGCCCAGAAGTTCAGAGGATGAGAAGGAATGGAAAGAATGTAAGTTATACCACACTGGACGTAGATCCTTGAATTGGTGGGTATGGAACTAACACCGAGGCGCTATAGATGACCCCGAAACCTTTGATGGCGTACCCGTCTGTTTGCAGTTGGTGGGAAAGCACTTCGAAGATGAAGAAGTGTTGCAGGCAGCTGCACTTGTGGATCGGGTTTTGAAAGATCAGATTTAGAATACCAGACAATAGCCATAAAAAGAACCCAATTGCTTGTATGAATTTGTGAAGAAGCTTCAGCAGAGTCTCAATACTTCATCCTGATTCCCACTGAATTGAGGTGCTCTAGGTGTGATAACGGCTAGCATGATGGCGCCGTTCTCATCATGTCTCAATACGGAAGTTGAGCTCGATGGTGGACGAGTAAGAGACAAGCGAGAGCAGTTTGGTGAACCTACGAAGCCAACTGATTGTTCAGATTGACTGGAGATATTTGGAATGCAACAATGTAGTTCAAAATTCAAGGTGTTATCAATGAGCCTCAATTTCATTTGGCGGAATAGATAGGTAAGCTGATAAAAACTGCTTGGCTAACATACAGCGGCTCTTGGCGTTTCTTCCAGCGATGTCGATGCGATCTTTTGTGTTCGTCTCAACCACCACCATAGACCTCAGCGTTTCAATATTGGTACAAAGCCATTGAATTGCTTCATCATTTTTCTCTCATTCTCCTTTTGACAACTCGCCCTTTGATTTCCAAATCTCATATTCGAAATCTGGTTGAAATTCAGTATACAGGGTTTCCTGAGAAAACTGGTCAATATGAATCTGCTGAATGGGTGAAATTGAAACATACCGGATCTGCATTAACCTTTGCTGTGAATCTGGCCTCCGCATCGCCAATGTAGCTCTTAGGAAGCCCAGTGCTTTCCACCATAATCTGAACCTCACATGACTTCTCCATAAGCGTGAAGAGGTAGGCCGCTTCATCTACCGTCCCGCCAGTGGTAAGGAGGCCATGATTCTGGAGAACTAGCACACGGCCCTTGTCCCCCAGAGCAGCTATGATGTTTGCGCTCTCCTCGGCATCCAGTACAACACCTCCGAAAGACCTGTAGACACCTTGCGTTCCCCAGAAATTACAGCTGTCTTGGTTGATAATGTCCAGCGGTCTTCCGAACGTGGACCATGCCTTGCCGGCCGGTGAGTGTGTGTGACAGGCAGCATGAATATCAGGACGCGCTTTGTGGATGGCGCTGTGAATCACGAAGCCTGCTGAGTTCACGGCTACTCTGTTGCCTCCTATAACTTGGCCATCTTCATCGATGTGAACCATATCGCTGGCCTTTAGCATGCCGAAATGCTTGCCGAGTCTGCCGATGGATTAGAAACTTGTGCTCAGGGACACAGAGTCCAAGGAGCCTGTGAGAACGTACGGGTTGATCCAGAATGTACTGGGGTCTACTGGATCACGAACACTTATGTGACCGCTTGTCCCCTCTGTGAACCCTTTCCGAGCGAAGACTCTGAAGGCTCCAGCCATGTGCTCAAGTTGCCATTGTCGCTTCTTGTAAGGGTCATCAATTGCCGGTATACCAGCGAACGTATAGCCCCCTGTTGCTAGCGCTGATACACCGGCCTTTTGTTCAGATGGCTCTGGGGTGGCTTCTAATGCCATGGGTTGTGTAGCTGTCGCATGGGAAGCTATCTCTGTCAGGGTTGTGGTCGACATCTTGGCGTAAAGATGAACGTGCGAGTTCGAATAGTCGAGAAACAAGCAGCAAAGAAGACTCTTGAGAGCTACAACCTTATCTATGCAAGTCAGCCTCACTTCATGATCCGATACCACGGATGAACCCGGCTTTTTAGGATCACTTCAAAGTGCTGCTCCTTGCAAGCTGTCCCCTTGGGTCCGGTCTAGAAGCTGATAGCGACGTCTTCGCTGTCGACTTCCACTTCAATGAACCCCTGTCCGGATCCACCATGAGTTATCACTGGCTTCGCGTTCCTGGTAAGAATGAAAGATAGGCTTATCTCGACCCAGTCTTTCCCCGCGACGGCGTTCAGGGTCATTTGATTGGAAGCTGGGTGCCATGCAATAAACCAAACGCTTGGGTGATAGCTCGTCATCGATCTGCTCTCGCTCCGAACTTCCATTTCTAATGACTGGACGTTGACTCGTAGTACTTTGCACAACTTACGGTTCTAGAGATTCTGTTTAATGGAGTTTTTGGTTCGTCCCATGCCATCATATCGGAAGAGAACGAAAACGTTTACAGGGTGCTGGACATGTCGCGAGCGCAAGGTGAAGTGCGATGAGATAAGACCCCACTGCAACGAATGTCACAGCAAGAGGCTGAGGTGTGAGGGATATGGTGCGCGCCTGCAATGGCTGAGTCCAGAGACTGGTCTTCCTTCCGGCAGGGCATCTTCGCGTCTCGGACCAACAACTAATGCGGGGACACCATCGAGACGGGAGCTTCCTCTGGGTATGTCTTTTGCCAGTTTATTTTGCAGAGATTTGTACTGACTTCGACGGTAGAACCTGTCAAATTGACCCTGTCATGGGATCAGGTTGAAGACATCCTCAAACTAGTTGACGCATTTGAGTTGAATGTCCCAACGAAAGAACATCACAACAGGAGCCTCAACATTCAGAACTTCGGTGTCTTCTCCCTGCATCAAGAGCATGTCATCTCTGATGCTGTGCGGCATATCACCACTTCGCCGGCGCGATTTTTGGAAACCGACGCACCAGATTGTCATCTCACATCAGGCCCGACGCAACATGAATGTGTCCGTCATGATGCAGAGATACCGAGCTCTCAGCCAAGTCTCGGGTCCCCTTCCAACTCCGAGCTGGCCGTTGCTTGGGAGTTATGCAATCTTTATGAACATCAAGCGCTTGTAGACCCATTGCTCAACCAAGCCGAACTTCAAGAAATCGGCGCAGATACCTTTGAACACTCAAGTGGCAGTATCAACCAGCAATTTCCCGCAGAAGCAAAACATCTTGTTGTCAGTTCTACCGAAGTACCCAGGAGCCTTCCGGCCTCAATCCTGCCGGATCAGGAGAGATGGTTGATGCATCATTATGTACACAAAGTCGTCAACATCTTTTGTGTCATTGATAATACCAAGAGCCCTTGGAAAACAATTCATATTCCGAGAGCGATCGAAGGAGCTGGTGAGTTGAGCATTATGGGCTCAACATCCAGAATCCGTAGCGCGTTGAGGAACGCTCTGCTGTCTATCAGCGCTTTTTTCCTCTCCAATGTTCAAGCCTCTCACTCTCGTCATGACGAAGCTTCAAAGTGGGTGAACGAGGCTATGCGATATCGCTATCAAGCTATCGTTCTACTAAAGCAAGCGGTAGAGTGCGATCTCTACTCAGGGGTAAGGCCAAAATACAAAGAGTATCTTGCCACAATGTTATCAATGATAACGATAAATGTAAGTCTCAGTAGTTTGATCAAAGTGGAACTTCCGATCGGTAGCTAATAGCTTCAATAGGTGATGTCGGGAGACACTAGCACATGCGGCATTCACCTGGACGGGGCGCAGAGGCTTATCAAGTTCAACCGGAAATCAAGAGCTTCCGGAAAGACACAAGCTTTACATCGCATTTACTATTATCTTCGAGTTATCTACGAGAGCACCTCTAGAAAGCGTCGTAACAAGAATCCTGGCTATCCGTCGACGGAAGATTCGCCTACAGAGTCAGCATCCAGACCACCTCAGGTTTTCCCATGTGACAATCCCACGGCTGGCACACCTGGAAGCCGAGTTAGGGAGCAGGAAATGACTGAGATGGCCAGCTTTGAATGCATCTACGGCATACCTCAAAGCCTTCTAGACCTTTTAAAGGATGCTACCAACTTGGTCAATGCAATCGAAAGTCTCAGGGAAGAAAATGGCCGTGCGACAGTCCCAGAATCTTTGGAAAGCCGGTGTGACATTCTAGAGAAAGCCATCTTTGAGTGGTCTGCGGAAGACCAACTGGCTCATTGCAATCAGATCGGCAAAGGAACAAGTTTTGACATCATTTACCACCAGACTAAGTCATTCCACAACGCTCTCATCATTTACTTCGCGCAAAACGTGCGTTTAGTCAGTTTCCGCTATCTCCAACAGAATATCGGAAATGTGCTGGACAGCATCGAAGCCATTGAGTCGATCAAGGTGGCGAACAAAATCTTGGCTGCACCAATTTTCTGGCCAGCCTTCGTCGCCGCGTCTGAAGCATTCGATGCAAAACAACAAGATCGATTTCGTCAATGGTATGAAAGAGTAGCGGTATATGGTATCAAGGCAGTACGAACCGGGACCCGGGTTGTCTATGAAGCTTGGAAAAGAGGACCACCGAACGATGCTCGGATTACTAGTTTGTGGATGAGTATTATTGATGAAACTGGGGAGACGCTCATGCTCACTTAGTCATTATGAATTGATCTCCCATTTACTGAAACATTGTGCATTGTTTGAAAAAAACATGAGCATATGGGTGGGCGGCCGTGCGTTGACAATAGCGCTGCCACAGAATTCTCAATCTCGAAAGCACCAAACCCTCATTCCGCCGTTGCCACCACGGTTAGCCCGAGCATAGTAGGGTATGAAGGTCAAGTACTTCTTCTCTCCCCGCTTCCAAGGCCTGCTGTCGTAAAGCTTCGAGTTGTCGGCGTTCTTCAGCTCTCTCCCCCTCGCTTCTACCGTGGTAACTTCGTGGTCTAAGATCCTCAGTTGGGCACCATCTTGAAGTAGACCTTCCGAGAGAGTAACATTGTCAATGTCAACATCGTTGTCAACATCTTCAATGCAGTATACCAGCGGGCCCCGCATGATACAAACTTCGTTCTTTCCGACTTTCGTGTTGGCGTACATAAAACGTGGTCGAGGGTTAAAGGTGATCTTAAACCTTCCATCGCTTCTCTCAGCTAGATAGAGATATCCGTCTTTGACGTGGCTGCCTGCCATTGCACCGTTGACCGTGTAGTTCTCTGCCCATCCTGGAATGCGCAAGGCCAGGGACAGAGTACCTGTCCAGGTAATCTCGACCTCCCAATCCCACGGTGCCTTCGTCTTCACGGTTACAACTGCATCGCTGGAAGGCACCTCGAGTACGCTACCAATGTACAAATGGATAGCGACATACCGGCCATGCATCGTGAAGATGAACGCTCCGAGGTTGCCAAGCAGTTTTGCCACGTTCGGAGGGCAACAGGCAACTTGAAACCACCGACTCCGTTCCTTCGGGCTGCCTGTGAATGTGCGAAGTGGATTCTCGTAGTAGAAGGACTCTCCGTCTAAGCCAACAGCGCCAAGAAAGCCGTTGTAGAGACCGATTTCCATGATGTCGGCATACTCAGAGTTCAGATGAAGTCGAAGCATTCTCTGGCACCAACCGGTCAGACCGAAAGTCGCGCAAGTCTCGGCATAGCAGACACTCCCTTCTTCAGTGTCTCCAAGAACGTACGGATGTCCAAAACCCTCCCACTGTCGGACTGATCCGAGGCCACCTGTGATGTACATCTTCTTGTCGACCATATCTCTCCATAACTTCTTTAGAGAGCTTTCGATGCCTTGGTTCTTTGTCAGACGCACCAAGTCCGTTGCCGCAGTCATGAAGTACATGGCTCTCACTGAATGGCCAACCAATTCCGTAGTCTCGACAAGTGGACGGTCGGCTTGATGATATCCGTAATCCCTGGGCATCCGGTATGTTGGTCTCATCTCGAAGCTATCCCAGTCTGCTGGGTCATTCCCACGAGCCCATGCCTCCTTGTCGAAGTAGATCTCCCCTTTCGAGTCTCGTTTCCCTCGCTCAAGGATGAAATATTCGGCGACCTTGAGCAGAATAGGATGTTTCGTGAATTCGTACAGTCTCAGTAACCCAATCTCGATCTCTTGGTGGCCAGGATACCCGCGCTTTTTCCCTGGCTCGGATCCAAAGACAGAATCGATGTGGTGCACAACTTTCATGACTGGCTCCAACAACCGGCCGCTGTTAGTCAATGTCTCATAAGCAACACAAGCCTCGATAAGATGGCCGATGCAGTAGAGCTCGTGCATGTCGCGCAGATTTGTCCATCGATCCTTGATTCCGCGGACAGTGTAGTACGAATTGATGTAGCCATCGGGATGCTGGGCTTCTCGAATATTGTCGACCGCCTCTTCAACTATTCTCATCATCTCGTCATCAGGATGTCTCATCAGGAAGTAGCAGGCTGCTTCAGTCGCTTTGTAGACGTCACTGTCCCAGAATGGCTGCAAAGCATCGGTTAGTCTGGGCTCGAACGAGCTTGTATCCTTGGATGATATGCGCTTACATGTGGTTGAGGATGATGGCCTTCCTTCCATTTCAAACAGTCCCAGTGACCTGATTCTCTTTGCGCCTTTACGAGGGCAGGTATGGTTTTCAATCTGCCATTATCTATCACCTGCGACCAAAACGGGGACGTGATTTCGACGTTTCGAATCGGAACTTCCGTGTTTAACGGTTCGACCCTTCGAATCGGAATTTCCATGTTTAACGGTGTCATGAATAACCAGAGGAAGCGAGGTTTGGCAAATTTTCAACAAACTGGGCTTGCAAAAGAAAGTCTTTATTGTGTCGTCACAAACACGTTACACCGGTCTCCAAACGAGTTGAGACAAGCGCTCCAATTGGAATCTCAATTGTTTTGCATGCATCGCTTGCAAATTATGAGGTCAAAGGTCACCTGATCTTCATTCTGAGCCAACTAGATGCACGTCTGCGTCCAGATACATCCGACCCTATCAACATGCATGCATTTGTTGGATGGACGCATGCCGCGCTTTGCGTGGACTCCGAGATCTTCGGCCATGCGTGACCAACAACGCGGGGTTTGCATATGCGGCCGGTCTGACTTCTCCCCTCAACCTCATCCACATCCCGGATTTCTAGTGCATCTGAAGCACCTATTTACTTAGCCTAAGCTTCATTCCTCCAGAAATGCTTCTTCCCGAAACCGAGATGCAGAAAACTTGCTGAAAGGCCTCTCAAAAACAAAACGCGAGATCAAGGGCAATAGGAGGACGCTCATGAAGGATTTCCTACCATGCTGTTTGTTTGCTGGCTGATTCAACGGCATTTCGGTCACTTTTTGAAAAAGATCCTGGCCCGATGAGGATGAGACTTTACCCAAGCGAGGAAGAGAAGAAGCCAGACATTGAACAGCGGCTTTGAAAAAGAATCATTGGCCACAAGTGCTTTCGGCAGTGAAATGTCGCTTCTGCTTCGCATTAGCCGACATGCCTATTCGAAGATGTCTGTTTGGTTTTTGTGAAACCCTCGCTTTCATACTCGAAGACAAGGCTTGTTGATGAACATATCTCATGGAATATGTTTTCAATTTGGCTGTATTCTAGTCTCTAGATACGCGAGAAAGACATCAAGACACATGCACGAACCAGTAAATGAGGTAATATCGGACGTTCTCTATGGTGAACATCACAGAATCTATCACTTTCCCCATACTCCAGCCATGCGAGCCATACCTTCAGTGGTCTAGAACCTTGTCCCAGCTGTCTGGTGATGTGGGTGAGGCATCCGGAGGTGGAGGTGTCCACCCCCGCATCTAGACGACCTAACCGGGGTCCTATGTCAGCTCATAGGATCATTCGTTCAATATGTTAGTTTTGGTAGCTCGGTTCGAATACCAAAGCGGCACCCAAGTGCCCTTGATCTTGGCTGCTTCTTAGTAGCTGCGCACTGTTTAAATACACCTCAGCATGCTCGAAGACTGAATGCTCTGTTACATGTTCGTCTAGTCACAGCTTCTGCTGGCCTTGAGCGCAGACAAAATCAGCGCTATGGCTCCTCGTAACACGCCTGAGATATCTCCTTCTGTCAGACCACCCCAGACAGAAGGAGCCAACGATATTCCTCTCAAGACCATGGATGTTAAAGAAGTCAACGTGCTTTCGGTAGAGTTGACCGACGCAGTAGCGAAAGACAAGCCGAATTACTGGTCTCGCTCCCAAATCACTCTCCGGGCAATAATACTATTTGTTACGCTCAGTTAGTACTCTACTTCTTACAAGTTACGTCTTCATGCACAAGCTCTTTACCTAACATTGAATTTGCTCAGATGGAATCATGAACGGATACGATGGTTCCGTTGCAAGCTCTATCAATGCTATGGACCAATTCCACGACTACTTCGATGTTGGCAAAACCGGACCTAAGATTGGTTTGGTCATGGCCATTTACACTGCAGGCCAGATATGTGGAAGCATTTTCTCGGCCGGCATCATTGACACCTTCGGACGGAAATACGGAATGGCCGTTGGCTCTGGCTTCATTATCATTGGGTCCGTTGTCCAAGCCACAAGCCAGACCCTTTCAGCTTTTATCGGTGGAAGATTCCTTGTGGGTTTCGGTGTGCCTATGTGCACAATAGCGGCACCTACATATATCGTTGAGGTCTCGTACCCGACCTGGAGAGGCTTAGCCGGTGGTCTCTACAATGTACTTGGGTGGTATATAGGTTCTATGAGTAAGTTTCAGCTGCATGATCCCATATCCCATATACTATAAGTGCTGATAGTGGAATCACAGCGGCAAGCTGGACTTGCTACGGGACGGCGAATATTGGCGGAAACATGTCCTGGCGGATTCCATACATCATACAAATCGTCCCGGCTGCGGTTATCATATGCGTAGTATGGTTCATCCCGGAAAGCCCCCGGTGGCTGTTTGCACACCAAAAGGTTGAGGCCGCAACAGCTATCCTCGTCAAATACCATGGAAACGGCAATCCAGACTCCGCCGTGGTGAAGCTAGAGTGCGAAGAGATAAAGTACTCCCTGGAAGCCGAGGCAGAGCTCAGCAGAGGCAGGTGGTGGGATTACAAGATTCTCGTCAAAACCCGCGCCAACCGGTACCGAATGTGGATTCTCGTTCTCATCACGGTATTCTCGATGTTCACTGGAGGTTCTGTCATCTCATACTACCTCCCATCTATCCTTGAGACTGTTGGTATCACTTCATCGTCGCAACAGCTTCTCATGAACGCATTGAATACCGTCTTTTCCTTCAGTGGTGGCATAGTCGGCGCTTTCTTTGTCGATAAGGCTGGACGTCGCCCTCTTCTATTGTGGGGAGTCTTCCTGTCTGGATTGGTATACATCCCCATCAACGTTCTCGCTGCACTTTCCAACGGCCATATCGACACAGCCTCGGGGTACGCATTCATCGCTATGATATTCCTCTACGGCATTGTCATGTCATTCACTTGGACGCCACTTCAGGCCTTGTATCCCGCCGAGATTCTCAGCACAGATATCCGCGCCAAAGGCATCGCAGCCGATAAGTTCGTTTCCGGCATTGCAAGCTTTATCAACCTATACGCAACACCAATAGCGTTGAAGAATATTGGGTGGAAAACGTACACTATCTTTCTCGTCCTGCACTTCGTTCACTTAGTACTCATGTACTTCGTCACGGTGGAGACAAAGGGGCGATCATTGGAGGAGCTGGAGGAAATCTTCAACGACCCCAAGCCAGTCAAGCGAAGCAAGCAAATCAGCAGAGTCGTGGTCGGGGATGGTGTGGGCGTCAAGGCCACCGACTCTTGATTCAAGTCGTGACTTAATGAAATTGGCTATCAGGGGGGATGTGTGCCAACAAGGTGCAGACGTGGAGTTTATTTGTACAAGTCAAGGTTTACAATGAATGAAGAAGCTGGCTATGGAGCCAAAAGAGATGCTCAATGACGAATGTGTACCAGCAGCCAGGCTCAGCCTGTTTTTCTCGGTGTGAGGTACATGTTGACGGGTCCCTTCTCCCAGAGAAGATATACTTGACTCTTCTCGTCCCAACCTCTGCTCTCCTCAGAGATTCTCAAGTCAAAGTTCCAGACCATTCTCGCCAGAATCAGGCGCATCTCCGCGTATGCGAGGCTGTAACATGAGAAGATGTAATTAGTATGATGCGCCTGCCATTGGAAAGAAGATGAGGGAAACGTACTTTCGTCCAATACAGTTTCTCGGTCCTACGGAGAACGGTTCAAAAGAGGTTTTCTTGTCTCCAGCGAATCGAGGGTCGTCAAGCCATCTTTCAGGGATGAAAGAGTCGGGCAGCGTGAAATGGGCAGGATTGTGGAAGGTAGGCCAGTGCCAAACCTGGACCAGAGACTATGTTGCTCCCATTAGCGATAAGCCAAGCGCTGGAAAGAGATCGAGAGACTTACGCCTTTCGGCACATATTGGCCCAGGAAGAAACCATCACCCTCAGACACTCTGCGCATGATGCCAGTTGGGACTGGAGGATACATACGAAGACCCTCGTTGATGACGGCCTGCATGTATTGAAGCTTCTGCACACTAACCATGTCGATTTCGTCCTCCGATCCGAATGCAGAGCGAACTTCATCGTTCAGCTTCTTGAGCGCGTTGGTATTGGTCGTGAGGTAGTAGGTAATGGCCGAGAGTGCCGTCGCGGTGGTCTCAGAGCCGGCAATGATGAGTGTCGAGGAGTTCGCGCGCAACTCGTCAAATGTGAGTCCCTGAAAGCTGTTAGCAGAAGTTCTCTGCTCTGTTCGTGGTGCAACAAACCTGATCTCCCTTCTTCCGTGTCATTGAGTCCATGAAGTCCGGTCGTTCTGTCTGTGCGGAAAGTCTCTTGGAAAACTTTTCTTGGGTAAGTTGAAGATGTTGTTCTCGCTTGTTCTTGAGGCCAGCCGGGATGAACTTCATCAGGATGCTCTCAATAAGGGGGTAGCGCCTGATGTTGTTCTTGAAAGCGCCTTGCTTGATGCCGTCGAACAGGATCTTGACCCATGGGTGGTAGTCACTGTTATCCAGACAGCCGAAAGGTTCCCCGAATGCTAGATCTCCAATGACATCAAACGTAGTCCAGTTGTACCACGCGACCATGTTCAACGGCTTGGATCCTCCGGCACAGTTTTCGTGAAGCCGTTGGAAGAGTAAGTCCACATATTTCCTGATAATCGGCTGCTGATCGAACATAGACTGAGCTGAAAATCCGTGCGATAGGGCTCGTCGGTATCGAGAATGATCTTCGCGGTTTCCTCCGATAATACTTTCCCTGCTGTCGCGAGTGAAGATGGGGTCTCTGCCGTGGTCTCCAGTGCCGTTCTTAAGGTGTCCGTGCAAGTCCTTCCAAGCGTCGGGGTGGCTGTACGCGAGCTCGTTGGGGGCGACTCGAACTATCGGTCCGTACTCCTGATGAAGTTCTAGGATCCTGCGATGAACTTGGCCGGATAGGTAAGACCTCGTGTAAGGGAGGCGGGTGGCAGCCCATGACTTGGGGCCAGGGTACGCTCGTAGTGGATGAAAGAAGACGTTGTATGTTACAACTGCGACGAGGGAGAAGAAACCCTAGTAAAGTTATCAGATATTAGGAGCTTTTTTGGTCCTATTCAACGTGAAGTTGTTCAACATAGTTGGTTGGCTCAACTCGCAAGGGTCGCGTGATGACCTGTCCTTCAGGGGCAAACTTACGAGACAGACGACTCCTACGACTCCCCACAGCATGGCGCGAGGGTCAAGGAGCCGAGAGCCGGCATCAGAAAGATGGCTTATCATGCTTAATGTGTTCTTGCAAACAATTGTTGCCAAAGAGATACTCGAGACTATCTACCGGTACGGTTCAGGCTGTCGATGAGGTCGTTTTAAGCAACATTGCCCTAGAATGGAATTCCTTCAACCCACAGTGAGTGCGGACTTCGGCTCAGGAATTCGAGGCCGAAGCCCCGGTGAAACGACGATCTCAGAAGTCGCTGCAGAGCACGGTTGCATCTCTGTGGGGAGAGTCTCAAACTCCGCGCATAAACCGGCTGCCAGCACGTCTCCGTCCCCCGCGATTTGCACATTTCGTGCATAAATCGTCCGGCTTGGCCCGCCTCCGGCCCATCCCGCCCCACTCGGGATCTCGATTGCGGCACTTCTATGCCGTCTTGCAGCCGGCAGTTCTTGTCATTGACGTTCGCGAGCTGCGGAGCACGGCCGGACCCCTCTACAATTTGCCATTAGCATGGCTGAGCGTTAATTGCTGCTGAGTGATTGGTGTTGTGTGATGCACAATTGCGTACCTATGTTGGACACATGCTCCACGTCGGGAGGAAGGCCACCATCCAGACCGCTTCAATACGGAGCGGGATTCAATCTTGAATGTACAAGCTCAGCGGGGAGGTGTATTGCCGTCATGAGATAATCTTGTCGAAGCGACTTGCTAATCAATCTAAAGTCATTGGTAGGCCATACAAGAACATTTGATTGTGAAATTCCGACACTTTAGACCCATGAGCAATTGCTTTTCACATGCACTGTCCACCTCACAAGACCACAAAATAATGAAGCTAATGCACTGCACTATACAATGTTGTTTGCATAAAGTAAGTGGGCCATGAGCCCAGCTCGCCGATGAAGACAAAGCCATTGCAGCTTAGTTACCTGCGGTGGCCATCTTCGGCTGGATCAACGCGCCTGCCGTGATGACTTACATAGTACGCAATCACTTGACAACGTTTAATATGATCGTTGTAGACCAAGTGGCTACACACTCCAGTCAGTAGAAATCCAAGCTGGCCAGTCTTTGGTCCGTTTGTGTCGACTCAGTGTATGTGCGCAATTGTAGTGGAAGAATGTTTACATATCTTGGATCTAAACTACAAGTCCATACATCTTCATACCATTATATATCAGAAATTCGTCGTCATGACAACGTTGGCAACGGTAAGGCTGAGTTAATTGCTCATGGCATACCTCAACTCCAAGTGAGATGGGTGATCGAATCAGAAATGAGGTATGGGCTTCAATATTTTCTCATAATGCTTTCAATTCTTTCCCGAGTTATTTGATACAAGTTTTCCCTTGTATGTTTCACTGCAGTGATGTGGTCTTCACCCATAAGGCATACCTCACGTTGACGAGTGACATGACATTGATGCCAAGCCGGCGGTCGCTGAAGTGTACGTACATTCTGTGCTATTTAAAGCCAGCTTACACGTAGAAAATGGGGCTACAACTGAGCCTCAAATTTTTCAAACTTTACAAAAGGATTCGATTCGCTGATTCCGAAGAGGCCTACTCTGATTGTTGCTCGTGGACGAAACGAATGTCGCCCGGACTACGGATTCTCCCGGAATATTTCGGAGGTTGACCGAGGGTTCCAGACATCGGCTTGGCAGCCTCTCGATCTGGTTACGCAGCAAAACAAGATGGCACTTGGGCGATTTGAATCCCACTGGCATAACCGATGTGTTAGTTCTTACACACATGCATTATCGTAACAAATTTCTTGGTGCAGTTGTCATCCTGGAAATGAAGGTCTAAGATGCAAGGTCGACAGGCCTAGTGAAGACAGAAAACAGGATACGCAGTAGCTTTATTGGTAAAGTAATTACCTTCTACACCTGTTAAAATAAAAATGATTATTGAAAAGAGAAAGTCAATCAGTCGGAAACGAAATATGGAATACTTCGCCCTAAATCTCGTTATTCCCCACGGAAGATTGAATCATTAACCCTTTGTCATGGTAGGAATCTTCTGTTATCAGGCAAATGCCTTGGCTCTGATACTCTCTGCCGTAGGAGAGGTGACTACAAACTGTAGTGTCCAATGGGATGGAAATGCGAGACCGAAATTGAGCCGGGACCTCGACATGACACACGTCAATGGCGATCATATGCAGGTGGCTGACAGACTACTACAAGTAGCCAAGCATCAATATATTCCCTACAGCCATGACCCAGCTATCGTGGTACGGTAATTTCTGTTGAAGCTGTGCCTCAAAGCTCGGAACCAGGTTGAGAGTTCCGAAGTAAAGTGAGGGCGGCAACTTCCGCGCCATGAGCACTCTGCCAGGGTTGATATACGCGTGTTTATTTAAGCTTGAAGACCTGATGCCGTCACTCCCTGCCGATTCAACTGGGGTACATGACGCTAAGTCCGGGTCGTCAGCCTGCGGCTGTAAAAAAGATCCGAACGCACATCATCCTAGATGACGATGGGTCCGCCCCTTCCTCCCCTGGCTTTCTGTTTAGGTTCCGATCTTTGAGTTTCTTGAGAAAGAAGGTAGACTTGTTTTTGAGTATCAGCTCATAAGCGAATACAAAGTCGTGGCTGCTGAGTCTTTACAGACTAAACAGTTGAATTATATGTGCCTAGCCTCGAACCGTTTCTCGATGCCGTTCACCATGCGCGACGAGTCTCCGGGGAGTCTCGGAACACCATTTATCAACTGGGCTGACAAATCTCGAGCACACTTGCAGAGACTGCAAGCAGCAAAGAATTGGTGCTTTCACTCGTGGGGTTGCTCGCTGATCTTCCCCGGCATTAGCTGGAGTGCAGGACAAGGGTAATGCGCGGACACCACTCAACGGTGGTACGACCACCTTCTCATTCGAGGATCGGTGGCTCCGAGAGAAAGGGGTTTTTTTATAACAGGGGCGCAATATCTTCACATTGTCGTCAGGCAATGACAACTGACAGTGGCACCTAATACCGAGAATAGTATCCAAACTGAATTATATAGACTCGCTGATCTCGCCGCAATCTCCCAGTCTAATCTTTAGCCACATCATCGTCTCTCACTCATTCACTCATTTACTACTAGTCCTTTAATCAAGGATGCTTTCACTCGTTTTACTTGGCGCCGTAGCGCAGACTGTCTTGGCCAGCCCTCTCAACACTACCGCCAGCTTCCAGCAGCAATGCCTTTCCTTCGCCAACTCAACCACCATCCCTGGTGCCGCGTCCTACGCGACTGAGTTCGTCCCCGCAGGTACCACGCTGCAGTTCCCCGGCGCAGACTCCAGCTGCGGCCGTACCTCTCAAGCCGTAACAGCCGATCTCTGCCGTGTCACCGCCCAGATCGCTACTTCGGCCCGTTCCGGGCTCAAGTTCGAAGCTTGGCTTCCGCAGAACTGGACCGGGCGCTTTCTCAGCACCGGCAACGGCGGTCTCGGTGGCTGTATCCAATACGAAGACCTCGACTACGCCAGCTCCCTCGGCTTCGCCACCGTCGCGACTAACAACGGCCACGATGGCATGAGCGGTGCCTCTTTCCTGAACAACCCCGACGTTATCGAGGATTTCGCGTACCGCGCTCTTCATACGGGAGTCGTGGTCGGCAAGGACGTGAGCAAGTCGTTCTACGGTAAGGCTCACACCAAGAGCTACTATCTCGGCTGTTCCACCGGCGGCCGCCAGGGTTTCAAGGAGGTGCAGTCTTTCCCCGAAGATTTCGATGGCGTTGTCGCTGGCGCGCCCGCGTTCTCGTTTAACAATTTGACTTCATGGAGTTGCCACTTCCTTCCCCTGACCGGCCTCGAGGGCTCTGACACCTTCATTCCCATGTCGATGTGGCCTACCATTCACGAAGACATCATGAAGCAGTGCGACGAGCTCGATGGAGCGGCTGACGGTATCATCGAGGCTCCTGATCTGTGCGACTACAAGCCGGACGGCTTGCTCTGCGGCAGCGCGAATGCCACCAGCTGCTTGACCCAGAAGCAAATCGAAACGCTGAAGGGCATCTACTCACCACTTCTCGATGCGTCCGGCAGCCTGATCTACCCTCGTATGCAGCCCGGCGCCGAGATCACGGGCGCCCCGCAGACTTACTTCAACGGCCAACCCTTCGGTGCTGCGGACTGGTTCAAGTACGCCATTTTCAACGACTCCAACTGGGATCCTCTCACCGTCAAGTCCGAGGACTACGTCCTGTCCTCGTCTCTGAACCTGTTCAACATCGAAACATTCGACGGCGATCTCTCTCCTTTCCAGAACCGCGGCGGCAAGGTTCTGCACTACCACGGCCTCGTCGACGGCACGATTTCGAGCGATAACTCCCCGAGATACTACGAGCACGTGTCCAAGACCATGGGCCTCGAGCCAGCGGCACTTGATGAGTTCTACCGCTTCTTCCGTATTTCCGGCATGGCTCACTGCGGAGGAGGTCCCGGCGCGACCTTCATCGGTAACCAGGCTCAGAGCGTCGCCAGTCTGAACCCCGATGAGAATGTCCTGATGGCGATCGTCCGTTGGGTTGAAGAGGGCGTAGCTCCCGACACTATTCTGGGCACTGCTTACATCAACGGAACCAAGAGCGCAGGAGTTGACTTCAAGCGCAAGCACTGCCGTTGGCCGCGCCGTAATGCCTTCCAAGGTGGAGATTACAAGGACGAGAACGCCTGGGCTTGTGTGGAGTAGATAGTCACTCCTCACGGGCATGGTTGATGGAAACGGTAACATACTATACTGGGGTTGGCGATGGAATGTCTCTTGGAGTATGTACATAGGCTAGCTTCAACATACAAGTTGCGCATATACGTGCATATTTTGTCTCTCGAGCATGGCCTTTCCTCAGTGAAATTCATTATATTTAAGAGTCTAAAGTCATGTTGATCAGCTTTACTGCCTGAGCATCTTCCTGGGATCCCAGTTGGCGTCCACGTTGTCGAGCAGGTTCAGCGACTTGAGCGCATCCGCACCCAGAATCTTCTCCAAGCTAACCAGCTTGAAGCTCGCTTCCGTGCTCGTACTGCCATCAGGCAACTGGTTCGCGTCATCATGAACCACAACAAGACCATGTGGGAAGTCCTTGCCCAGGCTGTTCCCAACCGCGGTGATGCCATCAGTGTTGGACACCGCATCAACCTGCCCGTCCTCAGACTTGGTGACAGTGAAGGTCGTGACGTATTCATGAGGAGCGGCGCGGCGGTAGACGTTGTAAGAGCTCACGCCCTGGTTAGAAACGAGCACGTAACCCTGTTCAGGGGTAGCGCCGTAGACAAGAGTGACACCCTCGACGTCGGCATAGGTTTTGCCATCGCCAACGTAGGCAATCCGCAAGCCCTCCTCCGTGGAATCGGGCTCGGCGCCGTAGCGCCAAAGAGCCGACGGTTCTTCACCCAAGAAGATCCAGCCATTCTCCTCATCGGTCACGCATCCTTCAACCTGGCCTCCCGATCCACCCTGGAAGTCGCGAACAAGGGTGGTTTGGAGAGTGCCGTTCGAGGTCGCGGTGAGTTCGTACTGGAGGTAACGTGCAGATTTCTCATTGACGAAGAGGTACTGCTTGCCGGTCTTCGGTGAGCGGTAGACGCATGATCCGTACACGCTGTAGTCGTCTACGACAGGATGGACGCCACCTTCGATGTTCTTCAAGGTGCCGTTTGAAGTCGTCTCAAACAGGCTAATCTTGGTGTTAGCTAGTTGATCTCAGCTAGACAGGAGACAGCTTACCAAAGAGTATCATCTGCACGGCAGGCAGCAAAAGCGAGGTCGACCGTGCGGTTGCCGGCTTGGAATCCGTAAATCATGTCGACGTTGTTCGGCTCGCCAGCGTAGATGGTTTGGAGAAGCTTGCCGGTCAGATCAAAGACGCCCAAACCAGCGCCCACCGTTGACTTAGTCGTGGTGATAATGCGAGACTTGTCGGCTGATTCGGGAGAAATCCAGATGGCGGGATCGTCTCCGTCAGCGCCGTTCTGATCGGTTTCGTAGGTGGGTTGAACAAGAAGGAACGAGCAGTGAAGTCCTCCCCATCCAGCTTCACACTTGCACTGGTTAGGGCCAATACACTCGCCGCGTCCAGAGCAGTTGTCTGTACACTGGAATTGATCGCACTTGTCACCGGTGAGACCTGCAAAGCACGCGCAGCCGAGAGCATTCTCCTGGCAGTATCCGTTGCCGGAGCAAGCGTCGCAAATCTTCGAGCGCGAGCGGCAGCCGACTGGGACACGGGGGTCGTATTCCTTGTTGACAGAGATCTTGAGCTGGTCAAGAGTGCCTTCTAATGAAATGAGACCGAATCCCGCGACGTCGTCGGCCTCGATCGCGAAAGTAAGGGCGCCTTCGGGGTACTTGGTGGTCGATCCCTGGTACAGGCTCAGACCCTGAACCTCGATGTCTTCCAGACCAGTCAACTTGATCGTGCCAAGAAGCTCGAACGGGTACTCGTAAACCGCGATGGCGTTCTCCTGCGCCACGAAGAGGTAGTCTTGGCCAGTCGAGTTGGAGCTGGATGTGTAGACAGCAATTCCGGTCACGTCTTCTTCCGCTTCGCCGATCTTGGTGATCTGAGGAGCGGCGGTCGACTCCGCAAGATCGAATACATATACATCCTTGTCATCGTCGGCGGACAGAAGCATCTTGGATTGAGAGCTGGAGACGGCGCAACCAGAGAACTCAGTCGGCGTCGAGAATCTTTGGACCTGACGGGTTCAGTAAAAAAAGACAGCGGTACTCTTATTAAAAACAAACCTCGACCAATTCAACATCAGTCTTGCCTTTGCGTACAAGATACTCAATGGCTTGGCCTTTACCAAAGAGAAAGACGTAGTCGTTGAGGCTTTTGCTGCGCCACGAGCACAGAGCAGACCAATCGCCGAGGGCGGTGGCCTGGGCAGACTCGATCTCGGTAAAGGACGGAACCTCAAACACTCGGATAACAGAGTCGGGCATCGCGATGGTGATAGCCAAGTCCTTCTCCGTCACATTGTAGACAGTCGTGACGAGCTTCGTCCGACCCGTGGTCAGCGACTTGACCTCGGAGAGAGGTGAGTCGCTGTTCAAGTCAAAGACATGAAACCCGCCGGTCGCAGCCCCGCCGTCGTTCCCCAGCAGCAGAGGGTTCGACTTGGAGTAGTAAACATTGGTCCAGTCCGACTCGAGCTCGCCACCAGTCAAGGCCGTGACATTGAGCTCAAGATCGACGGCGGCAGCGAGCCATGGCTGGGCCACGAAGGCGACCAGGGCTGCACCGAAAGAGAGGTACGTGAGGCCCATTGCAATTGAGTCAAGTCGAAGTAACGCAACTTGACATGGCAGAACCGGCAACGAAAGGGTTCGCCGGAGGGCGAGGAGGAAGAGCAGTCCATTTATCATGTCGCCTCATGCCCACGCGCAGCGCAGCGGCCCGCGTCTGGCACGAATCCGACGGTAGCAATGCCCCACGCCACAGCTCCGGGATCGCAACGCAGCGTCAGCCTTTTTACGTACCATGCACGCCAATACCGCTAGACCATGACCTTTTCCGAATTCCCCTCGTCTGAAATGTGATTTTGTCAGGCAGAGGATGCGTCAGTGAGAATTAAGATGGTAGCACCAGTACGGATTGAAAGTGGGAGGTGAAACGCGTGGAGGAAACGGAAGAAACAATTGGTGGACGCCGTTTGACGAAGAAAATGGAGCTTCCACTTTTGGAGTCGTCCGTCTTGGCATCGGCACGTGTTGCATTCAGGGGTGAAGATGAGAAGGATTCCGAATGAATAGAAGAGTGGTTCGACAGTCCAAAAATCAATGGTGCTCTATCCGGCTGATCCAAACTGCGACATCCGCAACTCTATTGTTTCTTTAAATTATGCGGTGACATCGGGGCGCATTCCGATCGTCCAAGGTGTTGCGAGCATCTCATCCACTTCCCTGTCCAGTTATGTATGTAATTGGCCCGTGCCATGACGCGATGATTTTCCCTCAAAATGTGCACTGGTCTTCTTTTCAAACCGCACAAGAAAACATCCATGTCTGAGCACTATGGTACAAGTTTAAATGGTATTTATCTAATCACTTGAGAACATGTTCTATTGAGTGTTCGGCTCAACTTGTTTCCCAGCAGTGTGGCCGAATGTTTAATCTAGTTTTCGGACCCTGAACCGTTTGCTTGTTTCCGGGGTCCATCCCAAGAACCTTTGAATTCTTCTTTTAAAGCTCGTTGCGATCGTCGAGTCGGTAATAGACAAAGCCAAACATTCACCTCCGTTTGGTGATGCCGGGGAATCGGCGAATCGGCGGTACCGGTCTCGGAGTGGTTCGGTCCCACAACGTACCCCACCATCCGTACTATGGGTCCATGATCGGGTCCGGGCCCGGAAACCCGCCGAAACCTCAAATTCATGCGTTCACAGTGGCGATCAGGAAAGGATGTATGAAGAATAAGAAATTTGCGCTTCCGTCGCGGCTTGTATGTTCACTGTGTCTATAGGTATCTCTAATATCATACAAAAAGGAAAATTGACACGGCTGGTACCGATCCGTGCATGGGACCCGCGACCCAAGATCACTACTTAAGAGGGGGGAGCACCGGTGCCGGAGGGGGGAGTGCCGGACATGGTACCGTTGCCGGTTCCGTTGCCGGGAGCACCGCCACCACCACCGCCGCCGACAGTGTAGCCAGTAGAGTGACCGCCGTCCTCAGCAAGGTAGGCAGCAACACCGTAGTAGTCGTCGGTCTGGTAGTCGGCAGAAGCGTTGATACCGATCTGGATCCAGGCGAAGAGACCGTCCTGGAGGTTGTCGGAGAGGTAGACGAACTGGGGGAAGGGGTCGTAGGACTCGTCGGCCTGGAGGACGGACCACATGTCCTCCTCGTTGGTGGTGACCTCGACCGTGTTGGTGTTGTAGGGAGCGAGCTCCTCAACCTTCTCACGGAGGCTCTCGGGCCAGAAGAGCTGGCCGATGTGAGAGACGGGAGTGTTCCAGACAGAGATGGTGCCGTTGGGCATCAGGGTCGCGTTGGTGTGCGACAGAAGATGGGTGTGGGCGGCACGGCCCTCGTAGTGACCAGGGAAGATGGTCTCGAACTGGACGACACCATCGTGGTCGGAAAGCTGAATACCGCGGAGGAAGGTGGTGTCCAGACCGGCCTGGCCAGACTCGACGCCGGAGTAGACACCGGTGGCGTTGCAGTTCCAGACATCGACCGCGACCTGGGGAACACCGTCGCAGGTGTTGACGTCGACGTACTGGACCTCAAGGAAGAGGGGGACACCGTCGCAGAACTCGGACTCGATGACGTTGGATCGCATGTACTCGCCGACGACGTAGTAGGGGCCGCCGGTGATCTCGGGAGAGAGGACACAGCTGGTGTTGGCGCCGAAGACGTCCTCGATGGAAGAGAAGATGCCGTTATCAGACAGGCCGGTCATGTTGTGGTTCTTGGCCTCCCAGGCGGTGAGCTGGTCGAGATCGCGGCGGTACTTCTTGCCGGCTGTTGATATGTCAGTATTGGTTTCCGGCGGTTCGGAAGTGGAAGGTTACTCACGGGCAGTGAGGCCCCTCTTCTTGCGGATCTCCTCGACCTTCGCGGCACGGCGCTCGACGGCGCGGGCCTGGCGCTTCTGGGCACCGGCGGAGTTGGAGCACTGGCTAAGGGAGCGCTGGCCGATGTTGGCAATGCCGTCACGGAGCTGGATGTCGCGCTTCAGCTTGTTGTGGTCGTGCTTCTCGCCGGGGTGGGCGGAGGTGAGGCCGACGAGGGCAAGGCCGGCGGCCGAGAGGGCGGAAATGCGGACCATCGTGTCGAAGACTTGGGTAGTAAGACAAGTTGTTGTAGCGAATGTCGAAACGATTGTGTTCTTGTGTTGATGCTGAAGCGAATGTTGCTGCGGTGGTTGCGGCTGGTGAGGTGAATTCGAGAGTGAGATGGCCGGCTCCCACGACCGTCTTTATACAACGTCGATCTTCATCGTCTTCATCTTGGCAGTCGCTGTCGCCGCGTACGTGAAGTGGACGGAAGATGGGGCTCATCGCCTTCGTCCGATTCCCTACATGGAGAGCCCTCGTCACCTCCCCGTCCCGCTTGCTATTTTCGACCGTTTCCATCCAATGTCGGGAACTGCTATCTGAACATTCACCCAACCAGCGCCGTGCAAAAGGTCATCCACAACCCGTTGCCGTCGTGGCTCGCAGGGGTTCTGAGCCTCACATACACGACTTCTTCTCCGCCGGGCGCATTTTCGAGTCAATGCGTCCCCACGCGGTTGTCCTTAACTCAGCCTCACGGCGTACGCCAAGCGACCAAGAGACATCAAGCATTCCGAGGAAGGAAGGAAAATGGTTCTAAAGCGGAACCCGGGGTCGATCCGGGGTGGGGCATTCTCGGGATGAACTGCAATCGGTCTCCCACATCCCGCGACTTGTGGAGATGGACGTTGGCAAAAGCTTTCTTTTAGGGGCTCCCGATGACGAGGCCCTTCCCACATCGCGGGTGGCGCCGCTGTGCAGACGCGCAGCTTCAATGAGATTGGGCCAAATTTTGCTGACAATAACATATCGAGGGGACAGGGCCATGTTGATTCATGGTGCCTCGGTCTGTGGGAGGGCTTTGAAAAGGGGCGGGACAGGCGCGGACCAGAATGGCCACGGCCTTTGGAATCTCAACAGCATGAATGGAGATTAAGAAAAATTCAAGTCGCCAGCCTGCTGCCGGTGGGAGCAGCCTAGTAATTTCGATCGACCAAAGAAACTCTTTTAGGAAACGGCCATTCTCATACGCCTTATTAAGACGAACGCAATGCTGATCGCTTCTTGTTTGAAAACAACATTCGCAGAAGCTTTGAGCCAACCTTGTGCAATAGAGTTCGTCTGGTGTCGATGTTCCCGCGGCGAGGAAACAAGAATCTCCCGGGGAACGCCCGGGATGCCCGACATAGAGTTGGAAAACAACCCGACCGGCCGGGATCCCTAATTTTCGGGGAACATAACCAACCTATCTGAATAAGTTCAATGAATCCGTGGACCTGTAATTGGCTACTGCACTAGTCCATTCCACTCCGGGGTCGAGACCATTTGACAGATACTCCCTGAGTCGTCACCCGACGCGTGTCGCTCTAACTGTGTAACTGCGGTCTATTTCCGGGCATCGAAGCGCCTTTTCCCAGGGACCCAGGTTCACCGCCGCCCTTAATATCCATGGATCTAAGAATTGTCGATTTTCACATTCATGGAAGCCATCAAATGATATCGTACCCTCATCGCTTGGGAGATATGCTTGTCAAGCCGAGCTATCTTGAGCTCTTTCGTCCGCGGACTCCGTCATCAGGCTACGAATATCAACATTAGCGGAAACATCACTCACTACAGACTCTTCTGGTCTTTGTCGGACTCTTAGATGCGACCGAGAAACACTCGAGCGATTGAAAGGGCTTTCTAGCGGATCCCGGGCGCGACGATTACGAATCTAGGGTAAATCCTTTAGTGTCTACCGCAGTTGCCCTGTCAAAGTTGAGAGACTGACATCAATGGTCACCATGCTGTTCTTGTGAGATGATCGTTCTATGTTTTCCGCCTCCTGTCACCTATCTTTTGCGACATCTTTGTGTAGTGATCATGCTGCGAATCTTCGAAGTGGCATAAATGAATACCTTGGAAACTACTCTTATGATTTGGTGAGTGCAGGTCATCCTTTGCTATCTTCATTCTAATTTTTTAGAGATGGAATTTGCAGCTTTGAGAGCAGTAATGACTGACAAATTGAACGATAGACAGACTTTTGCTTCCATATTCGAATATATGTCTACAACTAGGACTGCCTGAATCACCAACGACTTTGATTCTTCTGCTTCTTCGCACCACCGAACGATCCTCGAAGGTCACACCAAAACTCTCCTTACCAAAGCTTAAGCGCACCGAAGAACGACCTCTTCTGCCACTTATCTTCAGGGGGATATACAACGATTCGATCCAGGTCAGCGCCCTTGTAGTCGAAGCCGTTGTAAAGCCCGCCGACTGATATAGTGTTTCTTCCCTTCTGCAGAGGAAGAAGCAGAGGAGTGGACAAGATGATGCCCTTGTGAGTGTCTTTCTGGTACAGAGTATGGACTGTGCTGTTGTCCCCGTTGACGACAACACTGCTGATGCGACGTAGCTGCCACGTGCCGTTGATACGATCGGGCTGTCCGAAAGGCTGATCGCCAAAGCCCATGTCGTCCGTGTCTGACTATATATCAGCAGCCTTTCCGCTGTCACGGATGTGAAGTCAAACTCACTCTGGTGGTAGAATGAAACCCACTGGTCTTGACCATCTCCTTCAACTTCGAAGGTGATGGTGCTGTCATTGCCGTAGATTCCAGTCGCAATGACATTGTGGCTGCCGAAAGTCTGCACGAGAGCGTCCTTAGTAGATGATTAGAGATGCGCGATGACATAGCTTACAGCCTCTTGGAGGTGAGCATCTCCTGACGTTTTTGCGTACTTGGAGGTGTACGTCTTTCCGCGGACCGGTTTCCAAACACCTGTTTTTCTGGTGTAGGATTAGTACGAAGCCACGGCGCACGGATGCCATTAAAGTTGCTTACACGTCAAGATCGTAGATGTCGTGCCAGACGACTTTCAAACTGCCTTGCTTCTCGTCGATCTCGATAGGAAGCCACACGTTGCGACTCTCCCAAAGCGAGAGCATATCCCACTGGTCTGCCATATACAAATATGTCGTAGCCTTACTTCCTTTTATCCTCCATGAAAAGCCCGACTGGGTGCTGAACGTTCTGGTGTAGGCCGGCGATACGAAGAATGGCTGCGACCAGGGCCCTTCGAGCTTATCGGCGCGCATGGCCACGACATCTGTTGTTCGACATTAGCTGATTGTCCACAATCTCCAATCACGAAAGCAGTAGACGAGAACTTACTGTTAGGGCGATATCCAGTCTTGTGGCTTAATAGAGCATAGTAGCTCTTCTCCGTTTGTAAGATCGTGGGTGCCTCAAAGTCGTACTTGTTGAATCGAAAGGTAACCTCTTTAACATCCGTCAAGTTGCTGTTGAACTTGCTGACATATACGTCGCGTCCTTCTGGGCGATCGCCATTCGAGTAGAGCGCGTATGAATTTCCAGTTTTGTAGTCTGTAAATGCGCCAAAGTCCTGTGACCAATTACTGAGTGGTGAGATGGCATTTTGGAACGTGTATGGGCCCGCAATGTTGTCTGAGGTAGCGAGTCCTTGCAGTAGAAGACTGTACTTGGAGTCATCCACGTGCCACCACATCTAGGAAACACGTCGTATTCATCAGCGAACCTTCTTCAAATCAAATTGCAACGTGCCGTCAACTTACGTGGTAAAGGCCAGTATCGTTGCTGTAGATAACTTTAGGTCGCTGAATGCGATTATGCGAGGAGACGTAAGGGTGATCATCCACCGGCTCTAATGGTGAGATTAGCAGTAGTTCATAAGATTACAGAAAGTGATGGTTACTTACTTAGCGCTAGTCCATGGGAAGTCCACGTTGCCAGGTCATCGGAGCTGTAGACGGATACTCCGCCGCCCTCAACCTGCCCTTCGATTTTGTATTCTCCAAACCAGTAAAACTTGCCGGTTTCTTTATCAACTGCCAAGCCCCCGGCGTGGGCGTTGAAGATGTTGCCGTCGGTATCATGCCAGCGAGCAGCGGGCACAATCCATTTTGCTGTGGTGAAGGCTGTAAGCCAAAGCAGATGAACGAAACACACAATGCGCATCGTCTCAACTCGTAGTGTTCTGTCTCGTTAGGTTTGTGAAAGGCTGCAGGATGTACTTCTATTCGAGTTCATGCGATTAAAACAGGGTGATGAAGTAGATGGGTCGAGACTTCTTATGCTCGCTCTTCATATTGACTTTTGAAAGGCTCATCGCAGCAGTCAAGTACTGTCAAGTTTACTCTGACATTGACAACTTGATGCACGGAAAACCCAAGATTTTCGGTATTGGAGATGTTGTTTGACCGAGTCTTAGTGCAATAGAAGTCCATACGTGCCGCTCGCGAAGCAGATACGATTGGCCGTTAAGAGTTGACAGATCTTGGCATATGCAGCTCGGTCTCGCTTTCCTCGGGCTAGCACATATCGACGCACACGCTGATCTGTACGTATGCATGCCAAGAGATCAGGGATATCTTGATTCTTGCCGAAAAGAACTTCAAAGGGCAAGTCTTGAACCAGTTACAGCTCAACCCCGCATGGGCTTCGCAATAAAACCCCGAAATATGTCTCTCTTTCGTGGGCTTTGTCGAGGGCTGATCGAACTTCGCCGGGTTGAATCAAAACTCGGCGCAATGTTGGACGAGTACGTTCAATTCCAAAGCCTATCTTCTGTAATATCAAAGATTTAAGCAAGCCCTCTTTCAGAGCCATCCAATCTCAACCACAATTATTCCGCGAACCAGATGATACTATGACTAGGTCAACGGAATAATCTCCATTTTCGTCGCTAGGAAACATGCAGCTACCCTAGAAGGCCGGAGTTTAATCCGTCATTGGACTTTTCGTATTCCGGTTGGCTTTGAGTGGCCGTCAACGGTGTTTTCTGGATAATTTCGTATCTATTCGGACTACAGTCTCAGTTTGGCATGAGCACGTCATCTCATCTTGCCCTTTTGAGAATCAATCAGCTTTAAAAGCTTGACCCCGCTCCTTGGACAACATCATTCACGTCGTGGCTGTACAACACTTGGACCGAATAGTCTCATCCATTCGACCGGATCGCTCTTTGATGCTCCGAGTGGCAGAACTTGACGACATTGCGCTGTATGCTTGGCTCTTACTTTGAGTTCTTTGGGATCCATGGATATACGCAATGCTGGGAAGTCTGGCCCAGCTGAAAACCTGAAAGATTTGACGAGCTGCATCATTCGGGTATATGGATCATCACCGAATGTAGATTACAAAAGAGACTAGGGAATGGTTACATAGAGCCAAGTAAGAGCGAATTGCCCTTTTGGGTAGACTATCGGAGCTACCAGCATTCAGAGTATTGTCGTCGACATGCTTCAAGCCGGACCTATGTTCCATGATGCCATCAGAATCTATATAAGGCATTGTTGAACCGGATGTACAATCTTTCTTTCGCATAGTTCTCGATCGTCTCATCATCACATTGCAAGCCGAGACAATGTTTCCGATCCATCTCATCGCAGTAGCTCAACTTGCGATTGGGCTAGCGACAGCTTCTTATGACCTTGGACCTGTGAAAGACCTCGATCAACGACAGTTGAAGGCGATCAAGTGTGTTGTGCCTGCTAATGGCGACGGATCGGACGATACGCCTCACGTTCTCGAGGCTTTCGAAAAGTGCAAGTCCAACGGGCACATCGTTTTCGAGAACACCACATACCACATCGACCAAGTGATGAAGACGACCAATCTCGACAATGTCAAGATCGATATCAAGGGAACTCTTCTAGTAAGTCACTACTCTACCTGTTCATCGCGTCTCGTCGCTGCACGTATGGGCATTGACTGAAAGATCACGCAGTGGAGCAAGAATACCACCTACTGGCTCGAAACCTCGCTTCCTATTGGTTATCAGAACCAAACTGCTGCCTGGGTCCTTGGTGGTAAACACCTTCAAGTGAATGGCTTCGGGTATGGGACCTTCAATGGGAATGGCCAGACTTGGTATGACTTGGTTAAAGGAGAATCGAACTACCCCAGTAAGTTTCACTCAAGTTGAATATGATATAGAAACCCATCTCAAGTCTCACAGATCGCCCCCATGCTCTTTTGCTCGATGGTGCCGAAGACTCTGTATTCGAGGGCCTCCGATTTGTCCAAGCGCAGATGTGGTAAGTCGACAATGAATTTCGATCTTACCTTATGGTGTGGGTTAAAGGTTCGTCCAAGGCTGATAATGTCTCTTCTTAGGACGGTCACAATCACGCGATCCAAGCGTGTCCTCCTCCAGGACATCTACGTCAACAACACAAGCTCCAACAGAAACCCTGCGCGAAACACTGACGGCGCCAACACCATGTTTTCGGATGACATTCACTTTCGACGGTGGACCATTCAGAACGGCGATGACTGCATCGCTACGAAGGCTAATTCGACCAACATCCTCATTGAAGACATGGAGTTCCATGATGGTCAGGGTGTTGCCATTGGGAGTATTGGCCAGTACGCGGGCAACTTCGAGACTATTGAGAACGTCACAGTCAGAAACGTTGTAGCTTATGGCTCGCGTTATGCTGGTCGTATCAAGACTTGGACTGGTGAACAACTGGGATACCCTCCGAACGGAGGTGGTGCTGGATTAGGATGTAAGCCATGATCTCCGGTGAATGCGTCAAGATGAACATTAACATTTTTGTAGATGCTAAGAACCTCAGTAAGTTACAGCTTGGTGATGACAGGAGCCCCAGGCTCCGAGAAGTCAAATTCTTTACTCTAACACCAGTGTTACAGGCTGGGATAACGTCACCATCTATGATGCTGAGCAGGCGCCCATATACGTGATGCAATGCATTACTTACAACGGTCAACAGGGTAACTGCAGCACGTCTTTATTCGACATCTCCAACATCAGCTTCACAAACTTTCGCGGTACGCTCCAAGGGAGTCGAGTGGCTTATCTACAATGTAGTCGATCCCACGGCGGTTGCGATGGGGTCCGTATCGAAAATATGAACCTCACAAACATCAGCGTTGATCCTCCAACAGCAGCGACCGGGTACAGGTGCAGCAACATCAACGAACCTCAAGGCTTTGAGTGTTCAACTTAGACGCGACAACACAGGAACTTAGTGATGAAGAGCACGGGTTATTTAGTTTATTCGTTGAGCTGGACAAATAAATGAGAGGAACCTGTTGACAAATACCGAGAATGCTTCCAATCGCGAGAGCTAATTGACCCAGTTCACGTCGATATCAATGTCGTCACCATCCACACTCTTCTTCCCACTGCGAACAAGCTCTTCCCACATAGCCTTCTGAAGCTTTCCCGCAAATCTGGCTTCGCCGGGCACATCCATCTCCATGATTCGCCCGCATGAGATCATGTCCATGAATCCCTTCTTCGCCGCCTTGGCAACCACCAAGTCAGCATGCTTGCTGAGCTCCTGGAGCTGAGTCCGCCAGAACAACCATCTTTGAACACTGAAGCCGGGCTCTAAGACGCCTGCTGCAACTGCCAGAGGGCCTGGTCCCTGCAGGTGAGCTTTGCTTGTTTCAGGGTGGTGTGGATGGCGGCCCAGAGACAAAGCCATGAGACAGTAGTTGGATTCATCCAACCACACGGCTACAGCAGGAAGCATAGCCAGTGTGCTTGGGTCGCGTTGAGTTTCGAGAGCTTCGCGTAGGAACCAGAGAGCCGTGGAGTCAACCCCGCGACAGATGCCCAAGGCTAAGACCTTGGCGGAGAACCTCGCCAAATTGCGCATCTGGGACACGTTTTCATCCCGCACAAGAGACTCCCAGGCGTTCTGCAGGCTTTCAGCAAAGCCGTACTTTTCCCAAGGAGTCGTGTTCTCGATATGATGGACGCTCTTGTAAAGAGCGTCGTATTCGATTGTCCACTGCAGCAAGGAGACGAGCTTGTCTTGAAATGGATCGTCGCTGTCCAGGGCCTGAGCAGTGATGCAGAACATATGCCACAGAAGGTTCAGCCCTTCCTGCGTGGAGTGGTGGCCATCGGGCGGCTGGGTCGCCGCATCTTTGATGAACTTGAACGCGAAGCTTCGGATCGAAACCAGCTGATCGAGCGTGTCTTCTGCGGTGGCCAGATCTCCAGAATCCTCATCGAACGAGTTTCGAACATCTCTCAAGAATCTCAGAGTGTTCTCTTCGGAAGATCCGGACGTCGACATCTTGTGACAGTCCACGGTGGACTTCAGCGCAGGATAAGAAGTCTGAGAATGAGAGGTCGTGCTCAATGTTTTTCAGCTTGAAAGTGGTGATCCTAAGGTATGATTGTGAGTCCATAGAGAGTTCGATGATGGAAGAGTTAAAGACTCGCGTCTTATATAGTTTTCAGTCCTTGCTATCTGAGGTGAACTTGGAAGAATTCTTTGGGCTGTCTTTGAAGGCAGCAATTGAGTCAACATTAGGCAGCAGCTCTAGGCAACACTGCAAGGTACGTACTAAATCTATTATATAAGCAGATCAAATTGAAAGAGTTTTTGCACTTCTTTTTGAAATGGCAATGATGAAATGGGGAGTAATTATTGCAGGTAATGAGTGCTCAGGAAGTGGTCAAGTTGATGTGGTGGAGTTGGCGCTACTATTGCTGCGCCGTGAGATTTCGCGCTCTGACCAATCAGATGGTGCCAATTGTCCCACTAAATCCCTCTTTGGGCAGTATTATGGCGATCAGGTGCATTGTCGATCGGACGAGTTCGACAACGTCACTTACCAAACGAAGACCTTCAAGTTGAGGTGGTTGAGTTTCTCGGCTCATCATCGTATGAGTAACCAGGGTGCATTCAATTTTCTTTAATTTTTTTCAAAAAGATCCGGACCGAGGAAAGCTCAAGTAGTTGAAAATGACGACGTGAATTTCATTCAGTGAAGTATGCTATGTACAGGAGAGTCCAATATTTACAGGTGAATAAAGTCGCCGCGCTACCATCGTCCATCTATAGGGTATGTCTATCTTGTGATTGTGGAAATTCTATAAGTTTTGAAGAAGTGGAAAACCGTCGTCATCTAGGCGGAAGCCTTGATGATGTCGGAGGCCTTCTCGGCAATGGCGTAGAGAGTGGACACAAGGTGACCGCAGACCTGGAAGGGAAGGATACCAGCATCAACGACACGGACGTTGGTAGTACCGTAGACCTTGAGGTTGGCATCAACAACACCTCCAAGCTCCTTGGACATCATGGCAGTAGTACCAACGGGGTGGAAGTTGGAACGGTCTGTCGGAAAACAATTAGTTACTCGTGTGCGAAAAATGGCTTTAAGAGACTTACAGTTGTCAAGAACCCACTTGGACCAGACGGCGTCGGAAGCGTCCTCGGGGATGGCGGCAAGACCAGGCTTGGTCTCGCTGGCGAAGTACTGGCTCAGAGGAGCGGTCTTGTAGAGCTGACGGATGAACTTGGCAGTGCCGATCTGCTCGGTCATGTCCCAGTCCATCATGAAGTAGTTGGGGTTGATCTTGGAAGCGGAAGAGCCGGCGCTGGTGACGTGGATGTTGCCGCGAGCGAAGGGAAGGAGAGCCCAGTACTCAGTAGAGAAGGAAGATCCGGCGGGAGTGATGAGAATCTCGGCGAGGGGAACCTTGTCGGTGAAGATCAGGTCGTACTGGATGTCGAAGAACTTGTCGAGCTGCTCCTTGGTGACGACGCCGTTGGTGTACTCGGAGACCTGGGCAGCCCACTGAGACAGCTGCTTCTTGATGTCGGCAGCAAGAGAAGCGGTCTGGTTGGCGAAAACGTCCTCGACGTTGGGGTAAGCGACGAAGGTAGTGACGCCGGTGAAGTTCTTGGAGCTAGTCTGAGCCAGGCCGTTGTTCATCTGGTCCTGGAGGTTCTCACCAACAGTGGGGAGCTCGACCTTGGTCTGGATGCCAGCAGCCTTGAGAATCTCCGAGTTACCAACACCGGACTGCTCGAGGAGGAGAGGAGAGCGGAGAGAACCGGCGGAGAGGATGATCTCCTTGTTGGCGAAGATGGTGCGGGTGGCGCCAGTCTTGTCCTTGACGAGAACACCGGAAGCAGTAGCATCAGCTCCAGTGCTGTTGGACCAAACCAGCTTCTGGGCCTCGGTGTTGAGGAAGACGCGGAAGTTGGTGCGGTTCTGGTAGGGGAAGTAGTAGGCGCGGGCGGCATCCTCGCGAACCTGCAGAGCAGTGTCGACGGTGGCGGGGTAGATGTTCCAGCCGACCATGTCGCCACCGGCAATGTCCTGGAGAGCAGGAACACCGACAGCGCCGTAGGTCTGGTTCAGGACTTCGACGAAGGACATGTCGACCATACCAGGCTTCCAGCCGACCTTGAGAGGGCCATCGGAACCGTGCTGCTCAGGCACGTAGGTGACACCGTCGGCAACCTGAGCGGCAGAAGGGGGCTGGAGGGTCTCGGACTTCTTGTAGTACTTCAGCAAGTTCTCCCAGTTCCAGCCCTCGTTTCCGAGGCGCTCCCAGATGTCAATCTGGACATCCTGGGCACGGGTGTAGGCCATACCTGTTTGATCTGTTAGAAGTGAGTCACCGTGAGCGATACGGTGAACATACCATTGATGGTGCTAGTACCGCCGAGGGCTTTGCCGGCGCGGAGGGTCTGGGTCTTGTTGCCGCCATACTTCTGGGGAGTAGTCTGGTAGGCGTAGTCGATGTTGGTACCGAAAGCGTTGCCGTAGCCACCCAGATCGGTAACGTTGGCGTTGTCGTAGACAGAGTCACCAGCCTCGATGACGGCAATAGTGACGTTCTTCAACTCGGACAGACGGTTGGCAACGACGAGACCGCTGGTACCACCACCGATAATGACATAGTCGAATCGCTGGGAAGAAGCGGCGGGATAAGCGAGCGCAGTGGCCGCAAGGAGCGGGAGAGAGACGATGGAGCCCAGCATTGTGAAGGACGAGTTCGGATGGCTTGACGGTGCTGAGATGGGACGAAACGAAGGAAACACGTGGTGACGATCCCTCGAGTTTATATCCAACAAACACCTCGCCTAGCAACCTGCCCCCAACAAGTCCCGCGCGGGACGCTGAAGCCAACTTATGTCATGCTTAGGAATTATTCGAAATTTCCATCCAGGTTTGCTTTTGCTGAGTTATGATCCGCTCTCTCCACCGGCGAGGTGGGCGTTTTCTGGATCTCGGCGCTCGCCCGTAAGTCCGTGGAGTCGGTTAAATCCAGACTCTCGGAACGGTGCAACTCTTGCAAGCTCTTGTTCGATAAACGAGGGAAACTGTAGCGGGAAATTTTCTAAATGACGTAAGTCGTGGTCTTGGAATCTGACAAGGCGAAGCCGATTTTCCATATGATACGACTCTGTGAAGGCGAGAACGAGCCGCCCACGAGTCAGTGATTTGCGGTTCCTGAATCTTCTGTTTTCGCCAACCGCGAGAAACAAGAATCTGGGCTCCATAGCTGTTTACCTTACAGGTGGGTCTCCAAATGCTTAGCAAGAAGATTGCCGATATAATCCAGGGTATCACAACTCCACAAGACCGTTTTCGGCATCTTCGGGTTGTCACTAATGCATTACCATGACCAGGGTGATGGATTGCGCCTTATCAAGTTGTCTCACGTATACACGTGCAGATGGTTCTGGAGTTCTAACGGCATTCAAGGATACCACGGATATCCATCATGCAGTGGGTGCGTTCTTGTACGAGGTCGGCATTCTTAGGTTGGTTATCATAAACCTCCTCAAGCTTCATTTGGAGTGTCCGCTGGTCACTATTATCATCTGAAGACCAAAGCAAGGTAAGTTTAAATGCGGAAGCCTTGCTTTCCATGACTAATGCTTGCTGTGCGCGTCAACGGGTTGTAGACACCTGTTTCAAATGGCTCAAGAGTTGAAGTCACTATTATCGCTATGTAATCGTAATGGAAGGGCTTATGCAGAAGTCATCCGATGAGATTTAACCCAGAGAACAAGTGAAGAACGAGAACCCGTCGAATCTGGGAACCGTCTGAGTAGATTTGGAAGGCACCAGGAAGTCAGGACTGCAGTTGCCAGAGCGACCGCCTACCATCACGGGCCGATCGAGGACCGTCCCTGACCGGTCTTTCGCATGTTTTGAATAACGGGATGAATAGTTCGGCCGTCCGAGTTGCCCAACAACAAATTTTGGCAAGTCAATCTCGCGCGCGGCTGTCTAACCCTCCGGGAAAGGGCCGGAGGAACCACCGGCACCGCAGTGGGGCTATCGGCCCGGATGAGGGATTTACGGGGGTCTCCCAGGACTCTGAAGAAGGTCGAGACCGCTGTCACCATGGCCAGCGCCTTCTTACAAGGCTTTTACGTTGCCTCCTTCCATTTTAGCCGAGCTTTATCTGAGAGTTAAAGCAAGTTGCATGGTAACGTGGAGAGATAGACTCCTCGTGGAAACTGCTTCACAGACACGATGGCCGCACGCTAAGCATGACCAAGCGCTGGCGCAACTTGGATCCGCCGAGTCAGCTTGTCGGATTTCCGCGAGTCCGAAAGAGTTTGACCCTGCAACGTCCTGGCAGTCGTTGACGATCTGTAGGTTGTCATTTGTCGATGCAGGGGACTGCAATTTTCAGCCCGTCAGTCCCGGGACCAGTCCCGGTCGATCGGATGCATAAGCTCCTAGCGTCTCCATAAATTAAATTAGACAAGTTTTCAATTCAGGAACCGACTCTCAGTGCAGGCTGTGACGTCCAAGGGTGTGTTGCATCCTGCATGCTAAATAGGGGCGTTGTTATCTCATCTTATCTGATCAAATGACGTCTTTGTCTTTGAGGTCCACGATCTGACGATCATATGCGGTGCTCAACTCTTAAGCCGTCTGCAGTTGCACCAGCGCAACGGTAACGTCGAACCCGAAAAATCCACCACGCCGTGGACTGATTCCAAATACTATTGTCAAAGTCTACCAGTCTCTTCAAGGTCGCAGTCTGAGGTAGCCATTAGCCAGAGGCTTCGGTTCGAATAATTCTC